GGAGCTGCTGCACCCGCCTCCGCCGCCGCGCCCGCTCTAGCGCTCAGCCCTCAGCATCATCTCCGCCGCGCAGCAGCAGCAGCAGCAGCAGCAACGACGGCAGCAGCAGCAGGACCACCACCACCGGCAGCGGCAGCGCCGCGGAGCAGCAGCTGTGCAGCGCAGTGCAGCAATCTCCCGCGCCCGAGCCCGCAATCTCGTCGCCTAGCCCGCCTGCACCGCCGTTTCAGACAGACTCTCCACCCCATCTTCACGCCGCGACCAGGCCTGGCCCGGGAGGGATCGTTCATCCGCCGAGTGCGTGCTTCGACGTGCCGCACCGCAGCCGCAGTTGCCGTCGTCAAACCCAGCGCGCCGGCGCCCTTGCGACGGAGCAGGGCGCTCCAAACGGACAAGGCGGGCGGCTTTGGCCGCAGGACGCACTCCCCTCGCGGCGCATCTCGGCGGAATCAGATCAGCGATGACTGTCAGCAGGGCGACCAGAAGCAACGCGCCTCGACGCTTCGAGCGCGTCCTCCTAGCCTGGGTCCTGGCGGGGGCGGCTTGCCGCATCCACCGTGGAACCCCGGCCGAGCATCCCCGTCGTCGTTTCTTTTCCGCGAAGAGGCCTCGCGCCCGCCGCCCGGTGATCGCTGCGGACCGCCCTGGGAGATTGGTGTCAGCCGTGGCCTGACTCAGTAGCACGCACCCGCCTGGCAACCCGCCAGGCCGGCGGTCAGCGGTGCTTTTGTTTGTCTTTTCGTGCTACGTACAACGGCGGCCTGTCCGTATGCATGTGTTGGCAGATATGAAGCGTCGTGCGCCGCTGAGAGCTGGTGCGCGACGCCCTCTCCACCCTCGCCATCCGCGGATCTGGATTGAAATCGTCCCAGCGCCCTGGGTCGCACCTGTGCTCGCCGCCGCCAGCGCTCTACGTACGGGCGAGAGGTAAGCTTACAGTGCGCCCCTCGCGCGTGCCTTCGCTTAGTGGGCGAGGTGAAGCTCTCGTCCCAGACGTCCATCCCCGTATGTCATGCCAACGCCCCTGTGCGAGTGTTCCGAACGTCCCAATGCCGACTGAAGCAACCTCGTATGCGCACCGGGACGTCTTCTTCGCGCGACGACGCCACGCGCGCGCACGAACTCAATGTCGCCGCAAGCACGCAGTTGCGGTTTGCGGAGCTGGGATGGCGTGGGTTGCCGGGCCCAGCGAAAGAGGTCCCGGGCCGCGTGAAGAAGAAGAAGCAGCGGACGAGAGGGGCTCACCGCACAAATCAGGAACTCCCGGCTGCGGCCATGACTGGCCGCCACGAGCATGTTGCGCCGTCTAAACATGATACAAGTGGCGGCGTGGGTGGGAGCCGTGTCTACCTGTCGGTCGGGTCATGCAGAGACAGGCTGAGAAGCAGCAGCCGATTGGCGGTGAGGTGTCTGCGCGCGACGAATGGCGGCGCTGGCCAGCCCGACGCAGCGGAGAGCTAGTTGCGATGTCGCAGCGCCGGCGGGACGCCGTCGCGTGCCGGCGAGCAGGTCGGGCTAGCAGCTGGGCGGCACGGCGCGGCTTGGGCGGGCGAAAAGCGAGAGCGGGCGGCTGGCTGCGTTGAGATGGGAATCATGGAGCTGGCTGGTGGCTGCTGGCTGGGGGGCTGGCACGCAGGCGCAGTCAGTCTCCAGAGGCGTGGGCGCACTACCGCCGCGCCGGGGCTCGCAGCTGGCCCACCGACTTTCTTAATTTGCAGCCCCCCTGCGGACCCGACGCTCTGGGATTGGGACTCCTCTCGCGCTCGGCCTGGGATTGCCCGCCTGGGAAGCGTGCCCGCGACGAGGTAAGGAGCATTGGCGGAGCGCCTCTTCATGCCCAGCGCGACTCGCACGCACTTGCAGGCGCCCGCGCCCGGCAGCGCAGCGTACAAGACACGGCATGCTGCACTGCAGGGCTATCGAATGACATAACGCATAAAACTCGCACAGGCAAAGCAAGCAAAAAAGGCCCGCGCGGCCAGATGCCCTCGCTCGTGCACTCGTCTTGTGTGACGCTGCCCGCGCTGCCCGGCAGGGCCCTGTATAATACTTAGCCCGCAGCACAACCCTGGCCCCAAGAGCTGCTTGCTTGCCTGCTGCCCGCCCGCTGCTGCTGCTTCCGACCGCCGTCGTAGTCTACGAACCGCTGATCAGCCCTTGTCCTGTCCCCAGCGCACCACACGCCGGATCCGCACCAAGCTGCACACCTCAGCGTGCGCGCGCGCGCGATAATTACGGAGCGACAGTCAAGTCAAAACTCCTGTCCCTCCCATCCCCACCCCAGCGCCAGCAGCTTCCTAGCCGCTCCAGCAGCATTGACCGGCCAGCCCGAGCTCTCGGAGCGTTGCATCCAGTCTTATGACCCGGCCCTGCTAACCGCCCTGGCCACATCGTCCGCTTGACATACCTCGCCCGCCCTCCAGCTTCGCAGCCCGCAACCTCTCCACCCCCCCCCAAACGTCCCAATGGTCACGATGGCGTCGAACGGGTAAGTCCCAGCCGTTTCCTCTCTTCGCTCCGCCGGCCCCGCCCCCGTATGCCCGTCGCTTGCGAATGCTGCTCTCTACCACTGCTGCTGCCGGGTGTGGGAGAGGCGCGCTCCGTTCGCCGGTGCCTGCTCTCCTCCGCCCCCCCCGCGCCGGACTCGCGCAACGAAGCTGCATAACCACTCCCGCCCTGACGCCTGCCGGTGCTGACTCTGCAGCCGAACAGGTTAGCAGTCGCTGTTCCGCAGAATTACATGGAAAATGGCCGCCTCTACCACGGCTACCGGAGAGGACTTTACCTCTACCCATGCGACGAGGTACGCTCCCCCGTCCGCTCCACCCATTGGCCGCCTTCCGCCTGACGCTCTGCAGCAAGAAAAAGACCGCATGGACATTTTCCACAAGCTGTTCCTCGTGGCCCGCCGCGAAGCGCTACATCAAGCTCCGGTGGTGCCGGCCTACCAGCCGCGCATTCTCGATCTGGGCTGCGGGACAGGAATCTGGGCGATCGACATGGCCGAGTAAGTCACCCTGCATGCCGCCGAATCCGCATGACGCCTGCTAACGCGCCTCGCAGCAAATACTTGGACGCAGAGGTGAGCTATGCCACGGCGTGGCCCGGAGATTTTTGCTGACGTGCGTCAAGGTACTTGGACTGGACCTCGTGAACATCCAGCCTGACAAGTATGCCTGCCCCTTTCGTCCCTGCGCGACCAGAGCTGACCCGATGCCTCAGGATTCCGCCCAACCTACGATTCCGCATTCCGCGCGACTACGAGAGCCCCTGGTCGCTGGGCGAAGATTCATGGGACCTGATACACCTGCGGATGGCGTGCGGTAGCGTTTCCAGCTGGCCCGAGCTCTACCAGAAGATATTTTCGTACGTTCCCGTGCCACCGGGCAGAATGAACGTGTGCTGACGTGGGCAGACACCTGAAGCCAGGCCACGGCTGGATCGAGCAGGTCGAAATCGACCTGGAACCGCGCTGCGACGACGGCACCCTTCCCCCAGGCTCGCCGTTGGTCCAATGGTATCAGTACGTGTCGGACGCGACGGAGCGGGCGGCGAGACCGCTGGCCTACAACCACAACACGCGGCGGCTGCTGGAAATGGCGGGATTCATCGACATCCAGGAGACCATCATCCGTGCGCCGTATAATTCGTGGCCGGCAGACCCGCACCAGAAAGAGATTGGGCGGTGGTACAACCTGGGAATTTGCGAGGGACTGGAGGCGCTGAGCCTGGCTCCCCTGTCGCGCATCTACCGATGGGACGCAGCACAACACATTAAGCCACTAGTCGACCAGGCGATCCGGCAAATACGGACGAAGAAGATTCATGCGTACAACAACATGTGGGTGCATTCCTTGGCTAGCGTGTTGCATGGCGGCTGACTTGCATTAGACATATCTGGACTGCGCGGAGACCTGGACACTGAAACCACGCGGCTGGCCTTTTCCGCAGTATTTGACGACCTTATGACGACCGCAGTAGTAATACCTAATGTACTATGCATTACTCCCCCCGGTGCGCTTTCGGCTTCGGAATGTTTCCAGTAGGACAGAATTGGAGGCGTAGTGGTTGGCAAGCTCCCATTTTCGGCCGAATCGATATTTCAGTTGGCGGGCAGGGCAAGGAATGGACGGGACGGACCCTTGCGTGGACTTTCACCAATGGCGAGCTGAAGCGGCGTGTTCCAAGAAAGCACCGGCGGACTCGTATGCACACGGCAGACCACCCAATACCACGGCGCACCCTCCATTTCTCAGCCACCATCTCTCGCACCCCGCAGCGGCCAGAGGCGAGGCTCGCACGCTGGTTGGGTACCTGTTCTGCACTTTCACGCTGGCGGTCTGGAAGTCAAATTGAGAAAAAGAAAAAAAAAGACACTAAAAAAAGGTCGACTACAAGCTTCTGGTCTTTCCATTGGCAGGATTGGGGTGGGCAGGCGTTTTAGGAGCACGGCGTGGGATGTCACCTCTTGCCTCCTATTTTTTCTGTGTTTTGGTGTACAAGAATATTGGATGGATGTGTGCACAGGGGGCAGGGTGGTGGCGTGTGGATGGTACTATCTTCTTCCCCTTCCGGCTTTCTGTTTCTAGATATATCACGGCGTGAGCATTTCCGCGTGGGACCCGTTGTTCATTTCTCCTTTTTCCAGATTTCGCACTTCAGTCAGCATGGTGGTCAGCAAACTGGGCTAGGGCGGCGAGCTGCCTTTGTTGGACATGGCGGGGGTCAAAAGTTGACAGCGCGCGGAGTCGCGGCGAAAATTAGCGTTTTATCGGTTCTCTACGTCAATGCTCCAGGGCCTGTGAATGTCTTGTCTGTCAACCTTGCTGCTCGCTTCTGACGCTGTTGACGGCGACCCCAGCTTTTGGCGCAGCTTCTCCCGTCGCTAAGCGCGAGCGCTCAGCCGAGGTCCCAAGCAGCCCCAGACGGAGCCCCGGCCCGTCCTGTACATACAGCTCCATCGCCAGTTCTCCTCCGCAACTCCTCTGCAGCCCGCAAACATGCCTGCTTTAACCAAGATCCTCCGTCCTGCCCTTCGCGCGACCTCTCTCGCCGCTCGCCCCGCCGCCCGCCGCGTTGCGGGCGTGCGTATTGCTCCGCAGTAAGCTCCCAGCTCCCATGCATGTGATTGCCCGCATCCCGCACTGCACGACGCCAACCCCAGCCCCCGCCAGCCTCTCTGCCCGAGCAGAAGTCTCGATTTCTTTGGAGCATCACGGAAACACGAGCGCTAACGCCCATGTCTCAGCAATGCGCGGTGCATCGCGACGACGCTGCCGCGCCGGCGCCCCGCCGAGGCAGTGGACATCACGGACATTCCGCCGACGCCGATAACACACCTGTCGGAGACGGAGTCGCTGATGGCGGACTCGGTGTCCAAGTTCGCGAACGAGGTGGTGCTGCCGCGGGTGCGCGAGATGGACGAGGAGGAGAAGATGGACCCCGCCATTGTCGAGCAGTGCTTCGAGCAAGGGCTGATGGGCGTCGAGATCCCGGAGGAGTACGGCGGCGCCGGCATGAACTTTACTGCCGGCATCGTCGCCATCGAGGAGCTGGCGCGCGTCGACCCGAGCGTGTCGGTCATGGTCGACGTGCACAACACGCTGGTCAACACGGCCTTCTTGAAGTACGGCAGCGTGGAAGTCCAGAAGAGGTGGCTGCCCCAGCTGGCCACGGGCACTGTTGGTGGGTGATTGCTGCATTTTGGACCGCACAGGTGGCCGACCATTGACGCGATCCCAGGCTCCTTCTGTCTCTCCGAGCCCGTCTCCGGTTCCGACGCATTCGCCCTAGCGACCAAGGCCGTCAAGACGGACAAGGGCTACCGCATTTCCGGAAGCAAGATGTGGATCACCAACAGCATGGAGGCCGGCATCTTCATCGTGTTTGCGAACCTTGATCCCAGCAAGGGCTACAAGGGCATCACTGCCTTCATTGTTGAGAAGAACGACCCGGGCTTCTCCATTGCCAAGAAGGAAAAGAAGCTGGGCATTCGGGCAAGCAGCACCTGTGTCGTCAACTTCGACGATGTTGAGGTCCCCGCCGATCGGTTGCTCGGCAAGGAGGGCGAGGGCTACAAGTACGCCATTGGCCTGCTCAACGAGGGACGCATCGGCATTGCTGCACAGATGACCGGTCTGGCCCTCGGAGCCTGGGAGAACGCCGCGAAGTGAGTGTTTTTTGCTGCCCTTCTCGCAATTTCCCTGATTTGAAATGTCTGAGCTCGATCTACATGGCATTTCGCCCCCACCCCATGTCGTCTTCCTCATACTTCCGCTGCAACGGAAAACGACAGCCGCGCAAAATTTATTGTACTGATTCACGGTTCGGTCCCATTGTGGGACCGGTGTTTGTTCCGCAGATACGCATGGAACGATCGCAAGCAGTTCGGGCAGCTCATCGGAGAATTCCAGGGCATGCAGCACCAGATGGCACAGGCGTACACGGAGATCCAGGCCGCACGTGCCCTCGTCTTCAACGCGGCCCGCAAGAAGGAGGCCGGCGAGGATTTCGTGCGCGACGCCGCCATGGCCAAGCTCTATGCGTCGCAGGTTGCCGGCCGTGTGTCCGGTCAGGCCGTCGAGTGGATGGGAGGCATGGGCTTCGTGCGCGAGGGTCTGGCCGAGAAGTTCTTCAGGGACAGCAAGATTGGCGCCATTTACGAGGGTACGAGCAACATCCAGCTGACGACCATCGCGAAGCTGTTGCAGAGGGAGTACACTGCCTGATTCAGTGTTGTCAGAAGGTTGTGTAAGAATGTTGGGGCATGATGCTATGAACGAATTTCATGTCTCGCAAGATTTCTCGTACATGGAAAAGCATTGCAATATCAGGAGTATGCGCTTTGAAAATGGAATAGAGTCTTTCCGCCGACGCCTTCGAGCAAGAAGTGATAGATCACAACCGGTGGTCTGTCTGAGTGAGCATCCTCGCATGGATAGGTGTAATCATTATCCTGGCCGTGAGATGTCCAGTGAACCGTACGATTCCTACATTCGGAAGAGAAAGATCCGACTATCCGTATCCGTATGCATCCGCCACTTCGTTTCCCAATGCAATTGCCCTTCTACTGCGCAGATGACCATGGAAGAGATGGGCCATAATGCAATCTCTTCTTCACCGCCATTATGAGAAGGCAAAAGCCGTGCACACCTGACGGGGACTCCGGATCACATGTCAGTGTTGATGTCCTTGTGTCCGTTCTCGGTAAGTGGCCATGATAAGTTGGGAAGTAAGGAAACGGACTGTCGCACTAAAGAGACGGTAGTTACTAACGGTAGCTATATTTAATTTTACTCCCCTTTTCCATCTCTTCTAGAAACCTCCAATAGCTCCGGCTATCGCCGCGGGGTTCTGTGTGATTTGTTATATTTTTTGTCTTTTCTTTTGCATAAGATTACACAGAAACGCCTCCCGGTTTCCCCAGTTACTGACACTATCATCTGGCATATACCGCATGAAATACCGGGAGCCAGGTTCCACGCTTTTTGATTTTCTTGCCTCTTTGTGTCTCCCACCACTGCCCACGTTTTCTCGCCTCTCTGATTCATGCGCTTGCGCGTGATGGGTGGGCAGTGGTTCCTTGCTAGCCAGGCACCCGGAATGTGACACGCGCGTCCGCGCGCGGCTTGCTCGCACGACTTGCTCGCACGACTTCTTAGCTACTTGCGGAGATGCCGGCTTTCTCGTCGCCCCCATCGATGTTTTGGTCTTAGCTGTGTATCAGTCGGTGAGGCCGAATAGGGGCTTGGTGGGTGTAGCGTTCCCAGGAATATGTTGCACGAACGAGAGACATCGTTAATGCAGATAGGGCAAGGCTTTTCTCGTGGATGATGACGAGCTGGTTTGCGGTAGCAGTGGCAACGGCAGAGCTATACTGGAACCTTGTGATAGAGAACTAAGGACACGAAGTCCATTTGCCGTATATTACAGCAATGACAATGGCTGGCTAGAGCGTCAAGCTGGGCATAGAGGTACGGAAATTTTGAAGGCGAGGTCGTTCCGACAAGAACTCTAACTAGTTCGACTCGGTTGTAGCACACCATACAAAATTGACATTGTGGCAGTGGAAGGAGGGAGAAGAGAAGCGTTGGTGCCTTTTTTCTTTCACATTTTTACGTCTGAGTTCCCGTTGTTTTTATTGCGTCATCTACCTGCAATTATTATTATCATTTCTGGGTCACACATGCCCCAGAAAAAGGTGCCGAATTTGCAATTGGTTTCGTAGTGACGCAGTGATTGCGTTTGTTGAGTGAGCATGATACAAATGGCATGAGAGAGCGAGCTGCTTGCTCACATGTGCTTAGGTACTATCCTTGTTCTTTGCTGTAGAAGTGTGCATTCGTATTTCTTTTTTTCCTAGTCAATTAATTATCCTCAGAGTCCTTTTAATATACACCATAGTAATTTTTACCAAGTGTTCGTAAACTTGTGCAACCTATAGCAGATTTTGGCCAGCGGTCTTTATTTTTTTCATTTTTCCAAATTTGTCTCATAGAGCTTCGTTCCAATTGCAGATGTGTAAAACACTGTTTGAAGCCGGGAAAGTGTAAGTGTAACTTCAGGGTTCTGCCCAGTATTCGGCTGGGACGGGAAGCGCGGGATCGTGATGGCGCGCTGCTACCGTTTCCCATCACACAGGCGAGTCTGACGTGATGTACATGCATGCAAAGATATTCGTGCGAGCCGTTCCGTGCCCTAATACATGCAGTAGTGAGAAAGTCGGGAGACGCGACTCATCATGGAAGCTGAACTTGACCGGCGGTTACTCCGGAACACGAGGAAAAGCGGCGGAGACGACAACAGTACTAGCTCCTCTAATGAGTAATCCGGAACTGAGATGCATATTGCTTTTTTCTTCCTTGCCATTTCCGCTCCCGCGCCTTTCTGCAGAGCCTGTTCCCTTTCTCTTGCATGTTTAGCTAGGACAGGGTCTCGACGCTTTGCGAAACAGAAGAGAAAAAGTAATTAAGTGTCAAACATGTCATGCCCAAGTGTCAGATTGAGGGATTGAAACACCCCCAGCTGAAGGAGATTCCAATGATAGCTGACCGGTTCAAAGCAGCATGGATTAGCTGTTGAGGAAAGGATTCAATTGCAATGAACTGTGACACCATAGAGCAAAGGCGCTAAAGTAAACTGGTAGAAGCTGATCTGGAGCTGTTCCATGTAGATTTATTCACCACAAGTATGCATTGGTGAGAAATGAGTGTTTGTGGAGTAATACTAATCACTGCTCTACCATGTGAAGAATGTGAGATTAGTTAGCAGCATCATAGATCTCGCCTCATTGGCTTTTTAACAAGACTGTAGGATGAAATTGAAGCGCTTTATTTCTTATTGGTTATTAGATGCATTCCTCACGAGCCCTAGAAAAGAAGCGGCGAGAAAAAGATACGTCGAACTAGTGCAGCATGGTTGCAGCTACGAATGTCATACAAAAGAAGGTAAGAAGAGAGGGGAAAAAAAAAAGTAAAGAGGAAAAAGAAAGCCCCCACCAGGGACCAGCTCCATGTCGTGCCCATCTCAGAATCATCAGACTAGGTTAAACAAACACACTATTGTCAAAAGCTATGAAACAACAGAAACCCCCACAAAACAAGCCACGATGCACCTGGCCCCCACCCCCAACCGCGCGTCTATCACCTATCCATTACATCACCCCACCCCGCTGATGACTACCATGCTCTCGCCCTTGATCTTCGCGCCTCCAGGTCTATAGTGCATGTGCACGTTCTCTCACCCCCCTGATATAGATCGGAAGAACTCCACATTGAGACAGCACGCGCATGTAATATCGAGAGGGGGATGCCCACGCGCACACGAAAAGACATCCCTTCCTCTCGCGCACGTTCAACCCCCAACAAAGCAGCATGGCTCTTCCTTGTATGCCGCGTGCGTGCGTCGCATGGCATATGCAGGCGCCATCATCCTCAACACTCGTTCGTGCACCACCAAATGCAAGTATATGAAGTTGCAAGGAAGGAGGGGGGACGAGGCAACGAGCGGGAAGGCAAAGGCAAGTCAGTTACACCGAAAGCTTTGACATCGGACCCCAGGGCTTAATCAGGGAAACTTAAGGAAAAAGCAAAAAATAAAAGGAAGAGATAGGCGAACCCGATGATATAGGGGGAACTTTTGCGCCACCCGCAGAAGGTACAGTTGCTTTCCTTTCCCAATTGGCTGATAATAAACCTTGTTGCCGGCGTTGATAAATATCACAATTGTTTTATCCTGATTTCTCGTCTCGTATGTCTTATTCTGGCGCGTCAATGGCTCGCCGTATGCTGCAAGAACCACAGACCACCCGGTGAGAGACGCAGAGCATTGACGAGCGACAGGCGAAAAAGAGCGACAGGAGCGAGCTTCTGGAAATCATCCGCGACGCTAAGGGCTTGAGCAAGCAAAGAAAAGAAAAAAGCCACCTCCGTTACATAGTTCAAGCGGAGAAGGGGAAAAACGAACAGGGAGGGGGAACGGCGCTAAGTCAAACAGGAGAGGGGGAGGGAAGGGCACCGAGAATAAGACCTGCATACCAGATACATGACTGTGGCTTGCTTTCCCAGCTATAATGGCCAAGGCTTCAGTGACGACAAGAACCCGGGAAGAAAAAGAAAAAAGCAAAGAATTCAGTGGCGCTGCCACGCAGGCAAATCCCCCTGTCAAAGCGGGGAGATCGTTCGAGTAGACTAACGCGGAAAAGGAAAAAGCAATGAGCGCCCACAGCTGTTTGGGTGAACTCATCATCACACGAGCGGAAGCCCCAGAGTATGTAAGCGAGATGGTGATACAACGGGAACGGCAGAAGTAAAATCGAGTAAAGGAAGAGCGTGCGTACATGCATGCGCGTGCATGGGCGCAGTCACTGAACACTTGAGGCGCACGAATGAGTCCAAGGACCGGGATGGCCTCGAGGTTACAAGAAGACCCGGATGCAGCATCACAAAAGAACGGATGTTGCTTCATATAAACGGCACGAGGGTAGAAGAGCGCACGTATAGACATAACCGAAGTATGACACCAGCTCTCGGCAACGCGAGAGAAGAGAGTGGCGTAAGTGAGAAAGACATGAAAGTAGTAGAAGGGATATAGGACTAGAAATGGGGAAGGGGGTATCGAACAAGTCCACGATCCAACACAAGGTGCCAACCAGCCAGCCCGCTTTACGAAATAAGAAGCACACATATCATCATCCCAAGCGTCCAAACAGAGATTCATCCTTTTGCCATCCATTATCCCGGTTGTCCCATCCCCTACAGAGTCCCCTTCCATTCTGAACCCGGACCCCTGTTGCATTTGAGACACGCTCATCCACGTTGTGCCGGTCCACCGGGCCGGAGGCTGGCCTCCCACAACGCCTCCCGGGCGCGGCTTGCCCGAAGAGATACCTCATCACACTGCAGGAGCGCCTTCTCAGGTTTGGATGACGACATTACCCCTCTGGACACTATCCTCTGGGAAAAAGCCAAAGACCAGCCTGTACAGATCCCTGAACCAGCTGAACTGCTCTGCTCGGCTCATCCATTGCACAGCCCTCGCCACCTCCGCAGCGCCCAGCCTCCGTGACGGTAGCTGTGCGGCCGGCACCCGCATCGTTGGGTCGGCCAAGACCAACTTTTTGTACGACAGCAGCAGGTCTGTCTGCCAAGGCTGTGACCCGAAACTATTGGAGGGAAGTGACTTGACAAACGCAGGGAGCGTCATCGCGGCGGTGCGCGTGTAACCGGCATTCATGGCAGCCCGCAGGATGAGCGTCTTCAAGCGGATGAGATGAGGATCTTCGCGGCCCGCTGTTGCCGTCGAACTGGTGCGCTGCGATGACGTATCCGTGTATCCAGACAAGGTGGATGCAGACGAAGACCAGCGGTTGTGCGTGCGCGTCGTGTGGTTCTCGGGCCCCAAGACGAGAATGTTGGGCACGTTTGGCTCGTCGGGAGAACTCTCGGCGACGTCGTCGAATATGGTTGTGGGCGTCTCCGGGGGCAAGGATTTGGCGCTGTGGAAGCTCTGGTCGAGCGAGCGCTCTGACTCAGCAACCACGGACCTCCCGCGTTGACTTGACGCATGCACGTTGCTGTAGGGAGCCACAGGGAATGCGGATTGGCTCGGGCGCGGTGTTCCACGATCGGGGCGGATCTGGGTCCATCCCTCGCGGAAGAGGTCGCATAGCTCCCAGCAAGCTTGGACGGCGGAGCCAAGGAGTTCCTCGTCGGGCGGCTTTCCATCCCGGGTGTTCTGGCGGATGCTGAACAGCATTTCAGCGAGCGACCAGCAGGCACGGAGCAGCGAGTCGGTTTCCTCAGGCAGCGATGTCCGCTGTTTCATCAGCCTATGGCATAGGGTGATGTAGAAATCCAGCGTGCGCTCGCGGAATGCTTCGGGCAGGTTCCGGTCGGCCGTGTTGTACAAATGATTGTTCAGCTCGAAACTCACGCGGAGCACAGAGTCGGAAGCCTCGTCGACACGGTGGCGAGCCTCGAACAACGCCTGGCAAAAATCACGGCACAGCTCCAAGGTGGGCCGCACTTCGCCAGCCGAACCCTCCTCACGGCTCTCGTACAATTTCTGGCACAGCCGCCAGCACGACTTCCACGCCTGTTCGCCCTGGTCGCCCTGGCTGGAGAAGTTGAACATGCGCTCGCGGTGGATGGAGCTCAAGCCAGCCAGGGTGTTGCAGAGGGTCCAGCATTCGGTCAGGGCGGTCTTGAGGGCGCTCACCTCCTGCTCGGCGTGGTTGAGGTCCTCGAGGGCTTGGCCCATTGTCTGGGGCTGGTCAGCGTCGGTGTCGTCGCCATCGCTGAGCTCCGAGTCCAGCTCCGACTGCGCGTCCGTCTCAGCTATGTCTGGAGAAGAGGTGAGCATGTGGGGTTCAGCCAATGGACCAGGGAGCGCACCTTCGAGCCGGCTGTTTGGTCGGCTCCGCCGCTTCCGCTCCTCGTCGGCCTCCTGTCTCGTCTGGGCGCGTGGCGTGGTCCTGTCGTGCTTGCCCGGCACTGACGTGTCGAGCGTTGGCGGGGGCTCGGACTGGGCAGCGTGCAAATCATCTGCATCGGTGTGGGGCTCGTTCTGGTCGGCATTGGGCTGGTCGGGCGAGAGGACTGTCCTGGCAGAGTCTGTGGCCGAGTTCTCCGTGTCGGCGGGCGACTGAGCGGTGAATTGCTGGTAGCCAGGAGGCGCATGGATGACGGACTGCGGCTGGTCGTCGGAATTGGAGCGGGCGCGGACGGTGGTGTCGAGCGAGAGCAGCGTCGACGCAGGCGCGGGCTCGCTGGCAGGCTCGCTGGCGGGGCTGCTCATGCTGCCATGGCTGCTGATGCTGCTGGCGCGGCCGTCCTGCGACTCATCGTCGATGTCGGTGGTGTTGGTGGTGTTGCTGTCGTTGCTGTCGACGGGCGACGGCTCGACGATGCCGTACGGAGAGGGCGGCTGCAGCGAATCAGACAGCGTGTGGGTGGACGAGGAGCTGGTTGGCAGGTCAGGTCAGCGTCAGTGCGCGACTGGCTGGGACTGGCGGCGGCTCACCGGTTGGAGGAGTGGTAGTGCGGGCTGAAGGGAGCGGGCGAGCTGGGCGAGTCTGTGTAGGGACTGAAGGCAGACTTCAGGCCAGCCTGCTGCTGGGCGGTAGATGGCATCAGCTGAGTCGCGGCGGCCATGCTGTTACACGGCGGTTGCGGGTCGCGCGTGCGAGGGGGCAGCGGCTCCTGGCTCTGGCTGCTGGACGGCGTGGGTTGGCGCTGGAGCTGGGGGATCGAGGGCGGCGGTTGGAGGGCGGTTGCGGGTTTAAGGCTCCGATGGCTGCGGTAAGGCGAGGGCTCAGGCTGTTGCGCCCCTCACGTTGGTGTCGCGGTCCGAGGTAGCACAGCTCTGGAATTGCGCACAGCTCTCTCGCAGAGGCACACGTTTGCGCAGCTTGCGGGCGGCCAGCTTCTGGCGGCCGCGATGGGCGATGCGGCAGCAGCAGATGCGGCGGGGCCTTTGCGACGGGGCAACGCTAGGCACGCCCGTCGAATGTCACTGGCTCAATAGCCGCCGAGCCTCAGCGCCCGCCCAGTACGGCCTGCCATTGGCCGCTCGGACTCTCCAACGCTCAGAGTTAAACCTCAGTTTCGGGATCGGATCTGCCACGATGCTGCGCTCCCGAGTCGCGCAAGGCCACAGGGCTGGCGAGAGCGCGCCATGGCGGATCGCCGGCCACTGTCTGAACACGACTCCCTTCAGCCTTGCAGTCTGACGCTCTCAATTGTCGCTGCATGCACACACCGGTCAGCCATCTTCCCTGCGTCGTCGCTAGGCAGCTGCGGCGTAGAAGTGCCCCGGCTGACCCCAAACTTCCACAACTCGCCTTCTCCACCTTCATTCGCGCGGAGCCTGGCGGTGGCGCTCTATCAGACCGCAGAACACGTCCAAGCTTCCACCTTCCGCGCCGCACTCCCGCAGCGATAGGCGCCCTGGCCGTCTTCCTCTCATCACGAACACTTCCTCATGCTTCGCCTCAGCCCGCCCATCTGGTTCATCGGCCCGTTTGCAAGTGGGAGAGCTGCTCAATCCATCTCTTCCCGCAGCCAAAGGATCCACCGTCGCGCTTAACGAAAAAAGGCCCATCCGAGATTCCTCGACACCTGCATAGCCGTGGCTGAAGTTCGCGATTTTTCTTCTGCTTCGCCGCGTGCCCGCGTATGCATCGCGTAACCGCTTCCAACCTCACGCTCTGACGTGTTCAATCGACGTCGAACGCTTTACCCGCCTTCTGTTCTTCCAACAAGCTGTGCCTCTATGATGCCTGGGAAACCCAAGCCAAGCCTCCCCTTCCCCAGCCTATGGCCGTCCCGGATTGACGGGTAAGCGTGACGAACCCGATCCTCTGGTAAATGCTGATTGAATAAATTGTCGCAACCGGCTCCGGCCGTAGCTGGCCCCCAATCCCACGCGCTTTTATGAACCCTGCTTCCCCCAATCAGCTTGCCTCAATTATTCCTGTGGTCAGCTGTCTGCAGGGATTCGCCCATGACGCTGAGAACCTTCGCCTGCGCACGAAGAACATGTCTCATCTCATCAACCCGTGCCTTTCTACCAGGTTTGTTGAAACATTTGAGCCTCAGCACTGCCGTGCCTGTCCTGAGTTCGTGGCACCAATCGGCAGTTCCACGCCGCATGAGTCCAGACCTTGCTGATCGCCGACCGGTGTGAATCATTGTGCAGAATCGTAAGATGCATCAAACCTTCGAAGGAATGCGGACGCCGCATCCAACATTCCTCCTACACACAAAGAAAACCCCTGACGCTCTCGTTCCGCTTTCTGCATTCGGAAAGCGGACTACCTGCTGACATGAAGAATCTACTCCGAGATTGTGGTTTAGCGACCCTCCATCGGAATCCTCCCACGCTTCCCGGGAAAAGAAGAACAAGGGAACTTGCCGAACAACCACATACCCCACCCCGATCCTTCCGTCACATCCTTAAACACTATGTTCAAAGAACATCCTTCCGCCCGCGTTTGGTTGGCTGAATGGTTGCTTGTGCGGAACTTTCCACACCATCACCCGCTCGCACCTCCACACCAACAGTAGTACACCAACAGTAATGGTGCCACGCGATAAACGCGGCAATCACAAATGGAACAGCACCACGTGCAACATTCCAACTGCCGATCATCGCATGTTATAGTATAAGTGTTGCTTTATAGTCTCGTCACAGCGGGTTACAAGAGGCATAATCCTTCTTGAACCGGTCTCACCAGAGATATCACACCTACTCACGTGGGCAGTTGAATACTGCGTCTGGTAGTCCTTTGAAACTGTATCACATACGTCAGCATCCGGAGTACTTGTGCTACTGTGATGTGTTTCAGCTTTTAAAAAAAAAATCCGATGACCAACAGACGAAACGCGAAAGCTGCGAGACCCACGAAAACTCGCTCCAAGGGAAAGCGACGGAAGGGAATTTCAGACCTATGTGACAGAAAACGCAAGACAAATACCATTTTCATTGTTACTCGTCTCTCGAGTATTATTGTCAGCCATGGCATTCGATAATGATAGTACGAACTGCCTTGCGCCCTCCATTGCACCCAAGTTGGCCCACATCGAAGCGAGGCCGGGTCCATGTCCCACCAATGGAATGAAAGGTCAAAATCGCAATAAGCCCTCCATTTTCTCTGCACTAACCAAAGCTACTCAGGCCTCAACGGAACCGGAGGCGTATCATTCAACACGGCTGCAGCAACCGGGTACTTATCTGGCGGGACGCTCACCGGCACCGGCCCATCCACCAGCAACCCATCCCTATCCTTTCCCCTCTTCTTCTTCAACTCCCTCCCCACATCTTGGCACGCGTCCCGCACCTCGCGAAACAGATCCCACACGTCGATCCGCTCCTCCGGATCGGCGTGCAAGCACGAGTATGTCAGCTCGACCAGGCGTCCCGAGTACACCGGGCGCAGCGGGCCCTTCATGCGGAACTCGCGGGTCGGGTAGTCTCCGGTGCGGTTGACCGAGTCCGAGAAGTCGACGACCAGGTCATCGGGGGTGTTGTTGCCTGACAGCATTATCCAGATGACCATGCCGATCTGCCACACAGTCGTCCACGAGTCGATGCCGCATTTGGCGTCTGGGGGCGGGAAGGGCTGCTGGGTGGGGTCGCAGGGCATGAGTTTGTTGATGCGGTCGAGCGTGGCTTCTGGCCACCCGAAGGCGTTGGTCTCTTCCTGCATTCTGTAGAGTTCTTCCAGATCACGGGGGAGGAGTTCCTGTGCTTGTTAGCTGTCGGGAAGTTGTGGGAGTAGGTGGCCAGCAGGAAGAGATGAACAGGTGGTTACTTACCGGTGGCATGTGCCCGACAGTACCAGTACCTTGCAGGTCCTGCGGGTTTCGGGGCCACTCGAGAGGATCATCTGGATCTCCCTGATACAGAGCTGTCGTGATGTACGCCATATCCCAGTCTCCAATCTTTGGAACAGGATAGGCGCGCGCCCACTCCATCGGCTCATTCGGGTTGGGCGCCCCCAGAAAGATATTGTCCGGTTTGATGTCGAGGTGACAGATGCGGTCCCACTCCGGGTCCTTTGTGTCTGAGAGCTGACCATTGAGACAATAGACGGCAACCTTTGCCAGCGCGAAAAAGACGTACCTACAAGTCCACGACGTTAGACTGACTTTACAGTATCCGGCGCTGCATGGGCTAAGCGTACCAGATGAACGGCTCCGGTAGAATCTTGTCATGGTCAATATAATGCTTCATGAGTTCCCAAACATCACCATGCGGCATCCATTCGAGCTCAAGGTATTCCATCCGCCTCTTTACCCTATAGTTGAGGTCGTAGTCGTGGCAACCGTAGTTGAATATGCGCGGGACAAATTCCGGGCATCGCTCCCATATCAGCTCGTGAACTATCCCCTCGTAGTCGCCCAACTCCTCGGTGGGAGAGGGCGGGTCTGGATACATCTGGCTGAGTTTCATCTTGAAAACTCTTCGCTATGGCTCTTTGTCAACTTGGAGAGTGCCGAGAAACTTCGATTGATCCACACTTACATCTTCTGAAATTGGCATGTTATGCGCATTAACCCTTCGCCAAACACCAACTGAGCTACTTGGGCTGGATATGAGGAATTTGTGAAATGTCCACCGAGTTCCCTGGCCAGGCACGGGAAGGGAGTCTCGCATCATTCGCCATTCTGCCGTTGTAAACCAGCTATATTCGTCTTCATTTTGTTCATTTGCATTTTTAGACACCTGGCGTGGGGGAATATTCTGGTCTAGATATCCTCGCGACCGGAGTGTCTCCCAATAAGTCTTGCGTAAGTCAATCTTTTCTTCCGGGTGTTGTTCATCAAGAGTAGCCCGGATGTCTCGGACGGTATTATCTGTATCTAATCAGCGCTAGAAATCAAACAACATCGTAAATTAATACGTACCCCGGTCCGGAAGCAAGACATTGCCACGAGCATCCTTGGTGATCTGAACGCTAAGAGAAGCTTTGGCGATCAAGTCTGGATCAGGCCGCATATACTTGAAATTAATCCGACTGTTGTACCTATCCGGACGTATGGGATGGTGCTTCTCGAGTTGATACTCATACCACCGTTTCAAATACAGCGGCATCTGGTTCCATCGTTCGATTAAAGTGTCCATAACGGTCGGCCCTTTGAAAATTAGTCAAGAGATCGGCATCGGATTAGAAGTGTAACTTGCAGTTGCGCTTGCTTCGACCACTTCTGGCCGTGAATCCTAGCTCTTGAGCCACGTCATTGAATTCCTGGCTCGTATAAACGTTGAATGCATGGTGAGTGCGCCGGCGAGCTGACTGTTTCTGACGTCGAGGCGGCATTCCGTTGGTGTGGTCGATGTCAGTCCGTCCTGGAATACGACTTTTAGGAGGATTATGATCAGTGGAAGATGAGACTAGACAAGGTTGTCTCAAAGATTTAATGTCTTGAATAAGAAGACTGGCTGCTCAACCCTCCAACAAAGGCTCACTGACGCACTGTGATGACTTCCGCATGAGGTAAGTAACAAAGAACAGAATCACAATCGAGCGATTTTTAGAGATCGCAACAGCGAAAATTGGATTACAACCGCATGTAAGAGAAAGAAACGGCTGTAGAAGATGCAGGAAAGAGTGTTCGAGAAGCTCCAAAGGTGTGAAGCAAACTGCTTAATATCCTAGACTTTTTTTCATTTTATTTTTCTTGACCAGCGTGACTGCAAAAACGCCAGACAAAGAGGCCTGCGACAATCGACCCCATCGCGAGCACAACTTGCAGCTCATTCACATGAGAACACGGCTCTCGCCATTTCCCACCTCTTCGAACCGCACGTCGTCCAGAACCTGCTCCAGCTTCTCTTCTTCCGTCTCTTCCTGCTTCACTAGCCTATCCTTTTCAGCGCGCAACGCGTCTTCCACGCTGATTACTTTGCGCCTCAGGAACCAGTTGACCAGACCACTTCCCCATTTGACCTCATCATGCGTGCCAATCCAGTACTTGGCACGGATGAGGCGCTGCGCTTGGAGTCCATTGAATCCGCCGAGATTGAGCTGCTGGAGCGGCTTGGGGGATTTCGCCCACCAGTTCTCCCACCAAAACCCTGGGTTGATTGCAACATCATGCAAACCGTGTATCAGCGCCAACACCGAAAGAGGTGGCGAGGCGGTAACCACAGGCCGTAGCGCTTCTGGTCGTATGCCATGAGGGGAGTATATAATGCACTCTGCGCCATCAGAATCGTCCGACGGCGGGATCCAGCCATTCGGCAAGCTTCGAGCGGAGCGTGTAGTCGGGGCTGAGGGAGTTGAGGAAGTTATTACGAAGGAGAAGATGAGAGCGCTGTGATACTGTAGGAAGTCGAGGCCCTCGACTAGGCGTGAGATGCTGAGCCATTCGGGCAACGGAGGAATCGAGCCGTCGCGCCAATCGGGATGCCTGTGCGAGAAGACGGGTATCGTCTCGACGTGGTGGAAGTGGTTCCAGGAGCGGATAACATCCACGGCACTCTAGATCAGAGAAAAAGGCATCGGTACGACCGTGTCTCTCGATAAGCGTGTGGAAAGAAGGCAACTCACCTCTGTTGCGAAAACTGGCACGAAGCGGTCTATTTCCAGTAATGTTCCCTTGTGGCAATGGTCGGTGAATTCGTGAGAGATGGCTACCGCGTCAATAAGAGTTTGCGCATCTGCGCCCGTGTCCGGGCCGTTTGGTAACCTATCCTTGCCTAGGCGCAATCCTGAGGCCATAATCTCGACCTCACGCGCCAGCTCCTCCACATCGGCGATGGACTTGCATGCGCTCTCATAGCGATGCCATTGCTGTGAGAACCACCGAGCGACGTCACTTTGGCCCCCAGAGAGCCATGGGTCGATCAGAACATTGTAGTACGCGCGACCGCCTCTTTTCGTCGCGGCGGCTGGGCGTGGAATCTGGAGCAGCCAGCTGGAGTCGGCGTTTAGGTGATGTAAGAGGGGTCTGCGGTGGCCTAGCTCGCGGGTCACGGCATCGCGAACCTCCTGGTGGAGTTGCGCCGAGGAAGGATCCATGGTGGGCGCGGGCGCATGGTTTGTAGAAGTTTGTTGTTTGGGGTTGAGGGTGGCCCAAACATGGAGCTCCGGAGGAGCAATGGCCATGACGCAAGCGAAGCCACTCACGCTAAGAGTGGCAATCACCTCTCCGTAGATGCACATGAGCCATGTACACGCCTCACTTTGTCGCAATACCAGTCGAATCGATCGTTCGGAGTGAGGTCCTCACAAGCTTGTAATTCTTACACGGAACCTTGTATTCACTACCACAACAAGTTTGATTTACAGAGCATTCTCCTAAATACAGTTACCGAGACTAACCGAAATATGTACTGTGGGTGGTATTATCGACAGAAATGAGGGGACTACCCCCGGTTCTCAACTTCGAGAGAAGTGGTAGGGAAAAATGCGTCGATAGTGAAGCCGCCCGGAGCCGAATTCACCTCCATGGAAATATCAGATGTCAGTGAGCATATTCCAGCATTGTACATCATTTCCAAGCGTGTCTGTGCCAATCCCTCCATCCTATGAGCTTTCTCCAAAATATGAAATGTGGTTCAACCTGGGAAAGGAGAAAGGTGCTCTCAGCAGGAGAAGAATGAGAGAAACGTGAAAGAATGGGGTATCATCGCCACCGTCCGGGAGAAGCTGCTGCGATATCAGGTGAAAGAAAAAGAAAAAAAAAGGGCGGCACTGCCAAAAGAGGATCGCAGCCAAAGATTTGAGTCTGCCAAACATCCTAGCCTAGACTACCGACAACATAACCACTTCTCTCCCCCTTCTCAAAATCCCTCTCGCCCTCGCCCTTCTTTCACTCGCTTCCAGCCTCCGCCTCCGCGGTTCGCCCCTCGGTCCATCTCGTCGGTCTCGACTTCTCTCTTCGCGGTTCGTCCGTTCGGATGATAGTAGCCAAAAAAAGAAAAGGAGACAGGAGACAGGCCTGGGCGAGCGCCAATCGCTCGGTTCTGAGGTGTCATGTGGGGTTTGCAAATCATGGGGTATCGGGATTCGTCAAATAACTTTTTAAAGCGGGTCGTTGCCATCGTTACGATGCCGGTGCCAAGTAGAAGGAAGAATGGCGACCTGAAGCGACAGTGGAAAGGAAACTAAAACGTCGTGGTATAGAAGCGAAAGTAGAAACAGGTACGCGTGCAAGCAGCGGAAGCGCGTCTGCAGGCAGTGTTTCCTACGCCGAAGGGGGCCGCCGCGCCCAAAGCCGCCCTGGCGCGATCCTCATTCACTGCTGTCGCCGCTTAGGCAACGGCAGTGGTGGGCGCCGGAGGCTGGACGGGAGCCTGCTGGGCAGCGGGGAGGCCGTCGCCGTTGATCTCAGCCTGGGGGCACTCGCGGGAGATGTGGCCGGCCTCGCCGCAGCGGTAGCAGGTCTTGCCAGCAGTGTTCAGAGGGCCACCGTTGGGAGCGGTGCAGTCGCGCGAGATGTGGCCGAGCTTTCCGCAGGCGTAGCACTTCATGGCCTGAGCCTGGCAGTCGCGGGCAAAGTGGTTGGGGCCGCCGCACTTGTAGCAAGTAGCCGGGCGCGGGCCGCCAGCGAAACCGCCGCGGAAGCCACCGTAGCCACCGCGAGGGATGCCAGCGCCGCGGCCAACGCCGCCGGCGGGGTTGGGGCAGGAGCGCGCAAGGTGTCCGGGCTGTCCGCAGGAGTAGCAGCGGCCGCTGGTGCCAGCGCCGCTCAGGCGCAGAGTGGGGCAGTCAGCCTGAACGTGGCCGAGGCCCTGGCAGTGGTAGCACTGCTTCGTCTCGGTGGTGCGCGGGTGAGGGCAGCCGTTGCTCTCGTGGCCTGGAGCTGGGGGTTAGTCGTGGAGGGGCGCCTGGAATGGAGGAGGCGGGGTTCGCATACCGGGCTGCTTGCCTGCGCGTCATTGTTAGCAGGCGCGTCACTTTCGCGATAGGTCAGGGTCCGACTTACAGTTGTAGCAAAGGCGCTCAGACGATGAGCAGACCTCTGCGCTGGGTTAGCCGACGGCGGTCGCGATTGGCGTGCAGCTCGACGTACCGGCGTAGTGGCCGACATTGCCACACTTGTAGCACGCACGACGCGACAGCGAAGACATCCTGCTTTCTTCCTCGTATAGCTGCGGGACCCCAGTGTCAGATATGCGTATGGCGTAGGTGCGGTTGCCCGAGGTCCACATGGCGGGCGAGTGGCATGCTAGGTGGCATGCGTGGGCGCGGTCGTGGTGTGGAGAGAGATGAGGACGGGTGGGCGCGCGCTGTGTCTCAGAGCGCAGCGCCGGGGTGAGAGTGTATTGGTGATTGGGTGAGTACCTTCTGCTTTATTCCGGACTGCAAATCCTGCACCTGTCGAGAGAGTCAGCGCCTGGTAACAAAATTTGACGACGCGGTCGAGCAGCGCCGGATGGGATGGAGACTGGCTGCTTGGAGGAAGCAGACAGGCGCTCTGGGGAGGGTGGGCACTCACTTCTCAGCGTTTCTCCTTCCGCGCGACAACAGCGTCTCTTCCGACACACGGATGGTGGACTCGAAGGGTTTTTGTAGGAGGGCGGGCAGATCCATTTTCAAGGAAGCATCGGGGCTGGGCCTCTTGCGCACGGCCGGGCTCTGGCAGGCACGACTTGGCGAGTGGGCGACTAGCGCAGCTGCCACGGCTGATTCTGGGTCGAGCTCCGAGCGGCTTTCGTCGTGTGCATGCCCTCCACGCCCACCATTTCGAGCCTTTTCCACTAGCCCTCTGCGAATGACGCTCACGCCCCGCATGCGCCGCCGGCCTGTGGCGCTCTCTAGCCGTTTGCCTGCGAGCGGCGCGGGATAATGCACACCAATGCCGCCCACGGAGATTAGCAGCGCCTGTCAGAGGCGAGCGAAGTGATGACGGTGCGGCCGATCGCGCGGCTATCGGGCAGGTCGTGTTGGGCGAGGACGGCGTGAAGAACTGCCGTCTGCAGCGCTCACAGGAAGGCTGGCACATCCGGCCTTGCCACAGAGCTGCAGCAAGGCACTGCAATCCTATCACGTGTGCAGCAGGCCCGTTCCGCCGCCCGCTGCAGCCTGCGCCCTGTCGCCATCCATCTGGCCTGTCGTGCTGCTGCATCTGGCGGCGCCGGAGCCGCGGTTCAGCGTGGGCGCGTCCATACGGAACGGTCCACGGTGCCTGGCGCATGCGGCGTGGAGGTCCGCAGCCTGCAGTCTGCATAGCCGGCCTGGTGACAGTTGACACCTGACAGCCTCCAACCGCTTTCCTGCCGTCCGCGCGGCTTTTTGCCTCTGGCCGGCCGGCTTACCTCCACGCTTGGGCGCGTACGAATCGAACGACTCAGCTCGCCTACAATCTCGGCTGTTGGTGCCTTGGAAAGCGCCCACAGCAATAACCCGCAGCAATTCCGGGGCCGCAGCGAAGGGGCGCTGCACTGCCGATCACGAATGGCAATCAAACGCGGACAGGGCGGAGCAAGAACCGGCGCATCAACTTTTCTCAATTGCTCATCAGCCGTCGTCCAGCTGCCTCTTTTTAATAAGTATGTGGTATAATAAAACGGGCGTGGCAGCCTCCACTGAAACGTCATCCGGAGATGATTCGGCTCTCTACTCCTCCTTCTCGATGACAGCGGGCGCCTTGATCGTCCGCTCCTTGAGGAATTCGAGGCCCTCGCCGCCCTGCAGCTGCGCGTTAGCATGAACTCGTGGTGCACGGGTGCCCGTCGACTTACGTAGCTGATCAGCGGCGACACTTCGACGCCGTCCTCCGCCTTCTCACCGACAACGACACCGCCCGCCGCCTGCACCCACTTCTTGCCCTGGTCCATGATGTCGCGCTTGCTGGTGTCGGGGTCGTCCTCGCCCGTGCCGCGCGCGTTCTTGAGCGGCGAGAACTCATCCTCACGCCTGACCTCCATGCACGCGAACTTATCCATGGACAGGAAGGGGAAGCAGTCGAACACGAACTGCTCCAGCTTGATGCCGTTAGGCTTCTCCGGCTTGACCGTGTTGCCCGACTCGGTGTCGACGTAGGGGATCTTCTTGCGTGCGATGTGGTGCGGCAGCTTGTGCGACCACTGCGGGATGCTCTCGAGGAAGCGGAACGAGTAGTAGTGGTTGACAATGTTGGCCGCACGGAACTTGAGCAGCTCCGCGTTCGACGCGTCCCTGGCCTCGGCCATCTCCTCGCTGATCTCAGAGTACTCGACGACGTCCGGCTTGCCGTTCCTCTGCATGATCAGACCCACCGACTCCTTGGCGTCACGCTTGCGCACCACCTTGGTCGCAATCTCGACGTCCTTGGCGGCCGAGAAGCCGATGAAGGCGGGGTCGGCGACCCTGACGAGGCAGTTGTCGACACAGTACGCGTGAACGTGCTGGATGCCGCGCTTGCTCATGTCCGACACGACGGACGCAGTGATGAGTGCCTGGTAGATACCACCGTTGCCATCAGGGGCGACGGCAACCTTGGACTTGCTCTCGAGCAGGATCTTGCCGTCGTTCGAGATGCAGGGCAGAACACCCTGCTCGAAGACGATGACGTTGGCCTTGTCCAAGCCGAAGTAGTTGTTCTCCTGGAAGAACTGCTCCGTCGGGCCACGCGTGGGGCCGCTGGTCATGACGTACCAGGGAACGATGACCTCCGACTTGCCGTGCTTCTTCTTCGCCAGCTGCTGCACCTTCCAGATACGCTCCGCCTGGAGCTGGAACAGCGACTTGTGGCTGGGAAGGCCAATGTCGTAGCAGCCCTTGGGTGCCGAGCTGCCCAGGCGAGTGCCTTGTCCACCAGCCATCAACACAACCGCCACCTTGTTCTCCGCGATCAGCTCGAGACCCGAGTCGTACCACTTGCTGAGGTCTTCATCCTTGGAGTCTAGGACAGACGAGGTGGCCGAGGTTGGGAGCGGCTCGAATGTGGGGGTCTGGTCTTCGCTCTCAGTCTTGGGAGGGTTGAGGGCGCGGTCGGTGATCTTGTTAATGTGGTCGGGGTCGATGCCGGACAGCTGGGCGTACAGGGTGCCCTTCTCCGAGGAGCTGAGCTGCTCCCAGAAGGCGAAGACCTGCTGCTGGCCAGCCTTCTCGTACTTCTGTTGAAGCTCCTTCACCTCTTCGGCGGTGGGCTCGCGCGGGGCAGCCTCGGAGGAGGAGCCGGTGATCTTGTTTGCAATGTCCTTGATGACGCCAGCCATTGTGAGGGTTGATTGTGAAGAAAGGGAGGGATATAGGGATAGGTAATCTAGAGATGGTGGAAGGAAGGTGAGGGGTGTTTAGCCAGCTTTAAGGAGGTAAGGGTGCTGTGAAACGACGAGAGCCCCACGATGGAGCAGCCGCTGCGCTCATTGGAACTGCATCATCGGCTATATTTAGCTAGCGTCGCTCACCGCCCGGACAAGGGTCTGGCAGATCAGTCCCCGCCAGCTGAAGGGCCAGCTCCGCCTGTTTCGAAACAAGTTCACGTCACGTATGCAAGCGCTAGACTGATGAATTGACTCTGTAATTGAGACTTCTAGCTACTGTCTTCAGTATCTCAAAGTCAGGATGCGCGTCTTCTACGCAACAGGAAACCCCTCCTTCAGGCCCCCCTATTCTGACCGCCTGGGCCCAATAAAGCACGGCCGTTGTTGCGCCTCTTGGATCGCGGGGTCTTGCACAGCCACCGACAATGTGGCATTTTTTCTTTCCAACCGTTGGGCTTCTGGGTCGTCCAGTTATCGTGGCGAATTGTTGTCTATACGACTTGCTGAGGAGTTGGTGGGTACGGAATGCCCAGCTGAACGTTGATTGGTAGTGCTTCATGGCGAGCATACGATAAAACTTGGTTGTGGCGTTCAACTCTCGGGCTGTGGCGCGTGTTAGCATTGGCTCACCGGCAAGCATGGTCAAAAATCAGAATCTTACCCTGATCTTCCCTCTGCGGGCTCTCATACGCTCCACTCTCTTCCTGTCCTCCTGGAATTCCCGTTTCAACCGCTCCGCGTCCTCCTTTTTCTTCTCCCGCGTCTGGAATCTGTAGAAGTCCTTCGGTGGCTTCTGCCTCTCCTTGAGCTTTTCTGCCGCAGCCTGAGCTTCCTCCAATTTGGCGGGACCAGCGCGACCACCCTTTGTAACGGTAATAAAGCCGTCATCGTCTGGTACGCTCCTTGCTTGCTTGAGAGCTTTGGCCCGGGCTACTTCCATAGCGGAGAACTGGGTAAGGTAGCCGTTGACCGTTGCTTGCAGAACGTCGCGGGCGGGGAATGTTAGTTCATGGTGTGTGCGGTACCCTAACTGTATGTCAGCGTGTAGTCTTGAAGGATCATGTAGCTCCATAATTTGCGAAGCTGAAGCAAGGGCACTCACTTTCTACACCAAGAGAGATATCCGATGCCCACATGACTTCGGCCTTTTTCTTTGCAAGGCGAGCAATTTCCTTCATGGCCAATTCCGCGCTAGCCTTGTCCACAAACACCAGCACAGCACCACTTCCACTGCTCAGAATCTCGGCATCCCAAGTATCAGGCAGACCGATGTCACCAAGGCTGGGCTCTGCGCCTCGCTTCCTCTTCTTGCCTGCCTTTGCGCTGATTGCTGTGCCGCGTGTGCTCTTCTTGGGTCGGACGCCCTCGATTTCGACGCGTTCTATCCTCGCACCACCTAGCTGTTTCGCAAAAAGAGCGCGAAGAGAAGATTCTGTGGCATCGATGGGCAGGTTGCTGGCAAAGAGCGAGCGCGGCGCGTTTTCATCCGGGATCTTGGGTGCGTGCGGGCGAATGTAAAGGAAGTGGGTCGTCTGTTGCGGGAATGACGGTACTCCGGGGACGGTGAGCGGGAGTACGGTGAATTCGCCGGCCTTTAGGGGAGCTCTTGAGGGCGCCATGGTGTGTGGTGTATCTTGATGTGTGAGCTGGAGTTTAGGTGGTTGCGCTGCACAGAAATTCTGGCGACGGGCGGCAGAATCCTCACCGCCTGCCTGGCGACCCTCTTGGCTCTGTTTGTCCCAGCGGCGCTTCATCACTTCATCTCCCGCTGCATGCGATGAGCCGCCCCGAAAGCGCGCCCTCTCCCCAATCACTTCTCGTCTCGAAATTCTGTCTAGCATGTCCTTGCTGCTTCTGAGCCTTCTTACTCATGCCATGCATGCTATTCGCTCCGAATGCCGCCGTGATGCTGCGCTATGATCCTTGTGTTATTGTATTCATTGTCTGAACGAATGCGTCATGGTTCCCGTCAAAGTTGTGAGTGATAGCGAGATTTGTGTCCCGAAACATGCATTTGCACTGCGGTCAGCCGATTCAGGCCCGTGAATGGTTTTACTTTTCTGTCAACCGCCCGCCGTGCTGCCTTGACCTATCTCCTGCACCTTACAACCCAGCTTCCTCCCGCACCACCACACATCCGCACCCTGCTTCACTGGATTGCACACACTGCCAGCTCCATCGCCACTGCCACCAACGCCACTACCCCCAAATCTCGCAACATCATACGCCGCACCACCAAAATGGCCCCCAGCGTCCGCGACTGGCCTCGCCGCCAACGCCATAATCTCCTCAAGGGCCCCACCGCCACTATCGAGCTTGACGCAGGCGAGGGAAAGCCGCGCCTCGTTCTGTCGGTCCCGCGCGCGGCGCTCATGGCCTTTTCGACGGTCGCGGCCGATCTACTGGCGGACGAGCAGTACACCAACGTGCTCCTTCTACAAGGCATGGCGGCGCCGGCCGCGCTGCGCTATGTCGTCGAGTGGATCCCGCGCACGTGCGACAGCGCCGACTTCATGCCCATCAAGCGCAAGGAAAGCTTCGAGCAAAACGTCCGCATCTACCAGGCGGCCCTCTCGCTCGGCGTGACCGAGGCCCTCACCACCATCGGCGGCTGGCTCAACTTGTGCGTCTCCGACTTCGAGAAGTAGCCGTGGGCCTGGGCCCGCGTCATCGACATGCTGCTCACCCTGCCCAAGGACTGCGCCCTCATCGACCGCCTCATCGAGAAGGTCGCCCTCGCCCGCCGCCGCGGCGTCACCGGCGAGGACTTCAACCGCCAGCTGTCTGCCTTCTTGGCCTGCTGCCCCGAGCTGGCCCAGCGCTTCCACGTCGAGGATACGCCCGAATTGCGCCTGCTCAAGCGCCGTCCGAGCAGTGGTAGCGAAGTGTCGTCGCACAACAGCTCTAACGAGCAGCTCGCCACCGGTGGCCGCAAGCACACTCGCGGCGGACGCAAGCACAAGCGCAGCCCGAAGATGAAGGCCAATCCGTTCGACTACAGCAACAACCGTGTCCTGGACGATTCTGACGTCGACTTTCTCATGGGTCGTCGCTAGAAGACCCTTTCCCACTGTTGGATGCCAAACATGCAATGACGAAATGACCAACAATCACTGAGCGACAGCAATACCCTAATCGGGCTTCTCTTTCCACAAAAAAAATTGGACCATGGCAGTTTGATGGAACTAAAATGGACAAACAAGATTGGGTTGAGGTTTGGACTCTAAAAACTGGACCCACATCATTCTCTTTTTCAACATGGGAAAGCTTTGCTACTACTCGAGGCATAATTTTGGCTGGGATGATCATCTGACCAAATTCACAGCCAAATGAGATAGCAGATCCTTGCAAACAAGACTTTGCGCCTCATTCCTCCTGTATGTGCTGTGATGAAATGTGATGCCCCAGTGATTCATAGAATGCTTTACTTTGCCGTCATCTGAAAGCAACATTGCACATTTCTTGCATAGTGTAGTTTTAAGTAAGCACATACACAAAAAGGTAACCTGCACTACACGAGATGTTGTGACGAAAGTTTCAACAATAAAAGTAAGTTAAAATGTTTCTCGAATGAGGTCGAGGATGAAGTCTTTAGCCTGTTGACATAACAGTACTTCTAGCGCTTATTCATGCACCGCTCTGCACAGACAAGTATTATGAAAGGGCGACATAACGAAAGCTTTAACCTGAAGAGTTGCAATGATAAGAATACGTATTACCTCGTGCGTCATCCGAGATAATTAACGAAATAAGCATTAATAGGCCGTTGACATAGCGTCATTAAAAGGCAAAAGAAGGACTTGACAGAAAGGGATGACACAGCCAACGATGACGAGGCCGGTCGCAAAAGAGTGTCACGAATCGAAGAAGGAAAAAAAAGAGCCTCAAATCATTCCATGCCGCCATCATCATCTCTCATCATCTCTCATCATCTCTCATCATCTCTCATCATCATCTCTCATCATCATCTCTCATCATCATCCGTACCGTCGCTCGCTCGCTCGCTCAAATAATCCCCCATCATCATCAAACGCTGCTCGTCGTCGCATTCCTCCACGGAGCCGGACTCGGCGTCACAAGGACCGTCGTCGTCACCGTCACGGTGCTGATAAACACCTGCGTCATGCCCACCTCGTTCGTCGACGTCGCCAGCACCGTCGTCACCGACTCCGTCTCCGCAACGGCCACCACGCTCGTTATCATCGCCGTCGACGCAATCGTCGTGAGCGTCGTCGTCTCGTTCTTCCTCGACGCTGCCATCCTGCTCGCTGCCGCAGACAGCGCGGAAATCGGGATCGGCATGTGCGTTGGTATACCTGTTCGGCTGCCTTCGAACATTGCGTTGCTGTATGCCACCGGTGTTGCTGAGATGGACGCGAATGATGCGCCGCCCGTCGCCAGGGACGCGCTCAGAGAGCTGGGCGTCGACGGCGTGGGGATGAGGACGACTGGGGAGAATGTATCGCTGGTGGCGGGGAGGAGCGAGGAGGATGTCTCGTTGGTGGCGGGGAGGAGCGAAGAGAAGGTCGCGTTGATGGGAAGGAGCGAGCTACTTGGGTTCGTGTAGAGCGGGATGGCGGCTCCAGTGGTGGTGAGGACTGTGGAATTGAAGAAAGAAGAAACGGCCGGTGCGGGCGTGGGTTCGGTCAGGTTCGATCGGAGTAGGTCGGCCAGCAGTGTGGCGTTGTAAGTCGAGATGGAAAGAGCGGACGTGATGTTGGCGATGAAAGCGGAGAGGAGGGTGCTGTTGGTGATGGCGCTGCTCGTAGGGAGAACCTCCGAGGAGATGGAAGTTATAGGTAGGAAAGTGGTGGCGTTGGCGAAGAGGGGGGTGGATGTAGCGATAGTGTCGTTGAGAGAGGGGGAGGTGGTGGTATTCAGGGCGGGCGTAGCGAGCGGGATGCTGGTGAGGTTGGCGAGCGGGGTACTGAACGTTGCATTTCGGAATTCAGATAGAGCTGATGCGGAGGCTTCGGGAACGGATGTAGTGGCGTTTAAAGGAAAGAGTGCTGAGGTAGTATTGACTGATGGCGCCGTGGATGTGTAACTGACTAAGAGAGGAGGAGTGGTAGCATTCGTTGGAAGAAGAGTGGCCAAAGTAAGATTTGCTGGGCTGGGAAGTGTAGCAGTCGTGAAGTTAATAAAGAGGGGCGCGGTTGTATTCGCTGGGAGAGGAGCAATCGGGGTTGCTGGCAGAGGGAGTACGGCGGTAGTGTTCAGTAGAAACGATGGTGCGGTGGCATTAGGCGATGATTCAGTGGAGGTGTTGTTGATGTAGAGCGGTGTGGTCGTATTCGCTGGAAGAAGAGTGGCCAATGTAAGGTTTGCCGCAACAGGAAGTGTGGCAGTGGTGGTATTGTCGAAAAGCGGAGTGCTTGCATTCGTTGGAAGAGGAGCAAGAGCAGTAAGGTTCGCGGGAATGGGGAGTGCAGTAGTAGCGTTTAGGAGGAACGGTGGAGTGCTAACGTTTGTTGAAGGTGCAGTAGAGGTATAGTTGATAGCGAGCGGAGTAGTTGCATTCACCGGTAGGGAAGTAGTCAGGGTAAGGTTTGTCGCAATGAGAACCGTAGCGGTGGTGGCGGTGCTGTTTACAAAGGAAGAAACTGAAGTGACGTTTAGGAGAATAGGGGCCGAAGTGGAATTCACGTAGCCAGGAACCGAGGTGGCATTGACGTCGAGAGGAATTGGAGTGGCGCTTACGTAGACGGAAGTGGCGTTTACGTAGGCAAGAATTGAAGTAGCGCTCACAGCCGAGGAGCTCGTCGTGATATTCGCAATAGGTGTCGAGGTAGCGTTGTTAACAAAGGGAAGCGCTGATGTTGTGTTTGCGAAGTCCGGGATGGCTGTGGTTGAGTTGAGAGGTTCAATAGAGGGCACAATGGCAACGAGAGAAGGCGTCGAAGGGAGGCTTAGAGGATAAGACTCGGAGGCATTCACCGTTGAAAGGACTGGAGTGAAAGCCGAGCCGGGAGCGGTAGGTATGAGCAGGGAAGTGGCGTTCCCGTAGCCAGCTAAAGACGCAGCAGCTGATGCAGCCGTAGTCAATGCAGGAAGAATGCTATCCAAGACGGGAAGGATGCTCAAAATTGGGTCCTCGGAGACCGGAGTCGGCACGATGGTGCTCGGTAGTGCAATTGTCGCATTGGCGGTGGAATTGATGGCTAGTAGGCTGGTTGGGACGGGAAGCCGGGGTGTCGGTTCAGTTGGCGTAGTTGGTGTAGTTGATGAAGGTGAGATAGAGCCAATAATGCTCTGGAAAACGCCTTCCATGTATTCGATCTTGTCACCAATCTCGTTCAGGAAGTTCAAGGCGTCGTTCGGGAGTTCTCGAATGGATTCGTCAAGGCGATCAATGTTTTCGATGAGACGATCCGCGCGGGACTGGCTGGTAGTTGCTGGAGCAACATCGCTAGTCGTGGTCTGTCTAGGCTCCAAGTGGTGGTAGTGGGCATTCCAGTTAAGGAAGTAGGCATCTACAAGAGGAGTATTGAGCATGAAAAGAACGGCAAGGCCAAAGCGGCCAAACGAGAGTGAGGCAGACATGGTGTCTAACGAGCGGCTTGACTGCAGATGGCGTCTTGGACCGCCGGTGCAGCAGCAGGTATAAATCCGGCACACAACGGGCGAGACGGTGGAGGGTCGGGCATACAAGCGACAATTTCCATGCGAGGCTCTGGGAATGCAGCGGCACGAACAGCCCCTTGGGTGCGCTTGTGACCCACATTCCTGCTGTCTCTTCCTCGCATCTGGAGCTGGTCGGGCCAATGAAGGGCTGACTTCGGTGACGAGTCGAAGGCCGTTAATGATGCGAGAAGAGGAGTCACGTTGAAACTACTCCTTAGCTCGCTTAATTACTGTATACGGAAAGTAGTGCTACCTGAATAGGGTAGATGCATAGGAATCCAGCAAGGAGAAGGGCGGGCAAGGGACGTGAAGTATGCAAGATAAACAAACGCAGGAGGACGGCACCGGGCCAGGTAGCTGGTGCCACGCGCGAGGCGTTTCGCACGACGGTTGGCGGTCTCGCCCTGCTTTCTTGCAGCACAAACTGTTGCCAAGCGCACGTCAGGCGGCGGTGTTGAGGCGGATACGTCGGCCTCGACTCATGCCGGTGGAGCTCCGCCGAATATAGGGAGCCAAGAGGATCGTCAGGGACAACGCTTCGCTGCGGCGTCGCCTTTCTCCAGGGACCCATGATCTCGAGCGCTGAAGGACGATTATGCATGTTTTAAGCGTGCCGGTGCGCGGAAAGGATGCGGCTGGCTTGCGCAGCGAAAACGCCGACGACGCAGAGCAAAGGCCGACGAGATGAAAAATGGGCAAGCCGACGCCTTGACAGTCAAGCGGCCGACCGGCGTCTTGGTATTCTTGGCCGTCGCCGATGCGGAGCTCATCGGCCAGCAGCTCGCCTGACCGACCGATATCTGGCAGCGTCGGCTATCTCGCATGGCAAAGGGAAAGAAAAGGCGATGATCGAGAGGGGGTGCCGGGGTGTGGTCTAGCAGTCGGTGAAGCTCGGCGGGCGAGAGTGTGGGGAAGTCTGGGGAACAAAAAACAAGTGGCCGGCACTTCCATCCAGCGAGACGTCATCAAAGTCTGTTTCGTCGGCCAAGAAAACCCGCTCTAGCTGCATCTATACGTCCCGTCTGCCGACGCCGGTCCCTCACAGCGTCCAGGGCAGCGAGACGCCTGACGCCTGCTGCCCATGTCTCCTCCCCGCACCGCGCACTATAAGAAGTCGCCTCCCAAGCCGTCAGCGGAGCCTTCCCCGCCTGCGCCATCTCTTTTCTCTGACCGCCGCGTGCAATTGACAGCTCTGCTTACGCTGTGCATAGCTTTCATCATGGCTGCTGGTTTTGTCGATGTCGACCTGGTCGCCTTGGCGTCCAACGCCAACTATTTTTCAACTCTGCCTGCAACGAGCGCCGCCGAGCCTGCCATTGCCCTGCTCAACTTCAACTCATCCTTCCAGACCGACGTGCTCGGTCCCAATGCCACTGCACGGAAAATCGCCGATCTGGATTGGCAAGCCTTCCACGAGGCCGGAATTTACTACGAGCCCGACAACTCCATGTACATTACCTCCAACTACATCTCGCTTGAGGACAACATCAACATCACCATTGTGAGCCTGGACGACTACAGCATCAAATCCACCCAATTCCCCGACCTGTGGGAAGCCAATGGCGGCTCGTCCTATTACCCTCCCGGCTCCGACACCACCAAGCGCCCTCCTCAGCATGTCTACTGCGACGAGGGCGATTTCGAGCATCCTTCCGCTCTGATCGCTGTTGATCCTGGCACAAACACATCCACTACTCTCCTCACCTCCTTCCTTGGCCGCAACTTCTCCTCGGTCAACGATGTCCGCCAGCACGCCGAAACCGGCGACCTTTGGTTCACCGATGCCGGTAAGCAATTATTGCAATAATCAGCGCTAAAGCACAGACTTACCAAAATATCTAGATTACGGATACTTCCAGTACTTCCGTCCCCCTCCGGTCATTCCCAAGCAGGTCTACCGTTTCGAGCCCTCCACCGGTGTTATCCAGGTTGTGGCCGACGGCTTCGTTGAGAGCAACGGTCTTGAATTCTCGCCCGACCACAAGACCCTGTACGTCAGCGACACGGGCGCTCAGCAATTCACTCGCAACGACACCGGTCCTGGTACCATCTACGCGTTCGACATCATCGATGGAAAGCGTCTCGCCAACAGACGCCTTTTTGCCTTCTGTGACAACGGCTTCCCGGATGGTGTCCACACTGACACTGACGGCAATGTCTGGGCCGGATGCGGCGATGGTGTGCATGTCTTTAACCCCGACGGCATTCTTCTCGGCAAGATTTACGTTGGAGAAACAAGCAACAACTTTGCTTTCATCCCGGGTGGTGTCCTTGTGTTCAGCAACTACCGTCTCTGGCTGGTTGAGAACATCAAAGCACAGGGCAGAGAGGTCTGCAAGGACTTTGGCGTTGGCTGCTGATTAAGGAGTAATGACTGTACAGGGGATGGGTCTCATGAGTGTAAATACCTAACGTGAGTAAATTATTAATTATGAAGTACTGCTTGTCGATGATGCTATTTTATGCTGGTACTGTGATAGCACCTTCGACATGTGTTTCACTGAAATATGCGTATTTTTCGATGAAAAGATTCGATGGCTTGAATGCAGAAATTATATTAAGATTCCAACAAAAACAGCTCACAGATTTCAACGCATAACATCAAGCTTCGCTCACAGTCTCGCGCGCAGCAGACTTCTGCCGCACATCCGCCTCCTCCTCCACCGAGCCCTCTTCGACCTCAGCCACCGCCGCCGCCTCCGCCTGCTTCTTGTAGTACCACCTCTCAATCCCGCCCAACACGAGCGAGCACCACAGCGTCAGCGCCACGACGAAGACCAGGGCAGCGATGTAACCGTGAGTGCTGCGGTAAGTCGGAGCGTCGGAGGCCGGGAAGAGGTACTGCGAGAAGGGCGTGGAGCAGGCCTGGCCGACGGACATCATCATGGCCATGGTGAAGGCGCGCAGCTGGTTGTCGCCGCCGCACAGGCTGTTGACCCAGCCCGACAGCAGCGGCGAGAAGCAGCCGTAGCAGCCTTGCAGGAAAAAGGCCGCCATCTTCAGGCCAGTTGATGTTGGCCAGATGACGTAGATGACGTAGCAGAAGGTCATGAGGAGGCCGACGAAGAAGGTGACGGGTGCGCGGCTGCCGATGATGTCGGAGGCGAGGCCGCTGCCGACCATGAAGAAGAAGTTCTGAGGGGGGTTAGTTAAGCTCGATTGTACGGAATCAGGGGGAGGAGGGAAGGACTTACAACTGCGCCAACGACGGTGGGGATGTTGTTGATCTGCGGCACGCTGTACCTGTTCTTTCCGTCTGCCGTCTTCTCCGACTTCAGCCAGAGTGCCATCCACGTCTGCACGCTTGAGCCGCAGGTCAGGGACCAGAAACTGTTATGTGAATCGTCAGTAAAACCAAAACCTTCCGCTTTCTCCCTTGCTGCAAAACGGGAGTCCAAAGGAGAAGAAGAACTCACCTCCAGGCCACGCAAAACACGTAGAGCTGCCAACTCCCAAACACCCTCTTCACAACAGTCCAATCAAACTTCGCCCCCCTATCCTCACTCCTCCCCTCCTCCTCCATCCTCTCCCTCGCCCGCTGCTTTTCCCAATCATTCAACCACCACGCCTTCGTCGTCGCCGGCGTATCCGGAAAACACGTCACGCCATACACCACAACCGGCACCGCGAGCACGAAATCGAAAATAAACAACCACCTCCACGCGCTCAACCCGCCGCGGCCATCCATGCCCGTGTACAACCCGCTCTGCAGGTAGCCCGAGAACATCTGGCCCAGCACGCCCGAGATCACAAAAAACGCCGACCGCCGCCCCAGCTCCGACCGCCGGTACCAGGAGCCGATGACGTAGTGCAGGCCGGGCAAGGCGGCCGACTCGAAGACGCCGATGAAGAAGCGCAGGATGTAGATTTGCGTGGCCGAGTGCACGCGGAAGAGGCCGAGGACGAAGACGGACCACGTCATGAGGCAGGCGGGGAGGTGGATGCGCGGGGGTGTGATGGTGAGGAGGAGGTTGGAGGCGGGCGCGCCGAGGATGTAGCCGATGTTGTAGTAGGTTGTCATTAGGTTGAGCTCGTTGCCGTCTGTGGGGGTGGGGTTAGTGGATGGCTGGTTTTCTTCTGTTCTTTTCTCTTGTTTTTTTTTTCTTCTTTGGAATTTGGAGTAGATGAAGTAGAGCGTAGGACTGGGAGATGTTGCGATAGGAGGATTACGAACATAGGTCGAGCTCTTCTTTCATGCCGGAGACATAGGCGTTGGAGATATTCGTTTGGTCGAGGTATTTGATGAAGAAGCACTGTGATTTATATTAGTATGCAGGATAAATCTTGTGTTGGAGTGACAAAGGAAAGAATGAAGAAACAAGTAAATGATGCTTTAACTTACCAAACAGCTGTAAGTCAGAATAAAAATATCAAGCTTGCGGATAAGCCATTTTTCCTCCTTGCTCGTTCCCGGCTCATGCCAATGCCAGATGGACGGCCGTGCCAAATTGCTGGCCGGCTTCACGCCGCTGAAAACTCCCATTGCGAACTACAGCAGCAGCTTTTGCGGTGGTGAAGCAGGACGAGAAGCGCCGATCCTACACGCGCAATCATGTAGGACCAGCGCGGTGCCTTTTGTAGCACCGACTCGACGGATCATCCCACCGCTAACTGCTACCTCACGTCTTGGCAGCAGAAGGCAAAGATAAAAAACGTCGTCGATGGTGCAATCGGGCGCTCGGTGCACCTCTGAAAGAACAAGAGTGGGGCACACCGAGCAGCACTGCAACATGCGGAGAACGCTTGCATTGCCGAAGACCGGCATCATACATAAGACCACCGCAACGGTTCTAGCATTCTTTTTCTAATTCGCCTCTTCGGTCCTTCCGAGCAGCAAACGAACAACGGTCTTCGGCAGAGAAGCAAATATGCCGCGCATCGAGCTCAACGGTGCCGATTTCAACTACAGCATCGCCGGCCCGGCCGACGGCCCGCTTGTGATTCTGCTTCACGGAGGCAGAGGTTTCGGTACGTTACATTGTTTCTGTGAATGCTCGCTTTGGGCGGCTGAACAGAAAAAAAAAAAGAAAGCGGAACGCGGATTTGACCTCCCCCCTGCAGGTGATCACCGCTCGGATTTCAGGGCGTACCAGCCGCTCGCCGATCGGGATGGATACCGCATTCTGGGCTTCGACTTCCGTGGCCACGGCCGTAGCTCGTGCACGCCGCCGTACACGTTCGCGCAGCTGGTGGACGACATCGAGGCGTTCAGGCACCATTTTGCCGGCGAGGAGAAGGCAGTGATTGCGGGTGGAAGCTTTGGAGGCTACCTTGCGCAGCAGGTCAGTCTTACTCTTAAGCTTAATTGGATTATGCGCTCATGAGAATAGTATGCTATTACATATCCTGATAAGGTATCACATTTGGTGTTGCGCGGGACGGCACCATCCCATCACCGTGAGTAGCTTTCATGTCCTTGAAGGTTATTTGCACTGACTTGGTGATCAGATGAAGAAGAAGCTCTGAGCACTTTCGAGGCACGGCTCCACAAGGCTCCCAATGCTTCGATAGATATGGTTCATAAAGTCTTTTCAGCATTCGAAGATGATGAGGAATTCAGACTTATCATCTTCGCCTTGAACCCGCTATACGTCGAGACGTACGACGCCAACGCAGGGCTGAAGAAGATTCGCGATACTGTCTTCCGTGCGGAGACTCATAGTAAGTGGTATGGTAGACTTACCAGATGGCTGGGGCTAAGATAGTGTGCAGATTCCTTGTACTCTCAGCAGGAGAAGTATTTTGATTATCGTAACGACCTTCACAAAGTCAAAGCCAAGACTTTGATCATCGTGGGAGACCAGGACTGGATTTGTCCACCGAGTAAGTACCTGGAGACTAGTCCAAAACAGATGAAAGTGCTGATTCAAAAATACTATAGGCCAGTCGAGAATCATTGCAGAAAAGATTCAGGATTCCCGGCTGCTGATTATTCCCGGGGCAAATCATTCGGTCCAGGTGGAGAAGAACGCCGAATTCTTGCAGGCGGTGAGGGAGCTTTTGAAACAATAGAAAAAAATTGAGGAGGAGCATTGTGAAGGCTCGTTAGAGAGCAACAGAAGCATGGAAGATGCCGGTCAAAAGCGGTGCGGATGTTCCTTGAGGGGGCAAGGCGGCCGAGATCGGCTATCACGCAAGATCCCGAGCCGATGGCATGTTGACTGAATTGAGACGACCTCGTGAGATGCGGATCCCACCAAAAATTTCCTATCGACACCGTGCGCATGGGCTAGGGCGGTGCACCGTAAAGCGGATGACTGCGAAGATGATGGTTGCAGAGGGAGTCATCGTTGGTGTTCCCGTGAAACCGCATTGCCGCACACAGACGTTCTCGCAGCCATGGCACCGGTCCCGTCTGTTTCTATAACCATCGGTCAGTGATACTTTGATGAGTGGTTGTTGTGTAGTAGATGCTGATCATGTTCCATTTTCAGACCGTGGTGGAACGTTTTGCGATGTGTGGGCGCACACGGCTGATGGGAAAGAGACCGTCTTCAAGCTTCTGTCTGTCGACCCTTCGTCTTACCCAGACGCGCCAACAGAAGGGATCAGGAGGGTACTGGAGCAGGTGACTGGCCAGTCTATACCCAAGGGCCAACCACTTGACGGCAGTTTGATCGAATCAGTAAGAGTTGGAACGACCGTGGCAACGAAGTCAGGCACGCTTCTTCGGTGTCGATCCACTGATGACTAACCCGGCGACAGTGCTCTGTTGGAACGCAAGGGAGAACGCTTCGCCCTGCTGACCACCGAAGGGTTTCGGGACATCTGTCGCATCGGTGATCAGACAAGACCGAAGCTGTTTGAGCTCAACATTCGGAAGCCGGGTGTGCTCTACTCTAAGGTCATCGAGATTGCCGAGCGTGTGACGGTGGAAGACTACGTTCTGAACCCACATCCTTCCGAGATCGACCTCTCCGATCCCGATCTTGTCAAGACGGCCAGTGGAGAGGTAATTCGGATCCTAAAGAGGCTCGATCATAGTGTTGTTAGAGAACAGCTTCAAAGCTTGTTCGATGAAGGCTTCCGTTCCCTGGCTATTTGCTTCTTGCATTCCTACCTTTTCCCTGGTGCGTTGCCCAAAGCTGGATTTCTTTGAGCAAATGCTGATGCGTAGATAATGCAGACCATGAGAAAGACGTAGCACAGATTGCCCGCGATGTGGGATTCGAGCACATCTCACTATCGTCGGAGTTGAGCCCGAACATCAAGATTCTGCACCGCACCACCTCGGCATGTGCTGATGCATACCTCTCCCCTACGGTCAAGAGGTATGTAGATGGCTTCATCTCTGGTTTCTCTGTGTTGCCCAATAGGGTGGACTTTATGCAGTCAGATGGCGGTCTGAGCGCAGCATCAAAATTCACTGGCTTGAAAGCCATCTTAAGTGGACCCGCAGGCGGAGTTGTTGCCATCGCCCGAACATGTTACGATCCCGCCGAAGGCACCCCAGTAATCGGATTTGATATGGTATGGTCTCAAGCTGTATGAGATGCAAAGATATAGCTGACCTGAGCAGGGTGGGACAAGCACGGATGTCAGCCGCTTTGATAAGATGTTCGAGCACGTTTTCGATACCACCATCAGCGGGACTACCATCACTTCCCCCATGCTTGACGTCAAGACTGTTGCCGCCGGCGGAGGATCAATCCTCAGCTGGAGAAACGGCCTTTTTGTCGTCGGACCCGAGGTAAGTACCTGTTGTGTGTGAAACGGGCCACTGCTTACTGTTTACAGAGCGCTGGTGCGCATCCTGGCCCCGCTTCATACCGCAAGGGTGGACCACTCACTATTACGGATGCGAACTTGTTCCTTGGCCGACTCGTGCCAGAGAAGTTCCCATCGATCTTCGGCCCGCAAGCAAACGAGCCCCTTGATGTCGACATTGTGAAGCAAAAATTCCACGAGTTGACTGCAGAGATCAATGCCACACTGGAGAATAAGCTGACGGCTGAGCAAGTGGCGTCTGGATTCCTCGCAATGGCGAATGAGACTATGAGTCGTCCGATTCGGAACATTACTGAAGCTAGAGGGTTTGCCATGAGCAAGCACAATCTCGCCAGTTTTGGTGGTGCGGGTGGCCAGCACGCTTGCGCGATTGCACAAATCCTGGGAATGCCTCGGATCATCATTCACAAGTACTCGTCTATCCTATCTGCGTACGGGATTGGATTGGCAGATATTGTGTCTGAGACGGCGGTCCCTGCAGCATACGCATTCTCGGACAAAGTGCTGGACACGGTGATTGCTAAATTCGAAGAGCTGAAAACCAAGACTACTGCGGAGCTTGTTTCTCAAGGAGTTCAGGCAGAGCTCGTGGAGCATGAATGCTACCTGAGTATGCGGTACGAGGGGTCTGACACGAACCTGTCCATCCTGCAGCCTGAGAACAACGACTTCGGTACGGCGTTCGTGGAGACTCATCGCCGCGAGTTTGCCTTTGAACTGGCCAACCGTCCGATTGTGGTAGATGCCGTCAGAGTACGTGGAGTTGGAAAGAGCAGGGAAAATGCTGTGTCACACAACTCCATCTTCCAGGAGTTGTCTGAAATCGGTGATGGGACTGCTCCGGAAGTGCCCTCTACCAAGCAGGTTTTCATCGATGGCAAGTGGCAAGACGTACCGGTTTATGAGCTTGCCAACCTTCTCCCAAAGACAAAGCTTACTGGACCTGCGCTTGTTATCGACAACACTCAGACAATCTTGGTGGAGACAGACTGCAAGGTCTCAGTACTCAACTCGCACATTATCATCGACCTGCCAAGCAAGGAGACGGTCAACTCGGATGCAGACGACTCAATCAATCCCGTCGAACTTTCGACTTTCGCCAGTAGATTCATGTCGATTGCGGAGCAGATGGGCAATACCCTGCAGCGGACGTCGATCAGTACCTCAATCAAGGAGAGACTCGACTTCTCCTGTGCTCTTTTCACCCCAGACGGCAAACTTGTGGCAAACGCTCCGCATATTCCAGTCCAGTAAGTACGTTGTCCCCTTTGAGGTATTTTAACGCTCACAGGCCACAGTCTCGGCTCAATGCAGTTCGCCATCCAATACCAGCACTCGATCTGGGAGGGCAAACTCCAACCGGGCGACGTGCTCCTAACCAACCACCCCGAATGCGGCGGCACGCACCTCCCCGACCTAACCGTCGTCACGCCCGTCTTCGCCTCGGGCCAGCTCATCTTCTACGTCGCCTCACGCGGCCACCACACGGACATCGGCGGCATCGGCATCACGAGCATGGTTCCGGACTCCAAGTTCCTCTGGCAAGAAGGACTAGCCGTGAAGTCGCTCAAGATCGTCAGCGGCGGCGCCTTCGACGAGGCTACCGTGCGCAAGGCCTTCCTCGACGTGGCCAACGGGCCCGGCTGCAGCGCGACGCGGCGGCTGAACGACAACATCTCGGACCTGAAGGCCCAGATCGCCGCGAACCAGCGCGGCATCACGCTGCTGCAGGCCATGTGCGCCGAGGCGGGCACGCCGCGCGTGCAGAAGTACATGTACGGCATCCAAGCCAACGCCGAGCTCGCCGTACGCGCTCTCTTCAAACGCATCGCCGCCTCCAAACACAACAGCAACAACAACAGTGACGAACCCACCATCCTCCACGCCCAGGACTTCTACGACGACGGCACCCCCGTCGCCCTCACCATCACCATCACGCCCTCCACCGGCTCCGCCATCTTCGACTTCACCGGCACCGGCGCGCAAACCCTCGGCAACATGAACTCGCCAGCAGCCATCACGCACTCCGCCGTCATCTACGCGCTGCGCTGCCTCATCGACCTCGACATCCCGCTCAACCAGGGCTGCCTCAACCCCGTCTCCATCCTCATCCCTAAACGCTCCATCCTCAACCCCTCCGGCGCCGTCGCCGTGTGCGGCTCGACGATCGCGTCCCAGCGCGTCACCGACGTCATCTTCAAAGCCTTCGGCGCCGCGGCGGCGAGCCAGGGCTGCGCGAACAGCTTCGGCTGGGGCATGGGCGGGAAGGATCCCGACACGGGGGAGGTTAGGCCCGGGTGGAACTACGGAGAGGCGCTGGGGGGAGGGAGTGGGGCGGGCGAGGGGTGGGACGGCGCGGACGCGGTGCAGGTGCATTCGACGAACACGAAGACGACGGATCCGGAGGTGATTGAGCGGCGGACCCCCGTCGTGGTGCGGCGGTATGCGGTGAGGGAGGGGACGGGCGGGAAGGGAAGGTGGAGGGGCGGACATGGGGTGATCAGGGAGGTCGAGGCGAGGTGTCCGCTAAGGTTTAGCATTTTGAGTGAGAGGAGGGTGTATAGTCCGTATGGGATGAATGGAGGCGGAGATGGGAGTGTCGGGAAGAATTATTGGATTAGGAGGGGGGAGGATGGCGGGGGTGAGGAGGAGTGGATCTCGTTGGGTGGGAAGGCGGTGGTTGATGTTGCGCCGGGGGAGCGCGTGATGATTTGCACGCCTGGTGAGTCTTGCTGCAGACTGGTTTCGAGGATTATGCTAACAGCGCTCGTAGGTGGCGGTGGCTGGGGAATCCCGCTCGGGAATGATACAGCCCATGGGGATGTGCGGCCTCTTCCGACGCAATAGAGTGACAGGATATTGTCCCTCGGTATCAAAATGCTTCAAACTACAGCAACGCTTACCCCTATCTCTACGAAATTATCATGTAAGCGCTGCAAGCTCGTATCGTTTTTCTTACGCAAATTACTGCGTCCTTGTAGCAACTTGGAACCATTGCCTCGTCCAGCAAATACCGCACCCACCCGCGAGTTTGCTATGAGCTGTTTCGTTCGATCTTTGAAGCCTTCATACGCGCGCCCAGCACTGCCAAGAGGCTGAGGGCTACGATTGGTTAGCTTGTTTCGTAGTTACATGCCACGTGTCGCTGCCTCCACCGGGTTAGAATTAGAATCAGAGCTGTTCATAAGGCGAGCCGACCCCGCCGGCAGCTCCTCAGAGCCGCCCACCTTTTGACTCTACTTTTTAGGAACCTTTGATATGCAGGAAAATCTAGGAGAAACATCTGGAGCCATTATACATTCTCGACCCGTGGGAGAATCACAAATAGAAGAAGGGAAAACTCGACCCCCAGAACGGCACAGAATTCAACCCGACGAAGCTCGTGCCACTCACAGACGACTATGTCATAGCTGCCAAGCCCTCAAACTGGACGATCAAAGCTTTGGAGCACCCGCAGGATCCTTTGGAAATACATGCACTTCACCGTTCCCAGAGTATTTGGATGAGGACGAGGAGAAGGATGGCCTTACAGTCAAGTTTATTCCACTCAACTACACCAGAGAGGATGCCTTACCAGATCTACCTACCCTATCTCAGTCGGAAAGGGACGGCTGCGGGGTTTGCGCTCTCTTAGCCATCGCTGCCAGACGAGAATACTACAGCCGTGATTGGCCGACAGACAGCTTGGAGACACCACAGCTCATCATTTCTGGTGCGAAGTATGCCTGGCAAGCAGAATATGGGCCCACTTGTCTGGGAATCCGCATTATCTTCCGCAGTGGGGATGAAGAAGTCTGTTCTATGACGATCCCTTTCCAGATCTCATGTTCTGAAGGTACTCCCCCACCGCCTCACCAGGGCAGGCGATCTCGTGCTAACTTCTTGCTTTGCATCCAGGAGAATGTGCAACGTGGCTAAAGACACGCTACAGACCGTTGGAACACAACCCTCTATCCGAGAAGACAGGAACTATTCTCAGGTCATGGCTTCGCCAGTGTCATGATTCCCATGAGGAGTGCCATCATGAGGGATCGAATGGAAGACTTCCAACTCGACTTCTCGACGTCGGAGGAAGCACGCTAGCTGAGGAGCCACGCCTTATCCTCTGTGCGGATGACCTGGAACTCCGGACCGCCATCGACACACCTTACGCAGCCCTCAGCCACTGCTGGGGGCAGGGAAGCAGACCTCCCAAAACCGAAACCTTCTCAATATCACACAGACTACAAGAAATTCCCCTGCACTCTATGCCACCGACCTACAGAGATGCTATAATGTTAACCCGGTCTTTGCATATCCGATACCTCTGGATCGATTCGCTATGCATCATCCAAGACGATAAAGCAGACTGGGAGAGAGAATCTACTGTTATGTTTGACGTGTACCGAAACGCACATATTACTCTGTGTGCTCTGGTCAATTCCTGTGACGATGGATTCCTCTCACAGCTTAGACAAGAAGTTGAGATTCCATTCAGATCTTCACTAAATCCTCAATGTTGTGGCACTTTATCGTTACGCGAGGTATGGCCACACGATCGCTTGGCCAGATGGCATGATCGAGTGCATGATTGGAAGCGTCAGTTCAGCTTCTGCGAATGGAACAACAGAGGATGGACCTTCCAAGAACTACTTTTCTCGCCAAGGAAACTTATTTGTGGCCTGCAGCAGTTTCACTACGATTGTGATACTATGCACTGTTCAGAAGATGATACAATTCAGACAAGAAACTATGTTGAAAGTATGGTCCATTCTCTGAATTCTTTCGGTGTTCCGAAACTTTACAAAGATTGGTACGCTACGCTGCCACAATACGTGGATAGATCCTTGACTTTTGCACAGGATCGCTTACCAGCTGTCTCATCACTCGCTGCAGCATTCGCAGAGAGAACAAAAGACCGCTTCATTGCTGGTATCTGGGAAGCAGACCTGCCACGTGGGCTGTGGTGGGAAAGCTCTGTGCAATCTCCGCAGGACCCTCACAGCCTAACTGACCTCATCAAACGATTAACGAATCCTGAAGTATTCGTCGCGCCTTCTTGGAGCTGGGCATGTCTGCAAACGTACAAGGAGTGGAGGCAATGGGTGACCTACGTCTCACGGTTTCAGCTTATCGAAGCGCACACCCAGGTTGATGGTGATAACCAATTCGGACGGGTAGCGAAGGCGCATTTGATCATTATCGGCAAATTGCTTCATATTCAGGATTTTTCTCTGCGAGATTCCGGTATATGGGGGGATTATACCGTCACATCTTCCGGTTCATTTATCGCAAACTGGAGATTAGACTGGGCGCTCACGGATGAAGAGCTCGCCGATGGGCTGACACGTGAAAGAAATGGGCCAATAGAAAAAGTTCGGATCTTTATGTTGCTTATATGTAGCATCCCAGCCGTGGAAGATGTTGGTGAACCCACCTTGGAGGATTTCAACAAGTGGTGCACGGACCGGAGTAAGGTTCCTGGAGAGCTGCAAGTGGGACTGGTTTTATGTTCATTAGCCGGCAAAGACGAGTATATGCGGATCGGCAGATTTGAAACGGTTGACTGGGAAGAGGGAGGAAGAAAACTCTTCGAGTCTGTACCAGAAAGGCAGATCAAGCTGGTGTGAATATTGTTTGGGTGGCGTATCGGGGCTCTTCGGTCAACGATTAGTGATGCGATGCGTAACTCTCTATTGGTGCCCTCGTTGGTCCATGTGAGAGGGCGCATCTATCATCTTATTTTATTTCATGGTGTCTTTGATTTATTCAATGGCTTTATTCTTACGCAAATCTTTCAGGAAGACTAGAGCTATTGTCACAAACTATGGCTGAAGTTGAAACGTGTTAGTCTTGTGATTAGGTCTTACTCAGAACCATCCTCCAGATTAGGCAGCAGCCCAATCTTCCCATTTATCCTCAGTCGGTGGGTTTTAATGACAAGACATGTTTAATTCTCTCCCTAAAATGGTAGTACGCCCACTCATCCTCCTGCAATTCGTCACATTTCTGTTGGGCGCCTTTGCCACAGCAGTCTCCCAGCTTCAAGAATCCACACTGGAGGCGTCTTCGCGGCAGAAACAGCCCGCCCTTTCCGCATGCACAAAGTGGCTTCGCAAAGACAATGAGTACCTCATATACCCCTTCGGTAGAGATGAGGCTATCAACGGGGCCGACGCGCTTCGGAAATGTCTTGAAAACGACGATGCAGCGACGTACCGAAGTAAAATCACAGACATATACCTCGTTCCTCCCGTCGCTGGAACAGCAAACGAAGAACAAGAATCCCTCAAGCGCATCGTCGAGATACTACCAGGCCCATTGAACATCTGGTAAGCATCCGAACGCCTGGACACCTAACTTTCTCACAAGCTCTCTGAACAAGACCACACCCAACCAGGTATCCCTCCTCCAGCACTCAAACCAAACTCTGGACCACCCTCGAAGAACAACAGCGCGACACCACCACCACCACCCCGCGAATGAAAAACCTCGCCACCTACACCCCCTCCGACCTCCCCTACCACGACGGCCCGCACCCGCTCCCCACCATCATCGAATGCGGCACGCCCAGCATCTCCGCCTCTCTCGCCGCCGAAGTCGACTCCCTCGACCCCATCTACCAGCACCTGACGCAGTGCCCCGACGTACGCTCGCTAGCCCTCTCGCTGCACCCGGCCGGCTGCCTCGTCGGCAGCGAGGCCCGCGGTTTCGCGTGGCGGCGCGGCGACGCCTTCCCGACGACGCAGCTCGAGAACCTGACTTTGTCCGGCTACCGCTGGGACGAAGGGGCGTCATCGGCGGCTGGACGTCGACGCGCCGCCGTGGGAGTTCTTGCATGCGTTCAGCGGCCGGTTGCCGAGGTTGGAGGCGCTGGCGTTGCGGGCGCGGTACGATTTTGGGGGCGAGCGGACGCTGTGTGAGTATGAGAAGGACCCAGCTGTGGCGCGGGCGAACTATACGGCGTTCGTGGCGTCGATGCCGCCGCTGCGGGAGCTGGTGGTCGAGGGGATGGGCGAGCAGCATCTGCCTCTGGGGCCGATCCTGGATGTGCACGGGGGCAGTTTGAGGGCGTTGACGATCCACGAATTTGAGCGCGACTGCGCTGGCCCGCTGCTCGATGCGTCGTGGACTCGTCCGACGTTGGGCGTTGCGGAGCTGCGGATGATCAAGGAGAAGGCGCCGCGGCTCGAGGCTTTGACTCTGGACCTTCGGCGGGAGGGCGATCTACCGGTTCCGGAGCTGGAGCTCCTTTCGACTTTTTCGGATGATTTGAGGGAAGTGACGATTCATCTTGCGATGAACGATGTCCGCCATTTGGAAGGGTGTCGCGCGGAGTCAGTGTATGATCTCGAGACGTGCGAGAAGAAAGAGGTGATGGAACCCAAGATCGGATTGGCTTCGGTGTATCGGATGATTTATATCCTGCGCGGCAAGCGTTCGCCAGATCAGAGGGGTATTGAGTCCCTAAAAGTCGTTGTCGGAGACTATGGAAGGGCGGAGGGCGGCGGTCTCCAGTTTCGAGGTTTGTCAGATCAACCGGACAGACCTGTCATGTACGACTGTGACTTCCCCTATCCTATAGGGGATGTGACGTGCCAGTTGAGTTATTGGGACGAAAATAGGCTGCACAGGGTCATTCCGGCGAAAGACAGTGATTTTTATTTCAATGCTGAGGATGCGCAGGATAGACGGCGGGATGAGCTCTGATGACGTTGATTTAGGAAAATGTTACCTCCGTTATTTCATACCACTTGCTCTTGACCTGTCCCTTGTGTAACATGTGCTGGGAATGCATCCCACTGCACGAGGTTCTCCCAGGGCTCCAAGTCGGGTTCCATCCACTCAATCATACAAGCTTCATTCCATTCCACGGCACCACCCTCACCCAGTCCCGGAATATTGGCCAACAACCCATCAAGATCCCCCAAATCATCCAGCAATACCTCACTCCCAGACGTTCCACCCGACGAACTCCCTTCATCCACCATCAAGTCCGGCACCACCTGCTCTTGGCCCACCAAAACACTCTGCGCCACGCTCTCCGCCTCTCTTTTCCTTTTCTTCACCCCCGCCGCATACACCCCCGGCGTCACCCCAAACGCCGCTCTAAACACGCCATGCAAATATCTCGGCGCGCGCTCCACCTCCTTCGCTACGTCCCTCCACACAACCTCGCCGCCCTCCCTCTCCAGCACCTTCCGCGCCTTCTCCGCCGCCCGCCGACCGCCTGTATCCTCACCATACTCCTGCTCCGCTACAGCAGCCTCACCACCACCACCGGCTACCACCGCCGCCGCAGATGCATCAACCCCATTATTCCCGCTGTTGGACGCAGCAGCAGCTCCACCAATAGGATTGGAGCCAGCATGCGCGATGACGACGACATCGGGCCTGCAGCGCTTGCAGGCGCGGAAGCCGGCGGCGGCGGCCTGGGCGGCGGCGTCGTAGAAGACGATGTTGGCGCGGCGGGCGAGGCGCGCGGGGCAGGTGGGGCGGCAGTAGATGCGCGTGCTGAGCACGGCGTAGACGAACGAGGCGTGCGCGGCCGGGTCGCGGGCGGTGAGGGCGCGCCAGCGCGTGTGCGGGTTGCTGAAGGATGATGATGGTGGGGCTGGAGTCATGGCGGAGCTGCTGTAGGGCTGTGTGCGTTTGCGCGTGCGAGGTGTGGGGGTGAAGGATGGTGGTCGTGGTGATGATGATGATTGTTGCAGAGGGAAGATAGCAGCAGCTGCTCGTGGCCGTTGGGTTGGGGTTCCCGGTTTAGGAAGGAGCAGGTGGGGTTGTGGCTGATGTTGGATGCTCGCGTATCGCATTGGAAAAGGTGAGTGAAAATCTGGCCTCTTTCGGGTGATTCACGAGTAAGTTAGGACAAGGGATTTTGGAGCGTGAAGAAGACGTGTCCGGCCAGTGAGGAAAGTGAAAAGTGAAGAAAAGAAGTTGATGGAGAGAGTTGTTTTGAGCTAAAGTGTATGCTGCTGTGGAATTAGCCAATCAGAGAGCGACCAGGATACCGGCTTGCCCGGCACAGGACCCCGCTACAGGCACCCGATGTCGTCTCACCAACTGAATCCTTCACGCGCCAGAGATACCTTTTAAGTCGAAGAGCGAGCCGGTCGCGACTGGCAATTAAGCTCTGTCCCGCCAAGACTATTGACCCTGCGTGTTGCCGAAATCGGCATTTCGATTCACACTTGCGATTCAAGCCAACCATCACGTCGCTCCTACCCGACGAGAGCACACCACAACACCAGTTCATAAGCACCACAACCTTCCTTACCGCTCCCACTCCTCAACCATCAATCTTCTCGCAAACTCTTCAAACACCATGGCCGACCAACGCCCTCCGCGCCCTGCGCCGAGCGGCCCCAACCACGACACCACCTTCCGCAACTACACGGCCGCCGCTGCCTCGGCCTACGCCTCTTCCCGCGGCTCGTACCCTCCGGCCTTGTTCGCTTTCATCCTCGACCGCCACCAGTGCACCGGCGGCCAGCTGGGTCGCGTGCTCGATGTCGGCTGCGGTCCCGGCAACGCTCTGCGCGATATCGCGCCTCACTTCGACCATGCCACGGGCGCGGATCCTGGCGAGGAAATGATTGCGACGGCGAAGAAGCTGGGGCACCGGACGAAGACGGGCGAGGAAGTTGTCTGGAATGTTTCCGGAGCGGAAGAGTTGGTGGAGAAGGCGGGCGTGGAGACGGGGACCGTGGATTTGTTGACGGTGGCTATGGCGGTATGTTGCATTCTTGTTTTATTTTCTGACTGACTGGGAGTTACATGGCTAATGACGGGATTACAGGCCCATTGGTTCGATATGCCGGCGTTCTGGAAGCAGGCTGCGCAGCTCGTCAAGCCCGGTGGTAGCGTCGCCATCTTCACCAAGTCCTCGTACTACTGTCGTGAGTCTCAAGAAACTGTTACCAAGAATGCCTGAACTAGGCCAAGCTAATGCGAGTACCAGACCCGACCATGCCAAACATCAACGAGGTGCAGCGCATCTCTGACGAATTCGAGCGCACTGAGCTTGCTCGGTACGAGTATCCGGGCAACCGCCTCTGCAGGGAGTTCTACAAAGACCTCGCCCTACCTTGGCAGGCGGAGGACGGCGGCCCGCCCGAGTTTCCAGAGGAGCTGTTCGAGAGGCATGCGTGGAACTTCAACGGGACGCTGGATGGCCCCGATGGAGAGGACTTCTTTGGCGGCAGTTTAACCCTCACGTTCCCGCAGATGGAGAAGCTGCTTGGAACTACTAGCACGGTGCAGAGATGGAGGGAGGCCCACCCTGACCTTGCCGGTACGGACAAGGACGCCATCAAGGTTTTTCTCAAGAAGCTTGAGGAGGTTGCTGGAACTTCGAAGATTCGCATGGGCATGGGATATGCCTTGTTGTTCTTCAAGCGGAAGTAATTTATCCGTGATCCCAGTATCTGATTACGAACAACAGACTAGAGGCGTCAAAGTATTGAAATGGGGGCGAACAGACATTCTAATAATCATGAAACAGGCTACATAGCTACAGGCCATAACCTTCCAACGGCAATAGGCCAAGTGGTTGTTTCCCTCGCTGTAAATATAATAATATGATAGAGTCTACTGAATAGTTCTATAGAAGAGTGAAGCCTACCAAATGTATGCGCTATACTTGATCCGTAGTCTTGTCTCGCCGCGCTTCTACTCTCTCTCTCGAGTTCTCGTTCTGGATTGAACGATCGATGAAGCGCTTCAAGCCAAGCCAGGGGCTGTTGATCGGACTGGGCCCAGTGAACACCAAGGTGTCATAGAGAAAACTACCAGCAATGGCGCCGACGAAAGGCATCAGAAGCGGTATCCAGAAGTAATACCCGCCCGTGGTCCAGACTTCGCGTGGATATCCCACGGCGCTGGAGAACAGCCGTCCGGAGAAGTCCAGTGCTGGATTGGTGGCACCACTGTGACTTTATTAGATATCGTTATCTCCAATGCATTGTATCAGAGGACTTACCCGGTTTCCCATCCAAACGCTACGCCGATGCCGTAGAACAAGAAGAACATGGCCAGCGGAAAGAAGTTGCCACCTGCCCTAGAGATACCGTTGTTGTAGTCGTCCTTCAGGGCAGACACGACGGTTGTGATCAAAGCGGACGGGATAATGACAGAGAAGACCTGGGACGACCTCGGCACAAATGTCTGCGGGTAGGTCGCCATGATTTGGGCGGTCGCCTTCGTCTCGGGCGGTACGATCCTGTTGCCAGGGCCGGCGTACCAGTCGATGGCCGAAATGTAATTGCCGTACACCAACGCCGTCGCCACGAAGGCACCCAGGAACTGTGCCAGCACGATGGACGGGAATGATTTCCAGGGCAGTCCGCGGAATACGCAGGCCGTGAGGGTGATGGCTGGGTTGAGGTAGGCGCCCGAGTCGCCGGAGATGTAGATGCCAAGCATTACGCCGATGCCAGTGCTAGTTGACACGTCAGTTGTGTGCTGGAGAGGGAGTGTAGGAATGTCTCGTACCCCCAGGGAACCGACATGAATGTTCCGTAGCCAGAGCCGCCCGGTGCCGTCTGCAGACCGGCACTGAGGAGTGATTGAGCAATGCTGCCATTGTAGAAGCACGACAGGACCATGACTCCAAGGAACTCGGCGAATGGCTCCTGGAGCGTCTGCCGTATCCTCGACCACAGCAGCTTTTCTGCGCCCGAGTAGTGCCTCTTTGGGGGAGCGAATTCATCAAGTCCCACGAGCGCCCGTGCGCTTCTGCGGCGGTGACGCTCTTTGCTGTGATCTCCATCTGATGCAGACGGAGACAGGGGAGCTCCCTTGTAATGCGGTGAGGTTGAGTCTCTTCTGGAATTCGACGCGATTTCGTTGTCTGGAGAGTCCAAATCCCAGCTGAGTGCGTTGTCGCGCGACATGGTGCACAAAATGGTGGTGATTGACAGCTTGACTCGAGCAACACGGGGAAGTCTTAAATGCGGCTTTCGAAATTCCCTGGATTGCCATGGGGGAATTTTCGGGCCCATTTTTGCGGTGACGTCTTTCCGATGACGACACATGAAAGATCAGGATCGATATCGAAAAGGCGCATCGGACCTTCTGCGAGATATCAGATAGCCGTTGAGACCCACATACACGGAACACGCGCCGGTGGCGAGGACTACACGCGAAAATCCAGCCTCCTTACTTGCTGAGTTGGCGAAAGGAGGGACTCTTCACCTCAAATTCGATCATTTTGTTGTCAATCTCGACATGCACTCATGAGTCAATGCAAATTCTGGATGGGCCCGTACATGAAAGTGGTCATCGTGTTGTACTGATTCTGAAACGGAGTCTCCAACTAGCGGACACACTAGTTTCACTGCAAAATCTGACCGATGCAGTACCATGGAAAGCTTCCCGTCGCCCCGAAGCGCATACAAAGCTAAAATGTGACGTTCTCTGATGGGTCTAACTACATTGACTACTCCTCGGGTGACAATGCGTGTGTAAACAATGTGTTTCTGGATGTGGAAAAAGTTGAACCGCCGATGACGGTACTACACTTCCCCAAATAATGGACAATTAGGACCCGAGACAGCAAATACTGTTTGCCTCAACTGAGTCCCATTTTCGCTGAATCTAACTATCGGCTCTGACACCGCCAACGCTCCACTCTGGAATATTTCGTGATTGGCTGTGTACAGTTCCTTGATCCCTCCGAGGGAAATCAGGATCGAATTTTCCAGTAGAAGCGCATTATTCCAGTGCTGAGGAGGTGCGCGCTCATCACTGATCTCCTCCGTTCAGTTTCGAACCAATGCTCGAACATTGAGTGCTTCAATAGACCATGTGGGATCCGCTGTCTGTGGGACGGAATACACTTAATTGAAAAAGAAAAGTGAAAGTTATAAACAATCCTATACCAGTACGGGAATTGTAGAGCGAGCTTAATCAAAGCTCCATTATCAATGTAACGTCCGCACAGAATAATCCGCACCGCACCGAGCATCAAGCCTTTGCTTCCTTTCTCGGTCGGAAGCACATACCCAAGGGTGGCGGGGACAGCGTTACAGTGTTGAACAGCTTCGACTCGTAGTCCTTCCCATCCTGCGCCGAGGCGAACCTTATATTGTACCGCAAGGCCAGCCTCGCAAGCACACTCCTCATCTCCCAATATGCTAGCTGCTTACCAGCGCAGTGGAACATTCCTACAAACACGCATTAGCGACTAAACCGTTGCGTCCCCCCACAGCCAAACCCTCTCTACTCACCGATCTGGAAGGGGAAGAAGGCATTCCTGTCCTTAATCATGCCCGCCTTCTCTCCGCCGAGGATCCAGCGCTCGGGGATAAACTCGAGCGGCTTCTCGAAATAGCGTTCGTCCCTGTGCATGACCCACGGCGGCATTACGACGTGCACGTTTCCGGGAATGTACAGGTCGTCGTCGATCTGCAAGCCCTCCGGGGGCGTGAGGCGCGGGGTGCCGTTGGGGACGGGCGGCTTCAGGCGCAACGTCTCGTTGATGACGCCGTCCAGCAGCGGGAGGTTCTTGACCTTTTCGTGGCTGAACGAGGCTTCGCCGTCCGGGCAGACGGAGTCGACTTCTGCCTGCAGTTTTGCGTATATGGCCGGGTTGGAGGCGAGGTGGAACAAGGCGTTGGTGAGTGCTCCATATGTTGTGTCCCTAACAAACACTGTCAGGGAAAAAAAACGTCCATCTTAGCATCAGGGGGGAGGAGCTCAGTGGGTGGGGGATCACGCACGATCCAGCAATAACGAGTGCACGACCATCCGCGTGCAGCGCCGCCAGCGTCGGCGCGCCCGTAGGACCACCCTCCTCGAACGCCTGGATAAGCCAAGACATGACATCCGCTGGCGTCGTCGTCTCCACCTTCTTCTCCATAAGCATCTATAACCCATCCATCCTCACCGTGTCAGCGATGCATCCCCTCCACTTATGTTTCGGCTCGTGCACTACTCACCTTCCTCTTCTCGCTTACCAAACGCTTGCAGTACGCGCCAAACGGCCCCATGGCGCCTCCCAAGCCGGGCATGTTGGAGAAGAAGTTGATGACCCACGGCACGGAGAACAGGAGGCCGAGCGAACGCATCGTGTCGCGCAGCTGCTTGATGGCGTGGACCTCCTTGGCGGCGCGCAGGCTGCCGAAGTCCTTGCCGAAGCTGACGACGCCCATGATGTCGTAGGCGAGCATGGCGATCCACTCGGTGATGTTGATGCGCTGGCCCCGCTCGCATGCGATTTGGTCGAGGAAGACGCCGATCGTGTCTTGCATGGCGGCGTCGTATCTGGCGATTTCTGCAGACATGGGGTTGTAAGCAAGATGTTGAGAAAGAATGGGGGGAAAAGAAAAGGAGTGGGCAGCAGCAGCATATACCTGTCAAGCCGAGACCCTTCTCCCACGGCTTTCTGCGTCTGCGGTGGTCCTCGAGATCTCTGGTTTCGAGCATGCCCAGCTCTGATTGCTTCCAGTGGCTCTGCTGGTAGAAGACTGTCTTGCGGCATGCGGTGATTTGCGGCAGAGCGGACACACGGGTGACGGAGAGCTCACGGGGGCCTTGTATTGTGTCAGCATATATCGAGTAGCGAATGAGTATTCCTTACCCGTCCGAACAACATCACCGTACTTCTTGTGCACATCCTCGAGCACGAGGAAGTACTTCATTGACTTTGCAGATTTATATACGCTCCATAGTTTGGTCAGTCTTGCAGGGAACGGTCCGGGGAAGCGTCGCAGCCGGTGGAAGAAGGCGCGGTAGATAAGAATAGAGGTGGTCAGGCTCAGGGTGAAGCCAGTTGCGGAGACTGCGAGGTCTTTGGCAGCATCCAGGGGGCTCGATTGGAACACTTTGATGTCGATGTAGAAGATGCTCGCTGCCGCAATAACCGAGCCAGTGATCATTTGCCAGATAAGAACATCGAGAATATCCGAGAATTGGAGGCATGCATGGAATGCGAGGCCAGCAATGGCTGATGCCAGCCAAAGATTGGCTTTCTGCTTCTCAGGAGTGATTGCTTCCATCTCTGGGCGGAGGCGAAAAGGTGGAGAAGGGGTTGACGGGAGAGCGGCACTTCAAAGGCATTTGTAGGCAATCGGTAAAAATCGTATTTCTTGCTGCTGCATCGCATCCCGCGTCAACCACACGCTTGGTGTCTTGTCCCCGTAAGCACTAGTGCGGGGTAGTCGCCTATGAAACGATCTTCATACACTTACCACATGTAGAAAGTAAGCTGTCTACGCCCGGCTTTACGAGTCTTGTCCTGCTGATCCTTGGCATATTTAGTAGGTATACGGCCTGCAAGGTGGTTATCGAATGCATATGCACTGCCTGGGATATGACGCAGCACCATGAATTGGTCACAAATTAATCTCAACGTTACACGAAAGCGTGGGTCCTTCAAAAACGGTAGGTGATATCATTATTTCCGGTCTAAAAAACAACACAAATTCCCCCCTTCCCCTCAGTCTGACGTGAGAAAGGTCGCCCAGGTGATCGAAGATGGCCGCACTCAGGAGTCTGAAACCAAAGCCACGTTGCGCACCTTCCACCAATCCAGCTCTCCCCAACCTCAGTTCTTCCTGCCATCGAAGCCCATCGCCTCCCACTCCCTCAGCACCTTGTCCTTCACATCCTGCGGATAGCTCTCCTCAAAGCTCGCGGCCTCCCAATTCCGGCCCTCGGTATACTCCTTCGGCATCAGCGCATCACTGACGACCTTGCCACCCCGCGTCGGGTTGTGCCAGCCCTGGCCATTATACGGAATCAGCGGGAACGCCTGCACATCGTCGTAAAACGTCTCGTCGTCGCCAGGCCGACAGCGCGTGCTGAAGGCCCACAGCACGTCGCGGCCGTCGTACACGTCGACGTCGTCGCCCACCAGCACCAGGCGGTGGATGGTGTAGCCGACCTTGTGGTTGAAGACGAGGTCGCCGACGCGCTTGCGCAGCGATGCAGAGTCGGTGATGTTCATGGCGCGTAGTGCCGCCGTGTCGACCTTCAGCGCGCACCATGTTACCTGCGACTCGAACGGTGTGAAGGCGTCGGTTATGGGCAGGCCGGCCTCCTGGCAGAGTTGGCGGATCTCGGCCGCGGCGAGGGAGCCGATGAGGGTGTGGGTTTCGTCGGTCAGGCGGCCGCAGGCGGAGACGGGGAGGATGGCGTCGTTGCGGTGGGTGATGCAGTTGACCGTGTACCTGTAAGGAATGTTTGGTTAACTGACAGGGGTTCTTGTAAGTTGCAGATACGCGTATTATGCTTGCTTACTTGGGGCACATGTGCGAGTCTCCCGGGAAGACGTAGCCGTGCATCTCGCCAAAGGGGCCCTCGGGCGCGTAGTCGGTCGTCGACAGGGTGCCCTCGAAGACGATTTCCGAGTTGGCGGGCACGAGCAGGTCGTTGGTCTCGCACTTGACGACGTCGAGCGGCGTGCCCGTCATGGCGCCGATGTAGCCCGCCTCGGTCACGCCGTCGGGCAGCGGCATGCTGGACGCCATGATGGCTGCCGGCGGCACGCCGAAGGCCAGCGCCCATGGAACGTCCTTGCCTTCCTTCTTCCACATCTGCTGGATTTGCCAGATGTGTTGTGGCGAAATCACTAAGCCCACCAGGTGCTTGTTGTCGTAGATCATGGCCCGCGCGATGGACCAGTTCGTCCACTTGCCGTCGGGCGATTGGATGACGTGCATGCCGTACGTCTGGATGTACTTTCCGCCGTCGCTCTTGTGGATCAGTGGTGCTGGCAGCGCCGTGAGGTCGATGTCGTCGCCCGTGATCTTGTTCTCCTTACAGGAGCCCGTCTCGACCACCCGTGGTGGCTTCGGTGGCACACCCTTTGCCGAGAGCATCTTGTCCAGTATCTGCTTCATGCTGGCGTCCGGCGGTAGAGCCAAATGTCTCGCCATCCTGCCGTATTTGCCCTTGGCGGGGTCGCGGAGAGCACCCGGGCCGCCGAGGATGCGGAAGAGACCATTCTTCGCTCCCTTGACGTTGTTGAACAGTGGCGCTTTGTCATCGGTCTCGTTTGACCTGCGGATGATTGCTGAGACTTCGAGGTTGGGATCCTTCTCGGCGTTGATCTCGGCGATATCACCGTCCTTCTTGAGGGCTTCGACGAACGAACGGAAGTTCAGATGAGGGGCATCTTGCGGCGAGCCATGGTGCAGGCGGACTGAAGAGTAGGAAACCGTCTGCAGCGGTCTGAATGAGGTTCTGGAAGCGCTTCGTGCGGCTTGGGAGAGCATCGTGGATGGTGGCGGTGTCTGATGGACAAGTGTTCCATGACGCCGTGTATCCTTTATACACCCCCCATGGCATAGGACCGTTCGCACGACAGGCGGTGGGTTTGAGCCAGTTCGACCGACATACTTCACACGATCAGGCCATGCTGAAGCTTCGTGATGCGGAATGGTAGACATCATTGGCTGTTGCTGTGCTCGGACTCTGTCGGGCCCTCTCGGCCCCTTCGGCTTCGGGAGCGGCTTCGGTATCGGCCAAGCAATTGTCGCGGAAAAGGAGCGTCATGTGGGATTAAGGCGCCCTATACATAGGGCTGCCGAGCTCTGGTGGTGTTCGGTTAGTATAAGTAAACGTAGGATATCAAGTCTTTCCCCATCTTCACTCCATCCTACCTCCAGGCCGCACTTTCAGTTGTCTGTTTCTTCACATCGATACAACATTCAAGATGCAACCAATCACACGAAGCATCCCTTCATACCTTTCCCGCGCAACCCGGGCTCAAACCTCTCTTCCATCCTTCGCTCAAACCCAATCCGGAAAGTTCATCCACACCACATCCCCACGGAACAACCCCCCCACCAGCCCCATCACCAAACCCGCCCACCCCTTCCCCATCGTCCAACGCAACCCCCGCATCGTCGTCGGCGTCACCGGCGCCACCGGCACCGTCTTCGCCATCCGCCTCCTCGAAATCCTGCGGCACCTCGACATCGAAACGCACCTGATCCTCTCCAAATGGGCGCAAGCAACCATGAAATACGAAACGGACCTATCGTGGGAGCACATGCAGTCGCTGGCAACGAAGGCATACGCGATGAAGGACATGGCGGCGCCGCCGTCCAGCGGCTCCTTCCTGCACGACGGCATGATCGTCGTGCCGTGCTCGATGAAGACGCTGGCCGCCGTGCGCGCGGGGTACTGCGACGACCTGATATCGCGCTCCGCCGACGTGTGCCTCAAGGAGCAGAGGAAACTGGTGCTCGTCGTCCGCGAGACGCCCCTGAGCGCGGTGCATCTCGATAATATGGCCTTCTTGCAGAGGGCCGGCGCGACGATTTTTCCACCCGTGCCGGCGTTTTATACGCGTCCGAAGACGATTGCGGATTTGATTGATCAGAGTGTGGGGAGGATGCTGGATTCGTTGGGGATCCATGTCGGGGGGTTTGAGCGGTGGGAGGGCATGCGCAAGTGAGAAAGTGGAGGAGGACGAGGAGGAGGAGGAGGCTGCACCTCAGTCTCCGAACTCGAACCCGAGGAACCCCCCCGTGTCTTCTTCAGGCAGAGACTTATCTGGATGCCCGAAGTCAGCTGTCAACTTTTCTACTGCTACACACACGCGGCGGGAAACTCACCCCAGATTATGGAATCCAGGAATGCCATTGGGGAGAGATTAGACTGCAAGAAGTCGAAGGCAGACTCCGTGGCTGCAGTCCCCAGTTCAGCATTCTGGGGACCCGTTGGATCGGCTGGGTCCGGAACGGCCGTGTCCTGATGAGACTCCTGAGCCCTGACTGGTTCCGTCTCAGCTCTCTCTGAAGCCTCCTGAGTGAGGCGCTGCAAAGCTTTCAAGGCATTGAAGTGGGAGGATGTCAGAGCGTTGTTGGTCATTCGAGAAGGCTCATCTTGTACTCGGGAGAGGAGTACGTCAATCAGTCTTTTCTGCATGTTGCTCAGGAAAGATGACTTCCTCGTTTCTCCGAGGATAGTCAGCAGAAGGGCCGAACTCAAGGCCTCATGGATGCAAGTCCATGAGCGTGTGGGGTATACGCTCAACGAGTGGAGATCCAAGAAAGACCTCACTGTATGGGCAAGAGCTTTCTTTCCAGTAGATAGGATGTTTAGGAATACCGGATCGTCGTTGATGTGTTGAAGCTTCTTAAAAGTCGGCCGGCAAACGGCGGCAATGGCGAATGAGCGATGTTGTGAAAGGAGGAAAAACTGGGCTTTGTCTTGTAGCGTAGTGCAATTAGACTTGTCCCGCAGATGCAAGGCCGTTTGGAACATGACTTGATCTAGTTCTTGCAACCTTTCCAAGATGTTTTCCAGATTGGCATCATGCGATGTTCGTCTGGCCAATAGCCTGAGGCCAATTTTGGATATCTCCCACATCACCTCCTGAAAGCTAAGCGGAAGGCCAATCTCGGAATTATCGGAGCTCTGAAGTGGCATGTGAGCCAAAGCAGTGGGTCTGTCAAAGCAGAGCGATAGTATGCAATCCTGCTGAGCGATGGTCAACCTGCCTACGTGTCAGTGGAGTTTAAAATAAATGGCGCTTAGCTTACGTACCATAGTCTGCGCCTTGTAGCCTTTTCCTTTTCGGAAATACTCTCCGTCATTCCGTACTCGGAATGAAGGCCAAGGCTTTGTGCAAGTCGCATTGATGTTCCGCACATGGCCCAGGCAGCATCGGCGTTACCTGTGAGAGTTGTCAGACAGTCAATCAGCGCTTCTGTGCCCATGCGTGACCATACCATCATTTTGAAGAAAGGTGCCTAGAATCAACAATGCTTGAAGGCTGGTAAGTAGTGGTCGTAGGAGAAAATTTGCAAGCCGGAGTGCATGGAATGATCGTTTGGCTGTAAACAAGATCAGTAAGCGCTCTAAAGTCATCTCGGAAAACTTATACCGAAGTCTCTTGAGATCTTCCGCCTCTCCTGGTGATCTCTGTCGGAGTATTGGGCGCCAGCTGCAAGCGTAGCAAGGAGAAGGGCCATCCTGGCTGCGTCTTCTCTACCATTCGTTATAATCAGGCCCGTAGGGTTGCTGCCAGCAAGCTTCTCGAGATAATTGCTGAGATATGACTCAAAGTCCTCAATATCGACGATGAGTGATGCAAGAGGGAAGGCAACTGCACGATAAACGTGGTAAAAATTGAGGATCTCCTGGTGGGTGGGAAGCACATTGGTGAGCTCGCGGCTTTTCTCATCCTCTGTCTCGGCGTTGATGAACGGATACTGAGCAAGGGTGTTCCGGAGCCCCAGTGCCGGAACAATATCCTTTGTGATAGGACTCTCAGCTCCTCCCATTTGGCGTAGATAAGACGCTGCTGAATTCTCGCCCAAGAAGGATGTAGGGTTACCCGAAGGATCTATGGCAGGGTTTGGCCCCGAAGTAGAAGCATGGCTTTCTCCGGCTGATGATGACGGAATGCCCAACCCTTGGCGCCGGTTTCCGAGCTCAGGTGCTTCATTGTTATGGTTGTAGATACAGATGTCAGGATGGTTTCGCTTCACGCACGTCCCACAGGGTTTGCTGGACATCAAAGTTGAGTATACACTGTGCATGTATGGGATGGAAGATGCACCACTCACTTCATGTCGCACTTGACCTTGCGCTGGTTGCAGGGATAACACGCTCCTTTTCCTCGGGGTCGCTTCTTCGCGGCAAGAACCCTTTGAATCTCATCCTCGGATGGGTGACCGCGCTTGGGCATTGTGTCCGTGAACGATACCGCTACCTCCGAGACCACGGATGGCGAGTTCGGCGTACTCGGCTTTGCTGTGGTGTTGATATCTCGGCATCGGCGGAGAGACGGGGCTCAACGTGTGAAGTCAAAGTTGTGGGGCGAATTTTGTGTTGTACGTCATTTCCCATAAGGTTAAGTATCTCCGAACTTCGGTCCTATTTGAGATAAGCAAACGGCCACCGCAAGGATGTAAGCACTTACTCAAATAGTGCTTAGACTGAATACCCTCGTACTTGTCTCCATGCGGAGAATGAGATGCCACTGTTGGTTTCTCAAGCCACTGTTTTCAAATTGAGATGGATCAAATGGAAGATGGCGTGAGCAGAAAGGATTCTTCAGAGGAAGATCAAAAAAGGGGAGAAAGAAGGAAAGGGATTACTTAAACAATCCCGGGCTCCGTTTCCGGATAAAGCTTCAAGCATACAATGTGCTTAACACTGGTCTACCTATAGTACCACTTTAATATGACAGAATTTGCCCCTTCCTTCCAATTCCATCTCTCTCACGTGAGCACCGGGTATGACTCCGCGCACCAAATGTTCAGTCTCATCGTTATCCACCATCGTGTGTTAAGTAGTAGATATAGCCACACTGCGGCTGCTGGATGCCGGTATTCCCAGATTGAGACATCACTTTGTCGATTACAGCAGGACGCAGAGCGGAATGAATGTGGACAGTAGTAAGAGCCCACGGCTGTTTGAGAGAAAGCGCATGTTAGTATGCTGCCGCCCAGATTGCGATTAGTCTACTCATCCCAGTTCTCGAATGTGGAAATGAAAATGCTCAGAGACGGGAGCCCGTGCTTTGGGGCGGAAACGGCCAACACGAGAAGGCTAAAGCGGTACGGCACCGCGAAAAGTATGTTGAGAGTTGCCTTCCGCAACAATCCGTTACACGAAGAGCTTTGCATTCCTCGCCAAACGAATTTTTTAGCCAGCAGAAGGCTGGTCGAGAGGCTGTTGATTACAAAGGAAAGAGTTTACGAAAGGTTGATGATGAAGCTCAGGAGTACGTAGGCCCAGTTGCTGACTCTAAGTCCAGGTCCCGAAAAACTTTAAAGCTGTTTGTTTCTTATCTGGCATTCGCGGCTACTGCTGCCACTATGACGACTGCCATTATCAGAGCGCACACTATCCATGTGCTATCCGCAAGTCAGTAACAGTCAGTTGATTGAAATTGAACCCTCCGTAAACTGTTGCTTACAATATCAGGCTCGATTTAATATCAGTGGTGCTGCATGAAAGTTTGTTGCCTGTAATACAACTTGTGATGAAGCATTTCAGCTATGAGACCTCACAGATTTCGATCCAATCACAGCTTCCATCAGTCCTTTTACAGCGCTTGTACATGAGCTGAGGATATTCTCAATAGCAATATAATTCCACCAAAAAAGAAAGAAACAACACAGCATGCTTCCCTGTCATTTCGGCAATGACCGTAGACCTGTTCAAATTCCAACAGTAGCACCATCCTGAACTCGGACGTTACTGTTAGATGTACAATAAATGGCACATTGAAAGTTCACTCTGAGCTGATAGAAAGCTAGCTATCATCGGACACCTCAAAAAAGGTGTTTTCATGTCCAGTTGTCGCTTTCCCACCAAAAAAAAAAAATTTCCACAATGCCATTGTGCAGCCGACCTGCCATGATGAACAGAGTTGATTTCGAATAACGCCATAACACGAAATTTCTTAACAGCAAAACATCTGCATTGTATCCGATTTCTCTACGACAATGGACACTGTCCAGCCAAAGTTTTGGAACAGCACATTTCCACCCCGTCTATATTATCTCCACAGAGTGGGGACTATTAACTACTAACCGCACACCACACACCACTCACCACTCACCACTCACCAACGGCCATCTGCAGTGCAGGTCGTTCTCTTCAGGAACCCACACTGGGACGATTCAAACATCCAACATATCGTTCAACTCACTAGCAGAGTTTCCAACCAACCCCCCAAGCACCATGCAGAACCATCGCCGTCCCCATAGCGATGCTAGCTACTTCGAGCATTCTCCCACCGCTCGTGGCCCGCTCGCTGACTTCGCTCGGACTCCGTTCTATCCGCCTCCACCGCATGACACTCGGTGTGCTCCGACGTCCGACGGACGTTGCATTTGCGGTGCGAGCTCTTCCTCCTTCAGGCCGGAGTACTCACAGCAGGTGGCTACCGTTCGTCGTCCAGTGAGGCCGAGTCGGCGCCCGTCGCCGCTCTTCTCCTACGGCTCTGACAGCCCCATCCCGCGTTCCAACCCTTTCACCGATGAGGAGCCTGACTACTCCTCGATCCTTCCTGGTTTCGCGCAGAACTTCACTGCTCGGGTCATGCCTGTGAACGATTCGGGCTCCAGCGGGCTTCCATCGGACGAGTCGCCGTCTTCAGCCTATTCCAATGACCGTCCCCCCATTACCGGCCTTGTCCCCTTCGACTACAACGGGGAGCGCTACTATCCGGAGACCACCCGCCGTCCCACCCCGCTTGACCAGGCCCAAGCTGAGGTTGTGCGCATGCTGCGTTCTCAACCCCCTCTGGCACCGCTCAGCACGCCTCCGCTTCGCCCTGTTCCGTCTCCGTCAGACGGGGACTTCGATGTTCCGTTGCTGCTTCTGACTCCCCCGTCGCTTCCGCGTCCTTCCCGGAACCTGGGTCCAGACGCTGAGCGTGTGATGGAAGCTCATAGGACGCTCACTCGGATAATCTCGTCCGAGGATGCTGATGGTGACTCACAGCCGCATTATGGCAACATCCATGTGGGCATGGCGATTGCGCCTTCTCTTGAACCCGTGGGGCTGGGTATTCTGTTCCCGAAGCTTACTGATGAGCAGGAGCCGGAGCCGAAGGAGATCGACTACAGCGATGGGGAGTCCATTTCTCCTGACGAGATGTTCTCGTTCGACCAATTCTTCGCCGGTTTCAATTCTGTTGTGGAGCCGGCGTCGCCGCAGATCGAGAATTTGGAGGATGAGCTTTCTGGCTCTGTTCCGGAGGAGGAGGAGGAGGAGGAGGAGGAGTACGATACTGACTCCGCAGACGAGGCGGCAGCTGAATCTGATGAGGATCCCGATTCGCACATGTTCCCCGGAATTTTGCAGCCCCCCTACCCTGCTGCCCCGGATGGAGTCAACCCACAGCCCATGTGGGCCCAAGTTCTCACTTCCTACGACCTTCTGGACACTCAACCCGACCTTTCCAGTGATCTCGGCCAGGACTTCTTGGTTCTCATGCGGGACACTGATCTGGAGCGCGCACAGCGCGTCAGCGACATCAAGGATCTCCGCTATGACCTCAACCAAGCCAAGGCGTCGCGCAAGGACTCCGCTTGGAACGAGCCTTCAGACCCAACCTTTCTGGATGGGGACTCGGAGGAAGGGATGATGTTGAAATTGATGCACAACATCAACAAGCTATTCGAGCACGATACTTACCACTGGCCGATGTTGACGCCGTTGGAGTATGGTATGGAGGACGAGCACGATCAGATTGTCCCTGACCAGCCTCTCTACATGGCTCACCGCGAAGACTGGAACACCAACTTCGATTGGGTGCAGCCTTTCGCTCCGCGTCGCAGCAGCCGCAGTGACGATGAGGACCAGGTCCCCCTTTCCCCTAAGTCAGAGCCCATTGCGTGGAATCCTGACTTCAATTGGTCGGAGCCGTTCGCTCCGCGCTCTGTCGCTGATGACGAGCTCGAGGTCCCACTTTCGCCGAAGTCAAAGGTAGGTCGTGTGTGAAGGGCTTGATCGCGGACTTCGATAATACCCTACGGAAGCGCTAAGTTTCTCTCCTGGATTTTCTTCTCTCTTGAATTTTCCTTCTTGGATTTGGTAAGTTCTCATTTCATTTGTTCTCTCTTTTGTATACCTGCTAGCTCTTTTGGTTTGGTAGCATGCCCTTAGCATTGCGCTGTTTAGCGAGCGTTTTTCGATAAAAATAAAAAAAAAAGTCCCCTTCCGAGGGGCAAAAAAAAGTATAAATTGCGCCAAAGTGAAGCCAATTCTCTGTAAAGATTCTAGGAATTGTTATAAGCCGTAGAAAAATGCGTAAAGTTGAACAGCCCTTGAGGAATATTTACGAATGTGAGACAGAACAGAAAGACGGGACGAATGGTGAATCAATCAAGCTAATGACCAACCTCATCATACCATTCCCAAAGCGAGCAACGAGAGTCAAGATAGTACCTGTTCACACCATCATTCATGCAAGTCAAATGAACTACACGAAAGATCCAAATGATTTGCAACGTTCCTTTAGAACAAAGAAATCAAACTTTCAAAGATATGTGGACAAAAGCGAAAGTGGTATAATGGCTGCGAGAAAGAACAAAGGAGACAAAGAGCCGCCATATGATAGCCCTACAACAATCCAAGGTCTGCTACGATAGGCAACAAGTCAAGCTCGAAGAAGATGGAATGCTCATCTGCACTTGCTTCGTCATGCAGAGCTTTGTTCTCGTCGCAGCCATCGCACCTACTCAGATGATCGTCGTAAAGGGGTTTGTGATCCCAAACAGGTTCTTCGTCGGTTCTTTTCAAGATATAGTCAACGATCTTGTCTTTGAAACCCTGGAATATTTCGCAATCGTCCATATAGTCAATAAGGTATCCTTTGACATCGGCATTTTTGTCTGGATAAGCGTCAAAAAGGTTCACGAGAAGGATTGAGTCCAAAGAAAGCGCGTCTCTAGAATGTTTGAAGAGCTCTGGCCAGGAATCCTCGGGCGTAACAAGATTGCAGTCATAGAGAGTGAGGGTCCGTAGGGAAGATGCCTGGTTGATCAGGAAATCCGAGAGAGAACGACCACCAGTGTATGCGGAAAGTTTCAAACGACGAAGCTTTCTCCAACGGTTACCCTGGTCTCTGAGTGGGTGGAAGAGATCCCAGTTCTCTCCGATGTCTTCTCCACCTTTTCGCTCAATGAAGTTGAGGTCAAGGTCTTCGAGCATCTCTGCTGTCCCCAGAAATGCTGCAAACGATTCCAGCATGGCTTCGACGGTGAGTCCTTCCCCCGATAAGGAGCACCTGAGACGCGTGAGGTTGGAAAATGACCTGCGAATAAGCCGGACTTCAGATTCGCAGGTATCGCGGAGGTTCCCATTGGCCAAGGTACCCCAGAGGTTCTGTCGCAGCCCGTTCTCGGTCCAGAAGGCTAAGCCAGAGGTGCCGATATCGAGGGACTTTAAGTTACTCTCACCCATGGAATGTGCCCAACCAAGGCCGCGGAGCACAAAGGTCAGTGGGAGCATGTCATCTTCATTGTGGGGCACCTGCGATCTTCGCCTATCAGGAACGGAAAATTGCAGGCCGCGCCAGAAAAATGGATCAGTCCTTTGCCACCAGCGTTTCTGCTTAACGGTCTTCAGGTTCTTGAACCTTGCGAGGGCTTCGTCGAAGTTATCACAAACGTAAGCCATGTGATTATCTTCTTGGAGCTCGGTTGTGTAGTAACGCTCGCCGAGGGGCTTCGATCCGCTTGACCTCGCGCGCACACAGAAAAGGAACTGTGACAAGGCGAGGCATTCGGCTTTATACTCTTCATAGAGATCGAGTATTTCGTCCATCATCCACGGAGATGGAGCATTGAGTGGACGACCGGCGTCTGGAAGGAGATCAGAATTCCATGGCCGACACGCGTTTTGTGCGACTTACAATCAGCTCGGTTTTCGATGTGCGTGTACCATTCTCTCCAGGTGCCGAAAGGAACCAGCTGCGAGCTCTCGACAAGAACGAGCTGTTTCACGTGGTAGCATAAGACATGATGAAAGGCGATGTTGATCATGCGCTGAATGCTGTCTTTCTGAATCTCGAGGAAGATGGTGCTGAACAGGTGGCCGGCGGCGATCCGCGAAAGCGTGCGGGACGATAGCCGGAGTTGCTTCTGGGCGGCACGGTCGGTGTAGCCAGTAATCATGTCCCAGATTTCCTCGGGAAGAGTGGGGACGCTGCGAGCGCGCTCAGCGCGGGACCGGGTGGTATCCAGCGCCATGCGATGCAACTTTGGGAGCGGGGAACCACAAGTTGTATGGCTTTTTTCCTCCTCTTACTCCTGGCTTGGATCTCCAGCAATGACGTCGCCGACCGGGACCGTGCGTGAGCTGTTGAGTGTGATCGTCTTAATGAAGTGCAGGGCCAAATGATGGCTGTGAGAAAGTGGTTCACAGGAGGTGCCAAGCTGGTTACAAGGTGGTGATGAAAGGGAGTCAATATGGGTCAATGTGGGTGACGGGAAGGAAAAGTGAAGAACGTCGGCTGGGCGATCCCGTTCTTGCAAGCGGAGGTGTCGCGCGACCGCCCGAGGACGGGAAGCTTCAACGCTGGGACCGCGTAACCGTCATCACGTGCAACGACCATTTATCTCTGCTTATCACTGCGTGCACCACGACGGCGTGAAACTGCAGGTTTAAGAGACCTTAGGCTTTGATACAGCATCTGAATGCCTAGAATGTGGCCGTGGCGGACAGTGTGCGACACCATCGCCCCGCCTCGAAAGGGCCGACTCGTGCTTAACTGACGGTAGTTAGAAACCTTATTCACGATTGTTTAAAAAGTAGACTCTTCAGCGGGTCCGCTTCCGAGCCTCGCTTATAAGCTTTTTACAGCAGCCTCATACTAAATTCTCTTGACTTTATTGACCTCGCTCCATCAAATGATGATAAATTACCGCAACCGGCAGCGAAGCTGCCCTTGAAAGACGCATCCAGAGGTGGCATCTGGCCTTTTCGATTACAGTCGAGATATCCGAGGCACAGAGGTGGAGCAGGATTTCGGTAACCTTAACTATGGATCAGCATGGCTTGCGATGTACTCTTTGGCAAGGCTACGTTTCTCCAAATCGCTGTGCTGTGTTTGTGATGCAGTCGTGCAAAATGCCGCGCAATTATCGCGTCGCTTTACTCTTTGTGGTAGGTAAAAATAGAATCTGCAACGAGCTGCGCCCTCACTTGGCGCTATGGCTCTAGCTATAGTGGCACGGCGTAGGCGTGTCTTGGATGAGTCGGCAGCTGCAAGGTGCATAAGAGTCACAATTACCCTATTGAAGAGTAGTGCGGCATGCAAGCATGATGCTGTGTATAGGGTAGCTTTGAGAAGGGCCGAAATGCGCGATTGAACTGCTGTGACGCGTGCACGAAACGCGCTATCATGTGACGCGGTTGAAAATAATCCGAGAAGCTCGTCTTGTGCAAGAGCATTATTCGGAAAGCTCGGTAAGCGTGTGGGGCAACGGAAAGGTGTGGAATTAATTGCACGGTGAGCTCAGCGCCGAGTCGGAGCGTCGGCGCGTGCTGGAACGCTGAGGCTTGGAAGTTGCACCAGCACCACAAGCCTTGACGGGCAACGCGGCTCGCGGCGGAGTCGTTCATCGCAACGCGAGACACGTTCTTTCGGCGCCTAATTCGACCGCAGCAGCCGCTGACACCGCGCGCCCCTGTACTTATAGCATGCCAGGCAGCATAAGACCCCGCGACTGTCGTTGAGCTCCCAAGACCCCACGTCATCGGCCCCTCCACCGTCGGGCTGTCACTGCGCCACACCCTCTCCGCCTTCCAACACCACCACGCCCACCATGCTTGTCTCCATAGTCCTAGATGAGCCGCTGCCTCACTACACAAACCTTGACACCGTCTCCGGACGCGTCCTCATTCGCGCCACTAGCAATACCAGCGTGTCCTCGGTCGTTGTCAAGCTCGAGGGCGAGAGCAGGACCAGGCTTGTCCCGCCGCAGAATCCACAATTCAACAATAGCAAGCCGCGCCCGACCCTAGAGATCCACAAGGTGTGCTACCTGTTTGCCTACCCTGACGTCGCGCGCTAACACCCGCCAGATTCTCTACAAGACAGCCATCGTCTTCCCGCCGCCCAACCTACAGACTGCCGACTGGGAATCGCGCAAGTTCACCCTCAACCTCGGAAACTATGAATACCCCTTCTCTTTCAAGGTCCGTCGCTTTGAGTACACATTTTGGGCAGAGTTGCTGACTGCGCAGTACAGTTGCCCTTCAACAACGCATGTCACACCACAACCTCTCTCACCGGAGGCTTCAACCTCGCTACCTTGGAAGTTGCCCGCCCTCCTACGAAACATGTCAAGCAGACACTACCTCCTTCCCTCACCGGCTTTCCGGGCGAGGCCGAGATCCGATACTATGTTAAGTGTACTGTCAATAGACCCTCACTCTTGAAGGAGAACCCCAGAGCTGTACGTTGGCCTCTTTTTCTCCTAGCAATACGTTGTACTCACATTGAATAGTTTGTGCACTTCAATTTCCTTCCTATCGAGCCTCCGCGCCCCCAAAAACCTGACGGCGAAGCATACGCGCGACGCCAGCATCAATTCAACCCCAGATGGGTCCCACCAACCGAGCGCAAATCTGGTATCTGGGACAAGCTGAAGGGAGAAAAGAGCCCTCCCATGAGCCCAACACAAGATGGAGCGGCGGATTTGGTGCGCTTCAGTATCGATGCGCGTCTACCCAATCCGGCGATATTGACGCTGAACGAGGACTTACCACTGAGGGTCCTGGTCAAGCAACTCAACGAGCGCAGCGACCCAGTTTTCCTGCAAATGCTCCAGATTGAGCTCGTTGGGTATACACATGTCCGCGCACATGAGCTTACGCGCACCGAATCGAACAGTTGGATCATCGCTAGCTTTAGCAACATGGCCATCCCCATCGGAGCTCCCTCGGACGTTGCCGGCACCGAGACTCCCATCAACCCGGAGTACTGGTCTGGCAAGCCCCTCCCCAATACTGTTTCTCCCTCGTTCGACACATGTAACATCTCACGTTACTACGAGCTCGAGGTGCGCGTTGGTCTGGGCTACGGTTCATACAAGCATGGCCAAGACCAGCTAGTTGTTCTTCCGTTGCGGCTCCCCGTTAAGGTTTTCTCGGGAATTGAGCCGCCACAGGCACTCCTCCACGCCATGGCTTCGGCGAAGCCGACCCTGCCCCAGCGAAAGCCCGTCCCGGGCTCTGCTGCCATACCGCCTCTGAAGACTGGAGGTCCGGTCATGAATGCCGCTGCTGCTGCACCTCCTTATCAAACTCCCATGACGCCTGTGGACGGAGGATCGGCAGGACACGGCCCAGCGCCTCAAGGCCAGTATTCATCAGGTCACGTAGAGAACTACGAGGATGCGCCTCCGAGCTACGAAGACGCAGTTGCGCAGGATATGCCTGCGGTGGATGGACCACGAAGAGATTACGCACCACCACCGGTCCCAGAGGGTGCGCCAAGGTTCAGCCATGATGAGAAGAGATAAGTGCGAAGCAGTACGGTTCTGCAACAACCTCATACTACTATATCACGGCTTGGCCTTTACGATGGAGTCCGAGGAGTTTTGAAGAATGAAGGGATGCGATTTGACGCGTCAAGGACGCTATGGATACCCCACAGTCTATATCCGTGTAGCTTCAAGTACATTTCAGCATTAATATTCACCTATTGCCGCTCATAGATTTAACCTACCCGTATTCAATATCATATTTATGTGAACAGCCATATAACTCGAATCTAAGGTAGATATACCTCAGCGAATTTTTTTTAAAAAAAAAAAAAGTAAAACAACACGGGGTATTTGGAGCTATCATCTAGACGTGTATGTAGAGTTTTTAATTCGACATTCTCGTCCGGACGATAGCTTCAACTGCCCATGACATGAGCGAAAAACAAATGCACGCTAGCCTTCGGCCGTCTGCAGCTTTCAAAATGGGTGTGATTGCGCGATTGACGGGGTTCTCAATTCTCCGACGGCACGAAAGCTCGCCGTCTGACGGCGACTTTGCGGCCTTACTCGGTTAGTGCGGAGCCACAACACAGCCTCCTACTAAGCCACCACCACGACCACACCGGTCACTCGAGTGATCATGCTATCTCTCCAGCTCCTTTGCAGGGATGCGGATCCTTGCGGGGAAGGGGCTCCCCTTCCGCCCGATTAATGAGCTTGGTGGAGGCGGAAAAAGCACTATGATAGCTTAAAGTTGTTCACTTGCGATCGCGGAGGCCGAGATGCCGAGGCCGAGTAAGCTATCGAAGTGGGATGGTTACCTGGAGCTTTCAGCTCACTTTCTCACCCGCTTGATCAGCCTTGCCTTTTCGCCTTTTCTTGCTTGCGACCGCGGGCTTGCTGCATGCACCTTGCCTCGTGCCCCTGCCACATGTCGACATCGCTCAGCACCTTGTTTCGCTTTCTGATCTGACGTGCTAGGCAGCAGTTTTGAACATCAAGCTCCCCCGCAACGGAGTTCGTCGGGAAGCGTCAGGATCGCGTCTTTGCGTGTTTTGTCTCACCGAAGCTTGTTATTGTTGCTCTATCTCTTAATTCACATGAAAACCTGGTAGCTGTCTTTTGAGACGGCTGTTTATTTTCCGCACCGGAGACATCAGTCAAGATCACGTTTGCATCGACTTACCGCTCTGTCCACCTCCGCTCCGCAACGTCTGCGCCCGCAGAAAAAACCAACCCACCTTTAGCTTGGCCTTCCTCAACATCGCCAGGATTCGGCAACAGACAAGAGAGAAGAGCTAGGACAACCAACCCGCAAACATCCGCCACATCAACTCACCTAATCGAACCACACAATCACCATGCCGCCACCCCCACTACCAACCACAACAACACCACCACCACCATCCCAGCCACGCCTCCGGACTCCATCACCCCCACCCAGCACATGGACCGATGATGAGGCAGAGGCCAATTCCATCCACCACGACTACCACCTCGCGCCTACGTCATTACACCCAGCGCCACCCTCCCCAGCCTTCACCAGCTCGACCATCTACCGCACACCGGACGAAGCATACTCCGATGCCGAGACAGATTTGACTGAAGGGAGTGGCATCGCAACACCTGTCACGCTGTCATCCGGACGCGACGGCGAGAGAGGAGGGAGCAGCAGGGATGATAGGAGTCTACGGTACGAGGACCTGCCGCCGAGCTACGAGGAAGCGCAGCAGCAGCACCACCAGCAACAGCAACAAGGAAACCCGTTATCCCCGCCGCCGTCGTTCGCTGAGACCGCGGCAGGCGGCCCTTTTTATACTGTAAACACCAACATCAGCCCCGCAGCAGCAGGCCCAGGCGGCCTCGATCCCCTTCTCCCAGCCGTTGAGCGTCTGGTCCTGCGCGAGAAGGAGCGTGCGGCGAGCGAGAACGAGAATGGATCGGAGACGCGGAGTGCATGGAGCGGGTCGGGCAGCGGCGGTGCTGCGAGGGAAGGGAGGCCACAGTACAGCTTCGCGGCCGTCGAGGGGCTAGCGAGCGAACACCACGGCGTGCTCGAGGTCGCGCTGCAGTGGGCGCATCCGGCGTGGTGCGATGGCGATCGAAAGGAGCCAGTGTCGACAGCGCCGTTGGGGCGGCCGGTCGCGCTGCCGCAGAGGAGTGGCGCCAACTCTTCTAGCAACGGTGAGAGAAAGGATGGAAACGGAGAGGAGACGACAACAGCGGACGTCCCGAGTCCAGACGACGTGCTCGCCTTCGCGCGGGCCTACGCACCCGCCCTGCAGGACCACGGCGTTCCGCCGCCGCTTTTCGTCGCCTTCCTCGACGGCCTCAACGCCGTCTGCCAGGCTGCGCGGGCACCTGCGTCCTTGTCCTCTGAAACCGACGACGATGACGGCACGGATCTCGAACTGGTCGAGACGTACCTCGCCCGCGCCAACGCCCTCTTCTTCGCGCACCGTGGCCTGCTCGCACGTGTCGTCGACATTGATGGCCTGCTCGACGACGTCCTGCGGCTGTCCAACCGGGCCAACGTGCGCGGCGCGCTGGCGGCAGACGTGACACGCGAGGGGCTGACGGAGCGCGAGCGCGTCGACGCGCTCGATCCATGGGTGGAGACGAGGTTGGTTTGGGACGGGCTACCCGAGTCGATTATTGGGTTGTGGGATCTGCGAGGACAGCAGCGGGAGCGAGAAGGGGAGCGTGGGATCAGCGGGCAGCAGCAGCAGCAGCAGCAGCGACGCAAAGAAAGTTTAGGAGGATTAACAGCAGAAGCAGAAGCAGTAATAGCAGAAGCAACAGCAATGGCAAGAGCAGCAGCAGCAGGATTGCCACCGTCAACGACAGCAGCACCAAACTTCGCCGCCGTCACGCCACCGCGCCCTACGCTCGCAGCCACCACGACGACGCCCGCCTACGCATCCGGCGAGTTCTACCAGAGCCCCGAAGGCGGCGCCAGCGGCTTGCTACTCGACGAGAAAGAGGCACAGGCACGACAACAAGCCTGGGCCTACGCATCATCCTCGTCGTCACAACAACAACAACAATATCCCCAGCCCGGGCCTTCCAATAACCGCTCTCACATATTCCCTCCGCTCCCTCCTATCACGCCCTTGCCAGCCTTCGGCCCCTTTCCGCCGGCACCTCCACCGCCTTTCGGCGACCACGCTCGCTGGGCCGACTGGGGTCAGGGCTTGGGCAGGAGGTGGGCCGATTGGGGCCAGCGCTTCGGCGCGAACTGGGCGGCTTGGGGCCAGGATGTCGGGAACAGGGCGGCTATGTGGGGGCAGGAGGTCGGTAGGGGCGTTGACGGGAGGGTCGATGGAAGGGGTTTTGGTGGTGTTGGTGGAGTAGGAGGCGGATGGGGAGCAGGGGGCGGCTGGGGAGGAGGAGGAAGAGGGCATTGGGGTGGTGGTGGTGGATGCGGGCGTATTGGACGAGGCGCATGGGGTGGCGGTGCCGCTGGCTTTGCCGGCGCGGGACCGAGTGGCGGGCAGGGCGGCAGTGCTGTGTCCGGCTTTGCTGGCCCGTACGGGCACCTATTCGGCGGGCCGAGGGGGTTCGGCTTCGCGGGAAGGGGTGGCGGACGCTGGGCTGGCAGAGGGCGCGGCGGCGCCGCCGGGCACGAGCTTCGCCGTGGTTGGGGCAGCAGTGGAGCTGGGCCGTTCGGTCAGTACGGTACGTTTGGCGTCCCAGCGCACCATGGCGTCGGCGACGATGTGCCCAATCAGAGCACTACGACGCTCAATACGCGGATCAGCCTCGAAGATAATGACGACGACTCTTCGTCATCCTCGTCTTCTTCCGACAGCGACTCTGAAGTCGACGAGATCGAATTCTCGTATCTCAAGCGCATGCGGTCCATTGAGGAGTCCGCCTCCGATGCTCTGGCTAAGGGAAAACGCTCTCAAACCGAAGTCGAACGGGACCGCAGCAAGGCGATTGAGAAGGCGAGGGCGGATCGTGACAAAGCCGAGAGGAAGCTTGAGGCTAGGCGGAAGAAGGAAGAGGGTAGACGTGAGATGAAGGCAAAGAGGAAGGAGTGGAGAGAACACAGGTCGGCGGCCCGGGAGAGTGGGCGGGAAGGGAAAAAGGAGAGGAAAGCGGAGAAGAAACGATTGAAGAAAGAGTACAAGGATGCAAGGAACAAGTGGAAGGAGGGCAGGAGAGAGGAGAGACGTGAGCGGAAGAATGAGAAGCGTGAGAGGAGGGACAGGCGGCGTGGTGATGGTGGAGGTCGCTGCGGCGTGAGAGTGGAGGGAGACCTAAACGCCCAAGGTGGTCGGAGCTTGGAGGTCGGCGTCGTGCCGTCGCAAGATGAGGATGCTCGTGCCGTGCCTGGCGCTGCAATTGGCGCGTCGTCCGCGCCCACGCCGTCGTCGTCGCCGCCTCAGCTTCTGTGGGTCGTCGTGGAAAATCTTGGAAACTGAGCGGTGAAGGTGTGGAGGGTCGTGAGCCGCCAGCAAAATGAATTTTTCATGCGCTGTGAACGAGGCGCTTGGCGGGGCGGGAATTTGGTGATCAATACTGGAACAGGCGGCATCGAGTCTCATGACTGTACTTCTATTGGTGAACACTGCGTCTACAGTGGTTGGAATCAGTTTCCTGTAGCAATAATCATGACAGCAACACGTTTCACAGTCCTTTGACAAGCTGCGGCAGGATCAAAGTAAGGCTGAGGGCCATTCCTGCGTGATTGTGAGACGGAGCGGGTGGACCATAGATCAATGCAGTATAGTAGACGTGTATCGCCTAGCTTCGAAAGGCGAAGTGGTGATGGTCGCCAGCCGAATGATCCTTTCGCGCGGAGGCCCAACCAAGGCCGAGGTGAAGTGCCGCCGTGACTTAGCCGTGCCGTCGGCGACTTTCTCCGCATCCCGATCGCCATCGTGGCTTGCCTAGCGGCCGTTGGTGTTGAGAGCTTGCCCGTCCCTGAACATGATCGTGCACTTAGCCGCTCGCTAAAATGACCCCATACGTCACCCCCGCCAGGGGCGCCCCTTTTGCTCCCCGCATCTGCTAATCTTTTTTTCCGACGCAACGACATTGCTTATTTCTTGTGACCCTTTTTTCCACGCGTGCTTGGCGCACAAGCCATGCTTTGGGAGATTCCCGAGTGCTTTGTTTCCCGCGGGTGCGGTTGTGGCTTTCGATGAAGCCGTAACTTCGGATCATGAAGCAGACCGCTCGAGCACCCGATTTTCCGACGTGTTGGTTTGATCTTCTCGGAGCTTGACCATTAAGCAGTTAGCTATAGGGGAATCGGAATTTGACAGCTGTACTAGCCGCCAAGGCCGCTACCGACTAGCCAGTCAGAGTTAAGCATGGCGGTCTTTTCCCTAACCAAAGGACCAGGGCGATTGTCTGCCGCGCATCGCTCCAGGAGAAAGGGTGAGCTGCAGCTCTTGGCAGAACAAACAGGAGCTCCAACTCCGTGAAGCCTTCACGCTATACCGCTCCTTCTCGGGGGGAGGGGCTTATCACCATCATTTGAGGTTGTCCCAATCCGTCCTGGTGTCTGCGGCGCCACCACTTGCAGCGAGCCGGCAGCATATCTGAGCTTCCCGCCGCAGTGGAGACGTTATCAAACCGCGATTCAGCCCTGTGACGTATGCAGCCAAGGCCAGCAGGCTCGTTGGCAGCTGAAATTGTGCCCGAAGTCATCTGAACCTTTGCGGCGAGTATTTCGGAAAATTAGGGCGATCTGGCGATCCCCATATGCGAAGTACCCCGAGCCTCAACAACTGCGCCTCAGTCCTCACCGCCACGGTGGATGCCTCGCCTGGGAGTTCCGGAGTTATGCAGCGATGGCTGGCATTTTTTTCTGCCGTTTAAAACGTATACGATGAGGTGGCGTAGTAAGGTTTGCGCTGGCTGAGACCGAGATTCCAGCGAGCTAAGCTTTCATAACAACTCCGTTAATGATCTTCCACGTTCAATTGGTTTGACTCGGGAGATGGGAGATTGGTTTCCAAGATAAGGCAGCTGAAACCCCGCAGATCCTCCTCTTATCGACCTGCCAACCGGAAGGGGTCGCAACGGGGCCACGACTCACGATTCAGCGCTCGCTGAACCAATCCCACGGACTCTCCGCTAGACTGAATGAGGGTCTCTGGTAAGGCCGGACCGGGTCACGGACCCTGCGCGGAAGCCGGGCGCCTGCAGGGACGAACTGGGTCCGCAAGCAGAGGATGAGTTTGAGGAGGATGACGATCGTCGTATGTTCGGCCATGCCATGTGTGACCCATGTTCGTCATCATTGCTGGGAGTTGCGAATGGTACGAAGGAGAATTAGCGGCAAAAAAGCATATAAGAAAGTTGAATTGCCCGCTTGACTGACTCCATCCCACCACAGCCTGCTCACCAGCATCATCCCGACGTTCTCTACTCCCTTCAAACCAACCTTCGTCACTCTTTCGACAACAAAAGAACAGTCAAAATGAAGTTCTTCTCCGTTTTCGCTCTTTCCAGCCTTTTCGTTGGCTCCATGGCCGCCCCGGCCCCTGTCGATAAGCGCCAGGACATCGGCTCTGTCCTGAGCCTCGTCCAGGGCCTGCTTCCTCAGGTCCAGCAGTACACTGGCGTCATTAGTGAGTGCAGTCCATGCTCTTTCTCAGGTGTCCCAACTCTAACAGCCACACAGACCAGACCGCCTCCGGCCTTGGCCCTCTGTCGACCCTGAAGCAGAACCAGACTGCTGCCAACACCTACCAGAACCAGGTCGCCGACCTCACCACCCTTGTCCAGGGCACCGTCACCAAGGTCACCAGCCTCCAGCAGACCGTTGGTGGTCTCACCACCCGCGCCGAGGACGCCACCGCTATCGCCGGTGTCCTCAGCAACGTCCTCCTTGAGGTCAACGGCGCTCTGAACAACGTTGACGGCACCCTCGGTCTCGGCTCTCTCCTCAACCTCGCCTCTCCTCTCACCAGCACTCTGTCCGGTCTCCTCAACGGTGTTGAGTCCCTCGTCGGCGGTGTCCTGAACCTTGTTGAGGGTCTCCTCGGTGGTGTCCTGAGCACTCTTGGCCTTAGCAACGCTCTGTCTCCCCTCATCGGCAGCAACGGCATCCTTGGCGGTCTCCTCAGCGGCAGCGGTGCCAACTCCAAGGACGGCCTCCTCGGTGTTTTGTAAATGGGTGACACGATCGTCTAGTGGTGGTATTACGAATTCGATTCTTCACACCTGTCATCTTTGAGCCTTCTGCGGGCTGAGCTCAAGAGCGTTGGGACACGATGCGAGCCAGGCTTAGCTTCTGTATACAGTAGTTAGGCTGCTGCCTTGGGCAGCAGCGGGAATTGATTGTTGAAAAAGCGCATTGCGATCCTGTGACTTGTGAGTGTGAGACTGGTGACGACTGCAGGCGAATCGATTGGCTCGGTTGGTGGTGCTGGGGTGATGCACAGCAGATCTAGAGACGGAACGGTCGGGGCGGCGGCGCGGCATCCCTGCAGCTGCGCTTCTGCCTTGCCGGCCACGTTGAAGAAGTCGGTCGTCGACAGTGTCGAATTGATGAGGTCGAGATAGCGTGGATATTCGGGCGTTTCACAAGCGCAGAAACGGGGGACTGGAAGAAACGCGCGGGGCTCGCGTTGCGGCCTGGTGAAGCACTACTTAGTGGCTGCGCGTCGGCCCTCGTCTCTCTCCCGCGTCCCTCCGCCCGCCAACCCCAAACGCCTATCCGCCTCTGCTAGGGCTTGCGACGGGCTTGCGACCAGCTCGCAACGGTACTCGCTACCATTTTCACTCGTTGATCTTCTCTTCTTCTTCCCGCCTTTTCGCAACCCCGCCTCCCGTTGATTAATCCGCGTCGAACAAGGAAGGAGAGCATTCGACCACTCCGACGTGTCCTCGTATCGCGCGTCCCTCGCTGACATCAGATCGCGGGCTCCTTCGACCGCGCTGCGCCCTGCATACCTCTCTTCTTCAACTGCACGCCCGCCCCAATTCTCCGCCGACTTACCCGCCCGCTCGCTGCATCTTCCTCGCCAACTATGCACGCTGACGTGCGGTTCGCCCGCCTACTGGCCCTCTTGGCCCTCGCAGTGAACCTGGTGAATGCCTTCTACATCCCAGGTATGAGACCCAAGCATTTAGGAACCGCAACTTTCGAGTAACCTTGCCTCCAGGCTGGTCCATTAAGAGCTACGCCGACGGCGAGACCATTCCTCTTTTCGTAAACAAAGTCTATTCCGACAATACCCAGCTGCAGTACGCCTATGCCGAGCTCCCATTCGTCTGCCCGCCCACTGGCCGCCGCTCTCCCGGTTCCAGCGGCGCCACGCTGTCCCTGAATCTCGGCGAAATTCTTCGCGGCGATCGCATAATCTTGTCCGACTATGAGCTTATCATGGGCGTGGACGAGGAGGCGCGATACCTGTGCAGTACCAAGGTCGACAGGCGCGGCCTAGAAAAGGCCAAGGAAATCGTCAAGGATGGCTACGTCGCCGAGTGGATTGTGGACAACATGCCTGGTGCGACCAGCTTTGTCACCACCGACAAGTCGCGCAAGTACTATGCTGCTGGATTCAAGATGGGCTATGAGGACTTCGACCCCGCCACTGGCAAACCCCGCTTTTACATCAACAATCACGTTACCCTCGTTATCCGTTACCGCCCCGCTCCTGGTCGCGACGGCGAGCACGGGAAGAAGGTCGTCGTTGGCTTCGAAGTCTACACCAAGAGCATTGAGGCCGACAACCGTGACAAGAATGGAATTCCCAAGGATCTCCAAAACTCCGAAAACGGCCTCGAGCTGCGCATACAGCCGAACATCACCGACCTGCAGTCCAGATATGCAGACTCGTCGTACGTACCGGACGAGGAGAGTATCGATGATGATGCCACGTTGACGATTCCGTACACCTACTCGGTCTATTTCCGCGAAGATGACCACGTGGAGTGGCAGAACCGGTGGGACATGTACTTCGTGAACCAGGAAGACAGCTCCAAGATCCACTGGATTGCCATCGTCAACTCTCTTCTGATTTCTGCCATTCTGACGGCTGCAGTCGCTGTCATTTTCACCAGGACCGTTCGTGGTGACATCAAGGGTACGAGTGACATCGAGAAACCCAAGATTCCGCGTCCGAAGAACTCCAAGTCTCCCAAGAAGAGCGCTGAAAAAGGTGGCCTCTTGGAGCAGCTGGACGATGATGGTGATGCTGATGTTTCGTCTGATGAGGAGCCGCTGGAAGACATCACGGGCTGGAAACTTCTTCATGGCGATGTCTTCCGCGCCCCGGCATATGGAGGCTTGTTGGCTCCTCTTGTGGGCTCCGGCTCGCAACTGGTGTTCATGACGACAGGATTACTCATACTGAGCGCTGTCGGCGTCCTTAACCCTAGTTTCCGTGGTGGTTTCATCAGTGTTGGCCTAGCCCTCTTCATACTCGCTGGTGTCTTTTCCGGCTATTTCTCTGCGAGAGTCTACAAGACCTTTGGCGGACAGCGCTGGCAGAAGAACGTCGTGGTGGTAAGTTATATCGCGCTCCACGCACGTCGACTTTCTAACAATGACAGACTGGCACACTCATCCCAGGCCTTATCTTCGCCACCGTCTTCATTCTCAACCTCTTCGTGTGGGCCCAAGCGTCCAGCACTGCGATCCCTTTCGGCACGCTGATCGCGCTGCTGATCCTGTGGTTGCTGGTTCAGCTTCCACTTGTTTACGTTGGAAGTTGGTATGGCTTCGAAAAGGTCGGCGCATGGACTCATCCAGTGAAGACGAACGCGATCCCCCGCCAGATTCCTGCCCAGCCCTGGTATACAAAGGGCACTCAGTTCATCCTCCTTGCCGGTCTGCTTCCATTCGCCGTCATCTTCATCGAACTGCTGTTCGTTTTCAGGAGCGTTTGGCAAGACAAGAGCGGCTACTACTACGTCTTTGGGTTTTTGGCCGCTGTTTGCCTGATCCTGTTCATCACCGTGATTGAGGTTACAATCATTGCAACGTACAACCAGTTGTGCTCGGAGGTAGGTTTCCCATGCTGTTCTGGCACACCCAATACTCATACTCTGCAGAACTACCACTGGTGGTGGCAATCTTTCTTCGTAGGCGGCGGTTCGGCCCTCTGGGTTTTCCTGGCCTGCACGTGGTATTACTTTTTCAAGCTTCGCATCACGGGATTCGTTTCCAGCATGCTGTTCTTCTCTTACAGCTTCCTCGCCTGTCTCGTATACGGCCTCCTCACAGGTACAATTGGTTTCCTTGCTGCGTACGCGTTCGTACGCAGGATCTACGGGTAGGCCAATCCACATGAAAGAACGTCTTTGACCATCAGCTAATCTCACATAACGTACAGAGCTATAAAGGCAGACTAAACAAATGCACTGCGAGAGAGCAAGCTGTCTCAAGCATGTAGCAGCGATCATCCATTCTGTTTTCAAGTGCAAGCTTCCTTTCCGAGCCACATCATCTTCAGGTGTTTCTTTTCCATTTTATCTAGGGTGGCAGCCGTTCGAATGCTAGCAGCGATGGCAAGGAGTTTCTGGGTAACGAGTTAATGTGACGGAAATGCTGAGATAAGCAGATCAAATTTTTTGTATTCCCTCTCTGCTCTGGAAGTTTTCTATTCTTTCAGTAAGTTTGGCTTTGAAGCAACAAGCATGCGGTACGGTCAGCTAAGAAAATGAGTTTCTTACAATCCTTCGATAAGCCTTGTTACTGTCCTTTGTATATACTCACTCTCCTGAGGCTGGTTACATAATATGGACGCTTTGTTATCTTTAGTCTCTCAATAAATTCCCTGCCCTGAATCCTGAAGAGCCTTAATCACCAATGTCCGCACAGCTGCGAGCAGTGCGCAATAAATCACAATGTTGCAACTCTACCAAGGTAAGCATTCTACAAGCAAATACATTAGCAGAATAAGAAACTAACGGTAGTCGCGATGTTAGCATGGGCTACATTGTCAACAGAAAATTTTAGAATTCTACGCAGCAGCACAGGGGATGTTTGATGGCACCCGCGAGACTGACAAAGTACCGCGTTACCTACCACAAAGCGAGTCGTCATGCATAGCTACAAAGGAACAAGATCGCAAATCAGGATGACTTGTTGCGAATCCTTTATTTCTGATGGCTGAAAACATCCTCACAGCGCTGAGCGCAGCGAACAAAGACAGCTCGCTTCAGATAAACATGGGCGCCATCTTGGACCTACCTCAAGCAGTGAGACACTCGCGATTGAAGCTGCGAGACTTGTGCTTTCCATCCTTTGATCATGTCAGGCCGCAAACCCCCGATCCTGAGGCCGGTTCCAACAATATTTCCGATAGCGCCGCAAGGGGGTCAGCGTCGCGAAGGCAAGGATTTGTGGCTGGACAGGCTCCGAATCGAATACAACCGGCAACGCACAAGTGGTGGAGTTCATGACCGATGGGTGAGGCATGCTGAGGCATTGCCGGATGAAGGTGACGTCCATATGACTGAAGGCCGATCTTGAGCAGAGGGCTGATAGTACAGTACTGCGACAGCCGCACGGGATAGCTATTTCAATCAATTCTACTCCGACTTACCTTTATCCGTCATACGGGCGTGGGAGCGAGAGTCAAGTCAGCGATGGCCGCGACCATGGGCCGATGGGTGGGTCGATTTTCTGGACGTTTACGTCAATGAGGATGAGATATATTACACGAAAGAGGCGTCGGAATGGAGTCTGAATGAAGGTCAGCCGCATTTCACCTACGCTACTTCTTTCGTAGTTCCCTGGCTGAGAGAGGTGCAAACAGTGCAGATTAGGGCCATGTACAGAGAGGACTTCGGACAGCAGCTTGATGGCTTCCAGGACTGGTTTCGGGATCTGGCAGAGAGGATTACGCGAGCGCGTGGTTGGCAAGTACCAAACCCACGATTGACTCCTGCGGCGCCTCCCGGTGTCTTGGACAATGGAATACTCCCAACTGTACAATCTATGACTGACGATATAGCCACGATGCCTAACAACCTAAGGGGGGAGGGTATTTGGCGGCTAGGTGCAAGTTATGGGGGGCGTGGAAGTTATGGCTTAGTCTCTATATGGCGCCTAATTGACGCGAGTGGCAGGACTTTGGGTGTAGGTCACACGTATCTCGGAGATGATATCAATTGACTAATGACGAAATTCACAGAAGATATTCTTGAAGAAAGATAGAGAAACGAACGACTTTGTGGGCAACAAAGAGCGTCAATTTCTGTTCGATTTAAGACTTCAGAGGGCTCCCGAGTTCATTCCGTATTTGCTTGGGCACCACCAAAGCACCGCCACAGAAAACGGTAGGACATGGCTCAATTACGCAATTTATGGGGATCTGGCGCAAGTTTTGAAGCATTACAAGGAAAGAGAGTAGGTTAGCCCAACCCCGTTTTGCGCCGACTCTGAAAGTTAACGGGAGTCCTCGATACAGTCTAGTGGTTCCTGAAGCTTTTATCTGGTACCTATTTCATACCATGGCTCGGGCACTCGACTTTATCGAAAAGGGCCACGAGCCGGGCCAAGTCCCGCCTCGCCCTTGGCAATCATTGTTCCACTACGACTTCAAGCCCTCAAACATTCTGCTCGACGCTCCCGCCACGGACGGGCCCGAATGGTGCAGCCACTACCCGCTCCCGATCCTCGCGGATTTCGGAGGCGCAGAGGCGTACCCGCAACCGGGCGCGGCCGACCAGATCCCCTCGCACATCCGCGGCTACGGGACCAAGGGCTTCTCCCCGTTCGAGCTGTTCCAGCCCAACTCGCAGCGCCTCTCCAACGACGAGCGCGCCAACGGGCCCGCCCGCGACACGCCCGTCGACGCGCAGAGGAACCCGCTGCCGCCGCTGCCGCCGACAGCGCGCGCGCGCGCGTCGCCCTACAAGCCGCCGCTGCCCGTCGACCAGCAGGTGCGCATCCACTCGTCCATCTTCCAGCTCGGCGTGACCATCTGGTGCACCATGACCAACCGCATCGCGCCGCGCGGCCAGGTCTGCGCCTGGCGCGGCGGCTACGCGCCGAACGACAACCGGTCCAAAAGCAACGCGTATCCGGCGTGGTGGGACCACCTGCCCAGACACGCGCCGCGCCGGCCCTGGCCGTGGAAGGTGGCGAAGCCGCTGCGGAAGAAGGAGTGGAAGGCGATGCTGGGCAGGGGCTTGGCCGAGGCGCCGGTCGTCGAGTACGGGCCGATGCACGCGCGGAGGGCGAGGTACGGCCCGTTGCCGAGCAGCTTGGATAAGCTGGGGGCGAGGCCGAAGTCTTATATCCGGCGGATGGCCGGGGGCATGTGGGTGCCGCTTGCGCCGTCGGAGTCGTTGAAGCCGAGATATAGCGATCGGTTGGTCGATCTAGGTGAGTTCGATTTGTGTTTTTTTTCGTTGCTAATATGTTTTACTGATGTGCTTTTCCCTGTAGCTTACAAGTGCATGAGTCCGCTCATTGCTGATAGGCCGACCACGGACGGCCTTCTGATACAGACGCAGCAGGAGATGAATGCACTTCAAGGGCGATATCCCGATGGTAGCGGCGCAGGACCCGAACCACTGCTATTGCCGCCGGATAAGGTAGGTTCTTCCCCTTGCTTGACGCTATTATATTATGCTGATAAACCGCGCTGCAGTTTCCAATTGGACAGCACACACTGAACGACGTTTGGCGGGCGGAATTTTGAAGTGTATTTCTCGGAGCATGGTCACTTAGTCTCTCTCTTTCAATGCCGCCGAACAATGTACATACATATATCTTCTAGAAGAAACACAGCCCTCGCTCGTACCCAGTAATCTGAAACCGTGTATGTGCTCCGTGGCTTGACTCTCAGAGCAACTCAAGTGCTGCTACATGCATACCGAGATAGGACAAAAGTCGTTGCCGGGCACGATCTACCCTCGCCTACATTGGTGACCCACAAATGATGATCCCACTGCATGCGACCCGCATCATTGGATATGCTTTGTATCCTCAACTTACTGATTGCTTCGTATAGCGCTCCTCAAATATGCGGCCCTTTCTGTTACGGTTGAAGCCCTCGAGCGCGAAAAGCTCGTGACGAAGCAAGAAATGAGTCTAGGAGGATGGATAGTGGGCTGACAAGGGTTCAATCAGACTCCAGCTGCTCAAATACGGTGTACATGATAAACTCATGGCTTACTCAGCCATCTCGATGGCTGTTTTACGGGCATTCCAAGTTGCCGACCCTTCGTTTGGTCATTAAATGACTGCAGTGATTTGCGCAGTATCTCGTTAAAGGTTCACTCCGCTCCAGCCCAGTTTCATGACAGTTTGCGATTAAGAGATGGAGCTCTGGCCGCCTGCAAAAAAGCAATGACGAGGAGAAAGATTTTCAACTGCAGTGTAGCTCTGTTTGACAAACAGGAGAGAAGAGCGCTTACAATTTCAGTACATTATGCGTCATCTCCCCCAGACTCCAAATCTCGTGGCCTAAGGCGTGTGCGGTGGCTGCTCTCCACACTCGCTTAAATCCTGCCTAAACACGATTGCAACGCCTCAAGGTGGAGAATGTGGATAAGCCACGAGATCCCCTGGGAGGCTTGCGGACACTAAAACCGGAGATCGACATACTAAACCGGAAACGCGGCTGAGCTTAAGACAGCTTACGCAGCCGCAACGGCAGGCTTGCCCAGGACGCCTTAGCTCCCCACCCCACGAAAACTACGCGTCGGGAAATATTGAGTATACATGGGTCCCAGCAGACCAGCCGATGCACTGTGCGAGTGCTTGAGTGAACGGATCCCGGCCAGCTTCATACCTTAATCTTGGATATATGCCTCCGCGATTGCACCTCCAATCGATCGGCTTACGCACTTCATCCACGCATTCACGATAGTCAATCTACTCCACAGATGTCGATCTTGACTTTTTCAATCTTCCCCTACGCCACATGCGCTTAGAGCGCACGCGTGTGCAGCAATGCCAAAGGGGCTTCCGCGTAAGACCAGCATTTGCAGAACCTGTGATTGGCCTCTCGGTTCAGGTGTCCACCGAGATGCTGCGGGCTCGGCGATATGTTCCTGGTTTTAGAGACCAAGGCTCTCAATCATGCCTGAGGTTCGGGTATAAAGTCGATATCTCTTTGCACGTCTTTCCTCTACCATCAGGACTCTCGTTTCCAGCTCTTTGATATTGTCTCTCATTCGCTTTTGTCCATTGGCCCTCTATTGCGCTCGGATCGGAAATAGCTACGATGGGCATCCTGAAATGGACAATCGTCACTCTTTTTGCCTCCACAATTGATTTGGCAGTCAGTTCCCCGTTGGCAAAACGCAATGAAACTTGCACCACTAAAAACCAACGGAAATCATGGTAAGACCATACAGCTTGAATGGGTGCAACAAATTGTTAAAGATGGCTTTCAGGAACAATCTCAGCGACGCTGAAAAAGCGGCTTACATCGACGCTGAGCTTTGCTTGATGTCATCCCCTCCGAAGCTGAACATCGAAGGCGCGAAGAACCGATGGGACGAGTTGATGTACTCCCACGTTGTTCAGTCGAACATCATACACGATGTGGTACGTAGCCGAGCCACCTCTTATACGCCATTGAGCTTCAACAATTGATTCCGTGTATAGGGCGCCTTCCTGCCTTGGCACCGTCTCTACATGCGCGCCCACGAACTACTTCTCCAGAACGAGTGCAACTACACAGGCGCACAGCCCTACTGGGAGGAGTCTCTCGATGTCACTGCGCTCAACGAGTCTTCCGTCTTCGATCCAGACACAGGATTCGGCGGCAATGGCGTTGGAGATGATGAGTGTGTCGCAGATGGCCCGTTCCAGAACCTCACGCTCCACATCAATCAGACCTCGAGCTCTGCGAACTACTGCCTTTCACGCAGCCTCGACTCCTCCAACTTCCAAAAAGCGAACCAGACATACATCGATGCCTGCTACGCATCGGCGAACTACTCTGAGGCATGGCAGTGCTACAAGTCTAGCCCTCACACCGCTGGACATGCGGGCGTAGGAGGGACGGTAAGCGCAGAGCACTCATTGAAATCAAAGTTACATATACTGATAGTTGTAAAAGATGCTTGATGTAGTGGCCAGTCCCGGAGATGTAAGTCTTCCCTCGTTGTTTTAGGCTTGATCCAACCCTTTCTCCAATACAGGGCATGGCTAACAGTTTTTTTTTAGCCTCTCTTCTTCCTGCACCACACAAACTTGGACCGCTTGTGGTGGGTCTGGCAGAGCGCGAACCTTTCAGCGCGCCTGACCGACATGACCGGACGGAACGTCCCTCTTACAAGCTACTTGGAGCAAAATGACTTTGAATACCCGGGCGCTGATATTCTCGACTATGATGGTGACTCGGGTAATGTCACAACCTTGAATCATAATTTGTGGATGGTGGGAATTATTGCGAATGCTACGGTGGGTGATGTGATGGATCTGGGAGGAGAGACTATCTGTGCAGAGTATGTCTAAAAAAGGCCTGAGCTCAGAACATGGACACACATTTGTAGACTCCAGCGGTCGAAAGCTGACTTATTATGATCATCTTTAATGAGAACTGGCTGTCCATAAGAGAGTCATCTATTAAGTGTTCTAGAATAATCATTATCTCAGAAAGCCACTAACATTATGGTATGCGCTTTTGCCATACAGTGTGAGCTTTTTTTTAAGTTTGAATGAATCATATCACCCGGAAAATATATGAAACACACTACTACTCAGCTTGGCTAGCTGCATTCCCACTGCTTGGAACGAATTCAGCCAAGAGCATGCGTAGCATAAAGCTGAAATCCTTCCCGAAAGATGCAGGTATGTGATGAAGCAGTAACCAATTCCGTCCTGAGATGCATCTACATCTTCAGAAGGACAAATGAAACAGTCTGCGGGAAACGGGCCGTCCACTAGTGGATATCCCTGCAAAAGCATCTCAACTTCGCAAGCAGATTACCGTGTTTGACAATAAGCACACATATTCTGCGATTTCACGTCTTTTCCAATTGGTGTCTCATTTCTGTTGGGTTTCTCCGGTTTGAAGTGGGTATGATCCCGGGCGAAAGGCAACGCATGTGGATCGTCCTGGCAAATGAAAGCACGCTGATACGGGAATCTGCTAGATCCAAACGGCTCGAAGACACGTTGGTCCCGGCGTGTCCAAAATTTTCACCAGCGATGGTATTTATATTACCTCTACGTCCCCTCAGCAGCGACTGAGACAATGGCTTTCGTCGTTGCATATTTCACAGTCCATGTCTTGGCCATCTAATCGAGAGCTCTTACAAACAAATGGCCATACGCTGGGCGTCTCTTCTCCAAGTTTCATACAGGTAAATACGCATCCACATTCCTCATGCTTCACTACATCGTGTTAGATGCTAATCCTTAGAAGTGAGCAGAAGACACGGGATTTTCTCGAAAAATAGGAAAGTTCTTGCGGGCGGCATCTCTAGAAAGCCTCTACCGTCCTTCATTTTTCACGGAGTCTGGAAGGTTTGAAAGGCTGTCTGGAAGCACCTTTGCTGCAAGGAGTGCCCTTTGGCGGGGTATATTTAGAAGCGCTCTGAGCCCCGCACCGTCCCGTCCCGTGCCGCACCACATCCATAGGCTGTCAAGGCTATTGCTGACCAGCAATCGCAAATCCCACACGACCTCCTCCATGTGGCACTCGAGAGTGCCGGCGAGGATTCATACAAAGACAGGCTGTGCGAATGCCCCAGCCGAACAGCGCATCGTTCGTCACGCGCAGAAGTGGGTGGTTACGCTCCAACGCACCCTCTATGGCTGTTCCAATAGGAATACCCGATAATCCTGCAACGACAGGCTGGCGGAGGTATGTCAGCCTTCGGATCCCTCATTTATAGGTCCGCTCCGTTATCTAAACCCTGCTCTCTCACGTGTCACGCTCAGCGGCGTCGAGGAAGAAGCACGAGGCACGCACACGATCTGCACCAGTTTTCCGACGCTGGCACAGGCTGTGTTACATTACTCAAAGCTAGGCTGACGCGAAGCTAGACAAACGTCAGGGACAGCCCCCTGCACTGTTGCGTTGCTCTCTCTCGTCCACCATCCACAACTTGACAGGTATCGCCTCCCCAAATGTTGGCGAATGAGATTTTCACATCATTCAAGGCTGTGTGAAGGCAGCAAGGCGCCAGTGCGCTATATGTGACAGCCCCGGAGCTGTGGAAAAGGGCTTTCACTTGCCTTGCAGGAGGGGTGGGCAGATGACTCCCCCAGATGGCTTCAAGGTAAGAATTTGATTGGGGGCACCATTCACTCGTCGAAGCACTTACTAGGCGGCACACTATGCCTGTATTACTGCCTCGAGCGAGTAGGAAATCCGTCCCGCGTTCAGCCGAATAAAATACTGAGTCTCTGGTAAAAGAGGAGTGAGGCTCTCCGACACATTCAACGATCCAGCGTGCCTGACCATATCATTACTAGTCTCTCCGTACCAATGCGCCTTGTACTCCGCCTCGTTTCATTCGAACCGCTCCCTGCTTTGAGATAGCGCAACAATCCAGATGCAACCTTCGCAGCGGAAGGCTGGGGGATCCCGCCAGGACACCTCGGAGCACGATAATCGATCAAGGAAGAAACGCGACTCGGGTGTAAGGTTATCATGGCAAAGGGAGGGTCGGATCCACATGCTGACGTTCTCAAGACCGGTCTTTCAGGCGTTAGGCCAAGGCCTAGCGGCAATCCTGTGAGTGTTTTGGCTATCGTCTACAGACTGCAGTGCCGCTAACGTAGAGTGAAGTGGCCAGAACCTCCTCCTGCTCCCTCGAGTAACGAGAATCGCGATGCGACACCACATCAGACCCATGCAGCGGGAGTAGCAACATCAACAACGAACCGCTACACCACATCGCCTCAGACCACGCACTACGAAACACCGCTTGACAAGAGCCAGGGCCACGAAGCGATGCCCTATATCCAGGAGGAAACATATCAACAGACCACTGCCGGGACGAACGGCAGCACTGCGTCCGCAACTGGGTCGTTAGAGCACCAGCAAGGGAACACAACCGCTAACTGGATTTGGAGCGAAGACTATCAACAGTGGTACTACATCGCGCAGGACCCTCAGACAGGTGAGCAGCGAACAGTTTATCGGAGTCAATGTACGTAATGGTTGGATTGGCTGCGGGTTCGAGAAGCCTAGTGTGCTCTTCTTGCCCCCGCATTTCTCAGGTCTGCAAGAGGCTTTATTTCTTTGAGATAATCGTCCTCGCATTCCGAAGCTCTGGGCGAATAGAGTCTCGTGTGTACACGGCCGGAGGATCTTAGCTCTTTTATTTGTCTTATGGGGTCGACGCTACGGAGTTAAAAGCAAGGCAAGCACGCGACCGCCCGCCTTTGTGCAACATAACGCAGCAGGGCTCTGAGACGCGCAATTTTGAGATCGTACATATAATAAGCGATATGAATTGATCGGCGGAAAGTCAGTGTTAAGCAGGCAGCCAATGGTGGCTCGGGAGAATGCACAGAAGCAACTGCAGGCCCGCGGGGTTCCGTCGGCAGGCATTGCAATGTGGAATCCCTGTGTGCCCTTCCAATAATGATAAGGCCACGCTCGCCCGCCTTCAGCCTGGCGTCGTAGCCTCCTTTGCCCCCGCCTCAGCCCCCAGCCCACTGGCTACCACATGCGAGAGGCATCCAGCTTTGCGCGTGACATTGTAATGCGGCTGAAAATCCAAAAGGTTGAGTGTACCTACCAATATAACAGCCGGGTTCCACTTGTACACGAAGTCCAATCTCCCCTACGCGCTGCAAGGACGCGCGCAGGCTTGCTGCACGTACTCCGGTCTGGAAGAACGGCGCATACAGCGCATATTTGTGCAATTGTGGCTAAAAGAAAGCTTACTTCCAAGGAATGCGCCCAGCCTCGCGCCGCTGACCCTCCTCTATCCGGTCCTACCCTATCTCCTGTTAAAGACGCACACGTTTCAAGGCTGATTACGATGGCAGGACAACTTCTCATTCGACCACGACTCTGAAAGTATTCCATCTCCATTAAACCGATGGCTATCGAAGTCGGCACTGAGAGCGAAGGGAAAAGTCCTGACCCTCCGACTCCCAGTTCTCATGCAGAATCAAAACAGAGTAGGCAGTTTCTTTAGCGAGTAGCGCAGTTGTGCGATTGGCTAATGATCATTAGGCGCATCTGCTATCGAGGAAATGGAAGCAACCGATGCAACGAATGAGCAACAACCTTGGTGGCGTCGGATCCTGCGACTACTAGGTATTGGATCGGACATCCGTATGGACGATCGGTACAAAGACCTAAAGGTGAAACCGAGTGAGATCAAACTAAAAATCTCGCTAAGTGTAGGAAAATCACTGACGGATCCCAGTCATTGCCTATGCCGACGGATACCCCCAGTACGCTGCATTCATCGACACTGATGATAACTTCCGGATCTATCGCCGTTACGGAACACTGCGAAACAGAGTCCTACTTCAACGGCAGCTGGAACTTGCGCTACTAGAAAAGAAGCTGGATGAGCTCGACGAGAGGGACAACAATGAACCACGCAAATATCGACTCGCGTCCATACAATACGACAAGGAGCAAGGCAATTCAGAGAGGGTTGGTTTAATCGAAGAGATTGACAGAAAACTCGAGCAATATGGTTCGCATATGCACGAATTCCCAACGACATACAACCATCATGGCTGACTTTGGCATCTATACAGATGCGCTCCTGGCCCGAGAGCGCGAATCGCTGGCAATGGAAAGGCCTACCAAGCGGAATCATTTGAACCTCATTCACTGGGTATGGAACAAAAGAGCAATCGCCAAGAGTGAGATCGAGCTTCTCAACCGCATCGATGACTTCGTGGTCCTTTCACGAGACCAAGACTCGCCCTTTCATACCTTTCTGGAGGATCTACTCCAGAGGTTTCCTCTGTCGTGGATCCAGGTAGAGACCCCACCTGCCCTAAAACTTACATGCTCTTGCTGACTCTTTCAAAGCGAATCTTTGTGTCAAAGATCCAGCAAGAGAAGGCGGAAGGTACAGAAGATTCTGGTATCAGTCTGTTCTCAAAAGCGAAGATCAGCGCTTTGATTCGTCTGATTGTAACCCTTATTACTGTAGCCTTACTGATGCTGCCTATCTGTCTGCTGTTCAAACTGAATATGACAGATAGAGCAAAGGTTGCATTTGTCCTCGTTTTCGTTCTCACGTTTCCCATAGCCATATCCATCTTCGCTCGACCAAAGCATCACGAGCTTTTTGCCGCCACTGCAGCGTGAGTCAACACTACAATACATTCTTTTGGAATCGGCTAGGTTGCTAATTGATGAGAGGTAGATATACTGCTGTTCTTATCGTTTTTCTTACGAACTTCTCTGGAAGCGGAGGTGAGACTGTAGGTTGAAGAGCCAGTTTGTATAGCGTGCGTCTGAATCTTATACATTGTTCAATTTTTTTTCAGTTCATTGTGATTCAGTATACTGACATTCAGCTATGTATCTACGCAGTGCTTACCGACGTAACCTTTGTTCTGAGGAAACAGTAAGTAGCGGTTGTGAAACGCTTATGCCTAATCATTGATGGTTTTTAGCATTTACCTGAGGATAAATTCTTCCTCGATATGTACAGAATCTCAAGGATACAAGTTATTCTAGACAGTTCCATGTTGAAATTCTACAGAGGCAATAGAAATCTGATGAACCGCGCATTTGTTTTGGTAGCCACTTCGAAAGGTAAGAAGCAGTGGTATCCACCAAGACAAAGTTTGCCTTGATCTTTAGTTGATTACAGTTCGTTTCATTGCCAAAAACATGCTATTCATGCACGCTAACAACGGTCCAGGACCCCACCTGAAGAGGCTCGGCTCTCGCAGACCGCGGAATAAGATGTACAAGGCCATATGAGCGCTCGGAATCTCCACCAGAAGATTCTTCCTCAAATATCCCGCTGAGATATCAACCGCATCGAACATACAGAGAGCACCAAATTCTTCCATGTAGCGGGCACACAATCCGAATAATCACCTCCTTCCCATCATCTGTTACCTGACATATCATTGTGGAGAAACTTTCGACTGACGTCTTCATGGTCAAGATAATTTATCTATCAAAGCTTGATGGGGCTTTGTGCAGACAGGATTGGTGGCACTTGTTTTGGGAAACACATCATACGAGCTGCCAATGGCTCATCGGAAATGCTGGAGGCTTCATGCCAAATGGAGCAAAAGGTTGAGTCACTTCTAGCAATGTAGAGGTAACGTAAGCTACTTTTCATGCGGCTGCTGACAAGTCAGATTCGCACATGGTTGGATGTCAGCAAGTCCCTCAACGATAGGTAAATTTTCAGGGAAAATGCAAAACCAAGGACATCCTCAATATATGGCTCTTTAATGATGCTATTTACAGTTTGTGGTGCCTACTTTGTCTTTTCAAAAATCTGTCGACAAGTTTTTGAGTTGCCGAGTGCTTGCGAGAGCCATATTTGGCATGATATTACGGCAGCCCAGCTTCGAAACAAGGAGCTATGCATCTTTCCATGACAATGGGAGTGAACTTAAGCAATTCATTTGCGCCAAATGGTCAGTTATCCGTGGGTGCTTTGCCACGCAACCCTCGGTCGGTTGCGAGGCGGTGTTTGCTCCCAAGGCAGATTTTCTATCCTTGTTTTTAAGATTTCGCGATATTTTCTGACATGGCTATTCCAGAAGCATCCTATTCAAGGTTCTCAAGGCTCAATTCATGTGATTGATAAGCAAGGCAGATCGCGCTCCCCGGATTTCTACTCTGTCATTCGCAGCCTTAATCCTCAAAGCCCCGCATCCCCCAAAAATTATGCCAGCGCACAGAGCCAAAATGAGCAGTCATTTTTTTTTATCTTTGACGCACTTGATCCCGTTGCTTATATGCACATCAAACAATCAAGCCTCTTTTTGATTCGGTGGGGCCTTTTTAATTGGCTCATTCTGAGTTAAACAATAGATATTTAAGGATCGCACGCCCACGCAAATAATCGGTCTGCTTCACCGCTTGAATTCCACCGCGATGGCAGGCTTACCAGAACACAGTGAAGAGCCTAGCTCTGGTGCTTTAGCTTCGGTTTTCCGCTTGGACCTGGAATCTGGTCAAAGCGGTCAAAGAAATACTCGTGGTCTTTCTCGTGAAGTAACCACCCCACGGGATAGATTTGAAGTTGGTAAGTACAACCTTCGAAAATAGAGTTCATAAGTCGCTGATTGGTAGAAGACTCTTCTGCTTGTGCACAGAAACCGTCACCTGGCTATCTCAAAAGACTCGTCAGTCATTCGTTCATGCTTCGGCATTTCGGAGCAACTATCTGCAAAACGTTGAAGCAGCTCAAACCAAGTTCGCACATCATTCCAGATGAACGCTTGGAACAGCTGAAAGTAAAACCACGTAAGAACAATCTCAAGCATGTGCGATATTCTTGAGACTGAAATTTGAACCAAGTTGAGCAATATCCACCTGGATATCCCCAATTATCGGCTTTTGTGGACACAGATCCAAACTTCAGAATCTATCGGCGTTTCGGAACCATCAGACATAGAGTGAATTTACAAAAGCAGTATGAATTGGCCAAAATGGAGACGGATCTGGAGAAGCTGGACCAAAGAGACCACGAAGACGCCAATATGAAATTCTGTTTGTCTTCGATTGAGTTCGATCAGAGACTCAACACCGAGCGCCAACTATTGATTAGCAGGATAGACAAGAAGTTGCAAGAGTACGGTAAGTAGACTTCATTCTCCTTCGATTCCTCCACGCATTTCTGACCAATAGAAGACGCTTTCTTGGAAAGGGAGCAAAAGTCCCTCTCCTTTTCTCGTCCAACATGGCGCAATCATATCAGTCTCATTCACTACATCTGGAACAATAAATCCATCTGCAAATCCGAAGTTGAATTGTTCAACAGAACAGACGACATGATCATCTTCTCAACTGAGCAGGATTCCCTCTTCTATTCTTGGTTCATTCACTTCTTGTGGAGCTTTGACTTCAGATGGCTTCAGGTAGAGTGTGTTGATTCACATACAGAGTCTTGGCTGACATGTCTTTCAGAAATTGTTTCTTAACCCGATGCAAAAAGAAAAGGTCCAAGACAGTACAATCACACTTTATTCCAGGGAGCGCCTCGAAACATTTAGCAGGTGTATTATCCCGTTCATAACAGTTGCACTGGTCATGGTACCAGTTTGGATGTTGTTCGTCACTCAAATTTCAGATATTGCAAAATTTTTTGTCGTTTTGGTTTTTGTGTTGATCTTCCCTATCTCTTTGTTGATTTTTTCGAGGGCTAAAAGCCATGAGATTATCGCGGCAACTGCAGCGTAAGTAATCTTTCCGTCAGTTTTGAGGTATCCCAAAGGCAATAGTTCACAATTTACTAACAGACAATTGGGCTAAAGGTACACGGCAGTGTTAGTAGTATTCTTACAGAATGTAACCATTGGGGTTACATCAGGTGATTCTGGGAGTATCGGTATTGCATGAGTATTGTTTGGAAAGTCTAGCATTCAAGTTGCTTTCCGGTAGGGACACTGGGAAGGGAACATTGTGAAGTAGATGACCAGACTGATTTTTCATTATGACAAGTACTCAGCAGTTCCGCGGGAACTGGGACAGAATGTCGTGTGATTTGTTGGTATGCACATACTTCCTATCAGTGTGGAAGAGATTGATCAGTATAATTGTGCAATGTGTAAATTGATCTCTTGTATTATATGGCTTATGTTAATACCCTGCTGAAGAGCTTACAAAGCACAATTTCCATTGAGAGTGCTTTGATTGATTTCCACGACCTGGATGAATTTCACGTCCCATAGGAAGTACTCCAGGGACTTCCATACAGCACATCAGCAGCAGTTATACGTATCATGCGATACCAAGCAGATATTCTTGGAGCTACGTCCATAAAAGACCACCGAAAACTTAATCATTCTACATGGAAAGGGCCTATTTTCGCACGCGTACAGTTCCTCCTGCATTCCCTTCGTAATGACCTACCTGGTCTTGATCCCGTCTGAAGATGCCCGACTCGATCAAGCAAGCCATAATCTCGATCCTCTCAGCCACTGCATTTGATCATCAAGATCTGCACATTCATCCCTATCGACCCCTTACTACAGAGCTGAATCTCGTTTTACTTTATTCCTTCCCATGATCCCCCGAGGAAGCGCACTAATCAGCCCTCTTCCACCTCTCCCTTGTGGCTATGTAAGCCCTATAAACCACGCTAATTGCGCCCCAGAGCCCCTCTACTACTCCCTCCACTAGAAAAAAAAAAAAAAAGAGGCAGGCTCGGTTCGACTAGCATAACGCATTTTTTAAATACTCGCATACAGCGTTATTATCAATGCTAGCCTCGTCCAGCAGGTAGTTTGGCGAGATATACGTCACAACCACACTCACACCTTCCAACATGGTCCACTGCATTACCGCCACATTACTTGCCCACACCGGACGTTGTGTACTGAACTGCTGATGCGCCAAATCATGCCTTCCTACACCTCTCGCGGGCCAGTGACAGGAACTTGAGATTCTCCTACGGCGAGGCCGGGGATGTGAAATGCGAAATTCACAATATTCGAGGTACTGTTGGCGCTAATTCGCTGAGATTGTTGTGGTTCCCTTCGTCATATATGGTAGTAACGAATGGCCACTTGAGTTGCAATAGATGGTGCGATATGGTCTTCAGTAGAGAGAAATTAAAGAAGTGGTTACTTACAAAACTCTTGATGTCTTAGTCATAGAACAAAGATCTAAGTAAGCAAAGGGATGAACGGATAAAGTAGTATAAGAATACATTCCTTCTTTCGATGTTTAACTTGGTGTTCGAGATAGTTGATGCGTTGCAGACGAAGTTCTCGCGTATTTGATGAAGAGACTCTTGAGGTGCCGAGGAATGAGCCTCGTCAAATGTATCCCTTGACGGACATCAGCTCAGTCGGTCTATTCCGTGTCAGCATTCAACGCACACAAACCGTTTAATCTCTCCTCGTCGATGCTTTCGTTCGATCGGTCGATGCTGCAAGTTGAATAATGGCGAGCTCCGTACAGCGAATCCTGGTGTAAGAGGAGAAGTGAGGCAAGAACGGTAGATTATAAGCATCCGCCTCGTCAGAAAAACGTCATCTTTGCAAGATCGTTCTAGACCAGTATGGAGCACAGATCTTTGGCACGGCTCTGCATATACCGCAGTCGAGCTGAAGTGCAGGGATGTTGTGTCGTGCAGACACCCGTACGGCTGACTACGACGTCCGGCCTTGTTTCTCCGTGAACTCCGACCCGTATACTCACACTGACCGGCGCTGGCCTGAGTGTCTGCCTGGGAATTCTGAGAACAGAAAGTGCACGCGGCGTAGATAACTTATTGGCGGAAAAAAAGCCCTTCTCGTACAATGCTGGCAGCCACGCCGGTGGTTTGATTTGGCCTGTCGTCCACATGTCAAACAGTCCGAGACATGGTCCACTTAGGTGCATAGAGCAATACGACGGCTCGCAAGGAGAAAGGTCCAGAACGCTTGCTGCCTGATGGCCCTTCGGGACTGTATCTTGGACAGTGACGCATGAAGCGTCCGGATGGGCCCATGCAGCCACGAACCTACCGCCCCGATTCACCGGCAAAAGCCATAGTTCGTGTTGCTGGAGTCATAGCAAGCGGAGAGGCCCGGTGGATTCCAGAGAGAGCTAACGGTCTGATATGCAAAAAGAGCGTGCGTCAACCCCACCCAGAGCCAGAATTGAAGGATCCAAGGTATGGGGGAGCAAAAGGTATTGCCCCAGCGCGTCCTAGAGCAAAAGAAGAAGGTATCCTGGTCACTACGAGGGTCGAACTCGCGACCTTGGCGTTAACTGTAGTCCTCTGAGAAGACTGCCAATATTAGCACCACGCTCTAACCAACTGAGCTAAGCGACCTCGACAATGGTATCAAGATCAGGTGATGGACCCTGTTGATGGAAGGCGCTTATCCGGGTGAGAATATAAGGAGTAGAACTGAGTGATCCAGACAGTTGCAAAGAAGAGTGCGTGCGAAAAATGGTGTAAAATTTTACTCTGGTGGACCAAAGTTCCCGGATTGGGACTAGTGCGGGCCTGAGCGGCGATCCGGAGAGTGAGTAAAGCCGAATTTAGAACAAGGAGTGTGGTAGCTGTAAATAAGCGCATGACCAGAGAACTCTATTTGGATGATGATGAAGGGCGGGAGGATCAATGACAAGCGTCCGATGTGGATGAGAGGCTGTCGCCACGTTCCGGAAGAGACGAGAGTCAGCAGGACGGTGCCATCAGTGGACAAGTCATCGAGATCAAGGCACTGACAGGCGTGAACAAGTATCATGGCGTCGAAACGTCGAGAACCGGCTAAATGAAGCTCGTGATGGTCGGCCGTATCGGACGCCCACGGACAGAAAACGAGGGGAGGATGTGGGGAGGATCGATAAGTTGGTCGAGGAGGAAGCTGTCAAGGCGCGATGGCGTTCGGACGTGGCGTCCGTATACAGCGGGGTGGTGGATAGAGGATGAGGTGGGCGGCGGAGCGCGGTGCTGCAGGTGGTGAGCTATGGTTCATGATGAAGTAGTCATCATCTTGGGCGCAACGGTCGTAGGGCTGAGGGCTGAAAGCGGCCAGACCGATCCAAGGATGGGAGGAAAAGACGGCGTGGGGCGGAGCGGAAGGGCGGAGAGGCTGAGGCGGTGGTGGCACAGTGGTAGAGCATGGTTACATGGCCCGTGCGCACACTGCTATTTTCGGCCGAGCCACTCCCACCTGCCGCTGACGCCCTTCACACCACGCCCAAGCCCTGTCCCAAACTGCAGCCAGTCTGCTGTGCCTACCGCTCGTAAGGCTCGTACTACCAGCCCTCTCTCTTGACGATGGCGCCCGTATGAACCGAATCTCCGCCGCATTAGCGGGCCCGGCGTTCCCCGGTTCCTGAACCGTATCCGCTGTCGCTCACCCGTCACCTTCGCGATGACACGGTGCCAATTTTGGCAAGTGGTCAAGCTCAGCTGTCATGGCTTCTATCACAGGCCGTGGTTGTCACGCAACGAGATATGCGTATATAGTCCGCCTCGGTCGCGCTGTAATCCCTTCTTCTTCATCACAACACTTCAACCTTAATCACCAATAGTAATCAAGGCCCCGAGCCGACATTCGCTATTCAACTTTTCCTTTGCTCAACTCGTTAGAGCTTCTCTATCCAGCTTTTCCTAGTATCTTTGAGCTACACTATCCACAATGGTCGCCTTCACATTTGCCTTCACCGCCCTCGTCGGCGCTGCTGCTGCCACTTCCAACGGCCCCTGGTCGAGTCACAGCTCCTGGGGTACAGCAGCCTCCAGCGATTCCATCACTTCTACCCCCAGCGCCTCTAAGAGCAGCGCCATCCCATCCGGCACTGGCTCCCTTATTCCTAGCGGCACTGGCGGTATCTTTCCCAGTGGATCTGGCTCAATCACTCCCAGTGGCACTGGTGGCATCATCCCTAGCAACACTAAATCAAACATCCCCAGCGGCACTGGCTCCGTCATTCCCAGCGTCACCGGCGGTCGCAATACTACCGAGACTGCCACTATGACGACCTTTACCACCGTCACTACTTGCCCTGTTACCCAGACGACTTCGGATCACGGATCTACCTTCATCACTACTACATTGACTACTTCGACCATAACCGTCACCTCTTGCAAGGCAGGCTGCAACCATTTGTCGACTGTTGTCCCTCCCATCTCGACTGGTGCCCCGAACTCGAGCTATGTCCCGCCCACCAGCAAGCCAACCGGCTCCATGAACAGCACTTATGTTCCCTCTGGCAAGCCTACCACCAAGCCGACTGACAAGCCTACGACCCTGCCTACGGACAAGCCCACCACCAAGCCAACCAATCAACCCACCGGCAAGCCCTCGTCTACTACCGAGTACGCCCCCGGTACCACTGCTGTCGTCACTACCAAGGTCTTCCCCTCCACCATCGTGGAGACAATCACCTCCTTCATCCCGTGCTCGACTTCCGTGGGCCACCAGGGTGCTAGCACCTGGTACTCTACCTGGTTGACCGCCACCTACATCCCCCACACCACCGTCTCGACCTGCACCACCGTTTCCACCCTCTACCCCGCCCCTACTGGCACCTCTGGCAACCCCGGCGGCAACAACGGTGGCGTCTGCCCGCCTGCCACCACTGTCACCGTCACTGCTGGCCCGACTGTCACTGCCTTCGTCACTGTGAGCTACGGCCACGACGGCAAGCCCGTTACCGTCACCAACAAGCCCACCGGCAACGCTTCCCAGACCCAGGGCGGCTCCGGCTCCGGCGCGACCTCGTCTGGCAACGCCGTCCCCAACCCCTCCAGCAAGCCGCACTGGGGTGACAACTCGAGCACCTCCAAGCCCAGCTCCCCCACTGGTACCGGCAGCCCCTCCGCCAGCGGTGGCAAGAAGTGGTAGATCAATCAACGAGCGCGGTCCGCACATCCCCCATGAACATTTCAATGTATAGACCCGTTAATTCTTCACCCCCTCCTGGCGGACTACGCTCCTTACATGTTTGGAATCTTTAATCAAAGGGCATCGGTTAATTTGGCAGCATTCTTTCATGAACATAACAACGAGGGATTGGGTATTTGGGATGAATTTTTACGATGCGCATTCACGACTTGTATATATATGCAAGCGACGAATACCTCACGTTCTCTTGTTAGCGCAATTAAAACTTACTCATGCATAGCACGGCGTTCAGCGAAAACAATAGGTACATAGGTACTTTTCATATTTCTTCATCTTTGGCTCCTTCGACAGTGACATTGTGATCCGGATGGTTTTTCTAACAATGGCAAAAGTAGCAGCAATAGGGACGAAAACACTTCAACTACCCAAAGCCAATGTCGCCTGATACTCTTCATAGCTGAGTTGGTTCGCAAGAGACCCCAAAGAGTGAGAAAGTCAAGACATCCAAGCAAGAAAAATACGGAAAGCCTATGACCCTTGATGAGGAGCACATGAATCCAACATGAAACGCATTGTAGGTCCACAATTTGTCTTTCGTGAAACAGTTCTGTGTTACAGAGGAGGTAAAATTGATCCGCTAATAGTAGACGTGCTGCACATAAAGTAGTTGCCAACCTTCGCTAGTGGTCGGTAGCCTACCAGTCGCAGAATAATGCTAGAACAGTGGATCTGACACGTCATGCAGGAACCATTCTCTTGGGAAAAACCGCAGCGATCAACTAAAATTGATATCTACAGCAGGTCTGAACAGAATATCTACGCTTTCGTCTCTACATACAAAAAGCCGGCCGTTTTATTCACATAAACAGGAATACAGAGATGTGGTATCTTTACACAGACAGAGAGAATGCCACCTTCCTTCCGTTCTTTTTTACCTCCTTTGGTCCTTTTTTGACTCTTTCCATATATATCTTTTTCTATTCTTTTTTGTTTTGTTCCTTCGGCGCTATACGCTATGCCTTCGTGCCACGTCCTTGTCCAGTCCTTTCGCCAGCGCGTACAGGGAGTTGAGGTTCGGTACGTCGACGCCCTTTTGTTCCGCAATCTTGATTGCGTTGCCGACCAGGGCCTCGACCTCGAGGGGCTTGCCGGCCTTGACGTCGGCGAGCATGCTGCCGCCGGCGCGGATGGCCTCGGGGGAGCCGGCGTGGGCGTGGGCGCGTGCGAGCTGGTGGCGGGCCTCGTCCTCGGTGATCTCGGCGTAGCCGCAAGCCTGGGCGATCTTGACGATCTCCTGCATGATGTGCCAGACGAAGTCGGGCCCGTATTCGCTGGCGTTGGCGCTCTGAAAGGGGCTGGAGGGCGCGACGGCGGCGAGGACGGTGGCCGGGTCCCAGGTGGCGGCGTTGACGAGCATCTTGCTCCAGCGGCGCGGCTGGATGTCGTCGTAGACGAGGATGGTGGCGCCGCCGCGCTGGACCAGCTCCATGAACTCGCCCAGCTGCGTCGCCTCAGCAACCGACGTCGCCGGAAAGGCGCCGACCTCGAGGCGCTCGAGGTTGCCCATGCGCACGACGCCAGGCGTTGTCTGGGCAGCGGGCAGGTAGACGACGCCCGAAAGGACGGGGTTTTGCGGGAAGGCGGCGTGCCATTCGTCCTCGATGCCGATGCCGTTCTGAATCAGCACGATGGCGGTGCGTGGGCTCGCGACGGCCGGGGCGACGAGCGACGGCGTGCTGGGCTCGGCGTTGGGGAAGGCCTTGCTGCAGACGAGGATGAAGTCCCAGGGCGCGTCGACGGGCGGGGCTTCGACGCGGTCGACGACGGTCGGGCGCACGCGCAGGGCTTGGCCGAAGACGTCGCTGTCGAGGGCGAAGCCGTGCTCGCGGACGTGCTCGTAGTTGCTGCGGCACACGCAGGTGACCTGGGCGCCGGCGCGCGTCAGGACCCAGGTGTAGACGGAGCCGATGGCGCCGGCGCCGAAGATGAGGACGCGGGCCATGCTGGGAGGGGGGTCGGGATGGTTACTGGGGGACGGGGCAGCGCCGGCTCTGGAGGGCTCTTAATGTCATGGTCGAGAGAGAAGAAAATCAGGCTTGATGCGTGTCAGGGGTGATGGGTGTCGGTGTGAGTCGCGTCTGGCTGGGAGGCGGGTGGGGCGGGCAGATCTGGAGTGCGCACCAGGCGGGCGCTGCCGTGTCTGCCGCCGCTAAACAGGCTCGTTGCGGCGACGACGCGCTGCTAATCGCGCCGCAACTGGTGCGTTTTGCCCATCCGGACCCTGAGACCGCGACCTGGGTCCCGCCATGCCGCCGCGTCCAAGGAGGCGGTCCGCCCAAACGCTGACTCTCGCGAGCGTCTGTTCACTCATCGCAGGCCCACCCACACCAGAACGGCGCGTGCCGCGCCCACGACACGCCGTTCCGCGTCGCCCCGTTCGGCTCTTTTGCGCGCCCGCCTACGGCTGCCCGGCCGCGGTGCCGCGCGCCCAATAATCGCCTCGTGCCGACCGCGCTGCAGGGCCCCTGGCCGCCTGTTTCAGCTGCGGGCAGATCATCGACACCAAACCCACGGCGCTGCCACCGAGCCAAGTGGGCCATGGTGCCCGCTGCCACACCCGGCTGCCGGAGTAACATCCGCCTCATCTCGTCGTTCTCTCCGCATATATGTCGTATATCAACCCCATGCTGTGCCACAGGCCGCCAGCCCACGGGGCTTTTTGCTGCAATCAGCAGCAATGCGCCGTTATCTTGCTCCTCCTCGCCAGGCCCGCGCGTATTGACTCCCTCGCGCCCGAATGCTGTAGCCGCACCGCGGCTCCACAGCCTCTCCCTGCGACCTTTTCTCCGACCCGCTCTGCTGGTCTCCCAGACCGCCGTTTCCCGGCGACTATTGATGCTTCCATTCTAGACCCTCGCACTGTCGCGACTTTCCGCTTTGGTGCCGTGGCCACATGCGGAAGGGACCGACAAAGAAGAGCGCCCAACCGCGCCTGCTTGTTTGTCACCCTCGCCAAGGCCCGCAAACGCACAATGGTCCTTGTATTCCTGCTCGTCTTTCATTTGCCATGTTCTTGAAAGGGAGAAGGGGGGGTTGCCTTGCCACCACATATAGGCGGACCCGCACTTCACTGGCGTGATGCTTCGCTCCCTGTTCGCGTGCACAACTTGGACACTTGCAGCATACACTTGTGCCGACACCCCAGCCATGTCGGCTGCTCCAATACGGAAGCCAGATTTCCCCATCCGGTCAGCACCGCTTTCCGGAGGGCCGCAGCTCAGCGGCCGCGACCTGTACAAGCAGGCCGTCAAGGACTATCTGACGAAGGAGATCAAAAAGGTGAAGGCGGAGAATGAGAGGGTGAAGGAGAAGAATAATGAAGCAGTCGCCCGACATCGGCTGGCCCGTCACAGCGAGGGTGAGCATGATTCAGCCAGCATAAAGCTGTGTACCGCATGAGTTCCGTGCCACGCTGACGGGCATTGACCGCATTCCAGCGCAATGGGACGAAGCTAGCGACAGGCAGTGGAGGATGCTCCCGTCAGTCATCAGACGCCGCTGGGATGCCGAATCACGCCGCCGATGGCCTCGCCGGGGGGACGATCCCACTGTGTCCATGGACCCCGTGGATGTCTTTTGCAACTCGGATGAGGTATATTATGTCAGAGGGAGGAAGCGCCGGAGGCAGGAACATCTAGATTGGTCCGAAGGTCAGCTGCGAAAAAAGGGGCCACAGCACTCAACGGCCCCCGAGTTCTGTTGTCAGTGTCGCTGATCAAGTGTGCCTAACAGAATATATCCGTGAACGCTACGAGGAAGCGTACAACAGACTCCCACAAGCAACCCCCGCTAGCTCTCAACTTGATAACGCCAGTAATCCGTCATCAAGGAACCTTAGTGGCTCCTACTATAGCGACCCCGCATCATCCCACGATGGTGCTCAGCCTAAAGCTGCAGATGCAGCCTCTTCTGACTCCTCCTCGGCCTCTTCGGCCTTTTCAGCGTCTTCGGGCAACATAGTCAACTTGACGCTCCTGGACAGGGAAGTCTTTGAATTTGAGGCCCGGAAAATCGACACCTCCCGGGGGTTCCTATCTTCGGAGCATGACAGGTTTCTTGATGCTCATGATAACGGCTATAAAGCAGATGAGCCGAGTCGCACACAGCTAAGGGGCGACACCCAAAGGCTGCATCAAGCTATCGGCGATCCTGCCAGTAAGGGCAAATGGAAATGGCACAAGAAATTAGGCGAGGGTACTTTCGGAACCGCCAGGCTTTATCGCTATGCTGATGATAATGATCAGACTCTTGCCGTAAGTGATCGTCCTTGCCTTGTTGGGTGTATTTTCTACTTCACTAGTGCGGTTGACAGTTTCGTTTGTCTCCGAAGACGCTACCTTTCGGTCTGTTTTCGAGGCGCCTTGTGAATTAGATTAACTGACAGTTTCAAATTCTTTAGCGAGTGGTTGTCAAGAGGGATCGTGGTGAACCACAAGATGAGGAGCGAAGGCATCTCAAGACTCTACGCGATGCGGGGGTGGATTGCAAATACATTGTGAAATACCTCGGTGAAACTCGCCTCCCGGGGAATTTAGGATGTACATATCTGGAATACGCACCTTATGGTACTTTGCACGAGCTCTACAAGGACTACGAGGCCTACGAGTAAGTCGACGAAATATCCCTTGGAATGATTCAGTAAGGTGGGTTGGAAACTTTTGAGTTGATTATAATCCCGCAGGATGGCAATCCCCGAGCCGTTTCTCTGGTATCTGCTCCGCTGTCTTGCAGAAGCAGTAGCCGTACTCGACGGTGAGAACTTGTTCCATTTCGACATCAAACCTCCAAACATTTTGCTCGCTAGGGCCGACGACTCTAATACATCTCACCATTGGCATCAGAACTATCCGACGGTACTGCTGGCGGACTTTGGCGGCGTTAATGAGAAGAGCGCAAAGGATGAGGAGCATCGCGGAATGGGTACGCCAGGCTTCAACCCATGGGTAAGTCGTTTTGCTCTTCAAATGCGACGTTATTCGCAGCCCTGAAGACCCTTTGCTGTCTATTATATCGTGAGCGGACCAAAGACCTACCGGTGCTAATGAACCGTCGATTCGTCCACCAGGAACTCCTTCGCAAACCAACCCAAATTAAATGCAACCGGTATCGTACTGCCAGAGGAAAGCCACGTCCCCGTCGTGCGAGGGATCCTAGCCCGAAAAAGCAACTCCCGGTTGACCATAAATGTGGCACACACACAAGTGTATGGCAGATAGGCCAGGTTATGTACGTCCAACAACTCCCCAACAACCCCATCGTCTAGCGCTTTTGCCTAACCCTCAAACTCGCCATGCAGCCTAACCGGCATGCGTCCCTTTTGGCCCGACAGTCAGCTCTGGGATATCCCGCAACCTCCCTGGGAAGCACCCGACCAACCGGCGCCCAGCGATGACCAAAGGAAGGCCTACGAATACTACTGCTACCAGATCTCGCGCACCGATTGGCCAAAGCGCCACCCCCGCCGCGCCCGTAACGAGCAGAACCACTCCATGGAAAATGTCGAAGCCCTCAAAGAGGCATTTTTCCCCGGCAAGAGAGACAAAGATATCGAGACCGATCCCTTATTCGACGCCCTCACCCTGCGCGCTTACGACGATGCATCTGCCGATACACCTTTGACGTCGTACCGTCCCAGCAACGCAGTCGACCCGCACTTCAGCGCGCTCCGCCCGCAATACTCGGCCCGCCTCGTCGAGTGCGTGTTCCGCTGCCTCGAGCCGCTGCCGGCCGATCGGCCGACGGTGCAAGACGTGCTGGAGGAGGCGGGGGATGTATGCAGGGCGGACTTTGAGCGCGCTTGGCCCGGTTATCCAGAAATGGGGAGCCGACAGATGGGGGTTGGGGTAGAGCCAGACGAGTACGCGCCCTACAGGATGAGACCAGTCGTGCCAGGGCCGAGGCCATGGCGTAAGGGAGACGAAGATGATCGCAATTGGAAGCAGCTGGAGGCGCCAATGTGGTTGATGATACGCAGGGACAAGTATCCGATTTCGAAGAAGGTTCTGAACGACAAATATAAAGGGGAATAGTGGTGTCGGTTTAAATGTGTTTGTTCTGCGCTGATATTGGTTCGATGTCGTTGATGCTCAAACGCGAGTAATTTGAAATTGTGCAAGAATAGTTTGAATGCAGACTTCTACATTGACGTTTTAAAAACGTTGCGCTTGGATGTCTGAAAATTAAGCTGTGATAGTTCAAATTCTCTGGTCCTGGAGTGTTGTTGGCTGGAAGTCGTTGCCGCTTTCTGTCCGTGCATGCCTGCATCTTTCAACGCCACGCTGCAAAGTACTGTGCACACAACCTCAACCAAGCACATTGACAGGATGCAGGATCCCAGCACATCAAAGGATGCCGACGAATACTAGAGACAAACACAAGAGCTGCTTGTGGGTAGGCAACCGCGGCGTGGCAGGGAGCGATCCGTGCCAGTGCTGCCTGTGGCGCAGCCTAGCTCGCCGCCTAGTCGCTGCCTGGCTGCATCCTTCATAAGTAAAACCATCTCCTCCACACTTTCGCTCGCCAACCATTCCTCATTCATTCATTCGGTACAATGTCGAGCGACATCCCAAAGCAAGAATTTCTCATCGATGATTTGCCCACGACTTCAGTCACCATCTACCCTTCCCGCGCCCACGTCGTCCGCGACATCGCAGACGTCAAGCTCCAGCCTGGCCTGAACGAAGTGTCCATCTACGGAATCACGCCCGCTGCAGACGAGCATTCCGTCCAAGTCGACGGCCATGGCGCAGCCACCATCACCGACATGAGCGTCGAGCTCGTCCCCAACCGCGAAAGATTCGTGGATCAATTCTCCGACGAGGACTCCTCCGATTCCGACGGGGAGGATCTGACCGACAGCGAATTCGAGAGCATGTACCTGAAAGGGCTGGCAGAGGAATTGCGAAACTTTCAGGACGAACTCGAAGAGGCTCGCGAGGAGCAGAGTTGCGCAAACGACCAGCTGCGTGTGCTCAACGCCTTCATGGAATCCATGAATGCAAAGCACAATGAGCCTGCCGAGGCTTCTAAGGCCATTTCCGCTTATGGTAACGACAGAACACGTCTCTACAAGCAGTGGACGTATGCAAAGCGAGATGTTGAAAGATTGGAGAAGGCCATCAGGAAGCAGGAAGCAAAGCTCCAAAGCAAGGCGAAGGAGGAGCGAAAGGTCAAAAAGAAGCAGAGAGAGGAGAAGGAGAAAAAGAGAGCCCAGCGGGCGAGGGAAAGGAAGCGCGTGAGGGACGAGAAGGCCAAGTTCTGGCCGAGGAGGCTCTATTGCGTCAAGCTGACACTGGAACTCCCCACGGATACGCCGACATCGTCGAGGCGCGGCTCAGTTGAATCGGCCTCGCAACTCGACGAGAAGAAAGCTCTAGCGGACGGTACGGAGAATACCGTACGCCTCTCCCTCTCGTACGTCGTCCGCGAAGCATCGTGGTCACCGCGGTACAACGTCAGCATCTCGTCTACAACGAAGACGGCGACTATCACTTATAGCGCTGAGTTCAGCAACAAGACATCTGAAACTTGGAGGGATGCCACGGTCACTCTTTCCACTTCACAGACCTCTTACTCCGGCCTCGATGACAAGGTGCCCGAACTCCGTCCGTGGCCCATCTTTTTGAGGGACAAGCATACGTTTGATGAGGATGACCATCTCTGGGATGCCAAATTCAGCCCTCAGGAGAATTTGGCTGGCGGGGATATGAACACTCACTGGCCTGGCCAAGACAAGTTCAACCGATTCGAGTTTTTTGGCCCCGAAAGCTCCCTCTTTGGTGGAAGACCGCCTCGCGCTCCAGCTGCATCCGTAACCGCATATCCTTCGAAGCCTGCTTTTGGGATTCCATCTCAACTGGGTCCTGGATTTAGCTTGGTCAACGTCCCAGGTAGAGGATTCGGTGGCAACAATGCAGGTTCAGGTGCAAACCCCTTCTCACCAGGGTCAGCTGTCAACAACGGCAATGACGGTCCTTCCCAGCACCCACCAGCTACTGGTGGTGGATTATTCGGCAATAGTAATAACGCGCAACCTGCGCAAGTCGGAGGTCTGTTTGGCAGCAACAGTAATAACGCGCAACCTGCGCAGGGCGGAGGCTTGTTTGGCGGCAACACCAATGCTCAGCCGGCCCAATCAGGGGGAGGATTATTTGGAAGCAGCAACAATAACAACAATACCCAGCCAGCTGCGGCCAGCAGCCTTTTTGGAAGCAATACCAACGCACCACCGCCGACTGGTGGACTTTTCGGTAGCATCGGCGCCAACAACAGTGCTCCACAAGCAGCTCCCTTCACACTCGGTGCCTCCGAGCCGCCTCAGCACTCTTCTCTCCACCAAGAGCCCACCTGGGAAGACTCGGGCATGACGACCGCCTACGAGCTACCCGGCACGCGCACCCTCGCCCCTTCGTCCCTCGCCCGCCGGCACAAAATCACCACCATCACCATCCGGGACATCACCCTCTCCTACATCGCCATCCCCAAGCTCCGCAAAGGCGCCTTCCTGCGCGCCCAGCTCCGCAATCCATCAACCACAAACGACAACAACGACAACGACAACGACAGCGGCATCACACTCCTCCAAGGTGCAGCCGGGCTCACGCTCGACGGCTCCTTCCTGGGCAACGCGACGCTGCCGCGCACGGCGCCGGGCGAGGACCTCGACCTCGACCTCGGCGTCGACCCGGCCGTGCACGTCGCATACGCGCCCGCGTTGCTGCGCCGCGGCACGCCGCAGTCGGGACTGCTTCTCGGCCGTGATACAGTCGACCGCTACGCGCGCTGCACGACCATCACGAATGCGCGCAAGGCCGCCGTGCGCGTCACGGTGCGCGATCAGGTGCCGTTGTCGGAGCAGGAGCGGTTAAGGGTTGAGGTGCTGGAGCCGAGGGGCTTGGTTAGGGGTGGGGGGAAGGTTAGGGCGGGAGTGGCGGCGGAAGAGGAGAAGGGGGAGAGGAAGGCTGGCGGAGCGTGGTGGGGCGAGGTGACGGCGGAGATGAAGGAGGGGAATGTAGTGGAGTGGACGGTGGAGTTGGAGAAGGGGAAGAGTTGCAAGTTGCCGTTGGAGTGGGAGGTCAGGATGCCGGGGGATAAGAGGACCGCTTTTTCGTAGCGTCCGAATGGAAGTGAAGGATTTCGGGATGAAGGAAATGATTCCGACGGAATACTTTAGATAGGTAGATAGTACATAAATAGGAATACGAGCTACAAGCTCTCAAATATTTCCAGAGATTTCGCCGTGAGTTACCCCCATACAGAATACTCGTCACTTATCGAGCACGAATCAGTCTCTCAGTAAAACGAGACTTCCACCCTTCAATCTCTCTCTCTCAGAAGCCCTCACAACTCCAACTCCACCAACCACGGCGCATTCGTCGCCCTCCCATCCTCCCCCTCAACCGCCGCGTTCACCATCAGCGTCTGCCCATGCTCCCTCATCGCCTCCCTGCTCGCCGGGCTCAGCTGCGCATACCCCCTCCTCCTCGCCTCGTTCCTCCCCACAAACTCCTTCGGCAAACAAACCATACCATCATCGTCATCGTCCCCCTTGTCCCCCTCCTCCCCCTCGCCGCCGTCATTGTCCTTGAACCACACCCTCTGCGCCCCATACCCCCCATGCACGTGCCCGAAGCAGTGCAGCCGCGGCCGCGCCCGGCAGACCGCGCGCCGCAGGTGCTCGCAGCCGGCACTCCTGCCGTCCGCCGTTGCGTCTAGCACGTACTTGGGCGGGCCGTGCGTCATGACGATGTCGACGACGCCGGCTGCAGGGATGGCCGAGCGCGGCGTCGCGACGTTGGTGGCCCAGGGCGGTGTCGTGGTCGTCGAGCCGCAGCCGGGCGGGTTGAAGCGGTCGTGGGCGGACGGGTACTGGAAGGCGGAGTCGCCGTGCTGCGGGGTGTACGGGGAGGCGAATACGGTGAATGTAGTGTCGGTGTTGGGAAGGGTGAAGGTGTGCGTGCCTTCGCGCAGGTACGTGACGCCCTGCGCGGCGGCCGTCTGCTCGACGAGGTGGCGGACGGCGGCGTGTGTCGTTGAGGCGGAACCGCCTTGGCGAAGGTAGTAGGACTCGTCGAGGGTGATTTCGTGGTTGCCGGCGATCATCAGGCGGAGTTGGGCGGGGATGGAGGCGAGCTTGGTGATGGCTTTGTTGAGGCTGGGGAGGGTGCCGTTTTGGGTGAGGTCGCCGCAGTGGAGGACGACGTCGACGGGGACGGTTGGCGGGTGGAAGGAAGAGGCGGTGTCTTCTTCGTCGTCGTCGTCGCCGTCGTGTGTGTCGGATAGTATGAGGAACTTGACGGGCCGTTTTGCATGGGTGTTTGTGTCGTGTGTTGCTGTCCTTTTTGCAGGTCTTTCTGCCGGTGCAGGGCTTTCGGAGCGGGATCTCGAGTGGCCTTTTGATGTTTGCGAGGTGGAACTTTCTCTGGGTGAAGGTGTAGTCGACATGTTTTTTGATGTAGTGCTTCTGCTGAATCTGGATATATGCTGACTAGTCGTTCGTGCTGGGGAAGCGTTTGATGAGATTGATGTGAAACGGGCCCTCAGTCCTTATTTTACCTGTCTCTCGAGTTTCGAATAGGACATCTGACTCTTTTAGACTCGGTAAGTGTGGGGCTCGACCTAAGAATCAACGTCGCGGAACCAGATGAACAACAATGGATCAGGGTCTCATAAACCGCCGTTAGCCTTTCAAAGCAGAGCTAGGGATTGAATTTCTTATCGAGACCCTTATGACTTCTCCACTCCACTTGGGACTTGGTAGAAGTTGAATGGACCTCTTTGTCGAGCCCAATACCGAATAAGTGTAAGTATCCACCAGAGGAAGTTTTCCTATTTCCACGAATTTTACTAATTGTCTCCGTTTAGATGCTTCGGAACACTTCCTTCCCTTTAACATGCAGGCGGGCGTCTTTCAAGGGTTGGTTCGGATTTGATGGGGCGATGCAGCCGTTTCATGGTTGGGCAAGCAGTCAGTTCTCGTCTATCGCCCACTGCCTCCTCTATTGCAGTTGGGCGTTCAATCATTGGCGCTTGGGCGATGTAACGTCGTTACCCATCGCTACGTAGGATCAAGACATGTTTATGTAGATGGAAATCAACAGTTTGCATTTTATGGACTATTGATATTTCTGTGTAGTGCATGAGGAATTGAAGAAAGAAAGGAATGGACCGCTCCCGTCTTCTTCATCATGAAGGGAAATGGGCGATGGGTGGGCGATGATGTCCGCCGTAGATCGCCCCTATCTTCTTCACTCTAGGTGGTGGGTGGGCGATGGGTAGGCGATGATATGTCCATCAGACCGCCACCACACTACCCGCCTGTTTCGCTTGCTCGCTCGCCTCCGCAATGCGAGCTTTCAACTGCTCCCTTATCAACTCGCGCTTGAATGCAATATTGCGCGCTCTCATTGCCGAGTACGCAACTGCCTCAAGGCCCGCTGGCGTTATCAGCATCGTCGCCTTCGGGTTCGTCAGAGTGTCCCCCTCCCTTGAGATGCGGTTTTTGAACTGGTCCAAAATAGCAATCTTCTAGTCGGGCTCCATAAGAATGACGTGGCGGTAGTGCTTTTCGAGGTCAAAACCGGTAGCGAGGAGGTTGATTGAAGTCACCAATATGTCGATGGAATTGGGACTCGATGGCTCCAGCTGAAACCTACGGGCAAGCTCGTCTCGCTCGTCGGCTCGCACGTATCTGACCTCCTTAGATGTCAGCTTCAACACCTGTACGAGGTACCTCCAGACCAGGAAAGCTAGAAATGGATCAATTGAGCCTATCAGGAGCTTCCCCTTTCCTTTTTGGCCTGGAAGATCCGGGCGCTGGGAGATAATATCTCTCAACACGGGCAGCTTGCCGCTTCCTCTTGCCATATGCCTCATCTTGCCATAGAATGGTGACTCCTTTCGATTATCCGAATCCCACTTGTTTTCCACAACATCTTTGATGGTGAAAGGTTTGCGGTCTTCTTTGCTCTTCTCCATGAACAGGTCGATAAGGCCTGGAAAGATGTTCACCTGACGCGCAAGACGACTGGACGAGCTCAACGCCTCGCGGCTGATGGCGTCGGATCCTTCAAGGCTCGAATCGATAAGGTTAGAAACCCTTTCGGAGGCTTTGGTTGACAGTGAGGCCTGAATGGCTACCTCATTCGGAACCTGCGCCCTTGAGATTGTTCCACCAAACCAAATGCTCTTCTTGAGCCGCCTAATCATAATCCTGCCCAGAAGCTTCGTGAGCTCAAAATCAGCGTCTTGAAGCTCCTTGAATCCTTCCTTTGCTTCATCATCCTTGCTGATAGCCCTCTCAAACTTGCGACGCGCCTTGAGGTACGTCTCACATGCGTCTTGAATCTTCTTTTTGCCCTGCTTCACCTCACCCTCACTCTCATCAGGCGGGAATCGCTTCACCCACTCCTGCTCTAGAGAATCCAGCTTGAAGCCCGTGATCTTCCAACTAAGGTCTTTACCAGCGTGGAAGTTCATCCCGTATTTAGTCACTTCCTTCGCGCCGCGCAGCCGGTGTTCGTTGCGGGTGGCGTGGAGCATGAAGCCTGCGGCTGCCGGCGTCGTCGGCCATTAGGTCGAGGCCGTGGGTGTGGTAGAAAGTCTCAGCGAGGTGAGCGGCGAAGGCGTCGGCGCGGGCATCCGGGGTCAAGCCGGCGATGGCGACGATGGAGGCGTCCGGGTAAGGGTCGCGGGCGAGGAGGAGGAGGAGGAGGAGGAGGCTTGGACTTCGGCGGCACCGTGGACGCGTCTGTAGTTGGCGTGGTTGTCTGGGCGGAAGGTTGCTCTGCGTTCATGGAGGAAGAGGAAGAGGTGTCGATGTGGTGGGTAGAGTCATCGGGCCTGGCGGCAGAAGAAGCGGACCCTTCACGGGCACAGGCATCGCCTACCAAGAACTTCTTCTCTTTTGGAGGAGCCTTAGACTCTTCGGTAAGTCTCAACACGAGGGGGTTGGTTTCCAAGGATGCGAGGAATTCATCGTGAAGTGGCGTGAAATGAGGTAATGCTAAGCACCCGTCGATGGACAGGAATTGATCGCGGAGTTTGGAGCCGAACTGATCCGAGACAGCACTAATTGAGGTAGTGGTGAGTGCTCGGGTGTCAAGTGGTCGGCGGCGAGCAGCCAGTTGTGGCTGCGGAAAAGACAATAGGTGTGGGGAACCGTGAGACAGCATACAGAAAAATCATGATCCATCACTTCGCGCATCAAAAATATACAACTGGTAGCAGATCTTCCAGATGACAACACCAATATGAAAAGAGAGCCATCCCTTTTTTATTGACATAAGACCGAAAACGTATAAGATGAAGAAAAGTTAAAGAAAAATTTTCCTTCTGTACCCTTTTTTTGCGATTACGCCAGATTGCTTGGCCCATACAGAAACTGTATGCAGAAAGGCCCAAGCCGAGCGTTGGAAAGAAAAACAGAAAAGTAAAGTAAAATGTATGAAGATTGAGTAAAGTTATGTTCAGAAGTTGGGGGGAAAACGCAAGGTGCCTAAGGGCAGGTATCTCTCGAAGGAAAAGAAGAACAACTGAAGGGCAGTCCCAAAAAAAAAAAAAAAAAAAAGAACACCGAACCGCCTTGAATGCCAATTTCCTCATTCGACTTTCTCCGACAAGTCGTAAAAAAGAATTCGTTAGCCTCGTGAGCAAGCATCGATCCTAACTCCCATCCCCATTCTTTGGTTGCAGTTTGAACGAGGAAAATAAAACGCCGTGACCTATGAAGCCTTCGTAATATGATATGCGCTGTCTTGACGTATGTTTGAAGAGCAGTAAAACGTCCTTACTCAACGGTTCCAGAAATATGGTCTCTGGCGAGATATCCGCGGTCTGCAAACGTTGAAGGGAATCTTTGGATACTCAAGAGGGGTTGATTTGGTGACTGTAAGATATTGCACTCAGCGATCCGGTTGCTCTAGGATAGCAGGTCGCCACTGAGACTGTTAGCGGGCCATTTTTCAGAAGATAGACCACGATTTACCGGTGCCACCTACCTAGAGCCGAATCACCTGAATACTTCTCAGGAATTACTCAGAGTCCTCAGCGCAATTCCTTCTGGTCAATTTACGCTCGGGAGTGGGAATCTAGTCCAGCTCAATGACTTCTGATGTGGGCGGGGGGTCTTGGACCGCTGGCGTTGAGGGAACACGCGCCCTCTTGCTCTCGACAGGGGTTGAACTCTGCGAGGTGCGACCCTGTGAGGCACGTGCATCGTCTTGTTTTTCTTCGGGCTTATGTTTCCAATTCCCATCACTGTCGACAATAATTGCCCTGGTGTCCGACAGGCCGACTGCAGATAAGTCCTTTATGACTTGCATTAGGAACCCATCGACGACCAAGTTATGTGGACGTGCATCATTTCGGCATCTTGGACACTTCCATTCGTCCACGACACTCGGACTATATGGCTGTCTGCGAGGCCGAGTATTGAGGAAAATGTCTAGATCGAAGCAATCGCGGTGAAGGCACCACCTGCCTCTCACCGGGATGTCGCAAGGTTTGCACGTCGTATAGGGGTCGACGAGGGTTATCGTAACTGTACTGTCGACGATGGCAATGTCATCATCGTCTGTAGATCTGCTCAGACCCCTCTTGATTGAACCAAGCACTTCTTCTGCAGGAATTAGTCTTTCCGAGAAACACTCTGCCTTGATTCTGTCGCGATGGCGCATCCCGACAATTTCGATGGCGATAGCAAAATTGGAGATCTTTTCTTCATTCGGACGTCTCAGTAGGTTGATCTCCAATTGGTTCTCGCCTGGTCGAATATAGGGCGTTATATCGATTGGAAGGTCTTTTCCATGTTGCAACTTTTTCCGCATTTCAAGGACATTTCCGTTGAGATTTAAGAACATTCCTGCAGGCCAGTACGTATCCTGCAGTATCCAGTTATGCTCTTCGGTAGATACCGTCCTCGCACAACGCACACGGTAAATCTTGGAATTTTCTGCGATCTTCCTGGTGGCCATTTCGAATGGAGAGGGCACGCTTTGTGAGGGCAAGTTCTCATGATCTTCTGGAGAGATTGCGAATGCGAGCTTCTGCTGAGCCTTACCATCCTCGAGCCTCGATGGAGGAATGGCGAAAGCATTCACAGATTGAAACAGCTTTCGGCCGAGCTTTGGCTGGGGAGTAGCCTCCAGAAGAGGACTTGAGGAACGCGCTTGGTGGAGCGCCGATTGGCTTGGATCAATGACCTGTGGGATCCAGACGTGACCTAAAGGGGGAATGATTGGTCGTGATAGCTGAGAGTGAACCTGGGCCGGCGATCCTGCTGTTCCGTTGATTTGCCTTGGATCTACCTGGTGAGCCGCATGACGCGTCGCCTGCATCATCGTCATCGAAGGGGAGCTAGCGTTACTACGGAGTACCTGCTGTGTAGGTACTTGTTGCGCGTGCATTTGCTGCTGCATCTGTTGCGCACGTATGTGCTGTGCTTGTGCCTGGATTTGCATTTGTTGGGCCTGTATGTGTCGATAGTTACTCTGGGGATCGTTCTGAAGTGATGGACCTTGCTGGTAAACCTGTTGTGGATATCCACCAGCTGGCATTCCTGGACGAACCATTTGCCCATTCATAGACTGGATTCCAGTGGGAGAATACTGAGGGGTCATCGGAGATTGCGGCTGAACCGAGGGCCTATTATGTAGCGCTGGACCGTGGCCATGTGGCACCACGTTGAAACCGTTTACGGAAGCTCCCACTTGAGCGCTATTTAGAAGCGGCTGCTGGAGTGGTTGTTGGTTTTGATGAAAGTTCTGCTGGTTCATATTTTGTACTGATGAGACGAGGTGAGGTGACTGTAAAGTCGAAGTAGGCGTCATGACTCCATACGAGCTCATAGAACGGCCCGGTCGTCCTGGGGGTATAGCGACCTGTAATTGTGGCTGAGACATTTGCTGGGTCGGTACGATTTGCTGCTGTGCTGTTTGCATGGGGCTCTGATGTGCGACCGTTGCCAACGGGCTGGATACTGCCGGCGAGTGCATTTGGCTTGGAAGTTGAACAGGTGAGTTGCTCAGCTGCATGTGCTGATTCTGAGTTTGGTGGGACATGCGTCGTGCTTGTAGAGTTGGCTGCTGCTCTACTTGAGAGACGAATTGCTTCCGGAGGTTGGTTATCTTGTCCAGGTAATACCTTTCTTCGCCTTGCTCCCTCTTCTTAGACTCTTCCATCGTCATGGGCTGCGATCGAAGCTCCGCGAGGCGATGCTGATGGTGTCTGAAAACACTTTCGGCACTAGCAAAGAATTCATTTTGAGGAGTCGTGTTGGGCTCAGGGAAATTGCAAAGACGCCGCAAGATTGCCCTGTGGAAAATGGACTGAAATATAGGGGAATACACACCCAGTTTCTCTTCAATCTCCACGGCAGTTGGCGGGAGCTTAGTGTCAATGCAGTGTTTCTGCAGCTTCTCCCATCCTCCGACGGCAGCGCGAGAGATGAATTCAGTACAGCGTGATATTTGTTGGCTGTACTCCTCCGGCCATTGCCGTTGCATTTCCTGTTTTGGGACAGGGAAGTCCCCAAACCATTGAAGCCATTGCATCGAGACTTCGCTTGTCTGTACTAAGTGATTCAGAAGATCCAGGGACGTGAGTGCCGCGTGCTGCGTGGCAACTTCTGCAGGTAAGCGAGGAGAAGAAATGGCCTTCATGCACATGAGCTGGTGGAAGTAAATATAGTCGTGATCTCCCCTTTCCACAGCTTCACGGATGAGGTCAACCCTAACGCTCTCAACGGCAGATAGGCCCCTTCCGTCAGCAGAAAAGGCAGGTAGACTCTGCAGCCTCTGGAAACAGAATTCGGGTGCGAGGCACGATGTAGACGCTCTAGAAAGAGCAGCCGGGGGCTCTGGATCCGGCGGAGCTACAGCAGGAGTATATGGCGAGCGAACATGTCCTGTTGATGCATTGCCCCCAGGGCTTTGTAAGCTTCCCGGCCCCGGTGCAGAGGGGCGGCGAAAACTCTCATCCTGAGGCGTATTTTCCTGCTCCAGCGAGGCCTGCATGACGGCCGGGAGAGACGTCCTCGTATTGTTCTCGGCCGACGCTAGTGACATGCTCCGCCTACTCGCAGGTGCTTCGCCGACGTCCAAGCGATTGTCTGTCCGACTTTCCTCTTCCTCCTCCTCCTCGTCGCCCAGGCTTACGATGGACGTCGCGCGAACTCGGTGACCGGCAGGCTCTTTGCTCGAGGCGGACGGATGCATGGCCGGGTCTTCGCTCGGAGCGGGCGAGGGCAGGATGTTGTTTTCGGTGGTGCTGGAGGCGCGTGATATCTGGGAGGCAACGACGTTTGGGAGAGCCGGAGAGGCAGGGTTCGAAGCATTCTGAACGGCGACACTGAGAGGAGGCTGTGCCGCAGGCGCAGCGGTGACACAGGGCAGGTTCGGCGAGGCAGAGCTCGAAGGAGGATTTTGTGTGGGCTTTGAGGGTCGCTTCGGGGGATCGAAGTCCCTTGGGGCGGGTCTCTTGCGCGAAGGCAGCAACGGCGAAGCGTTGACTTGCGGCTGGCCGGTGGTCAGCCAAGTGGGCATGCGCCTGCCACCCAGGAAGGCATTCGCGGTGGAATTGGAGGTCTGATGCTCCGCGCGAGTAGGTTCCGACGGCCTCATGGCTGGCGTGGCAAGGTCAGCTCGGCAGGTGGTGTCTGGACTGGAGCATGGCAGAGCGCGGTGGTCAAAGATGGGCGTTTGCTGTTTGCCCCAGAGGGCGCACGGTGCACACCCGGATTTGGCAGGATGCAGATGAAGGCAAGACGTCGGACGGCGGGCGGGGCTGCGAGGTGAGAGCGCTCGTCTCGCCGTGCAGAGGCGTTGTGAGCTGGCTGCCAGTAAGCGCGAACTGGACGCAGCGCCACGGAGAGAATTTCAAACCGCGAGCAACCCGCACCGCTCCGCGCGGCCGTGTGCGACGGGTCGCCCCCGGGGCGCGCGCGACGAGACTTGGGCGAAGCTGGAGAGACCCTGTGAGTCCAGAGGGAGATCCGCCCGTGCGAGAGCCAGGTGCCGCGTGCCTGCGGCTACCGCTACCGCTGTCATGCTGGGATCCGGCGCCCGCGCCCGCTGCTCGCCCATCTCAACTGCCAGCTCATTTTGCGCCGTACGACCCTCTGATCGCGCGCCGACCCTGCGTGCGCTCGTCTGCTGCCGCCGCGCGCGCTCTCTGCCCTCCCGCTGAACAGCGCTCCCAAGCGCCCTCCATGGAGCGATCGCGCATGTGATTGGCCGGCGCCGCTGCATACTATTAACTCAGACGGGGCCCCGAAATTGAGCTTCTCCATACCTGCCAGGCCGCCGCCACTCCCGTCTGCTGAGCTCGCGAGCCTCCATCGGCCTGGTACGACCCAGCCTCCGGCCACGAACGCGCGATGCCCTTTGCGAGGGCTGCCATGAGGTGATCCCCAGCAGCAGCAATCACCCCGACCAGACCGACCGACCACCACCCCCGCAGCCGCCCAGACTGCACACCATGGCGGCGCGTCCCAATATGGACCAGGCGCAGCCTGGAGACACTCTCCTGGTCATCCGTAAGTCGCCTCCGCGCCCCGCCCGCGCCGCGACCGCTTCCGCGCCGCTCCCTTGGCTACCTGCTGATACCTGCCGAGCTACCAGACGAGTTCAACGCGCGCAGCCCCGACGAATTGAGCCTCAAGCGCGGCGACCGCATCGAGCTCATCGAGCGCGACGACGACTTTGGCGATGGCTGGTTCCTGGGCCGCCACCTGCAGAACGGGCAAACCGGCCTGTTCCCAGAGGGTACGCCAGTCCTCCCGTTCCGCTCGCGGAGAATGGCTAACTGAGCTAGTCCAGTCTACACACAACTGGCCCCGCGGCCAACATTTTCCTCTGTCCTAAATAATCGCCCTGGCGTTGCCTACACTACCAGTCCCACAGCGACCACCGGCCCCTCGTTTGCGACTCTCGATGCCGCCAGCGACCAACCGCAGTCAACGCCGCCACAGTCCGACTCTCCTGCCCCTAGCGCCACGGGTATCCAGCGCTCTGCGACCGCCCCAATGGCGCTCTCTGCGATTGCCACCATGAACAACGGCCAGCGGGCGCTTTCAGGAGAGCAGAGGAGCCCCGTCATGAACGAGACCCTGAGTGTTATCGACGAGCATCTGACCGATATCAACACGCCGCGCGGGAGCATGCTGCGCGACCTCCGCACCAACAACGATAGTGGGAGCGAGTACAGCAGCCATGTCGAGCACCGATTGTCGTACATCAACGGCCAGGAGACCGACGAGGAGGAGAATGGATTACACACTTTGCATGAGATCAGGCACTGGACGCCGCTCCACGTCGCCGAGTGGTTGGAGGACGTCGGAGTGGACAGGCGTCATTGCGAAGTTTTTAAGGAACAGGAAATATCGGGTGAAGTCTTGCTGGGCATGGATCAGGCGTCGGTCTTCATGAAAGAATTCGATCTCGGTCCCATCGGGCCCCGTCTAAAGATCTGGCAGAAGATCAAAGCCCTCCAGCAAGAAGTAGCCGAAGCGGTGCGTAATTCTCAGAGCATACAGGACTATTCGGGCTCGGAGCAGGGCTCGAACGCAGGATCCATTCGCCATCGCAGCACGTCGATTGGCACGGTCCTGCCTCGCATTCCAAGTTTGATGGATTCCAATGGTGCCAGGCCGTCGAGTCGACAGCAGGTAAACAGAGGAAGCTCGCAGCAATCTGTACCCGGCACACCAGGTTCTCCCCTCAACGACACCAGACGCCCATCTGCGGCGTCTGTGAGAGAGATGAATCACCACCGGAGGCATTCTTCGGTCGAGTTTGCGAATTTGCCCACAACACCAACCACTCCGAGCAATGTTCACGTAACCCAAGCAACGCCGAACGCACATAAAAAGCAGCCATCCTTTGATCGGAACTGGAAAATGGGAGACGCCAATGGGAGGCCAGCGTCCTCTGCGCAAATGCGGCCTGAAACTCCCACTGAAGGCAGTCCACGTGGCGCAGGTCTGAATGTGGTAACGCCCGATCTCGACCGCGGCTATTTCTCAGGCGGAGAAGTTGAGAATCGCAAACACAGAAATGTCCTGCGCAAGGGTCACAGCCCAAGTCATTCCCGGACGTCGAGCTCTGGCCAGGATGGAAGGCGCCTGTCAGCGTTCAAACGTCACAGCAGAATTGGTAGTAGCGACTCGATGCGGGACACGACCGAACCTACCGCTCTGCTTTCCTCTTTCTACAGCCCTGGGACGAAACGCAGCCAGAGTGCGCGCACAGCCAGCGGACCTGAGTTGCGGAGCTCCCCTAAAGCCATCAGCAAGGAACGATCTGCAACTGTCACTAAACTGGATTACGGGACGCCAAGTATCGACGCCATTGCTTCGTCGCCGAACCTGGCAGAGAGCGAGGAAACGACGGCAGGCGGCCGCGCCTCGCCGCCGCCAGCCATTCAGCGGTACCCGAAGCCGCGTGCAACGGGTCTTCGAGCCATTTCAGACGCTCTTGCTGGAACTCTGAGCGGGGCGAAGAACCTCCCTCCTGTCTCTCCCAACAAAGACTCTGCTATGAACTCTCCAGCACGGACCGGATCCAGCACGCCGTCACAGACTTCGAAGAGCTTTGACTCTGGAGAGGCACCACCGGATGTCCTTCGCAGCGCAACGGGCAACTCGATGACGTCCAGTACCGCTAGCAGCGGACCGAAGAAGAAGACAAAGAAGGAAACAAGTGCATACCAGAGGGGCCTGGAGAACAAGCCGCCTTCAGAAACGATACCGGGCTCTGACTACAACGGATGGATGAAGAAGCGATCGTCGAATATGATGACAACATGGAAGACGAGGCTGTTCGTGCTCAAGGGCCGACGTCTGTCGTATTACTATTCGGAGTTCGACACGGCGGAGAAGGGTCTGATCGATATTTCGGGTCACCGTGTGTTGCCAGCAAACAACGAACGTATGACGGGCCTCCATGCGATGATGACTGGGGCCAAGTCATCACCAACGTCTCCTCAAAACGCGACCTTGACGACGTCAGCGCAAACGGATGCGGCAAACGAGATTGACCTCAAGGAAGACCCGTCGGGCATGTTCATCTTCAAGCTAGTGCCGCCTCGGGCTGGGTTGTCGAAAGCCGTCAATTTCACCAAACCAACGGTGCATTACTTCGCAGTGGATAATCTTCAACAGGGACGTCTCTGGATGGCAGCGCTCATGAAGGCAACAATCGATCGCGACGAAAGCAAAGAAGTCATCAGCACATACCAGCAGAAGACGATCTCTCTCGCCAAGGCACGGGAGATGCAGCAACGGCCCCCGGCGCTGATGGGCGAGGACGAGGATGAGGAGAACATCAATCCCGACAAGATCGACGAAGAGGACGAGGAACGAGGCTTGGCTATATCTGGCCTGGAAGACGAGGGCGACTCGGCAGACGATCCGAAGCGATCAGGCAGTGTTGGGACTAGCGAGGCGGCAGCGGCATCGGTGAATAGCGAGGCTGCGAGTAAAGAGTGATGGGCCGCAGGTTGCGGCAGCTGATTGGCAGAAAAGCACGAGGATTGGTCCATGTTCCCTTTTTTGTTCACACTGCTCAACCATTTTCTTTCGGAACATCTTGGGTCAACAGGGGACGGCATTGCAAGGGTAGGCCCTGTGTGGGATTTCTTCAGGGCTCAAAGCAAGCTGTCGGCGATGGGCGAGACAATTTCCTTGTTTCTTTGCACTGGGTCATAGTCGACTTTCTATTAGCATATCTGGACGACGGTTATGAACGTTGGCCTACGGGTTGATTTGGCGGTATAGGATCGAGTACCCCTGAGTACGTACGGTGCTCATATCTCTTTGCAGATTTCCTTGTAGTGTTTAGTATAGGTACTTTTCCGTGGGAGCATAATACAGAGCGAGTTGTGCACAGCTTGGCGGCAGTGGTGGATTGAAAAGTACCGTGTCACATTTGTCTCTTCAGCTCACGTCAACGTGCAGCTGCGGCTGCGGGCGCGACCGATTTTCGACGGTGGGATAAGCAGACGAGGATCCGGGTTGATGGGTGTGAGGGTGTTCAACACGAGGCACAGCGTGCCTCGTAGGGATACGCGTTTCGGCATGGCGGGCTGGTCGGGAGGGAGAGCGGGCAGCGGAACAACAGACGTGCGGGGAGAGGGAGAGATACGTCAAGCTTATGTGGAGGGGTGCTGCGGCTAACCGCTTGCCGAGGGAGCTGCAGGACAGGGCTCTCGCGGAGCAGGGCGGGCTGACCGGTGGTAATGGCAATATAAATAAACTTGCAGACGCAGGAGCCGGGATGGGGAGGGGTGAGGGAAGAAAGAATCGTCGGCATCGCATCATCGGCCGTTGTGGCTTGCCCCTTCCGCTCGTCGCGCAGTGAGATCCCATCGGCGGGCATCGCATCGCACCTGCACCTGCACGCATCCCTCGACACACCACCACCAACCCGCCCCCGGCCGCCGAGCTGCTGCAGGGTCCCTGAGCTCCGGTGCGGTCTAGTTCTTTCTGCTCTTCTCCCTCCAGCCCACCCATTTTTCTGCGCGCCGCGACCCGGCCCTTCTGCTGCTTTCCTGTCGCTCCGAGAATGAGCCAGTTGATTCCGCCTCGCCTCGACTTGACCCTGCTGCACGCTGCATATGCACGCCCGCCAATCTCGTCACCACTCCGTACCTACCGTGAAGTCGTCATTTGCGCGCCCCCAGTCGGCGCGCCCCATCGCCGTCGCGATCAACCCGGGTCTTGCCTCAGCGCCAGAATCTGTGTCCTGATTTTCCGCGCTCGTCCAGACTCCACCGCCGGCTTGTCATGCAGGCCTGCGTCACCGGCCGGCGGCGAGAAGCAGGGCAATTGGCCTTCTGACGACGCGTCTGCTCTCCAGGAGCCGCATCTGCGGCAATGATGAAATTCGGGAACCAAGGCAGAATAAAAAATTTAAGGCAATTGGCATCGACGATTCGTCGAGAAATTCGGTACCGGCAACCATTGGTCGCACGATGATGTGCATGCAGGCAAGCGGCGACGAACGAGAGGCTGCATGCATGCAATGCGGTGCAGAGGGTCTCGCCCATGCACGAAGAAAAGTAGGGCTTGCAGACTGAATACTGTCAAAAACAAAAATGTGATAGAAAGGCTCGATATACTGAAATAGGCTGTGTCATGCCGCGAACCTCGTATAGCTATCAATCACATACCTCATCAGTCAGTATATGCGGCGACACAACATGTAGAGCAGCAAGGAATAGGAGGAACATGCAAGCCGGCGTACAGTAGGCCCCAGCCACCAAGCCAAGCCCGTCAGCAGCAACGACGACGACGACGCGAAACCTTGCCTCATGGCAGACGAGACAGCGAAAGGGGACCCACTTCGCCTACCCACTTCGGATACACACCCTCATCACGCCAGCAGGCAGGCCGAAGGCAAAACGCCTCTGCCGTGCTCCCCGAGATCTTCGCGCGCTTTTGTCCCCTGCCAGGAATGCCTACTTTCACACGCAGTCCATGCACATGTATAACGGATCCATGCCGATGCACGGCGAGTGAAGAAAGTGGAGTGCGGACAGGTGGGGGATGGCCAAAGGAGAAAGGAAAAAGCAAAAAGTCATTGAACGAAGACCAACGAACTGTGATCGCAGTGTACTCCGAGAGACTGGTTCCACCAGACGGACGGGAACGGGAAAAGCAAAAAAGAAAAAAGAAAGAAAAAATAAGGCACGGTACCCGTCGCGTCGGGCCGCACGGCTGAACGGAGACGGGGAGGAATGGCTCACGTTTTTGGGCCGTTTTCGCGGCCGCCCATGTCGTCTAACCTTCTTGCTTCCGCCTCCCCGTGCTTTCACATGCATGTGCCTTTTATTTCTGCACTGCACACATGTGCATTTATTTCTGCACTGCGCAGGGCTTAGGGAGTGCTGCAAGCCACTATGTATCCCACGTGCATAACAGCCATCTCTTACGACACGTCTAGGAACAGCAGGGCCGGCCCCCGAGGAAGAGAGACCCTGATGTCGGCGGCGGAGTCCTCTCCGGCAATCCCCCCTCTTTGTCAGCGACCAAATATCACCAGATCTTACTCATACCCGCCTCTTCCCCTGTTCCTGCACCCGCTGCTTCTTTTGCTGTGGTTCGGTTCACAGCCGCATCCGTTATCGGCCTCTGAAACCGGCCATCGGCAAGCGGTCCCCAGTGGCCGAAGCGACAACCAATGCGGTAGGTGGGCTTTCGCTGCACATTGTCCCGAGGATCCGTCTGAGCATCGCTCCGGAATGAAGTCACTTTACTGGGTAGAGCGGTAGCGTACCTGGGGTCCAGATGGTTCCAACGGACCCTTTCACGGAGATGTCGCCTAATGGACCACTAGATTTGGCGGAGCCTGGGACCGTGGAGTACCCCGCCCCGCGGTGCGGGACAGCACGGTGCGAGGGGGAGGGGCAGAGCTTGGGGTTGTAAACACACGACACCTACCTTTTTTTTTTTTTTTGGTCCTGAGGCCTACATAGCAGATACCTACGCGTGGAGACGAAGTAAACGCCTATTTCCTCTCTTCTGAACCTATCTCGTTTTGTTCATTTCCATTCATAGATTTTTTTTCTCTGTTCTCTTTCCCCAGACCCCGCGCTCCGCGTCCCGACCCCGCCATCGCAGAAAAAAAGGGCCCAAAAGCACCTACGACAACCACGACCGAGCGACACCCCTTCCAACATCTCCAGCCGACCGCCAAGAAGCTCCTTCCACCAAGGACATATACAAACCCACACACAATGGCAGCCGCAGCACCCAAGCTCCTCGTCAACAAGGTCGCCGCCATCACGGGCGGCGTGACGGGCATCGGGCGCGCCATCGCGCTCGAGTACCTGCGCCAGGGCGCCAAGGTCGCCGTCAACCATCTGGGCGATGACGCGTCCAATGCGCAGTTCGAGTCGATGTTGAAGGAGAAGCCGGCGGACGCGCCGCTCATCGCCGTGCCGGGCGACATCTCCAAGCCCGAGACGGCGAAGCGGCTGGTCGAGCGGACGGTCGAGGAGTTTGGGAAGCTGGACGTGTTCGTGAGCAATGCCGGCGTGTGCAAGTTTGCGGATTTCTTGGAGTAAGTGTGCGCGTGGATCCGAGAGGGGTTGGCGCGTGGTAGCTATTTGCACCACATACCAGCTTTACCCTGTCTTCATTCAACCGGGATGGGAGAGATGATGATCTCCTCGTCATTTGCCATTTTACTTTCTGAAAGCAAAAAAAAGAGAGGGGAAATGCTGACAGCATTACGCGTACACACACAGCCTCGACACCGAGCACTGGGAATTCACGCTCAACACGAACCTCGGCGGCGCCTTCCACGCCACGCAAGCCGCAGCGCGGCAGATGGCGGCACAGGGCCACGGCGGCTCCATCATCGGCATCTCGTCCATCTCGGCACTAGTAGGTGGTGGTCAGCAGGCGCACTACACGCCCACCAAGGCCGGTGTGCTCAGCCTGATGCAGTCGTGCGCCTGCGCCCTCGGCCGCTACAACATCCGCTGCAACGCCCTGCTGCCCGGCACCATCAAGACGCAGCTGAACGACAAGGATCTGGCCGACCCGGACAAGAGAAAGTATATGGAAGGCCGCATCCCGCTGGGCAGGACGGGCGAGCCGGCGGATCTGGCGGGACCCGCGGTTTTTTTGGCGAGCGATCTGAGTAATTATGTGGTGAGTCCCTGCAGGAGGATCCCCTTCCCCTCCTTTCCCATTGGTTGGTCGTGTGGACAGGGGTGGTTGCTGACTGGCGACACAGAATGGCGCGCAATTGCTCGTGGACGGAGGCTTGTTTGTGAATCTTCAGTAAATACATACTTTATAGAGAATATTCGATTCAGTATCAAAGCAATATTACCACGTTCCATTGAATTGAAATTCCAACCCCAGGCACAATGTATTATATAAGATCCTTTCGTGGTATGGAGGATACTAGCGAGAGGAATAGCAGGGGTTGACGACAGGGGCCCCAGAATCAATACTATTTCACGACATTCGCAAATTATTGGACTCATATGGGTAGTTGAAGCTATCGTCCCGACGCGTATGTATAATTATTAATTCCACATTTGCGTCCGGATGATAGCTTCAACTACCCGTGGCATAAACAATTAAAAAAGTAACATTAGCCTTCAGCTGTAATACCCCTCTGTATCCCAAGCATATGAAGTAGACGTCTGAACATAAATCTGACTTCCTAAAACGTGCAACTACATCTGGACATAGATAGGATCCAATATCCCAGGGATGTACTTTCAAGGTCAATATCCTTTGCAGTCCACTGCGCCAAAAGAAATCACGCCTTCGGAGGACTCAGCCGATACGCCTCTACGGCGGTGCCGTACCACACGCGATCACGCTGCTCTTCCGTCAGGCCGTACGCATCCAGAATCTTCTCCACCGCAGCCGCCCAGCAGCTCCACGCCCGCGCGTCGCCCGGGCCGCGGACATTGCAGACGGGCCAGTCGCTGCCGAACATGATGCGCTCGGGCGGGAAGGCGCTGAAGAGCACGTCGAGCCAAGGCTTCATGCGCTCGAGCACGCGCTCCGGGGTCCAGGGGGCGCTGGGGTCCTGGTCCGCGATTTCGGAGAAGGCGCCGGACAGCTTCATGTAGGTGTGCGGCGAGCGGGCGGCGCGGCGGATGGCTGCGCTCCAGCGGTCGAAGGCGTCGCGCTGGGCTGGCGTGGTTGGGTGCTGCTCCATGTCCGGCTTGCAGAGGTGATCTATCATTCCGCTGATGTCAGCTCTCTTGTAACCACCACCACCACCTTTTCTCCCTTGCTCTTGTGAACTCTTTAAGAAAAAAAAAAAAGAAAAGATGCCCCCCAGCAAAAAGAAGAGAGAAAAAAAAGAGCCACTCACTCAAAATAAACCTCACCTCCTCCCCCTCCCTCACCCCATCCCCACCATCATTCACCCTCTCACACGCCTCCACCGCCCTCTCCACCTGCCACACCCCCCCACTCCTCGCATCCACGCCCACATCAAAACACCACCCCCTCCTCCCCACCTCCCTCAGCGCCTCCGTCCACCCGCCCACCACCCTCCCGAACGCCTCCTCGTCCTTTATCCCCTGCACGAGGAAGCGCCACCCGACAACCCTCGCCCACGCCTCCGGCCCCGCCGCCTCCTCCGCCGCCGCCAGGTACGCGCGCAAGTCCGCGAGGCCGACATCGACGGGGATCCACGGCACCAGGCCCCAGAGGACGGCGCCGTCGCCAGGCGCGAAACCTTCGCCCGGCGCGGGCGTGCCCGTCACGAGGCGGCGCAGCCAGCGGAGTTCCTCGAGCGGCTGCGCGGCGCGGACGAGGATGTCGGCTTTCGCGTCGTTGGCGAGGGTGCGGTCGGTTTCGACGTAGACGGCGCCGCGGACGCGGGGTGGTGTGGAGGAGGTGCTGGAGGAGGAAGAAGAAGAAGAAGAAGAAGAAGAAGAAGAAGAAGGTGCGGGCGTGGAGGATGCGGCAAAGTAGTCAGACAGCGAGTATTGTTTTGTGAGTGGCCCGCCTGGGGCCATCCATGCGTGGCCGGTTGGATTGGTTGACGTGTGCGGCCAGAGGTGGATGTGGGAGTCGAGAATGCGGGGTGGTGGGGGCATGATTTTTTTTTTCGTCAATGGGGAATTCAGTATTTTTCTTTCTTTTTTCCTCGATGCTTGATTTGGCGCTTTTTGGGATACAAAATTTCACGAAGAGCTTGAATAGGGAGAACTGAGAGTCTTGTGGAGCAGATGAGCTTGAAGAATGTGGAGATGAGATAGGCTAAATGGGAAAAGAGAAGAGCTGGAAAATCACATGAGCCATGGGGAAGAAAATCCGGGGCAATTTAAACACGAGTCTCGTAACTTGTCAGCAAACGTGCAGTGTTGATGGTGGTCGAGAAGATTAGGAGCATGCGTCCGTACAAAATAGGACGGAAGATGGAAAGCGTATCAGAGGCTTTGCAATAGTCAGGACAGCAAAGTATGCCGAGCGAGAGCAAGCGAGCCGCGAACTAACCCTCCACATCCAAAGTCTTGGCTCGAGTTTTGCTTGCCCTGCGCCTCTTCAAGTGCCGTCCCCACGTAGGGCAAAATTCACTGCTGGGCACATGCCGTAACGGTTACTGGAAAGCAAGGTGTCAAGCGATTCGGGCCTCCCTCAGGCCTCGTTCTGGACTCTAGAAATCATCCCACGCTGCGGCGGGGAGAGCGTCGTGTCAAAACGGGGCCGGGAATAGCTTCCCTCGAAGCGACCAATGGCGGGGTATAGCAGAGGGTTCGGAGAAGGAGCGTCCAAGACAAGATGACGTAGCGGGGGTCAGAGCGGGCAGGATGCCTGAGCAAAAGAGGCCAGAAAAGAGTGGGAAAAGACACAGAGCAACCGGAGAAGTGCTTGTTGCGAGGTCCCACAAATGCTTGCAAAGCGGGGCAAGGACCGAAGCCCAACCCACACAAATCAAAACCACTCGCTCCCAGCAGAAAAATTCCACACAAGCGTCGGACATAACGCGGCCGGAGCCAACTCCTTGGACAGCAGCGTTGAACGACTCGCCAATCTGCACCGGGGTGGGCAAATCGAAGCGCCACATCGAGACTGGGTAAACTGACCTGCTGCCTAGACAGGTTAAGAGAAAGAGATAGGTAAGACGGAGGGACACTGCGCGCTAGCCACTGAGGCTAACGCAAGTCATGCCCGCCCCAATCGCTGAATCTAACCACGTCCGCCCCGGCCCCAAACGTTCTCAACCGAGGGATCGATTTGGAAATCTGCACGCCGAACTTGGGGGCCAAAGTGGAGGAATCCGCATCGCCTTCCCCGATGACCTCGATCCTTTTCTTCTTGCTAGCTCCCTCGGCATTATGCGATACCGGGAATAAGTGTACTAGTGCTGCCATCATCGCCAAACGGCCGGCTTCCCGAAAAGACCCAGCCAAGTTGCCGAAAGAAAGACCTATGGCAAACCAAAAGAGTGGAGAGGTGAGAGGGCCAGATCAGAGCAGATGCCGAGCCCACCCGTGATCCATAACGCTCGCGCACCGGCCCCTCCTTGCTCGCTGCTGACTTGCACCGAGCAGGTCTGGGGATTGGGGATTGGGGAAAGCTTTCCCCTCTTCCCCCTCACACTTCCAACTTTTTTGCGGGTTCGCCCCATCGTTTTCGCTTTCTGGCCTTGCGATTTCGTCTTTATGAACGCCGATGCACGCACGCCCGCGCCCGTTCGCCGAAAAACCATGGTCGCACCGGCGGCAAAGTTGCCTTGAGTTGCCGACCAGGAAGATTGTCGCGACGACGACGAAGGCCGGCTAGCAGTCATGGTGAACCGGTGTCGGGGTGGCATCATTAAATAAGTATTCAGCGCGGGGCAACGAGGCGCGGGGTAGACTCTGCGTCTTTCACCTCGATTGTCCCGGTAGCTTGCTGCTGCCCTTCAGATTGTTGTTGTTTTCTTCCATTAGAAGTAGACCGATAGAAACGTTCCGCCCATCATGGTCGCCTCTCCTCCCAAGGGCATCTACGTGCCTGTAAGTACCGAGCTGAGCACGCGACATCGCAACGATGGAGCACGCGAGCATGCTCCCGACGCTCCAAACCCTCTTACCTTGATCGGGGGGCTCCGGTATCACAAGAAAAGCGGAAGCTGCCTGCAACGTCCGCTGACATTCTCCGCCCTCTGCGGCGAACCACCGCGAACGTAGGTCCCTACCTTTTTCGCCTCCAAAACGGCCGCCAACTACAATGCCACCGCCGCCCCCGTCGACGTCGCCACGCAGGCCGCCCACGCCGTCTACCTGGCCCGCGCTGGTATCCGTGGCCTCGTAATCCTGGGCTCGACCGGCGAGGCAGTGCACATCACCAACGCTGAGCGCTTTGAGATCCTGTCGGGCGTGCGCGCCGAGCTGGATAAGGCCGGCTTCACCGACTATCCCATCGTTGCCGGCACCGCCACCCAGAGCATCGAGGAGACGGTCTCTCAGTTGCGCGAGGCCCACAAAGCCGGTGCCCAGTGGGGCATGGTGCTGGCTCCGGGCTACTTCGCCAGCGCTGTGTCGCAGGCCGGAGTCATTGCATGGTTCGAGGCCGTGGCTGACCAGAGTCCAATCCCTATCCTTGTGTGAGTCCCAATCCCCCCATGAAGCATTATCCGTCAAAGAGATACGAGACAAAAACGGAAGGAGAGCGGGGGGTAAAAGAGACACGACGTGAGCCCTGGCATGTTGTTTGGGATATATCCAGAGTCAAAGCACATGTTTCGGACGTTGAAAGTGAAGATGCTGATCTTCCCGGATGGATATCTTCCCTCCGGAACATATTCTGCAATATATCTGCATGCCAATGCTCGTTCCTGCAGCGACGAGACCCTGGAAGCCGGGCATTCCGTTAGGAATAAACGATCCAGTGAACGTCGACGGGGAACTGAAGATATCCATCCGGGTGGGATGGCAGACGAGGTCGCCCCTGGTCTCTGGCTTGCTGTGCTGCCGTCCGGGTGAACAAGGCCTCTTGCGCACTCTCCACCCACCCTCAGCAGCTTGCATGCTGCAGGTCCGACGGAAGGAAGCACATGCAGCCCTAATGCACGATCGAATCCCATCGGTTCCGTGAAGAAAGCCGTCTGCCTGTGCTAATTAGCCCTCTGCTACAAGGTACCACTACCCTGGCGTTTCCAACAACATCGCCATCGCACCGGAGACGATGATTAAGCTGGCGCAGCACCCTAACATCGTCGGCTGCAAGCTGTCCCACGGCAACCTCGACGACCTTGGGCTCATCGCCCTGTCACCCAACGTCGACCACGGCAAATTCCGCACCTTCAGCGGGCTGGGCCAGGTGCTGCTGCCGGTGCTCACGCTCAACGGCGCGGGCGTCATCGACGGACTGTCGTCCATGTTCCCCAAGACGGTGGTACGCATCTTCGACCTGTTCGAGAAGAACTCGCTGGGGGCGCTGGAAGAGCTGCGGACTCTGCAGCGCAAGGTAGCTGCAGGCGAGAAGATGGTGGGCAAATGGGGCGTTATCGGCGTCAAGGAGGGCATCTCGCGGCTGAGAGGCTTCGGTGACAGCGATGGCGGCAGGGTCCCGCTGCAAGGCGGTTTTGGCGACGCCGAGTGGGCGAAGTGGAAGGATGCGCTTGATGAATTGGAGGCCGTTGAGAGGTCGCTGTGACGAGTCCCTGTAGTACCAGATTCCCCATTCGTGCACCACACCACCCCGCGGGCAGCGAAAGTATGGCTGGCAGGGGCGGTGCCAACATCATGACGAAAACGAAAATCCTCCGTAGCACGATAATTCATCCGCCTGGAGAATGGGTGCTAGTGCGCGCGCGAGCCGGTGAGCGGGCGGATTCGATCTCAGCTCGGTGCTAAGGTGCCGCCCGGCAGCCTGCTGACCATGGCAGGTGGACGGCGATGTTCGCCTTGCGCAGGCCATTGGCGTATCAGTTTAGGGTCTCGCCGGGAGCGATTCGCTTGATCGTGATGTGCCTTGTTTTCCTTTTTCTTCCCGCCGGCTGATCACGCTCGACTTGGTTGGGCAAAGAACACTCGCATTAGCTTGCGGCTCTGCGCCTCGGTGGCGAATTCGGCGGGCAACACAGCTGTCAGCCGAACATGTGCTTCTGGAGAGGAGGCGGTGGCTTATCTACAGCCGCGTTAAGCACATGCGCGTGAGCCTCATAGCTGCGAACACCCTGCGATCCATTGACTTTAGGGTTGCTACCACGCGCTGCACGTCAGAGCAGACCGTCGCGCTTGGCGTTGGCGCGTAGACGCGGCGTAGGGGACGTCTTCTCCAAAGGAGACCTGTCACAGCCATTAAATGTCGCGGAAGTGGCTGCTGATCAAGAAGCACTAAGGAGATAGCAGCTGTTGCACTGCCATGCTAGACGGTCACAAGCAGTAAATCAGCAGCAGAAGCAGCGCGGCCTTGGAACAGAAGTCGTGCTCCTGGCATCAGCCGTGGCTGATCGCCCATGTCAAAGTCATCCCCGCACTCCGCCCGAGTCGCGCACATAATCGAGGGCCTGGCCTTGGTACGCGCGAGTCAGGACTTGGCCCCAGTCGCATCTCGACGCGAGGGGAGAGAGTGAGCGGTAGCGGGTAGTACACGAGCCTCGCTACCAGCCGTGCGAAGCTTGGGAATATTCCCGCGCTGGCGGCGGGATGCACAGAGGTTGTTGCCAGCGAAGGGTGGATGATCGAAGAGGGTCCAGCTACTAGAGCGATGCGGAATCGGGGCCCGAGCGCGAGCGGCCGAGGGCATGGCGATTCCATCATCGAGGGCAGTGTTTGCATACGCAACGGCTGTGGGGGGGGGCCTTTGTGGGCGCAGTTCAATAGTGCCGTGATTCACACAGGGGCAGGGCTGGTGTTCCTGAGAGATTCGCCGGCGGGAAACATTCCAACTCGCTGGAGAGAAGGGATCGCTTGCTCGATTTGCTGCAAGTCCCGCTGATATTCGGCCAGCAAACAGTCTTGAGGGTGGGTTCGGCGCTGCTCGAGCGTTGTTAGCGGAGCGGAGGGATTGATTGCGGAGTCGAGGAGCTAGCTAAAGACGCGCGCCCGAGAGTAAGGCCGTCTCATTTCGTCCCAGCACCGCACGGCTGGCGGCGGCCAAGCGGCAGTCTGTGTGGACGTGGGCGGCGCTTTGTCCGCGCAGTTGCGCAATGTGGCTACCGCTAGCCCAAGTGTTGGCTGGCGTGGAGGGTCTGCCCCGGCTGGACCATGAGCTGATGCCGTGATGGGCCCGCCGGTCAGGAAGAACCGGCCCAAGGCGAGCAGCTGCTAGGGAGGTGCCAACAACAAGAGCAAGCGGCTCGGAGGGGTCGTGCTGGTGCTGACGATGACGGCGACCGCGATTCGCGCACGCAGGGCCGAGAGCCACACGGAGGAAAACTCTTGTTAACGGACGGAAGCGCGGAGCGAGCGTCGGGCGGGATCATCCTGTCACGGCGCAGCGCACTGACGAAGCGTCGAGAGGGACGGCTCGTCCGCGACAAGGGCAGTGCACAACGGTTGCGCTGCGCGACAGTGCCCCACCGTGCGCCGCGCCACAGCTGCCTGAGGGCCTCGAGCTCTGTGGGACGATCTCTGCGCCTGCATCCGACACGGCAAAAGCAAAAAAACGAGGAGAAGGCGAGAGCGGCCGCCGCGTGGGCGTCTTCGATTAGACGCGTGCCATTGCTTTTGCTGTAATGTATGACACTGCTGCGGTTGTTCCCGCACGACAGGCGTCCCAACGCCCCCGGACCCGGACGGCGGCATATTAACTCTATGCCACGCCGCCCGTGCCCGCCCGCTGCCATCAATCCGCGCTGCTGCCGCCGCCGCCGCTAGTTCATGGTATCCTGCACGCTCAAGGGACCGAGAAGCGCTGCTGGATGATGACAGCCGCACAACGCGTAGGTGGGTCTTTTGCCAGAGTGTCCAGGTCTGCGCCGCTCCTTCGCGCCCACACGCCGCGACCCGAGAGACAGAGGCCTGCTCTCGGCTGCTACTCCCGCTGCGCCCACAATCACAATCACAGCCCGTGCTGCGATCCCTGGCGGGCGAGCGACGCCGGGACGCTTGACGGCTGTTGCCGCGGGCAGCCTGCATCAGCTTGCGAGTTGCGTGCGGCCGGCCTGCACTCCGGCAAGGCAATCTGGATGATCGCGATGGGCTCGCCCGCCATGGATCCCTGGGCCAGACGCTCGCTCGATGCGGTCGGCGGTCGCGAGCATGCTGGCAGGAAGGAGGGCCAACCCAGCCGCTGGCCAAGGCGTGCCGCGGCTGTTGACACCTGTGGCGCCCAAGAGACCCTTCTCCACCTGGCGGCGATGCAGCCGGTTGTAGCATGCCAAAGCCTAAGGGTACCGCAGTTGTCGACTGCCGTGACTGGGCCGCACGCGACGCGACGCACAGCGTGGACGCAGGTCGCATGCGCCTATTCTTCAGGGCCCGGCACATGCTGACGAGGGAATCTGCGGTTCTGATCTCTCGCCTAAACCTTTCCGCATTGCATCTTGAAAATTTAAGAAAATGTGACATGGCGTTTTTTGGCCCTTCGCGGGAACAACGCAGCCTTTCTTCAAGCCGACCCGGCGCTGCGGGCGAGCCCTTTCCCGGTGCGGTCTGCAAGGCATTTCACGCCTCTCTTTTCGGGACTGGACGCCCTTCGGTATGCCAATTGGAGCCGTGTGGAGTGGGCTCCAGTGCGCTGATCCGAACACTTTCAGGCCCATGACGTCCGCTGCTTTTCGCAAGATGGGGCGTTTCCCTGAAGCAGCCCGCCGGGGGTAATGGGGGCCGCCATCCGGCAGATTTCGGGCGCTGCATAGCCGTAGCGGTAGTGTCTTGCGTGATGCTCCGCTTGGGGCCTCTTTTTTCGTTTGCATGGCGCCGGACGCGCCGCCAGCTGCCATTCACCAATGGGCAGAATGCCTGCTTTATCGTCGCGTTTCACCACCACGCGCCGTCCACAAGTTGGCTGGCCATCATCATGAGAGATATGCATAGCATTACTGCTGACTATATTGGTCTTCTTTTTTAACCCGCCCATGAGAAAAGTGTATTATACACACAAATCGTGAGATCGAGTCTCTCTCTGGACATGATGCAAGCTGCTGGTGCCCTCTACGCCATCCTGGGATATCGGCAAACACGGTAAAAAAAAATAAGAAGGCAAAAAATGCGAGAAGAAAGACGCGGCGAAGGAGCTGAAGAACAAGAAAAAAAAAAACCAAATCCCCCTTCCGCAGTGCAGCGCGACAAATGGCCCAAGACAATGTGAATGCAAGCCAGCCTCCCGCTTTATTTTTTTCCTTGAGCAAGAAAAAAAAACCCAGTGCGCAGCCTTCGGCGCCTCCGCCGTGCATTGTGGAAAAAAACAAAAAGATGAAGAATAAAAAAAGGGGGGGGCGGAAAGATGAACAAGGAAGAAGATAGACGAACGAAAAACCAATGGCACACCTCTTTCGGCGCGCGACGATCGCTGTGCGACGCATCATCAACAAACCCTAGCCAGCCATGCAAGATTAGATCTCACGCCCCCCCTTTCCAGAAGCGGGCACGAGCGCGGCATTATGCGGACAGAAGACCACCAAAGCAAAGCAACTCAAAACAAAAGGCGGACGGTGTCTATTTTGAAGAATGCAGTGATAACTTTTCGTTGTCCGAATGCGCAAAGCCTGCTTGCGCTTTGGGCCGCTCCATTCGGATGGCGTCGTCGGTATCGGCGGCGGGTCTGCTGCCCCAGGTGGTCTGCGACTCCGCGTTAGCAACACGAGCAAGGGCGGTGCGGGGTACCGGCATGAACTTACAGCATTGAGCGTGACCAAGCCCCAGAACTTGATCAAGCCGTGGACGTAGCCGAACACGACGACGACGGGCAGCAGCAGAATCGTGTCCTCGGGGTGCCGCACGAAGTGAGGCATCAGCTTGGTGCATTTGCTGAAGACGATCCAGGCGGCCAGGGCAATGGCGCCGGCCATGCTGGTGTCGTAGTGGTAGTCCTCGCTGAGGCTGGCGCGGTACCAGGTGTAGAACAGGGTCAGGTCATACGGCAGGGCCCAGGCGGTCAGTGTGGTCTGCTGCACGGCGTAGGTGCTCCATGGCTGGCGGCTGCGCGGTCAGGTCAGCAGGTGCGCACTTCAGACAATATCGGGGGACGGCGCCCCGTTCGGGGAGGGATCTCTTACGTCCAGGTGTGGCGCTCAACGAACATGGTTGTCAGGTTGCTCCGCCAGTTGCTCCGCACCCAGCGCAGGCACTGGCGCAAGTACCGCGGGTTGCACTCGAGCGTCGTCTGGACCTCGGCCTCGTGGTGGTACTGGACGGTGGTGTCGAAGCCGTGCGAGACCATCCAGCGGGTGATGAAGTTGTCGTCGTCAGCATTGAGCGTGTAGCCGTTCCACTTCTCGTTTTGGAAGCCGTGGGTGAAATCGCCGTTTTGCAGGATACGCGCGCGGTAGGCGACGGTGCGGCCGGACAGGCAGGGGAGACCCCCGTCCATCTGGGTGCAGGCCGTGATATCGAAATTGCGGCGCCGAATGTACATTTCCCCGAGAAACTGCCACAGGTACTCTCGGGAGAGATAGCGGAAGTCGGGGTTCCTCTTGATCTTCTGGTTGGTGCCGACGCCGCCGATTTTGGGGTCCTCGAAGGGGGCCAGGATCCAGGGCAGCAGACGTTCGCCCCAGGTCACGTCGTCGTCGGCGAAGATGATGATCTTGGTCTTGACCTGCGGGATTGCGGCGCACATCTGGCGGCGCTTGTTTGCTTGGGCGACGCTCATAACTCGGATCGTCTTCTGGGCGGCGCCGCCCATGGCGTCTATCATCTTATTGGCCCGGTTGACGTTGGCGTCGATCGTCACCAAAATGATTTCTGCAGGCGCGCAGCGCAGGATCGAACCGACGGTCTCCCGCAGCTCGTCGCCATCACCGTCGATGGAGGGCAGGATGACGGTGACATCGTCGGCCGTGTACGTGGGCTTCTCGGGGATGGGCGTGGGGCTGTAGAGCGCGTAGAAGGCAATGGCGTTCACGACGGTGCGCACGCCCTTAAGCAGGCTCGGGGACGGTCAGCGGGGAGGGCGGCATGTGAAGGCGCGGGAGCTCTTACAAGGTCAGGGCGAAGATAGTCAGCCACCAATGCTGGTCGACAAAGGACCAGAGAGCCTCCATTGCAACGCCAAACGAGGGACGCAACGAGTGTAGGGGAGACGGCGGGACTGCTCGCGTCGATGCGCTTGTCAGGCGGCGCTTCACTCGGGGAGGGGAGGGACTAAATAGTGCAGCCACATCTGGGAGTGGAATATGACTGGTAATAAGTACGCCGTTGATGGGTTTGAATAGCGCAGCAGCATGTCGTCAAAGAATAAGTCCTTGTGCATGGCCCGTAGCCCGGGCCCACCAGGCCACTGAGCAGTTCTGTAACTGCCTGCAGCGCGCTTTACCCATCCATCTTAGTCGATCGACATATTTCCGCACCCACACACTGCAGGTCAGGCAGGGCCCAGGTGCAGGGGGGCACTGTCGCCAACGCGCGCCGGCTAGGCGAGGGCACGGCGGGCAGCCATCGCGCGGCCTCCGATCATGCACCACGCTCGTGCCAGCTCCCGCGCGAGTGGAGGCGCGTTAAGAATAGGCAGGCCGGAGCCTCGAGTGTCTCGTTCTCGATTGCTGCGCCGGCCCACTGCCTCCGCGGCCAGCCTGCTGCAAGCGCCGCCCCCCCAAGGCAGCGCCCCAGTGCGCTTCGCGGCCGCCGTGGTGTGATGCTGGATGGAGACCGACCAGCGCGCCGTCGGCTAATGCCTGTCTCCAGCGCTCCGCCGCCGAAGCCCAGCGCACACGCCCCAGCTCTCTCCACACGCCGGCGATCAACAACGCCGGAACATGGCGAATTGCTGTGGCGACTAGCCCGTCACGAGCAGCGTATCGCCGCGGTGGCTGACATCAAAGTCTTACATGTCATGCTCGCGCCATCGATAACTTCGTATGCAGCGCCCGCGCCGCGCCTGCCTGCCCGTCCCTACTAGGGCCCGCAAATCAGCCCTTCCTGCTGTCCTCGCTCCCGGCCATCCTCCGCGACCGCCCACACGCCTCAAGCGAGCCCGCAGCCTGCACGCAACGTGCGCCGCGCCGTCATCATGCCATGCGGGCTGCATAATCTCCTGCCGCTGCGTTTTATCCGCACGCTCGTCGAGCTGCAGCAATGATCTGCCCGGGGGCAGCGGGGGGAACGACGCCTCCCGTTCCGATGCATGTCAGGTTATTTAGCCAGGCCTGCGCAAGAGAGAAACGGGCAAGTGGCCATTGCTGCGGATATGATGAGCACCGTCCGAACTCCCCAAAGCCCGCCGCCCCGAGCGAGCGAGGCTCCACCGTCTGCTAAGCACCACGACGAGCCCCCTCGACCGCTAAGCCCGTGTTTAGTCAGAGGGCGCGCGCGAGCTCGCCGGCCCGGGGCGGCCAGGCGCCGGCTCGATGCGGCGGCTGGAGGTCGAGATAGGGCTGAGCCGCATCGACGTCCTCCATCGTGGCACCCATGCTCCAGAATTGCTTTTTCGTCTTGAGCTTGTTTCTAACAAGGCCACATGTGTACCACCGCTCTAGCCTCATCAACCCCACGACCGTGTGAAGGGCTTGCAGGCGACCGTGTCTCGGACGACGTCGCCCAGCGCCTCCACACCGTCCCCAGACGTGGTGCCTGCCGACCATCGCGGAGCGCCTACCAAGCCCCTCCCTCTCCGCAGCCCGCCTCCGCGCCCGCGGCTGCCGGGCCTATCGGCAGGCACGAAACGAGATCGATCTGCTGCTGCAGGCTGTCGCTGCCCGCCGCGACATGGGTGCGCCCTCGATCTTCGGGTCCTGGGCCATAAGACCAATGGTATGCCGCCCGGAGGCCTCGCCGCTGCGCCCTCAGCAGCGCGAGGGAAGGGAGCGTGACCTGCCCAGCGGCAGCTCCTCCTTCCAGAAGCCCGCGCGAAGGCGGCTGCAGCTCAGGGCATGCGGCCCGCTCTTTGATCCGACTCGCCATGCCCGCGGCTGGCGTGCCCTCGAGGCCATCCAATAGAAGGATTCTGTACGAGACGCGGGGCTGCGAGATATCTACCGACAGAGGTCGTCAATCAGGTTCAGCCCGGCTAGGGTTCCGGAGGGGGCGGCGTGGGCGGTGTGCTGGACATGTCTTTTTAGCTCGATACTTTCCCGTCTGCTCAGTTGGTGCAACTCATCTCCCCTGGGCTCCCTTATTTCGCCTGCTGGTCCCTGGGGAGGTTACGCGTCGAGAATTGGAAGATGTGCGCCCGTCACTCCACTCCGGAGATAGCGCTTGGAGACCCATCCATCCACATCGGGTATTGCGGCGTCCCGTCCTCTGCTAATCCTCTCGTAGAAGCCGTCCAAAATTAGCAGAATTTCATTCTCTTACTGTCCCGACGCGGAGATGAGGAGTTTGTGGAAAGTACCGATGACAATCCCGCGCGCTTTGAGCACTCCGCAGTGCCAAGCCGAGAATAGCATCCTCACCGCGACTGCTGTACTTTGCCCCTGAGCCCAGAACATTGCCTGCCAACGGCGTGGTTCCAGAGAAGCCTGCCTCGTATCGACCCCATCGTCGACGACTCAACATGCCGGCCAGGCCTTTTTCTCGTTGGTGCGGCGTAGGCGCTTGCATAGTGGATCGACCGCACAACGGCCCTCCCCGTCCCTGTGAACGGAGCTGATGACAATCTGCTCTAGCCCACCTCGCAATGGCTGGTCCCCCACTCGCTCTGCTACCTCGGGAGCCAGCCGTGAATAACGCAAGCGCTCGCTATTCATGAGGGAAATGCGTTGTTGGCGTACTATGGGGACAGGAGGCCACGACTCATTGCCGAGATTGCGGTATGACGTCTCTCCGGCACATCTTCATTCTCGCTTCTAATACTCTTCTCTTATGTTTCCACGTCGAGTGCTACTATTCGATGCGGTTGCTGATACTCCAGAGGTAATTAGACATTCGGACCAGCAGTCCTCGTTTCCCGGTCCGCAACGCCGTTCGGCCAGACTTTCGATGCCCTGGTGAGGGTTCCATGTCGACTGCGGGCCTATTCGTCTCGATCAATCTATTTTCTTTGGCCTCTAATTGCACGCTTGGGTCTTATTGGTCCATTTCGCTTCCCACTCTTCTCGGTTCTTGGTGGAGCATGAACAAGAAGCTATTCTCCGGGTCCCTATTTGTCAACTGCCAAATTTCCACTCAACGCTCGGTATCTTTTTTTGGTCAACATCCCCGAACCAAGTAAGGGTTGCGCGTCGCGGAAAGACTGCAAAGGAGCCGTACGAGCAACGCAGTACCCGAATTCGGGTAATAGAAGAGAGCCTGGGGCAGTGCATGTATGATGTCAACGGAAGCGTACGACGGTCTGGCCGGCGGGGATGACGGATGGGTGGACACGACAGGGTGCAAAGGCCATTGTCCATTCCGTTCGACGTTTGTGGTCGTCTTCGTTCTCGACCAGGACGAGTGGACGCGTCCAGCCCTTTCATGTTGCGGCGTGGGTTCCGTACCGCATGCGTGGGGGTCGGCGTGAAGAGTACCGCAGCGGTTGAACGTCTTCCATTGGAGGTTGAGTCAGGCTCGACAACCTGCCGGATATCTTCTTGCACCTGGACTATTTCCTCCAGCCGCCGTGGCTGAGATGCTCGACTGATGCAATGCTACATGGAAAAGGGTCGTCCGGCACAGGGCACCCAGCCCCTGAAGGAGTGGAGGGTGGCACGGAGGGGTTATGGATGGTGGTTAGTGCGCAGGGTGATGCGGAGAAGATGGGAGGGATGGAGAGCGGCTGGTGAGCGCCCGACGCCGCCGGCCTGCGGACCTAGCATGCCATCGGCGGTACCTAGTGACCTGCTCCTGCGTACCTCCTGCCCGGAGGTCAGAGGCTGCCATCCGAGGTTGGGCTGCATTAGGGATAGGCCGGATGGATGGAGACATGGTAGTGAACGGCGGCACGGACGGGGCTCCAATAGCGAAATGCGTGCGCAATTGCAGCGCGCTCATTGTGATAGAAAGCAAAAGGCGTGAAAGTGGTGTGTCGAAGGGCGATGGTGACTGTCGCGCAGAACCGGCATCTCAGCTAGGGTCTTGGCGCCCGAGGCGCTGGAATGGTTTTCCCTTCGGGCGTGCACGGCAGAGTTGACCTCAACGCCCACGGAGCACGCAGCCTCATCCACCTTCGACACCACCCCATCTCCGCTCCTCCATCGCCGCCGCCATGTCCCTCGCTGCCTCTCGCGCCGTGCTGCGGCAATCCCGCTTCGCCGTGCGCCGCCCCGCCGTGCGCCATGCCTCCACCACCTCGGAGGCCGCAAAGGAAAAGGCCGCTCAAGCCACCTCCAAGGCCTCTGAGGGTCTTGCCCGCGCGAGTGCGACCGGCAGCGCTGCTCTCTCCAAGGCCACCCAGTTCGGCGGCGCCGCTCTGCAGCGCCTGGCCTCCGCCGGCGGCCGCACCGCCAAGGTTGCCGGCTTCGTCCAGTGTAAGTGCGCCCTGTGTTGTACAGCCCCAGCGTGCGAATTGGCATGTGCCATTTGGCCGGCTCGTCTCCGACGACACGATGCAACGGTCGCCGGGTCATTGGCGCTTTCGATGGTGTTCTAGATGCCTGCAGCTTGCCTGTCCGTCGGCAGTGCTGCAGGCGCGTCCAAAGCCGCGATTGCTCCCGCATGCTTGCGTCAACCCGACTGACATGCGTTCCCCGCAGCTCTCATCCCCCCGACCGTCTACTACTCGCGCGTCGCGCTTGAGCTGGGCAAGATTGTCTTCCACGCCCGCAAGATGAGCCCTCCGTAAGCAATGCCCGGATACAGTCTCCGAGATGGGCCATACTCATTGACCCTTGCAGGTCCACGCAAACTTTCCAGGCCTACTTCCAGCCCCTCCTCAACGCCCTCAAGAACCCCTCCCAGCTCTCCGGCCAGACTTCCAACCTCCTGGCCCGCGTCAGGAACGTGAACAGGGCGGAGCTCGCTTCTGCCGGTGTCGTTGCCGCCGAGGTCCTTGGCTTCTTCACCGTTGGCGAGATGATTGGCCGCATGAAGATCGTCGGCTACAGGTCGAGCGCGCCTGCCCACCACTAAAGCATGAAGCCGGCTGCGATGGATGGTAGACAAGTCAGCTGTCAGTTGGAAGCAGACGGGGCCGGGGACGGATGGAGGTCGAAAACAGGCGGCAAAAGCTGTAGAGGGAGCCGTTGACTAGAGGAGCACACCTTGTTCCACGGAGCAAGACACTGTACTACATGCACATATGCTGCTTCTAGATTTTATCCATTTCCTTTGTACTTTTACCCCAATAGGGCAATCGTTGTATGTGCTCAAGTTTTGGTGATATAGGCGCACGTGATGGCGTGAAGCTTTGACAGCGCCGATAAGTATTTTTTTCGATAGCGGAATTATTGCGCCGCCAACGTTCGTCGGTACCGCAAAACTATGCGTCGCCACCATTGATTTCCCGCAACTCCGACACGCTTAAATCTGACCTCACGACGTCTCGAAACATGGACTTCCTCAAGGTGCTGTCGCGCGGCACCAATGTCGGCAAGGGTGCGACGAAGAATGCGCCCGCGGTGAAGACGCCCTCCAGCGGCGCAAACGCAAATCCACAGCTTTTTGGCCGCGACGCGACCCACGAGGACCAGAGTTCGACGCCGGCTACACAGTCGAAAACGAAGAAGCGCAAACGGGGCCAGGCCCATTCCGCAGCGACTGTCGATCTGCCGCCCGAACTCGACTTTTTCGGCGATGGGAAGCGGGAGGACAAGAAGGCGGAGCCCAAAGCAGCAGATGCAGGCGCGAAACAAAACAAGGGCGAGGCGAAGGAGGATCAGTCCGAGGCTGAATCTGCGGATGGTGTGGAACCAGTGACAGAGGAGGAGAACAAGCGCATACTGCGCTCGCACAAGGTCAAGATCACTCTGCTGGAGGACTACAAGGCGCAAGAGGCAGAGCAGAAGGCGGCGGATCGGAAGTCCAAGAAGCGCAAGAAGTCGAAGGAGCAGGAGGCGCCGCAGAAAAAGGCAAAGGTTCAGCTTTTCCCGCAACCGCTCACGTCCTTTAACCAACTGAGGTCGCGATTCAACGTTTCCAGGAGACTGGCGGAAAATATCGATGCGCAGGGCTATACCATGCCAACAGAAGTGCAGCTTGCCAGTCTGCCACTGCTATTGGATGCTACTGATCCAGAAAGCAACGGAGTTGACCTCTTAACTGTAGCTCCGACCGGTAGCGGGAAGACGCTGGCCTTCCTGATTCCTGTCGTTGAGTCACTTTTGCGGAGGCGTAAAGCACGGAACGGAGAGGACTCATCCGCCAAGGAGGACGAAGGAATCAAAGCAATCATCCTAGCTCCTACCAAGGAACTGGCCAGTCAAATCGTCAACGAAGGACGGAAGCTCAGCCTAAAGACAGGAATCAAGGTTTCCCTCATGCGTAAGGGTATGGAGGTCCTGAAGCAATTCGCGGAAGAGGAATCTAAGCCGAGTGACGATGATTCTGGCTCCGAAGAAAGCGATGGTGAGAGTCAGGGCGATTCTGCCTCAGAAGGCGACAAAAACTCCAAGGCAAAGAAGCGCAAGAGAGGCCAGCTCGTTAAGTCAGACATTTTGGTCTCAACGCCACTTACTCTACTGCACGCGCTCCAAATTGCGGACGGAACTGGTTCTCTTCCGACCGTGAAGTATTTTGTCTTGGATGAGGCAGATGTACTCCTCGACCCTCTATTCCGGCAACAAACTCTAGATATCTGGAACGCTTGCATAAACCCGCTACTACGGGTAAGCCTTTGGTCGGCCACCATGGGATCTAGCATCGAAGAACTAGCAAAGAACACCATCACGTCCCGCTGGTCATCCATCCAGAGCTCAGGTGTCACCAGGCCCAATCTTGTCCGTCTCGTCGTTGGCCTCAAGGATTCAGCCGTTCCCAACATCCACCACCAGCTCACGTACGCCGCCACGGAGCAAGGCAAACTCCTCGCGGTCCGCCAGCTGCTCCACCCCACCACCTCCAAGAGCGACAACACGACACCAACCTTGCGCCCACCCTTCCTCATCTTCACGCAAACCATCCCCCGCGCGCAGGCGCTCTACTCGGAGCTGCAGTACGACATCCCGCCCGAGGCGGGCGGGTCGTCGCGCATCGCGGTCCTGCACTCGTCGCTGTCGTCGTCGCTGCGCGACGGCGTCATGGCGCGCTTCCGCCGCGGCGAGGTGTGGGTGCTGATCACGACGGACCTGCTGGCGCGCGGCGTGGACTTCCGCGGCATCAACGGCGTCGTCAACTACGACGTGCCGACGTCGGGTGCGGCGTACGTGCACCGCGTTGGCCGCACCGGGCGTGCGGGTCGCGAGGGCGGCGTTGCGGTCACGCTGTACACGGAGGAAGACATCCCGTACATCAAGAACATTGCGAATATCATCAAGGCGAGCGAGGCGTTGAGGGGGAAGGAAGGCGCGGAGAAGGCGACGGTTCAGCAGTGGATGCTGGATGCGTTGCCCACGCCTAGTAAGCGCGATAAGAAGCTGCTGAAGAAGAGGGGCGTTGAGGCTAGAAGGGCTGGCGTCGAGCTCAAGCAAGGCAGGGGCAAATGGCGCACGCAGATCAGTACGAAGCCGGGCTTTGAGAGGAAGGTCGAACACAACAGGAAGGCGGCAGTGCAGGCGAGCAGGAAGAGGAAGGAGAGAGAAGGACTCGCGAAGGGTGGTGAAGAGAGTGAGGGGGAGTTTGGGGGGTTCGATGATTAGATATAGAAGGAGAGAAAGTGATATGTATGTGGAAAAGTTGTTGGGTAGGATCACAAAAAAAAGTTAATATTGTCTTTCAACCCGTGTCGAAGTCATGGCGATTAGTATTACTATGTTCAGGTTGCATGTCTGGCGTAGACTCTTCTCGTCCGATATGCTTATGTTAACTCCTTGTGATAGCTCTCTTTCGGAAGGAGGTAGAGAAGGGCCAAAACGTTTTGTCTTTCCATGTCCCGGTAGAGACGGCACTCTCCACATAGGCAGTTGAAATAAACATCCAGATGCAGATAGAAGCATCTAGATTCTTCAACCACCGAGGTAAGCAGGGGGCAATATCTTTGGTCAGACAGGCTTGAGAAAACCAGATATTCGTTTGAAATGGCAGCAGAAGTTCAAGCTGACGTACACTTGCATAGAAGGACAGAAACGCATGTGAACATGGCTCATTGTCTTCCACGAAAGCCACTCATCGCATATATGCGACCCCTTATTAGCCGCCTTGCGTGGTGCAAGCCAAGCTTAAAAGAAAACAAAATCGGTACGATGCGGTCAACCGCTTATCCGATCTTCCCGAGTCTGGCGTAGTCTTTTTCGCTTTTCACATGGGAGGAGAAAAAAGGCTGCAAAGAATCCGGGCAATGAAGAATCGTCGGCGGCGGTTCCACGAATGGCCATCGGCCGATTGCCTTCTTTGCTGCCACATATGTGGGGGATGCAATGCAGCTTACATGCACGACATCATGCAGAATAGAACGGGAGAATGTATCCAACCGATCAACCAAGCCACAAACTGCACGTTCGTTCAATGAACGCTTGACGCGCCGCATCCCTGCAACATCCATCATTTATCGACTTTCCGATCGCTAATTTGGCGTCGAGCAGCACGGAGATAGCACCGGTCGGCTTCTGATTGAGCGATTTGATGGTGAGAACGGATCCGACCCAGACATGGGGGTTACAGAAGAGGAGGGATGCCGATGCTCGCCGCATTCAGTTGCGCCATTTCAATGTGAGTCTTCAGTTTCTACTCGTCTCCTTCAAGAACTAGTGGCTCGATAATTTGAACTCGGAAATATACGTCCGGGGATTGGGGAACAGAGCGCGTGGTACATGGCAAGCTGTACTTTTCCTTCATGGCTTACACATAACGCTAATATAAAGTCCAGGCTTTCAATTGCGATGCGAGTGTTTTGCAGGAACCGGCTCTGTGGGAAACTTTTTGTTCTAGCGGGTGAAGTAGCTCGTTTTCCAAAAAGACAGGCTTGAGGAGAGGTTGGATTGTCATCAATTTGAACAGAGATTCGAATCCAAATCAGTGATACTGAGGGGCGGCAGCGGTTGCCTTGGCCTCAACTCCCATAACCCTGAATATTATTATGAGCAAGCGTCACCACATTCAAAACTATGGGTTGCTCTTTCTCAACACGTTAGGACTGAGTTGTGATTACGTGTCTTGCATCTATATACTTTTTTTCTGCTCTTTGACTGCGCAGTGCGTCAGCGTCACATCCCGGCCCTACGGCACAGCCGACGGCCTCATCGCCGCATCAGCTACCAACCGTGATCCTGGTGCTTTCCTTAGGTAATTGAAATGATCGTTGTTTATTGGGTACTGAAATGCTCACATTCAAAAAAAAAAAAAAAAAGATAGTAATAATCGCAAAGGGCAAAACGTACAACAGCCGGGATTCCCCAATGGTCACCCACTTGAGTACTAATCGGCCGGTTCGCAGCTTAAGTACGGCTGAGCGGACGGGAAGCCCTGCATTCTGCGACCTATGGTCGTACGTGAAAGAACATGCTCCTGACAGCAGTTATTATTCCCAGTCAACAAGCAGTCGCCTGGCTGTTTATTGGGCGACTGATAGTAGAAGCGGACGGGAAGCCCTGCATTTTACGACCTATGGTCATACATGAAAGAGGAATTGGCCAAAATATTACAACAAAGCTTTAACGACTACCGGTTGACGGGGGATGAGAGTACATACACCTGGTCTTTGTCTAATAGTATCCGCTACTACCTGCTGACCAGATCTATATCTGTCGTGGTTCGTTATACGAGCTCCAACTGTGCGCGCTTTCAGCCCCCTGCATCATTTGCTTGGTAATATGCGTAAGCGCCAAACAGTGGGGCAGCAAAGCTTTCAGCATTACTCGCCCTCCTCCTTTCTTCAACCTGCGGTATCCTGCCGCTTTCTTCGTCTATGTTTCGACTACAAAATGCTTTGCGAGCAATGTCTAGCCTTTTGGAGAGCTGTAGAGACCGAAATCTCGAGCCCGGATTCTCAGCGCATCCGGCATGTTTCGCCAGCTGGCGGTTTTCAAATTCGCTGGCCTCGCTACTCCGCCACCCTCCACGACAGCCTTGCACAGCTTGAGCGAGCTGCCAAAAAGCGGTGTCACATATGCTTTTGCATTTTCCATTGTTGCAGAGCTTACAATAGCCAGGGTGTTCGTATCGAAGGTTCAGAGCTTGAAACGGGCCTGAATCCTGAGGTAGTTCTGAAGCTCGAGGACTCGGACGGAAGGGGCGCGACACTTTCTGCAGCATATCGGTGTCGTACCGGGACTGAACGGGCTGGGGAAATGGTAGCAACAGTGACGATAGGTGTTTTCGATGGCCTTTTCGCTGACGGTAAGCAACCACCATGCATCCCCGTTTGCCAGAGAGTTCGCATTTGCTGACAGCCATCTGGCAATAAGAGGACACTGGAGCAACACTAAAGCGGTGCGTGGAGCTCGATAGCAATGGCACTGGCTCTGCTGCGGCCTTCGAACTAGCTTCGTTCTGGCTCCGACGGTGTTTATCAACGCATGAGAAATGCTTGAAGGCCCATCCCTTGGCAAACTTCATGCCGACTCGAGTCATTGATGTGGGAAATGGGAAAGTTCGATTGGTCGAAACAGCAGAGAAAAAGATTCCCGACACGGAACGTCGATACTTCGCCCTAAGCCATTGTTGGGGAACGACCCAAATCATCACGACTTCCAACGGCAATCTGAAATGTCATTTGGAAGACATTCCATTCCAAGCGCTCTCTCGGACCTTTCAGGATGCCGTTACAACCACGAGAAGGCTCTCTTTCCGATACCTCTGGATTGACTCCCTCTGTATCATTCAGGACAGCAAATCTGACTGGGAGCGAGAAGCTGTGCAGATGTGTGATATCTACCGCAACGCAACTCTGACACTTGGTGCTGCACATGCCTCGGGAGGTGAAGAAGGTTGCTTTTTCAACGTCACCGAAGGTATGCGATATCTTCCGCTCGTTGTCGAACTCGACGTCCGAACGCCCGACCATGAACACATTCGATGCAGACCAGTCTTTGAAGGCCGGGGCAGAGGGATGAAGTTGAATGAGATAAGCCTGAGTGCGGAGCCTGCTCTTCATGGCCGGGCGTGGGTTTTGCAAGAACAACTACTTTCACTGCGGTCGCTCAGCTTCGACGGGCCCAAGCTGAGGTGGAATTGCTTGGAAACCGATGGCTCCATGATGGTGATTTTAGACGACTATTTCATGGAGCCATTATTCTATGCCAAGGTGAGGAACCTTATAGCGGATGGAGAAGATTTCTTCACGGACAGACAAGGTTACAGTCAATGGTACGAGCTTATCCAAGAGTACACACACAGAGGGATGACCGTACCTTCTGATCGGCTTTTTGCCTTGGCCGGGATTGCAGTAGCTATTGCTAGGACAACAAAGGCACAGTACTGTGCCGGATTGTGGGTGGAAGACCTCTTCCAAGGGCTCCTGTGGCACGTTCCACACGTCGACATGGCGCCCACTGCATTCACACAAAAGGCATTCGACCCTAATCGAAACAAACACGTTCGCCATGAGAGACCCCTGGCGTCAACTTGGTCATGGGCTTCGGTAACAGTGCCCATTACGTATCCCAGTCTCCTTGATCCTTTTCCAATGTCCTATATGTGGATGGATGCCGCACGTAGCACACCTCCCTTTCACAGCGACATCATCACTATTACAGGGCAAACCAGAACAGCTTACGTCAACTCTGTCTATCCCGAATCTATTTCGGACGCTCACGACTCGGTTCCTGATATGGTGCTCTGGAACAGAGCTGGGAAGAGCCGCTTTTACTTCACCTTCTGCGAATATGTGACTTTTCAGCCTTCAAACTTGTTCCTCTTCTCGGAAACGCCCGCTGTCCATGAGACCGAATGGCAATTTATACATGGAGAGTGGTGCCCGGATGAGGTTCTTGATCCCTCGACACCTATCATTTTCTTGGCTATTGCGCAACAGCACATTCCTTGGGATGGGTCCGTTGCTGTCTATACCATTGGCCTGGTTCCCACAGGGGACTCTTCCAATGAATTTCGCCGCGTGGGGTATGCGAAGTGGGATTCCTGTGCATGGTACGGGTACTCGTGCGACAACGATACCGAGGCGCATCGCCATGATTTTGTGATGGAGGGTCCTCCGGATATGAGCGCTTATCATGAGTCCGTCCATGTGCAAACAGGGACTTTTAATATTGTGTGATTAAGGGAAATGCCGGGAAGTCCTCATCATAAGGTATAGTCGTACGTGGAAGGAGATTGAAAATGGTGGATTATAAGGACTATGCAACCGAAGGGGATCTTGTTCACTCTGGCATATGTATCAATAACTGGCGCTTTCGCCCCGGCGATAAGAGGTACGGAAGGCGGGGAATGCAAGAGCATGGAAACGACTATCTCCTCGGCCGGCTTCATCCACCAGCACGTCTACCGGCACGTCCACCAGTATTGTATTGTAGCTTTGTGATTGGTAGAAACGTGCGTAAGCAATAAATCTGAATTATTCGCCCCTTAATTCAGAAAAGGCTAAACTTGAAAAGGTAGCTGGTGGAGGGACCGGTGGATGAATCTGGCCGAGGAGATAGTAGAGTGTCGATTACGTCTATCTAGATCCTCCTGCCGGTATATTCCTTCTGCGTGGAAAGAAACACGAACAGCTAATATCACTTCAGACCAAGTTCAAGTTCACGTAATTCATACTTTCACTAAAATCCCGTCCCGGTCGGTAGCATGACCATTCCTATGTGATACTCTTGGCAACGGCCGAGGATAAACCTCGGACTACCCCGAGCTGTCGGTATAGCAGCCAGGAGTAGCCAATGACAGGACTGTTTCCTCTTGAATGATATGAATGTTTACGCCTTCGAGGTGGCTGTGCATTGCACTACCACACTTTGTTCGATCTTTCTTAGCCATAAGTGGAGAATCGAGCTTCCACGGCCGACAGCAACAACGGGTCAAGCCGTATTGAGCAGTAGTCCAATTCCACTAAGGTGATTTCAAATCAGCATTTCCTCTCAGTGGAAGCGACTAGATGATAGTCCCAACGTCATCGTATGTTCAAAGTGATGGCTCCACCTTGGCAAAGGCAGGCCTCGGAACTTGCATGCACATTGGTGCTAGGAAAAGCCGCAGATGGTGCTGAAAGAGAGTACGTCCTTGGATCTGAGCTCACCGCTGCCCAGTTTCCATAAAGCCAAGAGTTCATTGACACTAAGCATTATGCGCTATGCGGTCCTATCCCCTGCATACCATGAGAGACAAGCCTGAGTTATCCTTCTTAGAGATGCAAGTATCCGAACGAAGATGTCGCGATTACGCGTCAATCCAGTCCAGCACGAGAGTATAAATTGGCTTGGTGTCCGATACATCCAGTGTCCATCCACCGCTCATCCTCAAGAACACTTTCAACCCCAGCACCCTACTTGCTTCACTCGCTCCCAAACATGGCTCTCAACATCTCCGGCGCCGCCGCCATTATGCGTGGCGTGGTCTACAACGGTGTTCCGTTTGAGATGAACGTCCAGGACCTGCCAGTCCCAACCATCGGCAACGAGACGGATGCCATCGTGCGAATCACAACGTCAGCCATCTGCGGTTCAGACCTGCACATCTACCGCGGCGTCGCCGGCGGCACACCGCCATGGATCGTAGGCCACGAGGCCATCGGCTACATCTCCGAGATTGGCAGCGCCGTCTCCTCCCTGTCCGTCGGCGACTACGTCGTCATCCCGGACACGGCCAACCACGGCCACCTCGAGATGGAGCCCGAAACCATGGAATACTTCGGAAACGGCCAGGCCGGCCTTCCAGAGGGTCTTCAAGGTAAGTGATCACTCGTACAGCCCAACTCCATGCAAGTCACTGACCCGTCCAAGCCGAATACACCAGAGTCCGCTTCGCCGACAGCAACCTGATCCCCATCCCCCTGACCGCCAACACGACCAACCACACCATCGAGCAGGACTACGTCACCATCGCCGACATCTGGGGCACCGCGTGGACCGCGCTCGACTTCTCCGGCTTCACACCGGGCGACAGCGTGGCCGTCTTCGGCGCCGGACCCGTCGGCCTGCTGGTCGCATACACAGCCCTCCTACGCGGCGCCTCGACCGTCTACTCGGTCGACCACGTGCCCTCCCGCCTCGACCGCGCCGCTTCCATCGGCGCCATCCCCATCAACTTCGTCGAATCCGATCCGGTCACACAAATCCTGGCCCACGAGCCGGCGGGCGTGGCGCGGTCCGTCGACGCGGTGGGCATGGAGGCGCTCGGCGCGGACCTCGAGCACCGGGAGGACGCTGTTATTACGAACGCTGTCGCCGTCACGCGCTACGGCGGTGGCATTGGTGTCGTGGGCGCCTACACGGCACAGCCCGACTCGCCCGGCGCGCCGCTCGGCGGCACCATCAGCCCCAACATCACCTTCCCGCTGTCCGACTTCTTTGGCAAGGCCCTGCTCCTGGGGGCCGGCGCCGTGGATCCGAAGCGCGTGGCGCCCGAGCTGGTGAGCTTGATTGCCAGCGGCAAGGCGCATCCCGGTGCTGTCATCTGGGGTGCCGAGATCGGTGTCGAGGAGGCGCCCGAGTATTATGAGCGGTTCGCCCGACAGGAGCTGCTGAAGGTGTATATTCACTTTGATTAGCACTTCCTGTAATGCTCAGTCCTTACATAGAACCAAGTACAAGAGTACATTCCATGTTTTAATAGGCGTGGATGTCATAATATAGGAGACGTTGTTTCATAATATTTTTTTCTTCTGCGGAATTCATTCCCTGTTGATGGATGGAGAAGAACACCCTGTACCGCCATAGAGACGGCTGAGGCATGTGTACGGGCTATCATTTACGTGCTCTGAGTCATAAGAGGAAAGTGAAACTCCATTTTGCCATTCCATGAGTGCAATATGATGACGATTGCTTAGGCTTCTGAGTACGCTGGGGCGATCATATTCGTAGATGCTCTATGCCTAACATGCAAAGTATTGTTGAACTTAATAGGCCCGCATAGATATGAATTTTTACAATTGACCTCTCAGTGGCGAGCAGAAAACGCCTTAAACTTCAAATCACTCAAGGGGGGGGGGTTTTTTTTTAACGAAACGCAGGAGCAAAATAGTACAACCGTGCTGAGAAAATTAAGCGGAAAGATATTGTCTGAAATGTCCGAGGGGGGGAAAGTATCAATTAAAATGAACAGCAAGGTCAACGAGCAAGAGAAGGAGAGGGTTTAAAGAGGAGAAGTTCAAGGGTTACCTACTTATTCACCTGCGAAGCCCAGTTCTTTTTTCCATCGAACACTGAAAACACGCTGTAGGTACACCCTTCTGGTCTAGAGCAATGGTAACATTTGGCCGATGCACGTTATGTCGTTGTTCGACTAATGACGTCTTCCCCACTCATGCGATGTGCACCATGATGGCCAGACCAAAGTGACCAGTGACCCATCCCACGTCACAGCAACACAACATCCACAACATCCCCTTTTCACCCTCTGCATAGTTAATACTGCACATGAAAACAGCTTCTACGCAGCGCTCCACAAATCGCACCGAGGAGAAACGCCATTTGACCAACCCGTACCGATCATTCTTCATTGCACTCGTAAACTACCTACGTACCTAATCTCATGTGTGCTAATCCACACAACTAACATTCCTGATACGCAGTCTCGTGAAGAAGGGCGGAGATGTGAGAGGGGGGACATCTAATATCCGCCGCCATAACCGCCGCCACCGTAGCCGCCCTGGCCGTAGCCACCGCCGCCCTCGCGACGACGGCCGTACTCATCCTCATCACCGAAACCGCCAGGCATGCGGTCGCCGCCGCCGCCGTATCCACCGCCATACTCGTCACGCGGCGGAGGGGGGCGCTCGCCGTAGCCGCCACCACCATAGCCGCCGCCGCCGCCGCTGTACTCCGAGTTGCCGCCTCCGTAACCGCCACCGCCGCCAGAGCTGTACTCAGAGCGGCCGCCATAGCCGCCAGAGCCACCACCGTAGCCGCCAGAGCTGCCACCATAACCACCACCAGAGCTGTACTCGGAACGCTCACCGCCATATCCACTCTCCTGGCCGTAGCGCTCGCGAGAGCCAGAGCGGCGACGAGAGCCGGAACGACGACGGGAACCAGAGCGACGACGAGAGCCCGAGCGACGGCGCTCGTACTCGTTCGAACCGCGACGCTCCCGAGAGCCGGAACGGCGCCTATGTTTTTTACCATCGTCAGAATCATCCGAATCTTTATCGCCACGCTGCTGCTTAAGACGCTTCTTTTCCTCCTTCTCACGACGCTTCTTCTCCTTCTTGCGGCGCTTTTCCTCGTCCGAGTCCTCATTATCCGAGCGACGACCCTTGTGCCTACATGCTGTCGGCTAAAAGAACAACATGTAAAAAAGAAAGAAAAGTTGCTTACCTGGACTCGTAACCGCCTCCGCTAGAGTACTCGTAGCTCTCCTCAGTACGTCTCTCGTAGCCGCCCGAACCGTAGGTGCGCTCCTCGGAGCTCGACTGGAAGCCGTAGCTGGAGCCGCCCTGGTTCTCGCGACGTGAATATTCCTCACGGGAACCGCTACCATCGCCGTACTCGGTACGACGGTACTCAGACTGGCCGTAGCGGTCGCCGCTGCTATAGCTCTCGTTGTAAGATCCGTCACGGCCGTAACCGGACGACGACTTGTGGTAGTCATCCTCGACTTCTTCCGACTTCTTCTCGTTATCCATGACGTTGCTGATGGTGCTGCCAACGAGACCTCCCAGCATGCCTCCAAGGACACCACCGCCAACGGCCTCACTGACGCCTGAGCCAATGTTGGAGGCCATCTGGTTCTGCTGGCCACCGGAGCCACTGCCACTGCCGCCGCTGATCTTGGACATGCCAAGCGGCTTGCCGCAGCCGTGGCCAGAGTCGTGAACGCCCTCCTTGTGGTTACGACCGTTCTCAACGCCGTCACGAGACAGCTTATCACGGAGGTCATCACGCTCACGGTCGCTCTTGCTCTCCCACCACTCCTGGACAATGCGGAACATGAGCTGACGGCCATCACTGACGCCGTCGCGGCCCTGCTCGCGCTGAGCGGGGTGGTGGAAGACACCGTTGATGATGCGATCAAGCGTGCGGTCGACATCAACACCTTCGTCGTCCCAGCACTCGACGATCTGAGGTACGACCCACTTCAGGACCTGAGAAGCAATCTTGCCAGCAGGCTCGTTCAGGACGTTGCTGAAGTGGTCCTTGGACAGCATGGAGTGGGTGGGGTCGGAGCAGTCGTCGTCATTGAAGACAATGTGCTGCTTCTCAACCGAGGACTGAATGACCTCAGAAGAGCCGGTCTCAAGCTCAGACTTGACCTGCTTGAGCAGGGGAAGGATGAAGGGGGCGATGAGAGAGAAGACGAAGATGTTGATCTGGTTCTGGAACTCCTCGATGAGGTCGGGAAGAATGGGGAGCTTGTCAATGGCCTCGGAAATCGACTGCATGATCTCGTCGTGGAACTCCATGATGGGGAGGATCTGGCGGCGGATCTGCTCAGCCTGCTCAACGAAAGCCTCGGGCTCCTTGGGCGTGATCTCCATGTTCTCCATCTGACCAGCAGTGGCGTTGGCCTCGAGCTCGTCGACCTTGCCGGCCTCATCCTTGCCGCCGAACATGCCGTCGGGAAGCTTACTGAGGAGATCCTTGACCATGCTCTTGGCTTCTTGGTTTTGCTGAGCGTTGCTGATGGTGCCCTCAAGCTCCTGGATCTCAGACTGGGTAGCCTTGTCGTTGACCTCACCCATGACGGAGTGCAGGAAGTCAACGCCTCCGAAAGTACCGGTAACAATGGGATAGACCTCCTGGTCGACACCCTCGATCTGAACCTTGGCGTTGCGACCAACGTGCGGGAAGACATCGCGCTCGCCAAGCTCACGCAGAGCGAGCTCGGTGAAGTTCGAGTGAGCAGAGTAATCTGGAAGCCGAATCAGTACGCCGCGGGAAAGAGAATTGTGGGATTCAAAATAACGCACCCTCAAGACAGTGGCAGCCAGTACCAAGGAGCCTCAGAGCCTCGTACAAATCGGCCTTGTTTCCATTCTCGTTGTAGCGGCGGGCGAGCTTGATGGAACGACTGAAAAGCTGGCGAACGAGCCCCGCAGAGGTTTCGATGCCCGCGTTCTCGTTGGCAATGTAGTTCTTCAGGCCGGTGCGCTCATCAATGGCGAGCTCGACACTCTCATCGACTGGGCCACGAAGACGTTGGTCATACTCGCGGGCATCCAAGTTATCGGCGTAGTCCTTGGGGTTATCGATGTGCTCTTCAGGGCTAGTTTATGGGTCAGCGTATGTCGAAAGGCGGGCAAAGGCCTCAACGTACCGGTAGCAGCCAAGACGCTCCTTGGTGACTTCAAACTCGCCGGTGCCGTAACCGAAGGTCATGAAACCGAGGATCCAGAGCAAGAGCCTGATGGCCTCTGCGCTGACCATCTTGAGAGCACCGACCTGGAGGACGAGCACGTTAGCGGGGTGTCATGCTGCCTATGCGGACGAGACTTACGTCAACAGCCTGGGAGTAGTCGCGGAGCCAATTGCCAAAGTAGACACGCTTGACGTCCATCTTGGAGAACTTCTTGCCGTTGCCGGCGCGGCCCATCAGAAGGGCGAGCAGGGTGTCCTCGATATCGCCATGACGCCAGTTCTGGCCCTCGATCTTAGCGGTCGAGGCGATGTTGCCGGCGCCAAAGGCATGGCTGGGGCGCGCCAGGAAGACGAGCAGCACCAGGCATGAGAGAAGGAAGAGAGGGGAGGGCCGAAGGGTCGGCATGGTGGGCGCAGCCAGTGCGTCAATGCAGTGATAGTAGATAGGTGTGTATGCAGGTGTTGGAGCTCAGGCAAGACACGGGCTGGTGAGATGGAGGGGAAGGTGAGGTGGAAAAGTCAGGCGCTGGAGTGGTAAACAGCTGAAGGAGGGGCAGAAGCACAAGCACAGCAGGGCCGGATCGACCGTGCTGAGACGCTTGCGTCTGGCCAGCAAGCTTCCCACTCGTTGACGCCGATTTCACTTGGCATGCTTGGCACGACGTAATGACCGCGGCTTGTCTTGCGAAAACTGCACCTCGTATCTCGAACACGTCCTCGACGCGCGCAAACGGACGCGCCCGCGCTGCTGTCTCGGTGCCTGGCTAGCCCCCGCCTCCAGTGTGCCGCTGGACCCTTGATGAGGGCGCTCTCCCTCGGTCGTGCCCCGCGTCGCTGTAGTCACACAGCTAGCGCGACGCGTTCTGGCAGGGATGCTAGACACGAGTCAGCCTGCTGCACTCGCCATCCTGCCACATGCCGCGCGCCACACCGGTGACGGATACCCGGCAGCCGACAGCAGGCCTCACGACACATGCTCTCTTCCATTGCATGTCATTGTGCGTGCTAAATTTGGTCTGCCACAGCCACTATTGGTTGGGCGAGCTCCAGTACGCCCATCTTGAAACATTTGCAGTGACGCGCTTGCTCTCTGTCTCCACAACGCGACCCCCCCTGCCCAGCTGCGTCGTGATGAGACCTGGCTGGGTGTACCTGCGCGCCCACTCACGCCAGTTGCACCGCAAACGTATCCTTCCCTGCCGACTGCTGTGCCAGACACCCCTCCAGCTCCTTTTGAATCCTTCCCTTTGGCTGGTCTTGACTCCCTTGTTATTGTACGCCGTAGAATCGTCGCATGGCCTCTTGTTTGCTCTCTTCTTCTTTTCTGGGAGAGGGTGATGAGCGCGGAATCAATTTTGCTTAAGGATTCCTATCGCTACGATGTCATAATTGCTAGTTACGCGTAAGCATGTTGGGCTATATGTGGCGAACCTTGGAACTAGTGAAATGCGCGTTTGCTATTGGTAGTTAGTACCCGCCATTTAGATTTGAGCAGGTCTCGAGGTAGCATGAAATCGACGGTGTTTCTAGAAATCTGTAGTCTTGCCATCCTATCGACCTCCTTGTTCCCTTGGTCGTACACTGGACGCCGTCTTGGCCCTCAGAGGAAGCGTACCAAAGTGCGTTGTTGCTTTGGCGCGACCCGACGTTCGGCCGGCGAAGCTTGCCTTTCGAGATGAATATTTTTGGTAGCGCGGTTTTCCGATGATCACGTGCTCTAGGCGACCACCTTGCTTCCCGAATAAGCCACAGCAGGAGGCTATTAAGCGACTTGGGAACCAAGCAAAGGCTTCGAGGCTAGATTCTTGTTGCCTAGTATGTGGCGGTGACGACTATTTTTGTTTACTACCATGCCAGCCTATCAAGTCTGATATCAACCTTGCATAAAAGCCAGACTTGAGACCGATTGCGCCCAAGAAATTAGGTTGCGCGAGGCCTGTAGGCTGGTGAAATCGCACTTCTGCTCCAGGAAAATGGGCCGTTAACTGTGTCTTGAATTACCAAACTACTGAAGATATACATATGGAGAGGGTCGTGAGAAGTGAAGGAACCAAGGCCGATGCATATCGCTGATTTACTAGGCTCGCCAGGGTGGAAAAAATCCCGTGCGGAATGGAGATGCAGGTTGGTGGGAATAACGCTTCCTCCAAATCCAAACTCCTTGCGATGGATGAAGCTTCTACTGCGTCTTGAAGAGCAAGATGGCGCAGTGCCCCAAGTAGAAGTAAATGAAGTGCTTCGTTTCTGCGACGCTGTCAGCTGCAGGAGCATACACATCGTAGCCTCGGAGCATACCATGCGTAACGAAGCTTCCGAAATTCCTGCCCACGATGCAGTGCCAAGTGGCTCCTCGCTTGTCGTCGAACTACTTCGTGTTAGCGTATGCGTTAGGTATAAATCGAAGGCGGGTTCCTCACCTCCTTCTTAATGTACTGGGCAATGTCCTGGAGCTGTATGAGCTTGCAACGGTCCTCGTCGGAAGCATGCGCTCAAGACCTACCTTCTCGATGTTGAACTTTTGCATAGCCTCGGTTGCTACATACGAGTCAGTCTTTCGCATGCAAGCGTGGGAAGCACAACACTCACCGACCTCGATAGCCTGCTCTTGCATGTCAAGAGTCTGGGCTTTGATTAGCTAGGAATGAGAGCGCTCCAGAACACGCGGTCCCTCACCATGTCCGCAGACTTGACCTGGGCTAAAGAGAGTCATCAGCGCGCGTTGTTGGGGTGCGCAAAAAGGGGCAGCTTACCCTCCAGCTTCTCGGGGTTCTTCTCGTTGGCCATGGCGTTGACGCACTTCGGTGGGGAGCGGATGCGGAGGGTCGAGCGATTAAGGACGGGAGAGGAGCAGCGCTATGAAAAGAGATGGAGCAAGAAGGTGGAGCTGATTGGTCAAATATTGCGATGGTCTCCGGATGGGGCTGTCCGGCATGTGAGGGCATAAGGGAAAGTGGCCGCAGGGGGCGGCGGGCTCTGGCGATGCTTGGCGACCGAGTCGGTCGGCGCTTCCGCTGCAACGCTAGGGCCAGCAGCCAACCACCGCGCCCAAAGAAAAAAAAAGCCTGCAGGCCGCGAACTTGTGCAACTGTTTACCTCGCTCTCCGCGCACACAAAACACACGCTTACCGCCCGCTTTCCAGCGTGCCCGGCCCCTCACCATGGCTTCCTCACGTATCTTCGTGCGGAACCTGCCTCCGACGCTCAGCGACGCTGACTTCCGCAAGCACTTCGCCCAGCAAGATGTCGTCACCGACGCAAAACTGCTGGCGAACCGCCGCATCGGCTACGTCGGCTACAAAACCCCAGATGCCGCTGAAAAGGCCGTCAAGTACTTCAACAAGACATTCATCCGCATGTCGAGAATAGGCGTCGAGTTAGCCCGACCCGTAAGAACTGCCTCTCGGCTCCGCGCAAGATTTTGCTAACCACACCCCAGGTCGATGAAGCACCACAGCCCAGAAATCGCAAGCGCGCCCCGACCGCAGCACTACCCGTAGCGGACAAGGTGTCTGAGGAGTCGAGGTCGCAGGCGGAGAGCTCATTGAAGCGCAAGAGAGGTGTTGACGATGCCGTCGAAGCCGATCCCAAGCTCAGGGAGTTTCTGGAGGTTATGAAGCCTGCCACCAAAAATAAGACCTGGGCAAACGACGACATGCAGATCGACCAAACGGCGGCTGCAGAGGATAGCAACCAGGTCGAGCCGGTCCACGTCCCTGAGGCCGACAGTGATGACGAGTATCAGACGGTCCAGAAAAAGCCCAAGCATTCTGAGGCGACCTCTGTGGCTGAGACTTCTGATGTCACCACACCAGCCGCGCAGCCATCGGATGAGAGCTTGTCTGAAGACCAGCAAGCCGAATCTGATGCAGAAGAGCCGGCCGAGTCGGGACCCGTATCTGACGCTGACTGGCTGCGTTCCAAGACGAGCAGAACGCTGGACGTGGTCGAAGATGATGACGAGGAGCTTGCACACCGTCCGAAGCCTTCCGAAAAGGAGGTATCCGACACGGCGGAAGACGCGGAGCCGGAGTCGGCCGATGATGCCCAACCGCCAACTTCCGGTGGCGGTGCAGTTGTCGACAAAACCGAGTCCCGGGTCAGCTCTGACATCGAGAGCATCCGGCAGACTGGGCGCCTGTTCCTCCGGAATTTACCCTATGATGTTTCGGAGGATGATCTGCGTGGCCATTTCGATTCCTTCGGGGCCCTGGAAGAGGTAAGTTTTCAACATTCCTTTATACCCTACATGCCTCTCTCGTGATGAACACCAGATAGGGACAACCGATGCAAAGCATTTGAGGAGACCCTGGGAGAATATTTTAGTAGATGCTTCTCATTTTCTGATCTTTCAATGAGGCCTCACCCCCTGCATTGCTCATTAGCGATCCCACAGTACGGGTGCTAATACTGAATAATAGGTGCACGTCCCCCTCGACCCGAAAACGGGCAATGGCAAGGGCTTTGCCTACGTTCTTTTCGAAGATCCTGAGAACGCCGTCCGGGCTTATGAGGAGCTGGACGGCAGGATCTTTCAGGGTCGTCTTCTCCACATCATTCCTGCCACCGCAAAACGAGAGAACAAGCTCGACGAGTTTGCCATCTCGAAATTGCCGATCAAGCAGCAGAAGCGCCTCCAACAAAAGGCGCAGGCCGCTACTGCGACATTCAACTGGAACTCCTTGTACATGAATGCCGATGCTGTTATTTCATCCGTTGCCGATCGGCTCGGCGTCAGCAAATCCGACGTGCTTGATCCTACGTCTTCGGACGCAGCGGTTAAGCAAGCTCATGCGGAGACGCACATCATTCAGGAGACCAAGGCGTATTTCTCGCAGAATGGAGTTGACCTCGACGCCTTCAAGCAAAAGGCCAGAGGAGACACCGCCATCCTTGTGAAGAACTTCACCTACGGCACCAAAGCCGACGAGCTCAAGAAGATGTTTGAAGAGCACGGAACTGTTACCCGCTTCCTGATGCCTCCCAGTGGCACCATTGCCATTGTCGAGTTTGCTCAGGCTCCCCAGGCTCGCGCTGCATTTGCCACGCTTGCCTATCGGAAAATTAAGGATTCTATCCTCTTTCTCGAGAAGGCTCCGAAGGATCTGTTTAAGGCGGGTGTCACACCGCATGACGGGCCCACCGCTGTTGCCTCCGCCCCAGAAGGCAAGGCTAAGCTGGCCGCGTCAGACCTGCTTGCCGCCGAGGCAACGCCTGAGCAGATCGATACTTCGACTCTTTATGTGAGGAACCTTAACTTCTCCACCACAACGCAACGCCTTGCAGAGGTCTTCCGGCCTCTCGACGGGTTCGTGTCTGCACGGGTCAAGACCAAGACAGACCCGAAGAAGCCAGGACAGATTCTTAGCATGGGCTTCGGCTTTCTTGAGTTCCGCACCAAGGAGCAGGCCCAGGCTGCCCTCGCCGCAATGGATGGTTACAACCTCGATGGCTACAAACTATCGATTAAGGCGTCCAACAAAGGTCTCGATGCGGCTGAAGAGCGGCGTAAAGAGGATAAGGCGAAGAAGGCGGCTGGTCGGCAGACCAAGATCATTATCAAGAACTTGCCGTTCGAGGCAACTAAGAAGGACGTACGCGCCTTATTTGGTGCCTACGGTCAGCTGCGTTCGGTGCGCGTACCTAAGAAATTCGACGCCTCAGCGAGGGGTTTCGCGTTTGCCGATTTCACAACTCCTCGCGAGGCGGAGAACGCCATGGACGCGCTCCGCAATACCCACTTGCTTGGCCGCAAATTGGTCCTGGATTTCGCTTCTGAAGATCCGGAGGATGCTGAAGAAGAGATTGCCAAGATGCAGAAGAAAGTTGGCACGCAGGTCAACAAGGTCGCCCTGCAAAATCTCACGGGTGCCGGAAGAAAGAAATTTAATGTCGCAGGCACTGATGAGCTCGAAGGAGCTTAAGACGGTAAAAGAGAAGGATTTTGCCTACGCGGTCCTTAGCCCGCTGCCCGCGTCGCCCCCTTGCTTCTTCGGCGAAACGCGATGTCGAGCGCGCCACTCTGGTTTGCTACCCCTTTGGAGGACTGCCATGGCTGATTCCCATTGCCTGGGCCCGCCACCCGCGGACAGGACAGCACGATCTCGTCTCGGTAGCGTTCAGCCGAAATTCAGTGTGCAGGTGGGAAACGTCCTGAAAGTCTTCTCTACCGCGTCCGTGAAAACCTTGCTGCGACTGATGTCTTAGGCGCGCGTATCGTCCACGCTAAACAGAAATCAAGGGCCATGACGCCCAGCAAACCAATTTCTTTCTGATCTCACACGCTAACCTCCGTCGCATTCCTGTCGAAAGACTCGGCTCAACTGCCGCAGCGCTGCCCGCAAGTGGGTGTGAAGAACATTCCTCGCATAGGCTACATCCCTGGCACCGCAAGAGGGGTCTCAACTCACCAGAAAGACGATGTTTGGGGGCGAAAGGCCCGGCCAGCCCTTGCTTATCAGGCTAACATGATAGAATAGAAGGAAGTCAGCATTCTTCTAGTAGTCAATCTATGAAAATCAGACAAGAACGAAAACAAACGCTCATGAAATCCAGCCAATCCCGTCGCGCCGTGAATCTTGGTTAGATTTGGCTTTCCTTATGTCATTGATCGACCCACGCCTCTCCTGCCGGCCGTTTCCATGGTGCCCTGCGGCATTGTTCGACAACGAGGCTCCTTTCTGAGTCCAACACCCAGCCTTCCTATAAACAACGGGTCACTTCTCTTACATTCCCACCTCGCCGGCCACATTCTCTTTCTCCGTCAAGTCATTCCTTTGGTCCAGCTCTCTACGTTCCTTCGTCTTTGACTGCTCTACTCGAAAGAGCGAAGCCCAGCACCCCAGACATTCTTACTTTTGAACCCTCATTCTTATCCTTCGCGCGCGGCATTCCCGAAACCACATAATGGAGAGAAGTTCATGCATCCTACCCTCGAACGCGCCGGCCCTTCACGACAGTATCATCGACGACATAGGAGTGCCGAGACCGATCTTGCAGGAGCGTTGCAACAACCGGCAGCAGGACTTTCTGGACGGCGACCACCGCAAGCATGGCCTCTACCAGCCCGCCGAGAATTTCTACAACAGCGCGGCACAAGGCTATCTAGCATCCTCGCAGAGCTCGCATACGGGCTATGCGGCGTCGACATGGCTCGCCGACGAGGACGAGCGGGTCAGACAGGAGGCGGCTCGCTTGTGGCGAATGTTGTCGCGGTCGGACGCGTATCGGAAGTATCGAGCGCGGCAGCCGAAGGACTGCAGAGAACAAGACCAGAAATGGCCCGAGCACATGGAGTTGGCCTTCTTCTCAGGTAGGACCACTCTTCTCGCGGCCGTCCCGACCAATGAGAATTATCGTGGCACTGACGTGTTCTTGCATTGCAGCGCTGGTCAAGTACCCGCCAATGGGCCGCCGCAAGCAGATGCATGAGGGAAAACCCCGCGGGCGGAACGAACTTATAGCGTATGCCATCGAGAAGTGGACCGGAGAGGCTCGGTCGAGGAAGCAAGTCTCGAGTCACATCCAAGTGTTGAAACCGCTCTTCAAGGAGTACCCAAAGAGTCAGTACCTCGCGTGTTCAGCCTCATCTGCCTCTCCAAGCGCGTGCTGACCCCTCCAGTCATGAGATACATGTCCAAGGAAGATCTCGATCACCGGCGTCATCACCGCCACAATTCTAATGACATGCTTCGGCGGCGATTTGGGGCCTCCGCGAGCATGCGGCCGCTGGATTTCAACTCCATCGACCAAGGCGCAATATATGGGCCCCAGCAACACGCCGCACTGCCACCTCCACGCCAGATGCTTTCGTCAAGTCCCGCCTTGGTCCCGGCGTGCTTCGAGATGAACGCTCGGGACACGACTTCTGATCCACCACGCTCCTTGCACTGCTTCACACGCTTTCATAAACGAGCCGAGCAGCAGCCGCTCTATATCTCGGACCTACAGGACGAGTCCTCAGGCATTCCAAAACACCTTCGGGATATGCTAGGTGATAAGGATGCGCTGATAAACTGTGACGTCATCCTGGCAGAGTCGAGCATCGAGCTAATGGCAATGCATGCCCCCGGTGACAGTACTGAACTCGGTATTCAGATCGAGTTCAATAGCACCTACGAGTATGCGTTGTACGACCACTTCGAGTCTCATACCCGCTTCTACACTGGTGATGAGCTCGCAACGGAGCCAAAGAGCGTGCTAGGCTACGATCATCATTACAAACGGCTGCACGCCGTAGCGGGCACGTTCGGCAGTGGCTTCTGGGCAGGCAAGCTGGGCGAGCTGTCACTGATCATGCGGAAAGCGTACAAGAAGAAGGGAGATCTGGTTCCAGCACGCGGCGCCGTACAGGCTGATGACGAAAGACTTCAGCAAGCCCGCGAGCACGCCAACCAGACGTTGGAGGCGCTCAGTGCCGTCCAGGAGATCTTCGCTGTGCCCCGTGGTAGTATCGCAGCCGCCAGCGGCTATGGGACCGAGTCTCCGAACCCGGAACGCGTTCTCATTGTCGGATGGACATTCCGGCATGCAGACGCGGGCGAGGTTGGAGCGACGACATGGCGACGCGTCGTTCTCCCCCACCAGCAGTCCAGCAAAGATGACTCCTCTCTCAAACAGGAGTCTCAAACTTCTTTCTTGGACACCGGAGCCGGAGCCCTGAAGCAAGAAGCTAACAATCCCTACGGCGGGCTCACGCTCGAAACCATGCCAGGCAGCGGTCTCATCACACCCAACACTTCTACACACCCCTCCTTCGACGCCTCTGCCCACAACGGCGGCTTTGACCTCGACCCACTCTCCGCTGGCATTGGCGGGCCTTTCTCCGCCGGATCCATCGCCGCAATGCCTCTCTCCGCCGGGTCATCGTCAGCGCCGTCACTCTACCAACAACCGCAGCAGCACCACCATTCGCAACACCACCACAACCCACACCACGCGCACCACCACCAACCCACCCCGACCATGTCCGCCGCCACCTCCGACCTCGTCTCCACCCTCACCATCCCCCACGCCGTCGACCACAACGCGCTCGACTTCACGGGGGGGCAGATCAACGTGTGGATGGAGCCGTCCGTGTCGATGCAGGGCTACTACGACATCACCGCCGCGCCGCCCTCGCACCACGCCTCGCCGCTCGAGCAGCAACACCCCTCCTCCGCCCATCACCACCACTCGCAGCAACACCACCCTCACCACCAGCATCACCACATGGCCCAGCACCAGGCCCCGCCGCCTCCACCGCCACACACCCCGGTCGGATACGGACCAGGCGGCGGTGATGCGTACAACCCCCGCGGCGGCCCGTCATCTTGGGGCGGCTACGGCGCGTTGCTGGAGGATGGATGGCCGCCGCCGCCGCAAGGGGGGTCGACGGGCGGTGGTGGTAGCAACAGTGGGGCTGGTGCGGGAGCAGGTAATGGCAGTGGTGGTGGCGCTGGTGCTAGTGGGGGGTATGGAGATGGTGCTGGGAAGGACGGGGTCGTCATCGAGGGCGGGCAGGGGAAGCATGGGCATTATCTGGATGAACCGGGGCAGGGTGGTGGTGGAGGCGGTGGTGGGCACGGCGGCGGGTATCATCAGGGGGGACGAAGGGACAGTGGGATGTTGGGGCTGTAAATGACGGGTTTGTGTCTCCTCTTTTTGTTTTTTTCGTTTCGTTTCTCGAGTTCTGTCTTACTTGCTGGCTTTTTCGGTCGACGCGAAGGATTGTCGTCAAGAATTGACGATCAGGACGCGGACTGGGATGTACGAGGAGATGAAGAAGGGGAAAAAAGAGAGGGAAAGGGCAACTGGACGCTCGTTGATTGGCCGATGGCTGACTGACTGACTGACTGATTGACTAACTTAGCTATTGCACCTGTCTATTTTGCGCATCGCGCATGACCCGGTCATGCCACTACTGCTGGTTTTATATACCCCACCGACCATTCCACCGGAAAAAAAGTTTTTCTTCGCGCAGTCGCTTCCTTACTCCACCGTTCGGCTTGTTCACATTCACTTGTTCTTGCTCGACAAAATGCTTGTTTTATTTTACAGTAGGTAGCTTTGAGTCCCCCACCCTAATTTGAAAAATATCGTTATTCGCTGTCATTTTTTTTATATCAAATTGGACTCGTGTCTGTATGCTAGACGTAAATGCTCACTTATCTTTTCACCAATACTCTTGTGACCATTTTGTGATACTCGGGCTGCAATATGTTGCTGTCCGCATGCAGAAATGTTGCATTGATGAAGCTCCTAAAATATATCAGATTATTGCGGCTTATCCAGAGGCGGCTCCCCCGCATTCCACGGCCTGAGACAACATCTGAATACATTTGGTACGATCTTGATCTACTGTAACCCACCACATTCGGAGGTGTCACGGCCAAGCCACTGGCTCCGCATCCCAATTGAGTCAGGAGATGGGTGGACATTAGGTCTCATCAAGCCAAAAAGGGAGGACCCTTGACACAACCGTGCAGTTTCGAGGTGGAACGTTGGCCCACCACCGCCCCATCCGGCCTGAGGGAAAAAAGAGCAAAAAAAGAAAGGCTTGCTAACCAGTCTGAGACTGGTAAGGACATGTTCCTTGCAGCTTCTGTGGATCGAACACAGTACCTCCAGATACCGCACAGATGATGCTGTTGGCTGAAGTGGACTTCAGTCTATTCCAATGTTAGTGGATGAGTTGAGAGAGGTGAGTTGTTATGGTGGCACTAACCTGGCGCTCTCCCAAGTGAGCTAAAGCTGCTGATTGGTTGATGAGGGCTGCAGTCGCATGTTAATTTTATGTGCCTGTGCGCCTTGCCGGCAGCGAGCCAAAAGAGCAGAGCGCGAACCTCACAAATTTTCACCGCGCGGTAGACGATCTTGGCAAGAGCCAGAGTTTTACACGTGATCTCGCCCCTCGCCTTCCCGTCGGGTATCTTATCTCGACGCGTCCCTGCCGCGGGAGAGCTTCCCGCGCGCGCTCGTAACGAGGGAGAAATACTTCGCGTCACCCCAGCCGCGCGTTTTTTTAGGTTCGTCCACCATCGAGCGCAAGCGGAAGTCGACAAACCACTATCTGTCATTCTAATCCCAACAAGAGAAAAAAGAACGCAAAATAAGAATAAAATTAGAAACTGAAACATGACATCCGGACCCTTCCCGCCAACGTTTCCCGGCCTCGGCCACGACCAGCTGGTTGCGCAACACATCGAGGACTTCGAAGCCCAGATGGCGGCCGCGAAGGCGCTGCTTCCCGGCGATGAGCCGCCCGCTTACAGCAGCGGCAATGACAACAACGCCTCATCAGCCCCTTCCTCACAGTTATTCTCGGCGGTGAGCAGCAGCAGCAATAACAATAACAACAACAACCCGCCGCAGCTCCAAGCCGGCCGCGTGTGGTCGAGCGAGTCGGTCGTGTCGTTCAACAACCTGTGCCTCAAGAACGCCGTCGCCAACGCCTTCGAGTACGAGCAGGTGCGGGATTCCCCGCAACCGGGCTGGGCGGTGCGGCTGACGTTCAGCTTCTTCAGCGGCGCTATTGGCGGCGCGGATGATAACGCCAGCGCGGACAACGACGGCGGCAGCTTCGTCGTCAGCCTTCCTGGTCCGTACGGCTCGAAGAAGGAGGCCAAGGCGGCCGCGGCAGAGAATGGGCTTCAGGTGCTCCAGGAAGCCATCGAGAAGAGGGGTGCCGCCACCAAGAAGAAGATGCCGAGTGGTGCCGCCGGGGAGGGCGGGGAGGTGAGGGATGCGGCGGCGCAGGGAGGGCCATGGGATGAGGAGGAGGAGGAAGTGGAGAACTGGGTTGGATTGCTCGGAGGTGAGTTCCTCAGCCTTACCCCCCTCAGCGTTACAGTGATGGTGATAATGTTCGGCTCGCAGAGTACTGTCAGGCCGAGGGCAAGCCGCGTCCCATGTTCCAGGAATTCAGCCTGGGCGCCAACTACTCGATGGAGTGCATCATGCCGCCGGACGACCGCCCCGTGCCCGACGGGGCGCCGCCACAGCCAGAGGCCTTCGGCGGCCGTAACATCCTGTTTAACAGCAAGAAGGCGGCTAAGACCAACGCCGCGCGCGAGGCGGTACGCTGGCTGCGCGCCGCCGGCTGCATGCCCAAGAAGGGCCATCCCACCAAGAAGAAGATGAAGGCTGCGCAGATGATGGCCGCCACCACGCCTGCTTTCCCTGCTGCGCCCACCAGCAACGCCAATCCGGTCCCGCTCCCGATCCCGACGCCCATCAGCGGTGACCAACAAGGTAACAATGCTGCCAGCGGTTCCGACAGCGAGGGCGGCAGTAGCAGCTCGTCCGCCGGCGCACCGGGCCTGAAAGACCGCAGTCTGGGTGAACAAGTCATGAGTGAGTTTTTTTTTTTCCCTTCCTCCTTCCCTTTCCCCCCTCTTCCTCCATCCCGGCCACCGTCTGCGAAAAGCAAATCAAAGCGTTCACCATCCTCACCACCGTCACTAGTTCTCTGCAGCAAACTCGGCTGCGCCCAGCCCATCTACAAGATCCTGCCCGACCCGCGCGTGCCGTCCATGTGGTCGGGCGCCGCCTACTTCCCGCACGACCCGGCGGTTGGGTCGGTGCAGCCCGTCGGCGAGGTGCGCAACGTGTACGGCAAGAAGAAGGCGCGCGAGGAGGTGGCCAAGAAGGTGCTCAAGCACCTCAAGGCCATGCAGGCCGAGCGCCAGAAGGTCGTCGACGGCGTGTTGGCGGGTACTACTGCTGCTGCTGCCGCCGGCGGTGCTTCGGCCTAGGAGGAGATTGTACTGCCATGAGAATCGAGCGGGCCTTGAAAGTGGTGGGCGAATTTGGCGTTTCGAAATGGTTGGATATCCATCTCTCTTCTGAAGTTGTCAAAGGGAGGGCACCGGAGATTGGATTTTGGGAGAAAGGGAAAAAGGGGGGAAAGTTTTTTTTTTCGGGCGCCGAATTGAGGGGTAGCAATTGGCGTCAATGTTTTTGTTATTGCTGCAGCATATTTTCTTAGTGCCATGAGGGAAAGGGGGAAAATTGTTGTATACCCGGAGTTATTCACTTTAACAGAATGATTGAATGCTAAGGACTCTGAAGATTATTTTCCCTTGTCGTGTCCCGTCTCCACTAAACTTGGCGCTATCTGTGCATGTGAGGAGGAGTGGGGGTACGTACAAGAGAGACTGCACAACTTTGTAGGTATGTACAACAAAGCGATTTACTTCCAAAATACAATTCATTAGGAGAAGTAGCTAGGTTTAAAGCGACAGTAAGGAAATGGAATGTAATTCGGAAGTGATTGGGGCCATCCGTGTTCTGACGACGAGGATGGTCGAGACGGAAAACGGTGCCAAAGGGACGCCACCCACAATCGTATAAGGCCAGAAAGCGAAGTTCAAGAGAGGGATGACTAGCAGTATGCGGACTCCCGATTAACAGTTTATGCGTGCAGGGAGGGTATTTCTGTGTGATGGTCAATGCTGAACGTGATCGCGTTGACACTTCTGCGCCATCCTTGCCTCAGGCTCCAAGCTCGGTAATCGGAAGATAGCGTAGGACATCGGGTACCCGAAGACTAGTGTAAGAAGCAGGACGTGAAGCTACTATTGGTGCAGGCGCAAGAAGCCCGGCGAGAGGAATTTGACCCGAGCACCATTCCTGGAGCGCCCTAGCCGTGTTTGCTTGCCTTATTAGGCTCCCTGACTCCGGCATCTACAAAGGAGCGGCAAAGCGGGTGCGACTAGACTTCAAGCACTTCTTCACGAGAAAAGTGGGCGTATCAGCCGCACATCCGAAGGTAGATATACAAAACCTTACAATAGTGGACATCAGGGTGCCGACAGGTCAAGTGACTGACGGCAAAAGGAGAGAGGCGGGCGTTCGTCCGAGGCGAAGGAGGCGGGATATGAGACCAAGGCGGAAGTGTTTCCTCGGCCATAATCCTTCCCGGGGCCTCGAAACAAAGCTCAAGCCACGGAGCGAGGGACAACTCAGCGGATCTGAGCCAGGAGGCCGAGGTGTTGGTGCTGGGAGTACGGGCAGACTTTTTTGAAGACTGCAGGACTTATTACTGAACTGGGTAATAAGTCCTGGACAGGTGGTCGTGTGAGTCGGCAATGACGCAGGCGGGCTGGTCGGAGCTCCAAGACCCTTGGCTGCAACGGGCCGCATCGGCAGAGGGCCCAGCTCCGAGGAGGCACGACTTCGCGTCTGAACATGCCCAATCTAGAAGGCTCAGAGGGGCGCGGGGCGGAGCGGGTGAGGGGCTTGGGCTTGGAGAGGTCGCCAATGCTCTTGCCAGTTCCAATGGAAGCGGAGGCGAGCTGGATTGAGCCATTCAGGACATCCCTCCGCGTGGCCCCGACGACGCACCGACACGGCCGTAGTGTTGGTGTTCTGCGTTATTCTTCCGCGCTCTTTTTTTCTTCATCAGCACACCCTGACGCAGGTACATGCGTACGAGCCGTGGAGCCGCAGCGCACTGGGATCACCGGCGAACGCGACGGAGAATCGGTGGTTCTGACACGGCGCCTAGCTGGTAGCCTCGGGATAGGCAGTCGATGGCAGATTAATAATTTGGATGCTGAGCAAGCATGGCGGGATGTTGGACTGCGGATCTGCGGCGAAGCTTGTCCCGACGGCGCTACCGTCAGAACCGCAGTCCGGGGCGACGGCTTCCAGAAGATCAGGCTGACGGAGGGCCGAGGGAGAGATGGAGGAGAGGCCGTTTCGGGAGTGGAACCGACGAAAGCTAGCGGGGCTTCCGCGGCGATCGTTTCTTCTGATCTAGCCGCCTCAAAATCTTCTTCACCTCACCCTCAAATCCGATCCATCATATCGCCGTCCCGACTCTGCTGCCGCGGGCCTGTTACTGCATGCAGCCTCCGCCCCGGCCGCGGATGCACGCACTGTACCGCGCATAGCCCTATGCTGTCTCGAGCAGGTCGCGCCGACAAACTTCAGCGCCGTACCAGCGCGGAGCGGAACCCCAAAGCGTGTCGCCGGCCGACCTTCTCGTGCGTATGCACACCTACGACTGAGGCGCTTGAGCGCTGAGTAACACAGCGTAAGTTGACGCGATGAGGGGCTGAGTGGCGGTGCGCTAGACATGACCTCTTCACGGCCGTTTCGCTCAGTAGTCTCGGCCACGGACTGACGTGCGCCCGCCTTACGGCCGCCACTTCATGATGCAATCCTTGACCACTGTCCGGTCCTACTGATCTCCAAACTCCGTAATATATTCCTCTCCCGCCCTCTCGTGCAACCTTTACTCTCTGTCCTTTTCTTGCCATTCCTTGCTCTGCTTTCCGCTGCATCACCCCACATACGTCCTACCTTCCAAAATGGTCCAGAACAAGAGCTTCATCTTCAAGAACCCGCCCGTTGGCGTCCCCAAGGTCGGCCTTGACCTCACCATCGAGGACCTTGGCTTCGACCAGGACGCCGCTCCCCCGGCTGGCGGCATCACGCTCAAGAACTACTATGCCTCCCTGGATCCCTACCAGCGTGCCCGCATGAGGGACCCCAAGATCAAGTCCTACTTCCCCGCCTTCCAGCTCGACCAGCCCATCGACAACAACGTCGTCGCCAAGGTCCTGAAGAGCGACAACGAGAAGTTCAAGCCTGGTGACATCGTCGTCGGCATGATCCCCATCCAGGAGTACAGCGCGCTCTCCGCCCAGCAGGCCCAGTCCGTCCGCCTCATCCAGAACAGCCACAACCTCCACGCCTCCAACTTCCTTGGCCCGCTCGGCATGCCCGGCCTGACCGCCTTCAGCTCCTTCTACGAGATCGGCCAGCCCAAGAAGGGCGAGACCATCTTCATCTCCGCCGCCAGCGGTGCCGTCGGCCAGATTGTCGGCCAGCTGGCCAAGCTCGAGGGCCTGACCGTCATTGGCAGCGTCGGTGACGACAAGAAGCTCGATTTCATCACCAACGAGCTCAAGTTCGATGCTGGCTTCAACTACAAGAAGGAGAAGCCTTCCGATGCTCTCACCCGCCTGGCTCCTCAGGGTATCGACATCTACTACGAGAACGTTGGCGGTGAGACCCTCGAGGCCGCCATTAATGCCATGAACAACCGTGGCAGGATCAGTAAGTGCCATTATATCCCTTGCTTCGCCCAACACTTCCGACGATGAAAAATTTCTTCCAACATATCGCAATTTTTCTGAATCGCAATGTCGACGACAACTTCACCAACGCTGAGGAAGACGAATCACTTCCGCTCCCCTAATCATGCACTGCTTTGCGGAACGAGGTGGCTAACTCAAGTTGCCAAACACAGTCGCCTGTGGCATGATCTCGCAGTACAACCTGCAGCCGCACGAGCGCTACGGCGTCAGCAACCTGTTCCACATCGTCAGCAAGCGCATCACCATGCGCGGCTTCATCGTCAGCGACCCGGAAATGGGCCCCAAGTACGCCGTCGACCACCAGAAGAAGCTGCAGCAGTGGATCGCCGACGGCTCCTTCAAGGTCAAGCTGCACGTCGACGTCGGCATCGACGCCGCTCCCGACGCCTTCCTCGGCATGCTGTCGGGCAAGAACTTTGGCAAGGCTGTGCTGCAGATTGCTGATATTGACAAGGAGTAAAGGATTGGAGAGACAAGAGATACCCCATTGGATTTGTAAAACGTGTGAAGTAGGTGCTGGGGGTGGGCTAGCTTTGAAATGCCTGGACATGTGGCGTCTGCGATTGAGATGACGGCTTATGATACTCAATAGAAAGGCATAGTAGAGGGTTCGGAGCTTAGACGGCTACCGGAACATAACGTAAATAAAATATAATTCTTAAGCACCTCCGAACATCATGTCATGGTACTGCAATGCCATCCTTTACACTTACATGGCACCCAACTGCTCTCAAAGCACTGTCCTTCCGGCCCTGCAATCCGCCGCACATTCTGAGCCCAGGAATTATTCAAGCACTCTTCCTGTCACCCCTCGTTCCCTACACGCTCTTCAGCAATGGCTTTTTTTTTTTTACAGTAATGGCACTCACCATCATCACTTGCTAACGCTGTTAAGCATTTATCCCTCCGCTTGCTAAAGAGTGTTCATGCAGGCACCTGCGTTTATTACGTGGAAAACAAGGTTTCGTCCGTCGCACATACTTACTTTATAGGCCAAAAACACGCAGGACTCCCCCAGTTGCAAAACCATGTTCTACATGTTCATTTGGCTGTCCTAACTGCTGTCATCCAAAACGATTGAAAAGACGTTGCTTTTATGTCAACGAAGGTCATTGCTGAGATGCAGGTGAACAACGCTCCGAGAACACAGGCAGGTGCCCCACGTGAACATGCACCGCACGCGGGGCCGGTGGGGTGAGAATGCATCACCGGAACATACTTGCCTGGTCTGGGAACATCTTGAAATTTTTTAAATACTGTCCTCTTCTCGTATAGCTGTATCTACAACATGCATTCTTTCCCCTTTGTTTTGACTGACAAGCTAAAGTCATTACTTGCCTGGTCCAGGGGTGGCCTCACTTTTTCGTATGTCGTCCAGTTTTTTTTACAGATTATGCGGCAAATGTCCAACAACGGGCATTCCCATCATTTCCTGCTGAAACTGCCGTGCAGCTTTCTTCAAATAGTAGTGAATATCAGCAATGAATGCATACTTGATCAAACCTGAAGATTGGTCTTCGGTCTTCCTCATCCCTTGACGGCTTCAGAGCCACTCTCGCAACTCCGGTCACCACTTTGTCACTATTCCATCGTCCCCAATCCCAGAGTTCGATCTTTTGACTCATCGTCCGTCACTTTAGGGCATTACTCGAAGTGTCTCCGTTGCTGAAGGCATTTGAGAAATATTTAAGCGCTTTTTTATACCAAGGAAGAGCACTGGCGAGGCGGATGTGGGCGTGACTCTGGTGAGCACGGAGAAATTACGCTCGCCGGTATAGGAATGATGGTCAGATGCGGTCAGGTGAGTCTGGTTTGTGGGTTCGGGGTTACTTTGCGGGTGATTCTTAAATTAACATTGTTTGGCTCATATGCCGGGCCTTGCGGGCAAAGTTTTTGAGAAAAGCACACCATATGGATAGCAGGACAGAATTAGGAGCAACTGGCGTGCTTTACTTTGTCTCCTTTCCGCTATGGGTAAAGTAATGAGGGTTCAATGGTCATGCCAATGTTGGTATTACCCAAAAGTTCTGGTGCGTGTCAGTAGAATAAAAGTATGCTGAGTACAACCAGCTTTTCATAATCTTGTCCGGAAACTGCTGGCGCATCCTCTCATGCACCATGCTCCCCACTACCACCGTTACCAAGGCCACTTCTATTGACATCCGGCGCTACCGCGATAGTCGCTGCGCGAAAAGTATCCTCGTCGTCGAGTCTGGGCGGAGCGAATGTACTCAAAGGTGACACCCGGCCATCCTGCTCGACCGCTTCCACGCTGCACCTCGTTCCCTTCTCCCCACCACCACCATCGTCCGTGTTGTTCCCCGTATCAATGCCCTCGTTCCCCTCACCACCGTGCCTTTCCGCTTTCACAACAACAGCCGCCATCTCCTCCCACCCGAGCGGCCTCACGCGCAACCGCGGATGCTTCAAGTCCGACACATCCAACACCGCCAACCTCTCACCTTTCTCTGTCACGGGCACGTCTTCGTCGCAGCCCTCCCACTTGCCCATCCCGAGTTCCTCGTGCGCGAGGCGCTGCAGCTGGAGTGTCTCATTCGTGCACCACTCGAGCCGAGAGTAGGAGTCAAGGTTGCGCCGCTTTTGGAAGAAGGCGACTATGGTCTCGAGGAACCAGGAGAGGAGGATGATGAGGCCGCCGGTGGTGAAGATGAAGGCGAGGAAGAAGACGGAGAAGTTGGAGTGTGCGGTTGAGAGGATTCGCTGTTGGGGGCTTCGGGGTTAGTCACCGTGTGATCAACTGGTTTTTTTCCCTGCCAGGGAAACCAGCTAAGGCTGGATAGGCTTTACTCACCTGCCGTTTGCACAGCTCCCTCTCCCTCTTGTTGCTTGGCTTGGCCAGTTCCGCCCGCAGTTTGGCATCCGGAGGCCCTTCAGCGACGTCGACAGCCTGCCCCTGTAGGGTGGCCAGCATGATTGAATGCCAACGCTCAACATCCAGCTGCCATTGGTTATCCGGAAGACCTTGTTGGATGCCGTCGTATAGACTGTCCCCTGAAGCCAGAGAGGCACTGCCGAGAGTCCGGAGGATCACCCAAAGTTCCGTGCTCATATAGAAAAGCGCCCATAGTTGCCATTCGAGTGCGAATTTCTCCTCTTCGCTCTCGACAAGTTTGGCGGCGTTGGCGTCTCTGTCGTAGGCGCCCGCAAGAGGGGTGCAGCGGCGGTCCTCTGGAAGCCTCGGGTTGCAGATCTGCTCTTGAATCGCACACCCCAGGACGGAAGCCGGCTCATCACGGAAGTAAGACATGTTCGTCTGGTTCTGAGAGGGGTCACCTGAGCCTCCAGCTTCCACTTCGAAGTAGGGAGTGTGGGATGAGTACCAAGGGTCGTCCACTTTTGTGTTGTATGCGATCTCGTTGGCCGAGAGAAATACCAGAACACTGTCCGCATCTACCCGCTGCAAGGCTTCGATTGGCATGAAAGATGAGCTTGGGTGGATCGTACCATTAGCCCCGTAAATTGACCGCACCCTACGTGGCTCATTAGCGAATATCACTGTGCAATAGATACTTCTTACACACCCTAGACTGTAAGAAGTCGATGCTGTCTTCATTTTCCATAACGCATCGGCGATTTCAGTGCTGTATTCGTATGTGGGATCGTCATCTTCAAGTGAATTCGCGCCGTAGTAGTACTTTGTATGCGGCGGTTTTGTCCAATTCAAAGGGGGATACGGGGGCCGATACTGTCGCTCTTCCGATGCGGGGAATTCCTTCTTATACCCTTCGGTCTTCAAAGGAGCGCAATGCAATGTTCTCCTGTAGGAGAAGCGCAGGTCTGGAGATATATTGGCTCCGAAATCCTCGTGGGTATCGAGGAATCCCGAATCGAAAAGTATGTTTTGCGTTGAGCTCCGACAAATCTCGGGGTCGAACGGGCAGGAAGCGTTCCGATCCACCGTAGCCTCAAGCCTAGGCTTGACAAAGACGCTGCAGTCACCCCTCTTTGTTTCATTCGTGTAGCATTGTTGTGCATATGTTGAGTAAGCTCTGTAGCTCCGTGACGTGTAGGGATAGAAGATTTGTAGAAACTCTGGAGATGCAAGGCTGCTCCCGGTTGAAATTCCTATGAGGGGGCTAGATATCAGCACTTCGTTACCCATCCCAGTAGACACGCGTGATGAAAGCCCGCTGGCTGCCGCGAAGATGACCAGACATAGTGTCGCAAAGGTGATGACGGGTAAAATGCGCTGATAGGGCTTGACCCCTCTTTTCCGCCACGCGTTCAAAGCCCGCACCAGATGCCAAAGGCCACTTGCACCGTTGGCGGAATTCCGCAAGATGGCTTGTCTTTGATGATATATGCCGTCGCGCGAGGCTTCGGAGGAGAAAGGGCTATGGAGAGCGAAGCAAGCAAGTCTCCAGAAGCTGGTGCCGACAATGGTGACGAAAAGTGCGACGAAGGCAATGAGGAGGTCTCCATCGCGCCGTTGGAGGGTAAGAGTTCACCCAAAGATTGACCCTTTCGACCAATTTGTCCAGACTCCGGTGTATATCTCGTAGTATGGGTCACTATTGGAGAGGTCGGAAGAATCCATGTCAATGACTTGTGTGGAATAGAGAATAAGCTCAACAGTATCAGAGAGGCTGAAATACTAGTGCAGCCGAGCCTAGTGGATTTATAGATTCGTGGATGGCTGTGACGAGTATTATTTTTACCTTCTGGACTTATCTAGGCGCTCGTGGGACGGTTGTATAATTGGAACGCTGATTTCCCATGCAGATAACTGGAACATTCCGGTCCAGCTGAGTGAAAATTTGAACAGCCTTGCTTTGTTAATTCTGTAAACAATAGCGTATTGGCTGTCAATTGTGGCTGGGTCCGCAAACCGACCCACCCGGTGTTCTCGGGGGCAAGGCTGAACTGACGGATCTGCAGGGTGGGGTCGCAAAAAGTATTAGCTCTATATTTACAGTATCCCTCTTGGTCGTCTCATTTCCTTCTTCGACCCGAAGAAGGCTACCGTGGTTTAGGCAACCGTTGATGTATTACGACTGAAAGAGGCGAATATTTCCTTAACACTCTTGTATGGACAATGGAATCTGACAAGAATGGTGCGGAGAAGGCCATCCAGGCAGACGTCTACGTGAAACCCTGTGTGAGATGTTTTGGTCCTGCGTGTTGGAAATGAACACGACGGCGATGGTTTCTTGCTGGCAAGGATATGTGTGGGGGCGAGAAGGCGGGCGTGATGGCCAAGGCGTCAGTGCATAGAGAGGTTGCAGGGGCGTGTCGACTTCTGCAGAGGTTGCCTTGAGTCTTTGCAGACGTCGTGTGGGGTCGGGGAGTACAAAAGGCCCCATAGCTGATATGTTTGTTTTTGATTGGTGAGGTCGGCGGCAAGGGGTTAAGGCATCAGCTTTGGAGACTAGTGACGATAACGAGGCTGAGCTTTGTGGTGAATTGTGGGACCTGGTGTAGTGGAACGGATTTAGCATATCGGATGTTGCGGCAATCGTGCTGGTGGGAGGGGTGGAACCGCCGTGCGATGATCATGATAGAACTCTAGCATTGCACTTGCGCGAAAGTACTGGGTCCCACGCCAGACTGCAATAACAGATAACTATGAGAAAAGCTAAACTCAAGAGTACACTAGTCGGCGTCGGAAAAGTTGACGGTCTGACAGTCGATGCTGGCGCAAAATAGTCAAGACATGCTCCAGAGTGATATAAACAACCCTAAAGACACTTTGCGAAGTGGGATTGGCCTCCTGGCCGCTCAATGTCAAGAAATGTAACTCGAGATAAAAATAAAACAAGGCCGAGGCCAGAGCAGAAAGGGCCAGCGTTTTTCACGCGACCGAAGCTCCACCTACGAACTCATCTCATTGGGTTCCTCAAAGGCCACGTTGCAGGCGTACCTACAGGACTAACCCCGCCCACAGCCACCTTACTTTCATGAATTTTCCAAAGCGATTTAGCCGCATGGCTTTATGTATACTCCTGCTCGTCCTCTAAACTCCTATTGATATGCTCCACAAAGCTCCAGCTGTCTGAACTCGCCAATATTCCTGCAAACGCCACGTACGACCAATCCTGGGTTCTGCAAAGTCAGTACTATGACCCAAAATCTGATCCCAAGAAACACCCTGTCGCGGATTGGTCTGGGTTTCTGCCGAGAAGTGGGGTAACAAGGTGATATCGAGGCTGAAGACAGGCCAAAAAAAAGAGGCTTTGCTTTTTGTGACGAGCTCGTGGCCAATCCTCGTGGTCGTAATGCATGCCCAATCGAAATAAAAGATGAGTCGCACAAATCTTGTGGTATGCCAGCCAAGATTCACATCTATGAAAATCAGCGATAGGAAGAATATGATCTATCCTGCAATTCGTTTCACACAGCGCGTGGGAACGGATTTTTTTTTTTTTTGAAAAGTTGGTATGGTGGATCGGTGCGACCTTGAGTCCTTACAGATCCTTCCTTGTGAATAAAACACTTCTCAAAATTACAACCACATGGCTTTCCTAAGCTACCTGGCACCAAGTGATGTATACTCTAGGGCCCAGCTTTGCGGTATCTAAGGGAGACATACAACAATAATCAACTACGACTATTTTAAATTAAATCCCCCATGGCCTTATGTTACGAACGTCATGTCAAGGAGATTTCATTAAGAGTAAGAGACACCGCGAACTAGACTAACGCTTAACTACATACCTTTTACGCACGTCAATTAATCTCTTCGCAATGGACAGCTAGACGACTGTCTGTTGACTGGGAATAATAAGTGCTGTCAACAACACGTTCTTTCACGTACGACCATAGGTCGCAGAATGCAGGGCTTCCCGTCCGCTCAGCCGTACTTAAGCTGCGAACCGGCCGATTAGTACTCAAGTGGGTGACCATTGGGGAATCCCGGCTGTTGTACGTTTTGCTTTTTTTTTTTTTTGTGCGAGTAAGCACAGGCCTCGTTTTGCTCTTTGCGAATTCTGCCGGTATTGCTCCACGGGAAAACCAACGCCGAGGGAGCTAAATGCAGTGCTTTGTATCCTCCATGACTTCCCTTGTAAGAGTTAGATAATGTAGTCTTCAACAGCTTGCTGGTAGATTCCAACTATCATAGCATATACCAGCTGCCAGATGCTTTTATGTTCGACGTGATATTCAGTACATCCCTCATGCCAAATGAAGCATGATCAGTTCTTTCATTCTTAAGAGTATACATATGCTTTATTTAGAAGTACTAAAAGAGAGACCAGAAAATGGTTTGTGGCAAGCGTCAGAGAAACTGTCGATTAATGAAGAGAAATCAAAGAATGATATAAACAATTTGCAGACCTTCTCCGTATCAGTCTAGCAACGGTGGCTCTTTCATATCACAAGGCAAATTCACCCAAACCTTGGCTTCGGCATCATACAACTTTAGCTCGATAGCCCAGTCTTTGAATGACTTCTTCTGTGCGTCCGTGGCGCGTACGTCTGCCTCTGTCCAAAAAGGAAGCATCAAGCGCACTGTGGCCGCCCTGTTTCTCTCTCGTGCCTTCCTTAGCGGAGTAAATCCCTGCTTATCCAGTTTTCTTACTTCCGTGACTGGTATCAGGCGCTTCGTGACCTCTGTATGGCCGTTCTCGGCTGCATAGTGCAGAGGAGTTTCCCCGAATCTGTCTGGGCGGTTGGGGTCACTACCCCAGGCCAATAGGAGCTCAACTTGTGCCAGATTCCCCTTCTCAGCCGCCCAATGCAAAGGTATTTTGTTAAACTCTGGTCCGATGCGGTGCACGAAGTTCAGCCCTCCGTCCCTCCGGAAGCTCGGCCACCCAAGCATCTCGACAATCCGGCGCGATGTATCGGATTCTGCTTTGTGGAAAGCTCGGCGAGACACTGTTGCGTCCAAAGCCGTTTGGCCGTATCGGTTGACCTGGTCCACGTCGATGCCCTTGGTTACCATTTCGCTGACGATCTGATCCAGGTTGTTGATGGCTGCGTAGTGTAACGGGGTGTTTCCGTCTCCATCGAATGACATCTGGGTTACGTGATCTCCGCCTTCGATGATCCGTCCTACTGCGTCGACATCCTTATCACGGACGGCTTTGTGGAGCGCACTGAAGCATTCGGGGTCATGGCTTATGGCACTGCGTTCGCGCAACAGCCTGCGGATTTTTTCGTCGGTGGCAGCTTCGAACGGACGTGTGGCATTGTTGTCCAGCGCGTCAGGATCAGCGCCGTGATCGAGCAAGATATCAACGATTTTACGTTGGTCATTCATGCAGGCTCTGAAAAGCGGGGTCCGGCCGAGGAAATCTCGAGAATTGACATTAGCTCCGAGATTTAGTAGCCACCGTAGAATTTTCACACGGCCGTAATAGGCAGCGTTGTGCAGAGCGGTGTAATCGCTCCCCGCTCCAGTAATCCTCGACTCGATGTCTATTCCATAGTCCCTCATTTTGGTCATCTTGTTAATGTTGTTATCCTCAGCTGCGAGGACAAATTCGTTCGCTCGCCTCCGATCCTTAAGGTTTGAGGACGCCGCTGACACTGTGCGATCTACCACCGGCGTCGCAACGATGCTGGCTTGCGATATGCTCTGTGCGTTTCGTTCTCGAAGATATTCGGCGATCTGTCGGAAGCCGTTTTGTTCCGCAAGGTATAAAGCGGTTACCCCCCGGTTATTATGGATTGCAAGGCCGTTCAAGTCGGTCATGACGCAAGCCAATTGCCGTACATCTGCTGCAGATCCGTTTTTGCAGGCAAGATGAAGCGGTGTCATTCCATCAAGATCAGGAGCATTCGGGTCGGCGTTGTGTTGCAGCAAGAGCCTTGTCGCTTTCCAATTGCTTGTCTTTGCGGCGCAGTGAAGTGCCGTGGTGCCATGTCTGTCACGGAAAAATACATCGGCGCCCCTGGTGAGTAGCGCTTCCAAAACGTCGTTTCGCGTCATGAATTTCGTGGCGTCTGCAAGGGCGGCATACCGATTGATCGTTTTGATGTCGGTGCTGACAATCAGATTGGCAAGGATGCTTTTCTGTTCGTATACTCGTCAGCTTTGCAGTGGGGCTCAGCAACCATTTGAAAAACTTGCCTCGAGTAAAGCGGCATCTCCCAGCGGCTTGCCGTCTTGGAAAGGCAAGTCTGTAGTGTCCTGCATCGCTAACCCAAGCGCAGTCTTTCCTGAGCTGGTTTCAGCCGCAATGTTCACTCCTTTGTTCAGGAGTAGTCTCAGGATTTCATGATTCTTCCGCACTACCGCCTCATGCAATGGTGTGAACCCTCGAGTGTCGAATCGTTCAAGGTCGAGCCGAGGATGGTGTATGATAGCCTTCGCAACTTCGGTGTAGCCATGACGAAGTGCAATCAGCAGGGGAGTCAAACCTCGCCTGTCTGCGAGGTTCACGTCAACGATACCCCTGCCTATTAACAGCTCCACAATAGCCGGGCTATTGGCTTCGGCGGCAAAGAATAATGTCGTTCGCTCATGCTTGTCTTTGAGTAATTCTCGCGACTGGTCGATGCGGATCTGATCCTCGAAGATCTCCCGCAAGTCGAAGTGTGCCAAGATATGAACTGGGTGATATGCAGCCCGATATTGAAGGATATCAATACACTTGACACTGCGTGATAGCTTCGTGTGGTCGGAAATGAATGCATCAACTTTTTTTGACAGGTGGCTGTCGGATCCCGCCATTCGAACATGCGAGCCCCAGTTTCGGGAGGCGTATTCGAAAAATGATGTCCCTCCCCCTTGCAGCTTATGAGGAACCTCCCCATGCGAAAGGTAAATCAAACATTTCTCAGCCAGCATGGTATGGCAGTTGGAGAAAAGTTTATGCTCATGTTTCCTCAAGTAATTGTGCACTGTTTCGTGAGAGAAATGCAGCAGGCCGCCCTGTTGTCCGATGACGACGAGCCCCTTGCAGGAACTCAGTAACAGTGTTTCTGGAACAAGGTCATCCTCAAAGAACGCTTTGTCGTCCAGGTCAACAGCGAGGGCGTGTCGAACACCGTTTGCGCTGATAGGTTCGAAGGCGTAAAGTAACCAAGTAAGAGTTTCAAAGGCTCTGTTGTTGTTACTGTCTCTCTGGATCCGATTAATAACATCGTCATATGCCTTGTCCATGGTGTCTGGTAGCTTCGCCAGTGTTTTCTGTACCTCTCTCCGCGTCTGGCTTTCGAAAAGAGCCTCAAGAGAGAGACGAATCATCAAGAATCTGCGGTAGAGATCAGCCAAGTTTCTATGGAAGATTCTCCACCATTCTTACATTCTCTGGGCAGCTTTGACTATTGTATTCAGCATACTGTTGATGAATTCCTTGGGGAGATTGCGTTCGCGGACCCAGTGATCATTTTTCTCCAGCTCTTTCCCAAGAAACTTGCGCATGTCCTCTTCATCGGTGTCAACATCCAGCCTCGTTGCATTTGGAATGGCAGGAAACCACCTTGAAGTGGACAAAAACTTAACCTTTGGCCATATTTTTTGCAAGCTTGCCATTTCCTTAAGCAACAGAGCGCGTGATGCTTCATTTGCCTCGTCCAAAGCATCTACCAGCACGAATACTCTGGCGAACGAAGATATTTGAGACATCAGAACAGCTCTGTAATCCTCTTCTGTAGCCTTAAGGCCATTGGCAGTTTTTGACTGATATTTTTCAATCAGGTCACCAGAGGGGCCTGTTCCGAGTTCGGCCATTTGCCGCACAAAGCTGGCAGAAAGCGCCGTCCAGCTGTGGTGGTCAGGTTGATTGAAGTCAAGGTAGACTGCAACCACTGCAGTATCCAGACTTGAGTACTTATCTTGTAGATGATCGTATAAGATTGAACTGGGTAGAGTCAGCATTGGGAGACGGACCTGATTTGTTTTGGGACTCACACAAGTAAAGTCTTGCCAACCCCAGCTAGTTCGGCGTCAGTGATAGTCCCAAACTCAAGAGGAATTTAACTTACGCCCGCCAACACAGGCGAGGATATTGGAAGATCCTTCAATCCATTCGAGAAGTTTTGGATTGCTGAGGAACGCTGACCCTGTACCTGGGTGCCGCTTGTTGCGATTGTCTTGCTGCCTGTGGTGAAAGTCTGGAGGCCAGATCCAATCAAGCATTTCTCGTCTTTTGGCCTCTAATCAAAATAAGCCTTTATCAAAATGTAAAGCTACTCCAGGGAGACTTACCGGCTACATCTGCAACCATCGGGCTGATTTTTTCGTCCAGGCTACGCATCTTCTCATTGGCCTCTTTTGTCAATTGTCTGACTCCAATCAGCTTCTAGCGTTTAAAGAGGCTTGAGTGAAGAGTACCTGGTGGAATATCCGAGAAAAAAAGCGCACGTGGTTTTGACACGCTCGATAGCCTGGAGCGATGCTTCGACTTCGTTCCTTTCAATCGGCCATCCGAGATCTCTAAGACGAGACCTCTTCGATAGTTTCTCCCCCATTAATTCCAGGCTCTGACTGAAATTGGCCAACGGCTTCTTCAACTGGGTCTCGATGGCGGCATTTTGCTTCTCGTCTTGATCCACAGCGTCTCTGACGGCATTCAAAATATTCATTAGACTTGTCACCTCTTCGAACAGTCTGGTCCGCTCTTTCGATGCATTTTTGATGGTCATGAGGTGCCCAAGAAATGACACAGATAGCTGGATAGCGGCGGCCACAGCACCGAAGGCCTCTAAGCCCGACATTTCGAAGCCACAGTTCTACCTTCGAAAGACAAGCAGCAGGTTTCAATGCCCATAAAGCGTGTTCTGAAAAGGAGTAATCGATCCCGAGCATAGGCGGCTCAACGAAACGGCAGCCTCGTGCGGGATAATCTGAAGAGCCACAGGGGTGGATGACTGTCTCGCAAGGCTGGGCTGTCCAGGATTAATAAATAGATTGGGGGCTTGAAGTCGCTTGCCGAAAATTACTGCGACACAGAGTGAGCGGTATCGGGAACTGTGTGCCAGTCCTTCCAGCAGGTCACACGCTCATGAAAGCGAGAAAAAAAATTCTTAAGGAGGAGAAGGGAGATGTAGGACGAGAGCGACATTTCATATATTGTAGAGGAAGTCATGCATGATCCTTTCGAACCACCGCCAATAGCGTCGGGCAGCCAACACATGCAATATAGATTAGGGCACAGTCAGCTCGTAAACAGCGCTGCACAGCCCAGTTGCGCTTACTTTAGAAACAGGAAAGGGGAAAATAATCTGTATGCTTGCTAAGAAAGGGACCTGCAAGATAATAGCCCAGAGTTTCTGTCATGCGGTTAGTGGAAGAGGCCAGGAATTTCCACCTGCACCCCATCGCATTGCAGCTATCTGTTGCCTTGTCCATCACAGATGGAAAGACCTTGGGTGGGGGCCTCTAGTGAGACTAAACTCATCCTGATCACATACGTAGGCATAACGCAGCCTGTGAATTAATATAATATACTGAGAAAAGAGCCTACTCCAGGCAACACCCAGTATCGCCCCCCGCATGACCAAGGAAAGGCAACAGCTATCGCAAAGGAGAAAAAGAAAACTTACACCACTTCTGCTCCCATTAACTGATGCAATAATTAAAAAAGAAAGGAAAAAGGTTTTATCCGTGCGACTCTCACAAACACCCCAGCCTTGACAACCCTCCACACAACACAGCACTCGCACCTCCCCGCCATATTAACACGCCCCAACTGGCCCATTCTCACGCTCACCCCCAACGACCAATTCCAACCCACCGTCACCCCCCTCCATTACCGCCTTACAGCCCCACAGCCCACACCAACGGAAGCAGCAACAATGTCAAGCCCTGCAGACGGACGACGACACGCATCGCGCCACCAGCCGTCTGCACGGTCGGCGTCCCAGCCGCCGCCGTCAGGGTACCGTTGGAAGGCGGGTATGACGCAGGCGTGTAGATGGTGGTGCTCGTGCTCGTACTCGTGCTCGGCAGGACTGTTTCGACGGAAGTTTCGGTGGTGGTGATCGGGGGTATGGGCGTCGGGGTGGTCGAGGGGGAGGAAGAGGGCAAGGCCGAAGAGGTGGTGGTGTTCTGGGCGGCGGTGGCGGTGGCGGCGGCGGCGTCGGCGGTTGTGGTGATGAGGGTTGTGGAAGGGGATGATGATGGAGTGGCCGTGACGGTCACGGTGGGGGCGTTGGTGATGGTGGTGACTATCGTGTTGCAGGTTCCGGTGAAGCTGTTGATGGGTGTCGTCTGGGTGATGGTTAGGAAGACGCTTGTGGTGGAGGTGTAGGAGGGTGAGATGGTAGTGGTTAGGAAGGTCGTTTCTGGTTGTGTTGGAGAAGTGCTGAAGAGGGGGTGTTGCTGTACCGAAGATGTTGCTAATTCGACCATTCGGGTGCGGGTGCTCGTACTCGTGATGGTTGAATTGATCAAAGATGTTGTTGAATCCGCCCGCACCAAGAGTGCTGCAGACATCAGAGCGAGAGTTGATAAAAAGAACATGATGGTGAAACCAATTGATGAATAGACCGAGGAAAATGAGACACTGTCCGCGTGGACTCTGCATCAGGCGGCTGGGAACATTTATGGTGGATGACAATTGTTGTTTGCTAGAGGCTGTTTAACGTGGTACAAAGATCCTGATGACCTGTGCAAGTGTGCGCCAGTTGTGGATGGTAGCCTATCCATCTGGGGTATATTTGGTACGTGGGGAAAATCATTAGTGTTGCTACGTTGGTAATTTGCCGCAGCCGGTCGTTTGCGCGGGTTGCGAAGATACACAGGGCGAATGACACCGTCCAACGGAACCAGGGTTAATACTCTCGTTAATTGTCACACAAGACGGCTTTGATAACGACGGGCCCTGTCCCCAAAGACCCCTGGTTTGGGCAAATTCTAATATCTTTTCCTTAGGAGCTCTCGTCAGTTCCACAGCTGTGCCCCGACACCACCTCGTAATCTCAGCATCCTCTCACTGGATCGGAGGTTCTACTCGCCGAAGGCCAACCACTCTTGACATGCGCTGCTCCAGGTTCCAGATCCGGTCGTCCATGACCTGGAAGTCCCTCTCCATGCCTCTTACAATTCTGCACGAAAAGTCAGCTGACCGCACTCCCATGGAATGACGCTGAAAACCTACAAGCAAGCCTCTCCGACCTCTTTTGCAATTCTCCTCGTCTCCAATCTCGACAATTGCGACATCATATCGACGACTGCGCCCTTCCGATTCAGCCACAACCAGCGCTCCCTGTAGCCGGTGGTGCGATATTCGGTCTTGTAATACTCCTCGTCGTCGGACGGGGCATAGCCCTCGCCGTTCCTCACGTGCGGGTCACGGAACCTCGACTCGACGTCGTCCCTCAGGAACGGCTGCTCGAGGGCCCTAAAGTCACGGATCATGTTGCGCACGGCCTCGCGCATGACGCGGGTGCTCTGGTCGTCGTCGTGCAGGTCCTTCATGTCGGGATAGTAGCCGTGGTAGCTGTGGCCGTCGCCGTACCAGTGCTCGCTCCTCCGCCTGTTCTTCTCGTCGGGGCCGCCGCGCGGGCTGCCCTGGAAGCTGCCGCGGCGGCGCTGCCAGCGGCGCACCTTGCGCAGGTGGGCGCGCTCCTCGTACAACCCTTGCTTGAGGTTGCCTAGCAGGTCGGAGATCTGGGTCGAGGCGCCGAGGAAGGTCTGGATGTTCTCCCACGTGACGCGCAGGAAGGTTGCGATTGTGAGGGCGAAGCCGATAAAACCGAAGAGGGTGCTGACGAATGAGATTGGCGAGAGTTCCGAGGTTTTGGAGATGGTCACGCCCATGGTGGCAGGGATGCGGGAAGGATGTAAGGTGTGTCTTTCCGAGAAAAGGGTAAGTTGGGGCCACGCCATGGAATTAAAGCAGATGTGGGAGCAATGCTACGTACGTCTATTGGAGGGCGTGGGTTGATGCAGAGCAGCTTCACAGCCTTATCGGACGGGCATCCATCAAGGGCAGGTCAAGCGGACAAGCGACTGGCACGGGTTGCAAGGAAAGAGAGACGCTGAAGAGATCGGTGGAAAGCAAGGACGTATATGTATCTCTGATTCTGCGACATGGCGGAGGGCTGAAAGCGATTGCGGCGTCATGGCGGCGCTTTGGGCGCAAATGGCAGGCAGATCTGGGAGGTGTCGCGGGTAGGTATGGTCATGAGGGCTAGCGACATGACCGGAGGGCGGGCACGAGGGAGCTAAGCTCGAGCTAAATAGGGTGCGTGCTGACAGGGCAACGGGCGGCGGCCGGGGAGGCTGGCAATGGAGGGCGAGCGGCGGCGTGAGACCGCGATGCAGCGCTTTTTTCACGCAGCTTGAGCGCGTTGTGGTGGTTGCGATGATAGTGTTTCGGAGGCTCGGGCGGGGCACACGCGTCTGGGGACAGCCGGGGCGCGGCGCCACTGGGCTGGGCGCGAGGCTGAGCGTTGAACGTCGTCACTGCCAAGCGCCGAGGCATGGCGAGCAATGAGCAGTGCCTCCTTCGCCAACACTTCTTAACTGAACCTCTCCGCTCCGCTGACTGCGCGAACCCCCACGTCACTTCCACTTGAAGCTCCCCCACTCTGCGCCATGTTCTTCTTCTTTACCTGCGGCGAACACAGTGAGTACCTAGCGCTCCCGCTCGCGCCGCGCCGGCTCCGGCTGCGGCGCCCATGGCTGCCTACAGCTAACGACTCTCCCAGCCTTCTCCTCGCGCCTCAAGGGCTACGAGAATGTCACGTGTCAGTGTCAGAACTGCGGCAATTTCTCCGGTCACGTCTACAAGCGCTGGTGCGTCGTCCCATTTGGTGCTCGCTCGCGGCGTTGCGCGCGCCCGGCCTGTCCTCTTAATCAAACCACATATGTCGCACAAGCCCACTGACCAATTTCCAACAGGCAATGGTTCACCTTCTGCTTCGTGCCCATCATTCCCTTCTCGTTCAAGCCATGGCAAGAGGTCGGCTGCCACATCTGCAACTTCTACCAGGACATCAAGTACGTCGCCCGTCACGCCACTCTCTCTGCTCCCCCAGACTGACACTCGGTCCTCTGTTGCTAGGTACCGTCCCGACGTCCAAGCTCAGGTCAACGGCGGCGCCGGCGGACATCCCATGCAGAACTACGGCCAACCACCTCAACAGCACCCGCAGTACAAGTAAAGTCTGCGCGCGACCATCATGCCTAGCCTCATTGTCGTTCCTACCCTTTCATCCTGCTGATGTTTTTCTTTTCCTGCGTTGGTGGATACCCCAGGCAGTAGCCAAGACGCCGCGTGCAGAATAGAACATTAGCGGCCCCGTCGGCATAGGTTCAGGTGTACGGCGAGGTTCAGGTGCATACACTTCATGAGAGATGACTTCTACTGGGGCTGAAATACCTTTCGACGGGCGTTTTTGTTTCTGGAATTCTTAAGGTTGTATGAGGGGGCTGCTTGATACCATTGTTCCTTCGATAAGGACGTTCTGTAATTTTATATACTTTTCACCTCGTATGGGATTGGATTGCCCTGCAAAGCGATACTTTTAATATCGGTCACATACTTTGTCCAGCACCATTGGACGCGATGCTGCCGTCGGTGGGCTGATTGGATGCAGGTTCGCTCATTTCTAAGGCCTCTCTTCGATTGCCGGGCTTTCTCAACCATCTTGCGATGATTCTTAGGAACGGCTCGTGTCATCGTACCATACATCTAAGGCGTCAACCCTGTACATGAACTTCTTCGGTTCACAGGAGTAATACAACGTAACCAATTGTTGAGCCGCGCTTCCTTCTCAGTCAACACTTACCATTCATGACTAACTACAGTATTTGAGCATCTTGATGACACGCGTTGCGGTGTTGCATTGGCGTACATCATCGCCAAGGTTGTTTCTCATCCTGCCCACACCCGGGCGGCTGCCGTTCACCCTATGGTCCAATCCAAACGGCACCAGCAGTTTGGTTTCCATTCCGGTAGATCCCACCGAAGCAGTCCAACATCACTTTGCAATAAGAATCCGATCCCTGTTCGCGTAGGAACTGTCGTTTTATTCGCCGGAAAAGTGGCTTGAGCACATAATGAAGCAGCTGACAGCCGCAACAAACGCTGCAGATGCTTGACCACGCAAGCCATCCTCCAGACCACATCATGTGCAATAGCTCAAGCAGATTTGGCAGTCTTCTATATTAACTCAGATAATTCCACGTACTGGTCCTCTTTTGCTGTTCGAAGACTGTACTATTACGTACAGTGCAAATGGAACTGGGGATGCCCCTCACTTTCGCTTGTTTCTTCTTTCCGCAGCGCTTGGGATGAACATCGAAGAGTGAGAATTCAGACACCCCAAGCCGTAAAGTAGCCAGCTATGCCTCTAGAATAGTCATTGTTGCTGCTGCGGCTATGTGTAATTATATAATGAAGCGGAACACCATTTCTGGTTAATGATGGATGGCTTACTTGCACTGCTGTGTTTGTTCCCAGAAGCACTGTTTGTCTCAGAATGATGAAATAAAAGGCCGGGTGCAAGCGCCCACCTATTCAGAGATTCACTGACGAAGCGTTTGATCCAGCTTTCCTTGCTTGATTTGTTCTACACACGTCCTAAAAAAAAAAAAAAAAAAAAAAGAGAAGCGCGCCCAGCGGCGCACCCACCCGTTAACTAATTCAGTCTGGCTAGGGGCGAAAAAAAAAAAGAAAGGCTTGTAACCAGTCTTGGACTGGTAAGGAACTAATCCTTGCAGCTTCTGTGGATCGAACACAGTACCTCCAGATACCGCACAGATGGCTGTTGGCTGAAGTGGACTTCAGTCTGTTTCATTGTTAGTGGATGAGTTGAGAGGTAGAGTGATTGAGGACTACTAACCTGGCGCTCTCCCAAGTGAGCTAAAGCTGCGATTGAAAATTTAGCTTTGCACGTTGTCTTTATAGTCCGAGAATGAAATAACCCCGAAGACGAAGATCTCCGCACACCGGAATGCGTTGGGATTCCACCGCCCTCGCTTGTCCAGCCAGTTAAGACTGTCGGAGCAGCGACTTGAGCCATAAAAACTTACGCTCGCCGCTGCGCGCCTTTGCATACAGCACCAAACAGTTCCTCGTTGCTCAGCCAGAGGCATTCCAGCAGTTCTACAAAAGAGATGCTGCCCCAGACTTCCCTGCCTAGTGCAGGACAGTCCAGAGGCAAAAAGATGACCACACCAGGGGTCGAACCTGGAATCTCTTGATTCGTAGTCAAGCGCCTTGCCATTGGGCCATGCGGCCTATACAACTCAGAAAGTGAGCTGTTAAGGAACCAACTTGGTGGTTGTTGGAAAGAGGATTGCTTTTGCAGAATATGTATTGAGCGTTTCAGGAAGGCGCAGTGCGCAAATGACTTGAGCCTTTCCAGGGGGAACAGATACTGGTTGGAACAGAGCCCGGGGATGCTTGCAACAAGGTTGAGTGCATTGAGGTGCCGTACGGAGTCCCTAGGCAGCCGTTTGCAACCGAGGGGATGGCTTGCGAAGTAAGTACCACCTTACCTACCGTCCGCTTCGAAATCCAGGAATTGGATCGATGCTCCTACCATCATGCAAGGAAAGAGGCGAGCTGGCAATGCAATACAGTGGCTGCCGTTTAGTTCGTCTTTGGTTGCAGTCGCACCGTAGCCGTCTCGGCTGTGGGAGTAACGCCAGGTATGTGTCGCAAAACGGTGAAAAAAAGGTTGGTGAGATTGGCCATGGACAAAGTTGCGCTAGGTGAGGTCTGAGGTGTGTAGGGGAGACGTCAAGATTGGAGTTGGGTTGAAGGCCCCTGACGGAGCAGCCACCGTGGCGGGAAGGCGCACAGAACAGCAGGTGCGATGGGTGCACATCCGCGGCACAACCACAACTGCCGAGTTCTGGAGGCATAATGGGCTTTTGCAAGTCCCCAATGCTGAAATGATCGTCTATCCATTTGAATTGGTTGAGTGGTGGACGTATCAGGTCAAAGCCACCGCCAGCTTTGAAATCAGTCGAGGTGCGCTGATCGCTGCCATACTAACGTGTCGCGTATCTCTCTCACAGCCGGGTATTAGCGCTTGTGCTGGAGACGTGAACGGCTAACATTCAGACAACATCCTGACGGACCACCCCTCATTGACCAGCGACGCTACCTCGGGCCAGAGCTGTGGACCGCAAGATGGATGGCAGCCACAAGCGGCCCGCGGTGGCCATAGCTCCCCCATGGCATATCCGCCAACTTTAATAGATGAGGTAAGCATATCATAAAAACCCGGGGAAAAGAAAATATAATAACACGGAGTTAGCGCTAGTGCGACATCTCCGCCGTGATTCCACATATCTCGGCTTTGATCACGACCGCGATGGGCCGATGTCGTGCTTCCCCGTGGTCCGGTTGCTTTGTAAAGCATGAGACCGCCTGCCCCTCACCTCAATGCCCCACCCGGCTCCATTACGTCAGGCTATAAAGCTAAACTCAAGGAGCTATGTCCCAATCTCGGATCCAACATTTCCCTCTGCTCTGCTTGAAGTCATAATCACTCACGAACTATGAAGGAAGCCGTTGTTACCGATGCTGAGAATGTCTGTCTAAACGCACTCATACTTTGGCAAATGCTGACTGCCTTCAGGTCGAAATCATCGACTCTCCGATCCCGACTGCCGGGCCGGATCAGGTAGTCATCAAAGTCGTTGTGGTAAGTGGTCAGGGAGAGTATATGTGTAGTGCATTCGCTAATGCGTCAAATAGAGCGGCTCCAACCCTAAAGACTGGTATGAACAGGCTCCTACCATCGACTTTTTAGCTTCACAAATTTACGTTTCTGCGTAGGAAAGGCCCCGAATGGATGGGCATGAAGTTCAACTCGGGAGACGACATTGCCGGCATCGTCCACAGCGTCGGCGCCGGAGTGTACGAGTTCAAGCCGGGAGACCGCGTAGCCGCCTTCCACGAAATGCGCACCCTACACGGAAGCTTCGCCGAGTACGCCGTCGCCTGGCAGTACACCACCTCTCACATTCCTGAGGATTTAAGCTTCGAATGTTTGTCCCCGCTCTCTTGAATGCCTCGATCCACGTCTGATTCCATCCCAGCCGCCGCAACCATCCCTCTCGCGGCCCTGACCGCCGCCATCGGCAACTACGTCCGCCTCTCGCTTCCAGAGCCATGGAAGCCTCTCCCCAAAGACCAGAAACTCCCCTTTCTCGTCTACGGCGCCGCGTCCGCCGTGGGCGCCTACGCCATCAAGCTGGCCCGCCTCTCCAACATCCACCCGTAAGCCAAAGCCCCCCGACGTCCACCCACCCCCCTCTCTTTAGCGCACCGCACTTTGAACCCCCTTCCCGCCCACTAATCTCCCCCACCCTTCCCAGCATCATTGCTGTCGCTGGAAACGGCATCCCCTACGTCGAAACCCTCCTCGACAAGAGCGCCGGCGACGCCGTCGTCGACTACCGCAAAGGCAACGACTCGCTCGTCTCTAGCATCAAAGCAGCCCTCGCCGCCTCAGGTACTTCGCAGCCGCTGCCGCTGCGCTACGCCTTCGACGCCGTCGCCGAAAAGGGCTCGCACGAGAACCTGGTCGCCGTGCTGGCCCCGGACGCCTCCGTCACCAACGTCCTGCCCACCGAGCGCTTCGGCCCGCCCGGCTTCGCCTGGCCCTCGACCTACACCTGCGCCACGTGGTCCATGGTCGGCGACGTCCACGGCCCCCACAAGCAGGTCGGCTTCGTCTACTTCCGCTGGATCTTCCGCCAGATCGCCGAGGGCAAGTTCGCCCCGCATCCGCACGAGGTGGTGCCCGGCGGCCTGGCGGGCGTGAGTCAAGCGTTGCAGGACTTGAAGAACGGGAAGGCGAGTGCGGTCAAGTATGTTTTTAGGATTGCGGAGACGGAGGGCGCGGGCAAGGATTGAGGATGCGTGTCCTTCTTTTGGGGTTATGTCGGGGAGAGAGAGAGCGCGCGCGGTACCGAAGGATGAAAGCTGGTAGCCATCGCTGTCGCCTTCTCGAACCAGGAGGATGAATCTAACGAATGTTACGCCATGCAATGGTAGTCCGACATGTCTTGTAGGGTTATCGTTCAGTGTCCCTGAACCATCCGAATCTCTCATGTTGGGGTTGAGGAAAGAACCCAACAATAAACTTTCTTACAAATATCTCGCCTCCAGTGAAGGAGAATTGCTGGATCATTATACGGTCGACACGCTTGACCGTTTGAAAGACCAAAACCCACTCGATACTGCCATGATTTCTACCCCGTCGAACGCTCGATAATACAGAGAGCCTCAACCTGTCAGTGATCTCATAACTCATTCCGAACGGCATGACTCACGTCTGTAGACAACCAGACAGCAAAAATAGCAGAAACGGCGGAGTAAAGGCAGGACATAAATGATAGTTCGTGCTCTCCATAAACCACGCGGAGCTCCATGATAATCTGCAACACTGTAAACAGTAAAGCATAACCATACAATCCCGTGTCCACCCAGTCAGCCAAGGAAAAAAAAAGAAAAAGGAAAACAATAGCAGACATTCTCCGTGCCAACTATGAAAGAAAGAGGGAAAGCCACCAAACAACAAAACACCCCCGGATAGCAGAACCCATGGCCGAAAGTGTAAAACCTCGTGCATAACCAGAAAAAAGACACAGAGAAATCGAGCATATCCGTATCTCATCTTCAGTTTTTCCAAGAGCGACCCTGATGTCGCCTTTGCACTCGCCGGAACCCCATTTTAGTCATTCGCTAGAGAAGCAGCAAGAAGCAAGATAACATGGCGGGGCGTAACGTCAGATACTTGACATCGATCAAGCAGCGGTGGCCTCGCTCTTGCGCTTGCGCTTGTTCTTCTTCTCCGGCTCAGCGGGAGCAGCCTCGGCGGCGGCGGCAGCAACCTCCTCGGCGCCCTTGGACTTCCTGCCGCGCCTCTTCTTAGGCTCCTCGACGACTTCCTTGGGGGCCTCCTTAGGCTCCTCTTTCTTGCCCTTCTTCTCAGCCTTCGCTTTAGCCGGAGTACTCTCGACCGCGTTCTTGGGGTGAGAGGGAAGAGGGATGGGGCTCGCAGTGTGAGCAGGAGCTGCAGCAGAGGAGGCTGCAGCGACACCGTTCTCCTTGCCAGTCTTGCGGCGCTTGGGCTTGGGAGTCTTGCTCTCAGCCGGAGGTGTGGGAGCCTTCGCAGGGCTTGGTTCCTTCTCGCTCTCTTCCTCAGAAGGAGTGGCCTCGTCAGCGGTAGCGCCAGTAGCCGTAGCCGCGCCCTCGGCCATCTCGACGTCGCCTTCAGCACCAACGGCCGGGCTCTTGCCAGCCTCGGCCTCGCTCTTGGCGGCCTTGTACTCGGCTATCTTCACGAGGTACTCATCCCTGTTCTTGGTGTAGACCTCCTGCCAAGCCTGGATTGACTGTCAGCGCAAGAAGTGCATGCGAATGTGATTGTGACTGACCTTCTTCTCGTCTTCGCCAAGCTCCCTCCAGCGCTTCTTAATCTCCTCCTCAACTGCACCGGGCGAGACATTGGGACCCAGGTCCTCCTTAACAATGGGACGCGCCTGAGCGGAGTACAGAAAGTACATGGTCAACGGACGCTTGGGTTCATTAGGGTCCTTCTCCTTCTTCTCCTTCTTGGGCTTCCTGCCCTTCTTGACCGGCTCCTCTTCTGCGGGAGCAACAACCGGGGCCGCAACGGGCTGAGGAGCGGCGGTAGTGGCCGGGCCAGCAGTGGCTGGAGGAGACCCGCGCAAGCCAGTACCGGCAAGGATATCATTGTTGTTCAAGGGATTGGAAATGCCGTCAAGGCGGTGGGGCGTAGTGCCAAGCACAGAGTGCGTGTGCTTGATATATGAATTGAGGAGGTCCTGGACGGCAGCTTGCAGGGTGGTCAAGCCGACAACGACCTGGATGAAGAATTTCGGGTCAGGAATCAATCTCAATTGGGCAAGAACGAGTGGGATGGAGCTGATGAGCTCGCGCAGCTGGCGTGACATATCACCCATGCCGACGCGGGCTTGGAGGGCTTGCGCTGGAGGGAGGAATGCGCTAGCGGGCATGGAGGGACCATTATTGCGCTACAGGAAGAATGGAGAGCAAGCATCAGGGAAACCATCTTCAGTGGCGGCGCGGGCGGTGTGAGGGTGAGGCGGCTGGAGGGTGGCGCGTGGACAGACGGGGCGCGTAGGAAAACAAAGCGCGACTTACCGAATCGCGCGTCTGCTTGAATTCATCCACACTAATCATCAGCTCAGCAGTCTCCTTCTGCTGCTTGTCTTCCTTGCGCGGGCGACCCATAGTGATGCAGGCGCGGTGGAGATGGAAAAATGGATGGAGTGGTAAATTTCGGCAGAGGGTGGAAGGTGTGGGAGCGGCGACGCGAGCGATGGGCGGCTAGGCCACTTATGAGGCCCGGCGGAAGTCGGTCAGCAGGCTACCGCCCACTGCAACAGGCCCCTCCCGCCCACGAACACAGCCTGCTGCGAGCTGTCGTTTTCGCTCCCGTGCCCCGAATGCAGTGCACTCTGCACTGCAGCGCAGCGCCGTAGAACTGAAGCGCCGTCCGCTCCTTGTCACGCTCCGCAGCCTCTTGGGGCCGCTGTTCTTCGCGCGAGCAGACGCTGCAGGCGGTACGGGTACCTCGTGCAGCCTCCGTTGAGACGGCTCAGCACTTTGCTTCTGCCGGCCTATTCCACAGGGGTCCCGACTGCTTGCACAGGCTCGCCCAGGCCTGTTTCAGCGCTTGCGGGCCTCGATGGCCGCCCAATAACCGCTGCCCCTCGTCGCGCTCCCATGCCGAGCCTCAGCGCTTGCTGTGACCGCCTGCGCCTGCGCCTGCGCTCACCCAGCGCCCAGGGCGCCCCGACGGCCCCCCCATCGATAGCCTACACACCCCATTGCGCAGGCCCTCCGTCTGGTGTTCTAGCACGCATACCGCCCGCCTATCTCTACGATTTCTGCCCACCACTCACTACATAGTTTCACCAACGCCCCGCTATCCACCGCTCACGTGAATTTTCTGGAGGTGGGATGCATCTCTCTGATAAGGTTCCCCACGCCCAGGATCTATATCCGCTCGTTCACAATTAAACGTGTTTGCCGATACTTACAGCTCACAGCTCTACCCGCAGGCGCAGTACACGTGCCTGGCTAACCAAAGTCCCCACCACTCTTGGAGATCCGCCACTACTTTAATTACAGTCGACGCCAACAGTCCTTGGCTGTATCCTCTTCTCGCTATCTGTGTAATCTGATGGTAGAGACCCTCCTCCGGCTCCATTGTCTTCCTAGTTGTCATTATGCAATATTTCCATCTCCTAATAGCGGAGATCACTCAGGATATACATTCTCCAGCCGGATTCTGTTGAAAGACGGCAAGGACTTGTCCCTGTAGCTCGTATCTACTATGTATCCTTCGAATGATCACATGACGATATGGCTTGCTCAGAGCATTTTCCGCATGCTGCCGCTCATCATAATGTCTCATGTCATCGAGCGATCTGAAGCGAACATGACATAGATATTCATCGTCCGTTGAAATATAAAAACTTGTATCATGAGAAACGCTGGATAACATGCGTCTATGGAATTCTAGACCGATGCTTAGCATGATACTGGATACGATTGTTAGTGCCTGGCCTGGCATGTTATGAATTGATATTGTTAATACACAAGAAGAAGTAGAGTTAGCCTTCAGTCACGGTAGATCGGCTTAAGAAGATTTAGTAGCCCCTCTGCTGAAAGACAATCCTGGGAATAAAATCCGGTTGTGAATGCTTAGAAGTCTAAACATCCAAACACTGACTACGATATTATTCTTATCCTCTTTTTCTTTTTTTGCCTGTTGGCGCATATATCTTCTTGTCGAGTGATGATTACTCTGTACAGCGGATATTTATGTTTGATAATATATCTTAGACCCCAATACAAGATACTAACTATAATACTTATATCGAACTAAAATACTATAGTAAGTAGTCAGAGCGATGCCTTCCGTAAGACCTCTCCCTCTTCGAGGGCGCATCATTTTATAAGCTCTTTTTGCATTTAATATCACAAAAAAATTAAAACCACGTTATTTCCTGTTTCTTTCGTTCCAAAGAGAGTTCTCTTGCCGGACACGGTGGGTGCCGAAATATCTGAGCCGTCGGAACTAATTTCTATATGCATCTAAACTCGTTACATAGGTAGTTGAAGCTATTGTCTAGACGTAGTATATTTAATAATTTCACATCTACGTCCGGATAGTAGCGTCTACTACCCATGTAAGTCAAGCGCCGTTGCTCTTGAAGACAATTGCGGAGGATCATTTCTGTTGGCACCCACGTACCGGACATAACAGATCCTAAGCTGCAGTAGCATGAATGTGATGGCACGAGGGCTGAATCCAAGGCCCAGGCAAGTTCGGCGAGGAGCATGTCAACCTCTGCTACTCACGGATGAGCGAGTTGCGTTATAGTGCGTGTGGCAAGGGATCTTTTTTTTTTTTAAAAAGAAAAGGGGGGTACTAGATGCACTTCAAAATGATAGATGTGCTTTCTTGATGCTATCAAAGCTATCGTGGAAGTTCGTGTATTTCGACTTTCGTGGAGCATGCACTGATGCACTCGAATGCAGTAGACTTTCAATCGAGGCAGAATACATGTTTGCAGTTTGGAGGAAACATCTCTCACATATCACTGCAAGTGTTGTAATAATCAAATATTCAAAATGTGCCATTCAACGTCTATTGAGCAACCATATGACCGTCTATCATTAAAACCCCCGAACGCCCAGTCGTCCATGCCATTTTGAAGATAGGGTATATCTTGCGTGTACCATCAACACAGCCCTGTTGGAAAGAGTCCCAGCCGGCATAGTTCCATCACATAATGTTCACATCAGCTTCAGCCATTTCTTCCTCCATCTCCTCCTCAGACTTCGTGACTTCCTCAATAAGCTTCAAGGTAGCCTTCAGCGGCAGGCCAACCACGTTGTCAAATGTGCCCTCTATCCGGTCGACCAAGATGGAGCCGATTCCCTGAATGCCATAACCGCCGGCCTTGTCGGCACCTTCCCTTGTTCTGACGTACGCGACTATCAGTTCGTCCGTGACTATGGCCGCAGAGGTCAGCGTTGTCCAATCCACAACACAAACCAGCATTATCCCTATACATACCAGACTTATCAAACTTGACCGTCGTGTCCTCCACATGCGTCTTCATGGCGTAGCCCGGATCCTTTGCGCTTTCCAGCGGCCGCATGCACGCCACCGCCGTGAAGACCTTGTGCTCACCATTGTCCCTCAAGTTCTTGAGCATCTCGATGTGCTCACGCTCCGAGCGGGGCTTCTCCAGAATCTCGCCGAAGTGGCCAACAACGACGGTGTCGGCGGCGATGATCAGCGCGGGCTCACCCTTCTCCTTGTTGTCAATCTCCTTCTCGTACACCGTCATCGCCTTCTTCGTCGCAGTCTCGAGCACATATTCGAAGGGAGCGAGGCTCTTGGGCAGGTCCTCAGGAAACGCCGACGGGATGATTTCGAGATCGCGGAGGCCGATCTGCAGGAGCACAGCACGCTCGTGTTAGCTACATGGTTGCAAAAAACATCATTCGCAAAAGTATTCGTCGCGATCTCGCATGTGGCGAATTCTCATGGTGGCTTTTCCACGGCGGCGGGGGAAAGAGGGGAAGGGGGTACGACCCACCTGAGCGAGCAGCTGTCTCCGTCGTGGAGAACCCGAGGCCAGGATGACTCTCTTGCCGCGCAGATTGCTCAAGGCGGCGAGCTCGAGGGGCAGCGGTGCGCGTGGCTGTCCGGGTCGCGATGGTGCTGGAGCCCCGCCGGAGACGGGGGCGGGTTGTTTGTCGACGGAATCATAGGAGGGCGGCGGCTCGGTGGGTGCGGCTTCGTAATTGCCGCTGTCGTTGTTGTAGAACGACATGGTGAGTCGGCGGAGCATTGGTGCTGGTTTCCTGGGGACTTTCCCTGTCCTGCCTAACTTTTTTTGCCGTGACAGTTTTCTGGGTCAATTGCTGTAACGGGAGTTGCTTGATCTGCTTGCGGGAGGAGGGCGCTGCGGGACTAACGCCTTGGCAGGCGTCAAACGGCAGCCGGGTTTCTCAGTTCCGAGCAGGGGAGCTTCGCTGGTTCGCTGTGCGGCGGTGCCTCCGGGCGTGCAAACGAGGCGAGGGAGGACGCGTAAGGAATGGTCAGGAACAAAATGCACGACGCAGTGGAAACGGCAGCAGCTCGTCTCATCGTCTTCCTTGACGAATGCAGCAGAACATGCGCCGGTCGTCCCCACTGAATACGAAGGGTCATTGTCAGGACGGCCATGGCCGACGCGGATTTAAAAATAGTTCCCCGACTTCTAGTCGATCATGGCCATGACTTATGGGCGATCTATAGCTGCGAAAACATGGGTTGTGCGCGCCGCTTGGTCGCGGGGCTAGGGCGACCTTATACAGCGGGTGAAGGGGCAACCTTGCTATCCCCCACACTGACTAAGCTTACCGCGGGAAACATCTGGTAGGCTAGTAAAAAGTCCTTGCATCAGGAGGAAGAGTGGGTGGCAGGGGTCACGATCATGCATACCTTACGCACAGCTTGGTAGTGCAAGCTCTGGCACGGTGTATGAAGTTTGAGGAGGGTCCAGAGGAACCGTGGCGCTCTTTATTAATTCGGAGAGCTTTAGTTTTAGGCCCGGACAATCAGCACCTTGGCTATGGACTAATAGTACCTATTGCTTGTCTATTATTGGCCCCCAATGGATTTTCGGCAGAAGCTGGGTACAGTTGTAGACTAGTCCGAGTGCCCGGCCCGGAGGGGTGCAGTTCGGTTGGATAAACCGGCCATCATCATCCTTTGGTATTCCTCCTTCTCAGATGCTATTTTAATCTAGGCTTATGTGTAGACAAACGGTACCCTGGCGATATGGTAGTCTCGGTGAGATCACTGGCTGCTCATTTGTTGAGATGGAGGTGGAGGTCAGACCATTTGATGACGATCCGGGCTCTACTGCACACCACGGACGGCTTCGGGACTAGCCGTCAAAACTCCGGACCACACACGCCGCCGGACAAGTAGCAAGGGCCCCGGCACTCCTACTGTAGAACGCAGGCACTGGCGAGACTGTGGTGGTGTTCCAGGAACTGTCGGAATCAATATCGGGCTCCCCCGCACTTCCCGGAGCGGACGCCATCCACCTTGGGGATCCGGGCCCTGCATATCGGCAACATATATCTTAAATAGATTCAAGCGTGAGCTCAACATTTCCACATCGTACTCAATTCAATCTGTCAACCAAAGCATAGCACAATACCCCATCGTTTCGAGAGCGAGCGCATCATCATGGCTGCAGGCAACATTACCTTCGAGGGTACGGTATCCAATAGTGTGGATCACTGCTGTGGAACCGCTGCTGAGACGCGATAGACTACTTGGGCCTCTGCGAGGCTGTTGTTGAGTGGGCGGACAGTTACGATACCAAGGTGAGTCCACTGATTGTTGGCCCTTTTTTGCCACGGCAACTGACCAAATGCGAAGGACTGGGACAGGCTGCGCAAGTGCATCGCGCCAACCCTGAGGGTCAGTACATAGGTCCCGGTTGAGGAAGCGCAACACGAATGACGTGGAACAGATTGACTACCGCTCGTTTCTCGACAAGCTCTGGGAAGCTATGCCGGCTGACGAGTTCGTTGCCATGATCTCGTCACCGGCGGTGCTGGGCGACCCGCTGCTCAAGACGCAGCACTTCATCGGCGGTTCCAAGTGGCAGAAGATCTCTGACGACGAGGTGATTGGAGTGCACCAGCTGCGCGTGCCCCACCAGAGGTACACCGACGAGACCCGTACCACCGTCGCAGTCAAGGGACACGCCCACAGCACCAACACTCACTGGTACAAGAAGGTCAACGGCGTGTGGAAGTTTGCTGGGCTCAACCCCGACATCCGATGGGGCGAGTACGACTTCGACAAGGTGTTTGCCGGCGGGCGCGAGGAGTTTGGCGAGGCGGAGACCAAGGCGGCCGAGGGCATCCCGCCCGAGAAGACGAAGGTGGCTGCGGCGTCGTGAGCGCGGGGCTGGAGGTGAGGGAGGAGTTCGGCGGGCGGTGGGCGGCGGTTACGTTATGACCAGTTTTTCCAGGATCAGCAGCGAATGGATGATGCAGCAGCTACCAGGCCACGAGCGCCAACGTGATCTCTCCGTGATGCACATCATGCTCGCCAGCACAGACGACGGGAAGAGATCCCCCACTTCGCGGGGGGCGTGCGCTGCCGTCGCGTCACCGCGTCGCCCGGGCGCGGCTTCAGGTCATGCAGGCACAGGCAGGCACGGGCAGGCACGGCAGCGGTTCGCTGGCCGTCGCAGCCGTTGCGGCGATACGTGGCGGGCGGTGGAGCATCGCAATGCGCTGGTGAGGCTCTTGGGGTGAAGAATGCGACTGGTCTCATTTGCCTGGCTGTTTGCAGAGGCCCGGCGCCGCGGGTCTCCGGACCGGCATGAGGGAGATCATTGCTTGAGCGTTGGCTGAGGATTGGATGGCGGCCGGCGCTGGCGCGCTGCAAGCGGTGTGTGCTGAAGTCGGCCTCTCCAGATCGCCCAGCTGGCCGCGCGAAAAGTGGCGCACGCCGCGCGGGCCCTGGGACGCTCGTGTGCGCGCGCTCGATCGTCTTCAATCTTGCTGAAACAGCCCTATGGAGGCAGCCGGAGATCATGTCGTGCAGGCGCGGGCTGGCGGCGGCGTCGCAACCGGACGCAGGCCCGCTGCGGGCTGTTGGGCGCGCCGCCGCGAGGCCGCGATGCGCGATAGACTCTGGCGGTCCCAGCTACGGCGGCGCCCAAAACATGGAACTGCTCCCCAAAGACCGCGCGAGGCAAGCCGCACTCTGTTAGCGGCCCCGGTCACGGGATTCGCCTTTCTAATGCCCCTCCACCTCGCCCGTCCTGCGCAACCGTCCTCTCCACCTCCACCTCGACAAACCGCCCCCAAGCCTATTTATTCACCCGGGCCTCTCCTCTCGTCTTCCCTTTGCGTTGCGGGTGTTGGGTCCTTTCGTCCTGTTTCCCTCTGCACGTCCCTCGCCTTTCTGCATTGCGGCTCTGCTTCACGTCGTCATTGGTAAGTCCACGTCAAGTTTTTCCATCGCCCGCCCGCGCCCCAGCCATCACCACCTGCCCGGCCGGCGCGCGCTGCGGGCACGCAGCTCCCCTCGTCGGCGCCGCCTGCCATCGTCAGCGCTGCCGCCGTGCTGCGTGGCTGCGCCCGCCTGAGGTGAAGCGCGGGACAGCGGTTCAGCTGTCCGCGGCGCATCGCCAACCCAGCGCGCGCCGCGGGCTCCTCGCGCCTACCACTCGCGGTGCTGCAGCGTCCTCGTGCCACGCCTGCACCTGCGCATGTGATTCCGCAAGTGCGACGTCGCTGACCAGCACCGCAGATTTCGTGGGTGACCTCTTCTGCTGCTTCACCAGCTTCAGGCAAACGACCGTTCATTCCCCGATTGCGCGTCATCATCTCCTGGGCTCCGCGTCCATTCAGTATTCCTAGGATTTCAAACCTTCCATCGGACTCTTCCACAGCGCAGTCTTGCCCCGCTTCCAGACTGCCTCGTCGGCTCACTCGGTCTTAACTGCGCGCGCGCGATCCTGGTCGTTCACACACGGTCCCTCCCACGCAAGCTACTCACAGCTCCGACGCCATAGCCAATTAGCAGCAGTGCTATCGCAGGTACGTTGCGCTCGTGTCCCAAGCTCACTTGCTGCCGCGGCCCGACTTTTTCATATGCCGTCAACCGTCAACCGTGCGATCAGAACGTCCGTGCTGACAAGTGCCGGTCCGACACAGACTTCTGCCGTCATCAACGCTTGGACACTCACCACCACAACTTCTTCCCACCACATTTCCGCTCTTCCGAATATTTAGTATCGAACCCCGCGATCTACGAACAAGATGAGCTTCCCTTACGACAACTCGTTCCAAGGCCAGCCGGGTGCCGAGGACGCCAATGCGCAGGGCGTCGCTGGCGCCCAACAACAACCGCCCATGGGGCAGCCGATTGAGAGCGCGGCCGGCCAGTTCCAAGGTGGCAACATGCCCGTTGGCGCCCCTTCTTCGGGCCCCGGCAGCCAGGGGCCCGGCGAATCCAAGACCACTCTCTGGTACGTTTGCGCGTCTGCCTGGAGGCCTCTCACCTCGGATGAAGTTTTTTCTTCGCCATGACGAATTGCGCCTCGGGCCAGACACATTTTTCAAAGACGTTACCATACTGATGTTTCCTAGGATGGGAGAGCTCGAGCCCTGGATCGACGAGAACTTTGTGCGCAGTGTCTGGTACGGCATGGGCGAGCAGGTCAACGTCAAGATGATCCGCGACAAGTTCTCTGGGTAAGTTCGAAATCTCTGCCCCAGAGCCAATCCACCGCTGACGTCGGTAGCAACAACGCCGGTTACTGCTTCGTCGACTTCCAGACTCCCGAGGCTGCCGCAAAGGCCCTTTCGCTCAACGGCCAGATGATCCCGAACTCGAACCGTCCTTTCAAGCTGAACTGGGCTTCTGGCGGCGGTCTTCAGGACCGCAGGGATGACCGTGGCCCCGAGTACTCGATCTTCGTCGGCGACCTTGGCCCCGAGGTTAACGAATACGTGCTGGTCTCGCTCTTCCAGGGCAAGTACCCGTCCTGCAAGTCTGCGAAGATCATGTCGGACCCCATTTCCGGCATGTCTCGCGGCTACGGCTTCGTCCGCTTCTCCGACGAGAGCGAGCAGCAGCGCGCCCTCAACGAGATGCAGGGCGTCTACTGCGGCAACCGTCCCATGCGCATTTCCACGGCCACCCCCAAGAACAAGAGCGGCGGCGGTCCTGGTGCTGGTCCCATGGGTGGAATGCACGGCCCCGGCCCCGTTGGCATGTACGGCATGGGTGCTCCTCCGCTCGGCTACTACGGCGCTCCTCAGCCCATGAACCAGTTCACGGACCCGAACAACACTACCGTCTTTGTCGGTGGCCTCTCGGGCTACGTCACCGAGGATGAGCTCCGTTCCTTCTTCCAGGGCTTTGGCGAAATCACCTACGTCAAGATCCCTCCGGGCAAGGGTTGCGGTTTCGTGCAGTTCGTGCAGCGCCACGCCGCCGAGATGGCCATCAACCAGATGCAGGGTTACCCGATTGGCAACTCGCGCGTCCGTCTCAGCTGGGGCCGCAGCCAGAACAACTCTGGGCCTGCGGGCACTCCGTACCGCCCTGCGCCTCCGCCACCCGTCTACCCGAACATGGGCATGGCACCTCCTCCCCCGAACGCGTACGGCGGGTTTCCTCCCATGAAGGTATGGCAGCACTAAAGTGCTGGCGCTTACCCCATTCTCAAGGCTTGCTGACCCTGCTACAGTAAGCAACATTCCTTACATTTCTGAGGGTTCAGCGGGAGTTCGCGTACGTCGTGCATTCAAAGGTCTTTAAGGTCTTTCACTGGTTGGCTCGGTCACGCTTTTTCACTTTATATGCATGCCACGTCACGACTCTCATCAAGTTCGGTCTCATTCACGGGTTTTCATGCCTTTCCCAATACCAAAAAGTTGCCTCTTTCTCTTCTTCACGACTGCGGTCTAGAGAAAATCCTGTACAACATGGCTTAGCCAAGGGTCTTCTGCTGCTACTCTAATCCCCTTCTCACGGAAACCACTATTTGCTTTGCTTTTTTCTTCTCCCCAACAGGAGGTTTTTCTCGGGTTGTAGCTAGTCATTTTCGATTCCCCTTTGCAGAAGAGCCAGCGCTCTCGTTTGGCGGGAAGGATGCTTTTTAGAGCATATGCGTTTCCTCTAAATTGCAAAACTGCGAGTTCATGACTTTCAAGCACGCTTACTCTTCGTTTGTGTATTACTGCGCGCGTTTATACCAATGTTTGCTTGGTTTACTCCTGCCGAATGCCACTGGTTGTGCATTTACTTGTTTGCAGTGCGATCACGCCCGAGTAGGGCCGCTGACAGCAGTCTTTTCGCCGAATGGTTGATTGGCCGTCCGTCCTCCTGCACCGACGTTCGCATTCCCTGTCGGTTGGGCTGCTAACACGGTGGTGCCTAGTATGTACATGGCTGCACCGCAGTTCGCGCCGATGACGAGCTTGCCCCGGCCAATCGTCTTCCCACCGCATACGCTCTCGAGCATGTCGTCGCCGCAGTCACCCATGACCGGATCCAGCCACGGAGAACTGGCTGAGAGCCTCAACAGAATGGCGATTGGGACCCAGATGGACCCGGGGATGCCGAAGGGGGCTGAAAAAAGGGATTCGGTGCAGCGATCGGAGAGCGGGAGGATGGCAAGTCCTGGAGTGATTGGTCAGGGCAGCAACATCGATCAGCGGCTGGCGTAAAAATGGGGCGGCGCAGGCGGAATTAAGAGCGGGGATCTTCCTGTCCGATATTGGATGCGGCGTCGCTTCTCGCTTTTGGGATGGCGCGTGGTGGAGCAGACAAAAAGCGATTTGTGGAATTGGGCCGGCCTCAAGAGACGCAAAATACACTGCTCGAGCATCCGGCTTCAAGTCCGGACTGCGAGGTGGAACACACATGTGTATAATGTAATGTGTAACATGCCTGTAGGAATGCCCGAGAAGAAAGCGCGAGGGGCTGGGGCAGACATCTCGACCCACTTGTTCAGGTCCACGTTTTCTCGACCTTGCCGGTTTTCTCTCTGCGATGGTTGCAGCTAAGCCGTTCCAATGCGCCTGAATACTTTTGTGCAGGGATGCGGAGTCACGACGCGCACATCTGCTCCCAAGCAGACGCGGCAGAGGGCGGCAAAAAAAATATATCCCTGCTGCAGCGCCTGCCAAACACCTGACACAGCACGTGTTGACGCGTGGGATGAAGCCTGCAGGTTGAGCGTCTTTTGCGCGCCCTAGCAGTTCGAGCATGGATGCGGAGGCTTTCTTCATCGGCCGGCGCGGTTAGCCACAATCCTGCGGCGGGCCAAGACGCTGCTAGGCGCTGACGCATTCTAGACCGTTGCTAGCGGTGCGATGCGGCCATGTTGACGTACATGGAGAATGGATTGCGAGGACGAGTCTCAGCAACCCAGCGCTCATCATGGTTCGGCGGGCGTTCCCCGCGGCGTGGCGCTTTGCTCGGCCGTAAGCAGAATATGCTTCGGAGTTTACGTGTTATCGCTGGCGGCGGCGGGCGTTATCAGCGACGGCGCACCGTCCAATGGCGGCGTGTCAACGGCCGCGGCTGGCCGTGCGGAGGAAGGGACGATTGAGTAGTGCTGCTCTCAAGAGTTCAGTCTTTTCTCCACGATTCCTCAAGCTCGAGGCAGCTTTCGGCCCTTTCGATCAGTGCCATACCGTGCCGTCGCAGCGGTGCCGTCACTATGCAGCTCGCACCCAAGGAGGTCTGACCCCCCGGCAGCTTTCACGTAACGCCAATGCCTCCCGTGCCCCGCATTCGTGCCTGCTAACGCTCCAACGCGCTCCCTAGGTCGACAAGCTCATCATTTCGCAGCTTGGCCTGCTCGCACAGCGTCGTCTGGCCCGGGGTGTCAAGCTGAACCACGCCGAAGCCACTGTGCGTGCCATTGGACCGTCATTCCGCGCCAAGCTGACTCGCTGCAGGCACTCATAGCGAACAACCTTCAGGAAGTACTCGACCACGCATCCCTAGCCCGTCCGCTCCGAGCGCTGACCGCACTACATACAGCTTGTCCGCGATGGTAGACATACGGTTGCTGACCTCATGGCCATTGGCAAGACCATGCTGGGTCGCCGCCACGTCCTCCCGTCTGTCGTAAGCTCCCTCAGCGAGCTCCAGATTGAGGGCACCTTCCCCACTGGCACATATCTCGTTACCGTCCACCACCCGATCAGTACCGAGGATGGCGATCTTGAGAAGGCCCTTTACGGCAGCTTCCTGCCCATTCCTGCCCAGGATGCATTCCCCTCGTGGGATCCGAGCCTGTACGAGCCGAAGAAGCAGCCCGGCGCCGTCATACCCGTGAAGGGTAGAATTGTCCTGAACGAGGGAAGGCAGAGGATCAGGCTGAAGGTCACGAGCAAGGGCGATAGACCTATCCAGGTAGGATGCTTTCGCATGCTGCTTACCTAGCGCCTGTGGTTAACGGGGGCTTAGGTCGGTTCGCACTACCACTTTATCGAGACGAACCCTTTCTTAGAGTTCGACCGTATCAGGGCCCACGGGTTCCGCCTCGACATTCCCGCCGGGACATCTGTAAGGTTTGAGCCCGGCGACACCAAAACGGTCACGCTTGTCCAGATCGATGGCCACCAGGTCATCAAGGGCGGCAACAACTTGGCTTCTGGCTATATCAAGGACTTCTCTATCGCTGAAGGTCTGGAGGAGCGTCTTAAGGCTGGTGGCTTTCTGCATGTACCGGAGCCTGCGGGCGATGCCGCTCACATTGACATTGCTTCGATGGAGCGGCACGCCTACGCAACCATGTTTGGCCCAACCACCGGCGACCTTGTCCGCTTGGGTGCTACCGACCTTTGGATCCAAGTCGAGAAGGACTTTACGCATTACGGCGACGAATGTTCCTTTGGAGGTGGTAAATCGCTGCGTGAGGGAATGGGCCAGGCGGGCGGTCGTGGGGACAGCGAATCTCTGGACACTGTCATCACCAATGCTTTGATCGTAGATTGGTCAGGTATCTACAAGGCTGATATCGGTATCAAGAATGGCCACATCGTAGGTATTGGCAAGGCCGGTAACCCGGATGTCATGAAAGGAGTCCATCCCAATCTGGTCATTGGTTCTTGCACGGATGTTATTGCAGGCGAAGGGAAGATCATAACTGCTGGAGGCTTCGATACGCACATTCATTTTATCTGCCCGCAACAAGCATACGAAGCCGTTGCTTCTGGAATTACAAGTATGCTTGGTGGAGGAACTGGCCCCAGGTGTGCTTCTTGTTTAATACCTCCCCTGTGGTTTCATACTAACAAGGTGACAGCACGGGAACGAATGCTACAACTTGTACGCCCGGCAAGACCCATATTCGCCAGATGCTCCAAGCTTGCGATGGCCTACCGGTCAATTACGGCATTACTGGTAAGGGTAACGATGCTGAATTGCTGCCGCTACGGGAGCAATGCGAAGCTGGTGTAGTCGGTCTGAAGCTTCACGAGGATTGGGGAAGCACTCCTGCAGCCATTGATGCCTGTTTGACCGTGTGTGACGAGTATGATGTTCAAACACTGATCCACACGGACACCCTGAACGAGTCCGGTTTCGTTGAGCAAACCGTTAAGGCGTTCAAGGGGCGTGCCATTCACACCTATCACACCGAAGGTGCCGGTGGTGGCCACGCCCCGGATATCATTTCCGTGGTCGAGCTCAACAACGTTCTGCCCAGCAGTACCAACCCCACCCGGCCTTACACGCGCAATACGCTGGACGAGCATCTGGACATGTTGATGGTCTGCCACCACCTTTCGCGCAACATCCCCGAGGACGTCGCTTTCGCCGAGTCCCGCATCCGTGCCGAAACCATCGCAGCAGAGGACGTCCTACATGACCTCGGCGCCATCAGCATGATGTCGTCGGACTCTCAAGCCATGGGCCGGTGCGGCGAGGTGATAACGCGCACCTGGCACACGGCGCACAAGAACAAGGTGCAGCGCGGGCAGCTGCCCGAGGACCAGGGCACGCGCGCCGACAACTTCCGGGTCAAGCGGTACGTGTCCAAGTACACGATCAACCCGGCCATCGCGCAAGGCATGGGCCACCTGATCGGCAGCGTCGAGGTGGGCAAGCTGGCCGACCTGGTCGTGTGGGAGCCGGCCTACTTCGGCGTCAAGCCCAAGACGGTCATCAAGAGCGGCATGATCTCGTACGCGCAGATGGGCGACCCCAACGCCTCCATCCCCACCATCGAGCCCATCTACATGCGGCCCATGTTCGCGCCCTTGGTGCCCAGCACCAGCGTCACCTTTGTGAGCCAGGCCTCGATCGACAACGGCACCGTCGCCGGATACGGCCTGAAGAAGCGCGTCGAGGCCGTAAAGGGGTGCAGGACGGTGGGGAAGAAGGATATGAAGTTCAACGACGTGATGCCCAAGATGAAGGTCGACCCGGAGAGGTACACGGTCGAGGCGGATGGGCAGCTTTGCACGGCGGAGCCGGCGGAGGTGTTGCCGTTGGCGCAGGCGTATTTTGTGTATTGATGACGGGGGAGAAGAAGGGGTGAAAAACTGTGGATGAAAAAACGAATTTGAACATAGGGAGGAATATTGAGCGGCGCAACCCGGGGTGTTATTAGCTACTTAAGGCAATTCTTTCGTGCGTTTATGCTTCTTCAGGAAATTTGGCCCCGTTTTCTCCCCCTGAGAATAAAGTGCTTGTTTCATGACGTTTTGGTATCAGTTGGATTGCACGGGCTTGGCTGGGGCGTATCAGCAATTTGCGGTCGAAGCAAAGCTTGCATTAGTGCATGCGAGAAGTTAAGAAAGCAGATAGCTATCCTGCGCTAGATGCGGGATGCGTGGTTTGGAGAACCTGACTGCAGCTGCCTGGTGCATAGGTGCCTCGACTTTTGCTTCAATTGCTTGGCCACGGCCACAGCTGTTTTCATCTCGTAGGAGTGGCTGTAGATGTTCAATTGATCCCGTATCAGAAAAGGGTCAGCAGTGAAAACTGGGGGAGACATACTTAGTTAGGGGCACGTAACGAGAATTCGTCCTATCAGTGTTGTTCGACCTTTCTTCTAAGAAGAGAAGATAGTTTAAACAGATAAGATTGAATGAAGTGTTCCGCTCTACTGCCACCAATTCATTCACTTTGATGGAGACCAAGGCGAAAATACGTCTGTGGACAATAAATAGTCCTTACACAGGCTGGCTAGCTCATTCCGAGATTTTTCGGGATCAAACCGCCTTGACTTTACATTTCCCTCTTGCTATGTTCAAAATCCCGCTCGTTCTTGTTCCACTCTTCTCTCTTCCCTCTCTTGATTTTTCTTCTTCTGCCTTTCCTTTTTACTCCTCAAACCTGATCTTCCCCTGACTGACATCCGGATACACATCGAACCTCCTCTGTCCATAGATGGGGATGCCCTTCCTAACCTCCTCGATCCTCTCGCCATTCAGCTCAGCATACACAATCTCCTCATCGGTGCCGGCCTCGGCCAGCTTCTCAGCGTTAGGGTCGACGATCATGCTGTGGCCCCAAGCATTGTAATCAGCGTCCATGTCGCGCGCGGGGCTGCACAGGCCGACGTAGACCTGGTTGTCCATGGCGCGGGCGCGGGCCTGCAGCTCCCAGTGGAGGGCGCCGGTGGTGAGGTTGAAGGCGCCCGGGTAGAGCAGGAGGAAGGCGTCCTTGCGGGCGGCGATGGTGGCGAGCTCGGGAAACCGCACGTCGTAGCAGATGGCGACGGCGATGCGGCCGTACTCGGGCAGGTCGACCAGCGTCACCTTGTTGCCCGGCGACAGCGCGTCCGACTCGCGGAACGTGATCTTGCCCGGGATCGAGATGTCGAACAGGTGCACCTTGCGGTGCGTCGAGAGGAGCTGGCCCGAGGGCGAGAAGATGAGGGATGTGTTGTAGAGCGTTTCGTCCGAGTCTTTTCCTTCGGTTGTTGCAGCAGCAGAAGAAGAAGAAGAAGCGGCCTTCTTCACACGCTCTGGGATCGAGCCGCCCACGATGTATGCGCCCGCTTCCTTCGCCAGCGCGCTCAGCGCGTGGTAGCTCGGCGACTCGTCCTCGGTCGGCGGCGTGCCCGTGCCCGTCCGCAGCGTCTCGGCGTACTGCGAGAAGTACTTGACGCCGTACGGGCTGTTGAAGCACTCGGGGAGCACCACGATCTTGGCTCCGTTCTTCGCCGCCTCCAGCACCTTGCTGCGCGCCCGCGCCAGGTTGTCGGCTTTGCTGGCGCCCGTGGCGAGCTGCACGAGAGCGAGCTTAACGGGTTGCTTGAGGAGTTTGGACATGTTGTTTCGTGTGTGGTGCTGCGGAAGCTCGCGAGTGGTAGTGCGGGGTAGTTTTCTTCGAAGAGACAGCGCGCGCTCGTGTCTGGTGGGTTTCGGATAGGTCTAGGCGATTCGTATGGGTCTTAGGGATCGTTTCGAAGAGAGGCGGGTGGGAAGGAGGTGCCCAATGGCGGGGAAAAGGCGTGGTGGATGAGAAAGGTGGGATGGTGTGTTGATGCAATGACATGGGTGCCGGACTTAAGCTTCCGCTGTCGGAGAGGTCCCCTGCGTTGCGCCCTGCGACATGACGCGATATGTGGCCTGCGCTTCCGTGATGCTAATCAACTACTATCTCATACGTCAGTCGACCTTGATTCACCAGCGGCTGTATTTACTATTCAATACGAACTAAACAACACCGCTCCCTGAAATCACTGTATGGTGCACATTCACATTTTCAAGATCCTGTTTTTATAGCTACCTGAAGAGAGCAGAATAAGACCAGCCCAAACAAAGCCCCCAAAGTTCGATCTGGACGAACTCTCAGTCAAGAGAGCATTGCCGTTGTTGAAGAGCTAAAGGGAAATGTCGCCAGCCCAACTTTCCATTCTGACCAGGAAACCACCCGTCTCGACTCGTTATCCCATTCCATCGAAATTTCCCTTTCCAGAAACGCTTATTTCCTCAGCAGCGAACGAGCACCAGTGGTATGCCTGTTCCATAGGTATGGGTCACCGAGGATCCGATACCGGAAGACCAAAGGGTGACCGCTAGCTGCACAAGAAAGAAAAGAAAAAGAAATGTAGCAACTGAGCAACCTGTACCGTGTTGCCATCCCGTCCGAAGCCTTGCCCCTTCTCCCGCCCATTAAAACCGTTTTGATGAAAGGAAATGCAAATCCTTGTCCGTTTTATGATCGCAAGAAACCAGTCCGTGCTATGCAATGCAACGCAGAGAATGAGAGGGGAATGGACCGCAAGTGTGCATTAGGCGGAGCCTTCGTCATCCGGGACGTTGGCGCTCCAAAGGGAAAGTGCAGGATGCCGTTAGCATCAATAAGGGAAATGCAAAGAAAAGGGTTGAGGATATCTCTGGACTCGCTGAAAGAGATCAAATGCCGAGAAAGGTCGGGTGCTTCTAGCGGCAGAGAAAGTGTGACCGGCTATCAGACGAGTGTGTTTCAATCGACAAGTGCTGCTCATCAAAACACCGACTCGCAGTGAGCTGGCTTTCAACCTCTCTGGCCAATAAGACAAAACGCTCCAGAGATGCAGTTGGCGGAATTTTTTTTTTTGTATGGCCGTTCAAACGTGACATCGTAAACAATGTGCCGGCGGCACAATCATCAATCTCCTCTTCAATTCTGAAATCCAACCCCAAGAAGAGTGTTTACGGGCCGATTATCTCCAATGTTCGTAGCTTCGCTGCCAATATTGCGTATGCAAGCGTGGCCATGGCGATCTAGCTACCATTAAATGACGTGGACGAGCCACAGGGTCATGACCAGGATCAGTAGGACGATTTCCGAGATGAAGGCGACGAGGGCGCACTTCTTCTGAAATTGGCCGACGTGGCTTATCTCACGACCGCTCATCTGGAACATCAAGCCGTCAAGCGCTCCAAAGAACATCAGGATGGCAGTCGGAGGGAACCAGGCGCAGACGGCGAATATCACCCACGACAGGCGCTTCTTCTTCTTGACTATTTCAGTCATGTTGGATGATTGCGGCCTCGAAAGCTGCAGTAAATGCGGTGAATGGCGGTAGAGAGGCTCACCTGTCACGGTAGAGCTTGGGCGAACAACTGTGGCAGGTTCAGAGCGGTCGCTACCGAACGTTTCGCTATTTTGACATCGGAGCGTCAATGGGAAAGGAGAAGTCATGCCTCGGACTGATGCTCTTGGCATGGCTATGCCATTAGCACGTGGGGTGCTTGTCCTGGAAGAATCCACCGACGCGGCCTTCATCTTCCGGTAGCGTTCTGCGCGGCTTGAGGAAGCAGCACGAAGGCTATCAATCTCTTTGCCGTAAGAACTGATTACCGGTATCCTGCTGGATGAGCTGCTAACAATGCTTCCTCTGGCGAGAGGGGATGACTTGTATGGCGTTGGAGTCTGGAACGGGTTGTGATGGCCTGAACTGACAATCCGACCTCCGGTCGGGCTGTAGAAATCGGTGTTGGGGGACCTGCCTAGAAGACTCTGCCGTGCGGGAGTGGATAGGCTTGGCGGTGAGCTTGCGAAGATCTCCTGGTAAGCTTTCGTGTTGCTGGGCGGACTGGATGAGGACCCGGCAGTACTACTGCCCGCGAACCGCATACCAGTACCCATCGGGGTACCAGTCAGATTGGCTTCGGGGCCCACAAGTGCGAACTTGTCGAACGAATTGACACGACTGCTCCTATTCATAGGAGAGGTCGAGGGGTCCGGCCCTTGAGACTTGGCTCTATGAGCCAAAGGCGACATTTCGTACTCCTCGACAATTTCATCGCTCGGTCCGAAGGCAACAAGGTCCTTGATTTGGTCTGCAGAGAGTTCGAAAGGACGTTGGCTCGCTGAGTTCGAGGCGCTCAAGGTAGAATGCCGGACATCTCTCCCGAGGCGGCTGTGTCGAAGGAAGGATAGCTGGCTGTCACGTGGGAAACGGGGCATGTCTTTGATCTCCGTTGGTGAAGTCACGTCAGGGCTGACACTATCTCCCTCAGCGATTTTGTTGCGACGCCACGGGTTTGTACTGGTCCTTTGTAGAGGGCTAACGTCTTGCGTAGGAAGTTCTGGCTCAACTGAGTTATGGCGAGTGCGATCTCCGGCAGTTGTGGTCTGGGCAAGAGTCTCCCAATCGCCATCAGTGCAGTCTGTAGCTAGGGTTGCTGGTGATTCGTTGCGTTGAGCTGCAGGACCAGGGGACGCTGAGCGCATCCACATTGGAGGAATATCGCTACCAGTGCTGTTGCGTTCGGCATTGCTGACCATTGCTTGCCTGCGGAGACCGGGCTCAGGACACACAGGCGCAACATTTTCCTTCCCTGGCATCTGAACGGCGATGCCGCCGACACTCATATCAAACTGTTTGCTCGCATCAGTGTCAGAGCTGAGCAAGCTATTCTGACTCTGTTCCCGATATTCCTCGAGCTCCGGAGTTCCCCTCTGGCTATCGCACCTTTCCATGAACTCTTGCAGAGGCGACTGAGGAGGCAACTTGTCACCTTCGGAGAAGCGGCTAGCCTCGGTGATCACAGACATCCGGTTCGTCGCATCAATGTTGCCCGAAAGGCCCAGGAGCTTCCGGGTATCGCCGTAAGAAGAGGCGCGGTTAGAGAAGTCCTCTGATGTGGGCGCATACACTCGACGGGCCTCTCCAAGCTCTCCAGAAGCAAGAGGAGGCAGAGAGTTTGGTGGGTTTCCTGGCAAAGCGCGCATGACAGCCAGAGCCCTCGGAAACATGCCATCCTGAGGGGTCACAGGGCTTGTCACAGGGCTCTCGGGATTGCCACTGTTACGAAAATCATCAAGCTCGAAGTCGAACTTGCTGAATCCCGAAATACGATTATCGCGGGGACTTGTGGGAATCATGCTGCGAAGGCTTGGACCTTTGACAGTCGTAGTGTCGTCATCTTCATCGTCAGTGATGAGGTCGTCGGTCGATATGGCGGCGTCATAAGGCGCTCCACCTCCATACTGATCGTAAATGTTTCCCAGAGTATTGTCAATGGTTTTCGACAGCGTTTGAGCACCGCGACCGTTCACGGAGGGGTTTCTAGTCAGGTTCATATATGAGTGATGAGGAGTGTCTTCAAACTCGTAGGAGATCTCGCCGCTGTAGTCGGTAATCTGGTTCTGGACACCGAATGGAACGCTTCGCCGATTGTTGAGTGGTCCAAAATACAGCGAGTTCGAGTCAAATTCCGTATCAGGGTACACGGAAAGTTGGTCATATTGAGGCGCGTTAGCCTCCGAGAGGGTCTCCCACGTGTCACCAGAAGGGCGGGTGGCATCAGCTCTGGCGTCTCCAGGGACGATCGTCGCAGAAGAGCTAAAAGCATTGGTCGCGGGCGCGCCGTAAGTGTTCGAGGTTGAGTCGTAAGGTATGCCCTTGAGCTCTTCATCGACTTCCACCGGTCTGCTCTCCTTCCTTTTGAAGACGGTACGCGCGCGCTCTATAATTGAAGCACGACGATCAGGCTTAGTGTTTAGATGAGCAGGAACGACCGAAGACAAGATGGCCTCAGCATGATCGCGAGGAGGGTTGCGCGGGGGCGTCGGAGATTGGAACTTGGATTTTGCAATCGACTCGTGAGCGGATCTCAGGTCGTCGAACAAGGGCCGCTGCGGTTGCTTCGCAGCTCCCTCGTCCTGGGTGGACGAGGGTGACATGTCGGCTGGCAACAGTTGGTCCAGCGACGTCCTATTAAAGTAGTCATTGGGCTCGTCGACATCTGCGGGAGTTTCCAGGTTTGAAAGGTAGAGGGAGTTGTGGGGATTAACAACATCAAAAGACGTGCCTCTGAAATGAAGAACAGCTGGCGTAGCTGGTGGGGTGTCAAGCAGCGAGGGTGTGTGGGCTGGATTCGACTCTGGTGGCCAAACGTTCAACGGCGGGGTGACTTGGCCGGCGAGCTGCGTTTGCGGCGGCTCGGGAAAAGGGAACTTCGAAAGCGTGAAGGTAGAAGTGCTGGCAAGACCTGCAGTCGAAAGCAGATTGAGGCTGGACGGCTCGGTTGGGATGGGCGAAGCGGCGAGCGGTTGTCGGATCTCGATGTCTTTCGGTCGCGGCAGTCGCTTCCGCGACCCCAGGCCAAAGTCGCGCGGAAGTGCTGGCGCGTTGGACGCGCCGACAGGTGGAAGATCTGCAGAAGACGCGTTGAGGCGGGCGATGTCGCGTAGACCAAGCGACGGTCGCTGCTGCAGAGCTGGAAGCGAACGGAAAGAGGACACGTGCAGGCCAGCGAATGACGAGTCGGGCTCGTGGCGGTACGGCTCCGAGTGGGAGGTTGACGGAGGAGACGGAGGGAGCCGCGGAGGGTTGGTGCGCTGAAGTTGAAGAAGAGGCTCGCGCTCGCTGCCGTTCAAGCGGGTGGCGGCGGCCTTCCTTTTGAGCCGTCTGCCCTCGGGTGGCTCAGGAGTTCTCGGCGAGGTTTGCTGTTTGCGATAGTCGTGCAGCGAGAGGGAGTGGATGGGAGTGTAGGAGCGGGTAGAGGATGTGGAGTGCAGAGAGTGCTGTGACAGTTGTGGAGAGTGGTGGGGCGTGACGGGAGTCGCGACGCGTTGGTGGAGCGTCGCCGAAAAGGTCGACATTTTTGGCAGTCGCTGCGCCTCCACGTGCGCAGACCCTTTCTGAAATATCTTGAAAGCCCGCTATGGGATAGAGCGAGAAGTCCCTGCTGGAGTCCACCAGTCACCGGCACCAAGGCATTACTGTTCTCGTCGGCGGCGACGGTACAGTCTTAGAGAGACATCAGATACCTGCCGACATGGAGCGGGTTGTCAGCGCTACACTTGCCTCCGTTTCCCAGATATCACTCACGGCTGCCAAGAACGACACTGAATGTTCTTCGACCCGATGTTTCCGAAGCTCTTCAACAGACGTCAAGCAAACGAGGGTCTAAACAGAGGAGCGAGAGCGCGCCAAAGCGAAGGAAGAACAAGACCAGCTTGTTCGACGGAATTCGGAGCGATGGACTCGGCGCCGGGGATATCGAAGGAGCGCGGGGAGATTACGATTACAGAGTGCGGGTACGCACAGCGAGAGGGTAGCACATTGGAGAGGCAACGAGGCATTCAAGTGAAAGTACAGATGGGGAAGCAGCAACCCGGTGAGGGCGAAAAGGAGGAGAGCTGAATGATGAGGTACATGGCTCATAAGAAGAGAAATCAGACTAGCTGGCAGTCTTCGGTGATTCCAGAAAAACAATCCTTGCCCGTCACCACGGTAGGGAGCAGTCCCCCGATCTCGACGGTGGATGGTGGACGGTGATGGCGAGAGGGGCCGTGCGCATGCGGCCACTGCAGGGGTGCGCATTTGCGCGCGCCCAATCAGCCTCGCCAGCGAGGTCCAGAGGTGCCGTGGCCATTACATTCGCTCACCAGCCGCACCGTATCGCCGGAGCGCTGCCTGCCAATGAAGGCTGCGGGCTGTGTTTCGCGGCAGCTAATGCGCGTCACCCAGGCCGACCGTGTCGCGACTCTCGCCAATCCGCGCGCGCAGGTGCCTTGCCTCAACCACGCCAGATGATGGCTGTGCGTGCCCATCCGGCCCCGCCGAGAGGGTCAGCTGCTGGAAACTCGCCCCGGCTGAGACATGTTGACGACGGGATCCGCTGTGACCCAGCCTCGTGTGGATCGTCCTGGGATGATGATCAGTGTTGAGGTGCTGTTGTGCTGTGGAGGCGAGACAGGCGATCGCTCGGAGCCACCGGCCCAAGCGAGCGAGCTGACCAACACACGTCGATCCTCAAACGCTCACATTTGCGCCTCTCAACCTTGCACGTTTCAAACGCTGATCCATGGCGACTCCCCCACGGGCTGCTGCGTGTCTTCCAGGGCGCCGCGTCAGACCTGAAGGCACACCATTTATCCACAGCAGAGGCGTCGCTTGAGTGGTATTATTTGAGCCTGATGCATCAGGAACCACGCCCTGCGACGAGCCTTGCCTGCCGAGCTCTACGAAATATGCGCCGAACAAGAAATATATCGGAAGGCGCAGTGGTAAGACTTGAATTGCCGTTTATCTCAACTGCGTATTGCCTTTCGCACGAAGTAAGAGCTCCAGACTCTGGTTTCCTCGCACAGTAGTTGCAACCATGGCAGCACCGCTACGCGGGAGCTCACATGGGCTGCCTTCCTGCGTCCGGTCTGCCTCAACCGCGTCTTTCATCTCCCAAATCCTCACATCGCCCTCCTCTTTTCCATCTCCTATCTTGTCGAAGCCTGGCCTTTGGGTACGCGGAAGGCACACTATCCTTTCGCATCTCCTCTACGGCCTGCGCTACCCGAATTAAGCAGCAGTCATTCAATAGCATTCTTGTCCTGCCCTCTCACAATCATTCTGCCCTAGCCCGACAGACAGCCACCAGCTTGATGGACGACTAGTTCCCACCCACCTTTGGTAGTTCACCCGCGGAAAGTATCATCGACATCAAGTGCCATGGTCACGGCATACAGCACCGGTCCTGAAGATGTCCTTCACGGCGGCGACAATGTTCGGCGGCGCAGCACATATTTCAGACGTCGGGTGCTCCGCAGCGGGCCAATGTCTGGCAGTGATCAAAAGGAAGACGTTGGTTCCGCAACAAGTGCGCCAGTCGAACCTTCGTCGCGCTCTATCATTCGACGGCCATCCTCATTGAAAGCCTCAAGAAGGAGACTTCCTTGGCTTGATGGAAAGGTTTCATCTGACAAACAGGGGCACCGGAAGCATCGGCACGTTCCAGGCGAATTTGTCTCTGATGACGATGATACATCTTGGTCTACCATAAGCAGCAATGTCCAGCCCTCGCCAACACGACCTGAGTCGCCAAAGCCACCCCTAAATACTCACATGCCGAACAATGCAAGTTTAGCGTATACCCCGTCAATGTACAGTACAGGTGCGGTCAGCGGAGTGAGCGTTGGCCCTCCTGTGGAGAGTCCGAGAACGTATCGATCGTACGAAGCTCTGGTTTCCTCGCCTGAGAAGCCGAAAGTGGCATTTTCGGAGACTGACAACATCTCGTACAATACAAGAAGGACGGATACTTCTTTTGAAGACTCAGCGACATCTACACCCAGATTACAGCCTCCGTTAACACTGAAGCGTGTCTCTCCGGTCCCAATCAGCAATCCGCGAGAATCGACTGAAGAGTCAGAGAAACCGTTACAGCCAACACCTGCCAAGACTAGGCTTCAAAAGGCAATTGGTGGTATGGAGAGCCCTGTGCAGCATGCAATTGATGTGGCAAAATATGCCCCAGATCACCATCAGTCTGACAGTGTTTCTGAAGTATTGGAAAGTGTTTCGAGGTCTCTGGAGAGAACACCTTCCCCGTCGTCACGAATGGACCCTCTGCTAGTGTCCGACTCATTGGACACCTCTTCCGACGACACACCTACCGAAGCCGAGGCATCATTGAGCCCAAAGACCAACCATTCTTCTCACAACGCGGCGCTTCCCATACAATCATCGGCAGAAAACGCGAATCCGGTCAGTCCTACTCACGCCCGCAAAGACGCGATGACCCGGCCTCGAAGTCTCCAATCATCCAGTACAACTTCAATAGTTCTAACTCCAAAGCAGTTCTACGAACGTAAGTCGGCTGACTCAATTGTTACGGACTGGGCCTATGCCAAGGGACAAACACCACCAACACGCGCTCAAACTCCGTCCCCATCATCAAGTTCTACTTCAACCAGCTCACCAGCCGATGTCGAGCGACAAGGAAGTTCGCATTGGAGAGCGTGGCATAACAACACGAAACGACCGGTGTACCGAAATGATTCCCAATACGTCGATGGCCACGTGCGCTCGATCAATTCGCCACCTACGAAGGACGAAGTTCATGATCATATCAAGCGCCATGGAGTTCCACCAACACCGCCAAGGAGCAGCTCTTTGAGGCATCGAAACGCCAATCCACCCGCGCATAAACATTTTCAACGCTTCCGGTCTTCCGATAATCCCAGTGAGACCCGAAGTCGACGGAAAGAGCGATCAAATGAAAAGTCGGAGCGCTATGGTGGTCCTAGACGCCGCAAGCTTCCACAGCCACAACCATGGAATGACCTGAATCCAAGATCTTCCGAAGGCTTTGGAATGGGCCACCCAGCTCGGACCCATGTGAGTTTTCGTGGTGCCGAAGGACTGGATATATTCAAGCGTCAGCGGCGCGAACCGATTGCGAGAAATTGGGGCACTGCCAAGAAACGAATCACAGCTACTATTGCATGCATTAACACTGCATTGGTGGGATATTTGATTGGCGTCTACGTGCGTACCCGTAAGGGTCTCGCGTCACGCTTGCTGATTCAGGATAGGCCGGCGAGGTGCCTCGAATCCAATATGCCATCGCAGATCAGGGACACATCGTCATTTTGGGGAATGTGTTGTGAGTAACGCCAGGCTGTAACACGGCTACACATACTCACGAAACAGTCTGTACCTGGGTCTAGCCATCTCAACGTTCTTCTCGTGGCCCCTTCCGCTCCTTCACGGTCGCAAACCCTATGTTCTGGGATCTCTCGCTATTCTTTTACCTCTCCAATTCCCTCAAGCATTGGTAGTCGGTACTCCGCGCGATCCAAACAAGGCACTTTACCGAGTGGGACTTCTTCTCCCCCGAGCATTTTCAGGCCTCGTTCTTGGCTTCGCCAATGTCAATTTCATAGCCACGCTCCTCGACCTATTTGGTGCATCTCTTCAAGCCGCAAATCCCCATGAAGAGCTGGTCTTTGTAAATGACGCTCGGCGACATGGCGGGGGAATGGGACTTTGGCTGGGCATTTGGGCCTGGTCCTTTCTGGCCAGCATAGCCGTCGGGTTTATGGTTGGTGCGGTACTGATCAACAGTATAGATCCATCCTGGGGCTTCTACATTGATGTCATCATGATTGCATGCGTACTCCTTTTGAACGTAGTCGCACCAGAGACGCGACGAGCACGCTTCCGACGTTCGGCAATTGACCTGATCGACCCGAATTCTGAGTATGTATACCAGCGTATTGTCCGCGGCGAGATCAAACTGCACGTCTCTCCAGAGGGGCCGGACTGGTGGGGTCAAGAGGTCGCTGCAGGTATCTGGCTGAGCATACGGATGTACTTCCAATTGGGATTCAGCATCCTGGCGATGTACATTGCCTGGATTTACGCCCAGTTCGTCCTCATAATCGTGGTAAGTCAGACCCTGACCCAAGACAGCCTGCTGCTAAACAGTACCAGCTCCTTGGCGCCCTCCTCTCTCGCGACTACCGCTGGCATCCACAATATGTCGGCGCAGGCGTCACCTCTCTTGCCATCGGCGCCCTCCTCGCCATCCCACTGACGAAAGCCGGCCTCTTCAGCCGTGAACGCACCCACGGGCCCCGCACCGACAGCATGACCTTCCAGCGACAAATAACATGGACCTCACACATGACCCGACGCATCATCTTCACCACCGTCCTCCCCCTCGCCGGCCTCGCCTACACCCTGTCCTCCTCAGGCCCGTCCAAAGCGCACTACATGCTCCCCATCACCTTCGCCGCGCTCATCGGCTTCCTCTCCGTGCTGGCCTGGGCCGAGACGCACGGCCTGGTCATGGAAGCCTTCGACACGTGCGACCTGCAGCCGGGCACCAACACGCGGCACCGCCTGCAGAGCATGGCCGACGTCGACCGCCGCCGCCGCACGGCCTACTCGTCGTTCCCGCGCGTCAGCGCCGCCTTCTTCGTCGCCCACGCCCTCGCCTTCGTCCTCGCCGCCGCCGCCACCGCCGTCGGCGGCGTGCTGACCCGCCACCTCGGCGCCCAGACCAGCACCGGCGTCGTCGCCGCCGTCCTCGCCGCCCTCACGCTCGCCCTCACCGTCGTGCTGTGGCGCTTCAGGGGCGTGCAGGTCATCCCTGACGAGGTTTTCAGCGACTTCAACAAGCCTCGCCGCCCCGTGGTGCCGCATGACAGGATCGGCGGCGGCGGTAGCGAAGAGGAGAGCTGGCGGGCGGCTATGATGAGCGGCGGTGGTGGTGGTGGTGGAGCGGGTGGCCGCAATGATGCGGACGCGGAGAAGTTTGCTGGCGGTGGAAGACCGGCCGACTGGAAGCCCGTCATCATAGGCAATCCGTCCGGCCGTGTGCGCAGGGCCAATATATTGGAGCTGGGGAGGTGGAGTCGGTGGAGCGAGATCAGGCGGTTGAATGGGCTTTTGCCGGAGTGGGATTAATGATGAGAGATCGAACGAGTGAACGGTGTCTGGGAAAGCGATTGAAAGGGAAGGGAAGAATGATTGCCAAATTGAATCTCCTAACTCTGACAGTCCATTAATAGCAGTTCTTTGAGATTTACCGGGAAGGAGCCTCGGTGCGGTGAAAGAAGAATCGAAACATGCCGTGAGCAGAGGTAGATGAAGCAACCAGCTTGGACGACGCTCTCTGTACGCACCTCGCCAACACCCTCCAACTTCTCGCCCCCACTAGTTGTTTTTCTGGTTGCACATCACTTTTGCAAATATAAAGGGTGCAGGACTGTAACAGTTGATTGCTCGCTGGCTTGTTATGCTTGCAAACCATGCTCAGTCGCTTACTCGCAGGAGAATAAGCAATACTCAGAAAGCCAAACCCCAAAGAAAATCATGAACCTACGCCGATGCCTTACCCACCCAGTTTACCCCGATTCTCAGCCCCCGAACCCCTGCAACTCGCTTTTTGTAAAAAGTATATATGTACCAACTCCTGTCTCCCACCATTTACCCATCCGCTCTCCCCTCCAGAATCAACGTGAATGGAAAACACCTTTGCTAACACATCAAGCACCGCTCACGCCCAACCCCTCAGCACTCTCGTATTTCTCGTCCTCCTCGTTGGCGCCGCGCTCACTCGCGATGCTCTCGTTGATGCTCGGCGCCTTCTCGCTACTCTTCTTCTTCCTCCGCAAACTGCTCCAGCTGAGCCCGCTGCTCCGATCCGCCTTCTTCTCTTCCTTGGTCCTCTCGCGTTCGCCATTGCCGCCGATATACGGGCTGCTCGCCGCGCTATTCGTAAAGCTTGACGCAAAGCCTGACGCAAAGCCAGGCGTTGGCGGCTCAGTACCGATAGTGCTCTCGTCGTCATGGTCGTCATTGTTGTGGTCCTTGTCCACGCGGGGCGAGCGAGAGAAGAAGCTACTCGCCGGGGAGCTCTTGTCCTTGCTGCCGCCGCCAATGCTGCCGAAGCCGGGGAGCTGGAACTTGGACGAGCTGCCCTTGCGTGAGAGCTTGCTCATCCACGATTCCTTGCCCGCCGACGTCCCCGTCAGGCTCTCTGCCGTGTTGCGCGACTCGGACCGGTCGAGTGAGGCGCGCGGGCTCCACGACGCTGAGAGCGAGAGCGACGCTGTCTCCGCATTCGAGGTGACGGTGCTGGCGCGACCATCGCGCGACTTACGCATCGACGTCGGTGAGACATCGAGATTCGCCAGACCATCGACGGGGGACTCGGGCGCCTCGAACGAGGGCACAGTAGACGAGACGGACGTGGCAAAATCCGTGGTCGCGGTGGCCGATGGGAAGGGCTCCTCAGCGGTAGAACCGTCAAAACTGTCAGACTTTGATTTCGATTTGTCCTTGGACCTGCCAGGCTTCTCGTTCTCCGCCTTGCCTTTGTCTGCAGAACGGCTCCATAGGCCCTTGAATACAGGTGCAGCAGGGTTCAGCTTTCCGCTCGGAGGGGTTGCTGGCGTCGGTTGCGGTTGCGATGGAGGGCGGGTCCCAATGGGAGCTTGAGGTGGCGATCGCGTCACCGGCGCGAACTCAAAATTGTCCTCTACAACATCTTCATAGCCCAGACCATTCGATGCGTTACCGTATTGGACAGAGGGACGGCGAGATGGATGACGTGAGAATCCGCTGACTGCATTGTAACCGAGTTCCACGGTGGTGTTCAGCGGACTCGACCGTTGTGTGGATGGTTCGGCTGGTCCCCACCCGAAGCGCTGAGAACTCTCTGTCGATGGTCGGGGGAGCTGATTTATATCTGCAAAAGATCTCATCGAACCGGGCCGCGGAGAAGGTGGTCGCTCCATGCCAAAAGCTGGAGGCCATGAAGGCTCCTCATCTTTACCAGGAAACAGCTTGAATCCCCGTTTCCTGGTCTGCACATGACTTGGGCTACCTGAACTCGGGCCTGTGGAGCTTCGGAAAGGCTTTGACATGGAGTCAATCCAGCTGCTACCGCCAGAATGGCTGCCACGACGCCTCTGCGTTCCGATAGGATCAAGTTCTGCCTGGTCCGGGCGGGGCATCGAGTGGCTTTGGCTAGGTTTCAAAGACCCTAATGCCGGACCTTCATCCGACAATGTCTTGCCCCTTTGCCGGCTAAAAAGCTGACCAAATCTGCTTTGTAGCATGGAACCCCCGATATTCCGAGCGGATCCAGAAAGCGACTTCACTGACAGGGCGTCGGCATCCTTTCCAGAATCATGGGCCGGGTATCCAATTGGGAGTTGATTTGAGCTGCCTCGCGGGCTCGCGAAAAGGCTAGGAGATCGACTTTGGGCAGATGCTGGGGAGCTCGGGCTCCTGTTCGCTGTTTCTCGGGCTTGAGGAGCACCGAGGCCTGGGATGGCAAGAGCATCTGGAGCTCCTCCGAATGAACCTGAAGAATTCCTATCCTCATCAAAGTCCGGCTTGAAGTCTGATTCTCCTTCGTCTGCAGATCGATCAGTTTCATTAGAGAAGAGATCAGATGGAAGAAGAGCGCCAGCATTCGGACTCATAGGCGCGCCGCCAGTGAGCATCTCGATTTCAGCAGGCGAAAAGCTAGTTTCACGGTTTGATATCGGGACTGCGCCATTGGCGAAGTTGAAGAACGGCGAAGAAGTTGTGACTGTAGGCGAGATGCTGGAAATGCTGTTGTTGTTGTACGGCGCGGTAGTGACAGGGAAACCAGGAGCGGCAGGAAAACTCTCTTGTCCAACGCTGCCAGCATGTTGCCTACGTCTCTGACTCGCCCTTCGGGACGGAGCAACATCCAGGACTGGAGGCGGCCTAAAGACCTGAGGTTGATTCGCAGCTCTGCTGGAGAGGATCTGCAGCTGGTTTTGTGCCTCGTTGTACGCTCGGTCTGCAGCCTGAAGAGCGGCCCATGCAGTCTGGTAGCGTTGCTGCAACCCTCTGATACGATCGCTCCATTGCCGTTCTTCCTCAGCCCACTGAGCTCTAAGCTCTGCATCGATGTCGCCCTCTCCGCCCTCGAATTTCTTGCGTTCTTCCTCCAGAATTCGGTTCTGAATGCCAGTTTCCCGGACAGATTCCTCGAGAGTTTTGATCAGTTGCAGTTCCTCGGAGTACTTGTCTCGGAGCTCTTGGGCTCTCTGTTCGGAACTCTTCTGGTACTCGATTTGTTGCTCTCCGATGCGCTCAATCTCCTTGGCCATGTCATCCATTTCAGCTCTGAAACGCTGGACATCATCCTGCATTTTCTTCCTCTCATTCAACTTCTTTTCAAGAGACTTTTCCTCCGCGGTCTTCTTGGCCTGAGCGCGCTGGTTTTCTTTTTCCAGATTGACGACCTCTTTCTTCAGCTCGGAGCTAGCGGCAGTCTTGCGGGCAAGTTCGTCCTTGAGCTCGTTGTGTCTTGTGTTGAAAACCTCCTTCTGGTCCCTGAAGCCCTTTTCCTCCTCTTCAATTGCCTTGCGAGTGACCGAAATGTCCGAGCGCAGCTTGTCCCCCTCCGCCTGCAGCAGTGCTTCGGTTTCGCCAGGCTTGGCATCGTCGGCCGAGTCATCAGCTTGCTGGTACGCGCTCGAGTTCGCTGGGGAATTCCTTCGACCGGTCGTGGCCCTTCTTGGATGCGACGTGCTGTTGCTGTGCGAGCGAACCATATCCGAAGGCGTGGGGAGCGGTGAAGATGGCTCGAGGAATCCTTTACAGGGGGTGACCTTGGGCTCCACCCACCACTTCTCGTCGTGCTCGTGCTCCTCATCGTTGGCAATTTCCACGGCGCGGTTGTAGGCAGCGAAGTCGAAGAAATCGTCGGAGGAGGGCGGCTTCGTGCGGAAGCGAAGCGGCTCGCTCTGGGTGTGGAAATTATGGTGGTTGATGGCGATCACACGGAGCGTATAGGCGGTGGCAGGCTTCAGGTTGGCGATGTTCACGGAGGTATCTTTAGGCCCGACTTCTTCAACTGCTTTGACGGTCAGCACCTTTTGACAGCCGGCGGGCAAGAGGTAGCGTACCGAAAACGCCATTGATCTTGATTTGGTAGGCCTGGATGCCGCTGCGGGGCTCGGCGGGCTCCCAGTGGAAAACGGCGCCGTCGGCCTTGATGCCTGCAAGTGAGACCCGGGGCGCTGCGGGGACGTCGAGACCGAGCAATTTGATGAGGTCGTCCTCCTTAATGACCATGACCAGCCACGCGCGGTATACAAGCCTAAGCGGCGTCAGTCGAATTGCGATATCTGGGAAGCACGCGACAAGCGCACCATAGCAGCGCCGCGCAAGTGGCCAAGGCCGTGAGCGACGGTGCGGAGGCGAGAGCGTCCAGCGGCTCCATGCCGGCGGCGCGCACGGGAAGGTGGGCGATGAGCTCTGGCGAAGGCATCTGACCGGCCTCCTCGGATGTGGCGCCTGGAACAGGCAAGCGGGTGGTGTATGAGGGAGAGCGCGGAGGTGGTGTTGCTGCAGCCTCTTTGCGCTAGGCGTCCCTCTCCGGCCGGCGCTTTCGCGGCTGCCGAGCGTGCAGGGCCTGCAGACAGAACGGCGCCACTCCTACCATACCTGGATCCCCCACAAGGCTCAGAGCACCCGCTGGTACATCGCCCGTCTCCTCGCCTACCGCTGCGCGCCCGCCTTGCGCCCGTAGTAATAGCAGCTTCTTGCGCAACATTCCCACGTCGCGTGCCCGCGCCGCAAGGGCTATCGGCCACTGGCGGCGTCCGCGCGCTCTGCCGCGGCTGTCCCTAAAGAAGCTCGTGACGCGCTCGGCACCACCAGATCGCATCCTGAGACTATGTCAGTCTCCTTCACCTCCTAAGCTTGAGCCCGCGCTCCTGTCCTCTCCACTCCACTGCCCCTCACGCCTCCCGCTCCTCAGCCTCAGACCACCGCTTGCTCCGCCCTGCAGCCCGTTCTGTTCCTATTTGCTGCCGCGCTCGGCGCTGGCCTGTCGCTGGCCCAACAAGCGCCGCTGTTGAGCGACACGCGCCGCCGCGATCACTACATAAAACCCACGGACCCCTAGCACCCGACTCCTGCCCCTTCCCTTGGAGCGCGCCGAGGTTATCCATCATGCAGTACGTCCGCGGCCTGTCCAGCTCTGTGTCCAAGACCTGGAATTCCATCAATCCTGCGACTCTCAGCGGCGCGATCGACGTCATCGTTGTTGAGCACGAAGATGGCTCGCTGGCGTGCTCTCCCTTCCACGTCCGCTTCGGCAAGTTTTCGCTCCTGCGTCCCTACGAAAAGAAGGTCGAGTTCTGCGTAAATGGCACGAAGCAGCCGTATTCCATGAAGCTGGGCGAGGGCGGGGAGGCCTTTTTCGTCTTTGAAACCACAGACAGCATTCCCGAGTCCATGCAGACCTCGCCCCTGGTGTCGCCTGCGCAAAGCCCGGAGTCCAAGGCAGAATCGGCTTCTGCAGACCAGCTTTCAGAGCCACCGCCTCTAAGTCTAGCCACGGACGGGCAGAATGACGTCCTGGGCAGAGTCAGGGCAAAGAGCGATCTCGGTGAGCCGCCACGACTTCTCCATTGCTATATTCGGCTAACACGATCAAGGCGACAATCCTACCTCGCCACTAGCCGAGCATGCGTCTGCCGAATTTCCCATCCTAAATATGGGGCCGCCTGCGGCGCTGGACCGCGGCGTCAGCGACGAGATTCTTCCCTCCACTAGAGCCGCTCTCTCCAAGGCCTTCACTGACACCGTTCCGACCATAACCACTTCAGACGAGCCAGAGCCGGGTCAGCTTTCGCACCGATCCACAAGTCCGCCGCCAGTGTCTCGTCACGATGCTGTGGCGCGCGCAATGACTTTGTCGAAAAAGCTCTGGACTTCGAACGTTCCCTCACAGGTGACGGAAGAAGGTGATTTGATGCTGGACATGACAGGCTACAAGAGCAACGAGGAGGACGCTCTGCGGGCGGAAATTGTGGCGCGTAAGATCTTGTCGGAGGAACTTGAGGGAAACTACGACATTGGCGCATTGATTGGTGCCGATGAGAAGGGAAACCTCTGGATCTACAGCAGCGAAGAGGCCAAGGAGGCTGCGGCACGCAAGCTCGCCATTCAAGGATTACAGCCTCAAGCCATGAGGTCGTCGGATGCCATTAGTGATCCTGGCTATCACAGCGACGACTCCCCCAGCGATGCCGAGACGGAGGTCGGAACGCAACCACAGCACATGCGGCGGGATTCTGACAGTGGCGTTGGCCTTCTCACGCCGCCTAAGAGTCCCCATAATGTGTCTGCGGAGGGCACCAAGAGCTACGCCAAGACTCTAAGGCTCACTGACGAGCAGCTGAAGTCCCTCGACCTGAAGCCCGGCGAGAACTCGATGTCCTTTACGGTGAACCGAGCAACTTGCCAGGCTTTCATCTATTATTGGCGGCATGATGTCCCCATCGTCATTTCGGACATTGATGGGACTATCACAAAGTATGTGTTTGTGAAACATTCGGTGACGTCAGAAGCTGACAACTGCGTAGGTCAGATGCATTGGGTCATGTGTTGAACATGATCGGTCGCGATTGGACCCATCTCGGAGTCGCAAAGCTCTATACCGACATTGCTACGAACGGATACAATCTGCTGTATCTGACTTCGCGCTCCGTCGGGCAGGCGGATACTACCCGAGCGTACCTAAATGGTGTCGTCCAAGAAGGTTACAAACTACCTCGGGGACCTGTTATCATGAGCCCTGATCGAACAATGGCTGCGCTTCGCCGCGAAATCTACCTTCGGAAGCCGGAGGTCTTCAAGATGGCATGCCTGCGCGACATCATGAATCTTTTCACCAAGCCCCCGGGCCAAACCCCTTTCTATGCCGGTTTCGGCAACCGGTTCACGGACGCCCTCAGCTACCGCTCCGTCAATATCCCGTCAACCCGCATCTTCACGATCAACTCGAACGCCGAAGTGTCGCTTGATTTGTTGTCTCTTAACAAGTACAAGACCGGTTACCAGAGTATGCGCGAGATTGTTGATCATTACTTTCCTCCTGTTGGCCTGCTGGTGCAGAACGGAGGCGAGGAATTTACGGATTTCAACTACTGGCGTGAAAGGCCACTCGATCTGGATGAGTTTTCAGCTAGCGAAAGTAGTGACAGCTCAAGCAGCGAAGACGAAGACGAAGACCGGAGGAGCTTGCACAGTGAGGATGAGGCGGAGATCGAAGGAGAGCTCGGCGACAGCTACTTATCGCGGGATTCCATTGACGAGACAGGCCAGATGGAAGATTCTATGATGGAAGACTCCATGATGGCTAGCTCCATCGCCGAGAGTGCCGAGGGTGATGGTGTGGAAGACGAGGAGGAAGAGTATGAAGATGAAGAGGAGGAGTACGAAGCGGAGGATGAAATCGGTGAAGAGGAGGCGCTGGAACTGGACAGGCAACTCGATGCGCTTGACCTCGACTCGGATTCACCTCCGTCCCCGACTATAACGAAGGCTCAACCCTTCGTGCCTGGCTCGCCTGCGCGTTCGGAAAAGACCTTAGAGCCCAGCTCTCCCAAGATGTAGATGACCGTACGTACGGCGTTTTCTTTTCAGTCATCGCTTGACTTTGGACATTGGTAGGTGCATAAGATATGGCGCAGACAGCGTGGGTGTCTTTGGATTTCTTTATGGGCAATACTGGGCATTGCGAGGGCGCTTGTCATTCTGGAGTTGTTCGATCATTGTAATTACTCCGCTTCTGTTTCTAGCTTCACTGTGCATATTTGTCTATTTTTGAGCAACTCTGTGCCTATTCACTGGTTTAGTAAGACGGCTTGAGTGGAAGGACAAAAGTACAGTTTTATGTTCGTCGTGGGAGCGGAGCGCTTGCTTAAGTGAAGTATACCCAAGACTATATTTGTTACGAACCCTAAGGGACAAGGGCTTTACGACTGTCAGGGAGCCGGCAAGGTGCGCTGAACGACTACACTCGCTTGCAGTAGATAGGACCCTCGTGGTCAACTTGTCAATTGATTCTAACACCTATATTGTGTATCCCGAACCTCTCCCCGAAAGCCCGAGCTCTGCTTACCTAACGATACGCCCAAACTCCCCCAGAAAGAGTAGCTGGCGTAACAGGTAGCCGATCACTTAGAAGCATCCGAAAGTTTAACCATAAGCGGTTCCTTCTCCCACAACTGGAATACCTTTTGGTCGAACCAATCAACATTCTCATCGACCAGCTCCATGTCAAACTTGAAAAATATGCGCGCAAGAATACAGCGCATCTCGGCATAGGCAAGGCTGTACGATGAGAAGGCAGTTAGTCCAGATGTAGTCAACAAATCCGGGGGAACTTCAAGCATTAACAACACTTACTTCTTACCCATGCAATTCCTCGGTCCATTTGAGAAGGGCATGAAGACAGATTTCTTATCACTCCCGTATTTTGGATCATCAAGCCATCTCTCCGGGATAAACTGGTCTGGGTTCGTAAAGTTTCGTGTATCGTGATAGGCAGCGTATTGGGAAACATAGACAGAGGTCTTGGTGGATGTTAGCAAGGTGAAAGTGCCGGTCTATGAGGAGGTTCGGAAGGCTATTAGAACTTACATTCTCAGGCAAATAGTAGCCACTGACAGTTTCGCCATTTTTGGGAACCCTACGGGCAAAGCCGGTAGGAACAGGAGGGTACATACGCAGGCCCTCATGTATGACGGCTTGCAGGTAGGGAAGGTGGCTTGCACTCTCAAAGGTTATCTCCTCCTCGCTATGGAAGACTGTACGAATCTCATAGCAGAGCTTCTTCATTGCTTCCGGGTGCTTGAGAAGGGCGAAAGTTGTCCCTGACATCATCGTAGCAGTCGTCTCGCTTCCAGCTATGAGAAAAAGAACCGAATTGGACTTCAGTTCCTCTTCGGTGAGTCCTCCCTTTTCTTCGGTCTGGTTCATAACCGCTGTAATGAAATCTGGGCGCTGCATTTCCATGGCGAGGCGTTTGTCGACCTTTCCAGCAACAAAGTTGTGGAATAGGATATGGACTGGTGTTGATATCTTGCTAAGCAGAGCCAAAAATACAGAAGCTATCTTGTTGATAGTCCTGTAGTAGTTGATTGCTTGTAAGATGTTGACCACCCTAAGAGCCCCCAGGATTGCAGGGATAAAGTCATGGTAGTCGTCGCTGTCTAGGCAGCCGAAAGACTCACCAAAAGTAAGATCGGCAATGATGTCGAAGGTGGTATAGTTGAAGTACCGAACCAAGTCGACGGGAGTGTTCCTCTTTTCCAAGAGACGTGCCATAAGCTTATCGATGTATCCCCGGATTAGAGATTCCTGGTTTCTCAAAGCCTTGTCCGAAAAGCCTTGCGAGAAGACGCGCCGAATTCTTGAGTGGTCCTCGCGAGTCGATGACAAAAGACTTCGTACGCCATTGGGCTGTGTTGGATACCACAGGGGATCCTTTCCAAACTCGGGCCTTTTCGCTCCACGAAAGCCGTATATGTCCGACCATGCAGTGTCTGCAGAGATGAATGATAGTTCGTCAGGGGCAATCCGAACCACCTCGCCATACTTTTTGTGCGCCTCGGCGACGGTCTTGTTGATGGTCCCACGGCACAAGCCGACTGCGTAGGGTAGTCGGCTAGAAGCGTACAATCTAGGTCCAGGGAAGTGGCGAAGAGGGTGTAGGTAGAGGTTGTAGAACGCGTGCCCGAAAGAAGCCATAATTGCCTATATTCGTAAGTCGAGAATGACTTTTAAATTTCTAAAGCAATACTTGCAGTTATTAGCATAGCTCCTAAAAAGGAGCTTCCGCACTCTGGTAAATGCTGTAAGAATGTTGGAAGAGACATTTGGATGGAGGCCGTAGAGGTATCCGAGAAAAGATTATGCACAAGACTCGTCTTACAACTTGCAGTCTATAGCGTAGAGGATAGAAAGCTATATATTTGTTGTTGTTCATCGTGGCAACTAATTATGGTCCATGTATTCCAATGAAGCAACCGTTGCTATCCAGCATTTTCCGGTCGTAAGCGGACTCTCTTATGTCTCAAGCATCTTCCCATAGGTCGGATCTGCACACAATAAGCCTGAGCAAGCTGGTAGGTGAGAATACTACTCTCAGGGATCAATGGGTTGAGCCCAGCCAATAGCGAGCAGTTCCGCGGGGAACGGTCGGACATCGGCAAAAATTTGGCCGACTGGATTTGAGATTTTGGGGCTCATGTTCAAACCGATCATTGACGCGCCCTCCGCTGCAACTACTCCGGCGCACAACTATTCTCACGCCCACATCACTCGGTCTTCGTTGGTACCGCTCGCCCGCCATGTCGTCCATGCGTAATGCCGTCCAACGGCGCGTAAGTTCACCCACAAAATACCGCTTCTGCTGTTTGTAACTAATGTTGACTTTTTTATGTACAGAACCACAAGGAGCGCGCGCAACCGCTCGAGCGACAGAAATGGGGACTGCTGGAGAAGCACAAGGATTACTCTCTGCGCGCGCGAGACCACAATGAGAAGCGCAAGCGGCTCAAGATCCTGCGCGAGAAGGCGAACGATCGCAACCCGGACGAATTCTCATTCGGCATGATGTCGAGCAGTGTCGACCGGCGCACCGGCACGAAGATCGGCGACCGTGGCAACTCGGCCCTTAGCGAAGACGTCGTCAAGCTGCTCAAGACGCAGGACGCCGGCTACATTCGGACGATGCTGTCGAAGGTGCGGAAGGAGAGAGCGAAGGTCGAGGAGGGTTTCATGCTGGATGATGAGGAGGGTGAGATCGAGGCGTTGAAGAGCAAGAGGACGGGGAAGGGGAAGCATACGGTGTTCGTTGGTGATAAGGAGGAGCAGAAGACCTTTGACGCGGAGGAGTGGTTTGGCGTGGAGGATGAGATGGACCTAGAGAAGACGTGGAATCGGCCGAGAAAACAGACAAAGAAGCAAGCGGGCGGCGAGGATCTTGATGAAGTTGAAGGTCAACAGGAGAATGACAACAAGTTGGACGAACGGGAGCAACGAGCATGGGAAAAGAGGCGGGAGAAGGCGCAACAAGCACAGCGTCTGAAGGTAGAGGCGTTGAAGAGGAAGGAGAAGGACCTCATGGCCGCGGAGAAGGAGCTCGAAGAGCAAAGAGCCCGGATGAGCCACAATGCTGGCGGCGTCAACAAGAACGGCGTCAAATTCAAGGTCCGGGAACGCAAGCGCTGAGCGACGGCATCGATCCAACATGAACTTTTGCTATGTACGGCGCCAAATCGACTCGACGGCTTACAGCTTACTCGGCATTCTCATTGCACCATCCAACCTTATAACCTCCCCGTTCAACATACTGTTCTCTATCGCATCCTTTACCGTCCTCGCAAATTCCTCGGGCTTACCCGGCCTCTTCGGGAACTCCATGACGCGCTCCAAGCTTTTCCGCACTTTATCACTCAACATTGCGGTCATGTTGCTCTCAAACAGGCTGGGCGCAAGCGTTACAACCCTGATACCAAAGCGCGAAAGATCGCGCGCCATGGGCAGCGTCATGCTGCGTACGGCACCCTTGGATGCGGCATACGCAATCTGTCCCATCTGGCCATCAAAGGCTGCGGAGGAGGATACCATTATGATGACGCCGCGCTCACCATCCGGGCCGTATGGCTCATTTTGCGTCAGGTACGGCAGGACTTGACGGATCAGGTCCACGGTGCCCCGCAGGTTTATCGAGATGACGGTATCGAAGGAGCTGAGGGGGAGGGGCTCGTTCTTTTGATCGATTATCTAGACGGAGGAGAAAAAGAACAGTTAATTCAGAGCTCATGATTATGCGCATCTGCAACGCAATCTCCCGCCAGTGACGGTGAACCGCAAGACGACTTACTAAACCAGGAAATCCAACACCTGCACCTGCCAGCACTCCGCCCAGCGGCACGCCCTTCTTTTTCGCAAACTCCACGCTGCCCTTCACAGCCGCTGCCACGCTCTCCGTGTCCGTGACGTCGGTCTCGAAAAAGCAGGCCCGCTCGTTTCCTAGCTCCTTGACCACTTCCTCGCCCGAGTTGCTGTTCATGTCCAGGATAGAGAGGTAAGCGCCTTGGCTATGCAGGAGCTTGACGGTTGCGAGACCGAGCCCGCTAGCACCGCCGGAGACGATGAAGAGGCGGTTTGGGATTTGCATTGCTGTAGCGGGAGAACGTGACTATGGAGGAAGAAAGATCGATAGATAGTGCTTGAAGTACAATAGATGCGTATGGTGAGAAATCCAGGCTCGCAATTGAAGATGTTGTATTTCGTAATTGCTGGAGTTGGGCGAGAGGAGGGATTCAGGTGTCAGATCAGCGAGCACCTCTTCTCTAAAAGCACTGAAACGAACCTCGGCTCGTAGCAGCGCAAGGGTACCTGTGAAGTCCCCCCCAAACTGCCGCTTCTCACCGCCTTTCACCGCAGTTCGCTAGCCGCCCGCGTCGCGGGTCCCTTCCGCAGATCGGGGGCCCGGCGAAGGGACCCAGTCTCGAACCACCATCAGACCCAGCTCTCGCGCGAGCTCGTCTCATCGGCGCGTTGCGCAACAGCAATTCCCCCTCCCCACCGCCCCTGTTTCGTGACCTCCTTCGGCCAACCACTCCACCCCTCTTCAATTGCTCACCCAGAGGGCAATTTCTCAACCACGAAGCCCGCCCGGCTCTCGCGCAAAACCCGAAAAAGTCCGCCGGGAAGCTTTGCTGGAACGATTCGATCGATACGCCCCGCCTTCCTTCTCTCTTGCCTCATTCGCGAGCCGCACGCCAGCAATCCGACTTACTCGGCCTCTTGGACCTTTCTCTCTTCCTCCCCCCAACGTTAGGCGTACGCGTCTCCGACCGTATCTCGCTCCCAATTGAACTCTATTCTCCTCCCCCCACCACCAGCTCTACCAATGGCAACAACACCCTCTTCAGCAACAGGCGCCGCAAAGGCAGCAACGGTGGCGTTCGATAAGGATGCGGTACCGCGCGACCCGGTGCCGCGTAACCCGGTGCCGCTCTCGGCGGGGCAGGAGCAGCAGGTGCGCGACCTGTACCACAAGCGGGTGAGGCAAAAGTGCGCGGACGAGGTTAAAGGTAAGACAGACAACAAGGCTGGCTTGGCGAGACAACGTGAGACTGTTCATCGCGTTCTTTCCGTTTTTCTTGATTCTTCTTGGTCGTACGGGGAGAGAGGCTTCGGGGCTTTCATTGAGGGGAATTGGTGGGGCGGCGCGAAGGGTTGGAGGGTGGAAGAAAAAGCGGAAAGGAGGGCTATGGGGCACGAGTGCTGGACTTTTCAGTACTGAAGTGCATTCTTTGGCCTTTCTTCTCTTTTGCTCTTCCATATTTGGGGAGCAGATTGCTGCTTTGAGAGACTGCTGCCTGCCGTTTCCTCTCACCGTTCTTTTTGCTTTTTTTCTCTGGTCTTTTTCGTCTTTGTGGCCCGAACTGAAGGAGATTAAGGAGCCGTAAGCTGACAAGATTCCCTTTAGAATTCGCCTCATGCGCCCTCAACCGCACCATCAGCGCAACGTGGGCATGTCGGCAGCAACGATTGGCCATGAACAACTGCATGGTGGCGCATGCGACGCAGGAAGAGCAGGACCGCGCGAGAGAAGAGTGGTTCGCGACGAGGGAGCTGCGCAAGCGGGAGAGGGAGGAAAAGGAGAGGAAGCGCATCGAGCAGGAGAAGTTCCACCGCGAGTGGTGGGGCTTGGACGATGAAGGAAAGAGGAAGTTCGAGAAGAAGTGAGAGGAGGTTCTGGAGTTTGATCAATATGGCATATTGTGCGATGTGGAGCGCCTGCCACGAAACGCGGCAGTGCTTCACTGGATCAATGCATCACGCAAGGCGTTCGACCGGGTCAGGATGAATGAAAAAAGAACATGGCGTTTAGACACTTGTATGGTCTTGACTGCCGCCACAGATGAAAAATGTGGTCTGTATAAATGATTATCGTGCAGCAGAAGCGCTGCACGAATGTATGACATGTTTGTAGCCTGAGGGGATGATGAAATTTGAATAACCCGACTCTGCTGTTGATCGTTCCTTCAATCGTACAAGTTTTCCTAGGCGTGTCCCTCCGCAACGCATGAATTGAACTTCAGCTCGGCTTTGCCAGCTGAGATATGAAAACGCCCGACGCCTGACGCTGTTGCCGCCCGCTGCTTGCTAATTTGAAGCCGTTTTCGTTCGGGACGCTTTGCCGACTGGGCAATTGCTCCTTGGCGGAACCGTGTGAGAATCTCGCCTTTAGGAATGTCCATCATTCACACTTCGGTCTGGTCACCGAGTGCTAGCATTTCCTTCGCCGCCAATTGTTGTGCTCATGGTCTCAAGCGTCGGCCATCTCCCGGTCCTCTCCGACGCCCATGACGTCTTCGAACTCGTCTTCGTCTTCGTCCATGCCCTCTTCCTGAACGCCTTCCATGCGGTCATCGCCATTGATGCCGTCCTTGCCTTGCTCGTCTCCATCATCCTCGACGTCGCTATCCCACTCCTCCTTCAGCCCCCATCCTGCTCCAGTGAAGCAATACCTCTCCGGCGGCAGCCTGACGCCATATTCCCTCTCCGGCCGAGGCAAGCTCACCCTGTTCTTCTCCTGCGCGAGCTCGAGCAGGAACTCCTTAGGCAGCACCGGATTGAACTGGTAGTTCAGCCTGCTCGCAATCGCCGACCTAATCGCCGCCAAACTGACATTGTTCTCGTCGCCCCCTGCGCCACCGGCGCCGCCGGCCGCGCGCTGAGGGTTCCCCGGCGCGCCACCCTTGCCGCCCGTCGCGGCCGTCGTCGTCTCAGCCGAAATAGCGACGGCGTCGGACAGCACGCCGGCGGTGTAGCGGTAGGCGAAGTCCATGAGCTGCAGCGGCACGCGCTCCTGGTACGCCGACACGCCCAGGTGGGCCAGCACCATGTGCAGCAGGCGCGCGTCGCGCGGCCGCTTGGTGAGGCCGCTGTCGTTTAGCGACGTGTTGGGCTGGACGGTGGGTGCTGCGGATGATGATGCTGATTGCTGCTGCGCGGGCGCGGTTACGGTCGTCGAGGTCGCGTCGCCGCCGCCCGTCGCGCCGGGCGTCGTGCCTGCGGGGGCTGCGGCATTGGCGGCGGAGCTGCTGGGAGGCGTGCTGGTGGTCGCGTTGCCCGGTTGGCTGGGCCCGCCGGTGGGCGTCGCGATGCCGTTGGGCGCGTCGCCGGTCGCGGGCGAGGCCATGGGATTTGTGGTCGTGGGTCGCGGCGGGGAGGTTTGCGGTTTGCGAGCGAAAGTCGTGGATGGGTTGGCAGCTCTCTGGAGGTGGTGAGTTGCGCGCGCAACCAGCACGCGCGGTAGGTAATGGGCCGAGAGGTCGGCGGACGCGATCTGGACCGACGTTGCTCCGCTTCCGACTGCCGAGTGGTCCGTGCGTCCATCGGCGCCGGCCCGGCTTGGAAAAAATTGAGGACTACCACCGTGCATGTGGAGTTCGATATCAGTGCAACGCATTAGTCGTTCGTTTAGCCGCTTTACAGATTTTTTCTTTGTGCAATCCTGCACCGCATTGAGTTCACGAATGCAGCATGCACTTGCATAGTCCGCACAAACATTCATCCCCTGCATGCCGACTGTACAAGCAATGTACCGCTCCACACACGAACTAATACTTTGCTAACAGTGCTAATTAGTTCCAATTGACTCAATTGACGTTCCTTCTTGTGTTTTCCACCATAGCAGCAAAAGAAAACTCTTCAACACCACCCCAAACCGCCACCCTTCCTCAACAACTCCCGGGCCCATTTCTCGACCTATACACACGCAAAAAAGAAGGTATAACCCTGGATTCTAACCAGAACTACTGGATCCGCCGGGAATCGAACCCGGGACCACTCCCATGCTAAGGGAGTATTATACCACTAAACCACAGACCCGATGCGGCTGCTGCTTTTGCTGCTGCTTGATGAAAGAGCATGCTGCTGGACAGCATTATGACTGACAATGGACTGAGAACCGTCTAGCACTGGACCGAATTGAACCGGGAGTAATGGCTTTGGGTGAACCGGGACGTCTGACAATGTTGCTCACAGTTTCGTTGCCGGATCGCCGGCCTCGGATGTGAGCACCCACACATCTCGTACGAAGGCCTTGGCGCCACCAATGACTTTCTTGCTCCATTCCGTGTTGACGACCAGCTTGATCTGCTCGGGTGGGATTTCCGGGGTGTCGTATTCGTGCAGGGCTAGGTAGCGGGGCACCTCGACGCCCAGCTTCGCCTTGGTGGCCTCGGCCGTAGGTGCCGAACTAAGCTTGTAACGCGTAGAGCGGCGGTAGCCGGCGACGGTGCTCAGCATGTCGAGGTGCTGCAGGCGGTACCATGCGTCGAAGTCGCGCTCGGCGTCATCGCCGGCAGCCGGGTCCATGGCGACGGCGATGATGCAGCGCCCAACACGGCGGCCGTCGTCCTTGGGGATTTGGCCTTCGAACGTCTGGATCTTCTCGTAGTTCCGCAGGTCGAAGTCAACGAGCTCGAAGTGGGAGCGGCCCTCGGGCAGCTCGTTGTGGGTGAACTTGGCAGTCTTGAGGTCGTCTGAGTCAACCCAGGGCAGGTCTGGCAAGACATAGAGACAGAGGTAGGAGAACGGGCGAGAAGAGTCGGCATTCTTGAAGCGGAAAGCGGCAGGGGGCCCGTTGCGAAGGGCGAGCATCTCTGGGACGTGGGATTCGTCGTACCACTTGTCGAAGGTAGCCTCGTCAAGGACTGGGTCTTTGATTGTTGCCCCAATGTAGAGAAGCCCGGGAATCGGCATCTTGGATGGTCTGTAGGTAGTGTGAGAGGTACTGATGGTAGGTTAGCTGATGGAGCTGCTAGGAGAGCACGATTAACAGTAGATATTTATAATCCCCGCGACGGGTATGTATGCAGAGAGCGGGGTTGACACGGCCATTGACCGGAAGGCCTGGTCCGACGGTGCATGTAAGCTGCGTTTCCGACCACCCCGGTTGCAGGGAGTTATGGCCAAAGTTACAGTGGTATCTTCATCAACAGAGAGTCTGAGCCAAACAGCGCTATGCTCCAGACATGGGAATGTACGTAGAAGTGGGATTGCGGAGTCGATGCGGAGATGACGCACCTCCGCGGGCCGGCTCCAAGATGCTGACTCGTTCGGGTGCCCGCCCGGCTAAGATAGGACTACCGTAGTTGTTCTCTTATAAGCTGTATTAGATCCGGGACGCCTGCGAAAACAGTATCGATGATTGCATTCACATCCTTTAGATATCTGTATGCTTCCAAGCTGCGCTCTTGCTACCGTGATAGCATAATGCGGTTATCAGCGCGTTGCCGGCCGGAAGCCATTGGCCAGGACTATTTTGGTCCCTGACTCGCGCGACTCGGCCAAAATTTCCAGTGAACATTTCCCCATCACCACCTCCGCGCGCCCACAACCATACCTTTCGCACCCGTTTCCCCGCGCCCTCCCCTCCCTCGCTTTCATGGACGCCTCCGCCCTCCTCACCAAGCAGGGCTGGCGCGGCACTGGTCACGGTCTCGGAAGCACCGGCCACGGCATTGCAAGACCGCTGCTCATCTCCAACAAGCAGGATGCGCTCGGCGTCGGCAAGAAGAAGCTCCAGGTGGCGGACCAGTGGTGGATGCGCGCATATGACGCGGGTCTGAAGGAGCTGGGCACAGGCAAGCAGGTACGCGCTAGCCCTGAATCCCTTCGCTCTTGTAAGGCGTTGAGACCGGCTCGCTGAAACTGACAAAAACGGCGCCTAGACCGCGCTCTCGTCGGTCAGACAAAATGGCATGAATAGAGGCGGCCTATATGGCTTCTTTGTGAGAGGTGAGGGCCTGGCAGGCACCATCTCGGATACCTCCAGCAGTACGTCGTCGCCGTCGGACAGCTCTACGCCCGCGACCACGCCAGAAGCCGAATCGACGCCTGAGCCGAAGAACTCCGAGAAGAAGCGCAAGCGAGCTGAGGGAGACGACGGGAAGCGGAAGAAGAGGAAAGAGGGCAGCGTCACACAAAGCAAGGAGAAGTCGAAAAAGGGCCGCCGTTCGAAACAGGGCTCTGCTGATGAGGCGGCACCTGATGCTGCCACTGAAGATCCTAAACTACTGCGTCGTGCCGCAAAGAAGGCGCTAAGGCAACAGAGGGCTCTGAGGGACGCCGCGAGCAACCAGGTTAGCGAGGACGAGAAAAAGAACGAGGGGTCGGAGACTCCCGCAAGCGAAACAACCAAAGCCAGCAAAGGAAAGGACAAGCGAAAAAGAGAAGGCAAGGGTACAGACTCCCAAAGGGAGGCTGAGAAGAAACTGAAGAAGTATGCCGCGAAGGCTGCCGAGAAGGGGATGACGGTCGAAGCATATCTCGCAAAAAAGGAACGCAAGAAGGAAAAGGCCAAAAAATGAGTTTGGATATACGGGCACGACATGCGTGCGTCCCATGTTCTTTCCTGGAGGCTTGCACGTCCAGCTCCTCAACGCTACGTATTGACGTTGGCGACCCGCACCAGAATGACTGGTTCTAGCCTGGTCTATTACACCTGCTACATTTCACAACGGATACCAGACAAAACTGCCGAACCGTGCCGCGAGGACCCGTAAAGGAACGGAGCGGCACGCTGCAGGAGTGGAGCGGAAACATTCACTGGATAGTGGATGATGGCCCAGGTTTACTCCGGCCGAGAAGGCCTGCAGAAGAGCAGTGTACCTGGAAAAATGTGATAGATCGCTCGGCCAAAAGGAGCCTTATTTCATCATCCTCTTTGTATTTACCGTTGGTGCCACCATGTCGATGTGAGGCAACAAAGTTACACAGGGTATCTTCAGCGAGCCCAAAAAATTTTCTCGTAGCACTGCCTCTTCCCTACTAGACACGTACTGTGAACCACCGGCCTTTCCAAATCTCCCGTGACACGGGTTTGAGTTGTATTCTTTTTCTTCGGCACCATACGCTCTCCACCTGCCGTATGTAGAAGGAGGCCTCAACACTGCGCTGACCAACGGGACCTTGTTCCTTACTTTTTTCTGCCGTTTGAGATTCAGCCTTGTCTCACTTTCCTTGCCTTTCTTGGGCTTCAAGGGATAATTGTGGTAGCCTTTTTTAGCAAGCTGCCGCTGCTGCTCTTTGCCGCCCAGGCTTCCTGTGAGAAAGACGCGATCGAGAAAGGAGGGTACAATCGTCCCGTCTTACCTTCGGACACGTCACTCGTTGTAAAACAAGACTCATGTTCCTCAATTGTTTACGCATTTCCTTCGCCGTACATATGCCTACCTCCCGCACCCCCACTGGTCCTTTCCAGCCACCACCCCCCGCACTCCTACTTTTCACTTCTACTTTTCGATTCTTGCCGACCTCATTTCATATATTCCTTGCTCCATAGATTGTTGCCCTTCGCATTACTCCTTCAACCAACTTGTCGCCGCCGTGACAACCGCCTCCATTCCATAACAGTCCCCAAAATTTGCCGACTTCCTCCTCAACAACCTAAATTCAGCTTCTACCTGCCGGTTCAGCAGATACAAGAGAGAAAGGAAGAGCTGAAAGGACGAAGAACAACAATTGGAACCATGTGCCACTACGTCATCTATCAATTTTTCTGTGGCTGTCAATACCGCTTGTTCGCCCGCCGCTGTGCCGACCCGTCCTGTCGCAAGCCGACCTCGTACGCAAAGAAGACGATCGCACTGGTCTGCGATTGCCCTGGCCACGGCGGTCCGCCCACACCGCATCATTATGAGCGCATGGAAAGCCCAGTGCTGAGGATGGGCGTCTGCGACAAGTTGGTGTGAAGAAGAAGAAAAAATTAGATGGTGATAATTAACCCCTTCTCGTGTCACCTGTGATGCATCCATTAATTCAGCGCTGTAGGGCGAAAGATCGTTCTCCTTACATTTCCTTCCGTCTTGGCTTAGAGTAAGAAAACGAAAGACATGAAGGTGGTTTCTTGTTTTTTTGGTTTCGAGGTTCGGATCGGGCTGTGCTTCGAGGGCCTTTTTTCCTTTTGCTCTTTCGGACGTTGGGCGCCGAGTCGTCTTTTCTTGCCCGCCAGGTGCGTGGTGTTCGTGCATCTTTGTTTTTTTCTTTCAGGGCGGGCTTCGTCACGTCACTTCCCCCGCCGCCATCATACGATCCTTGCTCGTGGAAGCACTGATGCCCATGGGGGAGCTGAGACGCACGTCCCCACGTGGATGCATGTGATATCGCGTCACTTCTCTGCAAGCATGCCTGATCATGACGGGCACCGCTCAGTTTCTCCGCTAAGAGCACGGTTGCAAAGGCATTTCGGGAAAAGCAGTCTTTCCACAAAAGTTGAGCAGGAAATCCTTTCAGGGGAGCTGAGGAACATGTGTACCTATTTTTAGTCGTAGACGCACCTAGACTTTGCATTCTCTCCAATCATTAGAGAATCAACAAGTAGCAGCAGGCGCTCTCTGCAGGTAAGAGCATACAGCCTTCCACTGTGCAACATTATACGTGGTCCTCGACTTCTTCCCGCAAAGGTGTCAGCGGTTCCTACACAGATCTTGCTGAGTTGTCCGTGGAGAAATAGTGGATATAAACCCCACAGATGGGCTTCAACTTACCGCCTTTGCATTTTAACATAAAATTCCCGCCAGTAAAGTGAAAACGGAACATGTCAATGTAAGCCATGTGTGAATACGCCTTCTATAGGTTCTACTGCGGGCACCTCTATCGGAAGAGATTGGTGTGTTGCTCCAGGGCGCGAGAGCGCGTTGTGCCGGAATTGGGCTGCGGTCGAATTACAAGAATCTGCGGCAGGCCGATGCGCTGCAGAAAGTTGTGCCCACAATGCGGAGGCTCGTACTGGATACAGGGATTGGAGAAGGTATGGTAGATGCGTTTGTTTTCCTTGGTGGCTTTCAAACCTCCTGTTGCCGCGTGGTTATCAGCCGGTGGTTAAGTGACTCTCATTGTCAACCAATTTCATATTACTGCGGGTCATTGCTAATCAGCCTCAGAGACTTGAAAAGAGCAAGATTCGATCTTTCTCAGAGTTCATTGCATCACACCTGTGTGGCGGCTCGGAGCTCGGTATCAGGAATCGTGATATTTGGGGTAAGCGCCCCCTTCTCTTGCCATGTCAGTTGTAGCTGAAGCCTCCAAGTCCCCATAGGTCATCCTGTCCACAATGACCAGATGGCGGAGCCAGTAGATTTACTCCAGCTGATGCATATGGGGGGCATGATGGAGGGCGAAAGTGGGAGCGGGAGTGGTAGAAGCGGAAGCGGTGGCAGCACAAGGAGCACATCTGACACATCAGCACACACGTCGCTGGAAACACACACAGGAGGCACACCGATACTTACTGCAGCACACTGAATAGAGTTGAAAGATGGTTTTCAGGCAGACACTGTGCAACAAAGAATTTCATGTATAGTGCTGACGTAGCAAACGAGCCACGGAACTGTTCGGCTGCTTGCATGAAACGCTACCTGCCCCACGCAGGCAACCGAAGCAACAACAAAGACTCAAAGGCCACAGTGTCCGCAAAGATGACCAAATACGTTTCATTACTTTGACTTAACTTCCTTATGTAAGTTCTGTGGTTTCTAACAACCAAGATTGGAAAGTGAAGGGCAATGTCTCGAGCATCGAGTCTCAAAACGATATATGGGGCAATTTAGTCTCGAACAAGTCTACTTGATCGAATGTATCCAGCTAACAGTCTATGAAAGGCTTTTATCAAAACAATTGCAAGAGATACAGTCATACAAAGGGCATCGGCACCATGACCGAAGTCCTATTGAAAGGAACTCTTCATCGATCAGTGTATATATTGAGTACGACTTTCGACCCTCAACTCTGAACTTCGGCAACACAACAATCTCTAGAGAAACATTCACAGCGCTTGCTCAGCCATCACGAACATCACTTCTAGAGAAGATACAACGTCGGACATTCAAATACAATGTGCTACTTCTGGAAGACTACCTTCAAGTGCGGCCACATCTACCGCGGTCAGATCTACGAGAAAGGCAAAGATGCGGCCTCATCCTGGTGCCAGGAGAATATTAAGGAGAAGAAGATTGAGGGATGCGATAAGCCTGAAGCGTTCGGGGAGAGAGAGAATGACAGGGAGTGTCCGGGTTGCTTGGCTGCTCAAAACAACACCAAAACCATATCCACCGAATTTCCAAGAAAGTGGTGATATTGGAGCTTTACTATCCTTTCCCTTCAGTTTCTACGATCCCGGGATATCAAGTTGTTGAATTTGACAATTGTGCATTTGGCTTGGAGTCTACTGGTGGGTGGTCTGGGCCCTTCATTTACGACTTGATATGGATGATTCAGAGGGTATCTACGACATTCTTATCTGCTGTTTGCTTTTGCTAGTTGCTGACTACTCATCTGGGAGTATATATTATCTACTGCGGCAGCAATTAATTCTATGGATCACCCTTTGCACTTCCTTAAGCTGCTAAATCAGAGTGATGGCATTTATGAGACATCAACCTGCGCAAACAATACCGAAAGCCATCACTTAATTTCATTTTCCCAGACTACATCTACGTAACTGAATCCGCATCCAAACCATCAAAGTCACGAACTGCGCCAGCGCATGTCTCACATAAACTTTGGTGCCCAAACGCCCGCATAAGAAAACAAAAACCTGTCCGCCATACACCAACGCAAACCCAACCGTTTGAGTACAGCAAGATCAGCAAATTTATTTGAGGGTTACAAAATGTGCCACTACCATGATACACTGTATGCATGCGGCTGCAACAGCCAAGTTCTCACCCGCAGATGTTCACATTCTGCTATGCGACCTTCTTCGCAACCCTGCCCGCGCGCCCGTGTGGTTGCCTTGGGCTTCTCGAACGAAGACTGCGAGGCGTGTCACAATAGACACTCAGGTGAAGGCGCAGGAATTGCAGCTGATACCAAAGATCTGAAAAGGAAACGTGAGGAGGATGACGATGGAGAAGGAATTCGGGATCAGGGATTGTGGTAGGTTGCGGTTATTTTTTTAAGCAAGTAGGGCATGCCCTCTTCACTTTTTTCTTCTCCTTTCGCTCACTGATCTTGCTAATTATGCGCTGGGCAATGATTAGGGGTATGGCATGGGACATTTTGAAGACAATGTCATTGTCGAGGTATGACCGGGTTTGGCATGGCATATCCAATCCGGGGTGGGTGGGGAATTTTTGATGTAATGAAGGTTTCTTCAGGAGGCTGGTTTTAATGGATCAATCAGTAAATTCAAAGTGCGTAATGCTTGGGTGTTTTTCGATTGTCCGGTGATGAAGTTCATTGCGTTTGCTGCGTGTATTCATTTAAGGCAAGCTGGTATAATCTATCAGCTGAGGCTTACAAGACTTTTAACGTGTTATCTGGTAGTTCGTGCTGTTCTCAACAAGGTCGCATCGTCTGTATTTATCTTCGCAGCCATGTAGGTGCTTTCTCCATACCAGTATTAACTCATGCCCCTACCAATGTGAATATTCTGCTGACTCAAAACGCCAGAAATATAATATACTTGCAGACATGAGGAAGGCTACGTGTATCCAAGTTGGCAGTTGATGTTACTCATTCGTGTGGTTAGCAGTGACTGTTCATTAGAGGGCCCAATAATAGTACACGCACTCAACACCTATTTTTCCATTTAACACTAAAGGCTGCCTGCATGCGCTCACAGTTACTGCCAATGTATAGTATAAATTCTCTCCATATCTAGTGCTAATATTTCCCTTCTTCTACTAAACCACCACAATTCTTATACTCCAGGAAACACAGAGTACGACAGTAAACCACTCTACAAGCGATTCCACTGCTTAAGCTGACATATCAAAGCTTTGAAAGAATACAAGCCAATAATTAACGCCAAGTAAGGTTTACACCATCTACACAACATGTCTGGACCACGTCCTCCGGATTCTCCTCCCCTGAATCCACCACCACCACCCAGGCCGCCGCCTTCACCTCCGCCCACACCTCCTCCAACTAGGACACTACAATCTCTGCAATAGAGCTGAACAGAAAAATGTATTTTTGAGACCAAGGATGAAGGGTAGTTTTCCTATGACCGACCCTTAATGAGGGAGTTACGGGGCCCATCATATGCTGTAGGCCCAGTTCAGGGAGCAAGGCAGATGGAGATAGTGTAGCTCCCAGTCAAATCATATTCTAAAAGCCTCTTTCCGTGTCTCTACCGACGCATTTGTGCCCGCGTCTCCCACTCAACAGCGCCATGCCATTCCGAGTCCACTGCTACTTTCTCGACCCTCACCCCCCTCAGCCCCATCCACCCTCCTCCGCACCTCTCCCTCTCCCTCAACCCCTCACTCCTTCAACTTGCCCGCCCTCCCACTCAAGATCCACGGGCGCCTCAGCCAAAAGTCGTCCTTGATGATGTCGACGTGCTCAACCGCGATCTTCGCCTTGGCGCGGCGCTTCCTCTCCTTCTCGGCGGCCGTCTTGCTCAGCGGCTGCGCCGCCGTCGACGACGGCTGCGCATTGTCCAACGACGCCGTGGCGGTGGGGTCGTCGTCCAGATGATGATCGGCGGACGCCGCCGCCGCCTGATCCTGCTTCTTTGTCGGGATGTCGACGAGTTCGAACTGTTATCAGGGGCATGTGTCAGCGGACTTTACGGTTGAGGAGGAACAATGGTAGCCGAAAAGAGAAGGAAATGGGGAAGATATGAGCAAAGGGGCTGTGTAGTTGTTGTAAAGGGGCAGAAAAATGAGAAAGAACACACATCGCGAAACACAACGCTGCCCTTCTTGAAGAGGTCGTCCTCGTTATTGTAGTTGATGCCAAATTCCTTGAACAGAATCTCGTTTTTATCCGACGACACGGTGCCACTTAGGCGCTGCTCTGCTGCCGCGGCGTCCATGCCACCGCGCTGGATTAGCGTCCAGAAGGTTGTATTGTAGAGGTTGTTTATGTGGCCTGCAGAGGGTAAAAAAGGACGAAAAACCAATCAGCCACCAAACTCTCCAATATGCCAACAAACCTAGCAACTGCAGATTAGTAGAGAGGATGGAGGGGTTATGACGTACAGTCAACTTGTCGCCAGCTCATGTAATCCCTTAGATTCTGCACGCTGGGATACATGACGGCGCGGCCATCGAAGCTCGGCATGGGCGGGGTGAGTGGCTTGTCGGGAAAGTAGGTTTGCCAGAGATATATATAATGCGAGGTGAAAGTTGTAGCGACGGTGGTGATGAGCTTGCTACCAAGGATGCTAGAGTCAGCTTCTACGCTCGATGGTAAGCCAAAAGGCAGAACTCACGCTGCTCGTCTCTCGAAGAGATTGCAGTCTTTGTGGAAGATGAAGCTGGTATAGTGATGTCAGTTCAGTCATGACCTTTCGGTTCCAAGGAGCATTTCCCCCCAGTTTGAACCTCACCTGTACTCGTCGCTGATACCATAGCCGAGCACCAGGTCAGGCAGCTCCTTGAACACGCCAACGGCGGCCGCGTTCATCAACTCAAGCGCACGGCGGTCGTTCGGCTTCTCGAACTCATATTTCGCCGTTAATCTATTTCCGCTCACATGTCAGCTACTTTTCTTTAGCAAAAAGTTTTCCCGCTTGAAAGTTGTAGCACGCAAAAGCGAGGGCACGTGGCCAGAAGAAAGGTCATGCGGAGAAACATATAAAGAAAACCGAAGAATTAAGACTGAAAGTGGCGCTGTTGCTCAAGGAGGATAAATTGAAGCATACTTGTGGAAGCCTCGACCATCAATGCGAATGACGATCCAGGTGTTGGGCAGAAGAATGTCAGGCTGGCTGCGTTCGAAGCTCTTCACGTATTCGTATCTGCGCAACGATGGAATCAGCTGGGTATATCCTGGAGTCAGAATACCAAAATACGTACTTCGAATTCGCCATGGTGGGGAAGAACGAGAGTGTTTGGTGGTGTAGGTTTTGGAGGCGCGGCTTCAAGTTTTCGGAGGATGGCGGCCGCGCCAAAAGTCCTTGACTCAGCCGCAGATTCACGTCACTTGCATCTCCCCAAATTTTGGCGACCAAAAGTCATTTTCATCAATTTTCGTATCCAACCCCGCGTTCCATCAAGCCTCGCGAGGAGTACGAGGGTATCTGGACGTTGTGTGTTTTTTTTAGTTCTCTCTCTTCCTCCTTATCTTACGCTTTTCTAAGCCAATAATCAAGGATGAAAGGAAAAGTCAGAAATCCATATAGCCACCACCCACCGCTTCATGTAAAAAACCCGTCCATCCAGTCATCACCCCCACCAACCAGCCAGCGTTTCGAGTACCTTCGCTTCACCAATGCAAATTGGTTCACCACCCGCCCGCGAGGTAAAAAGGAATAAAGGAAGCTGCCCGCCCAAAGCTTTCGAAAGGCCCCAATCAATCTGTTTTTGGGCAACGCCGAAATTCATGCACATGAAAGAGGAAAAGAACCCAGTCCGTAAAACCCACCAACACCATCGCAGCAATTGAAGCTCTCGTCGGGACGCAAATTAAGACGGGTCTTTGTAGCCTTGATAAAGGGAGAAAATCCGCTGGCCATCGGAAAATCGATGCCCACGCTTTCCGTGGCCATGGCTGAAGTTTTCTTTTACTGCATGAGAATATTCTTACAGAAAAGCACATCACACCCGGTGCTGCCGATGTGGGCCCATCTAAGGGAACACCTGCGAAGCCGCCGAATGAATCCGCTTCTGGAGCTTAGTCCTGCCGCGGCGAACTGCAATCACATGTCAGTCCCATCCACCCATAACCTCGAGCTGTGAAACTTACGTAGGAGAGTACTTCGGGGACGTGGGCGAATACTTCGGCGAAGTGGCCGAGTACTGCCCCGCACCCGGAGAAGTAGGAGAGAACCTCGGTGACGTTGGTGAGTACTGGTCCCCAGCAGGGCTGGTTGGGCTGTACACCGGGCTCGTGGGAGAGTAGCCCATCGCAGGCGACGTCGGCGATCGTCGGTCGCTGCCTGCACCAAACTGCGGGCTGGTCGGCGAGTACATCGGCGACGTGGGGCTGTAAGCCGGAGACGTCGGGCTGTACTTTGGTGACGTTGCGTGCGCCGGCGACGTCGGGCTGTAACTGGGCGATGTCGGCGAGTACGCCGGGGAAGTCGGTGACGACGGCGACGTAGGAGAATAAGATGGCGACGTCGGAGAGTAGTTGGGAGATGTGGGCGACAAGCTGTTGAATGCCGGCGATGTTGGCGAGTAGCCAGGCGAAGTGGGTGAATAGCCTGGGCTGGTAGGCGAAAAAGCAGGCGACGTGCCGCCAAACCGCGGGCTCGTAAGGTTGAGGCCTGGCGAGGTGGGAGAGTAACCGGGCGAAGTTGGCGAGTAACCCGGAGAGGTAGGGCTCTGGCCGCTGAAGGGGCTGGTGGGCGCATATCCAGGGCTGCGAGCGTAGGGGCTCATGCCGCCATCGCTGAACGAGCCATACGAAGTAAGGCCACCGCTTTCGTCGCCACCAGCCTGCACCATCGGCGAGAACGATGCGCCATAGTCCGGACCAGCGAACGCGCCCTCGTGTGTTGGAGAGCCGATATCGTAAGGCGTAGCAGCACCATCGGCGATGTAGCCAGGAGCAGCGGCCAGACCAGGCATGAGCCCGTAGCGAGCATTGTCCGACGCACACGTGTTGAGCATGTTCTTGTCAACCATGATATCCATCTCGCCTGTACCGGCGGGCGCCAGTTGACCCAACATAATGTTCTCCGAGACACCACGGCAGTCGTCGAGTTCACCACACGCGGCAGCATCCAGCAGAATTTCGACCGTCTCTTCGAAAGAGCAGCGCATGAGAGCACCAGTGTCGGCACGGTTGATACCGTGACGGGTAACAGCCATGATCAAACCACGAGCTGTCATGACGTCGACCAGAAGCGCCAAGTGACGATGGTTGACGTATGAACCGTCGAACGCCAACACCTGCGTGAATTCCTTAAGAAGAGCTGTACGCGTCGCCTCAATTCCGAAGACCTGGATAATCTCGAAGAAATTGTTGGAATAGGTACGGCTGGCGTCGACGCCGTCAACCGTAAGGACACGAGACAGAGCGGTACCGGTGGTATCGAGGAACCATTCTGTGCAGTCGTTGGTCTTCGCCATGTACAGGGTGCCATCATCCCTGACGACCTGCTTCTGGCCGCTGTTGATGAAGGCACGCTCGACGCCTGGAACGCCACGAAGCGTCAAGTCGTCAAGCAGTCTCTCCTCAAGCATGCCAAGCAGCTTCTCGTCGTTCTCTTCGCCCTCTTCCTCCTTGTTGACATCATGCTTGATCAAGCGGATACGGATGACGAGTTCCTCGGCATTGTTGTCACTGAAGATGACAGCCAGGTTCTTGTGGTATTCCTCCTTGATCCTGCTAGCGACTTGAGGCACCGTCAGGCCCTTGTCGAGAAGTTTGCCACGGTTGAGCACGATACGCATGAGCCACTTGGACTGTGAGTCGATATCTTCCTGCGTGTCATCGGGAATGATGAAGTACGACTCGACCAAGTCAGAATCAGCCTCGATCACAGTCGACTGGATGTCAGGATCATAGTAGAGCTCGACACACTCGGTAACAGAGCGTAGTGTCGTGTGCTCGATACGACTACGGAGCAGCTTGGCTTCGTGCCTCTTCACCTCGTCTGAAGTTTCCAAGGAGGTTGTCGTGTACACCTTCATGGAAGGAGTCTTGATGTTCTTGGCGACGTTCAGAATTTCCTTTAGACGGGGGACACCGAGTGTAACGTTCTTCGATGAGACACCAGCAAAATGGAAGGTGTTCAGAGTCATCTGCGTAGCAGGCTCACCAATCGACTGTGCGGCAAGGACACCGACCATTTCTCCAGGACTGACGATGGCTCTGTTGAAGCGGTTCTCGAGATCACCGAGAACGTTCTCGAATGCAAGCTTGTTCAGTGAGTATTCCCGAACAAGACGCTTGAACGACAGCCTTGAACGCAGCTGCGACTTGAAAAGGAACGTCGCGTTCTCCTGAGCCTCGCGCGACAACGGATCATCTCCACGGACGACGACCAGCCTGTCAAGGACTTCCTTAACCTTGGGAATGACTTCGGCAGGGTGGAGGTCGCTTCGAGAACCATCCTTGATACGGAACTTGCTCTTCGCCGTTTCAATGATACGCTGGATGTTGAGCGGAAGCTGGCGCTGGTCGTCCGCATCATTGGTGATGTTGCGGACGTACCTCCTGTCTTCCTCGAGCTGAGCGAATTCCTCGTCAAACAGGCGTTGCACCTCAATATCACCGGAAATGGCATCAGCCTGCTCCAGAATATCGCTTGAGAGCGAAGTCGACGGGTCCATGACGTTGACGTAGAACTTGCGCTTGAATTGCGCATCGGAGCAGTTGACGAAATCGCAACCCTGCTTCTCGATGTAACATCCATCGAGACCATCTTCACCGTAGACGAACTGAACAACATCACCGAGGGAGTTGCGCACGGTTCCATCGTACTTGGCCATGACATCCTCAAGGGCCTTCACCAAACGACGCTGGATGTAACCAGTCTCGGCAGTCTTGACAGCGGTATCGATAAGACCTTCGCGACCAGCCATGGCGTGGAAGAAGAACTCAGAGGGGGTGAGACCACGGAGGTACGAGTTCTGAACGAAGCCTCTAGCCGCGGGGGAGTAGTCGTCCTTCGTGAAGTGCGGCAGAGTCCGATACTTGAAGCCGAAGGGAATACGCTTGCCCTCGACTGATTGCTGACCGACAAGCGCCGTCATCTGGGAAATGTTGATTGTCGAACCCTTCGAACCGGAAGCAGCCATGGCAATGGCGTTGTTGCACTTTGCCACACTCTTTTCGGTGACAGCACCTGCGTTGTCACGAGCCTTGTTCAAACAGACCGAAACCTTACTCTCGAATGTTTCTCTCTTGGTCATACCGGGAAGCGGGTCAAGTTTGTCCTGTGTTGCCTCCTCCGTGATTTTAGCGACTTCCTCCTTCTGCTCATCTATGGCTGCTTCAATCTTCGTCGTGGTGATGGCGTCAGGAATGGTATCGCCAATACCGATCGAGAAACCGGTGTGCAAGAGCCAATAGTTGACAATACGCTGGGCACCGTTGAAGAAACCCACGGTGGCTTCCCAGCCCTTCTCGTTGTAGACAGTGTGGATGATACCACCACTGCTGGCACCAACAATCTTCTTGTTGAAGAGTCCGTACATGAGCTCACCGCCAATGATAACAACTCCGCTGTCATCAATTGGTGCGTGCGTCTTGCCGGGCTTGATCAGGTTGATGTCCGGAATGGCAAGACTGATAAGCTGCTTTCCAGTCCACCGGGGACGCGGCTTCAGAATCGCGGGCTGAGGAATCACACCGTCCCAGTCTGGTACCCAGAGAAGGATGTTCATAACTTGCTCTTTGGTGAGGAAGATATCACGGTTGCACATCTTGTAGATACCGCAGAGGGTGTCCTGCACGATACCCATGAGCGGACCGTTACGCTGAGGTGAAACGATATTTAGAGGCACCATGCAAAGCTGCATGACTTCTGCACGAGTCTCTTCGGTCTGAGGAACGTGCAAGTTCATCTCGTCACCGTCGAAATCGGCGTTGTACGGAGAGGTAACCGACAAGTTCAACCGGAAAGTCGAGTAGGGCATGACACGGACGCGGTGACCCATCATAGACTCCTTATGCAGAGAGGGCTGACGATTGAAGATGATGAAATCTCCAGATACGACGTGACGCTCGACCTTCCAGCCATATGCGAGCTGGATTTCTCCGGCACGCTTGTGATGACGAAGGTCGATGCGCGTGCCGTCGTCGCGGATGATGTACTTCGCACCAGGATGCTCGTTCGGGCCGTTCTTGACCAATTCGTGAAGCTTCGCAATGTTGTACGGCGTAACAGTCTCAGGATACGTCAGAGTCCTAGCAATGGACCGCGGAACACCGACTTCGTCCAGATCCAGATTGGGATCACCAGTGATGACGGTACGTGCGGAGAAGTCCACACGCTTGCCCATCAAGTTACCACGGAGACGACCATCCTTACCCTTTAGACGACCACGAATGGTCTTCAATGCTCTGCCGGACTTCTGTTGCGCCTGTGGCTGACCAGCAAGATCGTTATCCATGTAGGTTGCTACGTGCCATTGGAGAAGGACTTCGAAGTCGTCAATGACGTGCTGCGCAGCACCTTCCGAATGGCAGCGCTTGATGCTACCGTTGGCGCGGATGATATCAGCAAGCTTGTAGGTCAAATCATCCTCTCCACGCATGCCCTGTCCAGTTCCATCTACGGAGATAGAAGGTCTAACCGGCGGAGGAGGAACAGGCAACATGGTAAGGACCATCCACTCGGGCCTGGCGAAGTTGACGTTCAGGCCAAGAGTAAGAAGAGCCTCATCGCTGATCAGCTTGAAGATGTTCAGCACATCCTGGGGCTTGATGACGCGCTTCTCCGGCTGGCGAGCCTCCTCTTCATCTTCGCCCTTCTGGGGCTTCCAAGTTCCCATCAACTTCAAGCCGTCTTTGCGGATTTCAGGCTGCCTGTTTCCGCATCCGCCGTGCTGGATTTGGGGTTTCTTGTTCTTCTGAGCACCGTCGTAGTCGTCCGACGGCTGGTCCATCTGACAGACGTTCTTAGGCTTGCAGACCTTCCATATCGCTTCGAAGCGCTTCTTCGGGTCTCGTAACCGCAAGGCGTCTTTGAAGTGTTGCTCAGACTGGAATACGCGTCAGCAAGAGCGATTCATCACAGACTGTCATCCACCAGGGATGACTAACTTCATCTGCTAAGATCTTGCCACAGTTGTGGCACACGCACTCAAGCAGCTTCTTGATCTTGTTGATAAAGCCTGTGAAGAGTCAGCATTATTCTACTATACCTCGCCTGAAAATTCTTACCAACGTGGAAGACGGGCGTGTGCAGCTCAATGTGTCCGAAGTGACCCGGACACTCCTGCATGTTTTCACCGCAGGTGGCGCATGAATACGCACGGTCGATGGAGCCAAGCTTGGGGTCGTTCAAACCACCTTCACGGGGACGCTGCTTTGCCTCGTCCTACAGTGGCATCAGAACGACGTTCACAACACAGCTCGTAGTTCAGGTGACGCACCATGGTCTCCGGGTAGATGATGTGAGCGACACTCATCTCTTGGATCTCCGCGGGATCCAGCAGACCAAACTGGATCTCTTGGATACTCTTCAGCGGCGCGCTGGACGCCGTGAAGTGAAGGTTCGCCATGTTGAGGGTGTTGAGTCGCGACGGTCTTGGGCGGAGAGCGCGTTGCGACGACGGGCGCGGTGGGGAGCTGCGCTAAGTGACGACAACCTCGCAGCGGCGGATCCGACAGCAGCCTCGGCCTTCCTCCTCACTCTACGTCCGTCGTGCGGGACGAACGTGTCCTCCTGGTGTGTCGGCGCGATAGATGATGGGCCCGGGACTTGGCAAATGGAAACCGGGGCGCTGGACGCGCTGGCCGCACGGCGGCGAACGTGAAAGGCCTGCGGGCCTGATGCGACCGGGACGGGCGTGGGCGACGCGATCCGGGCGCGAAATGAGCGTGGGCGGCGTTGCGATGTCGACAGCAGGCGGAACAGGGCCGTCGACAGGACGCTCGGCGATGGAGAAGTTGGGGTGCGGGTGGTGGGTGTGGTGATGTTGAAGTGAAGCCCTCCTGGCTCGCGCTCCAGGTTGGAAGTTCGCTCACAAAGGCGGCGGGTCCGAGCGCCGCCTGCCGCCTGGCTCGCCACAGCATGCGACACGTGATCTGGAGCCGCACCCGCGCTAGGCCGATCGCAGGCCAACGGCTGCCCGCGCTGCAGGATCCGACTCGCCGACCGTCGTCCCGCGCGATCATCACCGCGCATATCCAGACGTCGCGCCGTTCCGCGCGCACTTACTGCCGCCTGCCCTTGCTACACCACCATGCGCATTGTCTGCGCACTACCCTCGCCTTTATGAATCTTCCACTCATTGACCCGGCCGTCCTGGCCCAGGACACACCCGAAGCTCCAGCTGGAAGGCTCCGTAAGTCGCATGGCTCTATCTAGCACCGTTCTCCAAGCAGCGCCCGATCTTCCCCGGCGATGCCCTCTACGATAGGCACTCTGACACCGCGCCTTCCTTAGATAGCGGCCACTCGACATGTATGCGATTCAATCACCGCGGCGACTACCTCGCCTCTGGACGGGTAACCCTTTCCGGACACCGCTGCTATGGCCTGAACTTACGCTCCTCCAGGCAGACGGATGCGTAGTCATCTTTGACCTCGAGACGAACGGCGTTGCGCGAAAGCTTACCGGTCACACGCGCCAGGTACAATCCTTGAGCTGGTCCGCCAACGATCGCTACCTGCTCAGCGCTTCACAAGATTGGAGATGCGTGCTCTGGGATCTGAAAGACGGCAGACGGATACGGACCGTCAGGTTTGGGGCACCGGTTTTCATCGCTGAGCTCCATCCGCGCAACCAGTAAGCCCCACATGTTGTTAGCCCGGCGTCTGTCTAACTCAGCGTAGCCTGATGTTCGTAGCTGCTCTATTCGAGGACCAGCCCGTCCTGGTGGATATGGCCAACGATATTCCAAAGAAGCACGTTCTTCCCTCTGCCCCTCGCCGATCGCAAGTTGAACGGGACAATGCGACCGAGAAGCAAACCGCGCAGGATGCGAAGCAGACAACGACTGTCACCGTATTCACACCCACCGGGGATTACATATTATCAGGGACCAACAAAGGGTGGCTCAATATCATCGACACGGAAACTTGCGACGTTCGCTATTCGATGCGGTTGTCCAATAACCTTGTCATCTTCATTCGGTTGACTGCATCCGGCCGGGATATGGTTGTCAACTGCAGTGACAGGATTATTCGCACATTGCAGCTACCTGATCTCACTGACCCCAAGCTCGACTTTGACAGCATGGCTCTCACCACCGAACACAAGTTTCAAGACGTTGTGAACCGCTTGTCCTGGAACCACGTTTGTTTTAGCTCGACTGGCGAATATGTCACGGCATCGACATATATGAACCACGATATTTACGTCTGGGAGAGAGGACAAGGAAGTTTGACAAAAATCTTGGAGGCAAGAGAAGAGATTGCAGTCGTGGAATGGCACCCTCATCGCCCATTTGTGGCAGCTGGTGGTATTGAGTCCGGCAGAATCTACCTGTGGTCCATTCTCACACCTCAACGATGGTCTGCCCTTGCGCCGGATTTTGTCGAGGTGGAAGAGAACGTTGAGTACGTCGAGCGGGAGGACGAATTCGATATCCAGCCTCTCGAAGAGCTTCACAAGCGTCGCCTGGATCTGGAAGACGAGGACGTTGATGTTCTCACAATAGAGCCTGGCAAAGCAGAGTTTGAGCCGGCGGAATTCCAGATGCCTATTGTGCTGGATCTTGGTGGGAGCGACAGTGAAGATGAGGAGATCATGATTGGAGCCGGTCAATACCGCCGGAAGAGTCCTGGCGCTGGCAAAGAATGGATGAATGGCCAGGATGGCAGCGGAGATGAGAAGAAGAGTACGACAAATGGCACAGCGAGGTCGCAGAGTGCAAGCAAAAAGCGCAGGGCAGACTGAGTAGGGAATGGATCGACAAAAGCAATGACGGCATGGATGCATAGGTGCGGCGTTCGGAGCAAAGGACAATATACCACTCGGTTCTGCATAAGCTCTTCTTGATTGGATTGAATATTTCAGGAGTTATTAATAGCTCATGGTCGCCCACGAGCAGGCAAGGATCTTTCGGAATGGCTAGAGGTGAAATTAAAGCTAAAAGTTGACTTTCAATATCCCATCCTATCCACTTTCGTTTTTTGCTCATGTCATGGGCAGCTGAAGCTATCGTCCGGACGTATATGTATAATTATTAATTCGACATTTACGTCCGGACGATAGCTTCAAACAACCCATATATGTCGTTATTCGTCCAAAAAAAAAAAAACGAGAAAAGGGCACATATCATGGGTAGCTGAAGCTATCGTGCGGACGAGAATGTCGAATTTTTAATCTTACATACACGTCCGGACGATAGCTTCAGCTACCCACATGTGTTATTTTCCTGAGGCAGAGCTAGGGCATATTTACACTATATTCTAGAGCCCTGCTATTCTTCGCGCTAGCCATCGGCTGCGAGAGTGGGCTGTAGGTGTTTGAACAGGGTCTGGCCAGACCATTCTATGCAGCTGGTAGCTTGGTGTTGACGCTACATGGTTGCGTCAAAGATCGATACGCATTCGGTCTCGAAGAGCTATTCAACCAGCATAGAGCAGCCATTTGGATCCATTCAAGGCAGCTTACAAATCTCAAAGCTCCCTGCAATCTCCACGGGTAGACAAAGAGGGCGTCTGGACAAAAAAATTTGCGGATGTGCGCTCGCCCAGTACTACTAGGATCCTCGCTAAAATGTTGCCAGTGCCTACAATATCATCCGCAATGTATAAGCTGGCGGGAGGATTAGCGGAAAAGTCCAGGTAGTCTTGTCCGTTCCTTTAAAATCTGTTTGCACGTCCGCATATCAGCTTTAATGATTTGACTGCTTACTTCATGTCGTCGGACCTTCAAAGACGATAGTAAATGGCCCAGAAATGTTCTAGAATGATGTCTCCTTTGTCATGAAGCGAATCGACTGATGTTTGGAGAGAATGCCACGTCGAGTAGGGACAAAGCTTGTCCCAGTTCCGTTCCTGGGTGATCTCACAGCTTTTGATCTTTCTTCTTTGGATGGTTCCAATGTGCAGGGAACGTATTCTGGGGAGTCGCAAGTCGGCCTCGGCCGTTTTTTCATGCTTGATGTTGATTCGATCTGAGCTGCTCCATCCTACACGGATCCGTCGAAAAAGTGCGTTTCGACATGTGCGGGGGCCGTGCTCTTGTGTTTACGTCGGGACGGGATCGAAGCTGCAGGCTTGCGGACGTACTCGGGCTCTCAATGCTCCACCTCGACCGGTCCTGACGCCACCATTCTTGAGGCCATCGAAATTCCTTGCTCTTCAATCCATGAGATCAGCACACCGCACAATTAGCATCATCACCGGGAATGCATTTGCAAGGTTGCGATAAATTTTCCCCTGCTGACCAGGTCCTCAGACTCGCCGCGAGAAAAGCGCTTATGAGGCGACGCTCGGCGTCCGTCGGTCGTCAGGACCATCTCATGGGAGTGCAATTTCGCGTTGAGATGAGTTCTTGCATGACTGGGACGCCGAAGCGAGGCTAGCGCGCTCATATCATGCCGTCGACTTCTTTGTGAAAACGCGTCGCTGATGCTCCGGCTCGGATGACATGATGCACGCAGCAGTAGGCAGGGTGGACAAAGAACGTGAGGCAGCGGCACAAGAGCTGCAGGGAACCGAAGGGCACGCAGCGGTGGTGACGATCGACGATGCGGGCACGGCGGGGGAGCGGGAGCCTGTTGTACAGAATTGCAGGCTGCACAGCTGGCTAGCGGCGGCGACTCAGAGAGCAGTGCGCTCCTCCGTACGGTGAGAGGCAGCAGCAGGAGAGAGTGGAGTCTTGCGGCGCAGCTGCACAGGCAACTCCGGGCGGCTGGCTAAAATTGCTGGATTGGACAGACTGGCGAGCGTGACGCAGGAGGTGTGACGCGAGAGCGTGAAAGACGGGCGGGGGGAGCGGTGGGAGCGTGCGAGCACCGGGTGCAGATGCGTGGGAGGCCTCAGCCCCCCTCCAGGGACGCGGTCTCTGGGGGCGTGGCGCTGACGCAGGCCTCGACAATCCTGTGAAGTCCAATCGCGGCGGCGCTGAAGCGACGGCGATGGGCATGGCGCGACGATGCAGCTTAGATCAGAGCGCTTGTTGGTGGCGCGAACTCGCTTCGGCCTGGGATGATGGAACCTTGAATGTGTCATTTGGGCTGTTGATCACCGTCGGCGCTGATGAAGCGGGCGAGCACCTGGGCCGGGGCTCGCTCGTCGCCCTCCGTCGGCAGCGGCGATGAGGCGCGGCCAGAAACACCAAGGGCGAGGAATGCCGCCAAGCATTAGCCGGCGCTGCATGCGTGCCTGGCAGCGGGCCGGGGCCAGCGGGCGGCAGAATTTTCAGGTTGCTTGCTCGCTCGCTCGAATTCCGGACGCCTCCGTGCATGGTTGAACGGAAATCTCATAGCGGCAGCAGGGGCGGGAAGCGTGAGGCGCTCTGTGACTTGACGGCCAGGCCGACGCAAGACGGTCGAGTCTGCACTCGGGCCATTTGACCTTGGCGGCTTGCGACGACGGGCGGTACCTGGGAGCGCACCCACAGCAAGCAGAGCGCAGCGCACCCAGCCCGCTGCACCAGCACCAGCACCCGCACCCGCGCCAGCACCGCGCAGCAGACTGAACTGCGAACGCGTTTGCAGCCGCGCGACGCTCTGCGCGCTTTGATTGGCGCGCGCGCGTCGAGGTCACGTGCTGCGTACAAGTTCCCGGTGTGATCGCAGACCCTAGGTCGTTGCTCAGCGAAAGTCGCGAAAGGCGCCGCCCGACCAACGGAACCCACCACAGAATCCATACAATGGCCGAGCCACCCGACCTCAAAGGCAAAACGCCGCTTCTCATGCCTGCCCTCCGCCCTCCCGCCGCCCACACCCTCCTCCTCATCCATCACCATCCACCACCACCGTGATCCGCACCGCAGCCAGCTTCCCACCCCTTACGCCTCCATCCGCCGCTGCGCTCGGGTCACACCTGACTTTGACCGATTCACCTCACCAGCCGCCCTGAGAAAGGGAGGCGCCAAATTAGCAGGCCTGCGACCGTCGGCCAACGCCCAACACACTCGCACCACCGCAGCACCTCAACACCACGACGCGTCGCCATGTCGAGCTCGTCCACCACCGTCACTGCCGCTGCCTCGCCCGCCTCCAGCCTCAAGATGTCGGCCAAGTCGCCCAGGTCGCAGCTTGCCGTCCTTCGCCTTGCGCCTGCGCTGCTCTCGCGCTTCCCGGCTGACGGCCCCGTTCGCAAGAACTCGCGCTCCAAGTCGTCTTCGTCGTCGACGCCCATCGACACTCCTGCAGACCCTATGGTCATCGAGCCCGCCGAGCCGCTGTCCGCACCCGACGCCGACGCTGCATCGGCTGCCAACGGCTCCACGCCCGCACTCGACAACAACTCGCTCGCGCCTCCGCAGAATGGTGCGAAGAGGAAGGGCATCCCCGGCCCAAAGCCCGGCACGAAGCGCACCGCTGGGCAGTCCAACGACGGCACCCCCAAGCCTCGCGGCAAGCCCGGCCCTAAGAAGAAGCCTCGCCTGTAAGTGAACCCCGATCCACCAACGGAATGCGACGCCATCTTGTCGATGCACTGCATCAGATGCCGCCAGTTCCATCATTGATGACTTTTCTGCTTCGCGAACACCGTGACTGACTTCAATCTCTAGTGGCGAGAATGGCGAAGGCACTATGAACGGTGTCATGCCCATGTCAACTCAGAAGCTCGGCCCCAAAGCCAATCAAGGCGCCATCAATGCTGGTCTTCGTGCCCTCGATCGATCTGGCAAACCCTGCCGCAAGTGGGAAAAGAAGGGATTCCAGCTCAAGAGCTTCACTGGTATCGCCTGGTCTGTCCCAACCTGGCGTTCGCCGAGGAAGTCGACCGTCGACGAAAACGGCGACGTCAAGAGCGACACCACTGGCAGCAGCGACAGTGCAAAGATCAACGAGAGCAGCGCCGTGCCAAGCGAGAAGAGCAGCAACGCCGGCATCCTGGATACTCCGCATAGGTCGCACCCGATGGGCCTCGCTGCCAGTTCTCCGATGCCTGAGATGACCCCCGTGTAGGGTCCTTTCGCTCTTTGCTGGTACGTGTCCATTTGTAATGATTGTCATCGCACATCTCTTTCATATTCATGCCCCACTCATTGCATCCTACTATGTCATGAAGAGGATGCTCAACGCCCACAGCCTTGACCAACGACATCCTCCCGTCCTACTGGCTCAATCGCGTCCACTACTCAAATGCTCTATATTGTGCATATCAAGGACTATGGCTAACACCGCAACAGATTCTCTTTATACTACTAGACTTTCAACACACAAGACTTCTTTTCCTTTTTTACTGTAACTGTATAATATGCTTCTTCTGCGTTGACGCGCAATCGTTTGAAAGCTTCTGAGATGGGATTTCCAACGGGTTATTTCGGGTTTGACAGCGCTTCATGCATGGTGTTCAGGCACGGATTCAAAAACAGCCGGGAGTCAGCAGGCAGCGGTCATGATCAGAGAGTATGGCGCGTGACTTCTAGCTGGATAAGGATTTGGAAGAGGTGATACGGGAAAGTCATGCCGTCGGGTACGCCCAGGCACAGATCAGGATTGGAGATACCAGGCGTTTTAGAGCATAGGCGTTAATGGACAAATTAGTATGCGGCTGCGCAGGCGTGAGTGAGCGAAAGGCGGGCTGGGGCCACGGGCGGAGGGGGGCGTAGGAGGCGGGTAGGCGTAGGTGCAGGTTCGTGCTCCGCTGAGTGACAGCGCGTCCTGGCGTAATCCGAGCTTGGTCCTGGTCCCCCGCAACTGCGGAACGGCAGACAGCATCCGCGTCAAGGCCGCATCACCCCTCAACATCGATACGCTCCCAGCATCCTTCTTGCGGCCTGCGCGCGATCGGTACTGGTACTGAAGCTCCCGAGCGACCCGCAATGCTTATGATGATTGTGCCTGGAGCTGGCAGTGTGCAGAGCCGCCGTTGATTGAGACGCCGAACCACTGCCATCTCACCGACGACACCCGTCACATCACTGCCAGCATATCGCACGCCGGAAGCTTGTCCTTAGGCCGGCCGCCCTACGCAGCCTGCAGAAACGCAACACCCGCCGTCCGCCGCCTCCCTAGGCACGCCAGCCGCGCTCGCTCCGAACGAGGGCAGCTCCCGTTCGCCGCCGCGGCCGCGAGGAGTGTCAGTCCATGAACCCGTACTTTCACCTTCCGGGCGACGCTCCTCACGCTTCGCTCACAACCACCCCCGGCGTCGGATCAACTATGTTTCGCCGGTCATCATACGCCTCTGTTGCTGCTGGTACGGCGAACAACAACAGCGCACAGCCCTACACCCAACCCGCTCGCTCAGGCGCCTTCTCCCATCTCCTCAACCAGTACTCCCCATCCCATCACCAGCTGCACAACCATTCAAGGAATCCGTCCCGCGGAATGGATATCGACGGCCAGGGCAGCCTATCGAGCTCTTACCGCGGCGCCAACCAGTATTTCTCCTACCCCGCCGGCATGGACGCCTCTACGCCACCGTTCTTCGTTCCCTCCTACCTCAAGGGATCGCGCCATGCTGAGCGCCTCGAGGAAGCTCACAAGGCGCGCATGAACGCACAGCGCGATGCGCGCTCTTCAGGAACAGGCTCCCTCTCGAGAAGCTCGTCCAGTGCCAATCTACACAAGATGGTCCCCTCGCATCGCGGCATGACGCACGACATCATCGAACGCGCACCCCCGGCTACATACACAGAGGACAAGGAGAGATCGTGGCCGACACGATGGAATGAGGAGGACAGGTCTGCAGGCCTTGAGCTGCTAAGGGAAGGCTTGGACGTCAAGTGCGGATCCATGAGCAAGACCCATGACGAGGCGCTGTCGGCCAGGACAGACCATCCCATGCCTAGGCAATGCGGAATCTACTACTTCGAGGTCACAGTTGTCGGGAAGGGGAAGGAAGGGTCAGTATTACGAAGGGAGGATGTGGTCAACGAAAGCGCGCTGACTCGTCGCTGCAGGTTGATTGGTATCGGATTCTCAGGGCCAAAGGTCGCGCTTCACAGATTACCAGGCTGGGAACCGGACTCATGGGGATATCATGGCGATGATGGATACAGCTTCTGCAGCACTTCTGCTGGCAAGAGCTATGGTCCCAAGTTCTCGATGAACGACGTCATTGGCTGTGGAATCAACTTCAGAACCAACACGGCTTTCTTCACAAAGAACGGTGTTCATCTCGGTACGTGCGACTTTCCCCATTCTCATACATGGCTAACGTAGCCAAGGCGTTGCTTTCAGGAACATCCCGGTCAGCCTGGATCTCTATCCTTCGATTGGCGTTAAAAAGAACGGCGAACATCTGCGCGCAAATTTCGGACAAGAACCCTTTGTGTTTGATATTGATACCGAGTACAAGGTAAGCAATACGTGAGAGATGCAAGGGTTCAGCTGTTGACTGTCAAACAGAGGGAGCAGTGGGCCATACAAAACGAAATCAGTCGCACAAACGTGGCATCCTTAAAACCCGGAGCTGACGAAACATCATTGATCCATGAGCTGATTGCTCAATATCTTGCTCACGATGGCTATGTTGAGACTGCACGTGCATTCGCAGCAGAGGTTCGTGAGGAATCACGCGCACTTACTTCAGGAGGAACTTCGAATGCCAGAGACCTTGAACCCGAGGAAGATATCGATGCTATTAATCGCCAGAGTACGTTTGTTGGCTTTTGATATAGTTCGCAGGCTGACATTTCGGTAGAAATACGTGCGGCGATCCTCGATGGAGATATTGACAAGGCTCTGAAGCTCACAACTGCGTATTACCCGACCGTCCTCCAAGATAACGAGAATATTTACTTCAAACTTCGATGCCGCAAATTCATCGAGATGATCCGGAGATGCCAGGAACTGCAAAATCCGACCAGCAAGGCCGGATTCCGCAACAACGCTGGTAGCAACGGCTTTTCCAGCTCGGCTTACGACGAAGTGTTTGACGGTCAAATGGAGCTTGACGATTCGACTCACAATAATGCAAGCAACGGCGAAAGCATGGATACTACGGGAAGCGAGGCGCTCAAGCTCAACGAGCTACTCAGCGAGACTCTGCAGTATGGCCAAGAGCTAAAGGGAGAATTCAGTGGGGACTCGAGGCGCGAAGTCAAACGGGCGTTGGAGGACACTTTCGCGCTCATGGCATACAGCGATCCCAGACAGAGCCCGCTCGCGTACATGTTGGACCCGAACGAAAGGACACCAGTCGCGGAGGAGCTCAACAGCGCCATCCTTGGTATGTTCGCTTGGTTATCATGCTTGGTTCAACTACTAACGTTCGGCAGTGAGCTTGGGTAAATCATCGAGTGCGGCATTAGAGCGTCTTGTACAGCAGACAGAGGCACTCGTCGAGAAATTGGCCGAAGACGGCGGCCCAGGTGCATTCGTCAACGTCCGCGGAGATTATCTTGGTGCACATGAACGCGAGAACGAACGCTACCTCTGATAGGGGTTTCGCCCAGCTCTGCGACACGTACCAGTTGTGGATAGATCACTCGGCTACTGTTCTTTTTCCTTATCAAATCAGGTCAAACGGGGACTGGGAGGCGACAGGGCGCACGGGAAATGGAGCTCTCAAATGGTTTCTATTCCTTTCTTTTTCCACCCCGAGACGGAGGAAGCGCAGGCGATGGCTATGCTCTACTCCTCTCCGTCTGGGTCGTCCGCCATTGCCAGGCGCGTGGTTATATGTGATGCATCGGTGGGATAGCATGCTCTTTTTTGTTCTGCGTTCTTTTCTTCTTGCTTCAAACGGCACAGCGCAGTAATCATGGGCTCACAGCAACCCTTTCGCTCTTTTCGCCTCAGGTCGCAAAGAGAAAGGGGATTGGGAGGAAGCACGATCGTACAACCATCAGGGTGCTGATGCTGAAATTTGATGAAAAGCCCTTTCAGAAGGGAGCGGACTGACCGGAGATAGGTAGATGCGCAGGTCGTCCAAATCATGATTGCATAAAAATCCACGTAAGATCTGTGAACACATCTCAGGCTATAATTCGATTTCTCCCGGAGGCGGCACTCGCGGTTACACAAGCAGCGCGCATCCGCCTGCTTTATCAGCACACGTCACGTCCACATCGACTGCCAAGAGTGGCCAGATGGTCTGGTCGCGCCGGAACCGCATAGTACACCGGTGAGTGATGCTCGGTTGACAGGGCGACAGTGCACGGAGCGCCCAGGTTCACAGACTGTTTTCGGTGAAGGTAGCTGTCCTGTGAGAGAAGAGATTTCATGTACTCATCGCAACCAGAAACCAGAGCCGCACCACTGAAGGTTGCAATGCAGCACGCAAAGTCGAGGAGCATGGATTCTCTCACGACTCATCGAGCCCCACTCTTCCTGCATGTACCGATTCGAGTGAACATATCCCGCCAGCGCCAGGCTGCCTCCAATCCTGCGCCAGTGCTTGCAGCCTGGTTGCTAATGAACGAGTCTGGTCGCCGCTTGCTTACACAGTACGCCTCCCACCACAGGAGAATGAATTGATGCGAATGCTCCGACGAATTGACATTGACTCAGTCGCGCAATCGAGGCTCTTCGGCAATGACCTCATCAGAGCCGAGTCGGCGAGCCGCGTCTATTTTTCTCTTTCCCGGCCGTGCTCTGGACTTTTTATTACAATACGGTCGTCAAGTTTGCCCTTTTCTCTCGGCACCCGCGGGACCCGAACACCACTCAGAGAGCCAGCCAGAAACGTTCGGAGCCCACGCGCACATGGCGTTTTCTCGATATGTCATCGAAATCTGTGGAGCTGGCTTCCCTATAGCCGCGAGAAGGAATGGGGTTCTCTCGAATCCCTTTCTTCTCGCTTTTCGCCATTCATCTTCGGTGTGCGGGGTGCCCGGCCATCTCCCTCTCTTTCTTCTCGAACTCTGCGCCCAACGGAGGCGTTCATCGTTTGATTATCAACTTAATCTTCCGAAGCCCGTGAACCATCTCATAAATCCTTGTAGCTTGGGGAATTGAGAGCAGTAGAAAAAGGATTTGCTGGCTCGTTGCAGGCCACGCTTGTCCTCGCGCTTTCTCCACTGCTTTCTCCACGCTCTTACCCCGCTGCCTCTTATCTTATTTAGCGACTGCTACTTGACCTGCCCGATCCTACATCGATTCCGAATTGTTCATTGCACGGGAAGAAAAGCCGTTGCCGTGTCCTGCTTCACTGTTGAGGCCATGGCGACATCATCATCATCGTCATCATCACCATCATCATCATGGCTACACCGCCTGAAACAGACGATATTCCAGAAAAGCGATAGGCGGCCCTGGATGCTGCAGTACAGGTCGCACGCCGCCTTCATCAGCGCCACGGTGTCGATTGCCGTGTTTACAGTACGTTTTTCCCTTGTGTTGTTCTGCTTCGGCGGCGATGCCGCTCCGTTCCTCCTCGTGCGAACCACCAACCTTTTTCTTCATTTCATTTCGGTAAATTCGAAATACAGTTCACGAATTAGGTTTCCACAAAGCTTTTATACGAGCGCTTGGCATTTTACGTAAAAATAGAAACACAAGGGTTCGTGCTGAATTGCTCGCCAGGACATCTTTCTATACGCCGTTATCGTGCCGGTTATGCCCTATACCCTGACGGAGAAGACTGGGATCGATCCGGAAGAAAGTGAGCCCCTACTATTGCGTCTCTTACCTTTACTAGTTCCAATGCTAAGTCCCTGCATAGTCCAACGCTGGAACTCGATTCTGATCGCCGTCTATGGTGCCTCGCTACTCGCTTTTTCGCGTAACGTTCCCTTAATCCCAGTTTTATCTCACAACATACGCAGCCATGCTAATGATTTTATGCAGCCATCTGCGGTTGGTTCGCCGACAACACGACGACGCGGCGGCTGCCGTTGCTCAGCGGGTTGCTCGCGCTGGCGGCTTCGACGGTGATGCTCAACATCGGCGGCTCGATCGCGGTGCTGGTGGCCGGGCGGCTGCTGCAAGGTGCGTCGGCGGCGGTCGTGTGGGTTGTGGGGCTGGCGCTGCTGGTCGACACGGTGGGCCAGACGGACGTCGGGCAGGCCATGGGCTACGTCAGCATGGCCATGAGCCTGGCGGTGCTGCTGGCGCCGCTGCTGGGCGGCGTCGTGCTCGAGCACGGCGGCTACGACGCTGTCTTCGCCATGGCGTACGCGCTGATCGGCGTCGACGTCGTGCTGCGCCTCGTGCTGGTCGAGAAGAAGGTCGCCAAGACGTGGGAGCTGGAGTTCGAGGAGGTGCTGGTTGGTAGTGGTAGCGGGACGCATACGCGGGCGGGTTCTGGGGCCACGCATTGCCGCTGCAGCGCCGAGGACGAGGACATCGAGCTCGATGAGAAGGGGAAGAAGAGCTGCGACACCTCTCATGTTCTTGAGAAGTCCGCGCAGGAAACCCAGCAAGCCGTCGTCTGCTCATGCAGCAACCATCAACAAGAACAACAACAACAACCCGCCGACCGACAACAACGTCCCGTCTCCACCAACTCCTCCATCTTCCGCCACCGCCTCCCTCTCCGCTACCGCCTCCCACCCACCCTCTCCCTCCTCCTCTCCCGCCGCCTCTCGTGCTCGCTCTGGTCCACGCTCGTCGTCTCGGTCCTCATGTCCTCGCTCGACGCCGTCATCCCGCTCTACGTCCGCGAGACCTTCCACTGGACCAGCACGGGCGCCGGCCTCATCTTCCTGCCCATCGTCATCCCGTCGTTCCTGGCGCCCGTCTTCGGCGCCGTGGCGGACCGCGGCTCCCCCCGGTGGCCCACGGCGATCGGCTTCCTGGCCGCGTGCCCCTGCTGGGTGTTGTTGCGGCTCGTCGACGGCAACGACCTGCGCCAGAAGGCGCTGCTGTGCGCGCTGCTGGCTTGTCTGGGCCTCGCGCTCGCGATGATCATGCCGTGCGTCATGGCGGAGATTACGTATGTTGTTGCGGCGAAGGAGGAGAGGACGCCTGGCTTGTTCGGGCGGAAGGGCGCGTATGCGCAGGCGTATGGGTTGTTTAATATGGCGTGGGCGGGTGGCGCGCTGGTGGGGCCGATTTGGGCGGGGTATGTGAAGCAGCACGCTGGATGGGGGGCGATGGGGTGGAGTTTGGGGTTGTTGGCGGCCCTCAGTGCGGTGCCGGCGGTGTTGTGGACCGGAGGTTGGGTGTTTAGCAAACAGGAGCCGAAGGATAGAGGGAAGACGAATCAGCAAAGCGGAGTACTGAAGGTTTGAAGAGGTGGTGGTTAGGCATTGCTGGTGATGGGAGCATGGGACACTTGCGTTTGATGATTTTATGCGATTCTAAGAGCTCAATTGGAAGGCGGCGTTTGGGTTATACGGTGTTAAGGGAAAAAAGTCTACAAGAAAAATAACTACAGAATTGGAGTAAGGACAGGGTAATAAAGCTTTTGATTTCTCTCTATGTCCATTCTACTCTAAACTTGTCTATTTTTTGTCTCCACGCAACTCTTTACCAAGACCACGCCCAATGCTTTTTGGCCGCTATTTACTAATATCCCAGAATTACACTTTTCCGATTCTCCGCCATTCTTATCCTGAGTCCTTCCGTTGCTACTGCTTCAGTCGTCTCCCAAATTATCGCTGCTGATGTTGTACGAGCGCTTCGGCGCGACACCTCCGCGCCGACGGGGCTGATGAGGCGGAGGCGGCGGGCCCATGCCAGCATCGCGGTTCCTGTTCGGGGCTGCTGGCTGCGGAAGAGGTCGAGGAGGAGGAGGAGGAGGAGCATGGCCAGAGCCAATGGCCGGTTGGCGCTGGCGCTGGTCAGAACGGCGGTACCTGTCCGGGTCAACAACAGGGCCTCCACGGCGGTAAGGCGGGGCGTCGGAAGGATCCCTCGTCCACTCGGCATCGAAGTCAGCGACGGGGAGGTTGTCAGGCACCAGCCAGCGCTGGGGCTTCTTCTTCTCCATCTGACTACTACTACTACCCAGCGCCGCGGTGCTCAGCTCCCTCCGCCAACCCTTGCCCTTGGGCAAGATAACCGGCTTCTCGCAGGCGGCGCACCAAAACGCAAACGGCTTCAAGCTCCTCGGCACGGGCACGCGATCGCAGCGGCAGTATGGCACGACGATGTGCGCGCCCTCGTCCTCGTCCCAGCCGCCGGGCCCGCTGTGCAGCTTGCGGTACTCGATCCACCTCCGCGCCAGCGTCTCGGCCTCTTCGTTCTGATGCTGCAGGCACAAGCCGCCGAAGGCGCCCGCCGTGCACTCGCAGCCGTTGTAGCCGGGGCCGTACTCGTCGAGCGCCCACAGCGCGCAGCGCTCGCACATGGCGACCAGCGGCCCTTCGGTCAACACCATGCGCACGAGCGGCGCGCAGCTGTGGGGGCCGAGTTGCGCCTCCTCGCATGCCGCGCAGACGAGGTGCTCGTAGCCGTGGTCCCAGCGCGCGTTGGCCAGCGCGTGCGGGAACGGGCAGACGAAGTGGGCGCCGTCGCTGCTGTGGGCGTCGCGGTTGTGCTGCTCGTCGCAGAGCACGCGGCGGCGGGCGAGCGGGCCGCCGGCGGCGTGCGTCGGGGGCGCGGTGCGGGCGGCCAGCCAGTCCCAGTAGTAGGGTGAGAGGTTGAGCTTCGCGCCGCCCATGTGGCTGATGCTGCCCTGCGCGCCCTTGAGGCAGCTGTTGTTCTTGCGGAATTCGCCCGGCAGGCTGGCGCCGAGCCAGGTGCGGGTGATGCTGCCGTTGCGGCGGAAGGCGCCCGGTGGCGGGTTGATGAGGATTTGCGAGTATTCGAGTTCCCGCGGCGTCATGGCGTTGGAGGGGAGCGGCGGCCGGGCGAAGAGCCAGGTCTCTTGGGCGGCGGTGATGCGGGGGAAGGGGATTTTGCGCAGGTCGAACAAGGGCCTGGTCTGGCCGTCGGAGCGGCGCTGGAGGTATTGTGTTAGTGGTTGGTTGGAGTTTGGAGATGTGGGTGTTGTCTGTGGGACCTACGATCATGGACTGAGGACCGGATGGTATGCCGTACGGGGAAATGTGCTCATCACGCGGGTTGTCTTGGGCGGTGCGCATCTGGCCTGATGCTTTGCATGACAACTGGCTGCCACGAGAACGGCGCTGCTCATTGCCGGTGCCAGAAGCGTTGCGGCCGGAAGAAGACATGTTGCTTCTATAGCTAAAGGCCATCTCATCAGCGTACTGTCTTTTTTGATGCGAAGTATTGGGTGGGTGGAAAGCAGGTGCAGGTGGAAGTAGAGGAAGGTATGGCGAACTCCAGAAAGTTTGCTCTTGTACTTGCTTGCAGCACGACATGCAATAGGAACGCAAAGGGTGAAAGCACAAGGTTGACATACCAATGCTCGTGCGAAGGATGGACGCTGAAGAAAGTGGTATGGTGGTAAGATACTGTGAGTTTTATACTCGTCCGCATCCCGAAGGGTTGATCCGAAGCGGGGTGACCGTGTAGGCATTCACTGCACGAGGCTGTCTCTGCAGGTCACGAGTAGCCGTTTTTTTTTTTTTTTGTGTGTCTGGTGGAAACCATGACAACGAGATTCTGCTTGGAATTTCGGCCCATTGGATGCCGGATCAGGCAGCGCAGTGCTGAAGCGACTACCCAAAATGGGGCCACCTTCTCAAAGAGGATAAAATACGGTGATTACGTAGTGGCTCTGCATGTGAATGAACACGGGGCATAATTCAGGGTAAACGTTAGTGATTTCAGAGGCACCTGGAGTCACGGATAACCTGGAGTACGTCATGTCTGTCTGTGCTATTGATTTATTCACCCAGTAGGAGCACGTGTATAGCGAAACAACGTGATTGTTTTGTCGGAGAATGAGCAGTAATATTGAAGAACGTGGCGAGATTTTTCGGTTCAGTAAGCCAATTTCCTAATCCCCCATCCAAATGAGGAGAGAGAAAAAAAATTCGAATTGCAGTCTAGTAGAGACTTCCCAGTTGCGTCCGTCTTGCATTTCTAATGGCCCTTTAATCTCTTGTGCACACCCTATGCCGGAATTCCGAGTTAGCAGAACAGGTTTTAGAGACCCAAAACGCACAAAATTCTCATAAGCTCGATCAGTAATTTCAGCAGCGAGAGACCTTACCGGATCAGCGAGAACTATTCAGTTCTCTTCTTCTCACGCTTTTCCGACGATGAACGCAACAGCTTGTGGTTCAGATACAGAATATAAGTTTGGGCGAGCAAAATCATAGAGAATAAGAGGGCTAGTAGGAACAGCACAACGAGCAGTGAAGTCGGGACGTCTGGGAGGACATGGCGGTGTTCAAACCACATCGTAGTTGGACCAGAGCAGGGTTTGAAAGTTTAGCAAGAGAAGAGAGATGGTTGTCTGACCGTACTTCAGCGCAGCAGATAAATTGCTGTAGTTAAGTAAAAGTCAGGACTTGTTGGGGCGAGACACGTATGCTGTAGGCACCCTTGCAGCGCACGTCGCGAGGGTCCTCTATTTGTTCGCGAATCAGCATATCAAACCAATCGGATTTACAAAAGTACAGATACTGAATGAGCGATCAGGGAGAATGTGATGTTCCACACGACTGGTATTTGGTCACATTTACTATTGACATAAATATTCCGTGTTAGGATGTGGATGTCTACGGTCAACAGCTACTCGAGTAGCCGCTAGCGCTGCCAGTACCGTTAGCGGCGCTAGTACTACTAGCGATACGGTTAGTGTACATTCTTTTATAAAGACACGAATACATAGATTTACTGGAGCTGCTGTTAGTGCTTGTTGCCTCTTCCTGCAAATAACCCTTGCTTCCGGCGTCGCCAGCTCTATCGGCTCTGTCGGCTCTGCCAGCTCTATCCGCTCGCGGGGGCTTTTGCTAATGAAGATAGTAATATCCTCAGACAAAATTTCCGGAAATGGTAAGGCCGTTCTAAATATAGCGCGATAGAGGCGGCTTCTCGCGTAGCAAACAAGACCCTTGTATTATATTTCTCGAAGACCCTGTGTTCTGGTTTGCTACGTATCCATGCAACTCACGAAAGTATTCCGAAGCAAGCATTTCCTTCACACCATAACAAAGGGCAGGTTTGATTTCCTTTCCAAAGTTTTTTTGTGCTTTTCCATTTTTAGATCTATCTATTCCATGAACGCGACTCTCTCACGCCGATCTCTCTCTGAAATTTGTTCTTTGAGTCAACTTACTCAGATCCCTCCATGCTCGTCCTTGGCGTAATCAAAATAGCATCCTGGTAGCCTGTCTGTTCCTTTGAAAACTAATCCGCGCAAGTGGGCATGCTATCCTCGTCGGGGTTCTCGTCTGGCTGGGCCGGCTGCTTCAAGGTATGTTCCGCTAGCCTATTAATAACACTTGCCGGCAGCGGTAGGAACGGATATTACTGTTGCTCATCCCCTATAAAGTATCGTCGTCGAAAATGCTCTCCGGAAATCCGATACGCGAGCGTTTGATGGCGCGATTGTCGGATTCGGATTCCGAGTCCGAATCCTCGCTCATGGGAGGCAAGGGGAAGAACGCCTGTCGACCGCTGGTATTCTCATCTTTGTCAGAAATACGCTTAGTCAAGGCAGTAGTGGCCTGTGGTGGAAAAGGGTTAGCAGTGGTGTTGGCGTCGTCCTGTTGGAACTGATACTCACCATTTGGTATCGCCTCAGCAGATTACTCACGAGACTGGCCAGCGAAGCGCCTGAAGTAGGAGATCCACCTCTCATTCCACCCCAGCTGGATCAAGTTCAGCAAATGCTTATTTGGACGGTCCAGGTTGCGGACGAAGAGCTGATGCGTAGAATGACCGAGCTGCCACTGCCCTTCGAGATCCTCGGGAGCAGGGATGACGACATCATTGTGGCACTTGACACAGTTGTATGCGAAATGCGTCGGAACCGCAGGCGGCGGTTTCTTCTGGCAACGCGGGCACAGAGGAGTCCTCTCGATATTATCACTCGTCTCAACTTGGTGCGACTTTATGTATTGGTTGCGTACCTCATGCAGCTCCTCGAGATGCTGGATGCGATGGTGGAGGCAGCGATGCTCCAGGTCGCATGTGCACCCGTTGCAGCCCCAACCGTTGTTGTCGAGAGAGGCTACCGCGCAGTCGTCGCAGAGAGGAAGCAGGGCACCGTCGAAGTGGCCGCTAGCCGCCTTGTGATTCAAGTGCTTGATCTGCTTGTCATCACACTCGGTGCAAATGACAAAGTCGTTACACTCCCACGGATAGACCTCGTCCTTGAGACGTTTGACAGTGATGTCGCGTTTGATCAGCTGGCTCCGAGCACGGCGGCTGATCTTCTGACTGGGGCTCTCCAGATTGTCATCATCGCCCTCGAAGCCTTCATTGTCGTTCTCGGCGGCGGTGGAAAGCTCCTCTTCCCGAAGAATCTCCTCCCGTCGAAGCTTCATGTAGAGCTCGAGGTGGGACTGGCGGCTCTCGCAGCAAACGAAGCCGTTCGGGTGAGTGGCATCATTGCCGTGGGGGTGGACACCAAAGTTTTCATCGCAGCGGACGGCCTGGCGATCCTCAATCTTCAGAGGCTCTTTAACTGACTGCCCAGGTATGCCGTCGTCCCAAAGCCACTTGATGTACGAGTTCTTGAGGTTGAGCTCGTTCTCACCGTGCTTTTCGTTTGACCAATCACCATACCTCGCCTTGGTCTGTGTCCCAGGCCTGGGTTGGTCCAGGACAACACGGGTGGTGTAGAGCTCCATACCGGAAGTGGTCCGCAGCCTGCCATTGTTGTTCTTGAACATGAAGCCGACCATCCGGTTCATCCAAGAACGCTCCATGATGCCATCTCTCTTGATGCCCTTGCGGGGAGCGTGTGCCAGCTTCCAGGCGCCGGCAAGGAACTCGGGGAGGCGCTTGGCCTTCTCCGCCTTCAGTCTCTCCGCTTCGGCACGGGGGTCAACGGTCCTGACGGCAGACTTGCGAGGGCTACGCCTGGCCGAGTTGAGGACTTCCAGGCCCATGTCCTCTACATCATCGGCATTGTCGTCGTAAATTTCGCCGGCGCTGTTCTCATCGATGCCAGAGTATGCGTCTTCGCTCTCATTGTCCAGGTCGTGGAGCCCCTCATCATCGCTGTCCTCGTCATCACTGTCGCTATCCATGCTGTACCGCGGTTGCTGAGGCGCAGGCTGCGCTGCCAAGCGTGCCGACTTTCTAACGCTGCCGCTCAGAGAGATGCTTGGCTGTTGGTCAGACATGGTATAATCCAAGTCGCGGTGGTTACTTGTCTATCACAGACGTTAGTGTTTGGGGATGGAAAAGCATCGAGTTCATAAAATTTCGGGTGGATCAAGCTTTAGGATCACAATGTGGGTGGGTGTGAAGGTCAGGATGGGCAAGGTGTTTATGCCTTTGTGCATTGTGTAGTGCTGCATGTTGAGTTACAACAAATAAATCGACAAGTGCGGATGAACCCATCGCGGTTTGGCGCCAACACCGAAGAGGAAGTCACAGACAAGTAAAGCAAAAAAGAGGGTGGGAACTTACCGGGGGGTTTAGGTATGGAGCGAGGTGGCGCTGGTGTTTGTTCGTAGACCCTGACGTCTGGAAAGGGTAAAGGAATGCTGTGAGGCTGATTTCGCAAGTCGTCAGAGGTGTCCAAAAAGCCGAAGAGGTTGGAAGACGAGAGGTGGAGTGGGAGGGTGAAGGTCAGGGCAAGGACTTATGAAGGCATGCGCACGGTGTGATTGAGCGTGTTAAGCCGCGGGGCTGGCGGAATCGGCTGCGGTAGTGAATGAAAATTACTGCCGGAGCCTATAGGAAGATCGGTGTGCCCATGGGCCACGCTTACTGGACGCGTGCTTCCCCAAAAAGGCAACTCTTACGTCACTGTGCTTCTTGGTATCGACCGCACGCTGTGACCGTGCTTGTACCGGGGCGGGATAGGCTACAGCTGGTTGAAATACTGAGAGTCAGGCACTCAACAGAAAGAAGATGCAAAGCGGCTTACAGAAGAGGAGGTTATGCTCACGCACCCCGTCGAACCACCGCTTACGAAACCAAATGCTACCGAGAACTTTCTCACGCGGCTTCTTTCGAAGTATATGATCATCAGAAAATAAAGTGTCTTCTATACCCAAGAGGTATACTGCCATTCTACATGTAGCCAAATTGAAAGAATTGCTAGACAAATGAGTGTCGTTTGTCGAAGTCAGAAAATTTTCCAGACGGTAGTAGAATATAATGTCGCCTCAGACCAAACCGTTTTATTCGTCAAACAAATGCAATTACCAAGCCTAACCAGGCATCTTCTACACGTCTTCCATAGCATATCAGTGCCTGGTGGAAGGAAGGTTTTACGTATGTTGTATTTCAAAACCGCTCTCAAAGAGCAAACACCATGCCACAATCAATTCACGCCGTATTACTGCATGGTTTTGAAGCGCGTGTATATTAGTACCAGAAGGAATAGCAAGAAAGTTTCTTGATCGGAAAATACTGCACAGTATCTTATCTGCTTTGCGGCGTAGGGGGAAGAACTCCCTTTACCTCTCGGTAAGCCCCGGATTTAGGACCGCGTAGTATCTGCACAAAAAACAAGTATAGAGAACTTCATAGCCATGCGTTTTACGTCGCAGCGGCAAGAGAATCTACATGTATAAGCTAGGACTCCCGAAAGGCGCCTGAATACGATGCCGTCTCCATTGTACTTTTCCTTCCGACAGAGAACTACAAAAAGCACGGCGGGTTCACTCTCGGCAATAACAGCCGAATTTTGGGGGATCGTGGCTTGCCAAAAGGCGTAACTGCGGAAGAAGCCCGGGACACAGACGGGGGCAAAATGGAACCCACCCACCTGCGAGAGTGCCAAAAAGAAAATCAAAAAACGTACAACAGCCGGGATTCCCCAATGGTCACCCACTTGAGTACTAATCGGCCGGTTCGCAGCTTAAGTACGGCTGAGCGGACGGGAAGCCCTGCATTCTGCGACCTATGGTCGTACGTGAAAGACCATGTTGTTAACAGCACTTATTATTCCCAGTCAACAAGCAGTTGCCTGGCTGTTTACTGGGCGACTGACAGTAGAAGTGGGCGAGAATCCCTGCATTCTGCGACTTATGATCGTACGTAAGAGATGTATGTGCTATTGATGTTTATAATCAGAGAAAGCGCCCTACTCTTGGGTTGCAAGACCGAGACACTGCCAAAGGCTTGGTCAAGAAAAGCTTCAATTGGCACACAAGACGCAAGCGCGATGTTTTAATGAACGTGCAACTCGCTGTATCAGAATAGGGGAATGTGGCGGTGACGAGTGGAGGTCTCATCTGATCAGAGCTCTTGAGCACTGGCAACCAAGTTGGTCGATGCAGACCCATCCAACCTATCGGCCGCATTCCAGCCGATTTTTCTCGAACGATTTCCCCCACACATACAATCGCGCGGACTGACTGCAGTTTGATTCTTGGTAGAATGTCTATATTTACTTCCTTGGCGCGGTCCACTCCAGGTGTGACCTTCTACGCCATGACCTATACGCTCGCTGCTCAATCGTCGGCGTATTTTATTCTCTGCCACAATCCTCTCGGTCGGTTGGCGGACTATCTGGACAGAGGAGGCCGAAATAACAAAAGTTCATCTGAAAGGATTGTGAAAAACAGGGAAAAAGGTACCATGGACTCTATTTTCCACCTTAATGTCACGCCAAGGAGAGAATAGACGCAACCTCGTATTCCTGCATCTTGCCACCGCCTTTCCGATGATCTACATTGCCCCTGGTCCCAAATGCTCCAGATATAAAAGAAAGCTTGCTTGCAGCGCAGTGTTTTTTTCTACATCCACCAGAATCAGCTTCAATTCACACTACCAACCCTCCTCCAACACCACCACTACTACCTCCTCCTTCTCCAGCAAAATGAAGTTCACCGGTCTCCTCGCCTCCGGCCTCATCTCTGCCGGCATTAGCATGGCCGCGCCTGTCGACGACCGCTTCCCCGATAGCGGTCCGTTCAAGATGATGGCGCTGGCCTACGAGCAGCCCATCCACTACGCCTACGTTGACGTCAGCGGCGGCTTCTTCTACATCTACCGCGACACCAACTCCACCTGCGGCAGCGACGAGCCCGTCCTCGACGGCCCCAACAACCGCGGTATTCTGACCACTTACGGTGACGGCAAGCAAAACACCCAGGAGGGTAAGTTCAAAAAACTTCCTCAAAAAGAGATCCGAATACTTACAAACCAAATAGCATACGTTAACATTGGCGGTGCCGCCGGCGGCATCTTCTCCCTGGCCCCCTCCCAGGACCCTGCCACCACCCCCGACTCCGTCACCGACCACTTCACCCGCGTCGCTGGCCCCGACATCTCCCAGCTGTACTACGATGGCGGCAACTGGCTGGCCTGCCCCACCGAGATCGATGGCCAGTACCTCGTCTACGCCGAGAAGGCCTGGTCTCACGAAGAGGGCAAGGACAAGTGCATTCCCTTCGAGATCCGCACCGACAAGGTCGAGTCCCCCAAGAACTGCGAATACTTTTAAGTCAAGAGTGGGAATATGAGAAATATGTAATGTGTATCTAAGTTAATTACGCTTTCATGTATATACTACGAACATGGATCGCAAAATGCGGAAAATGTACTGTTTTTTTGAAACAATTATTCCCCGACTTTCTAGAGTATCAAGTTGATTTTTCGCCAACGTCTTTGCATGGAATCGTACTCTGGTTCTTCGGGTTTTATAAACCTGCTGATAATGTGTTTACAAAACGTAAGAAGGGTATATATTGTGAGGAATTTTAATTCGGACTTGCAGGCGGCGGGGCGGGCACAAAGTGGTAGGAATGCGATGTATCCACCAATCGTCTTCCCGGTAGTGTGTATGTACAACCTACCAAGATTCCCGACTGAGCCCAATTTCATAGAGCAGAACAATAAAGCCTAAGATATGTTTCGAATGTTAATGACACTATCAGCAAGGCTGAATATTCGAGGCTTGCTGATAGCAGTCGTGCGGAGGTAAGTGGTAATCTGGAACAAATGGAGGCTGACCGGCAAACCCGCGCTCCTCAGCTCAAGAAAGTGCCGCGAAAAGAATGACACAAGGGCAGGGTAATCCCGCCAGGTTCCACTTGGCATTTCCTCAGTCCGGAAAAATTTACCAGCCTTGTGACGTAATGCATGCGAGAGGCTTACGCCTTCATAACTTGTGGAACCACACTAGGCGTGAGTCACGTAGATGGAGTTCTTTGTGAGTTGCAAAAACAAATAAATGGTCATATCTGCATTCGATGGCACTATTTTAGCTTGTATATATACGACACGAGCTACGGAAGAGTGAAAGTTAATGTCATATGCTTTGAAAAGGAAGAAACAAAAATAGCAAGCGGCTGTAGGAAAATAAGCGAGGAAAATTGATGGAAAAGGTGTTTGACAGTAGCGAATCACCTTTCGTAGCCGTAGAGTAGCGATTGACTGTCTTCTTGCCCAATTATCGTGTCCTTACCTTCGTTCTCGACTATCATACGGTGCATAACTTGCATCACCTGGTTCATTTGCATAGTCAGACATTCGGGGAATGAACCAATCAAGTTTATTTTCCTATGTATATTGGGCTTTGTGGCTGATGGCGAGAACGGATATGCTTGTTCTGTGAACACATGCGATTCTGACCTATCATATCACGACCACTCGGCCAAATCCTCTTGTCAGTAGGATCTTTCATCGCTGTGCCAGCTTTCGGCTGCGGATCCCCTCTGTGGTCGCCTCTCCCCAGCCACTGTTCGATGGAAAGAGCCGTCGCGGAAACAGAGAGCTTACCCGATGCAAGGTGACGCTCTGCGGAAACTACCAACGAAGACTAAATATATAAGCCACCCTACAATTCTGACATTTTTGATCCCCACCCGTGTTTTTGTGCACCAGTGCCATCTTTTCAGTGACGCAATGAGTGAAAGGCAGCCTTCGGAAAGGCACTCTTTCCTGAACACCATAAACACGATGAGCCTTGGATCCCCAAGCATGGTCAGCCCTTCACTGTCCAGGCAGTAATATAATGCCTCATTTTATTGTAACACCGTGCGAAGACTGATGAAGTGAAAGCAAACAAGACTCAGCCTCGCCGAAACGCCGCAACTTCCTATTCTCTCGACGAGAAACCCGACCTCCGAGCATGTTCGACGGTCCGTCGGCCGAGGTATCAACCCAAGATCAGCCTCTTTGTTGCGTCTGTGAAAACACCATCGAACCGCTCAGCTACTGTCATGGATGCGACGCGTACTACTGCGATGGATGTTGGGAAACACAGGTACCACACCGGAAGAGATTATCTTCGCACGAGAAGATGCAAGCCAGCATAGCTACGAAAATCAAAAACGCCATGATGCCGCCCTCGGCTGGAGAAGAGGAGAAAAGAATGCACAAGAGCGATCTACAGACAGCGTGGTTCGGCGTCTTTCGTCCTGAGGATTCGCGTCCCTCGTTTCAGCTGTATGGTCGACTGCTGGAACTGACATCAAAGCCTACGGACAATCAAGGGCTTAATCAGGACAGCGAACAGAGAAATCGGACGCCTGGGCTGGTGTCATTCGTTGGAGACACAGGTGCAGGGAAAAGTTCCTTGATCAGGCTTCTCATCGAAAATCAGAATCGAGACTCTCACCCTTTCCAGAATCCGGTTGTGGGTTCGTCAACTTCCATTCAACCCACATCCGAAGACGTACACCTTTATGCCGACCCTTGGACAGCGTCCAGTGATGCTCCACTTCTCTATGCCGATTGCGAGGGGCTTCTGGGCGGTGATAGAGCACCACTCGTCGCGGCGCTGAAACACAGATTGTACAGACCCATGGCCAACACCCCAATTACCAGCAGTCCGATTGCTAGCAGCCCGCAATCTGTGGACGACGATGTGAATCGAAGACTTATAGTATACGAGAGAGAGAGATCACATGGGATACTCAACACTCATCGCGTCAATTTGCCGTCAAGAATCTTTACCCACGGCTGCTCTACATCTTCTCCGATGTGGTCGTATTCGTGGTCAAAAATCCGAGGTAAGTTACCACCTGTCACGCGTTCACAAATCGGAAGGATAAGAGCACTAATGGACAACTACGCTTAAGAGTCCTCGAGAGTGTATTCCAAAACCTGATTGAATGGGCGGATTCAGCATTGGAGAAATCCTCAAACCAGCCTTCCTTGCCACACGCCATCATCGTCTTCAATGCTTCGGATCCGCAGGACCCAAACCTAGCTGCCGAAGAGTCGTTCTGGAGCATAGAAGCCACCACAAAAGAAGTTTTCACAGCGCTTTCTCGTCTGCTGCACGAGAGCGACGCGTTCAACAAGTACGTGGACATGTGGAAGAAAAAGGGAAGGATGGTCAACAGCTTCGAGGCTCTGGTAAATTGCTATTGCAGCTCCGTGCAAGTACGAAACATGTATATGGCCCCATGATTTCTCAATATACTGACTGCGACAGGTCATCCGGGTTCCCGCGCGACAGCAGCCAAAATTGATTCATGAGCAAGCTAAGAAGCTTTATCTCAGCATCAACAACAGCTGCAGACAGTCACACCAGACGAGAGAACGTCTCCGCATGCTTTTTGACGTCGGAGATTTGCAAACATACATGGAGTGCGCCGTCGAACATTTCGCAACCACCTTGAAAGACCCTTTCGACTTCGTCCGAGCATCCAATGTCAACAGCCCCATCCCCTTCAACTTTGCTGGGAACATCCTGAAACTTGCCATCAACATTATGAAAACGCGGCAAAAAGATTCCCAACAGCTTCTTCGGTACCTCAGTTACATGGCCGCCTCCTGCATAATGCTGGATGTTGTTCGCAACAAGAAAGGGGGTAATACTCCCCGCACTGAATAAAGTAAAAGCCCCATCTGCTGACGACCGCAGGAAAAATCAATGCAATATTCCCCCACTATGTAGAACATCTCCGCTCAGCCGTCCGAAATTTTGCCAAAAGCCACCAGCCTTGCGAATATGCCAGGCCCGAGAACGGCATGCGTTGCGTCAACGTCAGCTCCGGTCACTCAAAAGGACACCAGACGTCTGATGGTAAGATATTCGCAACTGGAGACTTTGTGGCATCGATCTCCCGTGCAGAACTTCAACGTGACTTTGAGAGCAGGGTTTTCATCTGTCTACAAAAGCTGCATCAGGATCTGCAAGATCGTACTGTCAAAGGTGAGAATGACATGGCTGTGGCAAAGGAGATCCATCAAGAACAAACGTTACGTCCGTTCTGGGGAGGTCTCGACGACGACGGGGTGGTCCGCCACTTTCATAGTCACACTGCTTGCTTTTGTTGCCTTTTCGATGTACCTGAGCATGCACTGCCATGCGGACACACAATTTGCACCAAGTGCGCAAAGATGTACGGAGAGTACGACGGACCCCAAATGTCTCTCAGGATACAATCATGCCCTTTGTGCACCGGCGGTCCAAAACAGAATCATCCTTGGACAATACATCTGAAGCCCAAAACCGCTGGAGTTCGGATCTTGACTCTGGACGGGTATGCTCCCTTGTTTTTAAACTGCATTAGTGGACGCTAATAATAAATGCAGAGGAGGCATGCGAGGGATCGTTGAGCTTGAAATTCTTCAAGGCATCGAACGAGCCATGGAAAATAGACTTGCAGTCACCAGTTTCTTTGACCTGATCGTGGGCACCAGGTAAAACACTTTAATCTCGTATGACTCTTGCCGATGCTGACTCTGATAGTACTGGAGGCTTGATTGCTCTTGGCCTCGGCGTGAAGGAGTGGTCCGTCCAGGAATGCATCAGAACGTTCGAAGGTCTGGTGGCCACCGCCTTCACTCCACGCACGGGTAGTTCAATCCCGCTTGTGGGACCACTGGTCACAAGCTTGAAAAGCTCTGCATACGAGACAAAGCCACTCGAGGAAGCACTCATGCAAGCTTTCGGGACTGACGAATACATTTTCGGCGGAAAGCGGCCATTCGCGCAATACGAATCGACCAAAAAAGTGGTAGTAACATCGACTTCCTCCGGCATGGCTGTTGCCCTGACAAACTACAGTAGACATGTCCACCCTGAAAAGCGTAAGTGCTTGAAAGGCCCGAAGAAAATGTGTTCAGTACTGATTGAACGGTTTCTTGCCATTATCAGAGGGGCGAAACCATGAATGAAGAATTGAAGATCTGGGAAGCGTAAGTTCGCGGCTGTGCAACCCGCAACAACTGAAATTAACTCGAAGCTATAGAGCTCGAGCAACATCAGCAGCACCATGGTTCTTCAAGCCTTTCATGCATGGAGGGACAGGGCAGACTTACTTCGACGGGGCCATATTCCACAACAACCCAATCGCTGTCGCAATTATGGAGCGGCAAAACCTTTGGCCAGATGAGCCGTGCGAGTTTCCCGATATCATCCTCTTCATTGGTACAGGAACCAGCACAGGGCTCGAGACTCGAAGGTCGGGTCTTCAACCCGAGAAACCACATCAGGGATTGGCCGGACTCCTGGCGAACATGTACCACCTGGCCAAGGATCGATTCGAATCTGCGTTGAATTGTAATGTGACTTGAGACAAATTCATCAACGCGGCGGCGAGATCATGGGATATTTCCAGACTCCGCCGTATCAATCCGATGCTGACCGGAGAGGTCCCGGCGCTGGATGATGTGAAGAAGATGAAGTCCATCCAAGATGACGTTCGCCGGACGCATAACTCAGAAGGGGTCGAAAGCAGTCGATTGCTGCAGATAGCGAAGCGTCTGATAGCCACGAGCTTTTACTTTCAGTTATCTGGACGAATTAAAGACAGAGAAGCTACTGGTGAGTGATATTGTTCGGGGCCAAAGAGGAGTCAGCACTGATTGACGCTAGGGAGGATTTGCTGCCGTTTTTTTCCAAAATTAGTTGAGATCAGTGAGATCGGCACTTTGCTTCGTCGATGGGCGGAGATGGGCCACCCGCCGAAATTCGAGTTCAGTGAAGCGGGAAGATTGGTGCATTCCAAAAGCAGCCTTATTCTCGCACAGGAAGACCTCAACCTCATGATCAAGGAGTCCAAGTTTCCCCATATCTACGTGAAAGTCAGGCTGTCCTACAACCGGTCGGAGACTGAAATGCGCCTTTCATTTCAAGATCGAAACAACAGTGTGTATCCTATTAGTGGGTTTCCGCGGTGTCTTGACGACGATGAAGTTGATAGCATGGGAGGTGAGTGAAATGGCAAACCATTGTTATCTAAGGCGCACGGCTGACAATACCATAGGACCTCGCAGGGGTTCTGGTTTCTCTTCTGTCAGAAATCATCGACGCTGGTTTGAACTAGTTGGTGAACCAAGCTTGGACTGGGTTCCACCCGACACGCCTACGGTGGATAATCTTGGGCATACCTCTCTCACAGCGTGGAGTACATCTGCAGACATCCTGGGGCAACCTTCAGAAGAGACATCTGAGGAAATGGACGTACCGGTCGTCAAGGTGGATGTGCCGCCAGATGATGCCGCAAAGATGAAGGGCAAGCCACTCTCCCGGTTAGGAAGCATCAGAGGCCGACTTTCACCATCCTCGAGAACTTCTGAGCCCGATGTTGTACAATCTGTGAGCGAATCCGCGCAAGAGGAGCATATCTCGATGACCCAAGATATACAAGAGCTTCCCGGCGATTGCCTCCTGGAACCCAACGCAGGTGGTACCCTCCACGGAGTCGATGAAGGACTACCTTTCCACGGTGGTGTCGGACATCTGTCGGAGCAGCTGACAACCACGGACAGGTCTCCATCTCCCACTTTGCGTATCAACGAGGGTCCTCCCAGGCCGATCGAAGCCTCAACTCGAGATGCAGGCTCCTCGTTCCAGGCTATTATCCCCGACCTTGAATACGCCTTCTCCGGCACATCGGAGCCTCGGTCAAGGTCTCCAGGACTAGTTGAAAGAACATTGTCAAAATTGCACAGGAGTACTTCTGGAAGGAGTGTTTGACAAACACCGGAATCGCTTTCCGTGTATCTATAGTCTTCTCTTCTGTTCATTCTTTTCATTTAATACATAGCATAGGGTAGCTTTAGGTTAGGCGCGAATTGTATGCTTTTCCATGTCGTCGTTCTTGATTGGTGAATATTGCACCAACGGAGCTTTGAAAATTATCTCGGCAGCAGCACTGATATTTGCAAAGCGTTCACCGCACAGCATTGAAGTCGGGGCTGGTAAGTTATAGAGACGACAAAGGGAATATGAGAAAGCCATTCAAATGTTGATGGCCATGTTGGAGTAGCGCAAGGCTTAAATGGAAGCAAGCATGGGAAATTCAGAAATGGTTAATTTTCAAGCTCTCGGATACTCGGAGGTAAAATCGGAACTCGGAGTATTAATTGCGAGGTAATATTGTGAAGTGTTTGGTGTCAGATTCTGAAGCGATGTGTCGTTTCGAGATGATTGATTTGCAGTTCGTGGCAAGCGTAGCATTGAACGCTGTTATTACAGCCAAGCTATAACACCATGCCTGATACAGGAAGGGGTCAATGCTCAAGTAGAAAATCGTACGACATCTGATACCTATACTGACGACGACTCTTGTGAACGATTGCGTGGCGTCTTGACTGTCTCTATAAGCGCCCTTGGAGAATTTTACTTCCTCACCAGCCCATGCGGTGTGTATTGGATTCTCTTACTGCCAAGTCATCCAAGAGCTTCAAAGAGTTCACGGCGCTATCGCATTTAATTTATTAATTTTCTTAATCGGATTTCCCATTTTTCTACATTTCTACATGGGGCAGAACTTGATATTGCAAAATCGCTTAAATGTGAAGACCAGCTCTGTATAGGTATCGTGCAAACCGTGTGTTAAAAAAGAAAAAAGAAAAAGGGCAAGATCGGCAAAACCCAAACCTTCCCCTTATCCTTTCAATATCCCTACCGTCAAGTCTTTTATACCCTCCCGACTTGAGCCTAGACCGAAAAATAAGATAACCACGCCGTGCATGGAAAAAGGAGATCGTGATTCGCGCGGACGCGCATTAGAAGTTCTCCTTGCCCCAGACGAAATGGAAATCCTTGTCTGTATACATGTTGCACTTGATGTGCAACTGACTGCCCAGACCCTTGGGTCCGCAGAAGAAGACACCAGCTTCGGCCGGGCTGTGGATCTTGCGAATCGACTTGAAAATCATGTCCCAGTTGGGGCGGCCGAAATTAGTGGGCGCGCGCAGACCGGTGATGGCGTCTTGCTCGGCGTTGGCGTCGTTGATCATGATGTTCGCTGCGTCGTCGACCTTGACCTTGGCGGTGAGGTACTGATTGGGTGTTAGTCGGCGCTTCGAACTGGAGGGGCCTGGTGGCTACTTACTGTGTGGATCTCAATGTGGTCCTCCAGATCCTGGGCTTCGATAGCCGCAAGTAGGGACCTGAACCATTCCAGGGAACCAAAATCTCTGCAGACCCAGAAGAAGTAAACCTTCCTCAACCTCGTCTTCCCCTGTGGGTAGTTCATCCGGTACCAGATACTCTTCAGAATAGAGGCGAACGGCGTAACACCAATACCAGCTCCAACCAGAACGGCAATCTCGAACTTGAAGACATCCTCCGAAGCACTTCCAAAAGGACCATCGATGTAGACTCGGGGAAGGATCCGGCGCAAACTGGGATCGACGCTGTTTTCATCTGCCGAACCGCTGACGACAGCAGTGTCCTTCTCCTTCACTTCCTTCTTGTCAAAGTCGCAGCCCAGTGCCTTTGCCAAAGCTCTCGTGAAGTTTCCAACACAACGGACGTGAATGGAAATGTAGTCTTCCTCAGGCGCACTTGTAAGCGTGAAAGGGTGGTACTGCCAGACTGAGACCTCGGGGCAACACAAGAAAATGTACTGTATCACGTCAATACCACTTCAAATGCATCTCGAAAAGGGGCAATTACCTGTCCAGCCTGAGTCTTGGTGTTCTCCTTCTTGATCTGGATCTCGCAGACATTGCTAGGGTGCTGGATGACCTTGGAAACGTATGTCTTATGCTTTCCACGCACTTCACGCGCAGTCCTCTCAGCAAGGTAAAGGAAGCCGCTGTACATCCAGTACTGCCAGAACACGCCAACAGTGCTGCAATAAGGTGCAAAGTCCGGGCGAATCATACAGAAGGCTCCGTGGATAGACCACATGACGAAAAAGATGATGAAGAAGTGGTGGGTATACCAGAAGCGCTCGTAGTTTGCGCGGCGCGGCTTTTCGACTGACGTGAAGACCATGGCCATCAATGCAATGAGCATGACATAGCCAGTCCATCCGGGGCCGGTGATCAGGTTTGCCAGAAGGAAGCCCACGAAACCCAAGTTGTTTGCGGCCGAAAAACGGCCCAGATTGACCCAATGAGCAATGGTGTGGACCCAAGAGAAGAACACGATGGACCAGGCGACAAGGATGTGAAAGGTGATGTTCTTGTCGAATTGGATGACGCCGTTGAGAGAGGTCCTACGCAGCAGCGAAATCAGGTTCCTGCAAACCGGGAGGAGGATGAGGGCGACATCGAAGTGGAGGACCAGTGCAGCGGCACGCGCAATAACGAAAGTGTTTCCAAACTGCTCTCGCGACTGGGTCAAGTTGTCCTTAAGGCCATAATGGACGACGCCGAAGCTGAAGATCATGGCGTGGGCCAGCATGAAGGTGAAGACGAAGAGCCTCCGCCATCCCTCGTTCACCATCCAGCGGTCAAAGCGTTCGCGCAACGTCTCTTGGCGAATGGGCGTGTCGCTCATTTCGCCCGAAAGCAGCATGCGGGTCAAGGGCGGCCATCTTGACCGCTCCTTACCGGTAAGGCTAGATGCGTAGGACATTGCAGCGTCGAAATTGGGGTGAATAGTACGCGCCGAAGCTGCCAGGGAAATTAGGCACCGACGAGGCCAGCTCGAAAATCGTGAAAGAAGGATGGGAATTAAACAGTGATATTTTCTTTGGGCAGGGTTAGCGGGAGGACTCTCAGATATGATGGTCTCAGGGCATACCAAAGTGCCAGCACTAAAAGTTAGTGAACGGAAAATAAGCGGCGCGACTTAGGGATCAGCAGCCGGCTGAGTTAACGAAGGAGCAGCAACGGCGGCGAGGAAACACAGAGTTAACAGGCTCGAGGAGGGAGGGATAGGCGGCATTTGAAGCTTGGCAAGCGAGAGAAATCGGACCACAATCGAAACTGGTCAGATGGCGAAGCCGGCGCAGGCCGGCGATTAGCTGGTCGTTGTGGTGTAGCGGACACCGAAGACGTCGAGGATGTGTCTTGAGTTTGTCTCCTGACTAGCGCCAGGTACGGCGGTGTCATGCATGGCTGGGGTGGGGCAGATGCGGCTTTCGCCCCTACGGCAGCTGCGACAGCAGCGTCGAGGACAGTGCGGGCGTGTTGGGCGGCGTCTTGGCCGCGTCGCAGGTGTGTGTGATCTGCTCCACTCAGCGTTTGGGCGTCGCCTTCGCCAAATCCTGTGGGGCTGTAGCCGCCGGCCTCAGCTTAGCTCCACTCCAACACAGCACAGAGCAGCGCCAAAACAGACCTGACTGTTGCTGCTCGGTGGGCCCGGCGGTTGCGCAGTCGCTGCATGTGAGTGCCGATACCGACTTGGCGCAAAACAGTCGACGAGAGCCTGATCATCGTTTGATGCAAGCTGACCGCAGAGAACGCTTTCGCATTGCTACCTACCAGCCATCAAGTCATCAACCAACCCCCGGACGCCGATATGCACTGTCCCGTCATCCAGCCACTCTGCGGCTCTGCCACCATCGCAGTGAGAAGCGCCACGTCCTCGGGTTCGCCCACTCGATGCTCCAACGGCGTCGTCTTCTTCTGCTGCTCAACAATCTCGGGCGGGATTTTGGTCATCATGTCCGAATTGGTCGGGCCGGGTTGGATGGCATTGACAGTGTGGCCTTGCGGGCCGAGTTCTGCAGCCAGAGCACGCGTAAAGCCTTCCAGCGCCGCCTTGGATGTAAGGTACACGCAGCCGGCAGTCAACCCGACACGCGCACCAACCGACGACATGTTGATGATCCGCGCCGGCTTCCGCAGATAGGGCAGCACAGCTTGGCTCATAAACAAGGCTCCGCGTACGTTGAGATCCATGCAATAGGCGTAATCTTCGGGCGTGATCTGAGGCAGCAGCTTGATCAGCTCACATCCTGCGTTGTTCACGAGGATGTCGATGTCGTCGCCAAAGGCTGCTGTCGTCTCGGTCACGATCTTGTTCGGAGCATCGAGCTGGCGCAGGTCTGCTTGGATCATGACCGCCGCAGCACCGTTGCCCAGGCCATTTATTTTGGCCACGGCCTCTTTGGTGCAATTTTCACTGCTGGGGGAGGTGAATGTAAGGGCGACCTGAGTGTGGAGCGTCAGCATGTGCGATTCGGCAATATGGCGCAGCACTCACTTTCGCGCCGCGGTTGGCAAGCTCTAAAGCAACCGCCGCACCTATGCCTCTTGAAGCGCCGGTCACGATTGCGACTTTGCCGGCCAGAGTCAAGGGCTGGGCGGAAGCCATTGTTGCTGTGGAGGAGACGGGAAGTTGGTTCTGGTGCTCATTCCCGCATGGCGCCTGCTTATTATGACTGCATACCCCGCCGCCATCATCACGGAGAACGCAGTCTAACTCCACCAGTGAAAAACAGGTTCAGTCAGTGTAAGCGTTAGTGGGTCGACACTGGCTGTGGCTCTTTCGTTGCAAATTTGTTCAGGCGAATGAGACGGCCTGCTGTGCCGCATTGAGGTTTTCTTCACTCGACATGCTAGGGTAGCTGTGCCGCATGCATGGGCAAAGCACGCCATCCTCAGACTGGTGCCGCATTCAAAGAAACCTGACGAGCTGGTTTCTAAGACCTTGTCATGTTTTATATCGGTCGGCTTCGGCAACGGTCCGGGAGGTGGCCTCGGACGGAGGGCGCATCGGCGAGGGATTTCTTGGAACTCGCCGGTGCTCCGAGTTTTTCGGCGCCGCCAGGATGTTACCAGCTCTCTGGCAGTCGGCGAAAAAGGACAGGCTAGCGCGACATTTTTCCCTCGGACCACGCGTGTGTGACTCGAAGCAGGGTCATGGGTGGAGGTGTGCGACAATCGCCCGTGAAAGTCGCCGTCCCAGCCGGTAGGAGCCCCGCCTAGTTCCTTCGGCCACCAGCGTAAAATTTGATCGCAGCACCAAACCCTCCCAACACCTCTCCCACCAAACTTCCCGGCGCGTTACATCGCGAGAGCTGACCAGCAACAGAATTCTTGTAGCACACCAAACTAACATTTTTCCACCACTTACCAACACCATCACACGCCATGGCCTCATCATCGTCTCAGGTGGACGGCGGAGTCAAGCTCGAGGAGCAAAAGCAGCTGCAGCAGGAGCAAACAGAGCAGCCGCCGAGCCCACGTTTGGCGAAGCGCGGCACCAAGAGAATCAGTAAGTAGCCGCTGCACGTGTGGAACGAACGCCGGTTCCGATATATGCTCGCCGAACCCGCGCTCCACCCGTTTTCCTTCGCTTCTAACCATCGCCATGTATGTCTTTGCAGGGACACAATCGCTTCCGCCTCCTGATCTGCCCAAGCTTGTCGCAGAACAAGCGCAACCCATTCCCCATAGCGACAAGGACACGCAGCGCCTCATCGTCGTCCTCTCCAATGCCAGTCTTGAGACCTACAAGGCCTCCCATGGCGGGCGCGGCGGTGTCGGAAAGGAGGACAAGTACTCGCTTCTCAACAGCGACGAGCATATTGGTATCATGAGGAAGATGGGCCGCGACATCAGTGATGCGCGTCCAGACATCACCCACCAGGTCTGCTATAGGCCCACCTCGCTATTCAACATAGCGCAGCCACTAACTGCATCCTAGTGCCTGCTTACCCTTCTCGACTCGCCGATCAACAAGGCTGGAAGGCTCCAGATCTACATCCACACAGCCAAGGGTGTCCTCATCGAAGTCAGCCCTAGCGTGCGCATCCCTCGTACCTTCAAGCGTTTCGCCGGTCTGATGGTGCAACTGTTGCACCGTCTGTCCATCCGGTCCACCACGTCGCAGGAGAAGCTCCTCAAGGTCATCAAGAACCCCATCACCGATCATCTTCCTCCGAACTGCCGCAAGGTCACGCTTAGTTTCGACGCCCCGGTCGTCAAGGTGCGCGAGTACATCGAGGACCTGGACCCCAACCAGAGCGTCTGCGTTTTCATCGGCGCCATGGCCAAGGGCAAGGATGACTTCGCCGATGAGTTCAAGGACGACTCCATCTCCATCAGCAACTACAGTCTCAGTGCCAGTGTAGCATGCTCCAAATTCTGCCACGGTGCCGAGGAGGTCTGGAACATCATCTAATTCACAAGATATCCTAACTCGCAGCAGGGCCACACAGGGCAGGGGTTGAAGCGTTGCTTCGCGGGGAAGGGAACACCGGGAATGCATTGGCAGCCGCGATCACAACATCTAGGCTCCAGTCCAATGCCCGTCTCATGAGGATCTGTGGAGCGGTCTCTGTTTTTGCAACCAAAACATCAGGCTCTTTCAACAGACTCACAAGCGCATCTTCTTCGCAAAGCACTTCAACTTGCTCTGCGGCTTTTCTTCGTATCTTTGGGCATTGTCCTATCTCTTCTCATTTCTTTTATATTTCATTGGCACGAGAAAAAACTTAGCATACTTAGGCGGGCGTTCAGTAGGGCGTTTGTGCCGGAGGTAGCACTGACTTGGATAGCATTCACAATGCCGCGCGGTGGCTTGTCCACGTCCGCGTAATAATTTACCAGATGATTTAACTTTTCTTTTTCCGAGTGTCATCACGTGAATATGTGATTTGCAACTCTCTTTCCTTCTCACGACAAGCGTCTAGGCGCAGCATGCGGTGGTCAGGAGTTCGCCGGGACGGCAGGGACGGACCGCGGCGATTGGGCCGAGGAAAGACAGCGATGCCTGGACAAGGCGAGAACGAGGCCCCAGAACGCACTCGTCACCACCGGTGTATGTTGTGTTTGCGTTTGCGAAGCTGCCCTACCTTTTCGCCTCGAATAGACAGCATGCTTGGAGTCGCAAACCAATCTTAGCAATCTGGGGCGGGACTTTGGGCAGCGTTGAAATATTGCAGGCGAGGCTAGATCATGCTGGCTGGCGAAGCACCAACACACGCATAAGTAGAAGGCTGCTGGGCGGGTCGCCATCCCATTCGTAGTCGCGGTAGCCGCCCAGGCCTCCACCCCCGGAGGTTGCACGACCGGTGGGCATGGATTGTGCTGATGTGACGACGCACGTAGGGGATGCAGAATCTTGCGCCGAATTGACGTAGAGATATGGACGCTCTCCCGCTCCGCTACCCCAGATCCCGCTCGCTGAAGGGCTGGCACGTTGGCTTTGGGTCGCACAAAGTGGCGATCTACGCTGTTGGATCGCCTCAAATCATCTGCACGTCCCTCACCGGCGCGCCGTTGTTTGCGCCGTGCTGCGTGGTGGGGGGGAGCTTGGGTCACGGCCCGCTCTAGCTTCATCAATCTGCATCCGGCGGCGCATGCAGCAGAAGGTTACGACGCCCAAGAGAGGCAGTGCTGTTAGCAGTCTCGTGGCAGCGTTCACGAGGCGCGCGGGACCGGTTTTCGAGTCGGTGCTGTACATGTGGCCGCTGCCAGAACGGGGAGGCGTGTAATGTCATAGCAAGGGTGGGCACAAAGTCATGCTCGTCATCAAAGTGCCGCGGACGTCGGCGCACGGCGCGGGCCTGAGTGCTGGGGGCTAGAATGAGGAAGCCCCATCGAAGGCGTTGGTCTGCAAATCGGCCTTCTGCTCGGGGTGGTGGTCGTGAGCCTGGCTTTGGGCCTTGGGCCGAAGCGGCTAGTGCGATGGGGACGGCCGCTGCCCGCAAGCCAATAACGACTCCCCCACGTCTGCGGACAGGGTATCCGCTGCGACGTGGCAGTCCGCGACGCCGCGAAACATCCACTCGCGGTGGGTATGCCGCCGTGGGATCCCGAAGACAGCGCGGCCCTTGCGGAAGGCGATCCCCCCGGTCGTCCAGAATCGCGCGTTTGATGCACCATGCGGCTAATGCGCCTCTCGTCGCCATTGGCAACTTCTCGCCGACTTCCGCGCCGCGCTATATAGACGGGCCTGGCGCCCTCTCCTGGTTGCTGCATAAGGTCGCTTGCGACTAGAATTACGGCGCGGATCCTTTCCAGCCTCCTAGCAATACACCGCAACTCTGAGTAAGCTCTTCTTGCTCTAGATATAAGCAGAAATCCGCTGCGCGTCGACTTCTGCTGAGCCATTCTTTCTTTCTTCAATCCGTCAACATGATCAGCCACATAGGCCTCACCGTCTCCCACCTCCCTACCTCATGTTCCTTCTTCTTGGCCGCGCTGCAACCGCTCGGCTACAAGTACATTGGCCAGCAGGGGAATCAAGTGGGCTTCGGAATCAGAGATGAAGCCGACTTCTTCCTCTGCCAGGAGACTCCTGGGTAAGTCCGCTTCCGCAGCCATCCGTGTCCAACCCTAACACTCTCCTCAGAATCAAGGCTGGCGCTGCTCACATTGCCTTTTCGGCACCTGACCGCATTGCCGTGAGGAATTTCTACACGGCTGCCCTCACCGCCGGCGCACGCCCCCATGGGTCCCCAGCCACCCGAGATGCGGAGAATGGCGTGTTCAACGCGGCTGTGCTTGACTTCGACGGCAACAGCATCGAGGTCATGTTCAAGGAAAACGTCGATCCCATGGATGATTCGCAATCCGTCGGCGGCTTCAGCAGAGTCCTGACCTGGCGAAAGTCGGTCAACGGAAGCGTGCGTGACGACGAGTCGGTCATCAGCGGCTCCACGGTCAAGACGGCCACGAGGACTGTCGTCCCGTATCAGGCGCCGAAGAGCGCTGGCCCCGGCTCTGTTTACGCGCCGTCCGTCAAGGCCGAGTCTGTTGCGCCTAGCTACACGCGAACTCAGTCTGCGCCCGTTGTACCCAGGGCCTCGAAAGAGGAACTGAATCCGGAGCTCATGGCTGATGCTGGTGCTCGAAAGATCATCGGTACGCTCATCGGCGCCGCAGCCGGCGCCGCCGTGGCCTATGCCATGGTCAAGAGTGAGCGTGACAGCGCGAAAGAAGAGGCTGCAGCAATCGCTGCGTCGCAAGCCGGATCGCAGAAGGCGCAGTCGGTGAGGGAGCCGTCGCAGAAGGCACCCAGCGTCGCGCCGCAGTCCGAGTTTGGCGGATACACGCCGTCTCAGGTGCAGCAGATGATCCAGTACGAGCGCGCACCGTCGCAGCGCGGCTTCAGCGAGACGGAATCCATGTACAGCGCTCCGCGCCAGCGCATGGCTATCGAGGCCGCGCCGGCGCGTAGCACTCACGCCCCCACGCTGGTTTCAGCGCTGCAGTCGGGCGCTACGACAGTCAGGCAAGCCCACCGTAACTTCAGCGAAACTGAGTCCATGTACAGCTCTGCCGACAGCCGGGACCGCTATTCGCGTGCGCTGGAAAACGCGCCGCAAACAATCAAGAATCTTAACCCGACATGCGTGTCAGTCGCGCAGACATCAGTATCGAAGCGTAACGACGACGTTGAGTACATCCCCGCCTCGAGCGTCGGTCCGCGCAGCACCTACTCGCGCAAGAGCAGCAGTCCTTCCGTCATCTCCGAGATGCCCAAGAGCAGCCGCGCGCCGTCACAAGCTCCTTCCAAGGCGCCCTCACAATCGCCCTCCAAATCCGGTTCTAAAGCGCCCTCTCTCATCTCCAGCTTCCGCCCGGACGACGACGACGACCGCAAGTCACACGTCTCGGAATCCCGCCGCAGCAGCGCGCCCAGCGCACACAGCTCGCGCTCGAAGGCCGACCGCCTCGACTCTGTCGACGAGAGCGCCGAGCGCCGCAGCTCCGCTGGCAGCATGCGCTCGCACCACAGCTCAAAGTCCAAGGCCAAGTCTCTCATCTCCAGCTTCGTCGCCGAGGACCGCGAGGACTACCCGCCCACGCCGCCCAAGTCGACCGCGCCCTCGGCTGTCGAGCGCCGCAGCTCGGCCGCCAGCACGCACTCGACCAAGTCCAAGGCCTCGACCGTGAAGCCGGAAGGCACGAAGGCGCCGTCCCTGATCGGCAGCATCCTGGGCCGCAACAAGAACTCGGAAAACGACGACGACGGCCCGTCCGACCTCGACACCGTCGCGCCGTCCGACTCCATCTCCAACGCCGGGTCGTCCCGCTCGTCGCTGCGCCGTGGCTCGAGGAAGGAGGAGGATGCCGACGGTGACGACGCGAGGAGTTCGCACAGCAGGCACTCGAAGCACAGTAAGCACAGTAGCTCCTCCAGACACTCGTCCAAGTCGAAACACCGCAGCGGCGACGACGACGGCGACAAGAAGAGCCACGTCTCGTCGCGCTCGCACAAGAGCAGCTCGAGTCGCAGGAGCGAGCGCAAGGAGGAAGAAGACGTCGTGCGCCCCTCGACCATCAGCGAGCCGAGCGAGGCCAGCACCGTCAAGCCGTACAAGCCGCGCAAGGACAGCGTCGTGAGCCTGCCGACCAGGAAGCTCGAGGGCAGCATCGTCGACGGCGGAAAGCAGAGGAGCGTGGTGAGTTATGCGGGTTGAGTTACGCCTTGCTTACGTGGGTAGTTGGATTCGATGTCTTGGACGCACTTGTGCAGTCTTACAATAACCCACATTCTGCGTCCGGACGTTTGCTTCAACAGCTCCCACAGGAAGAGCGTATGGTTCTTCGCAGCCTAATTTGCGCCTAAAGTATGTATTGGATGAGTAATGTCTCTCTCCTCTTGTCTCATTTCACTGTTTCAATATTCGAAACTATTTATTGCATGGTTCGGTGCGCTGGGTAGGTGCTACTTCTTTCTTGGCTTTTTTCTCTTCTGCTCCGCGCTTCTCAAGGCTCGAGGCCTTGGGCTGGGAAGTGGAACGTCTTTTTCCTTTCCTGCCTACAGATGTTTCTCATCGTTGGCTTCTAGTTTTTCCTACCAATTTCCTATTTGTTTGCATCAATGGTGCTTGGGGGGATTATTCTTTCCTGGCTCTATTATTCGACAGAACTACGCAACGCAAGTTTAGCTACAGGCAGATGCGGTCTAGAACTGCGACTACTAGCCTTTAGCTGTTTCTTCTTGTATCTGAGATACATCATATACAGACGAATGACACGCAAGAATATCCTAAACCTTGTCCATACTTTCGCAAATGTGCTGTGAGACAAAATTCTATTGATGTCAGCAACGGCAAGCCCAGAGGACGAAGCGCACAGGTTTCAAGTGCTCGACATAGGGACTGGGTCGACTCCTTTGAATTTGCCTTCCTACCAGCTTGAACGATGCCTTTTGCCAGTTTGCCATGTGAGTTCTCACTTCCATCCACCTACTGTTCAAGCCCTATCTACGTACCGGAGTATCGCGGGTTATCCATTTTCGGTGCAGAGTGCGATTTGTATGCCTCCTCTTACCAGTATTAAGTTGTGAAGCTTATAGCTTAGGGAGTTGCAGAAAGTTTGGTCCTTCGTTCATGCACAGGATATTAATACATATGGCTCTTATGGGGAGTTCAAACCGGATATCCCGATGGATGTAGATTTTAAAGCTGTACAAGATTATTCAGACGGAGACTTCGACTACTCACGTAAAAAAGGATGATGATTTCTCAATAACGTAGGAAAGCAAAAAGGCTTAACCCTCCTACAACCCATTACGATCCTTGTCCATTTCATTCTGAAGTCGTTTCCTTGAAGCCACATTCATTTCCACTATAGGGTAGGAAGAAAACAAACGCAATCAAGAGAAAACAGAGCAAGCAACCTTGTCATAATTCGAGGGAAGGTAGCAGAAAGCTTCAACCTCGCAGATCGATAGAGGGGTAAACGCAAGATCAAAGGAAGAGAGAAAGAAAAAGACTGCAGTGAATTTCGCTTTCATCATTTTCAGAAAAACGCAGCCTCTCAAGTGAAAGTCCTTCTGACGAAACAAAGCAGAAGCTGAAAAGAAAATGAAAAGAAGTAGTCGCTCGCAAATTCCGCCCCATGTTCCCGTGAAGGAATTGAAAAGAAAAATCAGCCTTCCGTCTCATCATGCATTTTTCGTCTTTTGCTCAAGAAATCTGCTCAAAAAGGTTTAGGAAAGAAGGGATACTAGATCAGCTCGCCAAGCTTTGCAGCAATGCAGGGGAGCCAAAGCTCTTGTCCGGACGTTTTTGTAAATATTTAGATTTGCAGATGCGTCCGTACTAGTGCTTTAACTGCCCCCTCTGCAGCATAACCCTGCCTACTGCAATCTTGAGTTGGCCGACCGTTGGAATAATGAGGGGAGGATTTGTCTCATCGCTCAAATGGCATACTGGCTGACGTGCAGGTACTCCCACGCAGATAACCCCTCTTTTGTAAATGCTGATACCAATCTTTGAAACCGGAGCACCGCCATTTCTATCTCTTGCCAGCAATGTCTCTGATACCGTCGAAGCTGCTCCTCACACTCACGCTTGAGCTTCGTCGCCTGGCACGCCTGGTCTCGTTCGGGTCATGCGGGCTAAGTCCGCTTGCTCGGGCGAACAAGTTGAGGATGTCCGTCAGGCTGACGACGCCCGTAAGATGCCCAGACAGACTAGCACCAGGCATAGCTGACGCGCTGATCGACGGTGTAGAAAGCGGCGACGGAAGAGACGCCCATGGCGCAGAGCCGGAGGGGTTTCCGGATGAGGGGTTTGTATCGATAGGCGGGGGTATGTTGATAGCGGGGTTATGGTTGGAGTTAGCGCTTGGCGGAGGGGAAAGGATCGTCGAAGACGTCGGAGAGAATGCTGGTTGCGCAGGGGTGACCGCAGGGGTCGGAGGCCCAGATGAAGCTGGAGACGGAGGTGTGGTGATCCACATTCTGCAGTGTTTACAATCAGTTGCCACGAAACCGAAAAAGCATTCGCTCTGATTTTCTCACCTGTGCGACTTGGTGGCAACCAGCTTAGCGACGGTATGTGCGAGAGTGGATTGCGGAGTAACGTGGAACACCGGGAAGGAATCTTTCCCGTCATTCATACCGCGCTCTGAGAGTATCACAGAGATGAAGTGAATGCACGACGAGCGGAGGAGGGGGAGAGCGGTTGTCTTGGTAAGTAACTAAAACCGCACTGTGAGCTAATGTCTCGAACTTGATATAACGGTACGGTAACCTACCCGAACATCGACATGCGATATGTTGCCGACTACATTATTCGAGTTATCCAAGACCGGCAGAGAGGTGATCCCCTCGTTATGCATGAGCTCGAGTGCATCTGTAACAGGCTTGTCGCCGCTTTTTATCATAGTCAGCATGATGCACGATGAGCGCGGACTTGAGGAACTTACTTGATCGCAATGACTTGCTGGGAGCCGAGGTTGAGCTCTCTCAAGGAAGATGGGTAGAGGTTGTCAATCGAAGGGAAGCTGCGTCCATTCTGCCAGAAGAATCCCGTCAACCGCAACTGTGTCAGAATACCAATGACGTCTGACGAGTGCTCCTTGACGATGATAATCCTGTGGATGCCACTGCCGAAAACCTCGACAGCCTTGGTAAGGCTAGCGGAATGGGGGAGAGTGATGAGCGGTTCCTTCTTCCCAAGATCCTTGACATCCTTCAGCGGGATCGGCTTGCCCTCTCGACCTTTTTGTGCGAGCTCATTGAATGACTGTATGTCAGAAGCCTCCGGGCGCGCAAGGCCGACGACGAGGAGGAGATAGGCGTTCAGGTCGCTGTAGTCGAAGGTGCCGATGGCGGCGTGGGACTCCTTGTTCTCGCGAAGAAGGACGACATTAGGAGAGCCGGAGGAGATTAGAACCTAGTTGATGGTCAGAGTCGCGTGAGGGTGGAGTGAAGTAGGGGGCATGGGGAAGGCGGGGCCCCGCAAAGCAGACTCACGTTTGTGGCCTCCTCGACGCTGGTGTCAATCTCGACGAAGCGGACCAGCTCCGGGTCAATGACCTCGCCGACCTTGATGGAGCGCCAGTCGCGGCCGGCAAAGGCGCTGTGCTGGGTGTTCTTGCCGACGGGCGGGTTGTTGAGCAGGTCTTGCAGGGCCTGTTGCGACAGAGAGGGCTGGCGCGAGGCGCGCGGGGAAGCTGGCATCCCGCGCAAGTTGTCGGCGAAGCTCTGACGGTGCGAGACGCTGGGGCTGGAGGAGTTGGAGGGAACCAGTTGCGGCGAGCGCGGCCCTGGGTTCGCCATGCTTTGAGGTGCACGCAAGCAGCGGCGACTTCTTGGTTCTCGGGTGACTTTTGGCGCGGTGAGGTGAGAGGGCGGTCTGCCAATAGCTGGGCGGGGCACGACGTCAGTGCGGGCGTCCCTTGTTTGCGCGCAGCAGCTCCCTCGCTTTGGATCCGGTGCGGGCGGTCGACGTGGGCGGGTAAGGAAGTGGTTTGGAGTCGTGATGGTCCGGCTTGAGCGGCTTTCTGGGCAGTGGCTGGGTCTTTTGGGCGTCCGTTGCGGCTGCCCGCATCGCGCGCGCCCGGCACCCGTCCCGCATCATTATCGCTTATCGCGACCGAAAAAATCACATGGCCGCGCGCCTCTCCGCACGCGCTCTCTCTACCTCGCATTCGCGCAAACCGCCATTGGCTCGGCCATCCCGCCCATCTCCTCCATCGACACTGCACCCCGCCATCTCATCTTCTCCGCGTTCTCGCCTTGCGTAGCCTCTGCAACATCACCCGGACTCTTCTCCTCAGGGACTCCGTGTCCCAATCCCTTTTGGGCCTTCTCCGCGCCGCCACCATCAGCAGTCCCACTTAGTTGCAGCCTATCACCGCATGTCGCAAAGCGGGACGCGCACTATTTTTGATTTCTTCCACGCTTTGCGCAAGTCAGTGTGACCATCACATGCGTTTCTATTGTTTCCACAATAAAACCAATATATGCCAACAGAGCGTGTGTGAACCCTTCGACGGAATGGAAGCAATGTACAGTCGTCGCATGGCCGCAGTTGAGGATTTCATTCGGATGTGGATGCCGTTACGCCTCAACACATCTCCAGCCAAATCATCGCGCCAAGTCCCCAGTGACAACGATCACACAATCGCATAGAACTGTCACTTCGTTACTCGATCCAGGATTCTCACTACCCTGCGCTCCGTATTTTTTTTTTCGGTGGGGAATTTTTCTGTTTTGGTTTCACTTGTTGCATACCGCTCACCTGCGACAGGTAGTGTGACCTATGGTTCTGTCTGCAGACCGACGTGCATGAATAAGCCTAGGGTGATATAGGCGCTTGAACTGCCGAGAACTGCAGCATTGGTATTGCAATGTGTAGTGCCAGATACTAATCAATTATTAAAGTTCATTGACCTCAGTGTTGGAACAGCGACGCTCGGGCAACTGGAAAGACGCTCGGGAAACGCTTCAATTATGAAGCCTGGACAATCTTGTTTCATGTACGGTGTCACAGCGAGTACCAAACTATTTGATGCTTCATTGATTTTTTTTTTATTTTCTAAAAAACATGTGGCCGTGGTGTGAGTAGTCGAAGCAATTGTCCAGACGGAGATTTGGGGTTGAGAATGATACAAGGATGGCGAGACAATATTTTCACCTATCTACATAAGTCCAGTCCAGTTCTCGTGAAACGTAACTGCGAAGGATCAATTCTTTTGTAACCCACAATCGTGCTACAATGCTCTGCAAAATCCCGTAGTACAAACATCCGAACCACAAGCACGATTGGAACTACACAAGCAAGACAGACTAAGCGTACAGGGACGTCATGTGTTCCTTGCCAAAGGCTTCTGAGCGATTGATTGCGTATGTACAACGGACCCGGGAAGATGGAAACTAAGCCTCACATTCAAGCCTCACATTCAAGCCTCACCTCTCAAGCCCCAAGACATAGAAAACAGAAGCACCGGTTACAATACTAAGATCTCCCATCCAGGCTCCTTCTAGCACGCCAGGACTGATGGCCCAGGAATCTGGTACGCATTTCCGCCATTATCGGGCTGGCCACTGGCGCCGTAGATGTTGATGAGGATGCCGCTAAACACGGAGTTGGTTAGCGAAGACAATCTCGCTAGCGGAGATCAGACCAGTATGGGGAGAGACCACAATGAAAACACGTGGAAAGAAGGATTGCGGGGTGGGAAAGGAGAACAGGAGGCCTTAAAGGGGCAAAAGGGGGAGCCTGCAGGGATCGATTAAGCAGGGACAGCGCGCCCTAGGAAATATTGATCGAGAAAATTCTTTAATGAGTAGAAATAAAAGAGAGCCAATAAACAATTACTCAGCTATGCTCGGAAGTACGTACGGGTCATTAGCACTGTAAGCGCCAGGGAAACTGACGGTCTGGCCGGTCTTGGAGCCGCCACCGGTGACATTTATCTGAGCGCAGGACATCTTCAATAGCGGTCATGTCAGCCAACCGTGATTGCTGTAGAGGTGGGCATTCCGAGTGGGACCCGGGCGCATGGAGACGTGCGGGAGCCGGTGCAGACTTACGTAGAATTGGGCCCCGCCTTGGCTATAAGCACCGTGCAGGGCTGTGGGGGGTTGAAAGAGGGATCGCCATTAGCCAACAGATCCGGAATGTTCTATGGAAGAGCGGGACGGGAAGCACCCGCGCGCCGCGCGTGGATCACTTACCAATCACCTCGACGCGCATGAGGTATTGACCAGAAGCGACACACGAAGGCATGGTGAATGTGGCCCATCCGTCGTTCTCGAGCAAGGTGTCCACGCCCCAGTGGCCACTGCTCAGACCTTCCTCGTAGATCTTGAACCACTCAAGACCATCTGGGCTAGCCGCCGCCGCGTCATCCACTTCGGCACTGCAGCACGATGGAGTCAGTTGAGGCCTCACTCAGTCCTAGGGATCTCCGCACAGATATACGATAATGGGACCCTTGTGGCTTGCAGCGATTGGATTGTCCGGGTCGTTCGAGCCTTGGGGACCGCCAATCAGATGCTGGTATTGGGCCCCGACTTGCGCACCCGCAGGAATGTCGATCACAGTGGAGGATACGGGAGAGGAGAATCCAGAGTTGCATGCAAAATTAGAGGCCTGCACGTCCTGAATGGGATTGTTCGAAGTCGGCGTACGGACGCCGGTCATCAAACCCTGGTCCTGGCCGTTGACAGAAACACGCTGGAAGATTGCGTGTGCATTGGCGGCAGCAGCCAGAGCTGTGGGGAGAAAAGCTGACAACTTCATTTTCAACAGACAGATGGAGACAATCAACACAGCTTGCGTTGAGCTGATCACTTCACGGCGCAAGACCTCATCGTTTTATAGGTAACTCCATCCACACTTGGGACGCGGGCAGACTCCTCCTCTTTATCCGGAGGCATCACGATCCAACTGTATCCAAAACAGTTCGACACTTCTGGAGGATGCCAGGGTAGAATCAGTGCCCTGAACTCTTGCGTGAGCATATTGGATGGGTTTTTGGAAGGGTTGGTGTCAGAAGTGATATGCCGGGCCAAAACAGGAAAGTGCCCTGCGTCGCAAGGCGGCTGCGGTCCATTCTGGGTGTAAGACGTGGATTCCTTTTGCCAGCATGTGGAGGCTATCTGACAGGGTCAACGCTATTTCTTAATATTAAGCTTAAGAGGTGGGTAGCTGAGGTTTGGGCATGGACGAATGAGAAGTGCATGATTGTATGCTGGCTGTTTCAGCGCGGGTGGTTAACAGCCGCCGGGCCGCCAACTAAATTCGACCGACGGGCCGCCAGCCGAATGGAAATGGCTGAGGGTCCAGAACACAGGACGAGCGAGACGCTACGGGTGTGCTGAGCGGCAGGTATAAAGAACGGATAGGGTCCCCCTGTGGAAGCTCCGCACGGAGCAGCAGGATTTTTTTTTTTTTCAAGACCCTCGTTTTGCCTCGCTCGCCGATCACCTGCTCCTGGTATGTCGTCGTCGTCATCGTGTTGCCTCAGAGCCTGCCAAGCAAGCTTTGGGACCTGCGACAGGGCGTCACTCCAAGGTTGCACCGCGATAGCGCAGCCGGTTTGGGCACAATCAGGTTGATAGGGAGGCGTGGTGGTGGTACTAGAGACGGCGTTCAGGCGTCGCGAGCGGAGATGAGCAGCCGAGCAGCCAATGCGCTTGGGCGCTGGCGCAATTTGGAGGCGTCTTGGGCCTTTGCGCGCGTGTCGCTGCTGAGGGACTGTCGGGGCAGATGAAGGTCTGTCTCTGGCCGAAGACGTGCTGGGCCTGGGAGCTTGGGATCGTGCTGCGCGGTCGACGATCAGCCGCCGCATTGGGCGACTCAAAGAGCGCGGGCAGCTGTGGAGAGAGGCGCCAATACGTCACAGCTCGGGTGCACGGTTGCGCGTCGTGAGCGCCGCGACTGCTGGGGCCGCGGTAGCGCAAGCAGATCGCCATATCAAATTACTGTCATGCCTCCTCCCTGCTGCGCCTCGTCACCTCTCCTGTCGTCGCGGCAAGAGCTCTCTTAAATCGAGTCGCAGCCTGCCAAGTCGCCGCCGCCGTTGTTGCGTGTATCTTGCCCCGTCCTGCGCCCGGAAGCTGCGCCCCCAGTTCTCAGCTGAACGCACCACCGACGAGCTCAAGACTCCGGCCGCCCCGTCCGCCCGCAAGACGTCATCGCTGCGCCTCTAGCCTGTCCCTGCTGCTGCAGCTATCTATAACCCTCGCCCGAGACGCAATTTCAGCCGCGTCGAGATCCATCGCTTGACCCAGCGCCGCGACCGCCTCAATGGCCTACAACGCGGTGCCTGCGCCCCAGGCCGACCATGTGGCCCGCGGCTATGGCCCCTCGGCAGCAGCCGACTTTGCGAACACGCCAGCCCACCCCGCAGACGCGCCCCCACTGGTTCACCAGCATGTGGGTCGCTTCAACGAGGATTTCGATGCTAGCGTCCGCGGCTCGTCCATCCTCGACGGCGACACCATCCAACGCTCGTCGTCGCGCGCCTCGCAGCATTCCCTCGGCGGAGGCGTTTCCCGCAGCGGCACCCTCAAGAAGAAGAACTCCGTGAGCCGGAAGGGGAGCCTCAAGCGCAGCGGGAGCCGTCGCAGCATACGCGCCGGCAGTATCAAGGGCATGCCCATGGGAGATGAGACCACCGACCCGGACAGCTTCAACAATGTCTTCAACACTCCCGTCCCGACCTCTGGCACGCCGACCGACATCCTGGTCAATCGTTTTCAAGGTGCGTAGCTGCAGCATAACGTTTTGGACTTGGACTGACCCACGAAAAGCATGGCGCAAGCTGCTGAAAGATCTCATCACCTATTTCCGCGAAGTCCAGGCATCATACGAGGCCCGCTCCAAGGCCCTGATGAAGGTCTCCAACGTCGTCAACAACACCAATGCGCCCTCGCTTTTCCTTGCCGATGGCGGCATCAATGACGCGAACCGGATCCTCCGCGACTACCACAAGCAGTCGGTTGTCGAGTCGAATAAAGCTCGTGACATTGAGAGTGACGTTATCGCACAACTGAGTGGACTGAGGGCCGATCTAGGGAGCAAGATCAAGGAGATCAAATCACTGTCGGGTGATTTCAAGAATTCGGTCGAGAAGGAGAAGGAGACTACTCGCAAGGCAGTGGCGCATCTCGAGGACGCCCTTGCGGCCGTTGACGTCGATCCTTCAGCAGTGGTTGGCAAGGGCGATCCGTTTGTGGTAAGATTGGCGGTTGATCGCCAAATTGAAAGGCAGATCGACGAGGAAAATTATCTCCACAGGGTGAGTAACGCGCCAGGGATACTACGAGCCTGTTTACTGACGCTGTTGTGTAAGGCTTACCTCAATCTCGAGGGTTCTGGACGGGAGCTTGAGTCCATCGTGGTGGGCGAGATTCAGAAGGCCTACAACGCACTGGCTGGGATTCTGAAGCGCGATGCCGACGAGGCCTACGATACCGTCGAGAGACTTCGCGCAGGCCCGATTTCGATGCCCAAGGATCGTGAATGGACTCAGTTCGTTGAGCACGACCCGCACTTTGTCAACCCACGGACACCTCTGCGACGCATCGAGGATATTGAGTATCCCGGTAAACATCACCCGGCAGCAGCCGAGATTAGAGCTGGCATGTTGGAGCGCAAGAGCAAGTATCTGAAGAGCTATACCCCTGGATGGTACGTGCTCCCCACTTCCCCCCTGCTATGCCCCCACTCACTCTTTCCAGGTATGTTCTGTCGCCGACCCACTTGCACGAGTTCAAGTCAGCGGACCGTATCTACACGCAGCCTCCAGTCATGTCTTTGTATCTTCCCGATCAGAAGCTCGGCACGCACTCTCAATCCGGTTCCTCTTCGCACAAGTTCATTCTTAAAGGTCGCCAAGCTGGTTCTATGCACCGCGGTCATACCTGGGTCTTCCGCGCCGAGTCCTACGACACTATGATGGCATGGTACGAGGATATCAAGAATTTGACAGAAAAGAGCGGCGAGGAACGCAACGCATTTGTGAGGAACCATTCCCGGAGCATCAGCGCAGGCAGTGCGCGGTCGGTTAGCAGCGATGGCCTGGACGACAACGAAGCGGACGAAGTTCCATACTCGGCGCAGAACTCGGACGTAGCCATCAGACAGCAACCGGCGGCTCCGCGACCGCAACCAGGTGGGCGATTTCCTTCGGACCTTACGGTCAACCGTGACTTACAAGCTCCACTTTCGCCATCTAGTGGAAGCTCTGAAGCCGATCATCATGACCTGACGACCGCCGCCGGAGGACTGCAACACGAGCAGCCTGACACTTCCGCGTATTACGGCTCGCACCAACAGTACCAGCCTCAGGAGCATTACTTTGCCCCTGTGGCCGGTCAGGGCCAAGCGAGCTACCAAAACCAATACCCGCCAGCGCAGGCTCAGGCCCCGTACGAGGCGCAACACATCCATCAGCCTCAGCCCCAGCAGGTATACCCCGCCCAAGCATCCCTCAACCCAGCGAACGAGCCTGACCTGAAAAGGCACAACAGTACAACTACATATAGTAACTGGCTGGCGCCCGCTGCCGGCGGCGTTGCAGCTGGTACTCTGGGAGCAGAGGCATATGCGAAGCATCAGGATCTAAATGGCGCCCCTACGGACACCCAGGAAGAACCCTCGAGTCCCTTGGAACCTGCGCCTGGCACGACTGCTGCAGCGGCGGTATCTTTCCCAAGCAGCACGAGAACCTCTTCTTACGCCGATACCCTTGATTCCGAAGCGCCTGCAATGGCGACGGCCGGCCACCCCGCCCAGATATTCGCAAAGGCTGCCGCAGCCAACGGAGCCGCAAACGGCAACGCTAAAGCTACTCAAGAACGACCCGCCGGTGCCGCACGCAACCACACTGATTTCAGTGTGAGCCAATTGCACGTGCCCGGCGAATACCCACGGACCCCGATGTCGCAGTAGCGCAAACATACTTACAAAATCCAGCGCGTCTTCTCCTTTGACACTGTTCCCCAAGGGAAGAGACGCGATGGATGTTGTTGGAGGATAGGAGGTTTCCTTTGTCCAGTCCTTTTTGTTTACGATCCGTTATGAATTCCCCCAAGACCCAGTGTTTTTATCGATTCGAGTTTTCTTTCCTGCTTTTGCCTGAATTTGCGCCCTTCCTTTTCAGGAGATGAGGGGGTTGCAGAAGGCTTACAGGATGTAGGGATGAAGGAAGGGAGGTTGGGTGGTTGAAAGGAAAAATTTGGGATGGGTGAGGGGTGGTCAAAAACAAAAAAACATATTTATGAACGCGGTAGGATGGGAAATCGATGCGTGTACGGGGTGAGTGAAGGATGTTGTGCTTGTTGTTTAGCCTAGAACCAGCATTCATGTAACCCATACAAAATCGTAAAAAAATACATATTTGATTCTCATTCAGCCTGCGCGTAGCGTCTTGATAGTTTCTCAAGAGCATTGTAGTAACACTTTACCTGTTCATGCCTTACGAACAATTGATGTCCTATTATGCCTCCTCTTTGCGCAGCAGATTTCGGGCAGGTATCCTCAAATCTCCAATTCCAAGTTGACCATCCGCAGTATCGCCCTCCTATCCTTGTACCTCCCAACCTTCGCCATCACCGCCACGCCAAATGGATCAATTGATCAACTAACCAACGCCTCAAACTCACCATCCCTCTTTTCTCGCATCTCCGCCAACACCCCTTCCCTCTCCCGCACCAACAGCCTCGCCTCCTCCCTGTCGGCAGGCAAGTCCTTGTACGCCCGCACCTGGGCCTCCAGCCGCGCCACCGCCGCCCGTACGTCAGCGACCTCGCGCTCCGTGCGCACTAGCGCGCCCAGCGCTTCTGACGACAGGGGCCCGCCGCCCGCGCTGGACGCCAGATAGCGCGCCGCGGCGCCAGGGGTGTCGAAGGGGTTGGCGGGCCGCTGGGGGATGGAGCGGGTGCGCGTGTGTTTCGGCGAGCGCGGGGATGGCGGGGGTGCGTAGTCGGCGGTCGCGGAGGAGGATGAAGAGGGCAGCGTCAGCGCGGCGAGGCGGTCGGCGTATTCTTGGAGCTTGGGGAGGAGGGCTTTGGTTTGGCGGACATAGTCGGCGGTCTGCCGGGGCAGGGATGGGGGTGGCGGCGCGAAGGCTGGGAGGCTGGTTATGGTGCGCAGGGTCTCTTGGAGGTTGTGCAGGTCGGCGGTGAGGAGGTGCCGGAGATGGGAGAGGGTGGCGGTGTGCGTGGTTAGGGTGTGCGCGTGCGTAGTGAGGTCTAAGAGGGCGTGGGCGAGCCTGCGCGGTCGTTAGCGAGGATGTTTATATGACATAGGGCCTGGTGGCTCACATCTCTGGATCTGTAGACGGCGAATCGAGGATTGTTGAGAGTTGCGCCAGCGCGTCTAGGCTCCGCTTGCCGTCGCTTGTGAGGTTCTCCTCAATGATATGTAATAACTCCTTATCCGCTTCTTCATCTGCTGTTATTACACCTGCCTTGTCCAAAGAAACCCGTCAGCCTCCCGACCCCAGCATGTGACGTTGTTCGTTGTCGTGGCCCTTACCTCGCTCATCTCGTGGCGGACCTCCTCTTCTAATGCCACCACCATTGTCGCCTCCTCATCTGCGCGCTCATTTGCGGCGGCTAGTTCCAAAAGCGCTTTCAAAGTCTCTTCATTACGCTCGAATGTGGGCAGGGCGCGGTTCGGATACAGGGATGATAGCCAGGCTTCGACGTGCTGCCAGTCATGTGCTTGAGCGCGCTGCTGCGCGGCTTTCGAGGGTGAGAAGAGGGCGTCGCCAAGAGCGCTGTCGTCCATTTTTAGTATTTTCGGGACCAAGAAGGCGTGGTGTGGGCGTCGCGTGAGGTCGTGGCTGGTGTTTTTGTTTTCGCGGTCGAGCTTGGGCAGCTGCAGATCGGCGCAGGGGTCCGCTGGCGGCACATGTGGGGAGCTCCATTCCGCGACAGTGCGGGACAGCTTCCGTTGCCGCTATGACGTCGCCTTGGCGTCGTGCTGTGTGTGAGCTGTTTGGTGGGGGCGCCAGTGGCACGGGGAAGCTCTACTTCCTCCGCATCCGTTATCATTACTTCACGCCCTGACATATGGCCTGACCTCCCCGCACTTTTACCTCACCGCTAACCTGGCTCTTCATATTTACCACGGCTATCGACAGAAAGCTCTTGATCTGCGCGCTTGTCGTTTCAGCCACAATTCTGTGCATCGAGCCCCTCCTTCGCGGCTTCTCCGGAAGCTTGGTTCCCCGCAGAGGCATCACCATGGCGTGGGCTTGCTCAGGCACCTCCAACTCAGAGTTGGTCAGCAACATGGCCGCCAATGGCTTGATCAACTCAGACCGCGTCAAGAGCGCCATGCTCAGTGTAAGTCATCCTCTCATAATTTCATTATCGCCGACTTTAAACGTGAATCCTGATCGAAAGTTTTCCCCAGGTTGACCGCGGTCATTATGCAACCGCTCGGGCTTATGAGGATTCTCCTCAGCCCATTGGGTATAGCGCAACGATATCTGCTCCACATATGCACGCGTCTGCCTGCGAATCGTTGCTCCCGTTCCTGAACCCTGGTGCGAAAGTCCTGGATGTTGGCAGCGGATCTGGATACCTCTCACACGTGATGGCGGAGCTCGTGAAACCTAATGGAACTGTCATCGGCGTCGATCATATCCAGGAGCTGGTAGACTTGGCAAAGAAGAATACGGCCAAGAGCAAAGAGGGCAGGGAGCTGCTAGAGAGTGGCGCGGTGAAGTACATAACCGCGGATGGCCGGAAGGGCTGGGCAGAAGGCGCGCCCTACGATGCCATCCATGTTGGAGCTGCGGCAGCGGAGCATCATCAGACCCTTGTGGACCAATTAAAGGCACCTGGAAGGTAAGTACCATTGTAGATGAACAAAATAGCCCCGATAAAGGCTGCTGACTTAACGGCTCTAGGCTGTTCGTCCCGGTGGAAGAGGGCTATATGCAGCACATCTACGTGGTGGACAAGAAGGAAGATGGCAGTGTGGAGAGGAAGAAGCTGTACGGCGTACAGTACGTGCCTTTGACAGACGCGCCGAAGCGCACGTAACTTGAAATTGTCGTTCCAACCACAACACCACACCTTTTGAAATACCATGGAGTATTCTTCCTTGCTCGAATTAACAGGCGAACAACAACACTTCTGAGGATGTTGGTCTGAAAAGCATGCCGATGAGCAATCCACTGCGATAGCTTAGAGTAATCAACGGAAGGAAAGCGAAATTAATCAGAATGGGACAAATGCGGACTGATAGAAGCTTAGTCAGCCGACAATAGTATGATTTACCTTCGCCCCTTACACGATTGATCAAGGCGGTCACCACAGCGTCTGCCTTGAGGTGTGACCCCGTATGCATATGTCCTTTACTTGGTACTGCAAGATCCAGGCAAGGATAATGTACATGAAACAATACGTCAACCGTGCGCCTGGTTGATGTAGCATCTGAAGGTCAGATCTCCTTGCAGCCCATGGCCAGTAGATGGCGCAGGATCCAGGACGTGCGCCGTTTCAGGATGATCCATGATCCTCCAGTTTCAGAGTCAACGGTGAATGTGGGGCAAGCAGCTCTGGCCAGTGAGGAGCGGCCCCAAATGCGGGTGAACCATGGGCCCAAGCGTCTTCAACGGCGCGGTGACGCCCTTGCCGAACGTCAACTCTTCAGCAGCATGCTACGTTTCCATTGCGATCCTTCCTTGAATGCATCAAGTGCGCCTGGCAACCTTCTCGATACTTGCCCCTGGGGGAATACCCTACGCTCTCTGCAACTGTAGGCTTAAACTGCCGACAATGATGGTGGGAATAAGCAACGGATCCCTGTACGGCGTGGCTACTACCTTTTTCGCATGGGACGCCCTCGATGTTCGACTCGAGGAAAATGGCCGTGAAGGGAAGGCGCATTAGTGCCGGAGTATGCAACAAGTGCAGCGGGGTACTGCACCCGATGGCTAGCGCGAAGAATAGCAGGGCCCTAGAACATAGCGTAAGTAGTTTTTTTTTTTTTTTGATGAAAAAGAACATTAATGGGTTGTTGAAGCTATCATCCAGATGTAAATGTGGAATTGATAATTATACATTCACGTCCGGACGATAGCTTCAAGTACCCATGGTATAAGCGAAAAATAAATCCACGCGAGCCGTCGGCTGCAATACTCCCCTGTATGCGGTCCGTTGAGGTCCAGCTGTGGATACGGCATGCGGCCATCTAGTTAGGCTGCGCCAGCGTATGCTGTAGGTGCCGAAACATCCGCCACGGCAAAGCTTCTGATTCTAATTCGTCAGTTGACAATCCTACCACAGTTCCAAAGAGTTGGTTTGGTGCAGTCGTGAGGCAGGCAGCGGCATTGAGACGGAGCATACCGTGGTTCCTGCTGCTAAATTTGCGATCAGAATGCGGCTCTCAACGGTCGTGCTGGGCTGGGATTCGAAAATTCGATAGTTTCACGTTCTTTCCTTCCTAGGCATTTCCCCACGCAGGCGAGCCATACGTCACCTCTTCGCTCTTTCCCCTTATGGCTACCTTTCCTCTCGCTTAGCGTCGCATGCCAAGAATTTGTCGCGCTCAAGTATCTATTCCCGCTGGCGCGTCCCTTTACCTCCACCACCTTTTCCACTCAGGACCCGTCCTTTTCGTCACTCCTTAGTTCGCCGGTCTTTCGAACACCCAACGTCTTCGGACGCCTTCCTTTCTACACGCTCCTTGCCGACCTCCAGGGTCACTGCCACGCATCCCTTCCCTGATAAACTCAAGGGCTGCCGTGCTGGGCACTGTTTGTCGCACAGCATTCCGCATTCCGCCATCTCAAGTCGCCTTGGAAACGGCTAGGTAAGCCATAAACTCGCTCGTTTCTATCAAATACCCACGACTGCGACGATGGACAAGGCTTCGCGCCTGTCAGATCTTCTACCTCTACTTTTAGTCCATCTTCTTGGCACTCGTCGCTCACTCATTCACACCCTCGTTCGCTTGTTTTTTCGTTCCTCCGCTGACGCCGCTGGTCGGCTTCTGTAGATCTTCCACCGGCTTCATTATCATCACCTTCACTTGCTAGTCAGTCAAGATGAAGGCCGGCTTCTTCATCCAGCTCGCCTTGGCGATCATGTTCGGCCTGGTTGCCGGACTTCCTCAGTGTAAGCTCACTTCCCTCTTTTGCCGCAAAGACAGTTACATTCTGAACTAGATTCAAGATGGCCGCAACGCCCTCGAGCCGCGTGCTTACGTCACGACTGTCGAGGTCGTTACTGTTACCCTTCCTGCTGTCATCGTCCATGTCCACGGTACTAGGACCACTTGGGTTGAGACTCTTGCTCTCCCGACTTCGACTACCGATTCCGAGCCTGGTATCACCTCTACTCTGCCTCTGATGTCTACGAGCGAGGCTTCATCCGCCGTCCTTGAATCATCGAGTTCGGCGCCTGAGGCTCCCATAATTGGTGAGACCGTCTCGAGCTGGTCGATCACTTCCTCGCCTACTGAGAGCTCCACTCCAACTCCGGCTCCCCCTACTACACTGAATTCGCTGTCCTCCCGCGCGTACAGTGAGCCGTATTTCCCACAGTTTCCCACTACTACTCCTACTTCCGTAGCCAGTGGTTCTGACGGAGACGGCTTCGGCATTGGCTACAACCCGTACAATGGAGATGGCACCTGCAAGGACCATGACTCCATTACTCAAGATATCAACTCTCTCAAGGGGTATGGTATGGTCCGCCTCTACGGTACCGATTGCAACCAGCTCGACGCTGTCGTGCCAGCCGTCAAGAACTCTCCTGGCATGAAGCTATTCCTTGGCATTTGGCACTGCGAGACAACCGACGTCGCCATGGCTGAGGCCAATACTATCGTCAATGCAGTCAACAACTACCTTGACGGCGACTGGAGCTTGATTCACACCGTGAGCGTTGGCAACGAGGTCATTGATCGCGGCGAGGCAAGCGTCGACTCCCTTCTTGCCACTCTCAAAGCAGTCAAGAATATGCTCCGCCCCTTCGGCGTCCCGGTCGTCACAGTCGAGACCCCCGGTGTATTCCAAGGTGTTGGCAAGTCGCTCTGTCAGGCATCGGACTACACCGCTATCAATGCTCATCCTTTCTTCGACAAATCTGGATCCTGGACGGACCCCAGCCGTGCTGGAGAGTTTACCGCTGTGATGGAGAGTATCCTCGGGGACTGTGGTCACGATCGTACCGTAATCGCTGAGACGGGATGGCCGCATGGCTCTGACCTAGGCTCGGACTATTTCAGTAGCAGGAACCTACCCGTACCTAGCCCCGAGAACCACCTCGTTGCCATCGACTCCCTCAGGAAGGCATACGCCGATCGTAAGCAGAACCTTGTTGTCTTCTCCGCGTTCGACGATCTCTGGAAGAAGGACACGGACCTCACCATGGGTGTTGAGCACTACTGGGGCATCCTCAACTAAGGGTGCTCGGAGGCCGTTTCATTCCTATCACCACCGCGCAGACGCGCCATTTTCCTTTCACTTTTCCTTTCTCGATACCTGTTGATCTCGAACGATCACAAATTCTGAGCGCTGTTTTCCAACACCGCCCAGCTGCTCACGGCCTTTACGAAGGTTTATGGGGGAACGATTCCCTTTTGCGTAGATGGCTTCATGAATGATTGGTCAATTCTTCTTGACTAAAGATGTCGGTCGGACTTTGGCCACATTCTTCTCTGCTTCGATGTAGATAGATTAGTCTACTGGCATCAAGCCACGATGAGGTAGATATGCACCTCATTCGCTTATTATGATGATGACTGTCCCATGCTGTGATCGGCCAGCCTTTCTGGAGCTTATCAGGAGGTGCGAAAAGAAGTGAGGCGCCGCAATTATATTCGCGAGCAAGGGCACCCGACTCACGTAGGTAAGTGAAGCTACCATCCGGACCTAAATGTAGAATTATTAAATGTAAATCTGCGTCCGTATAGTAGCTTTAGCTACATACGCAACGAGCTCAGATGCTGATAGAAATTAGCAGCCACGATAGCTCAGATCTCTCAGCACCCACTGAGCGTGAAATAGGCTTTCAAGCTTTCGCGGGGATCTGCCCGCGTCTCATGCGTGAAGCTCATCTGATGTGGCGCACGGCGATCGCAGACTGTGCGATTCGAAGTTCATGCGACTCCTGACTCTTTGGAAGATAGAGTTATCGCGTACCCCGCCACGCACGAGTAAGGGCATTCGGCTAAGAGCAGGAAATTCTCCAGCATGTCGTCATATACCAGCTGAAAGTAACGGATAGTGGAGCCGCTTCGCTAAGTGTCACGAATCGACGTAGGTGGCGGCGAATGGTAGCAAGCGGAGACAAAAATTGCAGGGCGTTCATTGTTGCAGGTGTACAAGGCACGTGGTAAGCAGAAAGGCGCGTGGTCGAGAACCTCAAGCTCAGAACCAACCTAGGTACCTCGGATCGTGCTTGAATCAGGTTAGCGAACAGACTTTGGCGGTTCCACAACACCGATTCCCAGATCCCGGGTGATTCGGAAGTAAGCATACACATGCACGATACGGAGATCAATCCGATGATGGGGGTGGGACCTTCAAGCTTCCATTTTCCGATTAACTCTTTTGGCCCGAGCTTCACTTCGTTAACTTCTCCCATTTAAGCTTACAGCACCAGTGGTAGTTCTCTTCCCCAGGAGCGGCCATTGGCCCGTGTGCTCTGGCAAAAGAGTGGATGGAAGAGTGGACGCACGCCCGCTCGCACCCTTTCCTTCATCTTCCGTTGAATACAGTCTCGATGAAGCAAACCTCCGAGTTCCACATGCATTTTAGGCTCTTGCCTTGCCACATATCCTTACACCTTAAGAGTATTACGCCGGCTCCCATGCTTTTGAGCAAGAAGGGGAAAAAGAGGAAAAAAAGACAGAAGCGCGGCAGGGAGAAAAAGAAAGGGTCGGGTATTCGCCCGGTCTATACGCTGGTAGAGGAAAGAAAAGCGCATACCGCAACACCCGTGAGTGACTCTGAAAAGAGGCGGACTGGCATGAGAACAATAAACGACTATAAATCATTAAAGCAAACGCATACGCAGTAAAAGAGCCCCGCCCCGCCAGCAACGCATTCATGGCAGCTCTCAGTGGATATCATGGTAATACAGAGAAAATAGAGGCGAAAAAGACAAAAAGAAAAAGCGAAGGTGTTGGTTGAAATGGAAAGCTTCCGTGGAAATAATTAGTCCTCGGTGAAGGAAAGACGCAAGAGGTTGAATCTCGTCGGAGGTGTGTGGAAACCATGGTGGTCGGTATGATAATGTCCGGGTATCTCTCTTCTTTACTGACGACTATGTCGACCTTGTTTCGACCGTAAAAAGCATTTAAGCATTCCATCTTTCTGTCTGCTCTCTTTCCTTTCGGAGATGGTTGTTCACCAGCACTTGAGTTTGGACCAGAAGCTCTTCTTGCCGGGCACGCTTGCGCCGTCCTCGTCATGATCGGGCATGCGCTCCTTCTTAGGGGGTAGGGGAGCGGTTCGCGCGGCGGCAGAGCTGGTGCCCATGGCGTGGATGCGGCGGGCTTCGACGACGCGACGGACCAGTACTGCAAAGCTTGGGTTAGGGTCTGACGGCTGTTCCATCTCTACGTGCGGAGGGAGGCTTACGAGCAAACGTCTCCTCGATGTTGACCATCTCCCGGGCACTCGTCTCCATGAAGCCGCACTTGTGGGCGCGGGCCCATTCCAGGCCCTCCTGGCTCTTGATCTGGCGCCCCGACTGCAAGTCGCACTTGTTGCCGGCGACGATCTTGACGGGGGGCACGGCGCCGTTGTCCAGGCGCTGGTCGGTCTCCATGTCGATCATCTCCATGAAGTACTCGAGGGCCTCGAGGCTCTGCGAGTTGGTGATGTCATAGACCAGCAGGAAAGCGTCGCTGCGCAGGTTGCTGGCGGCCCACAGGCCGCGGTACTCCTCCTGGCCGGCCGTGTCCGTCAGCGCCAGGTAGTACGTCTGGCCGTCAATTGTGCGCGTCACGCTGTACGAGTCCTCGATGGTCGGGTCATAGTCGTTCGTCCAGGCGCTGCGGACCAGGCGCAGGGTTATCGAAGATTTACCTGTACCACCGACCACGTGTTAGCAGCCATTGAATTGGTGCGGGCAGGTGCAGCGGCACGGCATGATGGGCCGTGGGGAAGGCGTACCGCAGCCGCCGTCGCCGCAGACGGTGATGGATATCCTGTTGTCGTCCTCCATTGTGGTGGGTGAGGTTGTGGGAGCGGATTGGAGGGCGCCGATCAGTTCCGACGCAGGAACAGCGTTTCGCGATTGCGTTGGTGCGGCCAATGGTCGGGTAGGGCAGCGAGTGTGAGGCGTGGGTGGCTGTGGACGGCCGGGGTGAGCCTGCGGGCGGGATGTGGAGGCGGCGAGCGAGTGGAAGGCGCTTGTGGCGGAAGGAGGGGAGGCGAGGGAAGGGCGGGGTGGTGTTTCTGGCGTGCGAGTCTGGGTCTGGCTTGGTGATGTGGGCTTTTGGCAGTCTTTCAGTCTGCTTGCCGCCGCGGACCCTGGCCAGCCAGAACGAGCACGATGAAATGAAGCGATCGGCCTCCAATATCGGCGGGCCGCACAGGGCCCCGTGCTGGCCTTGCGTGCAGCGCCCGCCTCTCGTCAGGGATCAAGCCGCTACCCCCGACAGCCGGCGCACCGCGCTAATGGTGCCTTGCTACCTGACAGACGACAACGGCCGCACCGTTGCAATCTACTTGACTTCTTCTCTGCGCCCGCAAATCACGGCCACCAGCACAGCGCCGCACTCCCATTTCCGGCCCAACAGGGTGACGGCCGCGCCCGCCGCCCTGGTGCGGAGCGAGAACGAGCAGCCGGCATGCCACGCCGTTGGGAGCGGCGCAGCGTATTCGTGCCTCTCCCAATTTCAATATTGGAATCACTAAAGGGCTGCAGAGACGAGCCGGTCGATCGCGTCGGGCGTGCAGGTCCCGGCGCGGCGGCAGATACGAGCAGAGCTGAACAAAAAGCCCACGCACGCACGATAACACGGCCAATTTGCGCTGCCAACCTTATTGCGCTGCTGCTGCTCGCGTTATCAGCTGATTGCCGCTCGCCTGCCCGCCCCAAAAGCAACCAGCACATCTCCCGTGGAATGCAATCGGCATAAGATCGGACATAATGTTTCATGCTAAGAGCGCCCTTCAGCCTGTGGGGTCAACACCATGGAACGGCTGCTCAACCGGCCGCCGAAAGCTTGACGCTTGACGCCATGTGAAACCGGCTATCTCCAACGCACGGAACAAATTTTTGCGCGTTGCCGGGCGCGCCCTGCGGCCGGCGGTGCGCTGGCATTCCCGTGGCAGAATGAGGAGCCTCAACCTGTTCGCCAGACACAGAAGCGGCCAAACGGTGATCAAGCTGAAGCACCACCACGACGATCCGCCAGCACGCAAACTCTCCACGTTGTTTCAATCGCCGAGCTCGCTAAGTAGCCGACGGCGATCTGGCATTGCCAGCGCCGCTCAATGCGGGAAGCGTCATTTCGTTGTTGCAGAATAGCAGCACTCGACCAGCCTTGCCAGATCGTGTGTAAAAGTGGACATGACTACCGCTGTCCGCCACAAATAGACACCACCACCAAACGGTCGTGCGCCTCACTTTGCCACATCTGGAAGTCGTCGTCTCTTTAGCCGATGCTGCTGGCCAGAGCTTGTGGTCGTGCGCCTCTCTCACCGCTCGGCTCGACTCTCCGCCGCTCCCTCTCTCTCAACTCCGTTCGACCCATCATCAGATTGCGATGCTCGCCACCTGTGCTGAATGCTGTGTCAGTTGGTTCGATTTCGAGCCTCAGGGGCCTGCGGTTGTCGTCGCGCTCCGCCGACACACATTGCTTCTCAGCACTGTTTTGCCGACTGCCATTCTGCTTCAGGCTTGGTTCTAACCACGTTTTCTTTTCTTCGTCGACCGCCGCACTGACGCCAAGGAGGACTGCGCACTCTGCCATGCTGCCAGCAAAGCTCCTGGATGTTGGCCGGCTTCCGCATTTCTTCAACTCCCTAATCTTTGCCCTCACACCGCCAGATCGAAATGGGAAGTTGTGTGCTGACGTGTCTGTTCATTGTTCGTAGTTATACTGCCTCTCCTTTTAACAGCATACCGTTCCCGGCCTTACAGCAACCTCTATGATCGGCCTATCTCGCCTCCACAAACGCCCTACGTTGTACCCTTTTGCCGGATTTTACCAGCATAACAACTCCGTTGTCTCGAACCTGCATATGATCTACTTCTGCCAACTCATGCCCCAATCACGAGTGAAACATTTGTTTCCTGCTATGCCTTGCCCATGGCAATAATGCAAGGGCTGCGCCATTTTTACCTTGGTCGCGGTCCCTTTCAGACCAGGCACGCAGTCACCGAAGAGGAAAATCCCCGGTAGCTCCTTGCGGAACCCGGATCGTTGCTCGCAGATCTTCATCAAAAAAACCCGACTCTCTTTTAAGCTTCTGTTTGAAGCTATTCGGCAACGAACCGCGAGGTCGGGTTACGGCTCGCGGAACCCGCTCGGGCGGGTCGAAGGATTCGCACTTTCAGGTGCCGCATCGAGATGTTCAGGTTGGACGCGGGCCCGGCGCTGAGGTTGATCACCTTTGCCGTTGAACTTGATGACGTTCGGATGCCAATCTTCATGTCCTATCCGAGCCGCTCCGCCCGTTGGCGGTGAGGTTGGCCCATGCGTCTGGGTGCTGCGTGGTTGAGGCTGGAAAGGCATCAGCATCTTCTTCTTGCAAATGGTTGGCTTCATCAAGCCCCATTATCGAATAATGCGTAATTTGTCTATCCTCGTCTAACCTCTCATCAACAAGCGGAGATGATGCAGACCTACACTGCCAGGAAGAAAAACTGCTACCAATCTTCATCAATGCCCATGAAGTGCTTGTGATCAAGGTGCTGCTTGGGTCCTCCGAAGAGACGCTTATTAGGCGCACATCGATCCACGAGAACGCCCAAGTCGAAGCTGTCATCGTTAATGCCAGGACTTGGAAGCACACCGTCAAGATGTGAAGAGACAGGAAGCGGTAGAAGCGTAAACGCTTCTTAAATGCATTCATACCGTCAGATTTCTGCAGGAAGCTCTGCCACGCTCCGTGCTACCATCTTCCTTGCACACGTGCCGCTATTGTCACAAGAAATTCCACATGACGCTTCGTAATATGCATACGATGCTGCCGCACCTTGCTTATCCCCCACGATTCCATCCACGTGAGCCTCTCCCAAGGGGATTCACGACTCACGCGCCTCCGCTTTCTGCAACCTGCACGCGCGCTTTAGTCACTGCGGCCGCCTATAAAGCGCGCCTCAAACCTGCTTCTCGAATGGTTGTTGCTCTGGACCAGTTCATCGGCCCACAAGCCGACTCTTGGAAAGGCAAAGGAGTAGACTTGCCCTCCTACTCAACAAACAAACGTACTCGTTTGGCGGGGAGCTTGTATCTTGAATATTACACGGAGGAGCCTGTTGATCGCTTCGTGGTCGGCGTTTTCTGACAGTGATGTGGGCAGATTTACGGCTTTCATCATCTTTGATGCATGCTGCGACGCGGTATTTCGGAATATTGGTGATGATTTGCAGGAGTCACCGATAGTGGGGAAGTGAATATGCTGTAGCAGTTCCGGAGTGTACCATATTTTGGCGACAGCCCGAAAAGGCGAGTCTACGGCTTCAAGTCGCCACTTTTAGGCTTTTATGAGCAAAGGCTGGAGAGGCGGTGGTTGGGAGAAAGAAACGGTATCGGGTATCTGTCAAAAGAGCTTTATAATATTCAGCCAGCACAAGGCATCACGATTCACAAGCAATCACGGGTCCAGGTATATCTAGGAAAGCAGCACGGGGCGAACGGGCATAACGGCGGGGCCATATCGTGGAGTGTTTATACACAAGCGCCGTCTCCACACCTGCTCCGCGCCGCACCCCCAACACGAGCCTGGGGGGCGACAAAGCAGCGCGCTTGCCGAGCACCTCGGCGCCGAAGAAAAGGCCAAACGCGGTGAATGCGGCGGTGCCCATCCTCTCTCGGCTCATCACAGCGCAGCTGCCTGCGCGCGAACGGTGACAGCCGCCGCCCCCAACGACGACGCCGCGGCCACCAGCGGCCGTACCTACAGCTGCCACCCGCGCGCGCGCGCGCCGTGCCGCGCCGTGGCGATCCACACACACAGCACGATGGCCGGCCGGCCGTGAGCGCCGGGCGCGTACCAGAAGTTGGCGCTTGGAGGCTGTGTGGGGCGTGGTTGACGTTGTGTCGCTGTGGATCATGGTGCTTGTTGTTGGTGTCGATGTAAGAGATTTCGCTGCTGGTACTATTGATTTTTGCCGCGATCATCACCGCCGCGGCAGCCGCGCCTGCAACTTCGGAACCAGCCAGTATACGGTGAAAAGAGATATAGGTATGCACGTACCAGCAGCGGCAGCCGAGATGAGCAGGCCGTTCTCGTGGGCGACGATCTCGGGTTGCGGGGCGGCGGATGGGTCGCGGTAGTCACCAAGTTGGGGAGCAGGCGCATGGTTTTGGCAAAGCAAAGTACGGCACCAAGCAGTGTAAGCCATGGCCCATATGTTGTACGAAATATCTTGAGACGAGGCGTGAAGTTCGTATGAACTTCTTGAAGTGATGTGTTGTCGACCGGGACGACAAGCGGGAAGGCGCAAGGGCCAGGAACTTCAAGTGAAAGCAATGTTATTCAAGCTATCTATTACAAAAGCAAAGACCAACCGGTCTTTTACCAACCCAGTGCCCTTTTCGCGACTGAGCTCCTCGCAGCGAACCAGGCAATGCCATCGGCTTTGAGGACCACTGACCACGCGTTATTTAACGATGCCGCGTCCGACATCTGTTTATTATGCAAGCTTGTTCTTTCTTTCCTTTTTTTCTCTCTCCTCTTTTGTTTTTCTCTTTTTTTTCTTTTTTTTTTCTTTTTTTTCTTCTTCTTCTTTTTTTTTCTCTATTCACTCGTTACTCTTCTTTTGCCCCCCAGCAAGAAGAGTGGTCCAGAGGGCGCTGCGCTCCCAAAGAACCCTCAACTGCCGAGGCTCCCCAGAGGCCGCTGCGCGAGCTCTTCGAAATGAGCTCGCGCGCCGGGGCGCGGACCAGAGGGGAGTCCCCACCCACCCGGGATTGAGTTGATGAGGCCCGGAAGGCCCCCAAGTGCATCCCTGACACTCGGCAGAAGATCGCCCCATGCTCGTCCGCTGACGAGCATGGGGCGATCGTTCGGGGTTGCTGGCCCCCGGACGGCCGCTAGAGCGGCAGCCCGTTGTCGGCGAAGCTGGGTATGGGTGCGTGTGTGAGGGAGGAAAAGAAGTTTGGGTTCAGCGGAGCTGGCAGGGTTTTTATAGGGACCTTTGGGTTGCTAAGCGAGGTCGGCCTCGTGTGCGTAGGGCGGCGTAAGGCGGCGTGGGTCGCCAGGGTGACGACGTGATGGAAGGTCGCGCGCGGGTGTTAGGGACAAACAGAGGTGGAAAACTGTGAAAGCTTGCGTTAGTGAGCCGCAGGCGCTTGGCGTGGCTGGAAAGTGATATCTCGGTGACGCCAGACTGAACTATGTTTGGGACATGCTCGCTACTGCCAGATCTGGGGCAGTTTTGTCATTTGCTCATGCTACCGGTAGACATTTCTGGAGGCGCAAACTTTGACTGCGGTAATCAAGTCTAACATTACTGTTAGGTACGGCGTACACGGAGGACCCCGATTGGGCCCTTTTGTCACTACTCATTTCACAGCATTCGAAGAATATCTTTAACAAAGCCGTCATTACGATTGTCTTGCCCGAAATCCCCAACCCTCACACACGAAATGATAGAGCTCACAAACCGGCCAAAATAGAAGCGAAGCTAATAAAGCCAAGTGTAGCATGAAAAGGCAAAAAGTCAAGGTCCAGGAGGGCTTTTCGCCCTGCAAGTACCTCTATAAAACCCCTTTTCAGGAATTTTCCCCCTCTACCCCAGCTGGGAAGGTGGTGGAGCAGCGACACGGGTCTAAATGACCCATGCTTATCGCGCATACCGCACCATAGGCCCCGCTTTGCGAAGGCCCTTAGGCGAAAGACTGAGTTTGACGGTGGGGTTTATTAACATCAACCTCCCCGTCTGGATCAGCACCATTGTCGCAAAATTTTGGGAAATTGACGATTCGTAGTTGTTCAAGTCTCGAATAGCAGTGGCCATTATCGTAACAGCGGCGTTTGCTTTACTCTTTCCTCATCATAAAATCCGAGAAATTCAAAAAAACGCAGGGGTATCACCTCCATCCATCTTCCCAACCTCTTCAGGTCTCTCCTCCGACTCATCCTCCCCTCGCCGCATGAACCGCCGCTCAACACCTCCTCCCATCACGCGCCCTTCCCTCCCTCATCCATCTCAAAAAGCTCAGCCCCCACCTTCGCGCCGCCGCCTCCGCCACCGCCACCACCATCACCATCACCACCCCCATCCAACACCTTCTCCACAACCCCCCTCGGCGCCTTGGCCAACTGCGCCGCACTCATCTCCGTCACCTCACACGCCACAGCGGCAACCGTAAACAACGCCCTCAGCTGATCCAATCCTCCTCCACCGCCAACACCACCACCACCTTTCTGCGCATCCATCCACACGGCAAACATGCTTATACACCACAGCGCGTGCACGATCAACACGATGGAGCTGAGCAGCGACGAGAAGCCCCAGCGGTACGTCGACGCGTCGTCGTTGCCGCTGCCGACGTCGGGCAGGCACTTCGTGTTGGCGTCGATCTGCTGTTGCTGGTAGGCGCGGGTGCCGTAGCAGTACGTGCCGGACGTGTAGATCTGGAAGTTCGTCTTGGTCGAGTTGCGGACGGCCGTGAGGTAAGGGAAGGTCTTGCCGGCGACGTCGATGGTAACGGTGTCGTTGCCTGTGTGTTCGGAGAAGAAGGGGAAAGACGAGGTTAGTTGGGGACGTTTCTTTTTTTGGCTCTATATATATGCGCACCTGGAAGAGAGGGATAGAGGAAGCTTACAGTTGTAGGTCTCTGTTTCCGTCGATTTTCTCAGGAGAAAGCCGAAGTCGTCGTACGTCGCCTTGAATACGTCGTACGTCTCGTTGCGGAAGAAGGCGCCTGAAAATATAACTGTTAGGCAAAACGAAAAAGAAGCGGATGCCGGTCTTTTGGGCGGGCAATGCTCACAGCCGTCCATGTTGTGATGCTCTTTAATATAAGCCCAGTAACCCGTGTGATAGCGATCATCCAAATCGACAGTCCAACAAGTCGAGTTACCTTGCACGGTATTAGTACAATCAGATGAACAAGGCGGGGTGATGCTTACATTTTCCCAACTGCGTTGCCGTGCGCGCATCGGCAGGGCCGGCGTCTTTATATGACATACAAGTCCCGTTCGCCACGCCGGAAAGACCTTGGAAGGAGAAACCGGGAACGAAATCGCTATTTGGAACATATTGACTAGTTTCAGGAACCTGGACGTAGGCCGAGGCGGTGCTAATGTAACCAGCCATTGTGGAAAGGAGGGTAGGCATGGCCAGGACGTAGATGATGGCAAGAGCGCTGTAAGTGAAGAGAAACACGGCACGCCGGCGCGAATGACGGCCGAGGTCACGGATCAGGGCGATAACAGTGGTCGCAGAGGCACCATTAATGGAGATGCCGGAGAAAGTGCGGTAGGGCACGGGCGATGACTGAATGGCGCGGAGCAGGGCGTCGGACAGGACGGTGTAGCTGAGAGCGCTTGCGAGGAATTGCATGCCGCGCCCGACGAATAGATCCCAGATGGTGTCGATGAGCTTGGCCTCCCAGAAAGGAAAGGATTGCGACGATACGCGGTCTATGGTGAAGATGCTCTGAGCGCCGCTGCTTTTCGAACCGTAATCCTGGCTTTCACCGATTGTCGTTTTGCGGGATCCGCACACAACGGGCTTCGAGGTAAAAGGATCATGAACGAAGATGAAATACAATATGAGAGGCAGAAATCCAAAAATAAAGAGGGTAGCAACAGCGACGGCACGCCTTCTGTGGTTTTTAAGAACCGAAGAGGTGCCATCTGTCTTTTGCTCAACCCTGCTGTAAATAGCCCCAGCCATGGCGATGGTAGACAACACCAAAGTTACACGGTTCTGGGGAATTCACACAGTAAGTTGTAATCAGGGTGCGGCACAGCAGCGAATGGAGCTTTGAGGTTTATATAAGTAGGCACCAGCGTTTCAGTGGCGCAGCCAGGATTCGCATCCCTGTCAGTTGCGTCTAAAATTGGTCGCACCCACCCATGCACCCGCCGATCAACATGAGTGGGCTTTGCAAATAATCATCCGGACGATAGCTTCAACTACCCACGAGATGAGGGCATTGTCGAGATATAACAAAAGTTCTAATCCAAAATTTTTGGTAATGGCAAATCCATTAATTAGATTCAAGAGATAATAAAAGTCTATTTGGGGATCTTGAAAGGATGCGCCTCCGTGTTGAAGACGTAGTCGTCCAGACTGACATGGTCTGGTTCGGAGAAGACGAGGTAGAAATATTTGAGCGTTTCAGCCGTCCAGAAGCTCTACAATGAGAATTATATTAGTCCATTGACGCTCGTTTTTACTGAGCGAAAAAAAAACAAGGTACTCACCTCCATACTATCCGTCTGAGGCGGGTTGCCATCCGTCACGGTGCAATCTGCCAGCGCCGCGTTCGCTAGATCCGTCTTCGTCGATTGTTGGATCGCCGTAAACATATCCCATGCGGCCGCCTGCAGCGACTGCGCACCTGTGATACGGTACAAGACAAACACGCTTTCAATCGCTTCGGGACGCAAAATGTAGCGCCGGTCGGGGATGGCGGTGAAGCCTGGTAGCAGGCGGTCGAGGGCGATCTGCTGGTCAACGTTGACCGTGCGACCTAGACGGTGTTTGACTTGATCTTTCCAGTAAGTCTCGTTCCAAGGGCAAGATTGGGTGAGGAGGTCGGCTGTGGTGCTTGTCGAGGCAGTGTCCGGGCAGGGGACAAGATTGGAAATCTCAGGCATGATGCCAAGCGGAAACGTCTTATAAGTCCAGACACAGCCATCTGTCAGCCTCTGACCGATGGTGACGTGGTCTGGGATGTCAAACAGCCTGCCGCCCAGCGCGAACATGCCACCTGCGAAGCAAACCAGATGCTGCCATTCTGGCTGCAGCATAGGGAAGCCGCGGCCGTCAGTGCGGACGGAGCCGGCAGCAAGGATGTCGGCACCGTCGGGGACCATTGGCTTGAAGAGCAGATTCTTGACTGCGGTGCTCATTGAACCCTCATACAGGTCGCGGTAGAGAGGGACAAGGCCACCAAGCAGCGCGTACGTCTTGGGAAAGTACTCGTACAGCGAATCGGCCATGCCGCCAAGAGTAAAGGAGCGGTCAGCAGTGAAGTCGGCGTCTTTAGCGTTGACAAAAACGGGCCACATGCCGGGGAGGTCGGTCTTGGATTGCTGATCCTTGAAGAGATGCATAATGCGGTCGACGGCGTCATACCACTTGGAGTCCTTGGTAATCTGGGAAAGACGGGTGAACTCCATGGTGAGGGAGCCAATCTCTGCGACCAGCACGGTTTGGTCGGCCTCTTGAGGAATGTCGTCGAGAGCCTTGATGGGGTTCCAGCGGGTGATGGGAAGGTGGTTGGGGGTGTCGAAGGCGACGTAGAGCATGTCTGCCACCTCGATGGCCTTCTTCAGCAGCCTCTTGTCGCCACTGAGATCGTATGCGCTCAGAAAGCCACCTAGATATCTGATGGTGGTCTCGAAGACGTTGATCTGGTCGACAGTGGTGGCAGAAAAGTCAATGTGGGCGACGGCTCCAACGGCCTCGTTGAACTCCTTTTTCATGCCCATGATCCAGAGCGTGTCCAGAGTGTCAACAAGCGTGGCAGCCCAGCCGCCGAAGGTTGACTTGGAGCCGCCAGTGATGGGAGCGAGTTCATCTTGCAACCAGGCCTTCTCTCGGTACGATTGCCAGGATCGCTCAAAAGCCTTCTTCACCTCGGCACGACGCTTCTCGCGCAGTGAGGCAGCCGTGGCATCTTCTTTGCCAAAGGCGAATTGAACTTGCGGTAGCTTCTTCGGCTTACCATTAGGAAGGCTGCGGAAATTCTTGATGGGGTAATGCGGCTTGCGTTTGCCCCAATTGAATTTCTGGAGAGGCTGGGCGTGGGTGGCGCCGTCCGAGGAAATGGGGATGTCGGGCTGGGTGGGGGCTCTGAGGAAGTAGAAAAAGAGAAGAATGGTGACAGCAATGAAGATGTAGGGGGCCAGACGCTTCTGGTGGATGCGATTCATGATGATTGGCGGCGCTTAGGAGTGCTGACGACGCCACACCAGGGCTGCATGGGTGACACAAGGTTTCCGGCTCGAGAAACACGCCTCTGATGGCTTATGCGCAGCGTATTTGGTGATGATGAGGTTAGAGGATTTAGGAAACCGTGTTGCAAGTCAGAAGGAATCGGAGGACAGGAGATGACGCGCAAGAATGTGCAGACACTTGGCAGGTTCCACGCGGCGCGCCCGAACATCAACAAAGAAGGAAGCTACCCGCACCGCCGCCCCTCCACCGCCCCAGCGCGACTTCCCACGGGGTATAACTCGGATGGAAATTGACAATTGAACGCTCAAGTCCGGACGAGAGCTTCAGCTACCCACATCACACGTCACCAATGCACCGCCTGTTGAGCTCGCGTCTCTGGTCTTCACCGGCAACGACATTCTTCCGCAGCGAGTAGGTACTATTTCACATTAACTACTTGAAAACAACTCATTTACCACCTACCTGTACTACGCTCCCATTGATGGTGCGGAAAAGCTCCACCGACACCTGGGTACTTCTCCTGCAGGAGCTGACTTACTACCTCTTCTGGCAGCCCGTAGTCGCCTGACTTCAGACGCAAAACGATGGCCTGCATCACCTCCTCGGGATTCTTCTGCTGTTCACGACGACCCGCGAAAAAATCCGTCATGTCGTTCAGCCGCGAGCCTAGCATCTCCGTCTTCTCCCACCCCTCAACGCGCCTACTATGAATGCCGCTCTCCTCGCACCCATCGCGGTCAAAGTTGGCGTCGACGTCCAGCCACATGGTGTAGTAGCCGATCGTCTTGTCAGACACGCCAATCAAGTACATGAATGCGTCGAAGCCCATCTTCGGATGTCCCGAGTACTGCTGAACAAGTGACAGCATGTTACCCGTCAAGGCCGTATTGTGCGCGAACCGAATCATGCTTGTCGCCACCTCAACCCACGCTATAGCCTCGTCAGCATCTAGTGTCCCGCGGTGTTGTCTGAACTCGATCGTCCCCTTGCAATTTTCGTCAAGCTTGCCCTCAGAAATCTTGAGTTCTCTGAGGTTGTATGCTTGCCCGCGCCTTGCCTTGAATTTCAGCCGAACAAGGTCCTCCCATTCTTGAACCTCTTGCTCAACATTCTGGCACCAACTCTCCACAGTACCTCTACCTGGAGGACTGTTGGACATCGATACCTCGTCATCCCCGTCGTCGTCGAAATTAAGAAAGCGTTTACTCTTTTCATACCTTTCATATTCAGCGCGCGAGTCGATGACTCTAGACATCGGCCAGCAATACACAGCCCGCGAGTCAAGACGCGGAATCGCATGCAGCTCGTCCGTAAGGCGCTCAAAGCCCGTCACCAGCTGTATGAAGCTCTTGATCGAAGATAGCGGTAGCGTGTACCTTTCTGACTGTGTGCCTACCCCCACGTGTACGTGTAGCGACGTCGATTCGGGAGTGTATAGCCGGTAACGGTCGTTACTACGGTTGTTGAACAGCCTATGCAGCGCATCCAGCGTATGTCGCACATCATCGCGCCAGCAATCTCCGCTACTCCACAAGTACTTCGGGCTTTGCAATTCCAGCCCGACGAACGCGTATTCTCCCTCACGCTTGAGCTGCTTAATGCTCTCCGAGTCCGCCCACGAACTGTCCACTTTCGTCGGCCCCATGCCGCCAAAGTCCTGGTCCTCGGACGGGTCCATGACCAAATCCAGGTGGCAGCCGCCTTCCTCCAGACCCCTCATGTCATCTACCGACCAGTCCCAACTGACTCCCCAGCGCGTGTACTGCGGTGCCTCGTTACCGTCACCAGGAACGTTTACATCCACACCTGCCTCACGCAGCGCATGGGCAACTACGAGTAGCCAGCTTGAGTAAGAAGGAGGCTTTGCCTTTCCGTATCTGGCCTCCATGGCTTCGACATCAGCTTCCATAGCCTTGACGTTGTAGACGAAGAGTGCCTCGATTTCTATACCGATGGTTAGGGGCAGCGGAACTGAGGGGTTAGTGAACGAGGGGTGTTCGCCCTCTGCACACTCATCTTCTCCATCGACTTCCATCTCGCAGGAAGAGCAAGGGATTTGGTGGCCATGGGGCTCACGGGAACGGGGGATGTAGTGGCTATGAAGTAACTGCGGCTCTATACGACGAGGGACGCGGGGTGGGGAGATGGAACCGGAGCTGCTGGCATTGCTGGCCGTAGAGGGGGTGGGAGAGAGGTCACGCCTTGCGATGCTGCTGTTGTAATGCATTTTCTGCTTGTTGCGGTGAGCTTTCGGACGAAGGACTAGCCTATTTTCGAGTAAGTATGTGGTATCGGAGAATCCACTTGTGTAGGGACTGAAGAGAGCTGCTCTCCCTCTTTGTCTTGGAAGCCTGCTTCCAAAAATCGAAAAGTTAAATGGCGAGCGTTTAACCAATCCGACTTGGGGATTCGGGTTTCGAGCACGGTGGTATTCATAGACCCTCTGCTTCGCACGTTTTCTAATATACCAATTCACATCCGCCCATTGTTGCTCAGTTGAACGACACCTTTGTTCAGTGCTTTCTTTATGCTCATGAACGAGTTATTTTAGAATATCTTTGTCTGAACTTTGAACAATGTTCTTGTCGTCTGTCCCTCTACAAAGTCTTTATGCTCTGTCGTCTACATAAGACACCACCTCCCCTGACCTTTGCAAGACGGCACTACTCAACACGGCTCTGGAAGCCTACCACCATCACCAGCAAGGTAAGTCTCCCCATTGCGTCCCACAACTAACAAACATCACACTAGAACATCACCTGCATACTCCAAAACCACTGTACAAGAAACACTATGGTCGGCTGCCTTTCCTTTCTCCGTATGTGCTTCGGCTTTGGCCGTGGCCGCACCTGCACCGCCGTGTACGAGTCTACAGGCTCGGGCGCGGAGGCGGAGGAATCGCTCCGCTGGAAGTGTTGCGGCTGCGGCACGAAGAACGGCTTGGACAATGAGTGGGAGTTGTTGTGCCTTAGTTGCGGCCACAGCTTCGATCTCTGCTTCAGCGCCGAGAGAATGAGGCGGTTGACTTAACTTAGCAGGTGGTAAGTTACAGTGAATCTCCGAGGTAAGAGGAGAGAACGATAGGGGAATGATGGAGGCTCCCTCGCTATAGCTACTTGTCGTGGCGACATGTGTAGACATTGTTGAATGTTTTCCATGTAGCTTTCTTGTTGTCTGACCCAAAAAAAAAAAAAAAGGTAAACAGTTAGTCATCTCGCTCCGAGAAAATAAATACAAGTTTACGCCAAAATTGTTTCCGTCCCATACAGCTTTAAGTGACTTTCATTGTTTGGGTAAACTGATCTGCTTTCATGCTTTGGTTATTTCTTTGTTAAGTGACTCGAACGTCATCAAACGACCTCGAGAAGAGATGTCGTTACGATCGCCGTATCAGTTTTATGCCGTAGTATGCCGAGGCGGTCAGAGATGCGTACCCGGACCATATACGTTGTATCAGCACCTGTTCTGCCCGTATCTCCGTGCAACAGACTCATCGATCTTGATAGATAGGCGAGATGCTAGCTCAGTCTCTTTGATCATCTTAGTCCGTGTCATTCCGACTCTGTTTGACCTCCCTTTACTACTTAGTGGAACATGTGCTGATTATGTGACAAACCATGACCGGCCTTAGGACTTGAAGGACGTCGTCACAATTCGCAAACGTTTCGATTGCAAGTCAACATCACCAATTCGTCAAGGAGAACTTGAACATCTATCTTGATTGGTCGCCTCTGTGCTAGGTCTCTCTGGATGTGAAACACCTGCGCCTGGGGCATCCTCTTCCTCTCTTTCGTTTTACTAATGCATTTTAGAAATCCAAGAATTCCCCCATTCCTTTGTCCACGCTGAAACGTCCCTCAACCCCGGATTCCCTCGCCGTACCACGCACGCCGCAGCCAATTGTATATGTTATCAACAGGGTAAATAAAGGGAAAAACACCCACGCTCCTCTCTTTCTATGAAAGTGCCCAACCGGCGGAAAACGAGAAGTAGAAAAGCTTTAAACGAAGCCTTTTTTTCTTTACTGCGCAGCGGGTGCGGTCTCCTTGGCGGCGTCGGCAGCCGGGGCGTCAGCAGCAGGAGCGGGTGCGGCACCGCCCTCAGGAACGCCGGCGCTGCCCGAGAGAGACTCAGGGTTCTGGATGGCAGCATCGGTCTTCTTGCCCAGCCACTTGGGGGGCTTGGTGAAGGAGGGGTCCTGCCACGGGCCCTGGTCGCTGAGCTCGCAGCCGCCCTCGCACTCGCAGGAGCCACCAAATTGCTTAGGCAGGTTCTCCTTGGGCACCTGGGCGAGCAGCTCCTTCTCGTAGCCGCTGCCGAGGACGTGGATCTTGTTGACGGTGACGGGGTCGAGGAAGCGCTTGATGACGCTGAAGATGCCGGAGAAGCCCCAGGGAGCGTTGATGATGTACAGCTTGCCGAGACGCTCGGGGTAGTAGTTCTGCGAAACGTTGGAGGCAGCCTGGACGTAGCCGTAGACGGAGCTAGCCTTGGAGATGCCAACGCCCTTCAGGTCCATGATGGTGCAGCACGTCTCGAGCAGGTGGCCGGCCTTGCGCGAGCAGGCGGGCAGGCGGGGGTCGGCGACCTTCTCGTACTCGACGACGAGGTTCTGGAGCATGCGGTCCTGGCTGGTGATCTTGTACAGGGCGTTCAGGTCGACCTTGCCGAGCTGCTCGATGTACACGGGACGGCCATCCTAGAGGCGGGGTCAGCGCTTTGTTCCTCGGGCTGGGCAGACGGGCGTACCTTGTCGGTCTTGTGGTAGTATTGCGGGTAGTACTCGAAGACCTTGGCGCGCTCGGTGTACTCGAAGGTGTTGACGAGGTTGTCAACGCCGCCGCCGAACTCTTTCCTCCACTTCTCGCAGTCAAGGAACCTTGGAACGGGCGTTAGGGCGCTCGGCGTTGGATGACGGGTGGAGTAGTGCTTACATCTGCTTGGAGAGGTCGACGTTGAACTTGCGGGCGCGCAAAAAGCGCAGCTAGGCGGCCGTCAGCGGCTGTCACCGTCTGTAAGGGTGCGGGGGGCGCAAACCATGGTCAACGTGTCCAGGCGCTCGGTGCAACCCTCCTTCTCCAGAGCAGCGCGCAGGTCGTCGATGGCCTTCTCCTGCTCGGGAGTCAGGTTGCCGGGGTGGCCGGACAGCGGGTCCGGAGGGATGGTGGGAAAGTCATAGTCGTCGTACTTGGGGTTGAGCTTGAGCGTCTTCTCGGCCATGGTGACGGTTGCGGGCGGGGACTGTGGACGGAGGGGAGAGAACGGGCGGCGGGAGAATTATATAGAGGCGAGCGTGGGGCGGGCTCGAGGCGAAGAGAATGCGAGTGGGAGTGGAAGGAGAGGCGGTCGGGGATTGGAGGGGAAGAAATGGTGTTGCAAAATAGGGAGGAGAGGGACAGACTAGCTATGGCGGGGACTTGTCGGCCTCAGACCAAGGGGCCCGCCGCCCGCTGGCACCGCACGTGCGCCCGCTGCACCCTCCTGCCCGTCTCTCCGCCTTCGCCCTGCCGTCACCGCCAATGTCTTGCCGCTGCGCTTGATGCGCTCTTCGCGCCGACTGCACCTGCAAGGCCACCGCTCTCTCCTTTCTGCGCCTGGCCAGGCCCGCGTCCAGCTCAGCGACCGCCTCTCCTATCCGCCCTTCGCTCGCCCACCACGCCGTCTCTCACTTCCTCATCCATCGCACGTCATCAGCCGTCCCAGAGGATCTTCGTGTTGATGGAAATTTATTAGCCGCCCCTGCTGCGGGCCTGTGCTTACAGGCCACCGTGTCCCCGAGATGAACCTCCCCCAAGATAAAGTGCTGGACGCGTGGCGTAGCTTCACGAACAGGTCCGCGTGGCTTAACGACGCCACAGGGGACGATCTATTTCGCTGATCTGTCTGCGGAGATGGCCCGACGCTTGCGTTGGCGCCCTACCAGGCCAAGCCAGATTCTGGAAAAATCTCATTGCGATTGCTGAGATGAAGAGCGGAACTACCCGTCGGATGAACATCCCCATACTTCTTCTCCGCAACCACCGCATATCATTGTTCATCTCTCTTGCGTTTTCACTTCCTCCCCACTACGCGGACCCTGCTGAAACACCACTACCTCCAATCGAAATTTGCAAGACGCAGCCGTCGAACCAAAGCGGAGGGGGTTCAGGAGAACCCTGTTGAAAGCGGCATAAAAAGTGAGACCGCTTGCATAGAAGGATGCTCAAGAACTTGTCCCTTCTCAGATCTGAACTATGAGCACACTGTAGGCTGCTAATTGAGGGCTGCGTCTGGATGCCTTTGTTCAACTTCAAAACTTGACCCTGCATCCAGACGTTTGCTCTAACCAGGAAAGGTAGCGTCTTACCCATCCAATGGGTTACCATACAATGGGTTACGGAAGACTTCACCCGTCCATGCCCCGTAACATCACATTTCCTTGACCACGAGTTCCAAGGCTCCCCAGGGTTTTCTCAGAAAAAGTGGTTCCTAGAGTGACACATTTCGCCCATCTTTCGACATATCATTCTCGTCATCGTAGATATACACCGTTAAACCTTGACGAGTCCATCAAGCCTTTATCTCTTCAAACCACACTATCAGCTGGGCCCAATTCGGTGCATCAAATTTGCATCTCCTGCCGTTTTTCAAACACCGCTCAAGCATGTGACAAGAACCTCATCCTTCCTGTTGTGGTTCGTGTCAGGGTCTTTGGACCCTGCGAGGCATGCGCTATTGAAATTCACCGCGTGGTCCGCTCGCAAACATGTGATGCACCCTAATTAAATACTTCACCATCTATCCTCTGTCTTCAACACCAAACACTTCCGCAGTACGACACCAACACGCCTACAGTCGAGTAACCAGACCTTAGCAATGACAGCAGAAGCCGGCCCTCGTGGGACGAAGAGATCTCTGGATGTGGCAAACGCAAGCAGTAACAAGAAGCCTGGAGAGCCGACCTTCGAGTGCGTATTCCTAGCCCTGCTCACTTCCATCTGTCCATACATCTCACAACTAAACTCCCAGCGCTCTACGCAAGAACCCGATCGACGTGTTCGTTGGCACCGGTTCCGATGTCCAACGCTTCCATTGCTTCAGACCACTCTTAATAAGTTCAGGTTCAACGTATTTCAGGCGCGAGCTTGCTAAAGACGCGTATCGTCCACGCGACCCGCCGCACGACATCCCGACCATGCAGCTGCCTGACGAAAAGCCGGGCGACTTTTCGCTTTTCAGACAGTGGATGGAGAATGAGCTCTTTTTCAGCCACATTGACGAAGTGAGGAAGAGGAAGCCCTTTGAGCTGGCGCGCCTGTTCTGCTTTGCCGGTCGCATGGGCGCCCTAAGGCTGAGAAACACTTGCATCGACTATCTACACATGAAGGCCGTCGACTTGATCTCGCAACCGACTGGCGAGGACGAAGACGAAGAAGACAGCAAGGAATTATTGGAGGAATGCATCAACTCATGGAAGCGAGCTATTCGCTGGGTGTTGAGCAATCCTGGTATCTGCCCGGACAGCTCACGTCTCTTGGAATTCTTCACGGACTTTTTTGCCTTTTCCGTTCTACAACACGTACGCCTGCTCGAACAAAACCTTCTATCCGACCTCCCTGCCGTCTTTCTTGAACACGTCCTCGACGCCGTCAGCGCCGCGCTGGCGCGACACGTGCCTGGAGTCCCCGCCCTCTCTCTACATCCCGCTATCACGATAGATGTTCCAACGACTACCACGACGACCACTACCATGACGGAACAGATTGACGGCAAGACCATCACGGTCGTCAAGATCGACGATGATGGCGATGACAACAACACAGCGGGTGAAGCCGCATCAGCTCAGTTGGACACCGTTGTGAAGACGGAGAGTGGCCACGAGATCGTTACCGTAGTCAAACCGCGCCCCAAAGACAAGCTATTTCTTCCCATCCTCACTCAGTCCGCCGTCCTGCGCGCGTTGACCGATGGAACTTGGCAGCGGAAAGAACCTCGAAAGAAGCGAGGCAAGAAGTCAAAAAAGAAGGATAATGACGAAGTGAATGAGGGAGACAGCCCAGAAGGCAGCCAAGGGGGCAACGATGACGCGGACCATGATGATGAGCATAACCTGCAGACTTCGACAAAGTCGTTCTTTGGAATTACTAGCTTATGCAAGTATCACTACCACAGCTCCCGCAAAACCAGGAATGACTGCACGCAGAAATTCAGGGCGCGTGGCGCACAGGAGGTTTGGTGCGTGGTGCCGTCTCTGCGGACTTGAGAAGAGGAAGAGAGGAAAAGCCTGGGATGGTGATGAAAATTTACGAGTACAAAGCCTTGATCCTGCCTATCTCCCTCAATCTTTCCAATTTTCTTCTCACGGGCCGAGAGGGCTTAGATAAAATAACTATTCCCGGACATTCTTGCCCTTCGGCGTTGGTTCCATCTAGATAGATATCACTTCAAGATAATTCATGATCACGAGGAAAAAAAATGGTCTTCCTCCCTTCTCGCCTTGTCTCTGCACATTCGCCTTGGTTTTCCTTCACGGTATCCGGTTTGAGCTGCAGCTGCAGCAGGAGTTGATGCATCCGTAAGCACAGCATTCATCAGCGTCAGCCGCAAAGATAAGAGAGGCTCACTGTCCCAATAATTCCCTCCACTCGCCCACCTCTCTGAAGCACCCCGCTCTAGGCAACTACGCGGCTTCAAACGCAAGCTGGCCGCGCGGCATCTACAGTAAGTCTTGCAGCCTACCCTTCCGGCCAATGGCATGCGTGCGTTCAACAATAATGAAAGAAAGCACTTGGCTGACCAAGACGTGCCACATTCTCCCACAACAAAAAAAAACGTGTCTCATATCAGAGCTAGTAAGCCTGCCGAAAGCAAGGCTAATGTCTCCACGACGTCAGAAGTACAGGCCCCTCTCGCAGCCGATGGCGTGGATTTGTTTGTTGCTCATGTCATGGGTAGCTGAAGCTATCGTCCGGACGTGTATGTAGAAATTTTGAATCCACATTCTCGTCCGGACGATAGCTTCAGCTACCCATGACATGAACGAATATAGTTAACGCTGGCTTTCATCTGTAATTTCGAGACAAGTCTTTGTGAATACGATGACACTTTGACAATTCCCAATTTCATTTCCCGCATTATCCACTTTCTATCCACTTATGCTTCCCTGCCCATGCCGATACTCCTCATTAAATCCCCCCACCCAACCAGAGCGGCAGAAAACAAAGGTTGCAGACCAAGAAAGAGAACTCTCCGTGACCGTTCCGAGTGAAAGCCTCCAGTAGCCGTTTCTCCTCCTTGCTGCCGAGGATAATATAGACACATGAAGTTGGGCGATGATTGAGGAAAAGAAAAAAGGAAATTTATGGGAAGGAACGGAGAGGCGAAAGTCCTAAAAACTCCGCCATCCATTAGCTCTCGGGCTTGGGTCACTCTAAACCAATGTGAAGCCAAGAGTGACCTTTCAGCCGTAGAGGGAAATGCAGAGCAATCGACCGTAATTACTGCCTGGCGAACCAAGCATCGGTCAATTCCCGCAAAAAGGAAAGAAAAACATGCCGAGGTCGCCATAAGCACACCGGTTCACACACCAGAGGCCCCAGAAAACAGAAAGAAAAAACAAATATCCGAGGATTTGCTGCCGTTGTAGCAAAAGGGGTATTGACGGACTTTGATGCTCGGCCCTATGCTTTTTCCGCTATGCAATTGTTTCTTGTCAAAAGGAGAAAAGGAAAAGGAAAAGTGGTCTTTGAAAGAAAGGCTGTGGGTCAGAACAGTACCGATCCAAACGCTTCGCCGGCGACTGCGCATGTGTACTGCGGTGGCCTCTCTATTTCGGATTATTACAGCAGGATGGCGCCAAGTGGTGGGGTTGTCCCGCGTTGATTACGACGCTTGATGCATGCTGACGTGCAATATGAGAGAATGCCTCCAATGAGAGTGTGTGATCTTTGGCCGGGAGGTTTCCGGAATCCCAAAGATGGAGAGCCCAACGGGTGGGGCTGTTCAGCGTGTGATGATCAAAGAGAAGCCATCCAGCCACTGTCCACAGGAGCCGGAGATACCAGCAATGCCGTAGCCGCGCGGAGGAATTAGGGTATGACTGAGAGTCCGTTAGTATCGGGACAGAGCAATGAGAGGAACCAAGACTTACCCGCTGCCACCCGTTGCATTGCCGTAGATCTCGCTCTTCCTGTTTCTGTTGGTCAAGATCTGGATTCCATCGATCCACAACCCAGCCCGAAGATAGAAGCCCATCAAGATCTCTCCCTTCACTGTATCGAGCTTGAATTCGGAGCCACCAGGCTTGCCACCTCGTTTTCCGAACAGCTGGCTGGTGTCATCGTCGTAGAAAAACTCAATACCATCCACGGCAAAGCCGTGGTAGACTTTGATCGACATCAACACAATCCGCTTCTTCGTGATGTAGGAGCTTGATAGAAGCACCTCTTGCGGCTGAGAGCCCTCGAGCTGCGAGAAGCCAAGCTTAGAGCCAATGAAACCCTTCCGGCCGTCAGGGAGCTTGGTCTTGTTGGACTTCGCACTGAGCTTGCTAACATCGTCCACCACATGCTTCGAACCACCGTAAGAGAATACCTCAATCTTAAGAGGCTTCTTACGCTTATTCGAGGGGAGCTTGGCGCGAAGGTCGGCCTCTGTCACGGTGAGCAAGCGCGGACCACTTGTGTTGCCATCGTTCTGCAGGTACTCGATCCAAGTGTGGCAGACGTCGTCACCTTCAGGGTAGAGCTCGATCCAGGCTATTCCACTCTCGGCAGTAATGAGGATGTTAGCGTTATCAACCGTCCACACCTGGACGCTATCGTCAGGGGGTAGTGGGGCATCCTGAGGAAGGCGGAAGCACGGATGGAAGCGGAACCGCAGACAATCAAGTCGGTGCCACCCGCACTCGTCATCGCGAGTACAGAGACGTTGGCCAGGGGATTGGGTCCGCGTGGAAAATGGCTCACGGGTGGTGAAACTCCGGTTCAGGCGAACATAGTCCCTCAGCATAACGCCAGACTCCTGATGGGGGCAGCCAAACAAGTGGCCAGTCTCATGGAGGTGGGCGCCAATTCCGATGTTCGCAGCCTCCCAAACACTGCCAGACTCATTGCAATCGTTTGCAACAAAGTTGGTATCCGTCTTGGTGATGTCAGTGAAGGCGGGGACGACTTCCTCAATACTTGCAGGGTAGCTCTGCAGGGCATGGGAGCCAAAGATGGCCAAGCCCACCTCACCATCACCACCACCAAGCGCCGCGTGGCCGCGAACAACCTTTTCTTGAGGGTCCCAGTGCGTGTCCAGGAACATGCAAGAAACGTACTGCTTTTGGCCCGCCTTCGGCCTGAAGTAGTCCTTGACAGCATCCATGGCGATGCCAAACAGTTTCCCCTTGTCGGTAGCCTTGTCATATTGCTGGGCAATGTTTAGATCACGGAGCTCCTCCACAGTCTTGTCGCACCTGATAATGTGGATCTTCGCCTCGTTGCGGTATTGGCCGGTGACTTGGTCGTTGTACGTGAGGGTACCAGGCTGCCATTCCTCTTCATATCTCCAGCAGCGGCGGCCAAAGCTGTTGCGGAACATCTGCTCGCCGGTGAAGGCCTGCCACAGATAGGCAGCCATGCGGAACTTGCGAATTGCAGTCTCCATTCCATTGCCCTCATTCTGCACACGGTCGGGCACCGCGTCAAATGTACCGGGAGAATCCTTGCCAAGAATTATAGCCAAGTGGAGGGGCGGGGAGGAGTTTAGGGGGAGGTAGGTGATGTCGATCCACGAGGAGTGGGCAGGGATGGAGGTGCCACTGCTGGACAGCTTGGGCGAGCTAAAGTCAAGGCGAAGGGTGTTGGCGCCGGGCTGCAAGACTACCAGAGCCTTGAAGTGCGAGTCCGACACGGGCCAGCTAGTGGCTGGGAAAGTATCCTTGTCGTGATTCACGGTGATCGAACCGTCCATTACCTTCGAGTCGGATTCTCCAATGACACCCGATATCAGCAAGACCTTTTGATAGACCTGCACAGCAGTTAGCGTCTGACATTGTGTGTGATTGGCGGGGTCCATACCATTGCCCGGTTGTCGATGGAGAGGACGCGCGGCGCATAAGGCGACGTGGGCGGGTTCTTCGGCGGCGGGGTCGCGAACCCATTGAGACCCTATGCGTGCGCTGATTTAGAAAAATAATCGGTTCGGAGAGAGACGGTATGGAGGACTCACGACTGAGCTCATACGCTTTGTGGCAGTTGTTGCGGGCCTGGAAGGCAGTTGGGGAACGGGAGGGACTGGAGTAGGGCCACCGTTCACTGCTTTAGAGTTGGAGAAGGAGCTCTCGCCGGGGAGCGACGGAGGAGGAGTCGTTTGCTGGTAGACGGAACTAAGGGTAGAAGAGCTCTTGCTCGTAGGAATGGACGTGCCTGAACCGTTGGAACCGTTGTTCGCCGGGTCCGAGGACGAAGTATCGGTGCGGAAGCTTCTAACGGAGCGCCGGCGGAAGTCCTTGAGGAAAGACGGCATAGCGGCACGTTGGAGGCCGAGCCTGGAATGCGGACAGAAGCTAGAGGGGAGGGAACGGCGGTAGGTTGTATGCGAGCGGAGCCGCTATCTAAGAGCGGAGGGCGCAGGAAATCTGGAGAGGTGTGAGGATGACGCGGATGCGTTGCGGTGGTCTGCGCCCGCAGGAGTGCCGCACTCAGCGAACGACAATGACTGGCATGTAAGCGGGCGGACGCGCAATTGCTGAGTGAGTGATGGCGAGGGCAGAACGGGAGCAAAGGGAGCGAAGGTGACGGTGTGCAGTGCAAGAGGGCTGGCCACTAAGGGGATTACGAGCTCAGTCTCTCTATCAAGCAAGCAAGCTATCAACTGCAACCTGCACGCCGCGCCGATCTGCGCCGGCGCAATAATCGCCAGGCGGGGACCTTGCACCGCGGGCGGGCCGCACACGCAGCACTCAGCAGCAGCGTCCGCGCGCAGCCGACCAGCGCGGACGCCGATTTTTCATCGCACCAGCACAGGCGAGCGCTGCGCAGCGCCGTGCTATCGCGGCGCGCCGCTGAGGCCGCGGGTAGGCGTGTTTCATGCGCTTCAAACGCTGCCCGTTTCAAGCCAATGACGCTGGCGGCTGCTCCGAGCTGCGATCGCCTGAATCGTGCGTGGTGCCAAGCCCGCAGCCACAGGAATAGCAGCGCCGGCCCGCGCGTTGCCTGCTAGCGCCGCCTGCCGCCCCGCCGTTGGTAACAGCGGCCCTGCCGCGTTTCGGTAACGCTGCTGACATAACGCTCCCGCCGCGTATCCGTTACCGCCCCTGGTGCACGCGCGACCGTTCATTAATGCGCACCAGGCTCGCCTGCTCTCGTGTGTCGACGGAGCCTGTGCCTCCTTCTGCCCCATCCACTACCCGGCGATCTTCACGATTGCTCCGTAAGGCTTCCGGAATTCAGCCAGCTTCCCGGCCTCTTCTTGCACAAAATCTGAACTCTGCAACCAGCCTGCCTCCCGACAGTGTCTTCTCTCAACGACTGCAACCCGCCCGAAGCACCCGCACACAGTCGTCGACAGCTCCCGGGCTTTGTTCTCCCTCCGCAGCAATGGCGTCGGCAGTGTCGTCCGAGCGGCTCGACCAGCCAGCTGAGGTTGCGAGCAAGGTCCTGAGGAGAGCTCAGGTGTCGAAGGTACCCTCGACACCACGGATCACTTTTCCCCGCTCAACTAACCGCCGCCTCTTTAGATGACTCGGGCACTGCAGAACCGCCTGGCGCTTGCCAACGTCAAGGTCAAGCACGGCTGGGAGAACCTCAACATTGACGCCATTGAGCCTCGGATTGACGTGGAGCTGAAGCGTAAGCGCCCGTCATCGAGCAACACGACTCTTTCCGATACCTCGTCCAGCACCTCGGACCGTTTCCACCATCTCGCTGCCTTCGACTCGTCGCCGCTCGCGGCCCCCATATTCTCCGACGATGTCGGGAGGTCCGGAGGTGGATACGGGTCAGCAAAGAGAATGAGGTACCAGCCCGACTTTTACAGGCGGCCCGTCTCCAGCAACCATTCTCGCACAAGGGTCAGGCCTTCGAGTGCTAGGACTTGGAAGAGCTCGTACCGGCTGCCGGAGTCGTCCCCTGCCTATCGCAAGAGTAGGAACTTCTCGCTTCCCCAGGTGCCAAGCCTCTCGTTCGTCTCGGAGGGTTCCACCGTGGCCGACGAGCCTCTCTCGCCATTGCTGTCCGAAGACGACGATGCAGACCTTCCTGTGTCTTCCTTTCAGGTCAATGCCTCCCACATGCGTTCCTCGCCTCCGCCTCTGCAAAGTCCAAGCACGCCCCCTCCTGGCATGTCCCGCTCAGGCCGCCTACGCAACGATACCTTCACGGCTACACCTCGGAACAACCACAATGGGGAGGAAGATGCGAACTTGCTCATGTACCTGGCAACGTCCCCGTCTCCGGCCAACCCTGCTACCAACAAGACTCGCATCATGGCTCCTTCGACGCCGCCGCAGAGGACCACACCCCTCCCGTCCTCCATGATGTCGACGCCCGGCGGCGGTGCTCCCTTCTCCGGCTTCGGCTTGCACACCCCCGGCAACAACCTGAACTTTGCCGACTTCCTCAACATGACGCCAAGTCCTGCCCAGATCTCGAGTAGCTGGAACCGTACACCTGTGGCTGCTGGGAAGACGCCTCTGACGGCCCGCGATGCGCGCAGGCGTCTGAACTTTGACACTCTTCTCCCCCCGACGAGCCACAGCCCCACGGTCGGCTCTCTTGAGCGCTCGAGGATCAGCAAGATGGAGACGGGCCTTGGCATGGATCTCGGCGGGGAGCTGGTCTCCTAGAGTGACGAACACCTCACGAATGATGAGCTGATACGTCGAGCGGCGTGCGCTGTGCTGCACATTCGCACCGTCGCTCTCTGTCATATGCACTTCTGTCCACGGCCTGATTTGCTTGTTCGATAATGCCTTCATCAAGTTGGTTACTTGCTGGCGGCGCTTTTTTCTATTCTTCTGCGGCAGCGGTCCAGGCACCGCCATGCTCCCTTTTTTTCAAGCATCTTTTTTGCTCTTTTTTTAGGATACCACGCACAGCGAGCGACAGTTAGCATTGATTTTATGGAACAAAAGAACAAGGCGGCATGCCATTTTACCGAGAGAGGCATGGGCCGCAGGGGGTCCAGAAAAGGAACAGCGTGGCTGATTCCGCCACTAATCTCGGGATTTATGTAGCAGTAGATAGCGATCAGGAACAATGCCAATGGATCGAGGTTCAGGAGAGTCAGTTATCCATAGGTAGCCCGTGCTTTCAGCCAGGACTCGGAAGCAAGCGACAGGCCGAGGATGAACGGAAAACGAATCTCATGGGTTGAGCCTCAGGCCACCATGCACATCTCCCTGATCGCCCGTAGGCAGCACAGCTGAAAGGGAAAACGCACGGAGCGTGGCCGGGCAACCAGTCGGTAGGCGCATTTGCCGGATTGGTGAGGCTGGGCTTGTCACGCTGGGCGAACAAGCAGCAATTCGTGGGATCGGTCGCAAGCGGGCTGGATCGAAGGTAGCTGACACGCGGACAAGGTGATGCATGCAGATAGTAAGCGACAGCCCTCGGAGCATGCTAGCTACTCGCGCGCTGGCACTCTGTTCCTTCTTCCTCACACGCTGGTTGTTCTTGCCCCTGCGCCGCGGCGTTCGTTTTGCTGACAGGCTATTTGCTTTTGACCGGGCGGAGCTGTCGTGCAACCTGAGCCGCGCTCTCTTTCATTCCAGCAATCGCAGAATTAACCTTAACAAACGGGAAGGGAAATTAGAGCCCATGCAAAGGAACGTGTCGAAACACCAAAAGAACGTCCAGGAAGAAGTAAAATGATGGTGCCCCGTCACGCAAGCCGCGCGACAGTCACGCCTCTCAGGCGAGCCATGTGGGGGAGGAGACGTCATACGGGCGACCGGTCGGAAAGGGCAAAGAACGAGGGAGGGGTTCGCCATCATTGGCGCAGCAGGAGTCAACTCCATGGCGAAACGTGAATCGTGGACGAACAAAAGCGCGGCCCTAACCCCGCAAAGCTGGGCAGGTCTCTCGACATTTTGGCAAAAAAATAAAGATAGGGCCCCGGGACCGCGGGCTGGCTGACGCGCGCGCCTTTCTGGGTTTCTGGACTGGGCGAGCTGCAAGAGTGACAGAGTGCAGTGCAGCAGTCGCAGGCAGAGGCGCGCGCGCGGGCGCGTTGCCGGCCCCAGCTCTGGCTGCTCTCGACGCGTCGACCACCAGCCTGGCGCTGAGTTTATGCAAGGTTGTCGCGCGTCACCCAGCCAATGGTGGGGCACGCCTTCGTACCTGCCCAGGAGGGGAGCCGACCGGGGGGGAGGGGTGGCTGCCGCGTTTTAACGGTCTCCTGGCGTACGATACGGCTTGGCGGCGTATCTGTCAGCGCTGACACAGAAGACTCGAACCGGGTTTTGTTCCTTCCCGCCAGACGCTCGGATTGCCGACTTCCTTGGCAGCAAATCGCGGACGAGCCCACAAGGAGAGTTAAGGTGGGTTGGCAATGATGAAAACGGGGGGCTGTCTCCGTCGGCGGATGACGATCCCAGCCACAAGGCCGCGCAAACTCGATGCTAACGCGACCTTGCGCTGCCCGGCTTCGATCAAGGAAAGAGGCGGCGGTGCCCGGAATGCGGCTTTTGACGGAATCCCCTCGAAGCGCGTCAGGCCATCATCATCATGGTCGGGTGTTGAGGACAGCTGCTGTGGCGTCACCGCATCCTTGGCCCGCGCTGGCGCTCTCGCGCGACGAACTCACGGGCGGGCGGCGCTATCGAAGTTGGTGTTGCGCGTCCCGGCGGTAGCAAGTGCGATAAGGGTCAGCTTGCTTGTCTTCGCTGAGCTTGCTGGTTGAGCTTGGGTGCGGGTATCCTTGTCCAACTGCAAGGCAGGCGGCGGCGGTCTGGCGCATCGGCGATTCAAGATCGTCGCGCGTCTTCATCTCGTTTTCCGGCAAGCGCTCTCCACTCAGCCCAACCGCATATTGCAATTTTTAGGTCGGCACTTTGGCCCAGCCACCAGAGCTACCCTTCGTTTCAGGGAGCTTGCATGTGTCAGTGGCTCGTCGCTGTGGCTTGGCCTCGTTGATCAAAGAGCCGCCTGCTGCTCCTTTGTACTCTCTGCAGACCCTTTGTCCTCTGTTGCACCGCCGCCGTGCCTCCTGACCTCGTGAAGATCGTCGTGCAATACGAGCGTCGCCACCCTCCACGAGAAAGGCTTTCTCCGGCTCGAATTAGTCGGAGGCGGAGTCGGCTTTCGCGGCCCTTCATATACGGTCCTATGCGCCGGCCTAGGTGCTCACGCTACTACCCTGAGGCACTCCCTCCTCATTTAGATTTCATTTCTCCCTCGCGCCCGACTATCTCCAATCACGTCATCCAGTCGGCAGTAGCAGCATGAGACAGGACAGTCACAAGGCGAATCATCTCTCAATCCCAGAGATAAAAACGCACTTGGCTTTGCTTCCCCCATGCAAGCTTCGTGCGGTTTCAGTGTAACGTGGTCTAGCAACCTGCATCTCTCATGCAGCTGTGTCCGCACCGAGACGACACCGGGATTCACCCAATTGCCCTCTCCCGGCTGCTCCCTCTCATTCGTTGTCCGTTATCTACATGAGCAACGGCTGGTGCCCGTCGCTCCCCGAAATGAATCCTATACTACGGGAAGGATGCGATAGATAGGTTTCTCTTTTCCTTTTCTTGGTGAAGCTTCCACTGTCCGGTTTCTACCTTGTGTTCTGCCAAATTTGCCTTGTTCTACCGCACCTCTCGCCCCTTACCCTTCCCGATCCGTGAGAAACACGTAGCGCAAACACAGCGCAGAATTTTCTTCGATTCACTATCCTTCTCAGAAAAATAAAGAAAAAAGATCTGCAATGCATCAGAAATTAGTCAAGACTTTGTAGGCAGGTGTACATGCAGGGTTCGCAGGTACTTGTAACGTTACTCTTGTGTAACATTCAATCCGCCATCGCAGTCCGTTTCCCTTCAAACCGTCAGCCGCAGCAAATGGCTGAGTGGGTGGCTGCATAGCTTGATTGCGCAAGTAGTACCTACTGGCATCGCATTCCTCCTTACGCCGTCAGCAGGCGCACCATCTGGTTCTACATCACCATTTATCACAGCAGGCTGAGAGTATTCTACGGTCAATGATGATCTTCTCCCATCCTTGTTATTGTCCGTCCGTCGCTCCTGAGGAAGGAAATTTGAGAAAGGAGGCGGGCGAGCGGTGTAGGTGCGTTGGCCGTACCGTGGGTTGCGCGCGCTGATCGATTGACTCGATCTACGAATATCTTGACATTTGTGAACGCTGCTACAAGCAAACAGTGGTGGCAAAAAAGAGCACAGCTGCAGACCGGACTTTCTGCCACGCTACTTCGATCAACCTGTTTTTTCCTCGGTACACCCAGATCTTATATTTATGAGGAAGGTCCGCATGGCTATTATTATCACTCAACCCGCTTCTTATATCCGAATACGGTCTCTTTCATTCTTCTACTGCTTTGGCGAGCTTTAAGATCGACTCATTATTACTGGAGTCGTGGAGCTCGGTTAATCGCTTATCACGGAGTTGGCGGAGATACAGTGAGGAGTGACCAACTGTAGGGAATGGGACACTGGTGAATACCGCTGGGGTATCGTAGATTCTGCAAGATACAATCCTCGCTAGCAATGAAATTCTGCATACCACTCAGATGCCCGAATGAATATGCGCTGATACTACGCCCATGCTTCAAACACACCGTTCGCGGAGTCCTTTACATACTCTGTCAAACTGGTTACGGAAGTGGACAATTTCATTCTTGTCACATCAATGAAACTCGTCAGCGGGGCAGCATTCTACTGCCTGTCGAGGCAAGGAAGAATTTTGAATGCCATGAACTCACCACGATGTCTACACAGGCCCTCAGCAACCCTTTCACAAGGAGCGGCATTCGTGGGGGCTAGAGGCTATTATCCGGACGATACCTTCAACTGTCCATGACATGGGCGAAAAACAGGTCCACGTTAACCTTCGGCTGCAATATCCATCTGTACCATCCTATCACTAGATCCTGAGAGAAAAGTACCTTGTTAAAAAAAAAAAGCCGAACAGAGTAACAAACTTGACGGCAACTAGGAAAGATGAACAGTACAATAGGTGCGGTAGCATCCTTGGGTATCTATAACAAATGAAGAGGTAAGCCCCCCTAAGCTTTTAGCTATCATCGGGGTTTCCCACCCACCCGGGCTTTAGTAAAACTACTCAATGGCCAAGCAACCCAGACTCTGCCATGAGTGTATATCTACTCCAGAAAGGGGAAAGAGCAGATCAAACCCCAGACCCAGACCCCAGGGACTCCCCCACATCACTCTCTCCTCAGATACTCCTTAATCCTTCCATCAGCATCTCCTCCTCGTCCTCGATATCTATAATAGAGAACTCTGGGCCATACCGAGTAGTCCGGCTCGGGCTGTCGTATGTCAGGGCGTCGCGCCTCAGGTTGTCGCAATTCGAAAGGGAAGTGGATGCGGCCGGCGGTCCGGCGGTATCTCTCTTCCGCTGCTGCTGTTGCTTCCTTCTTTTTCTTCTCTTTTTCGACCATGCTCCTGGTTGTATCAGGCCCAGGGGGGTGTGGGAGGACGGTATAAACCCTCCTCGTCACTGTCTTCCTCCTCCTCCTCCTCGAACACCCACTCAACCTCTTCCATCCAATCCGCTTCGAAGCCGACGGGGGAAGTGGGATCGTCGAAGTCTCGGACGATATCCCAGGTCAACATTTCAGCGTCGTCGTCTTCGTCGTCGTCATAATCGTCTCCCTCTTCTGAAAAGTCCGCCCCCATAGGAACCACCACGTGACGGAGCCAGCAGTAGTCGTAGTGCCTGAGGCAGAATCCGGCGTGTCCCTGAACTGCAACGAACCGGCGGGGGACGAGCGCGGACTGCCATATCCCGTAGGCTTCGCCATTGGTGTCGCGGAAGGCGTGTGCGGTGAGCTGGGCTTCCTCGATGGTTTCGATGAAGCCGGTGGCGGGGTAGTAGTAGACGAGGTCGTCAGCGTCGTGGAACTCGTGGTCGTATGGGCATTTGTATGCAGGGTAATATTCGTCTGCCATTGTAGCGTTCGGGTTGAGGTGGTTGTTGGTTGGTAGCTCGGTAGTTCGGAATTGTTGAAGTGTTGTGGTGACTGTTTGGTTGTTGGTTGGCTGCTAGTGATGTTTGCCGGGTTGTCGTGCAGTGTTGGTGGATACGGGGTTGTTGAGAAGAGGAACAGGAATGGCTGGGGGCAGAGGCGAGCTTTTGTAGTGCAAGAATTTCATTTTAAACGGAATCGCTTCTGAAGTAGACGTAAGTGGCCCAAGGAACAAGGCTGGAGAATGGCATAGAATGATTTTCGCTGTGGGACAGCCATCGATTCTGCAGAATCTCGGGAGACGGGTCCAGGTTCCAGTCATTGTGACGGACCATTGGGTGAATTCCACGATATTCGCCTCTTCTGTTTACTCTTAGTTGAAACCATAATAGATTGACCCTCGAAGGGACACGCAACTACTAGAGACTATGTACACGTATACACTCAGAGGTCGGACTCAGCCCAATTAGGTATTCTATTCTGGGTGAATACTATATGCGGCTCTCCTTACTTCAACACCCCTTGATTGCTGTTAGTGAGCCACGAACAGGGTATATGTTCCAAGCCGCCTGCCGATATTATTATATAGATCATCCTGCGCACCTTTGATCTTTTACAAGAATCAGAGTTAGCAATTCATCGTCGCTGAAGCTTGTGCCGAAAGATATAGCGCCACAATTGTACGAAGGCGTGTTGGCGAGACTAATAATAGAGATGCCTTGTGACCGCTACGAGAAGGATGAGGCAAAATTTACTCCCATACTTAGAGATGGGACCTGCGGTTGAAGGCTGGCGCGAATTGATTTTCGTTCATGCTATGGGTAGTTGAAGCTATCGTCCGGATGATAATGTATTAAATTTTAATTCGACATTCTCGTCCGGGCGATAGCTTCATGTCCCGCTGCCTACGTTTGTATTGGAGGAACATGATGTGTCCTCCCATTTGAGATCTTGTTAGGGTTTGGACGGCGCTAAATTCTTCACGTAGCACCCGACAAAGATGACTCAAAGTGAACTAAACAATGGAAGAGCTATTCTTCGGCAATTCAAGTATATCATCCATCTATTTCAGCCGCCCCACGCGACCAGCCATGACCTTCCCTGGTTCTCATCCGTCACGTTCCCCCTCACAAAAAAAAAAAAAAAACAGAACGCCTCCCCCTTTCTTTTCCCTTCGCCCTTCACTCCGAAATATCGATGCAAGAAACCACAGACATCCATCGTACATCGTTCATCAAAAGGAGGAATCTGCGTCTCAAATATGAGAAACGGCAGAGAGTAATTGGATGCTAAACATCGACGAATAAGGCGAGAGAAATGAATTGTTTGCAAGAAATCGGAATGTATCGAACGGGCAGATGACTCAGTATTCGTACTGGTTCTGGTTGACCATGGACGCCATGACCATCATCCAGATCCAGAAAACGGTCCCGATGATCCAGAAAGCGAACATAGCCTGCCATTGCTGACCTGGGTTCCGCCAATTCATGTCAGACACAGCGCAAATTGATGGGGTCCAAGTGTCGAAAAGACTTACAGATGCTATTTTGTTCCAGCCAAGCCAGAGTGTTGACGCTGGGACCGAATTGTTCGTTGTTGTTTACGTACCGCTGGCACACGCCGTTGACATCCGACCCAGACCCGAAGAATTGGATGCCAGTTTCGATGATGCCGGTGAGGAACAAGACGAACAGGATGAAGCTGCCGATCATCATGACTCCTGGCATCAGGCGGCGATTCGCGATGAGGGCGATCTCGATGCCGATGAACACGACGGTCAAGCTGCCGACTGTGATGCCGAAAGGGAAGAGCCTATACAACCGTAAATCAGCAACCAGCTCTCTTCTTCTCCCTTTCCTTCTATCCGGAGCGAAAGCACCAGATTCGCTGCTCTCATTGCTCTCCGTAAACCCAGAGCGGGGAAGCAACACTCACCAAGGAATGCCCACGCGAAATCTCTGCTGAATGGTGATGAACATGGCATTGATACCGATCAGCGTGCCGGCCGTCGCCAGCATCATGATGGTCCAGAAGTTGAGCTGCGCATCCGGCCAATAGAACTTCTCGCGCACCACGACGGCGCGCGACATCACCGAGCGAGCCATATTGTCGTCTCCTCGTGCTCTTCACTCTCACTTTCCTTTGCCTCGTATTGTTTTCCCTTCCTGCGAACTCGCGAGCGCAATGCTTTATTCCCCCTTCCTCCCGACCTCTGACGCGCCGCCTTTTTATGTCACACAGCCCGTGCCCTGTTTGCGCGCGAAGCAGTCCCCGTCTCTCCACTTGCGCCTCGCCCGGCCTCGATTGGATGCCAATTGCTGCCTTTTTTCTGCCCGCAGAAGCAGAGTGTGCTGTCTGCGTCCCTCGTTTTGCTTGCAGTGCTGCTGCTCCTTAACCGTGCAGCAGCAGTGCGATTATTCGCGATAACGAATGCGCTCGGCCTCCGACCCGGAAAAAAAGGCGCTCTTTCGCGCTCGGGGAATATGGGTGGTGCGCGCGCGTTGTTAGCGGAATCGCGCGCGCCAAAATAGCGACGGATGTTGGCGGCAGTTGATTTGTCGCGATGGAATCATTCGATGTCGGTGGTGGTGCGGAAGCGCCGGGCGGGAGGCGTTGTATGTAGGCAAGGCTATAGGCAGCGGCAGTTAAGGCGGTTGGCTGGGTGTGCCCTGGAAGGTTGCCTCGGCTGCTGCCTTTTGGCCCAAGTTCATGCGAATGGTCGGGGAAGCGAGCGCGCAAGGAATTGGGGTGAGAGCAAGCTGTGCCTGCTGTCTTGGCCGTCGGTGTTGGAGCTGCTAATGGAGCTCCTGCCGGGCTGCGGAAGGATGCAGGAGAATCCGGGATTGAGCGAGACGGGAATTGCAGCAGTGAAACCGAAGGGAATACAAACACGGTGACGTAGAGGGCGGCGTGGTTCGCTGTAAAGGCTGGGAGACGTGGGCTATTGCTGGGCGGCAAGTGGTGGCTGGCGGTAGGCTGGGCAAGCAAGCAAGCAAGCAAGCTACCCTGCTCCATGAACCCCCACTGACCAAGGCCGCCCACCGGCTGCGAAAATACCGCCCGCCGAGTAAGACCCCCCTGCAATCGAGATTCGCATGCCGAAGCATGCATGATGCAGCATCTTCATCCGCCGGCCGTTGATGATTTGCTTGGTCGTCTCCGCAGCTCCGCGGCCAAGCTTTCGCCGATCACCCAACCTGCTGCCCCACCATGTGAACGAGCAATCCAACTCTATTAGCTATTACAATCCTTTATATCGGGCTAAATATACATTCAATACATCGTGCCTGGTAGGTTGCGGGTGGCAAACTCATCGCTTCTTCGTCATGACCTTGGTGACTGCGTGGCGGATGACGACGCCCGCCTTCTCGATCTCCTTCTTCGACAGCCCCGTCGTTACGCACACTTTGAGCGCCGGCTGCGGCAGCCATGCCTTTTCGCCCGATCCCACTGCTGCCGGCATCGCCTTCAGTCTCGTGATCAGCACCCCATTGGACAGACACTGCAGGAAACCGAGTTAGCTGAGATGCACACTGTCTCACCACACACACACCACATACCTCGTCGACAACTTCCTGGAGGAGGAACTCCTGGTCATCCTGGCTCAGGTTTCTCGAGATGACCACTTCCGGCTTCAGCCCCAGCAGCATCATCGGGTTCTCCGGCGCGCTCGAGCACAAGACCCAGTCGCTGCGCGGGTCGAGCTGTGCCCGCATCGACTTGATGTTCTCCCGCAGCTGCACAAGCACCTCCGGGTGCTCCTGCAGAATGCTGATCGTCTCGCTGGCTGTCGTCGACAAGACTGCCGGCAGCGCGGCTGAGAACGTATACGCCGCCGCCGAGATGCGCTGGTGCTCCACCACCTCGTCCGATCCCGCGCAGAACCCGCCGCCCGCGCACAGCGGACCCGCGAGCGAGCCAATGATCATGTCCACCTCGGTTGCGTCCACATTCTGCGCTTCCGTAAGGCCACGACCCGTGCGGCCGAGCACGCCGTACGACCACGTCTCGTCGAGGATCAAGCGGAACTTGTACTTGAGCTTCAGCTCGATCTGCAGCATAATTAGCAATGTGCACTCTTGACGGCGGGATTGCAACGCCATACCAGCTTGGGTAGGTCAGCCATGTCTCCGAAGTTTTCGAACAACCCCTCCGTGATGATGAACCGTCTCGTGAGCGGCTTGCGCGCCTGTTCCTTGACCGTCTTGGCAAGCACCTTCTCCAAGTCTTCCATGTCATTGTGCTCGAACCAGCGAACCGTGCTGCGCGAGATCTGGATGCCTTTCCGAATCGCAAAGTTGACGCCCTTGTCCGCCACGATAATGTCACCACGCTTGGAGAACGCGGGGATGACACTCGAGATTGTCGAGAAAGCCTGCGCGTAGACGATGCATGCCGGCACTCCCAAGTGCGCTGCGATGTCCGCCTCCGTCTTCATATGCACGTCCTGTGTCCCGTAAAAGCCGGGCGGTCCGCATGGCCCAACTCCGTACGTACGAAGCGTCGTGACAGCCTTCTCCTTGAGCGTTTCGTTGGCGAGGAAGTTGTAAAAATTGTACGAGGCGAGGTTCGTGACCGTCCGGCCGTTCGACAGCTTGGTCTTGGGTCCTGAAGGCCTGGAGGAAGGCAGGTAAGCACCAAATCGCTCCAAGGGCATGTGTCAACGTACCCGACGATTACCGGTCGCTTCTCATTCTCGAGTTCCTCAAGTGCGGTTTGCGGCGCTACCAGGGGTTCCGGGGACCAGTCCTCAACCAGCTCGTCGATTTCCTACCCAATTCTCCGGTCAATTCCACCTGGCTGCATTCTTTGCGGGAGAGAGCACGTACATCTTCCGTCAGGACAACCTTCTGCTTCTGCGTCGAGTACTTGGGCGCAAGGAGGTAGCGGACCGCGAACAGAAACAAGAAGAGCTCGACGGCGGATCGCACCGGGTCGTTCTGATAGGACGACTTGATGTATCGTAGGATGATGGCAGAACCCGGGAGCCTGTGGAACTGCGTCTGCGCGTCGCTGATCAGCCCGAGGGCCGACTGCTGTAGCTCGTGTAAATCCATAGTTCGCGGTCGTTGGTGTGAACGTCAGCAGTGGATCGGTGAGCAATTTACTCAGGGAGTCAGGTACCACGCGCCGCGCCCGCGCCCTTATCAGCCGCGCACGTGACGCATTGGACCCTTCCATGGCTCCATTCGAGCGGTGGCCTCAGCCCACTCACGGCTGCTTTATTACACGCAATTCACAGAACATCGATCAAGCAACCCAACAGCATAACTTCACTATCTAAAATAAAACCTTAAGCCAAATCCGCTCCCTATGCTTTGTTGTTATGTGCAAAGCGTTCTGCCTTGCAAAGGCCGAACCATTGAAGAAGAAAAGAGTGTTTCTATCCCAGCTGGGCCGCCTAACTTTGTAAGGAAATGCATAATTGCCAAAGCAGAAGATTACAGTCATTACGTTAGCTGTGATGCAGCGTCATGCTTCGAATTGTTGTACAGGAGGGGGCGTCGCTGAAAACTGAAAAGCGCCACCGCGAAAATGCATTTCCAAAACGTGTCGAAACCGCTTAGTACGCACGCGCAAGCATGAGACGCTTGGCCGTCGACGCTGCCGTCGAATCGGCACCCGTGGCGGCCGCGCCACCAGCGGCGCCGGTACCCGTCTCCGAAGTGCCCTTGGTATCGTTGTTGTTGATGCCCGTCGGCTGGATCAGCTCCATAGGAAGCGAAGGCAGCGACGTGAGGAACTTGCTGGCCACCAACGGACCCGCGATGAGCAGGACGAAGACCAAGAGCAGGAAGAAGTAGAGGATCGAGTAGCGGATGACACGGCGCTTGCGAAGCTTGGTCTGCTTCAGCGAGTAGATGGGCGGGCGGATTTGACGGCTGCGAATTCGTTAGCATGAGCAGTTGGAACACGGCTCGGAGTGTAACATACCTGGGGCGCAGCCAGAAGAGCATAATCGAGTGCAGCTTGTCGACGTACGGAATGCAGAGAGCCGGCAGCATGATGAAAAGCAGGAGGTGGCCGAGACAGAAGTCACCGGCGAACATGCCCAACTCCGTGATCTTGCAGAGGAACTCACGACCAGGCTGCGACAGAGTGTGCCAGCCCATGGTGTACCACTTACCAGTCCACCAGGCGATGTTGGCAGTGTCCGACTTGAATTCACGAGTGAGCGCAAGTGCGATGACGAGCTTGTAGAACCAGCGCTGGATGGCTGCCATGGCGATGAGTCCAGAGAGAGCCTTGGAGAAGCTCCAGCCCTCCAAGAAGAACATCACCTCGAAGAAGATGATGATGCCAATGACAGCAATCGCGTGGGCGATGGCAGCCAGAACCGCACCAAACTTCTTGCAGCACATGCTGAAGATCGGACCCATACAGCAGGCCATGCCGAAGAACATACCAGCAACACCAGCATTGAGGGCAACGGGGCCGAAGGCGCACAGGCAAAGACGGATGATCGAGTTGGTAGCCTTGAGCGTCTTGTCGTCGTTGTCCGGCGCGTCCTGGACACCCGTCTGGGCGTTGATGAAGAGGTAAGGAATACCGGTGATGAGGACCAGGACCAGAGGGCCGATGATCTCGCTCCAGAAGATGTTCGTGAACTTGGCACGGGGAATGTCGCCAGACAGCTTCGAGGACGGGTCGCCGAGAGCCTTCCTCTTGAAACCGGTGATACGGGTTCTGGACAGACGGCAGTAGCCGATCCAAGACGCGCTGTGCGAACGGGTGTTGCCACGGGACAGCCACCTGAGGTACTCGCGATAGTCGATGAAGAAGTCGTCCCAGGAGAACTGGTGGGGGTTGAAGATGAACGGCGAAATGCAGAGCGCGAGCAGGGAGACCCAGAAGTAAATGCACCATGCGTCCCAAATTGTCATCGTGGCGAACAGAAGCATCATCAAAGACCTAGCGCCCAGGTAGATGGATGGACCCGCAAATCTGGAGTACAGAATACCGAAGGGAATACGCGCAGTGGCGAAACCACGACCGGTACCGATGTAACGGGCACCACCGAACGACAAGTTGGAGTACAGAGCGTTGGCGTAAATCTGACAGACGAAGACCTCGAACATGGGCGAGAGCGACGAGAAATGCTTCGCCAGACGAGTAGCCGCACGCCAAGCACCACGCTCCGTAAGCTCCTGGACGGTAAGAGGAATGAAGGCAATGATAATGACGATGAAAATGGAGACGACGCAACGGGTGACCCAGTCGAAGATGGGCTCGAGGTTGGCGCAACCGGTGGGGTAGAGCGGGTCCGTGATGGGCTTGTTCTTGTCGTACTTGCAGACGATCGTCTCGTGGTTCAGAGCACCCAAGTGAAGGACCGTGAACATGAAGAACTGCACCGACAACATAATGAACAAGTTGTTGATGTGGAAACCCGGGTGAGCGTAGTAGAACGAGAGGAAGCGGTCGAGAGGCAGTTGAGTTCCCAAGTAGTAGTACTCGCGAGAAAGCATCTGCTCACCCATACCAGTACCAATCTTGGTGGTGAAGTTGAGAATGGAACCAAAACCCAAATCACGACCCTTACCGCACTGGTAGTACTCGCAATGCTTGATCCTACCACCACGGAGAAGAGCACGCATACCGGCGTAAATATCCTCGTTCAGGTGAAGACCCTTTTGAGCGTTCGAGACACCGCCACGAGTACACATGAAGATACCGTTCAGGAAATCGGGGTGACCATAATGGAGCTTGCCACCGATCTGAGCCAACGTACGAGCGAACATAGTACCGAACGTCTGTTCCTTTCCGGCAGCGACGTCACCAAGAATACCGATGTTCTCAGAGAAAATGTACTCGCGAGCACCAAGAATGGCAACGGGGTCGAAGTTCGTGGGAGGAAGACCGGGAGTGTAAGGCGAAACGTTGTCGGTGGTCATCTCCTCGAACTCGGCCAAGACGCTACGGATCTTCAGACACTCCTCCAGGTAGTTGTCCTGGTTAGCGTCGACCAGCTGGATGTACTCGCCACGGTAGAAGATGACAGCGTGGTTCTGGTTGTCGGACTTGCCGTCACCGAGAATGGGGTTACCAGAGAGCTGAACCCTGAACTTGGGACGACGCATGTTGTTCTCCATCATTTCGCAGTGACCATCGATAAGAGCGGAGTAGAGGCGGGGATCCTCGCCCTCGTTCGCCGGCGGCTCCTCGTCAAGGTAGGCAATCTGAAGATCGGGGTAAGCACGGAGAAGGAACTCAGTGTTCTCGCGCTCTTCCTTGGTGAACTTGGCGTAACGCTGCATGGACACGCAGATCTTGTACTTGCGGCGAGCCATACGCTCGAGCTCACGCTCAAGCTTGTCGGAGTTGCCACCGAACATCTGGACGACCTCGGGGTTCTCAACACGGTAGAGGAGCTTGATCGCACGGCTGTAGTTCATGAAACCGGAGATCGTACGGTACAGAGTCTGCGAACGAAGGGAAGCCCAGATACGCGTACGGAGAGTGTACTCAGGAGCTGCCGACTTGAAACCAATGCAGTAGAAGGGAAGGTCATCGATCTTGGCCTTCTGGGTGTCCTTCTCGGCCTTCTCGGGATCGCCGTTGAACTGAGAGGTCTCGTCCGCCAGAATCTTGGTGTCCTTGACGAAGCAGTCCCACTCAACCGGGTGCAGCTGCTTGAGGTATTCCAGAAGAGTAACACGGGAGTACGGCTCGTCCTCGCGAATAATTTCCCTGAGAGAAAGAAGAATCTTCTCACCGTAGTGGGGAATCATAACGGTGAAGGTCGGCATGTTATCGACGGGAAGAGGCTCAGGGATGGGAGTGGACAGCGACTGCGCGAAGAACGAAATACGGCGCTCGGCCTCGCTCTGAGCGGGGAAGAACTCGGTCTTGAAAGAATGATCTTCTTGCGAGACGAAGAAAGTGGGCGCACGCAGAGTCCTCTTGCCTTCCTGCTCCGAGGGAACCTGGTGGTAAAGCAGCTTCTGGACATGGTCAATGGCGAGCAGGTGCTCACGGTACATGGAGATGACGATGGCGTTCCAGATCTGCGAGATCAGGACCTTGGGCTTATACTTGATCTCCATGTCAGTCGTGGCCAGGACCTTGGAGTAAATACGCTTCGGAAGACGAGAGAAGATGTTCCTCCAAGGCGTCCAGATGGAGATACCGAGGTAGAAAGACCTGGCGACGGAGAACAACATGTTCCAAATGATGTACCAAAGGTAAGTATCCAAGAAGAACAGGCAAAGATCCGTGAAGAACATCAGACCGAGCAGAATCTGCGGCTGCTTCTTGCAGAGGATATCCGCCTGAGATCCCAAAAGCTGGTCACCAAGACAGTTGTTGATCTTCATGGTGGAGAGCACACGGATGGGATCTCTGAACGAGAGCGTCAAGAAGAAGTACGACTCCGAAAGCTTGGCGCCAAAGACGACAACCCACAGGCCGTAAGACATCCACATGTCGTTACCTTGAAGACGGGGGTAGCTAGCCGTGAAGGTTGCGCTGGCGACGTATTGGCGGGAGTTCTTCCTCAGGTAGCTTCCGAAAAGACCACCGAGCGGCATGAAGGAGAAGAAGAACAGCGTAACCAGGGCGATCAGGAATTGGACGATACCCAGGACAAGAGCGATCTTGCCCTTCTGGTTGATACCGAAAATGTAAACCGCAGGACCGATGTTGAGGACGAAGACACCGAGCAGGAAGAGCAGACGCTTGGTAAGATGCTGCGCACCAGCCCACTTACGAGGGACATAAGCCCACTCGCAGAGAGTAGCTCCAATCATGATAAGAGATGCGAGAGTACCACCGAGAGCGACCGCAGACCACTGAGCAGCGGGGTTGGGCTTGTTGTTCAGCTGCTGCTGGTAGTTCTTGGTGTAGAAAGTCGGAGAGTTGTAAGCCGTGTAGAACCAGAAAATCGTCAAGTGGATGACCCAGATACGGTTGAAGTTGGTGAGCAAGTGCCACCAAGAACGGGTCTCTCTGTAAGTCTTGAAAAAGACCTTCTTCCAGTTGACGTCCTTGAGCTTCTCGTAGCGCTCCCCGGGAGGAAGATCGACCAGACGAGACTTGTCCTCGAGCACGATACGCTCAATACCCTCAGGGTACCAGAAAAGCTGGTTCATGTCGTCGTAACCGATGATCTGAGCGTGATCACGCTCACGACGCACGTACTTGCCATCCTGGATTTCGTAACCCTGGTCTCTGCAGTAAGTGTACAGGGGCGTGATGATGGTGTTGAGGTAAGTGAACTCCTCAACAGGCTCCACACGGTTCTGGCAGGCAGGCGAGTTGTAGTAATCGTCGCAGCACTTGAAGATGAAGCAGATGATCTCGGGCATCAGGCGGACCTGGTTAGCCTCACCCCAGCAGAGGAGGTAGAGAGCAATCTGTCTCGCACGGTCGTGCTGGGACATCTTGTTCATCCTGCTCTTCCACCGGTACTCGGCAGCTTCCAAGCTGTTGTCACCCTCGTAGGCTTCAAGGGCCGCGTCCTCGTTCCCGGGGTCTTGGCTGGCCTTCTTCTGAGCTGCCTTGCGGGCCTTGCGGGTTTTCCGGCTTCCACCGGAAAGCTTCATGTTCGCAAAACCGACCGCATCGTCCATATCGAGATGCGCGGCGAAGTACCAGCGGCGGTAGTTCGCGTTGTCACCTCCAATGTAGTCGGCGTGGAGCGAGAGCAGAGCCTGGTTAGGGCTCATGCGGGAGGCACGGGAATCGAGCTGTGTCATGAGATGGTCGTACATGTTACGCATGCTGTCCCTCTGGAAACCAAACTTGGCCGTCAAATCCATGAAGATGTCCTCGATTTCCTCCTTCGAAAGCGGGATCTGAGCGTCGGCGCTCCAGGCGGGGTAGGGTTCGCGCGAGCGTTGGCCGGCGGGGAGGGCGTTCGTGTAGTCCATGCCGTAGATCGGGGTCGAGGCGCCAGAACTGCGGTTGCCGCCGTACGAAACCTGTGAAGACGGAGGGCGGTATCCACGGCCACCTTCGGCATAGCTGTCGTAACGTCCATCAGCCCGGCCGTAATAGTCCATATCCGCAGCCCGGGCCATATCGGACCTCATAGTGAAATCGCTGAATGTCTCTGAATCATCCTCGGAACCACCGGGGCCGCGGGGGCGCGCACTGTAGCATCGTTAGCAATTGGGCTTCTTAGGGGGGGGGAGTGTCTTCTCTGTGAGACCAACGCGTACCCTCCTTGACCCTGCTGGTCGTAGTATTGGTCGTTGTAGTACTCGTCCTGGTAGCCTTGGCCGCTCTGGTCGTAGTAACCGTCTTGCGCGTACTGGCCGCCGTGGCCGTCCTGGTCATAGTAGCCATCCTGGTCGTAATAGGAGTCGCCGTGCTGGCCGTAGCCACCGTGGCCTTGGTTGTCGTAGTAGCCCTGTTGATCATCTTGATAGTAGCCATCCTGGCCTTGATGGCCGTAGCCATCGTCGTAATGGCCTCCTCCCTGCGGATGTCCCGACATCCTGAAGACCGTTACGAAGCACTGCGGCGGTCAGGGAAACGTCCCAGAGTGGATGCGGGACAAGTCAAAGCGGGGCAAGCGTACCTCAAGCTATTGGGCCTCAATGCAATCTGAAGCGACAGCACTACGTCCAGGGAGTCGGGTTTATGTTGGGGTTGCGACCGGAGCGTCGGGGAGAGCGAGTGGCAGGATTGTTGTGGACAACGAACGGGATATCCGATCGTCTGCGGGACCGACGTTAGCGGGAGCTTGTTGCCCCGGTAGGGAGAGCCCGATACCGTGGAGGTTGGAGAGGCTGGCGATGGGGGTAACGCACCTATTACTGTATTGGAGGGGGCTGTAACCTTGGAACAGGAAACACCGCTAACACGCAAGTGAAGGTGGGCTGCTGAACGTCGGCACGTCGCTCTGGGAAACGGCGAGGCGGCGTCAGCAGGGCTGCGGTGTGGGATTGAACGAGAGTCGATGACGGAGGAGTACTGGTAAAGGGTGTCGCTGTTGCTGTGTCGACAGACGCGCGGCCAGGTGCAAGCCCGCAACTTGGCGATGTGATTGGCGGGTGATAAGTGTGGCCGGTTCGCGCTGCTAGCGGTCGTCGCAGCTGCGCAACTGGCGTCCTCGGGGTCCCGCGCGAGACGTAGCAGACGGCGGGGCGTCGACGACGGAGTCCGGACCGTGGCGAGTGGGTGTGAGAGAACGAATGTGAGGTGACGGTGGTCGGTACAAGAGAGAAAGGGAAAAGGGGATCTGGAATGGGCAACACTTTTGAGGCAGCGGGCGGCGGCTGTCAGGCCTGCGCACGGGGCGTGCCTGCCTCGCTGGGCCGGGCGAGCGCGGGTGGGTACGGCGACAGGGATTGAAGCAAGCACGGCAAGCCGCCCTAACGCCCGCCGCGCGCGCTGGCGAATCGTCGCACGACGGCAGCGAATCGGTCTATCAGATTGCCTGCGCGAAAGCCTGCGCGACGTGCGGTGCTCCCAGGCACCGTCGCCGGCCGCTTTCCTGCTCTGCAGCGCGATAGGGGCCAAGCTGCGGGCGCGCCTGGGATCCTCAGCAGGGACGCGCCCACGTCGCGCGCTCTCGCCGCGTCGCATGCGATGGGATCACCAGCGCTTCCCCGCCGCTGCGCATCCAGCGATAGGGCCGCCGAACCCATAGCGATTTTCAGCGATTTTCCGCGAGGTGGCGAACTGCAATCGGCGCCGCACCGTTCTAAAAATGTTCCAAATATGCACCACGCTGCGATCTGCCGGGAAAGCGACGCTTCCATGATTCCCTCCCGGCGCCCAGCGCCATTCCTTTTCGCGCGCACTGCAGGGCTGTCGAATCGCTGATGCTCCCACCATGGCAGCGGCCGTTTTCCACTACCCGCTGCCCGCCCGCCGCATCCGCTGCGCCTTCTGCGCCATTTTCTACCTCCTGAGATGTCGCAGCGGGGCGCCTCCAGGAGGCGGCGTGCGACGTCACTCCTGGCCACCAGCACGGAGCAGCCGTCTCGATCTAAATTTCCCAGAAATCCTATCGGCCGCCCGCCGCGGCGCGCTCTGCCAAATTTGCGAACGGCGAGCGAGCGATAAGGAGGCAACTTATCGCCGGATGATGAAGTGGCGGTACGCTTGCGTGGAACCCCTGTCTCTCTCGAAACGTTTGTCTCACACTGGCACGTCCGGCTGCGCTGAGTTCCGAGCGAAAAGGGGCTACCTACGCCGTTGGCGGCTTTACATAAGGCCAGCCTCACAGGCCAATTGAGCGGTGTTCGAGAGCGCCGTTGAGGCTCTCGATGGCTTTTTTATTCACAAGGGCTCGCTCGCCAGCTGCTGCATTCCTGATGTAAATCCGCAAGCGCCGGTCTCCTCTGACCGCCTCTTCAACACCAACGCCACGACCTCGCGGAAGCTGCTTACCAACACTGACCTGCCCGTCCTTCATTTCCCAGCCTGGCAGCCGGCAGGGTGTAGGTGTCTTGGGTTTAGCATGAACGGTATCGGTCGTCTTCATGCTCGCAGGCCTGTTTCGTGTCACAGGCTGCGGCGGCATCTGGCGGGAGTTGGCGGGAGGCGACGGCAGTCGAAGGAGTTCGGAAGCAGCTGATGGAGCAATACTTATGGCTAGCCTGCCGTGCCTCTTCGCGCTGGCAGGTTCGTATTCAGGCGCGGCGTTATTGGGTGCTTGCCGGGGAAAGGGCGGGCGTCATAGGGAGGCCGGGGGGACGAAACCGCAGGCTCGGGCGCCAGTGTCCGAGCAAATCAGCCCGGATATTAGACGGGCACGCGAGTGGACCGAGTGCACATCGCATTTTCACGCCATTTGCTGGGGCGTCTCTGCTCGTATTGTGCTGGGCGTGTGTGGCAGTGCCGGGATTGGACTGGCTTGGGGCAGTGCTCGCGCTGGGCTGGGGAAATGACACACGGCGGCGACGACGGGCGCCGGGGATCGGGCGGGTGGCCATCAGCGCGACCCGCTCTGCGCGTGAGAAAATTGAGCTGGCAGGCTGCTTGCGTCGGGTCGCCGTCAGCAGTGGATACGCAGTGGATGCGCTCCAGCCTGATTTGCGGCGTGGAACAAGGCCGTCGAAAGCTTCCAGCAGCTCGATTGCGCGTCCAAGACAACGTACGGGCTGAGCGCCCGCTCCACTTAGCTCGTTTCGGTCATTTAGCATGGGCGGCAGGGTGCACAAAGTGCGGGTCCCCTGAAGGCAACTCCTCGCTGTTCTTCAACTCCAGCTTTCGCCGCGCGCCTTAGCCACCCTTATTTTCCTCTCCTCACCCTCCAAGACTTCTTAATTCCTGCCCAGCAGGTCCTTCTTACGCTCCTTACCCGGACTCGCGCTCCGCCCCTCGTTGTCACACCGTCCACCACGGTGCAAATTCCCATCGCTCACCTTTACAATCCTGCCCACCCAAGCCAACCGTTCCCAATTCTGAGATATCCATAATGAAGTCGTTCGGAATCGCCGCTGCCGCGGCTGCGCTCTTCGCGCGCGCCGCCCTGGCGGACGTCCCACCGATTGTCATCAAGGTACGCGGCGCCATGCCTTGGCTGCATCGCCATGCGCGGCCAACTGAGTGCCACGCCGCTAACACGTCTTGTCATAGGGCTCCAAGTTCTTCTACTCCAACAACGGCACCCAGTTCTACATCCGCGGTGTCGCCTACCAGCAGGAGTACTCCACCAACAGCAGCTCGTCCGACAGCAGCGCCGACAACTACAAGGACCCGCTTTCCGACACCACCAGCTGCAAGCGTGACATCCCCTACCTCACCGAGCTCCGCACCAACACCATCCGTGTCTACGCCATCAACCCTGACGAGGACCACGATGAGTGCATGCAGGCGCTGCAGGACGCCGGCATCTACGTCGTTGCTGACCTGTCGTCTCCCGGCACCTCCATCAACCGCAACGATGCCGCCTGGAACGACAAGCTGTACGCCCGCTACACTGCCGTCATCGACGCCATGGCCAAGTACAACAACACCCTCGGTTTCTTCGCCGGTAACGAGGTCTCCAACCAGGCCAACAACACCGACGCCTCCGCTTTCGTGAAGGCCGCCGTCCGCGACAGCAAGGCCTACATCAAGGCCCAGGGCTACCGCACCATTGGTGTTGGTTATGCTACCAACGATGATGCCGACATCCGTGTCGACATGGCTGACTACTTCGACTGCGGTGACTCCGCCTCTGCCATCGACTTCTGGGGCTACAACATCTACTCGTGGTGCGGTGACTCTTCGTACACCAAGTCCGGCTATGATGTTCGCACCAAGGAGTTCGAGAGCTACAACGTCCCCGTCTTCTTCGCTGAGTACGGCTGCAACGAGGTCACTCCCCGCAAGTTCACCGACACTCCTACCCTCTTCGGTGACCAGATGAACGATGTCTGGTCCGGTGGTATCGTCTACATGTACTTCCAGGAGGAGAACGACTACGGTCTCGTCACCGTCGATGGCAACACCGTCAGCACCCTCAAGGACTTCAGCTACTACTCCAGCCAGATCCAGAAGGCCACTGCTACTGGTGTCAACTCTGCCGACTACACTCCCACCAACACCGCCGCCGCCGACTGCCCGTCCGTCGGCACTGCTTGGCAGGCCAAGGCTACTCCTCTTCCCCCGACCCCCAACACGGAGCTCTGCCAGTGCATGTACAACTCGCTGAGCTGCGTTGTTGCTGAGGATGTCGACACTGACGACTACGGTGACCTTTTCGGCGTTGTCTGCGGTCTTAACGACGAGGCTTGCGCCGGTATCACCCACAACGCCACCACCGGTGTCTACGGTGCCTACAGCATGTGCAACACCACTGAGCAGATGGCTTTCGTCCTCAACCGCTACTACGAGCTTGCCGACAGCAGCTCCAGCGCTTGCGCTTTCTCTGGCTCTGCTACCCTCAAGTCTGCCGTCACCCCCACTGGCCAGTGCTCTAGCCTGATCAAGGAGGCCGGTACCGCCGGTACCAACACCATCACCTCTACCCCCACTGGCACCGGTTCCAGCAGCGGCAGCGCTTCCGGCACTTCCACTGGTGCTGCTATGGCCATCCAGGCCCCCAGCTTCCAGATCGGCGGTGTTGTCCAGATGGGTGCTTACATCTTCGGTGCCGTCCTCACCGGTGCTGGCATGATCCTTCTGTAAATTTGCTAGCCAGTGTAATGTGGAGCATAGTGGCGCTTGGAGGGTCCGATAAGCGTCTTGCATTTGGGTATTCAATGCCTTTGCTGGATAAGAGTTCAGGGTTGAGAACTCGTCTGGAGATATACCTTTGCCTCTGCGGTTTCGTGCGCTTCATTCAATAAATGCTTTTTATCTTCCACGATCTGTACTGATTATGCCCTTTTTTGCCAAGAGTACTTGTACATGTCAGTGATTGTTATTATTGTACATATATAATTCGCCTAATCCAACGACTGCATTACGTCTCTGAGGCGCGTGCATTAATAACTGCCCACCTTCTCAGCGACCCAGTACTGTTGGATGCCAAACATGAAAATGAAGCACGCGCTCCGAGACACTTGGCGGTGTAAGGCCAAGGATTCTCCAGGCAAGTCCAAGTAATCCCTTGCTTATTGCTAAACCAGCTCTCGCAGCTGGTTTGTATCACACCTCATAGACAAGTCACATCTGAAGTGAGGTTTTCGTGGAGTCGTGATCTATGGAACCGTGCATCTGGACAGCAGGCGTGCGACACAGGGTGAGAAACGAGGTTCTTTCTACATCATCGTCGAGAACTATGAGATATTCACAGTCAGCAAAAGAAAGTCAGATTTCTTTTAGATGTTTTCCATTCCAGAAGCCCGTATTGTCTCAAAGAGAGCGCCTGAGGAGCGCGCTCCATCCATCGTGTAACCTATGAGAACAGTTCTTCAACCACCTGCTCGCTATCTTCACAGACCAACTACCCCTTGTTCATTATCTCACTCTTGCCACTCTTGCCACTTGCTTCTACCACCTCGTCCTGCACCTTCTGAAGGTTACTCCTGAGTGACCATGTTGCTTAGCGTCTTCGGGACTGGGCTACTGGCCGGTCTTGGGCTACTCTCAGCAAGTGGTGAAGCAAAGATGGTAACAGTGTACGAAACAGCAACCACCTGTTTTCCTCTTGGGCCGGCCTCGGGAACAACTTCCATCTCGAGCGAGGCCAGGAGCGCCTCTTCTCCGACTAGCACAGTCTGGACCGACGCAAATATTGCTGCTGGTGAACCTTTTCTCTTAGAGGTCCAGCGCATCGACGGCTCCGCACTGGGAAAGCGCCAACAGCTTACACCTGAGACGTCTTGGCTCATGGAGAATGGCAACACAACGACGGATTCCAGCCGGGCAGCTGTATGCTCCATTGATCGAGACGGCCATCTTCACATCAACAACAATATCATGTCAGTGAATGAGGGTGTACCAAGTGCGCCATTTGTGGCCAATCTGGGAACTTTCTCAATTAGCACGAAGTTCTCCACAACGAACACCGTGCTCGGCTGGACTAATTCCACGTTCTCAAATGGCACCGCGCAATTCTACAAGCTTCCTGTTGGGCTTCTTGAGAATGCACAGATTTTGGGGAAGTACTACGGCCCTCCAGAGCCTAATCGGGGCTGGACGCCAATCAACCTTTGGGCAAGATCATGTAAGTAAGTTGGTCATCATGCATGACAAATCACTCACCTCACTACTTAGTGAACATGCATAGCGGCCCACCAGCATCCATCTCGAGCATTAGTCCATCGTCATCGGCAAGTATCGCTAGTTCAAGCGCTTCAAGCGTCAGCATTCCAGTTCCGAGTAACGTCTCACCCAATGGAAGATGTGGCTCATCCGACGGTGGCTTTACATGTCAAGGATCACAATTTGGTGTTTGTTGTGGTGTCGATGGTCGCTGGTATGTCCTTACTCTGTTTTCTTTGGACGGGTGATCTATCGCCTTTACTAATTCCGGCTCAGTTCGAGTTCAGATAATGCGTGCCAGGCGGGATGTCAACCCAAGTTCGGTTTCTGTGCCCCAGCCGGTGCAAACATTAGTGACAACGGCCTCTGCGGTCAGCAAAACCACAAAGTCTGCTTGGGCTCGCAGTTTGGCAATTGCTGCAGCATCTACGGATACTGTGGGAGCACTACTGAATTCTGTGCGCCAAACAATTGCGCTGCTGGTTTCGGTTACTGCAGCCCCAACACTACTTCGACCACGTTGGGAGCAGGATCAAGCTCTGAGACTGCACTTACCTTCGTGACGATGCCAAGATCTTTGGATAGCTCTGCAAGTGCCTCCATTTACGTCAGTTCAACCGCGACAGGAGGCAGAATATCCTTTTCTTTGGACAGCGGGAGCTCTGTCTCGTTGATAATGACTTCGAGTGCTTCTTCCGGGACACAGGCTCCTGTAGCTTCCGGTAGTAGCATCAGCATATCTTTTATGAGCGGCAGTCTCAGCTCCTCTCAGGTGGCCGTTATGAGCAGTTCCACGTTCACCTCAGGTCTTACCCCATCAAGCAGTACCATTTCTTCATCATCCAATGGAGTAGGATCCTCTTCAAGCTTGTCGCCCTCTTCCAGCTTTGCGACCGGAATCTCAGAAGTGAGCACATCAACGTCTTCGCGGATTTCAATTGCTTCACTCCTCTTCCCTTCTTCTTCTTCTTCTCCGCCAATTTCTTCTACTCCAAGCTCTTCTTCCTCTTCATCTGCTGTTCTAGTCAACAGTACCCCAGCTACCAGCAGCCCCCATGAGACAACACAGATCAGCACCGCGGTCATAACACCAATCCCAGCTTCATCTTCTTCGACCTCAAGCCTAGAGATTATAAGAATGACCTCAACTTCGAGCTTGCCTTCAGAATCGATATCCTATAGCTTCATTGCTCCCTCCTCGTCTTCATCATCCTCAACCTCATCCTATCTCATCTATTACGACGACTTCACAACCTCAACTACTTTGTCGTCTTCAATGTTTACTACGGCGCCAACCATTTCTTCCAGTCTCTCACCGATAAGCAGTCCTTCCCTCTCCTCATTTTTCACGCTCATAACCTCGTCTTCTTTGATGTATTACGATGACTTTATCACCTCATCTTCCTCATCTTATCGTTCAACCCCTACCCCTATCACAACCATTTCGTCTCTCTCTTCCTCATTTACCGCTTCGAGCTCATCGAGCTCTCCATCCTACCCGCCCGGTGCGTGCGGCTCGGAATTTGGGAATCAGAACTGCACAGCCGCCAATTCCGGTCCTTGCTGTTCCCAATACGGCTTCTGGTAAGCTCGTCTCCATGTGCCGCTACTGCGTGATCATGAGTCACCCATGTCTAACATTTTGCCAGCGGCGGTGGTATCGAATTCTGTGGTTCGGGCTGCCAGGCATCATTTGGCCATTGCGATATTGTGAACATCTCTGTCGCCTCCATGAGCAGCGGCTCTTCCACTGCTGCATCGATTCCATCGTTTGCGACGTTCGTGCTAGTCCCGGGTCGAGTACCGCGCGTTTAGTCTCGGCGTGGTCATGCACCGCTAACTCGTCATCGGCGCTAATGGCAAGAGTGCTACCGTGGGCGTGCAAGGGCCCGGCGGTACCGCCGCTAATTTCGTCCTCGACCAGTGCGTCATTCGTACGCTGGAGACGGTGATGTGCGATAAGAACACAAATGTTTGGAGGAAGCTAGCGGGTTGGGGGGGTTTCTCTCTGTGCCGAAGGGGCGATGGTTGAATGCACTGGTTGAGATTTTGCATCCCATGTTTGCTTTCCCTTCTTAGCATCACTCTGTGTTGGCAACGCACGTGGCAAGCTCATAATAGCGCTGGCTTTGCTTCGTATTTCAATCAAGGTCGAGGGATGTTTATTCTGTTTCGGTTGTAGGATCATCTCTGTTAGCAATGAAGTGATTTGAGGAATGGTACTTGGAAATTTCTCAGGTTTGCTGTAAAGTAGATGCTCGATCCTTAAGAGGTAATCTCCGTAGCCATCCGATGTTGTCATTTTTGAGCGCGGGTTCAGCGTGTGAGCTTTGGTGACATGTAGATTGGCGTTTTACGACAGCACAGATAGCTTCATCACAGTCTCCTGGCCCGATGTTTCTAGAACCAGCACGATCCTGACATTGCTCTTTTACCCCTTTGCGGGGCTTGAGAGACAGTCCTCAGCTTTCAGTCTTAGAGTGCTCCCCTGCGCTTTGGCACCCCAATGACCCGGTAAAGGTGGGATAGATTCATGGATGGTGGCATGTGCGGAAAGCCGAAAGCAAGCGTGCGGCAAGCTATGCCCAGTCACGCATTGGGCAAGTGCCAAAGCGGACGTTCATGGCCGATTTGAGGGCGCATCCCACGATGTCAGATGCTTCCCACGTGGCGAGTGGTTGAAGCCGAAAATAGTACGCAGTGATGGCCGCAGAGCATCAGCTGGCAGCATTATTGGTATCCACAAAGTGGAGATAGGCCAGTATTTGAAAACAGCATCTGATGTGCTGATGTCCCCACGGGCGTGCATTGGCGAAGGTGGCGATCCGTAATGCGTCGGCCGACCACCATCATCTCGCCTTCTGAAAGCCAAGGACAATCCCCCTAACCTCGACATTTTCTGTGCCGATTGACCCGCCCTAACTCCTGGTATGCCTGGTATCACAACGCCGTTCCACAAAAAATAGTCAATGTACGCTCGCCGTCCGCAACGGATGCTGTTGGGCGGGGGGCGGAGGCCCTACCGCCGGGGTGTGTTCCGGAGTTGTTCTTTGATTTCGTCGATAAAGTGCTTGAAAAATGACGGGCCCTCTGGGTGTTGACGTGTCAGCGGTACATTGGAGCTGCAGGTCACGATGGGACGCACGGTTGCGGTCGATATTGGTGCCGCCCATCTCTTCCATTGGCGTGCCGTGGCGCAGGCGGTGAAACCTTCTGTAGGCATTCTGGACAGCGCGATGGAAGGCCGGGCTCGAGAGGAGCTGCGATCAGCGTCAGAAAGCGTTGACAGCGATCACGTATGGTGGCGGCTACTCACGCGGGTGGTGGCCCAGACCTATAAGGCAGCCGGCAGTCAGCAGTGGACACCTGGAGGCACAGGCAGCAGGGAACAACACACCTCGAGCAGGCGCAGCCAGATCATGGCGAAACACAGGGCGATGGACACGCGCGCGGAGGTGCAGGCGGGGAGCAAGTGGTTAGCTGCGGCGGCGTTATGGGCTGGCGATAAGCCGGGCCCGGGTGAAGGCTTATTTACAGTAACTTAAAGCGCCACAGCCTCGGGTCAGCCTTGCCATTACCACCACCCACGAGCCGCATATTTAGCCCTCTCGAACCACCGTATATATCCGCTCTCAGCGCCGCCCCTCACCATCTCAGAGCCCTGCCGAGTATTACAAACCGCGCATAAATCCGCCCTCAACCCAGCAGCCCCGCGCGACACGATCCCCTACGCCCAGCCCCGACTGCCGCCACAAATCTCCCGCTGCCCGCCGTCGCGCCTATCGCACCCCTCAGCGCTGCATGCGCCCGCTCTCCTACTCGATCGCTGACTGATTGCCGCCTGCGCGCAACCCTCGCGACCATCGCCCCGTCACCCTCTTCGCCGCCCGACCACCGCGACCCCGTAATTTCCCCAACGAAGCTCGCGAACATACGTGCCATTTCTCCCTCGCCGCGCCGACTCCGGCCAGCCGCAGCCCTCAGCTCTCTGTCCGCGCAACACAATTGGTCTGACCCGGAGCGCTTGCGTGTCTCCCAAGCACGCGTCGCCAACGTGCATCACCTCCGCGAGCTTCGGCGCAAAGCCGCAAGCAAACGCTCCCGATCCGCCGGTTCCAAGAAATCGAACATGTCAAGCTCCTCGCCGCTCCAGGTTCCCGGATCGCCGCACTCGTCGAAGCGCTCGCTCTCTCGCGACAGTATACGTTCCTCGGCTGCCGTGTCGTCCTTGTCCCTCAGCAGTTCGCGGGCGGGCTCGGCGCGCGGAGGTGACAGCAGGCTTTCGGGCGAAGATGGCATTGAGGCACCGTTGCCGTGGTTCTTGAGACAGTCGAAAACAGGCAGGTTGTCATCTACACTCTGTCGTGTGCTTCAAGTGCACCGTGGCGCCAGGAGCTAACTTGAGCGCACACAGAACTCGCTGAGAAATTCGAGAGCCTCGGGTGGCAGGAGCGCAAGCGCATTGCCGAAGGCGCCCTGCAGACCAACTCACCTTCCCAATGGGCCCGCATGACGGGCGGCCTCGTGGCCCAGCGCAACCGCTACATGAACGTGGACCCGTTTGCCGCCAATCGCGTACAATTGAAGGTGCCTGAAGGCCACGACGACTATATCAATGCGTCCCCGATCATCATACGGTCTTCGAAAACAGGTGCAGCCAAGAATTATATCGCGACTCAGGTGCGTTGGTGCAGGTGGACTTGCGCTGCCGACTTCTAATGCGTCAGCAGGGCCCCAAAGACAATACTCACCACCATCTGTGGCGCATGATCTGGCACGAGTGTGCGTCTCCAGCTGTTATTGTTATGCTAACGCAGCCATACGAGGCCGGCCGAGAGAAGTGCTATCAGTACTACCCTGATAATATGGAGTCGCCACCAATAATTGTGAATGAACACGACGAATTTGGAGATGAGGTCGTCTTCGAAGTTAGCTTGGTTTCCGTACGGGAAGACGAGAAGTCACGATCGACCCTCCGCGAGCTCGAGATCAAGGACCGCGCGTCTGGAAAAACGAAAAAGGTCTGGCACATCCTGTGGCCAGTTTGGCCGGATTTTGGCGTGCCAGAAGGCCCGCACAAGCATCTCCTGGTGAACTTGATACCGCTTTCTGAGGAAAAGAACGCGGGTGAGGAGAACCCCCGGATTGTTCACTGTAGTGCCGGTGTCGGTCGTAGCGGGACCTTCATAGCCCTGGATCACCTTCTGGCGGAGCTTGAGGCAGGAGCTCTCGACGACGTGCCTGATGGCAAGGATCCGGTTGAGGAGACGGTCGAAATCCTTCGCAGCCAGCGGATGATGATGGTGCAGCAGGATTCTCAGTTCGCCCTCATCTACGAAACGCTGCGCGAGAAATGGGTTGACCGATGGCGGGAGCGTCAAGGCCTACCGCCAATCAAACGTATTGTAGACAGCGGAAGAGGGTCTAGCGAGGAGGGAGGCACTGATGCCAAGCGAAGTGGAGATGCGGCAGAGGTTGACGAGCGCGACACCAAGGTCGCGCGTTTCACGTCAGAACTCGAGGCTGAGCTGCGACAGAATGTCGAGCGGGAGAGGCTTGCGCGTCTTACGGAACTCGAGGCTGAACTAAGGCACAATGCTGCCGGCTAGTCCTTCTCCTCGCTGTCGACGTTGGCTACGTCGACATTTATCTTTTTTGCATCCTATGCTATCCTCAAAGCGATATTCATCCTTATCCCTCTTCTTCTTATCTTTCGGGTTCCTCTACGCCTGGAGAAGTTGTGACCACTTGTTTCCTTCAGGGTTCGTGGCTAGACTGGGCGGTGCTGTATAAATTTGCATGTTAATACCTACATTGGGGCAAGGGATGGAGACATGATTATCTTTCTCTTGGGTTGTACATCATCATCATTCCTACTTCTCTCGATCATTGGTTGTTTTCGTCACGAGAGCGTTGGTTATATACCACAAACTGCATTTGGTTCGGTGGTAAAGTTCGGAATATACGATTTCCTGATTGGTCACACATATGCAAACATATTGAGGGTCTCATTTGCAGTACAGAGGGATGCTGCAGCCGATGGCCAGCGCGAAGAGTGACAGGGCTCCAGAACACAGCGTAATTATGCTCTAGCTCTGCCTTAGAAAAATAACATATGTGGGCAGCTGAATCTATCGCCCGGACGAGAATGTGGAATTGAAGATTCTACATACGCGTCTGGACGATAGCTTTAGCTGCCCATGACAAGAGCAACAAACAAATCCACGCTAGGCATCGGCGACGAGAGGGGACTGTACATTATTATCGAGACCGGCATGGTTGAGCAGAGGCAAGAAGGCCGCTGCAAAACAAATCTGCTCTGCTTTGCAGCAACAGAGGGCGAAACCAAAGTATCAATAAGTCATGCTTTAAGGTTACTGAAATTTAAAGTTAGATGTGCTTCTGGGATAATGGAGCCTCCTTTTATCAACACCGCCCTCCAATGTCTTCACCAAATTGTCATCTGGCCTTGTGCAGATTAGCCTACTAGGTCTCAACCAGGTTGATGGTGAGGCGCAAAGATGGATGTCTGTGCGGCTGCGAGCACAGATGGCAACAAGATAGGGCCGAAGAGGCGGACGGCCAGAATGCCGGTGGAAGTCGGCATTGGGTACTGTTCTGGCCACCTATTGTATCATCGGCGCAACCCACTGTCTCCACAGGGTGCTTTGTTGTCCTGAAACACGGTCTGGAAGCAACGTGCGAGTAGGCTATGTGGCGCACCAGGATCATCTCGGTGGCTTCAGTATTGTACATAGTACGAGGGTGCTGGCTGTCAGGCGGTGTTATCTTGGAACAAGGCTGCAATAGAAACAAGCATGCGGCTGGCTGCAGCCTCATTGTTGCAGCATCGGTTCTGTAGGCCTGTGGAGCGCTTGGTGGGGTAGCGAGTGCGATAAGGTCGATGAGGCGAACGATTCCATGCAGCGGATCGTGAATATCTTTCCGAATTGGCGAGCGAGGCCGGGCTTCGCTCCCAATGGGTGCTGGGTGACGGCCACGACAAGCATCGGCAAGCCGGGCAAGCTTGGTCGATCGGACGGGAGCCGGTATCAGAAGCGCAGAGCTACGGCACCGAGCGTTTCTCCACGACCCGGGACGGCTGCGTCCACCCCTTCACCGCTGCTGCTGCTTTTGCGTCTCTGCGCTACAACTCAATCCCCATCCATCGCGCTGGTTTCCTGCACCACCTACTTTGTATCACGTCGTGCTGCCGCCTTGGGCTAGCGCGTCATCACAGGACTGCCGACGAGCCAGGGTCATCAGTGCAGCTACCTTGCAATCATGCCTCTGCAACGCCACTTCACCATGCCGGTTTCTCGCCCGCCGCCCCAACCGCGCACCGCGAGTCGCCTGAGCACCGCCCTCGCTGCCTTGCGCCAGCAGGAGGAGCAGGAGCACCTGCTGGGCGGCGACGACGAGGAAGAGCGCGTCGGCCCCCAGGAACGCGGCGACGCCCAGGAGGAGATTTTTGCCGCCGACCCGCACAAGGACCTGCCCGTCTACCGCACCATTCATCGGTATGCAATTCGTCACCTGTCTGCATCTCTGCACCAAATTGACCGTTGGTGACCAGTATCCGCCGCCTGATTCTCGCGAGCATAGGTGTGTTGCGCCTGCCTTTTCTTTGCTGCTTATCGGACCCCCCGCTGACGTTGATACGCGATAAGATGATCCCTACACGTCGTCTGCCCTGCGGGACCCACGCATGAATGCCCTGATTGTACGACCTCTCGTTGAACGCCTATACGACCCCAAAGACTGCTCTGTTGGTAAGTCCACTCATCACTTCCCAGTCTTTCGTTTCCTGCGTCATATATTCTTTCACTACACCCGACTGTGGCCAATTGTCCTTTTCCCCCCTCGTCTCGTCTTTTCTCCAAAGATTTCTGTACAAGCCTCCCTACTTGTATGCGGTGCCTGCTTCGACAAATCACGTTTCGGGGCGAAGTACCGGAGAATTATGCAAGGTGTTCGAAACTTTTATAGCCTGTCTTGGCAACCAGTGAACGGCTGGCAAGCTATGACATTGGCAAGTTTCTTATCCGCACCACGGGTGCTCAAGGCATCATCTTCGAATTTTGCAACGTGCGGAATGGCACGGCATTGTATCCATCTTCATCGCCAGGCTGAAGTCGGAGTTCTCATCCCCTAACAACACATCTGATTCATTTGGGAACACCTGTCCATACCACGTCTCTTTTCAACCAATCGATACCACATCGCTTCCACCCAGCCCACATACTAATTATTCGCAGTTTACTGTTTGCTCGTCAACCGAGTACAATTCCTCCACGAACAAAATTATCACAAACACCACCACCAAACTGTCAATGGCACACGAGCTATCCTCTGCGAGATTGTCGCCAGCAAGATTCTGCGTCGTTTCGATGAAGAGCACCCTGGTCGCCCCGGCCTGTTGCTACTATCCAACATCCTCGTCGCTGGATTCGACCCATTCCAAAATGCTCCAGATGAGGTCATTGAGGAGAGCAGCAATGTTTTTGACTGGCTTATACAAGAGCGTGGAGGTTATGAAGGCAAGTTCACGGCCTTGGAGATCGCCATCCTTTCCGAGAGCAAGCATTTCTTGAGCGGCGCAGCCTGCTCCAAGGTCGTCGACGCTGTGTACCGCGGAAGAGTCGTTTACACGCCAATTGCGTTCCTCGACATCATTCCGGACCATTACAAACACAAGCCCGTCAGACTATACAATCCACGCCGGGCACCGATTCTCAACCACTACCGTTTGATAGTCCCTCGTACCAGAAACATCATCGACATCTGCCAATTCCTCATTCTCATAGCCCTGTACGCGATAACGATGACCACCCGAGATCACACGCAATGGACCTTTTGGGAGCTGGTCTTCGCCATCTATGCAGCTGGATGGTGCCTAGATGAAACGGCAACAATTCTGGAGCACGGCTGGAAGGTGTACTCGCAAAATTTATGGTCTTTCCTGGACATCACCTTTGTCGTCATATACACAGCCTACATTTCCCTCCGCCTGCACGGCTGGAGGCACGATAACCTGGAGCTCGGACGGCAGGCTTTGGACATACTTTCCGTGGCCGCGCCCATCCTTTTGCCACGGCTGGCTTTCAACATGATGCCGGAGAATATGCTCATGATATCCCTCCGGGCCATGATGGGCCACTTCGTATTGCTCACCCTGATTGCCGTCTGGCTCTTTGCCGGCTTCCTCTTGGCATTGAGATGGCTCAGCTTTGGACGCGTCGGCCCCGACGGTGAATTAGACCCTGACAGCCCCGACCCAATCACCATAGCGAAGTGGATGCTATTTATTTGGTTCGGACTTGACGGCACGGGAGTTCAAGAGGCACCATCCTTCCACACAGTCTTGGGACCCGCTCTGATGGTTACTTTCGCTTTCCTCGGAAATACCCTCTTCTTGACCATTCTTGTGGCTATACTTAGTGACACTTTCTCCAAAGTTGCTAACGACGCAAACGCTGAGGTTCAATTCCGACGCGCAGTCTTGACATTCGAAGGAGTCAAGAGCGACTCTCTCTTCGCGTACCGACCTCCCTTCAATGTGCTCGCGCTCATTGTCCTGGTGCCGCTCAAGTTCGTCGTGTCGCCAAGATGGTTCCACAAGATCAACGTTGCAGCGGTGCGTATTCTCAATGCACCCATCTTGCTCGCCATCACGCTGTACGAGCGCCGTCGTCTGTGGAAGTCGAAGCGGCGCATGGCTGGAGCGATCAACAAGCGCCGCAAGTTCACCATCTGGAACTGGTCACGCTTCAGCGTGCATGGCGATATCCAGGCCTGCTTTGAGACGGAAGTGCCGAAGAGTGTGCTGGACGACATTGTCCAGCAAGACGAAATTGACGAGGATATTGCTTGGGGTAACGGGCATGGACTGGCCGGCGCCTTTAGGGGCAGAGATGCGAGTCCGCAGGTAAGCCCCCAGACTGAGATTAGGCGAAGGAGGTTCTCGAGTATCATCCATGCGGACGGGCTGTGAAAGCGAGCGAAAGCGAGAAGGTCTAGAACGAAGGCGGTTTCCGGAAGTCTGTCAACCGTTGCCGTTTCTCTGGGGTCTGGGGATCTGTCCGACGAGTTATGCATGCCGGCCGGCCGGCCGATAAGCTTCACTGGTTTCGATTTCGATTCCATGCTAGTACCACTACCACACAATCGGAAAAATCATATCTTCACGCAGCGCCCCTTTGAAGTCCCAATCCGCCACCAATGACACTTGTTCGTTACAGTCTGAGTCAATTGATTGTCGCCGTCTCAGACATGCAACTTGTATATGCACATCGGCGACTCGATAGCTCGCCGACCAGTGGCGGTTTCAGGACGATCCACCCCCGACATACCCGATTACCATGGCGCCGGGACCGGACTGGTACGCAACGAGCTTGTTCTGCGCGTCCATGAGTCAAATCCACGACCGGCAGATGAAGGATTGGCAGCAGAAGGAGCAGAATCGTGATCAAGCAAAGCTCCTCGTTCGGCCCGTTCACCCCCGTTGCTTTGCAGTAGGCTGTCTCAACATCTTCTTGCGGTCGGCACAGGCTGAGCAGCATACTTTCCCCTAGCGTTTGCGCAGTGAGAGCCGGATCTCTGCGCGGCGGTCGATCGTCCGAGCTTGGTCTCGGGCACATTACACTTTCATTGGAGGAAGCGGCCGACCATGGGATGTTCAGCTCGGCAAGTAACTATTTCTTATTATCCCGTATGCTATTGCGGGGAGACAGTTGCCGGAGAGACCCTTGGCAAGGCACAAGAAAAGAAAACCGTGCGCATGCTGGGTAGCGTGCGCGTCAGTCATGCAATGGACAGGAAAATCCATGATTTATGAGACCACATGATGTGATATTAAGGCGGGCAGAAAGGGGGGGAGAGCGAAAGGCAGCCATGTTTATCCCTGCTCGGTGACAGTTTGGTTCGGGGCATTGAATATTGTGACGGCTCGCGACTGAACGATTGGAGGTGCGTCGCCCAGAACAGGTATGCTGTAGTGGCTCCTGTCTCCAGCGGTCATATGCTTGTAGACGGGTTGGGTGCAGGAAGGGAGCTGATCGTTGCGAGGACGTGTGACCTGATCTGATCGGCTACCTTGCGCAGTATCCTTGGCCGACCCCCCCTCCCTCTTCCTCTCGGCCTATCACCTTTTCGCTCAGGTACAGCGCCCGCCCGAACTTGGGAAAGCACCAAAGCTTACTTGGTGCATTGTAGGCCCGTACTTCCTGTCGAGGATCCCCATGGAAGCGGGACAAGACCACGGCCTCCGCGGACGCCGTCGTTTGCGCTCGATTGAGACCGCCTGCAGCAAAAGAGTCAATCATGCCTATTCTAACGGTACATGCACATCTCGGCATATTACGTACAATCTCGTTTTTTGGTCTTTCCATATGCCGGTAGTCCAGGAGATACCTGGCACGGCAAACGGTTGATTCGGGTCGCGGGCCTTCCCATGCCCTGCCTCGCCTTCGGCTTCTTCCTGATCTCCCCCCGGTCGGGGGTAGAACGGAAGGGGGAATGTTGGGAAGTTCCAGCGTTCTTCCTCTCCGTCGTCCTTTCTCTGGGGGCCTCCTTTTGGGCCTCGACCCACATACTCCTCCACCTCTTTTTTTTTTATCCTCAAAGTTTTTTTTTCTTATCTTGGTCTCGGCGCATACTGTGTACGCAATGCCGGGCTGCCAAGAATTTGGCTCGATATTGCCTAGACGTTTAGGATCTCCGCTGGGTAGGCTCCGCTGTGCCTTGGCATTTCTGGGCATTTTTGTTAGCATTTTTTCGATCGCAGCCGATCCACTATCTTTTGACAGCCAAGATTTCTCGTGGCTCCACGTATGCCTCCGACGGAATTCTGTTGGCAGACCGGTGGCTGAAGCGGACGGCCAAGTATGCAGTTAGTCGGGCACACAGCTGTGCTCCACCTTGTGTGCGATAAGTGGTGTCACTTTCACATGCGCCGTTGTTGATCGTTGCTGGCTTCCGTTGCCCTTCATAATTGCAAACGTGAATATCTGGCGATCGGGCAACGAGAAACGAGGCTGTGTAACCGTCGATCTGGGCTTATTTGCTCCTTGCATAAAAGCACGCGTGTTGAGGCTGAGGCGCAGTCTGCGAGGCGTCGTTGGTAACGTGGTGGTGGTGGTGATCGTGGAGAGAGCGAGGAATACGACGAGGGTAGTCAAACACCGACCAACTTATTGCATCACGACATGGCGCATGTCTTGTGGAGCTATTTCTTGGTTGCCCTTTTCAATTTCCGTCTTCCTGTTCGGGTGACCGGTGGGATATGGTATGTAGCTCCGCTGACTGAGATATGGGGGCTGTGTGGATGGACCTGAGTAGGAGACCGACGATTTCTGGGCCATGAGATGATTGTATCCTTTTTCGGACATGCCTCTAGAGGTCACACACTCGCATGCGACATCTGAGAAGCCCCCTTTCGGGTTCTCCGTAGAAATGTTTCTATTTTAACGCCATTCGCCCTCTATTAGTTGCTGCCTTGAGTAGTCGTCGTAATTGTGGCAATGCAGAGATGGGTCCCACACCCCGCGTGGAATCATGCGAGGCTGATACCATGGTAAGAAGGGAGTTGCTGAGCACTTCTTATGCCCTTGCATCAAAAGGCCGATGTCCTTGGGGCTCCGGGGAGAGGACGGAAAGGGTAGTTTCTAATACCAACCAGCCCCTTGTATCGTTTATGCAGGAACAAGAAGGAACAAGAAGGTAGTACAAGATATCTTACGGGCAGAGAAAGTGTTGGGCAGATACTGTTCGAGAAAGTGGAGCGAGTGTCGATGTGCCGATCGAAGGCACGTAAATAGAACACTTCCTCATTCCAGCAGGAGACGTGGTCTATTATCGCTTTACATGCAAGATTCGATGACTCCTTGCTTGTTGGTCGCGGTCTGTTGGATGAAGTTAGTGTTGCTGTTCTTTGGTTGGGGCGCTCCGCCGTGCCAATATTTCATGGGTGTATCAAGTAGTCTACTTGCTGCATTCACGTAGTACCAACGGCAACGATAGCGGTGTATGGACTACCTAAACTGTTGAGCTGTGAGACAGGAGCATGAGATGATGTAGGTGTCGGTGAAAGCAAACGCATACCAAGACTCAGTTCGTGGCCTGACACGTCTTCGATTTTGTCTCCAGTTTGTTTCATTCGCTGGCCTGTGTTGGCACACTACTTCTCTCCTCTTCTCCATCAAGCAATCGCTTTGTCACGCGGTGGCCTTCTTCCCCACCTCCACTTCTCCCCCACAACGGCCCCACTGCACTTGGATGCGGCGGCTGAAGGCCAAAGCGACACCACCTCTCGATCACGCCCCTTTGTTACCGATGAGCGAAGCAAGCTGAAAGCAGGCGGTGAAGGAAAGGAGCAGAGTCATGGTTACGTTCGGTGGAGCACGCCTGACTCGGCAGAGCTTCCCCGCCTGGCTGTTACTGCTGCTGTTTCGTGGATTCACTTCCCTTTTCGCGCACGGAGCAACAAGACTCGCGCCCACCATCAATGCTGGCGGTCACATTGCCATGGTCAAGATTATGACGAAGAACCCAGAGACGGAAGGTTGGGTGAAACCGCTGGGACGGTCGATCTCGCCAACGGCTGCCATCCTTGGTATCACGACCAGCTCCCCACTGCCGTTTCTAAATTCAGGAGGTGGTTGTGCAAACGAGAGATACGGTCGCGCGGATACGTTTTCTTTTCGCTTTCGAATATCCCCAGCTCTTACTGCACCGTGGCTGGGTACACGAATGCGAGCTGAGGTTTGAGAAACGAAGGTTGATGTTATTTGCGAATAGCTGTTCGCATTGTTCGGGGAGAGGCGCAGATGATTGGGCAATTGGTGGTGGGGTCCGAGTTGGTAAAGTCAGAAACTAGTGGAGGTTCGGATTCATGGCGAATGAGGAAAGCGAAAAGTATGCAGAGACAGGGAGCTCCCCTTTGCAAATCCGATGAGTATGCGTATTCGTAAACATCGTATTCTCCGTCTCTCTCGCGTATCGTCGTCTGCGAGGACGTGCGACGGGCGGGAATATCAGCCGAAAATGCTTGGGAGGGTCGCTGGTTGAATCCTGCTCCTTTGATCGCGGAAGCGCGAAGGGCGCCTTAGTGTCCGCTTCTTCGAGCCTCTTGTGTTGCTCGTTTGGACGGGAAGAAGCGAGCGTGCAGGACGCTGACTGCTAAGCATAAGCGGGGTGGCTGCTGTGACTCTTTGAATGTGGAAGGAGCCACCAACCAGATGTGTGCAACGAAGGAATTGTCATCAACATCCCGTCTCCACCCTTACGAATCATCAATCGGACGGACCAAAAGCGCTCGGTGTCACCCAGCGGTTTCGATGCCCGCCGTGCTCGGTGCGCCGAAGTGCATGCCTCTCCGCTCTCGGTCGTCTCTCTGCGCTCTTGTCCCGCTCTGGGCGCTGAGGAACCACGAGCGCTGGGCGGGGCCAGCGCTTGGCGGCACTCCATCGCCAAGATGCTCGAGAGCGGAAATAGGCTTGAGATGCGAAATAACACTGTGGCGAAGCGCGCGGGGTTCAGTGGCCTCACCCCTTTCCATCTCATTCGCAGCATAGCCACGACACGGGCCGCTTCAATCATGACGAGACACGAGACACGAGACGCGCATCAATCAATCAGGAACCTCTCCAGCACGTGGCGCCGGCACGAGTAATTTCTCGAACATTGCGAGCTGAACAGTCACCTATGCACGGATGCGAGTATAAGTGACTAAGTCGGCAGCCGTGTCAGCAGCTTTCAGTGCCCCTCGGGAGGGGACGACGCATCAGCACGTCGTTGCTTGGGATCCCACGCACCCAAAAGTCCACGATGGGATGACGCAGCAAGCGTGCCGCCTTACCAAGCCTCGCCATCCCCACAAAAGGGATGAGCTCATCCAGAAATCAGGCACGCCACGCTACGCGAATCAGTAGGTACAAGAGCAGATAAGGGACGAAGGAAAAAGAAAGTGCCCAACGCTAGGGATCGAGCACCAGCGTGGCCTCGCCTCGCCTTGTCGTATGGGCTGGGCCGCGTGTGGATCAGTAGGCTAGCCGGCGCCCAATGGTAGCGCGCCTTCAGCAGAGCCAGACTTATGCAGCTGCCTAGGCTCGGACAGCAGTAGCGCTGGCCCGCACATTTATCACCGTGCAACTGCTAGCGAGCGCTGTTGCTGGCTGACTGCTGTCTTCGCGCCCGCCGCTGGAAATAAAAGAGAGCAGAAGAAAGTGCTGACTGCTACCGACGAGCAGCAAAAAAACCCAAACGCTAGCGCGCCGGTGCCGCTTCGTCGGGACGACCGTTCCCCTCCTAAACCCCGGTTGTCGCCGTGGCCGACGGCAGGGCTCCCCCTGCTCTGCCCTTCATAATTCTTGAAAAGGGTCGTACTGATCGTCCGTTCCTTCCAGAAAAAAAAGTTCAAGCCTCATCCATCCTTCGGCCTTTCTGACAAAGCGCCCTGGACCCTGGATAGGTAATCAGGCCTTCAGACCGCCGATCCCATTCCGCCCTCCACCCGCCCACCGCGATGCTAGCCATTACATCAGCACGGAAAGCCACCGATTCACAGCACCCGAACCCGACGAGCGCACGGGAATAATTCTAGGCGCGGGTCAAGAACAGGCGGACGAAGAGAGACGGACGTCACAAGTAGGCAGCCAGGTGGACTGTTTTTTACTCTGCTCTCTACCGCAAGCGCGCCCGTCGCCAAGCTCTTTTGTTCCTCGGCGATCTGTCTTGCCGGCTGCCGTTGACCAGTGCGTCGAGTGAGCAATAACGGCCGCGATGAGTAAGGCTGTCTGTGTGTTGTGCATGCCAGCACATAATCGTATCGCTAGGCTTACGAGGCACCGTGCATGAAGCTTTGGCTTAGTAGTGCCTACGACGTTGCATCTTTTCTTACCCGCGCCGAATTGGCAATAGCTGGAGCCAATACGCTTCGCCTTGGTGCTAGGTGCAGACGGCGACGAGAAAGGGGGTCGGCGGCTTGGCCTTTTTTTTTTTTTAATTCTAGAGAAAATGGTTTAGGAACGCTTGTTGGGGTTGGGCAGGGAGTTTGCTTAGTAGTCGCCGTTTAAGCGGGAGGACCATCCGCCTTACTTCGCCGACCATCGTGCCAACACACAAACTCGACCAACCCTTCGAAGCTAGGGATAATTTCGATGGCCGCGACTAGCATCAACACCTGCTCCGTGCAGCTCATTGAGACTAGTTGAAGAAAAAGTCAAGGCGTAGGGCCGGCGCCAGGCACACGTGCGCGACTACTGTCGAAGTGACATCCCGCCAGACCTAAATCTATTTTTTGACCTCCCTCTACATTGCAACGAGACTAGACGCCTGACGTGGGCTAAGCTTGTAAGAAGGCTTGCGTTAAGCTTCATGCTAAGTAAGCCGGGACTGTCTTGTGAACTACTGCTGCGAACGCCCGCTGATCTGCTCCTATATGATTCGCCATATACACAGCAGATTGGACTGGAGGCTAAATCAAGAGATACAGTGGATACTGATGCTTCGTTTATCCCTGCACCGTGTGTAGAATTGCCTTGCTTCAATTAGCTACCAAGCCGGCCAAACGGATCTAAACCGTGGAAAGTTTGCGCTCGTCCGAGCAAAAGGGGAGAAGAGCGACATCTAATATACGCCTCGTTGCTGCTTTCGACGGGGCTGAACCAATTATGGCCTGCTCGGACTTCAAGCTTCACACACTGGCTTCGTTCTGCAGCTATCAAGTTCGCGAGGCTGAGTCGCTCAAAGCGAGCACTCGCGAGGATCATGCTGTGCCTGGAATGGCGCTCATTTCTTGCTACTTACTCATTTCTCACTTCTGCTTCGCGATTGCCCCCCCCTTTTCGGGGGGACATGTGCTTCATCGCAAATAGGCATGGCGCTGCGCTTGAAAATAGAGCCGAACGGCGATACGGTTTTTCTGAAGCATAGGTGAAGGTGCCGAAGCAAGCGAGAGGCGAAAAGGCAGAAGCCGCGAGCACACGATTCATCCTCAACCTTCAAGATGCTTCATATCATCATTTAGCCATGGTCCTAAGCGATGCCCCCATGGCGTCGTCGTGATACCCTCTCATAACACCAACGAAACGACGGACACGCCCCTTCTCCCCGCAGAAGGCAGGTGAAACATGGCAAAATGATCGACGGGGCTTGGTTCATGACAAAGCCATCGCGGCAGCTGAACCTCATATATGCCAGGTGTGTTAATGAATCAAGCACCGAGGGCGCTGACTCGCAAGCCGACGCGATCGACATGCGCCATGACACGGAGGGCTCTCTGACGGAGAGGTGACACAGCTGGATGCCTGAATTCTGCCCAGGAACTCGCCCACCAACCACCAACCGCCATCATTCTCCCCCCGCTGTTAGCTCACACACGCACGAGCTAAATCGCACGATATAGCAACCGGTCAGTCGAAAACAGGAGTGAGCTTGTTTTCCCGCTGCTCGTATGAGCCGAGGCCGCGCTCGAGATCAAAGGACAAGAGAATCACAAGCAATCGGGGACGTGGTCGCGATCGAGGGAATCCGGAGACGGGCGAGGAGAAACCTCCGATGATGCGATGCGCGCACAAGCACAAAGCGCGTGGCCGGTATCTTTTTTTTCCTCCTGTCCGATCAGATGGGCCCCGCAAGAGAGAAAAAGGCTTGGTCCTTATCAGCTACTATACCTAGCCGACATTCCCATACTGATATCATACCACCCTGCCGGATGAAGGAGGCCGCCGCCGCCGTGGGCGACATCAAATTTGGAAAAAGACAGAAAGACCATCATTGCATGCACGCTATTGTTGATCATGGGCATGCCTCCGATTCAATGTGCCGGGGGGAGAAACGGGCGCGTGCCGGGCCCTCGGCTTTCGGGTCTGCCTTCCCGCTCTTCTCGCATGGGAATTTTTGCTTGTCCCCGGCCGGGCGCGCGCATCGTATTCGATTGAGTTGGGGGGAACGAGGTTAAGGAGCGAGATGGGCGCACGGCTTCGGCGCGATGAATCTATCCGGCGGGCGGTGTTCAATACCGACCTGCTTGCTGCAGCAGCGTGAAAAGAAGGCCGCGATGAAGTCAAAAAAAGTCCGAGCAGGAAAGAAAGGTCATCCGTAGAGCAAAAAGGCAGAGTGCACCGAGGCGGGCGATACGATGGGATGGACGGGCGGGCAATGCAGGGAATAGGAGAAAGGGCACCGAAAATCCAGCAGAAACACACCAACCCACCGCGCGCCAACAAGCAGAGAGATGTGGGGAAACCAAATGCATGGTTCGCTGGCGATCGGGGGTGGGCTCTGCCCTCGGTCGCGGCGACCGCCGCCTGAGAGTGAAGGATGATGGCCTGAGGACGTAAACTGGCGCGTGTCCTCTTGTCGTCGTCGTCCTCGTCGTCGTCGTGGCCGGGACGTCTTTCCCCCCACCCGCTGACCGGCGCATTATGATGTCTCTAGCTCGACCGGTATGATGCTTTGAGACCAGCGGTCCAGTCTGGCCCCCCCGTTTCGCGTCTCTTTAGTGGGACAGAGTTCGAGAGGGTGCACGTATCCGAGAGAGGCGTAGTGCGGCCAACCTCTCAGAATGACTGATGATGATTTCTTGCTTGGTGCTAAGTGAGGCTCCCGTTGATAGTGCCATGGCCCGGCCGAAACTCTTGCCGGCGCGTGCGGGCGCCACATCAACCGCGCGCCGGCGCCAAACCATGAAGAAATGCTGAATTGTGGATGCCGTCATAATTATCGGGCGAGTCCGCTGCTAACTCCGTCTATCTGCGATGCACTCATCATCACTCACTCAAAATTTTCTCCTCGTCCCCGATGGGCTAAAACGAGACACCGTCAATGCGATGACTTGTCGCCGACCATTTTTTTTTTTAGTTTGATCGATGCCGATACCGATGCCGAGGACCGCACTCGGCAACCCGCCGAAAACACCTAGGTTTTTCCCCCACGGATTACTAAAGTTCCCGATTACTGATTGGGAAGGAGCGCTTGACAGGGTTGTGCTCATCAAACCACACCAAGCAAGCAAACAAGCAAGAAAGCAAGTTTGAGATATCCCCGAGGCTGTATAATTGGCGCGATCAATCAACAGTGATCAATGCATTGACCGAGGACCGCTCCCCTCGCCAGAACACATGCGCATGATGTATGATTGATGAAATGAACGTGCGGCGCAGCGCTGTCACATACGCCCATGCAGGCGCGGCCTGATCAGTGTAGGTAGCTGAAGGTACACGGAAATCCTTGCGACCATTTCTTTCTGATGGGAGAAAGGGAGGCTGGAGTGGGGTCCTTTCATCCTCCCGTTCCCCACTACATATTGGCCAGCTGATGCAAAAGAAAAAACAGAGCAATGTTCGCTATCCGAAACGCCTGCCCGCCATTGTCGTCCCTGCGCGGCGGTCAAGGAGCAAAAGCCTAACGGGCGTTCTAGAAGAGCCAGCGAAGCAGGTTTTGGAATAATGGAGATGCGAGCAGCTGGGCGAGCACGAGGACGAGCGTGGGTGGGTGCTCAGAAGGTAGGGGATCGGGGGATCAAGAGTTGCACAAGGCGGCAGGGAGCCCTGCTGCGGGAAGGATTCGAGCGCGCAGGGGGGCGTGAAGGGATAAGGGATCGAAGAGCATGGCAAGAGGCCACCAGGGTGCGTGTGTGTTGCGGGTTTTTGGCTCATCTCAGACAAGGCTTAATGACAAGCTCAGGCCGGTTTGTGCGAGATTTCCGCACCCGCCCTGCAGGGCTGGAGAAAGGGCGGGGAACGATGGCTTTCTCTCGGCTCGTCGGCCGAGAGCTTTGTCCGAACGGACGGTGGTTTGGGAGGATTGGAGATTTGGAGGGGGGAAAAAGCCTCACCTGAGCCAGGGGCGTGTGTGAGGAGAAAGCTCGCGGCATCCTGAAAGCCGAATGCGCGCGAGCTGTCCTGCGCCGTCGGCTGCTCGGTCACGAGCCCAGCGTCGATTCACGGCTGCTCGGCTGCGCGTCCCTCCGCAGTGGATGGCGCAAGCATCCTGAAGCAGGTGCCAGAAAACGTTGTGAAACCGGCGCCAAGGGCTTGGACGCAAACGCGTCGTTGAAGGCTGTGCCTGAGCAGAATAGCAGTTAGTCGACGGGGTTCGCCTTGCTCCTGCTCGCGCTGGCCCGTCACCGACTCATTTTCAATTCTCCCTCAGGTACGTACGGCGCCCGCGCCAGCTGGCGGCTGAGGCTGCATACTTTTGAGCCTATTCTAAATGCCGGAGCCACGTCCAATCAGATCCAAGGATTGCTTATGTACAAGCCAAATCACGCCTCCCACGCGCGGTAGACAATCTTGCTGCCGTACTTCGCGCCTCGCTTGAGCAGCACCTGCCCCTTCCACTGCTCGACGTTGGCCGCGTTGACGTACCGGCTTGGCTCCACGCAGAAGCCTGACCGGACCCCACGCGCCGGCAGCCCGTCAACGGCCGGCACGTTGATGAAGCCACCCGTGTAGAACTGGAACGCCGGCTCCGTGCTGTGCACCTCCAGGTGGATCTTGGAGCTGGGCTGGTAGAATGCCGCCAGCTTCTGCAGCGGCAGGCTGCGCGTGTCGATGGGGATGTTGGCTGCGTCCTTGTTCACGATGAAGCAGTGGTCGATGGCCGGCTCCTTCTCGCCCAGCGTGAACGTCTTGTTGGCCGTCACGCCGGGGTAGGGCTCGATGGAGCCCGTGGGAATTGCGGTGTCGTCGACAGGCAGGTGCTGGTCAGTCGATAGCGTCACCTCGGTGCCCGCAATAGTGGACGCAGTAGGCGCACCAGCCAAGTTGAAGTAGCTATTAACCGCCCGTCAGCCTCCCAGCATCGTGGTAAATTACGGTGGTGCCTTCATTTCGACTTACGTGTGGTTCGTCAGCCCAACCAGCGTCTCCTGCACGTCGTCGCTGCCAACAAGCTCCGCCTCGTACTCGGTCTCCAATACCGTGTGCTTCGCGCCGCCGACGTCCTCCTCGTAGGCTGTGTACCACACTTTAAGCTCAACGGCGCCCGGGTAACCGCCTTCCCCGTCCGGGCTCAGGTACTTGAACAAGACGGCCTCCTTGCCGTTCTTGTTCAACGGCGTCGGGCCGTCGAACTGGCGCTTGCCCCAGCCACCATCGCCGCCGTGCAGCGAATTGGGCCCGTTGTTGGCAGCCAAGGCGTACGACTTGCCATTGAGGCTGTTAATCTTGGCGCCTGAGATGCGGTTGGCCACGCGGCCGATCGTCTCGCCGAAGAAGGGCGAGTTGTGCTGCTTGTACTGCTCGGGCGTGTCGAAGTTCTGCACTATGTTCTTGCCGTTCACCGCGAACTCTTGGATGATGGCGCCCAGCGGCAGGAACGCGACGTTCGACTCGGGCGGCGCCATGGCGGGCGGGTGCGGCGCGAACTGGATTTGCTTTAGCGGACAGGGCTGCCGGGGAGGCTATGGCGGGCGCTCGAGCCTGGGCTTGGGTGTCGCGAGTAGTGTGGTGTGTGGTGCGGAGCGAGGGCGACCGCTGTAGCAAGATGGCGGGGTCGGGGTGGCCTGTGTGCGGGGCTCCAACAGCTGCGGTGGTGGTGATGCGCCGCCGATCACACGTAACTTCGCGTCGCGACAACTCTAACTACTGCGCGCGGTGGCTAGGCGTGCATGCGCAGGCTCGCACCGCCTCTTATAAGGGTTCCAAAAAGACGTCGGGTGAGGTGTGGTGACGCCTGCTCGTGGGGCCCCTCCTCCGGTGGGCGAGGGCGGGGCCTGGCTCTTCAGCCTATTCTGGCTATTCGCAGCGCCTCGTCTCCGCCCTGCAGAAGAGCCGCAGAAATAGAAGCCGAGACAGGAGCAGGGTCGACTGCCGGCGAGGCTGCGACACTGGCCATCGTTGGGCTGGGGTTAGCTGTATTTTTGGGCCCAAGGTTCACGCCCGTGCTTAGTCAATAATCTATCTCCCCTGCGATGCCAAGCCATCTTCAAGGAAGCACCGAGTCAGACAGCCATCGGCGGTCTAGACGGCCGAGTCTATTCGTATGGTGAAATTGCTCGCGGGGTTGGCAGATCAGACAATTCTTCATCATATTTGTCTCGCGTCATAATGTTCAGAAAACCTTGGTTTACTGTAAACAGTAATCTCATCCAGCGCGTCGCTCTAGCGAGTGCTTTTCCGGTCCATCGTCGTGGCCGGGTATAATCCCATGCATATACAACAAAAGAAATATCCAGAGCAGGATCAGTGCCTCTCGTGTCCCCCTGTAACGCCGATACGCCAAAATCGCAGAGCCCCCACCGCTTGAACGCACAAGATCTATGCCAGAAAGCCACCCTAGTTCCAAATAATACAGTGTCCTAAAATAGATCTCATGCGAATTGTGTTGAGAAATCGTTCTGCAGCGCGCTCGGGTTTATCGAGGTGATCCAAGGGTCGCTCATGATCGGCTGGCCCGAGTAGGGATCCATGGGGGCGTCGTACGTTCCAAAGTCAAACGAGGTTGCGAGGTTGCCAGCCATCATTGTTTCCAAAATCGGGTCCTCCATGGCGAAGGGCGAGCGCATGAGTTCGTTGGTCGTCTGCGGTGCCGAATGTCTCGCGTCCCAGAACTGCGGCTGAGGCTTCATGCTGGGGTCGTTGAGCGGCAGGCCGTGCTGGAGCGGCTGGCTCATCGAAGCCGGCGAGGTCGAGATGCTGAGCGAGCTGGGGGCCCTCGGGAAGTTGGGCTCCCAGTGCATCTTGGGCGGAGTGGGCGGGCTGCCGTGCGAGGAGGGCGAAGAAGCGTGGGCGTGGTCCGACTCGGAGCCAATGGAGCCTCTCCTCTTGAGGGCGGGACCTGCTTGTGCCTCCTCCTCGTCCCGAAGCCTCTTCTCCATGCGCGTGAAGTCCTCCTCAAACGGCTCGAACTGAGACGATCCTTCTTTCGATTGCAGGAGGTCAAGTCTCTCGAGGATGTCGTGGGTGAGCGGGTGGCCGCCCTGCTGCTCGGCCAATGGTGCACCGGGCCATCCCTCGCCTGCATTTAGTCTCCTGTACAGCTCACGGAGACCGGCGACCAGCTGCGACTGTTGTTGCTCGAGCATCTCGACGTAGCTACGGATCGGGTTAGCGCGAGGACGGGCAGCTGGCGAGCAGTGGTATATACTGACCCCTTGGGGTAAACCTTGTCGTGGGACTTCTTGCGTTCGCCGAAGACGCAGATGGCGTTGTCGGCCTTGCAGCGGCCGCACGGGCTAGAGCCATCGCACTGTTTTGGGTCAGTTGAGGGGCCAGGCAGAGGAGCGAAAGCGGACTGACCTTGGACTTCTTGAGGCGACAGCGGTCGCAGGCCTTGCAGACGCGCTTGCGAATGTTGTTGTCTGTTGGGGATTCCATTGAGGGCGAGCGCTCCAGATGGGAGGACATGTAAGACGGCGGGGTGTATTTGTATGCGTGGGTGTAAGCAGAGGGAGAAGTGAGCAATGATGATGCAGAGTAGTAGCGGGCAGGCTAGTACTCGGAGCCGGTCTGTGTGATGTGAGGCGCGAAAGAAAAGACCCGGTGTGTGAGGTGGGACGGTAGGCAGATATATCCAGCGGGCAGGAGTGACTATTGGGCCGGAAAGTTTAAGACCAAGAGCTGGCCATTCGCGCAGCGTGATTATGGATTGTGCTCAGCACGCACGTACCGCCAGTAAATCTGTACATCCGCATCATCGCGTCCGACACCGTTTGGATTACATTCGGCCGGTCGAGCAGCGACAGGGGGGGTGCGGTAAGGTTGTTGCTTGGGGACCGGGGGGCGCGCAGCATCAGGCCTGATCCCTGCCGGTCGAAAACGGCGTGCCAGCGCGCGCACGGGGAAAAGCCTAAGTGGCAGATCCCAGTCATGCACACGGTGGCTTCGAGAAGCGTCGGCTGTGCATAACTCGGACGGCGGCAAGCACGGGCATGGCAGATCGCTGCGCGGGTCGGATTCAGACGAGTCCGAGGCTGGCGCCGTTCGGACGAAACTGAGGCTGCCACCTCCGCAGTACTACGGCGAGTCGTGGGCTTGGGCGCGGCGCCCAGCCAGCTGTTGATGATGAGCAACACCGCAGCTTGTTGCGCTCTCGAGCCGTGCAGCAAGAGAACGCCGACCTCCGGCCGCGGGCAGCGAAGGTCGACGGTGAAAATGGCTCACCGAGCGAGGGCGTCTGACGTAACATCCAGCAGTCGCGCAAGCGCTGCCCGAGGCGGCCTAGCAGGCTCGGGGCCGCAGCCACAGGACAGCCCGTCAGCCGTATCGGCGCGCCGAATTGAGCGCAGTTGCGGGCGGCCGATCTCCCGCCAGTCAGCACCTGCCTTAACTCCGTGTACCACGCTCCCGCGGAACTGCTTAGCGAAGGCCCGCCCCGGCTGACGCAGCGGGCACATGAATGTCGGCCGACGGCAAGTGCCACGCCCTCGATATAAAGCCTGGCGATTCGTGCGCGCACCGCCTGATATCGCGCCCGCGCTTAATCAGCCTGCCCAGTCCAGAGCCTGTCCAGCGCCCGCGCGAGCTTCGTCCGCAAACACGTTTCAGCACTCATCAAACTGACTCCCGCTTGGCGCTGGGCGTCCTCGCGGCCTCGGTGGCTGGTGCTCTTGGCCTATCCCCAGCCTTGGCGCCGTGGTTGTTAGTGCCTCTGCATGCGTCGCGGGCTGCCTCGCCGACCGCAACAAGAGGACATGATCCAGATCCAGCTAGAGCTGACCGTGCTGACGGCTTGTGTTCCTCAGTGCCACTGGACCCTGCAGCCAGCACACAAAACAACAGCTCTCCGGGCGGGGCGCGCAGCTGCTGGATCCGGGGCGCTGGTGAGCCCATGCTTCCTCTTTCGGGCAGGCGGTTGAGATCAAGGCTATTTTCCGCGTTGAAACGGTCAGGCAATGGGCCCGTCGTCTCATCCACCAGCCACCGCGTAACTGCGTGGCGACCTTCCCTCGACTGATGCGAAGCTTTTCGGATGCTGGCGAGCACAGCGTTCGCATCGCCGCCGTGCTGATTGGCCGTCGTGCGTCGGGATCGCATTACCCGGGATCCGAACACGAATGCGCTGCGCTGCGCTGCAGCGAAGCATTCTGGAAGGCGCCTCAGGAGTAAAATCTGCCTGATGGAGAGACCGCAGCAGCAGCAGCGACGGCTGGGGGAGCGCTGGGCCCTGTTCGTGCGCTGGCTGGTGGTCCCAGGCGCGTGGACCGAGATCAACTGCTCGTCGTCTTCCCCGCATTCACCTCCCGTGCAAGGAACACCTCAGACCGCCGACTTCGACCACCGTGGGAAGCTCCGCCATGGCGACACTCGGATCCCGATTGCCCCGTCTTCCTTCGCCGAAACGCCCGTCTAAGTCCGTTGCAAAACGCCCTCTCGGATCTGGAATCGCCCTCCGAGCGAGAAGGTGCAGATGCGCCCCTGTCGCCTGCCGCACGCGGCTATCGGCTGCTCCAGTGCCGCGAGACATTCTCAGCCCTGCCCAGCGTGGAATCTTCGACCCCGTTGCCCGGTCTCCATCTAAACTGCTGCCTGTTGCGCTCCAGCTGACCTTGCAGAACATCCACGGCCCCCGCGGCCCCCGTTCACGCCATCAATCTTCGTCCCTTTGCGTGCTGCGCCCCCTTCGTAACTCCATACTGATGACGGCCCCTGCAATGTGTAGCACATGCACGGTGCCGTGCTCTCGAATGTGATCGAAATTGTGTTTGCCGCACCTTAATCCACAGAAAAACAAAGAAGTCGACCCCACTCGATATCCACAGCCGGGGGCTGGAATATAGTCGAAGAGGGAAGACGAGGCGAAGCACCTCCACGCACTTGAAAGAGGCGGTGATGGCTGCTGCAGCTAACAGCGCAACATGCGTCTTCCAATTACACGGTTACTGCTGCGCCTCTCACTACTTCGGTATAGGAGCTCGCACCATCAGCCACTTTAGGAATTGTCGAACTGCTGAAGGAACATGTGCGCTCGGCCCTTTTCCTCCACAAAGGAACGAATGCGAAACGGAAGGGCAGTGAAAAAGAGTCCGCGCGTCAATGCTGTGTTTCCTTATCTGACCTCGCACCAACTGTTCCTTCTCTCCTTTTCATGGACTGACCGGTCCCTTCGCCGGCCCGTATGCCCAGACTCGGGACAATCGTCGCCGTCGGTACCTGCCAACCCGCCGAGGCCCCGAGTTCAGGACCCAAGACTACTGATCAGCCCGCTCTAGACATGATCGAAGATCCCGCAAGGCCCCCCTTTGGCACATCTTAACGTCATCTTAAAGTCAGACACGAACGTGAATTGCTGGCCTGTTCTCAACGACAGAGTTCAGAAGCTGAATGAGGCTGTCCTAAACTGACTCCCTACTTTTAAGCTCAACATCCTTGTCAGAACTGACTACATCGTACGTTCGCCATCAAATTTCCTTTTTGGTTAGACTGTATCCCGTTCGTTGTCTACAACTTGACCAATCGTGCCAGCGCAAGGCCGCTCTCTACTAATGAGCCGTCGAAACGAGGCTTCAGATTTTTCCTGTTGAAAGCACGATAACAACATCACGCTGTCTATCAAGAACCCAAAATGCCTTTGTTCTACGTGGCTTCAAGCATTCACCGGGCAACGTTGACCGCCTTGACCACACATCCGATTATTACTTTTGATGTCCGCGCTTGAGCGAGCTTGTAAGGCAGGGGAATCGAAAAGGCCTCTGCTATGCCTCGAAAGACCCGCCAGCACGGGTCACTTGAAACCCTAACGGCTGGGGAAAAGTTGAATCGTATCTGCCCAGATCCCGAAGTGTGCCTGCTCTTCCCTGCGGTTACCGGGCCTTACCGTCGGTGATTTCTGGCTCGGACGGCACACGTCGGAGGCATTTAAGGTCCGATTCCGACTTGCCTGCTCATTCCGATGGGATTTTCCGCATCTATACCGCATCATGGGCATCATTCTTCACAATCTAAAAATTGGCCGCCAAGCAGATCCGCGGTGATTCCCAGACCCTGCTTTACAGCTGCCCGACATGACTGATCCTGAGCCACCAAGGGACCGGCGATCATTCTTGGTCTCAAGGTCAATAATTTCGTCCCGTTTCCCCTGCCACGCCAAGAAACGTTGAGTGCCCAGTAAGCTGTGTCATTCCCGCCCGCTGTATTGTGTCCAGAATGAGCCCGGTGACAAATGCCATACCTCGCTTGCTAGCTTGGACCTTACGAAATAGTCGCGGACTCCCCGCGCTTTCCAAAGGGAAAACGAAGGCCTGTGCTGAGAAGATAATGGTGCTGATCGATATTGATTTCCTCCACTTTGATTACTCGCCTTCACACAACAAACCATGTTTCTGCCTCGTCTACTGCACCGGCCCTCCGCAGCCAAAATCCTATGCTTTGAGCGGGCATACCCGAGAACTCGTTGGCTTTGCTTCTAAACCAACTGTCACAAGACCGAACTTCCATGCCCAAGATACTCGGACCCGGCAGGACCTACTCAGGCTCGGCCCCGCAGAACTTCTGTTTGGTCGTTTATTTGACATCCGAGCATGCACACCGCCTAAAGAGGCTTGGCTAGAGGCTACTGTTTTCCCCTCCCTCCTGGCATGAGTCAGCCAGACAGCTTCGGCTCGGCTCCTCGCGTGATGCGAGCGAGCGAAGTGATTAATCAAAGCCGATGCCGCATTGACTCGGACACCACCACCCGCTGGAAACCCCAGGGTCCGCATATCGGTCGCGAACATCTCGTGCGAAACAGCCCCATCGGTTTCTTCCACGCGCTACTGTGATGCAATCCGACCTGCTGATTCTTCATTTCTAATTACACACAGCCTCGATTTGAGTCATAATTCGGGCATGGGCGGCATCAGAAGCACTGCCGCTTCGGCACCTACCTCTGTGAGATAGTAATCGTTGATCCCCGCACTGACGTGCGCGACCCCCCAGCCTTCTCTTCCCTGACAGATCATTGCTTTTCTCCTCGAATAGCAATCTGAACGTGACTGGGTCGAGCACGTCTTCACCTCGCTCATCTTGCTTGCAGATCCGCACCAAACCGCGCGGACGAGGCACGGCACCGACAACGCTCACCAGATGGGGAAGAGGAAAAGAGTATCATACTTCCAACTTATCGATGTGCCCCTCTTATCCTCTTCTCGGATTTCACCGCGGGAAGTCTCTGGTAGTGAAAAGCTTTTTGTGAAATACCATGATCAGTAGGCTTTTACGTCCGTACAGCATATACTTTCTCGAATGGGTAAACTTTCTAGCGAATATCCACTGCATGGTAGATGAATATACGTCTAGTAATCAACGAGGTCAGATATAGGACAATACATGAGTGGCCTTTGAGATGATAGAAATGGTGGCAAAATAGATCCTGCTGTGCTCATGTCTCATGATCTTAATCTAGATCAGTACTTCGCACGTGGTTGGAAATACTATGCAAACCTAACCAGCCTTTTAAATTTTTTGATCTTCCTAAACTTTCACAAGTAGCTACATGTTCCCCGCCCTACCACCACTAAGCATTGAGCAGTAAACTTAAAGTCAACGAACGAACATGGCAACCACGTTTTCTGATATTCTCGTACCTTACTTTGAATTCGCTATTTATCTAACCATACTGAGGCATCGACCCCACAGTACTACGTTCACACCAATGCTTCTTAGACAGAAGCAACAACAACTTTTCGGCGTTAATAATGCATCACTCCGTTTCTGCCTTCACTATTCTTCCTGTCTCCTTCCCAACCAAAACCGAACATCCTCTTTCTCGGAGAAACGTCACACATCTCCTCTCTGTACCAGCACACACACGTATACCGCAATGGCTCTCTTAAAAGGGCCATACCTTCTCCCCTACACCTTCACTTCTAAAAGTCGAGGTGCTATAGAAGGGGGTTTTGATAATTTTTGTTTCTCCTGCTGTACACTGCGCGCGGGATTTTGACTCAAAACGGACCATCTCAAATGAAAACCAGAAATCCCCCTTTACTCCGCCGCCCAATCTCCAGGTTTTCATATTCCCCCATCGTCCCTTGCGACTCCGCTCAGTTCTTTCCGGCAATCTGTCTGTCATAGCATCGTGCCGCAAGGTGAAAATTAAAATAAAAAGGAGGAAGAAGAAAACGAAGACGAAAAGAGAGAAGATGGCTATTCCGCATCTCTTCAACGAGAAAATAAGACGGACCTTTCAACATGCAATCTGAGCCGTCTCACGCTAACGAGCGGGGGGAAAGGAGCGAAGGGAAAGAGCATGCAAGATAGCCATACGATATTGCTCGTGATCGAAGAATGTAAACAAAGAGGGAGAACGAATCGAAGACATCAGCTCGCAGTGTCGATGTTAAAGAACGAGAAAGGTGAAAAGAGAGAGTGAGAAACGGGGAGGCATTTTATCGCCAAAAAGAAGGGCATCAAAGGGGAGTTATATGAACTCCTGCCCCTACTCCATCCAGCCCGAAATATTACAAATTGAAATTCAGCGGCCAGGTAATCGAAAAGAGCGAACGGTGGGAGGAGCATATTTCGAATTGTACACACATTCTGTTGCAGTCAAAAAAGGGGATCATATAAGATGAATTTGGGGCATGTGTTGCACGGCGTCCCGAACAGCGAAGTATAGTGTAGAGAGCATGGGGCAGAAAGAAGCTAGTATTATCGAGAGAGAGAAAAGGAAAAACGAGAGCCGGCCACGCTTGAGGAGAGGAAAACGCCGGGTATCAATAAAGCAGCAGAGAGGTGTACCTAAGCATTGACGAGAACGTGAAGAAGCCGTCGAGGGTAACCGTAAAAGCTTGTTGGCATCCCTTTTTTTCAGAAGCACGGCCCTGAAGCGTCTGGGACAGAGGTGGAAGAATGAAAGATTCCCGAATCCTTCTATGAAACCTTCCCTCCCGAGGCCTTGACTCGTAACATCTCTCGCATAATAAGAATAAGCGTGCTGATAAAGAGTCATGGAAACGTAAAACCCGTTCTCCCTTCAATCCAGCATGATGACTTCCGGATCAGGTTTCACGGCGGGCTGTTGATTCGGCAGCTTCGCTTGGCCCTGCGCCTGCGGCTTGTTCTGCTGAGAATTCTGCTGGGTAGGACCGGGTGGTTGCTGCGCGGCGGCCGCAGTGCCACCGACTGGTCGGTCCACGACCGGCTTCTGGTGTTTCTTGACTATCTCATCCAGTTTCTTCAATGCCTCTTCCACACCATCGATTCTCGCCACGATACCAGTTCTCACACCAATCCATTTCTCGCCGCTTTGCCTGAGGAACTCCTTCATCGCGGCAGCGAATTCTGGAGAGCGGGGGTGTGCCTGCTGGTTCGATGAATCGTGAATGTGCCATTCCATTGCGTCATGTCGAGTTCGTAACCGGATATCAAAAGTAGTAAGGGGGTTTTCGTAGGAGAGGCGATACCAGTCCAAGCTGCGGGGGTTGATGTAGGGTTGAGGTATAGAAGCCGGAGCGGGTGCGCTGTTTTCCATCGACTCAAATCCTCTGAGCAATGGCACAGTTTGTGAAAGAATTTTCATGAAGTAAGGAAAAGACTTGCTGCTATCCCGGTCGTTGAGCACATTCCTAAGGAAAGCTGCGACCCGGCGATGGGGATTGTTGGGAGAGATGTGAAGCTCAACAGGCGAGCCCTCGGGGAAGCGGATGTCGGCCTTGTAGTTGCCGCAGTAGCGGAACACGACCCGGGATAAGCTGATGTGGGAGCAGTGCAGCTTCTGATCTTTGGCAACATCAACGATCCTGCCAAGACGCTCGATGCGTTTGAGACGGTTGATGATTTTTTCCAGGAAGGGCTCGCCAAAAGGCGTTCGCAACCTGACCTCAAAGGTGCCGTCACTGTTGAAAGAAACGTCTCCAGCTTGTGAGGATACCAAGTTGAAGTCCACATGCCCTTGTGACATTTGCCCCTTGACCGCATGAATGATGGTGCCAGTCTTTGTGTCCAGTCCCTTGTGATGGAGTCTGAGTATGTCGCCTGCCCAGCTGTTGTGGCCCTCCTTCTCGCCAAGGAGTGGGCCGCTCTTGATGTATAGTGCTGGCGTAATTTGTGTTGTAGGATGATCCGTAGGATACTTTTTCCTCTTTTGGTTGCGGAGGATGCGTAGCACATGCGGCACATGCATACGTCTGAGCTCTTTGACCGCAATCGCAAATGTAAACTGAGCACTGGCGAACTCTTCGACGGCACGCAGAAATTGGTAGGACAATGGGTGTCTCCTTTCAGAGGGAGAGGTTCCCATGAGCGGAATCACCTCCAGGATACTGTTTCCGATGCTCTCGTTGGACCTAGGACCCGGGTTAATCATTGGAGAGTTCACTTTTCTGCAAGTCATATACTCACAATTCTACCAGCCACCAGTTCTCTCCATCGAGGTTCACGGTTAGTCCCAGCACCCATTTCGAGTTCCAGTTTTGGCAGCGATAGAAGCTCTGAGCAACCACCTTCTGATTTACTGCTTCGCTTGTAGCATCAGGTCGAATGTTGACGTGGCGGAGTTTCGTCCAGCCCGCATTATTAGCCTCCTTGTCAACCCGATTCCGAAGATCGTTGCAGATCAATGACTCGATCCTTGGAGCGGCCTCTGTGGCAATGTCTCTTATATCCCTCTCCAAGTGCAATGAGAAGGGTGTTACTGGTCTTAAGGATAGTCCTCCGGAAATAGGATCTATCCTCACTTCTGTCGCCTTAGCCATGCGGCCTGGTAGCAGGCGCAAGCAGCAGTCAGCTGGTTCGGTAGTTGAAGTGATTGCCTCCATCGATAGGCCAGATCGTTTCTCGGACAGGGTGGATAATTGGTCGCGTATTGAGTCCAAAATGAAGCTGATATGCAAGGCGATGATGGCTTTCAGTATTCTCTCCAACGATAGGTCGGTCCAATCGATCTCGATAGGGATATTCTCGACTGGCACTCCTTTACGCGTCCACCGGAGAGAGAGCTGGGGCGGGCTGGGACCACGCCACGATACTTTCCCGTCCTTGGATTTGCCGCTGGAGATGCCAATCTCTATCCAACTTTTCGCTCCAGAGGTACCAGTCCAGTATTGTACTGTCAATGAACGATGAACCTGTTGGACATGGATGGAGTTGGCCCAGGATGTCTGCGCGAGCTCGTAGGCTTGCATCTTGAGCGTCGTGAGCTTATGTGTTAGCACAAAGCCATGTAACCAGTCGTAGATCCCGCTCAGGCCCGAGCTAGCTAAAACAGTGTTCGCCTCGGGCTCGACCCACTCCCGAAACCAACCATCTGGAACCTCTGGCTTGGGAGTGAACAGAAATCGCACGTCGACAATGAAGAACGGGGAGGCAGGGTCCTCGTCCGCTATAGAAACGTCGAGCTCGAATTCAGATGGGACCCGGAATGTGGCGCGGCCGCTCGCGATGGACCAGTCTTTCATATGGCGCGGCAGCTCCTCATGCAGGTTGATACGGATAGCCAAGAGCGCATTCAGATTGGTGACAGTCTTGAGCATTTGCTGTGGAGTCAGTGGTTCGGCGGGAATGTAGCCCAACTGATCCCGTCAGCTTATGCAACACGCTTACAGGAGAGCAAACATACGTCTGGCATCCAAGGGGCCTTGCCGGTGCTGAGCACCTCGAGCGCGGTCTTGAGATCCGGATTAGGAGCCTTTGCGGGGTCCATATTGAGCTTCAATTGGCCGATCCATTTAGGCGCCTCTTCATAATGGTTCATTTGCTCCGTCAACCATGCGTTCAGGTCTATCATCTTGCTCACATCATCACAGTTGCGACTCCACTTGGACAGCACGAGAAGCTTGATGAACTTCTCCCTCTCTCCCCACGCCCAGTTCAACATCAATGTCTTCTTTTCCTCATTGTCCCGAGACTGGGGCGTGGCGCCGTTCATGGCGTGCCCATTGATGCCATTCATCACAGGAGCGGACGATACCTGCAGGTTGCTCATTTTATCCAGGAGCTCACCGAGCGACACGTTCGTCTCTTGCGCGACCCTCTCGACGAGCTTGCCGAAGGGCATGTAGAACTCGGTGAAGTGGGTCAGCTCCGGTGGCAGTTGCGAGTGGTTGGCAGCCGGGGATTGCGACAGCGAGGCTGCGCCGTTCGTGATGGCTTTGCCGTTCATGTCCGAGGGACGGTCGACGTGCGGCAGAGGAACATCGCCATTGAGCTTGGAGTGCGCGGCGGCGGATGCGGCCAGCGCTCTGTCTTCCAGCTTGCCCAAGCTGGCGCCCTGCGCGCCATTTCGATCCATCGAGACGATGCCGGGCATACTCCTCCCCTTCGCTCCGTCGGCGCCGTCGCCGTAACTCCCCTGCACCCCCTCAAGCCCGTCCTCCGCCTTGCGCTCGGCCAACGGTATTTTGGAAAATTGTGCGAGGGGCTGCGTGGAGGCTGCGATGACCTGGGTGCGGGAACGCGGGGCCGGGGCGCTCGAGTGCGGCAGGCAGGCGGCGGAAGCAACGCGCAACGGCGCAGACAGGTGCAATCCGTGGGGCGGCTTTGTTCCTCGGCCGGCGGGGTGGAGCGAGGCGGCGGGGGCGCGCGGTGCGTTGAGATGCAGCGGGGAGGGCGTGAGAGCGGTCGGCGGCGAGGCGTTGGTGTGGACGGCGTGCGCGCCTTGGGGTGGTGTTGAGGAAAAGAAGGCGAGCGATGATGCAGAGGTGGTGAGGGCCGCTCGCCGGGGCGCGCCAATCCGCCCAGCCTTCTCGCACCCAGTCTTGGCCGCCGACGACCGTTCTTCACCACCGCGCGTTGTCCTGACAATCAAATTGCGCCCTGCGTGCCGGCGAAATGGCTGCCAGCACACGCGAAATTGCCGCCTCCACGTCGCGCGCACTCGCTCGAGCAGCATTCGCCCTCGCAGGCTTGGGGCGCGCGGGCGGCCTTCGCTGCGGTCGAAATAGACGACGCCCGTCGCCGCGTGCCAGCGCTGCCCGTGTTCCGTGCAACAGCGCAAACCCGGCACGGCTGCGCTCTCCTGAGCACGCCTGCAGCCGCTCCTGAGCGCGCCGGCCACGGGGCTGGGCTGGCACCCATGCCGAACGTTTGTGAAACACGGCCAAACAGCCCGATCACATTACCTCTGCTGGAGTTTCAGCGCATCGGCTGCCGAGCTGACGGCGGAGCGCTACTGCGGTTCCCGCCAGCCGCTCCGCGTGAACGCCATGCACGATGCTAGCCGAGACGTGTGCCAGCCAGCCCGATCGCCAGAAGGCAAGCAATCGAAGTGGCGGCGGGAGACCCTGCCCGTAAGCGCCTTTTCCGCAGCCTGCGTCTATCCACCAATGCCCCGCAGCTGCTCCCGCCTGTTTCTTTAAACATGGTGTGTTGCACAAAGCCGATTGTTGCACCTACTTTGTCCCCTGCCGGAACAGGAAGTTGATTGCTCACCCTTTCTGAAAGGCTAGGAACCGCAAAAGTAGTGCTGCTTTTGGCAGCCGTCGTTCGTGCACAGTTCTAGAAGGCAGACCAATGTGTTTTGAAACAGCTAATATCACCACCAAAGTCAATGGGCAGAGAGCCTGCAGGGCGAGACCAGGCAGGCGGGCGCTACTCAGGCCGGCTGTGAAGACGTCTGCCGACAGCGTCTAGGCGCAGGAGGTGCAGGCGGAGTCCAGCCCGTCGTCAAGCGAGCTATTTCCGGGCCCAGGAAGGTGGGGTCGCAGGGTCGGCGCGACTTCGTTCGCCGAGGAACAGACGCGTTCGCCTCGCGCTCACGTCCCTCAATGTCGTCGTCGCGCTGTGGTGCGCCTGTCAGCACTGGGACGACTGCTCGCCCTCCGCTTATCTGCTCGGCAAACAGCACACCGCATCGGGGGCGGTGCGAGTAATGTGCGCTGTGTAGGGAGACAGAGCGTCGAGGGACGAGCTTGATCATGGACAAGGCAAATACGTATGCTCGTCGCATGCGCGATCTGCGTATAGCGGTCGCATTTTCAGGCTGAGCCTTGCCTACCCACATGCGCCTCGCCGTGTCTGCGGCGGCATGCACGTCTGGCACATCTGCTATCGCCGGCTGGGCTTTGGCGCTGGCTGGCTCGATCACGCGGGAAGATCGCATCACGGTCACGGAGATCCACAACCTGACCGCGGCCTGTATCAGAGAGCGCCCTCCTGTCTCTTCTCTCTCCCGTCGTTGCGACGGTCCATGATGGACGCAAAGGGCATTCAGCGAGCATAATGCTCTGCAGCGCAGGCCGGTAGCACTGCTCGAATCACAGCAACGCCCCTCGTTCAGCTCCCACCAACCCTGTGCCCGCACGTACCCCAGGCGGTCCGACTCCGTAATGGTTCCGCGCCAACAGCACAACCCGCCTCCGCAAGTACCTCCACACCACTCGCCGCCCTTCCGCCCGGACCTCTTTCGCCAGTCGTCCGCCAACTCCAAACGCTCCTTCCCCTCTTCCTACAGCGCCGACGATGAGCGTTCAATAGCCGCCGACACCATGGGCCCTGACCGCGAGCGCGACATCCCTGCCCGCCCGCCGCAGTATGACGGCGAAGACACCTCTCTGACCTCGCGCAGGGAGCTGTGGGGCTTCTACATTTATGGATGGGCTGCCGAGGTAAACAAGATCGCCTGAGCCCCGGTGGAGAGCATGCGCGCTGACCAGTCCACAGGTGTTTGTTGTTTGCGGTGTTGGTACGTTCCATGCCGTTATTGCCCTCCGACGCAACTGCGATGCACTTCTCGCTTTACCTGGTAGACCGCGACATAGAGCTTCTGCGCCTTTGTTTCGAGCCGCTTCGTCTATCGTGTCCACTTTAATCTGCCTGCCGACAACCTCAAGCATCGCGCCGATCGGCTTGCGCTGACCATGATGCCCAGGATCTTTCATACCGATCACCCTCGAGCAGCTTGCACGAGAACGCGGCGTTCTGCAGTCTGACGGCAAGACTCCATGCACCACTGCCTTCGATAATCCACACCCGCCTAGCGAACTATCCAACCGAGTTCCATCAGCAGATGCCGGACAATGCGTAGTCTATATCCTGGGCGCCGAGGTCAACACGGCCAGCTTTGCGATGTATACCTTCTCTATCAGCGTCCTGATCCAGGCTCTGTTGATCATATCGATGTCCGGAGCGGCCGACCATGGCATGCATCGCAAGACATTCCTTCTTAACTTCGCTTTCATTGGCGCCATTGCTACTATGCTCTTCCTTCCCGTCACACCGCAAGTGTTCGTATTTGGAGCCCTGCTCGCAATCATTGCAAACACTTGCTTTGGCGCCTCATTTGTCTTGCTCAACTCATTCCTTCCTCTGATCGTCAGGAATCACCCACAGGTCGTGGAGCCTTATCTTGAAGCCGAAGACTCATATGGCGAAGAGGACGATGGCTACCGTGAACATGACCGGTCTGGGACTGAGGACGAGGAAGAATTGGAATATGATGAGATGCCAAACTCAAGGTCTGCGTTGCTGCGGAATAACTCATATGCAGACGATACACCACTGTGGCCCAAATCACCCGCTGTGAGTAATCTGCATTCTCCAAATATTTTCAGTCCTTTCCAGCACAAATCCCAGAAATTGTTCAAATATGCCAAAGGGGGTGCTTCTTCCAAACATTTACCGCTCAAGTTCAAACAAGCGTTTGAATGTTTCATGTTTAAGTTCATAACACGGTGGCGTGGTTCATGCTAACTTTTACTTAGACTTCGTCACATGAGTTGGCTCTTTCCACACGCATCAGCTCTTATGGAATCGGTATTGGTTACTCGGCGGCCTTGCTCGTCCAGGCCATTGCCATCGTCATTGTCATGCAAGTCGCTACAGAGTCCACCAACTTTTCTCTCCGGCTCGTGCTATTCTTCGTGGGAGCTTGGTGGTTTGTCTTCACCATTCCCGCCGCATTCTGGCTGAAGCCTCGACCTGGACCTCAATTGCACATTGGGGGAGGCGAAGGCAGGTTCCAGACAGGCATGGAATATTTCAAATATTCCTGGAAGTCTCTTGGCAAGACGGTCATGCACGCACGAAAATTGAAGGATGTCCTCCTCTTCCTCGGCGCATGGTTTCTCCTCAGCGACGCCATCGCAACAGTGAGCGGCACAGCAGTACTTTTCGCAAAGACGTCGCTGTCCATGAAACCCGGTGATGTTGCTTTCATCAATGTGGTGGTCACGGTCACGGGAATCATTGGGGCATTTTCGTGGAGTCGGCTGTCCATCATGATGGGCCTCGGACCGTCTCAGACGATCTTATTTTGCATTTGTCTCTTTGAGCTGATTCCCATCTATGGTCTCCTGGGATACATCCCAGCGATTCGCAAGTTAGGAGTGTTTGGTCTCCAACAACCCTGGGAGATGTATCCCTTGGGTGCAGTTTACGGATTTGTCATGGGCGGTCTATCCTCATACTGCCGCAGTCTTTTTGGCGAGCTCATCCCCCCGGGATTCGAGGCTGCTTTTTACGCATTATATGCTATCACGGACAAAGGGTCGAGTGTTTTCGGGCCAGCGGTGGTCGGCGCGATAACTGATGCCACGGGGGAGATCCGTCCGGTGAGTTCCTAGCGGGCACTACTTGTCATGGCATGGCTCGTACTAATAATTACAGGCCTTCTGGTTTCTTGCCGTCTTAGTCGGACTACCGTTCCCGTTGATGGCGCTGGTGGATGTGGAGAGGGGGAGAGCGGATGCAGCCGCATTGGGTAGGGAATTGAGCGACAGTAGAGGAAAGAGTCCTGAGCGGGGTAGTCCTCGCCGCAGTAGCTTCGCGTCGTTTCACAACGGAGACGAAACAGAAGGGCTGGTGGGAGAGGCGGATCGGTGACATAGCTAGCAACTCTGTTCACAGCCTCACAAGGCGACAGTGCGAAATTAGAATACGATAAGAACACGTGCACAGAGTGATAGTTTGGAGCGCGGCTGGTTGGTGCGCCTGTTGGTGTGGAGCTTATTCAGGCTAAGCGGATGTTGTATACCGTGGCCTCATCGTCCATGACCCTTGTGCTACCGCGTTGAGTGTGTGGCGATGCTGAGCTGAGGCTCCGGTAAGGGCAGGAGAAGGATGTATTCGCCCCCGGGAGGAGCGGCAGTTTTGGGAATACACAACTGAGGCGGAAAGGCAGGGCCGTGGAAGCGGGCGCGTGGTTGGTTGGCGCACATCTGTGGACCCTTTCGGCCCAAGCTCCTAGCGCCAAGGTTGCCGTGCAGGGCTCTCCGCGCAGCGCGAACTAAAGGCCAGCTTGCACCTGTATCAGCCCCGGCACTTGCCTTATAAATCACAGCTGCCAAACGGGCCCATTACAAGAGCTCCGAGCAGCCTCTCCACGACCATCCTTCCACACCACCTCCTCCTGAGTCAATTGCACACAAACCCACCATGAAGAACTTCAGGAACGCCGTCCTCGGCCTTGTCGGAGCCGCCGCGCTCGCCTCCGCCTCTGATGTCGAGGAGCTCACTAAGGACACCTTCAACGACTTTGTGGGCACCAACGACCTGGTGCTCGCTGAGTGTTCGTCTCACCCCAACGCCCCTCTCCCGAACTACGGCTAACTGATGTGACACAGTCTTCGCTCCGTGGTGCGGTCACTGCAAGGCCCTCGCTCCCGAGTACGAGGAAGCCGCCACCCAGCTGAAGGAGAAGAACATCAAGCTCGCCAAGGTCGACTGCACTGCCCAGCAGGAGCTGTGCCAGGAGTATGGTGTCGAGGGCTACCCCACCCTCAAGGTCTTCCGTGGCCTTGACTCCATCGCCCCGTACGCCGGCCAGAGGAAGGCAGATGCGTAAGTTGCTGTCATTCTAGACCTCCAACCGCTTGGACTAAACGGTTCCGCAGCATCATTTCGTACATGACCAAGCAGTCGCTTCCCGCCGTTTCTACCCTCGCCAAGGACAGCCTCGAGGAGTTCAAGACCGCCGACAAGGTTGTTCTGGTCGCCTACTTCGACAAGGACGACAAGGCTACCAACGAGACCTTCACCGCTGTCGCCAAGGGTCTCCGCGACGAGTACCTCTTCGGTGCCACCAACGACGCCGCCGTTGCCGAGGCTGAGGGTGTCAAGCAGCCCGCCATCGTCCTGTACAAGTCTTTCGACGAGGGCAAGGACATCTACACTGAGGCCATCGAGAAGGAGGCTCTGGAGGAGTTCATCAAGACCGCTGCCACTCCTCTTGTTGGCGAGGTCGGCCCTGAGACCTACTCTGGCTACATGAGCGTAAGTCCCCGTGCATTCCGAAGCCGAAAATCTCAATCTAACATTTGCAGGCTGGCATTCCCCTTGCCTACATCTTCGCCGAGACCCCCGAGGAGCGTGAGCAGCTCGCCAAGGAGCTCAAGCCCATTGCTGAGAAGCAGAAGGGCAAGATCAACTTCGCTACTATCGACGCTAAGACTTTCGGTCAGCACGGTGCCAACCTGAACCTTGAGGTCGGCAAGTGGCCCGCCTTCGCCATCCAGGACCCCGCCAAGAACCAGAAGTTCCCCTTCGACCAGGAGACCAAGATCACCGAGAAGGCCATTGGCAAATACGTTGACGACTTCCTTGCCGGCAAGGTCGAGCCCAGCATCAAGTCTGAGCCCGTCCCCGAGAAGCAGGAGGGCCCTGTCACCGTTGTCGTTGCCAACTCTTACCAGCAAGAGGTCATTGACAACGACAAGGACGTTCTCCTTGAGTTCTACGCTCCTTGGTGCGGTCACTGCAAGGCGTAAGTTTTCCCACCTCACCCGTTTCTAGAGCAAGCATGCTAACAGCCATCTAGTCTCGCCCCCAAGTACGACGAGCTCGCTACCCTCTACGCCAAGAACCCCGACTTCGCCTCCAAGGTTGCCATCGCCAAGATCGATGCTACCGCGAACGACGTTCCCGATGAGATCCAGGGTTTCCCCACCATCAAGCTTTTCCGCGCCGGCAAGAAGGACGAGCCCATTGAGTACAGCGGCTCTCGCTCTGTTGAGGACCTCGCCAAGTTCATCGCCGAGAACGGCAGCCACAACATTGACGCCTACGACGCCAAGACAGAGGAGAAGGCCGACGAGGACAAGCCTAGCCAGGCTCCCGCCGCTACCGAGGAGGCCAAGGAGGGCGTCAAGGAGAAGGTCAAGGAAGCCGCCGAGGCCGTCAAGTCCGCCGTTGTCGATGATGAGGACATTGACGGTCACGATGAGCTGTAAATTATAATCACCACTTGACGTTCATGCTCGGTTTGGGTAGTTGCTTTGCGCAACGCGAGAAAATGATTACGGGTTTTTGTTTTGCCACCTCGAATACCAACAAAAATGAGGGGCTTTGTAGCAAGGTTTTCAGCTTTTTTTCGTCCAGGGTTATGGTTATGCCTCTCCATAGGTGCACGCACTTGGGTTTGTTTTCTCTACGGATTACTCTAGCAATGGGATCAATATGTACAACTATGCTTCTTTTTCGTGAAGTGCTTCCGATATGAATGTGACCAGATGTCCTTTCGTGCAACGCACCGAAAAAGGGAAAAGCAATTACGGTGTTGTAACCATTTACGAGAACGTCGGAACAGGGGTTCCGCATCTCCTTTCGGAGATCCTGGTGGGGAAGGTGGTTGAGAGATGCGACGACGACTCATGAGTCTGGTGAGAGTCGCATGTTGTTTCAACTGCCGAACCGTGGGATGTACTGATGATAGGGGGAGGTTGGAGCATATTTTCTGGCCTTTTCTGTTTCGTTTGTGGCTTCTGGTCTTCCGGTTCGCCGGGCCGTTGAGTGAGGGGGTGGAGAGAGGGAGATTGGTTTTTGTTTTTTCTGGTCCGACCTGTGTACTTGAGGACACGTTGTGTGAGCTCAACATACACTTGATTCAACGTGGTGGCTGAGATGATGGGGGCCTCTTCTAGTGTCAGCACGTGGCCTGTTTGGTAAGTGCTTAGGTTGATAGAAGTTTGACCATGTATAAAGGATACGGAGTTGTTGGACTCGACCATCTTCTTGTTTCTGACCCAACATGTCACAATATGCGCAGCAACTTTGTGTTTTGTTGAGCGAGACAGAAGAGTCAGACTGGGTTCTGGGGATTGCTTGGTGTCAATCAAAGAAGCCGCCTTGCTCACAACTCTACGCCACAGAGCCAATGTTGAGCTGCACCAATGTCGAATATTGCTGAAGCACGGTAGGGACTCTTAGTGGTGCGCCTCATTGGACTGCAATTACTTGTGTCTGTTTTTCTTCTTTTTACTCAAGTGTCAATCATGACATGAAAGTTCTTGGAAACTGTGCTTGTGATTCTGGATGTTTTTAAGAGCTCCACCGGCCGGTCATTCTGGACGTCCGATGATTTATTATAAGCAAAGAACTGTAGTGATTGGAGGATCTGGTTCCGGGTATCTGGGACGCTCGAGTATGCTTAGGCGTAGATTTGGCTTTTAGTGAGTCGAGTCAAGTGATGACCTTTGTACATGGACTCTTGTCACAAGGCTAGGTACTAGAAGGTATGCTCGCACTCTTAAGGCCGATTCGTATTCCTAATGGGAACGACACTTCTCGAGATATGGGCTTGCAGAATACATTACCACCAAAGATACTTTTTTTGTTTGGTCTTGTCCGGAAATCTCTTCGTAAGATCCGCTCAGAAATTCCCAGAACTTCATGAGCGTCATCACGAAGTAATGATGTGGAGTAACAAAGATCCGGTATTATACCTATTCCAGATCTCTCCAATACCTATTAGAAAGTAAAGGATAATGACGCTCCGGAATTCCTCAAATCTACAGGCATCCTTCTCCACACTGACTCGTCATCTTATGTTGGCGGCCAAGATCTCCGGAGAGCAGGAGTAATTCCGATCTCTTACCTCTGGCTTGTAACAATGCAATAATGCTATTCTGCAATATGAAATGATGAGGACTATCACCTTTAAAACTCAAAAGCGTAAGTTTCTGCCACGAAGTAATCGTAAGCTGAATCCTGAATGCATCCCTCGCTGGCTCGAAGTAAAGATAAACCAAGACGAAAGCGTAGAAGTAGGCCGGCGGTGAGCACTTAAGACATGGTATGGGAATCATAGTATCCTCAGCTTATACATTGAAGGGGGCCGATAAGAAGGACGGCGCTTTAACTACTGTCTTTCATACCTAAGAACCGACGAAACCCATGGCGGGAGACCTCTTTAGTCAGATGCAAAGCAAGCCACATGAAGAAGCTGCTCAAGCAGTTGAGTGGGGTCTTAGTCATGTGTACTATGTGTCATAGGCGCTTGCATAGGTCTTTGTGTTGTCTGTTGAATCTACAATCTTTGGCTGGTGAGCGCTTGTTCACGGTCATATCACTCGCTGATCTGCTCTACGAAGCGGTTGGTGATGCCCGTGGCGCAACAACTTCACGTCACATGGAACTCTACGATGCCAATGCGTGATACAAAGAATAAAATCGAGCCGTAGGTGCCACGAAATGTGCTGGCGGAATCCACAGCCTATCAGCTGCCAGGGGCTTTCCCAGTTTGGCAGAACGAGAGCATTTAAGAGGGGGATTGAAGAACACAAACACCTCGCTGCTTCGACACCATCAAGACCACAACGGGTCTAGTAGCCTCACCCACAGACTGGAGACTCGTCCGTCCTGGTTTTCGTGCTTGGGCGGTGCCCCCATTTGCTGCAGCGTGCTTCCCAGCATATTGGAAGATGATGCTAACGGTGGGCGAGCTACTACAAAATATTCATGTTGATGGTCATCTTTATGGATGAAATATGGTGGTCGCCAGCAATAGCTATTGTAGTTGGCGGTCACCAACGCTGTACCGTGTTTGGATAGAAAAGGCACACACCCAGACTGTGGGCGACAACAAGCGCGCAGAGTCCGGAGATATTTGAGAACAACTCGCAACTCCCCACTCAGACCTAGAGTCGTGGGTGTTTTTGATTTTTTGGTTTTGTACGGTTCCACCTTTGGCGTTTGTGTGGCCGAGGAGATAAGAAGCCTGCGTCTCAATGATATAGCTGGTTAATCTTAGAGATCATGTGTCTCAGGCATTGTTCCAGTCATGTGAACAATGCTAGACTCAGCGGCTTCGATGGGGACAGAAACGCATAAAGCCATTACCATATCTACACATGCCTACATTAAGATAAGAGTCCACCAACCGCTCCCCTCCACCTCCACGAGGCCTCATCACGTCGCCCACCACATCCTTCCTTCTTTCTTCCTCGCACTCCCATTAGCATTCCTACCATAGCTCTTTGGGTATCCATTCGCCTCTCCTCCCTTCCCCTTCTTACTATTCTTCTCCTCCTTCGCCGTCGTCAACCGCGCCCACAGTTCCAGTATCCCCGCGCGCCGCGCCGGCAGCATGCTGTACTGCAGCGAGTAGAGGTTCTTGCGGTGGATGGGCGGCACGAAGCGGCCCGTAACCAGGCACAGGAAGACACCGGGCGAGATGTAGTGCTTGCGGATACGGTTGCCAAGCTGGCAGTACTGGTCGAACATTTCCCAGAAGCCGAGAGGGACGGACTGTGGCAGAAAGCAATCAGCGCAGGAAGCTTCAGAAATGATATTAGGGCCTGCTCGTACCTTAAGGATGATGTAGGATGTCGGCGCAGAGAGCGGTTGTTGTTCCGGTAGGCGTGCGGAACGGGTATCTTGAAGATCAAAACGGATGCCACCTACATCAGTTAGCGTCGATTTGTATCAAGGTTAATTCGGGGGAGCCATACCAGGCAAACGCCGGGAATCCTTGATGCGGAGCATTAGTGCAAAAATGGGGAAATGGTTTAACAACATTAGCAGGGTATCCAGAACGGCTTTAAGGATGATAATGGCCATCCTCGCCGACGCAAAAGTGAGGTAGAAAACGAAGACCGTGGGGAGCAAGAAGAAGAGCAAGGTGAACAGGATCGTCCCCAGCAACAGCTGATCTAGATCGTAATCGCATGAATCTATTCGGTTGCGCAGCACGTTGCGCTTCTTGCCGCGGAAGAGGTGAAAGAGCGAGAGGATGATGGACAGCTGCCAGTTGAAGATACGCGCCGACGCGACATAGAACGAGTATATGTGTAGCGTCAACACGGAGACAAGGTCGGAGAAGAGCGATATGGGCATCGTGGCGCCCGCAAAGCTGGAGAAGCCAATGAACTGAATGACTTCTGGAAGGAGGGGGCGAAGAGTCTCAATGCATCCTACAGGAATCAGTGCATGCGAGGTAAGAGGTTGGAATGTGATACGTACCAGCCCAATAGTCAATGACCCATAAGAAAAGGTCTCCAAGAAACTGAGCCAATTCATTATTGAGCTTCAAACCGGCAGGCCAGTCCATTAGCCAGGATATCATCCCACGCAATCCATCAATTGACCATTCGGTGAGAATTCTGTTCACCTGAAGAGCCACAAAGTCCGCGTTCTCAATTATGTAAGAGCCAAGTGCAATGCCGATGATCACATCGTTTGCAACGAGCCACAGACTGTTGTAGAAACGGATGTACTCAGGATGGCTGTTTGTGATGCTATGCCAATTGACCTTTCTCTCCTGCAGCGTGAGGAATTGAATCGGCCAATAGCAGAATTGTTGCAGTCGTATATCGACTTGCTGAAATGTAGCCGACACGTCCTTCAAGGCCGCCGAATGCGGTAGAAGGCGCCAGTCAAGGACACGAAGTATCACTTCGCCGGCAATTCGATGTGCTATGAGTCCCAAAATGAAGAGTCTTGCAATGACCGGGTAAACGTAGCAGCTCATGATGTGCCAGAGCAACAAAAGGATCTGGTGCCACGCTGTCGTGGCCGATTCAACCACTCTTTCGCCCATGGATAGCGCTCGCCTCGAACGAGTGCCGACCAGACCAACATTTTTATGGCAAAGCGCAGCAATCTCGTACGAGCAGTTGACCTGATTGATAATGTCTGGTAGTGACAATTCTTTCTGGCTGGGCGTGTGCCGAATGACGGTGTGCAGCTTTAGCTTTTGCGCCAGCTTCTGCTTACGCTCCTTCTCTTGCTCTTCTTCGGCGTCTATCCCATCCAATGGTGGTATTCCCTTCCCTGCTTGAATTTGTTTATCCGACAACGCCAGGGAGATGGGTGAGAGAGAGAGGTATTGCATGCGTCCCGGGTCGGGCCGGTCGAAGAGAATAACCTGGACGTTGAACTCGTCGGGTGAGTAGATGCGCGGGAACTTGGAGGACGGGGTCGTGTAGGCGACAAGAGATTTCGGGTCAAAAGATGTCGGAGAGCTTCCGGGGTTCAAAACACCGAGGACCTGCAGCGACGTGTGTCCGCATCTTTCCAGGATGTCGTTGATGGGGTAGGGTGCGTTGCGGAATAGCGTGCCAACGCGCAGAGCATTATCGACTGCCCTTGGCTACAAAAAGGGTGAGCATGGGGTCTCTCGATGCCATGGTCCTCCGCTCTCACCTCAACGTCGCGCAGTACAGTCACGACAAAGATGTCCAGCTCGGAATTCCTCCAGCCTACGAGCACGCCGGCAGTAGGCTTGGTGGGCGTGTCTGACGGCCAGAAAATGCGCATCAACCCATTGTTCGTGACCATGTCAACATCCCGCACTCCCGTCAGAAGGAACCTCTGCGCCTTAGTTGTTCGCGTGCGGAGATGCCTCCTCCGCCAGTGCGAGGGTGCTAGTGGTGATGTCAGCCTCGGGCGGGTGGTTTGTGGAAGACTGGTGGACTGACCTCGGCAGCCTCGTGCGCGGCGATGCGCTCAATGGGCACGATGATGAGGAAGAAGGCGATTGACAGAACGACGAAGCCTTTGGCGGCGCGCGTCTGCAGAGGAAAGCTCAGCAATGAAGGCGGGAGAAGAGTATGGGTGAGGGCGGGCCTACCACAACACCGTGATCCCAGGCGAAGATTGCAAGCTCATACAGCCGTGTGACGAGGTCCCAGCGCGCGGTGATGTAACCAGCTACGAAAATGCCCGCAGTTAGGACCGAGAAGGGGTGCATGGAGCGGTGCGGGCTTCGTCGAGGTCGCAGGGAGAGATGTCTTCTGAGCGGCGCGAGCGCTAGCGGAGGCGCAGAGTCTTGGAGGCTCAGGAGGCGGAGATTCGTGTTTCGGTGGTGGGCGCGCGAGTCGCCAGCAGCATGGCGAGCGCGATGCGACTTCAGACCGTGGTCAGTGATCTGGAGCTCCTCCTCGTGGCTGCGTGGGTCAAGCAACGCCCTCGTCCGCTTGGCGCGCCGGGACCTGGACGGACCAGCGCGTCGCTCGCCCGCGCTTGCTCCGCGCTTCACGCCGCCGCAGCCAGACTTCATGCCCCCGTCCTGACCCTCTCCGCCGGTGCGCTCGCCATGTATTCCAGGTACGCTTTCGCCCCGCGCCGCACAGTGTCACGCAAGTCCATCCTGCATGCAGCGCGCGTCGCCAAAGTCGCGTCGCTCAAGCCGCCGCATTCTCCGCCTCGGGCCGCCAATCCAGTCTCGGCTCGCTGACAATGGACGCCCGCCGCCCTTCACCTTCGACCGACTCCTCGTGACCGCCCGCTATTCTTACTATCCCTAGAAATACTGACCCCCGACACAAGTCACTGGTGACCTCTAGACTCCACGACTCCCCTCAGAGGCATGCCATGGCCGTGTGCAAGTTCTACCTCCAGGGCAACTGCAAGTTCGGCGGTACTTCTACTCTTTGTGTCTTTTCTCCGCCCGTCCATAAGCTGACCCAGAACAGACAGGTGCAAGTTCGACCATCCCGGCGCCCAGAACCAGAACCGTGGCAATCAACAGAACCAGAACCGCTTCGCCGCTTTGAACAATGCCCCCGCCGGCCCGCAAGGCGGCAGAGGCGGCCAGCGAGGTGAGTTGGCTAAGTTTTTATTCTCATTTTATTTTTTTTTCACACATTTCCTCCCTTCATAGCGTCGATTTCTACACTACGAGTCCACCAACGTTCCCTTCCATCATTGACGTTTTGGATCTGTCTCTCGCCGCCCGAACGCACGCTTACGGTGCGAATACTCGACTTGTTCCAGCAATTTTCTTTAATGTTTTGAATGGTTACTATACTGATGTTCGAAACAGGTCCCAGACAGGACTTCAAGTGAGTGTCATTAGACAGTCTCATTTGCATCTCGTGTCTGATCCGTCCCTTTAGGTACAATTTAGACCCCGACATCATTAAGATCGACCTGGAAAATGATCGTCCGATATGGCCTTTCTCAGTCTACGCACCGGGAAGGACTGCTCCGCGGCAGCTGATCGAGGGACCGTTGATGGAACAGAGTCAAGAGGAAATGCGTCTACGGTACTATGCTGCAATGCGAACAGGCCATCCCGAGCAAGCTGTGAGTGAAGAGTGGCAAGTTTTCGACGAACCTTCTAATTATCAAAATAGGCACATGAAGAAACTCAGTTGCTCGGTCAAGTGACTCAACAGATCAAAAATATCCTCAGCGACTTGAATGGCGCCTGCAGATATGTCCAGGACGGCGAGAATGTTCACCCTAACAGAGTCGACAACACCACGGGTCAACAACCACAACAGCAACAGACCGGCGCGTTTGGCCAAGGCAATGCAGCTTTAGGCCAACCCGCAGCATTTGGCGGTGCAGCAAAGCCAGCCTTTGGACAGCCGAGTGCATTCGGTACTGCTGGTCAACAACAAAGCGGATTCGCTACTGCCGGTCAACAACAAAGCGGATTCGGTGCTGCTGGTCAACAGCAAAGCGCATTCGGAAGGCCATCGACCTTCGGCGCATCAGCAGCCCAGCCATCAGCGTTCGGGGCGCCATCTGCTCTTGGCGGCGGTGCTGCAAATCCAGCGTTTGGCAAACCAGCTTTTGGTAGCTCCTCAGCATTCGGATCAGCGGCGAATTCTGGGTCGACAGCAGGTGCAGCGCCAGGGTTTGGTCAGCCATCTCAACCCGGTTCCTTTGGACAACCTGGAGGTGGAGGCTTCGGGACAAAGCCGGCTTTTGGCCAACCAGCGGGCGGTGCTGCGTTTGGGCAATCCTCGCAACCCGGCGGAATAGGAGGTTTCGGGAAGCCAGCAGGGTCACTAGGATTTGGACAGCCAGCTTTCGGTCAGGCAGCCCAGCCGACCGGCAACAGCCCCTTCGGCCAGCAAGGCCAGCAAGGCCAACAGCAGCAGCAACAGCAACAGCAACCTGGAGGATTTGGGCAAGCAGCTAATCAACAACCTGGGTCCGGAACGTTTGGGAAGCCTTCTCCCTTCGGTGCACCTGCCCAGCAAGCAGCACCCAGTGCATTTGGAGCACCTGCTCAGCAAGCAGCGCCCAGTGCATTCGGTGCACCTGCTCAGCAAGCGGCACCCAGCGCATTCGGTGCACCTGCTCAGCAAGCTGCATCAGGTACATTTGGAGCGCCTGCTCAGCAAGCCGCGCCCAGCGCGTTTGGCCAACCTGCTATGAATAGCTTTTCCGCGCCGCAAGCAAATGGTTTTGGCCAGCAACAACAGCCTCAATCCGCCACCCCTGCTGGCTCCGACGTATCGACTTACACCACGCGTGGTGCCAACAACCAACTCACTAGCTGGAAGAGCCAACCCGTTCAGTACATTGCTCATGGTGAAACAAAAGTGCAAAACCCATGCTATCGCCGACCGGACAATGGTCAGTGGGAGCGCATCTGGCTCCCGGATGGCGCCCCGCCGGACAACCCAAACTGCTACACAGCGCCAGAGGCGTATGGAGAGGTGCTGAAGGGAGCATACGAGTATTTGAATAACACAGGAACGTTCAAGGATGGCATTATGCCGGAGGAACCACCGGCGCATGCGGCGATCAAGTGGGATATTTGAGATAGGGATGTTTTCCTTGGTTATGAAGCAGTCGGAAGAAGTCACTCAGCGAGTTAGAAGTGGGAAAGGCGTTGGATTTCTTCTTCCAGTATGCCAAGCCGAACAAACGAACGTTCGCGAAGAGCATACAACTTGTTTCCAGCGACGTCTACTGAAAGCGTCATCTGGTCCATTGCAGGAATAGATAAAAGGCGTCTGATTAGCTCTTAACTTTGATGTTTCGTGCACAATTAAAGCACGATACCGACTTCATTGGGCTCTCTTACTTATGGGCTCACCTACTTTCTGCGCCGTTTGGCTGGTTTAGAGGGAAGACCTTTCATAGTCTCCTATACGTACAGACACCAAAGAGGTACACAGTGTAAGGTGGAAAGGTCCAGTCTGCAAAATGGAGCGTCTCTTAATGAAAGCCATCGGCTGAGCATGCCATAAGTCTAATTCACGAATCTCCTCAACCGCCGCTTCTTCCCCATCGCCCCCGGCACGTCGCCCTCTTCCATTTTCTGTACCCACGGCCTCTCCGCCACGTCGACATCGACATCAGCATCCACGTCTACATCTACATCCGCCATCACTTCTTCATCATCTCCTTGCTCTGCCGCCGCCGCCTTCTCCTTCTTCGCCCTCTTCCTCGCCTCCGCCGCATGCAACTCCTCCAGGTACGCCCAGCCGGGCGTGTCCATCCCCGCGCCGACCACCAGCACCGTCCGCTCGGGCGCCGCAAGCTCGGCGACCAGGTGCTCGCACGCGGCCGGTACGAGCAGGTGCAGCGCCTGCCGCGCGGCGTCGATGCCGCGCACGAGCCCGAGGCAGACGAGGTGCGAGGTCTGCGGGGAGAGCGGCTCGATGTGTCCGCTATTACCACCGCTGATCGCGGCGGCGGATAAGAGAGGGATGTTCTCGGCCGGGGTGCGGATGATGGCGGTGCTGAGGTCGTTGGCGGTGGTTGTTGTGGTTGGAGAGAGCGCAACGATGCCGATGACGGCGCCGTTGAGGATGGTGGCGAGCGTGCTGGGCGGCAGCGCTTCGCCGAGCAGCATGACGGCGAGGAAGTCGCGGGATGCTGTCGTCGGATCGTCGCCTCGCTGTTCTGGCGTTGGATCTTCTCCCGCTGCCGCTCCTGCGTACGAGAGGACGAAGGGTTTGTGGGCGGCGAGCAGGGTGGCGTCCCATGACTGCGTCGGCGAGCCTTGCTGTGGCGCGCCGAGGTGGAAGTACGACAGCGTTTGCATGTCGCGGAACTCGGCGGCGGTGCGGGCGGGTGCGGTTGCGCCGGAGGGCTGAGTGGGGATGGCTTGGAAGCGCGGGACGGAGGCGGAGGCGGCGGCTGTGCGGAGCGCGTCGTGGCTACGGCTCGGTTCGTCGGTGGTGTAGACGACGTCGGTGAGCGAGAGGCGGGCGATGAGGGTGGTGAGGATTTGGAGGCCGGTGCCGATGATCCAGCCGGGCGAGTTGACGATGATGGGGCCGTGGGTGTTGCCAAAGGTGAGGTGTTTTTGGTAGTGTGTCATTAGGTCGACGACGCATTCGATGAAGTGCTCTGGGTTGTCCTTCGGGCTGTTGGCACCGATGAAGTGGGAGCGGATGGTTCGCTGGTAGGACCCGGTGCTGGCGCTGGGGTGGGTGAAAGGGGGACCAAAAATGGGTTGGCGGAGTTCGATGAGAGATACTTGTCCCGGAGGTGAGTATTCTGGCTGGCCGGGGTCGATGTCCAATAGAAATATTGAATGATCATCTCTCTTCATGGCTTCCCGGTCGATGGTGAACATTCTGTTCAAAAGCAGCCTGGCGAATGTAGACTTGCCAGTGTTCTTTGGCCCACAGACAAGTATTCTCTCGTATACACCCGACCCGCTCTTCGACGATGCAGAGCAGACCTTATCGATTGCTTGATGCCATCTCTGAGGAATCTCCAAGTGGTAGAGTGGTCTGCACAGGGAATCATCGGACAATCTATGGATCTAATGAAGCGTCAGTGATGGCAACGAAAGTTTTCAAGGGAATATTGGCTTTACATTTTCGAATGACCACTTCTTCTTGTGATTTTTAAGAAAAGATGAATCCGAGGAGTTTTCGCTTTTCCATAGCCGACCATACAAAGGCGAAAGCTTCTCAAGCGGGCTTAATTTACAGTCCACGGACTTGAGATCTACTTCTGCTCCGTCTGGCGATAAGCAGTGAATGACCGGCAGGGCGTGAGTAGCCGGGGCGTAGACTCTGTATGACTGTGCGTTGGGCCCAGCTCTGAGAACTGCTCCATAGATTGTCACCACGCCTCTCCTCACAAGCAAATCATAGATTCCTATGTTAGCTAATGTCTCCCCGGATTCCAGCCGAGCAATCATGCCGCTTGCGTTGTTCTTAATCACGGTACCGCGCCGAGGGGTCCACGATGACAATTCCACTACGGGCGGTGGATACAAGCTGTTTTGAACCACATCGCTACCAGTGGTCGTCAGGAAATTGGAATCATCTGCATCATCCGGCCTGGGAAGATAGTCTGGCTCGAAGTCGTCTAAGCTGTTGTCGCTCAGCTCGGTATTTGGGTCAGAGACAGGCTGAGCTGTTGCTTCGAGAGCTCGCCTCCGAGCTTCTACAGCAGAGACTGGTTTGGAATCCGTAGCAACTGGCTCAGGCTCTGACTGTTCGAGTGCCTGCTTTCGTGCTTCTTGTGCAGAAATTGGCTTGGTAGAAGACGGTGTCGCGGCATCCTGGTCAGGTGTCGCGGCATCCTGGTCAGGTGCTGTCGACGCTTTTGCTCTGCTTCTTCTCTTTGGTCTGCTAGGAACCTCTAGGTTGCTCTCGGGAACAGGAGTAGTTCCTGCGGAAGCTTCACTTGGGGAATTCGATTCATCTTTATTTTGTTGCTGGCGTCTTGCTTTCAACGCTGCGGCCGCACTTTGCGGAGCTGTACCGGCAGGTCTGTCAGGCGTATTAGATCAAAAGAATTGGAATCGCGGTGAGTACATACGCGCCGGCGGGGTGTCCGAGCCCGACTGGTGATCGATTTTCCGTCTCTTGACCATTTTTACATAAGTTTGCAGGGTGTTGGGCGCGGCGACAGCGGGAAGAATTGGTTTGCGGAGCAAGATAAGATCGATCTGCACTCACCGCCTTCGGCGACCCGCGCCAAAAATCGCCGGCCGCCCCGTCGAAAAAGTTTCCCGGCGCATGGTGCATGCGACTGCGATGTAACAACATCCGCCATGTCCGCAGTGAAGAGAACGCCAATCCCTCTGCCCGGAAGGGCCACCGCTGCCGCGGGCACGCCTTCGAAACCTCCCAAGCCTACCACTAAACCTATTCCCGAAGACGACAGCTCCGAGGATGAGAGCAGCAGCGACGAAAGCTCCAGCAGTGAAACTGTTGCGGCGAAGACCAGCAGCTCCACGAAGGAGGATTTGAAGAAGGCCCAGAAAACGGCACCCGAAAGCTCGTCCGAAGCCAGCGACAGCGAGGAGAGTGAAGAAGAAGAGGAGGAGGAGGAAGAAGAGGAGGAAGAGGAGAGTAGCGACAATGGCGACAAGAATGAGAAGGCCGAGGAACCCAAGAAGGCGGATGCGAGCAAGAGCGCAACGTCGAGTGGCAGCGTAAGCGCTAGCGACAGCGGCAGCGAGGAGTCTGAGAGCGAGAGCGAGGAGGAGAGCGAGAAGCAAGCTCAAACGTAATTGTTCTCCTGTGACCAGAGCCAACAACACCAAGCTAACTGATGACCAGCTCAAGCTTTTCAAGATCACAAACCGTCCAATTGAGCGCCGCCAAGCCATTCGAGCCTCCGTCAGGTTTCAAGGCGGTGAAATCCGGCCTCAGTCCTTCCTCCAACCTTGCCAAACTCCTTCAATCCACGGATCTCTCGAAAAAGCAAATATGGCACATCACTGCACCCGCCCACATCGATATCAAGAAGATCAAGCAGTTTGCACGAGGCAAAGCAGCGCTCAAGGAACCCGCGATTGAACACGACGGTGTTGGCTATGCGTTTCTTCCGGAAGAGAAGGGTACACAGACGTCGAAGAAACTCCTTGTGCCGTCAGAGAAGGGCTTCGCAGCTGGTATGATGAACTACGCTAATCCATTGGTAAATTTGATCTCCTGACTCAACATTTGATACAGTGCCGGTCGAGATCGCAGAGACCCTCCACCTGAAGCAAATCGTGGATATTCCCAAGCTTTCTGAGAAGGGAGCTGATTCTGCAAAGACTACTGAGGCCATTCACACGTTTGTTGAGCGCCCGCCAAAGCCCGCGAGACCGCAGCCGGCCGGACTACGCATGCGTTACAGGCCCTATGGTCATAGCGGAGATGTGATAGGTTTCGCATCCGACGACGAAAGCAGTGCGCCTGCGCAGAAGCGGAAGCATGGCGAAGCCGATGCGCCTGCAAGCTCAAAGAAGTCTAAGAAGGATAAAACGCCAAAGAAGAAGAAGGCTGAGGCAGGGGAGCCGATGGAAGGTGTCGAGGCGACAGCAGTAGCTCAAGATGGCGGTGAGACGGAAAAGAAGAAGAAAAAGAAGGAAAAGAAGGACAAGGAGGGCAAGAAGGAGAAGAAAGAAAAGAAGAGCAAGGAGTAATACCCGGCATCGGCTTGGACGATTGGCAGCGGAGGCGGCCAGCAAAAATCATGGTTTTGTGTTCTGAGACTTGTCGGTGTCTTGCCAAAAAGGGATTGTCAGGGTCCAGGAGTTTGTGCGGTGCTGTACAGAGTTATCTTGTTTTCATAGAGCCCCAGCGTCACACTTAGACGTCATATACGAGGCAATGTGTCGCCAGGCACCGCCTTAGCAAACAAGCTACGCAAGACTAGCGCGCTTTATCTTAGTCCGGCCGTTGGAGGCTGGCGGGACGATGTGATGATGATCAGCCTTGGCGTCTGGGGTGGGCGACCACTTCGGCGCCACCCCTGTTGTTTTGATGCTTTTGGCTGGACGAGACGCACGCTGCCGACCGAGCAACGCGCTCCTATGATATGGAAAACACCACGCTCGCCGCATTCGTCTTCGCGCGGGTAGCTCCACGTCGACAGTAGCGCCCCATAATAACACACCAGCGTCGCCCCAGAAATCACCAGACCGCCCCGCCCACCGCCGGCAGCGCGACCGACCATTTGCACACCATCAGCGCCCCCTTTGCGCTCCACGATTTTGCCGCAATCGGTCACCGCTGATCGCGTTGCGCCCAGACCCCAGAGCCGAAACAAACAGAACGGGGCAGCGGGAGATTGGAGCGCCCTCCGACCGGCGCCTCATCGTCCGATTTCAACTGAGCCCAAGCATCATCACCGCCGCAAAACCTCCCCGCCTACCGCCCAAGCCCGCCGCTACACCACGCTTTATGGGCTCCAGATGGCTCGGAAATCCACCGACGACGAGGATGTGCGCTCCTTCGACCACTCCGACCCCGAGCTGCCGCCGCTGCCCTCCGACGACGACGACAGCTTCCTGCGCCCGCCCAGCGACAGCGCCGACAATAGCCACCTGAGCAGCGATGGAGGAAGCGCCATAATAGAGCGCGAAATGAAGCGCCAGCTTCTGGACATTGAATCGAGCTTCCTACCGGACCGGGACGCCGATAATTCGGAGGCTGCGCCTGCCTCAACAGGAGCGGATGATACATACGTGTATGGAGCTTCGTCTCTACACCCGCCGCCGCGGAATGGCGCAAGAGGCGGCCGGCATTCGAGAGAGTCCAGCAGCCACAGATCGGTGCATGCGGAGGATGTCGCATTGCCCGAATCGCCCCTACCACCCGACGAAGCCTCCGACCAAGGGCTCTTCGACGAGGGAGATCGGTTCGAGGAAGGCAGCAGCTCGTTTGATGAGCACGCGCCCTCATCTCCAACCGCTGCCGCTGCGGAACGCTCCCAATCAAGAACAGAAGAACAGACCAGCAAACAGACCGAGCCGACAATCGAAGTTACCCATGCCGAAAACCAGGGGCAGCGATATGAAGAGGACGCTCAGTCGCAAAGGTCATTCCGGCCGACCTCGAGTGCCTCTACAGTTAAAGCCGAAAGACTGGAAAACGAAGGGCACGGCGACGACGAACGGAGCTCGAGATTTCGCGACACGTTTTCGTCCTTGAACACAGGAGGACGCAATCCCTCGAATGCCTCCAGTGTTCGCAAGAGGCCTAGCTTCTTGCGCGATCGCAGCAGGGGGCCCAGCCAGCGCTCTACAACATCCTCCTTTACAGGCAGATCAGAAAGTTCGTTCGGCGACAATAGGGACAGCTCCGATTTTGCTCTCCAGACCGGGGGTGCCTTGCCAGGCACAGGCATGCGAAGTTCAGACCGCGACCTATCTCGACTACCAAGCTTCGGGAGCATTGCCTCTTCAATTTCTGGAAACAGCGAGCGCAGGCCATCTTTCGATCGCGCAAGAAGCACACTTAGCGCTGCTTCTCAGGCAGACAATAATCTGGAACGATTGGACGAAGAGCCTCGACCCACGTCCGCTTCGCCGCCCGCTACACCAACCGCCCGACCATTTAGCTCCGGAACAAATAATATGACGGATACAGTCATCACCAAGCACGTACAAAACATTCGTGTCCCGGATACGGTTGCAAGGGAGTACCGGGAAAAACATGCAACAAAGTCCCCTGAAAGACCGTCCACGGCGAATCAATTTGCTTTCAGTAGTCGAACTAAGCATAATCTTACGCTTAAGGAGCAGAATAGCAAGATAGACAAGCTGAGTAAGGAGAACTTCGACCTCAAGTTGAAGATTCACTTCCTTGACCAGGCGCTACAAAACCGGTCCGATGAGGGCGTTAAGGACATGATTTCAAAGAACGTCCAGCTGCAGACTGACCTAGCAACTGAGAAGAAAGAAAACCAGAGCCTGAGGAGGAAAGTGCGCGAGCTGGAACGGAAGTTGAAGGCACAAGAGGAGGGCATGGCGGCAGCTAAAGAGAAGACCCCTGGCTCTGACGATGGAAAGGGTGAGAGTACGCAAGGTCAGGCTGAAATGGAGGAAGAGATCACGTACTTGCGTGAATGCTTGCAGCAGTCCGAAACTGAAATCGAGCGGCTCAAGGAGGAAGGTTTGGCCAAGGAGGTGGAGAAGAGGCGCATGGCCGAGTACGTCAAGTCCATGGGAGACCGCAGGGTTTCTGAGCCCTCTGCTGGTGTCGAAGAAGCCATGGAGATGTGGAAGGACTTACTCGAGGCTGAGACTGCACGCCGCGAACAAGCTGACGAGGATGCGGAACGCCTACGCGACGAGATTCGTCGTCTGAAGGCTGAGCGCGAACAATCTACACAGCAACCGACCAGCGCTCGTCATAGCCACAATATGAGTCGGGGGAGCCGAATTTCATATGCCCGATCACAGTCAGGTTCTGACGGCACTACGGACAATCGCGCAGGCACAAGTGCCAGCAGCGTTACCCTTGTTGAGCAGCTGAAGCATGAAAACGCGGAGTTGCGGAGAGATCTTGGCGCCCAAACCTCTATGCTCGTCTCTCGAAACCGCGAAAGAGAACGTCTGCAGCAAGAGATCGAGGAACTCAAGCTGTCTGTTCGCCGCGGTGTCGGAAGTGGTTCAGTGGTCGGAGACAGCATCTTCGACCGGTCCATATCCCGCGCAAACCATCACAGGCCATCGTCAAGGAGCAGTGCGATAACAAGGACCAACGATATTGACGAAGCCGAGAGGGAAGAATATGAACAAAAGCAAGCGGAGCTCAGGGACCAAATTGCCGAGCTGAAGATGACGAACCAGGAGTTGGAGAAGCAGCTGAACAATACTCTAGACGAGCTGGAAAATACCGAAGAGAACATGCGCCAGCTGGACCGCGAAAACACCAACCTGCTTGAGGATGTCAGGAGCATCCAAAATGAGAGGGACGATATTCTTCGGTCCTTGGAGCAGAAAGAAGCGGAGTTTGACGCGCTGCGGGAGGAGGCTGAAGACGAGATTGATGGGTACGAGCAGGAGCTTCACCAGAAGGAGCAGGACCTGGAGCGCCTAATCAACGATCTCGAAAACCGCAACGAGGACTTCGAGGCTCTGCAACAAGAGATGAAGAACGTCAGCGAAAGCCTAGTAATGCTGGAAGATGACAGGAACGCCAGCCAGCGCAGGATCCAGCAATTAGAGCAGGAACTCGAGGACGCAAATCAGGAACTGGAGTCGCTTGATCAGAAGCTGCACGAAGCTCAGCAGAAGATTGAACGCTTCGAGGTCCAACAGGAATCGAACCAAGGTGAAATCACCTTCTTGCGCGAGGAGCAGGAGGGCGACAAGATCAGGATTGGTGATCTCGAGGCTGCTTTGAACGCAGCACAGATGAGCATCCAAGAAGAGAGAGAACGCTACAAGGACCTGGAAGACCGGGTTTTGGAAGAGAGAAACCAGCGCGAAGCGCTCGACAGTCAGGAGAAGGAGCAGGTTCAGAAGGCCTTTGACGATCTCAACGCGCAGGCTACCAAGGCCCGTGATGAAGTCCGTCGTCTTCGCAAGGAACTTGCTTCCAAGGAGGCAGAGGCAACGAACTGGAAGCAGAGACTTGATGATCTCGAGAACAGCCTTCGTGACGCTCTTGGCAGCTTGGACGGCACCAAGTCCAGCCTGCTTAAGGTACACTATACCCTTCAATCACCGAATCACGCTGTGCTAACATTAAGACAGGATGTCACCAAGCTCCAGAGAGATCTCGACGAAACCATGATGGACCTCGACCATGCCCGGTCCGAATTGGCCGAGAAGGAGCGTACCCTGCGTAACAGGGACACGCTTCTTGAAAGTACCAGCTTGGAAAGCCGCAAATTGGCTGACATGCTTGACAAGGAACGGCAGCTTCGGATGCAGGACAAGCGTCAATTCGAGCAGTCCCAGAGAACGCACCAGAGCAACACGCGCACCATCCAGTCGTACGAGACGCGCATACTCGAGCTGGAAACATCCCGCAGCCAAGACCGCCGGCGGATCAACCAGCTTGAAGCTCAATACAAGGACCAGCTTCTCGAACGCAACAACCTTCTGCTCGCGCTCTGGAACCGTCTCTCCACGCTTTGCGGCGCTGACTGGGCTCAGCGCAACAGCCTGGTCAACGGAGAGCTCCCAACGCTCGAAGTCATCGGCCGCAGCCTCCCCGGCTTCAGCAAGAACGTCCTCGCTGCTATCAAGATGGTTGAGAACATTATTGGCGGCTTCAAGGTGCGTATCCGCGGCATCGAGAAGGACCTATGGAAGGAGTACCAGACGCTGGAGCACAAACTCGATGTGCGCATCAAGCATCTCGATGGCCTCGAGAAGACGATCCGCTCGGGTAGCATGGGCATGATCCGCAACGAGACGCTGAACAATGAGATCTCCCGGCTGAAGAGCGAGAACAAACACCTCAAGGCGGAGATCAACCTCTCCCGGCAGCCCACGCGCTCGTCGAACGACTCGGGCGATGCGCACCACCACTCGCCCGCGCACTCGCGCCTCCCACACCGCAGCGTGTCGGGCCCGCACGGCACCAGCAACGTCAACCGCAACTCGATCGCGTCGACGCTGCTCAGACATAACTCCAGCACGGACGTCCTGCAGCACTACTCGTCGTCGTCGCAACAAGAAGCGCCCACGTCTAACCCCGCGCCGCCGGCCGTCCAGCCCACGGAGCAGCGCTGGATCCACAGGCTCAAGGAGCTGGAGCGCAGGCTGAAGGCCGAGCGCGAGGCGCGGTTGCTGGACCGCAAGGGCGCGCGGCAGCGGCTGCAAGAAGGCAAGGCCGAGAACGAGGAGCTGAGAGGGATGTTGGAGCGCGAGAAGGAGAGGGAGAGGGAGAGGGAGAACGGCGGCGGCGGCAGCGGGCGGAGTAGCCCCAGTCACGCAGCTTTCCCGACCATAGGGACGCGGTAAAGTAGAGAAGGGCACGGTTGGCGGAGTTGGGTGGGCGGGCGTTGCGTTCCCATTGGTTATTCTTTTTCTCTCTTGCGCGCTTCGATCCGTTCGATTCATGAGCTGTACGCTTTCTTCGGTCGTCTTCTTTTTTTTTCTTCCTCCAGGGCCGCAAGGAGAGTTGAGGGAGAGCGCGGTCGTTCTGATGGCCGGGTAATAGGTGCGGAGATCGCCTTATCCCGACTTCTTCTTCTTCGTTCTTGCTTGTATTATGCCTTTGCGCCTGCTTGAGGTTTGAGTTGTCCTCCTTGTCTTGGGAATTGGGGGGCTGGCGCTATTCACGGAGTTCTTCATCTCTTTGGAATCCCTGTACGATGTTGACAAAAGAGGAAAGGGAGGGCATCCTCTTTTCTACCCATCCTCTGTGCTTGTTGTTCTCATGCATAAAAATTAGGAGAGTTAGAGAGGTAATATCTATATTGTTTGATCTAGTGTCTCTTTTTAACTGAGCGGATCTGGTGGAATACATCTCGGGCAACGAAGCACTGTGATACATGACCCTCGAGGATAACCTCGGCCGAAGCTAAACATGACAAGATGGTCCAACATTGTTCCAATTTGCTTGGTCCTCCAACTATCAAGAAGCTCTTGAATGATGATATCAAGGGTAAGGTCACTCTCCTTCTCGCGCAGAAGCTAGCGAGCGTGATAGACCCAGCGTTCGTCTTGCTTGCTGACGTCAATAGCAGTGATAAAGAACAAGACGCCCATATGCTCATCAATCTCGATATCTACTTCTCTGCAGCATGAGAGCATGAGAGCACATAGGTCCATTCATTGACAAAGTCATGGACGTTCTCGCCATCGAACTCGATGCCATGGATGAAGTGCCTGAAGAGTTCTGGCTGGTCTTCGTTGCTGTAGAGATTGACGAGGAACTCGAAGTGCTCCTGTGCCGTCCTTGGAAACAGCTCGAGGAGCCGATGCGGAATTTAGCTTTCGATGATCATGCGCGCTTTGGCGTCCTTGGGCTGCCAGTAATCATATTCGTCGAGAGCCGTAAAGTAGTCCCTGCGGTTGGCCTCCGAGACGGTACCGTCCGTACAATTGATCAAGGTTTGTGCCTTGACGATGATAGAACGATGGGGTAGGCTAATTACCCGGTGGATTGGAGCTGGAAGAGTGACTGATTGGCGAATGCGGTGGGTTCAATATACTACAATATAAGTCCTCTACAAGCAAACCGAGCTACGCCTAATCGACTAAACTAAGAAGATAGCAAAGAAATCTCTAAAGCCTTAGGCAATAAGGCCTGGCTACCAGAGTATTTTAAAAACGCCTTCTAGCTCCTAGATTTTCTGCCGCCGTTTTCTACAGTACAGGATTTGTTATCCGTCCGTGGGAGTACTTCACATAACGCATCTGATGCGCCGATACCCATCTCCGCAGACACCATGAAGAAGCAGTATTGGCACTAAGATCTGGTATCTCAACATTTCCCTAATCTGATAAGGGAGCTCTGTTTGAAGAGAACGGTGTTCAAATCCAATGATGGACTTTTCTTTTCCGCTTGCACCCACAGGTCCAGGCCCACGCCTCCAAATGGCTCAGCTGGTCCCCTCTCGCATATGCAACCAGCCGGATGTTACATTACAAAACTCTGGGTTCGGAGTGTGCAACGTGGTTGCCACCTACCGCCAGGGTTACACAAGTGGCGGTATGGGCCTGGACTTCTGGACCCGAGTACATCAGCCACACCATGCACAATCTATGAAGCGCCTTGTTTCTGAAATTTCCACCAAGTCAGGGGATAGATGCATCCCGCCTCTTCCGCATGGCGTACACTACGAGCAGTCCAAATTAATGAGTGATCTGTCAGCCAACTTCTGCACCTCTTGTTTCTTGGAAATCTTGTTGATCAAAAATATGGTGGCTGGGGTTGAAACAGTTGGCAGCCCTCAATTGGTGGCTTGCTTTTCCTCAACATCGGCCATCCCGAGATTCTCCACTTACTTGCCTTAAGCGTTGTCCTATGCTTTGGGCGCCAATACTGACTGCATAAGATTGAAGTTAATGGTGACAATCCGGCAGCGAGAGCAACTGTGTATGTTTGCACGTATCTTCTCAATCAAGATTCAACGCATCAAGCGAATAGTGGACCACCATTTGCTCTCATCCTTCGTGAATGCACCCTATTCAGTGCAATTGAAGGAAACGAGAAGAAATGTCTATAATGTGTCACCATAAAATTGGTCATATCCAATCCAAACTTTAGCAAGCATGATACGTAGCAGCAGCAGACCCCTCGCTGAACACAACACGTCGTTATACGAATGTTCGTAAAGCTTTTGATAGAAAAATATAAAACAATCTCAAAAATACGGACTATTCTCGCAAGTTGGGAGAGATACGCGAGACTCCACTTCCACGTAGATCCCTCAGCGTCGGGCCGTGTCAAGCGGGCATCACAGCATCGCTCGGTAAGCCCAGATCAATAACAACCGTACAGACCACGAAAAACCCAGCTGCCCGCCGGCAGGATGGCCATGATTCTCCCTTTGTTGACTCCTGAGCACAAATATTCCTTCACGATAAGCATTGACCGGCGCATTGCGCACGCAGTTCTCTTTGTGAAACCTAAAAGCTTCCCTGATATTACGTCCACTATCCACTCGCGACAGTGTCATCTCCTATCCATCTACGGTAGTCTCATCACCGCGCGCCCCCTCTCCTAACGCTTCCTCCTATCTCCCTCCCCTGCCAAAGAACCAAAGATATTTTGCCCCTAACCCCTTTCCTCATTCTAAACCTCATCCCTGCTAAAGCATGCGAAAATCACCGTCTCCACCTCTGTTCTCCACTAATACCGGAAATAATAGTCGCGGCCGTATCGACAAACCGAAGAAGGGTCAAATAGACTAGGGGAAAAAAGGACTAGTACATGGTATGTGCTTGTGCTCATCTAGCATCCAACCGCAAAGTACCAAGATGCTCAAGAACGTAGTTGGTGGAGACGAACGCAGAGAACGAACAGAGCAAAGGACTGACCACCATCGATTATGGAAGCGCTACTGAAAAAAAAAACTAAAAGAAAAGCGCAGGGGAGCAGTGACAACGCACGCGAAAGCAAAGCAGGCAACAAGGGAAAGGACAAAGAAAATTCGGACTGAAGTGTCAATATTGCTATAAACCAAAAACCATAAAAAACAAAAAAGAGGACAAAGCACGCCTTCCCTTGACGCCGCGCTGCTTCTGGGTATTTTTTGTTGGAAAAACGAGTTGCCGCAACAAAATCCAAGAAAAAGTTGAAGCATGCGCAAACAAACTCGGGGCTAACAACAACAACTCACTCTTTCTAACCTGTATATATGACCATCCGCAACCGAGAACGCATATATCCTGTTTTTTCTTTTCCAAATATGAGCATCCCTTACCCCACTCCCAAAAATCCACAGTAAACCATCCTCCTCATCCAACAAAAGATGAAGATATTAATAAATGAAAATAATCCGTAAGGACTGACGTAGCAGTAGATAAGAATGGAACAAAAATCCGTGGAGGGATAGACACGGGGCCAGATATTGATAGGAAAAAACCTAATGATGGTCAAAGGCACCTCTAATCTTGCCGTACAGCTCCGTATCCAAGAAGTTGTAGTTCGGATCGAAGAAGCAGAAGGGTGCGCGCAGCAGGGTATCGGCCGTGGGGCGGTCGGCCGGGTCGATCGTGAAGCAGTCGTACATGAAGGAGATGGCGGCGGGGCTGATGTTCTGCGAGACGTCGTCAGGAATGGGGGGAGCCTGGTTGAGCGAGCCGAGCTTGTAGATGGCGCCGATGGCTTCCTCCTTGGACCAGGGACGGCGACCGGCGAACATCTCAAGCACCACGCAACCCAGCGACCAAATGTCGACCTTGGCACTGTAGCCCTGTCCCTGGCTGCGGATGACCTCGGGCGCCATCCAGAAAACGGAGCCTTGCATGCTGTTGGTGATGTCGTTGCCGTAGATGTTGTCCGACTTCTTGGAAATACCAAAATCCGAGATCTTGCAAGTACCGTCGAGGTCGAGCAAGATGTTGTCGGCCTTGAGATCGCGGTGGAGGATGCCCTCGCGGTGAAGGTAAGCAAGACCGCTGAGCGTCTGGCGCGTGAGTGAGGAAACGACTGCCTCCTCGAACTTGCCGTGTTTGCGCAGGCAGCTGCCGATACTGCCACCAGGAATATATTCCAGGAAGATAGAAATTGAAGTCTCTTGGCGCTCGCAACCCAGGTACTGCACGATGTTCGGGTGATCCAAATGCTGCATCGTGTCGATCTCGACATCCAGCGCCTTCACCAGCTCCTTCATCCTCTCCTTGTCCTCATTGGGCTTAACCTCGACTTGCTTGACAGCAATCAGCTCACCAGTGGTCATGTTCATACCGAGGTACACCTTGCCAAATGTTCCCTTGCCAATCAGTTGACCCTTCATCCATTTGAAGGTTGGCTGGCGCGATGGATGACTCATGGGGTTCATGGGAAGCGTATCTTGAATGGTGTCGAGAGTGATCATGCGACTTCCACGAGGCGGCCTGACTTGCTCAATTCTGGCGCCAAACATCTTGGTGCTCTTCCTGCGGACAATGTCGCCTGACTTGAGCGTGTTGACACGCGACGGTGCCGCTCGCTTTTCCATGGACTGGTACTGAGACTTGACGGTTTCACGGATAGACTTGGTGCGTCCGAGACCTCCGGCCTTCCTCATATTCCTCTGGGCCATTGACATGACAGTGTCGCCGCGCTGCAAGCTCGTGACGTGCTCAGGACGCAAGGTACCTTCGTCTTCAGGAGCAGACATTGGGGTAGTTACACGGCTCGGTTCTTGAGATGCTGCTACAAGTCCTCTCTTCTCCTCTGACGAGGGTGATGCGGGTGAACCAGGAATTTCTTCGTCCAGAATTGGCTGATCAAGGTTGACGTTCGGGAAGAAATCGTCGAGGTGTTCCACGAGGGCCTCTGGGGGAGGACGGTTGGCCCAAATATCGCTGGCGAAAGACTCCCGCCTGTTGCCACCGAAAGCTCGGCCCTCCTCAGGAGAATCGAGAGAATACGGCCCCGAACCGCTGTTGTGAGGGATGAATCTTTCAATGCTCCGACTCCTGTCCTTGATGTCCTCGTGATCGCTATGCGTTCTTTCTGGTGACTGAATGCGTACTTTGGATGGAGTCCTGATTGCCAGGGCGGGGCGCTCCGTTGCTTCGCCAATCGGAGTTTGCGAAGCGCTTGGTGTCGAGCGCGGCGGGGTCTTGCTCGCAAGCGGCATCGCGAAAAGGCCATCGTCCGAATCGTCATCTGAATCGTCAGTGGCAACAGCGGGTGAGTGAGAAAATTCGACAGGATTCTCTTTGAAGTCCAGGTTCGGGCCGTAGGAGCGCGTCGACATCATTCGGTGAAGTTCGCTTTCGTTCGGATGGGCGGTATTCGGGCTCACGTCCGGTGAGTGGCTCGACGACGAGTCATCCAACTGCTTGAGTTTTGATACGGCGGCATTCTGGGGCGTCTCTAACGATAACGACGGCTTCTCTGGGGACAGGCGGTCTTGGGCGGCTTGTACATAGTCAGGAATCACGAATGGAACTTTGCCTTTGCTCATTGTAATGTCGCCTGGACTGCGAGGGGACCCACCTGGACTTCCACTACGAGGCGCAGTATGACTAAAATCCACCATTGCCATAGATCTCGGAGGCTTACCATCTTTGTCTGTGGGCGTAAGGAAAGAAGGAGACGCGCCGAGGGTAGGACTAGGCTTGATAGGGGTTGCTCGGCGCGATGGTGCGCCAACCGTACTACCAATCTTGCCAATTCCCAGAAGCGCAGAACCAATGCCCATCGAAACAAGAGGGGTCTCCGGGATTGCTAATCGGCGAGAGTGTTTGTCGGCGTCAGAGTCGCCAGAGCTCCTCTTGCTTGACGATTCGTCTTCTGGCCACGAGTCTCGTCCCTTGGCTTCTCGCTTGCTGAGCGAGTTCGCCTTGATTAGCGTCTCGGTCTCAACCTTCGGTGCAGGAGGAGGCTCCCTAAGCGGCACAAGCTGCTTGGGTCTGCCACGCTCGAAATTATCCGGTCTCCTGCCGTCTTCGTACGGAGAATCGCGGCGTTCGTCGAAATCGATCACACCCTCCCGCCTGTAGCCCAACGCGCTCGGCGGGTCGATCGGCGAGGCTTCCTTGGCAAGCTGCTTTCTCCTCCTTTCCAGATACTCCTTTTGCTTCCTCTCCGTCTCGCGCCGATGCGCCTCAGCTGCAGCCTCGAGGATATTCCGTCGTTCTTGTTCGGAGAGTTGATGATTGGCAGAATCCCATTGAGGATCCGATTTGGGCACCACTGGTGGAGCCTCTTCATTCTTGGGGAGATGGGGTAGGTGCTTGTTGCTCGGCCAATGACCAGGAACCAGCGTTGAATCACTGGACCTTGGTGACTCCGCATGGTTTCCTGCCATACTGAGCCGTGCCAGAGTATCCGGAGCAATTGATTTTCCAGTGAGCGACATGCGGCCGTAAGGTGAGGTACCAGGCATCCCGAGCCCAAGGCCGGATGGACCAGCCGGGGGGAGTGGCACGTTGACGTAGACCTTGAGGTTTCCTGAACCGTCGGCGATCTTGCGTGCTTGCATGAGTAGAGAATCTGAAAGAGCTTCGTCAACTTCGGTTTGGCCAGGCGACGTCAGGTGAAGAGTGATGTCTTTGTCATTTTGCAGGGAGAGGTTCCAGCAAATGTGTTCCCGCAACCTGGCAGCGGAATCGATGCCTGTGACATCGACAAGCCTATAGTTCCAGCCATCCGGAGTAACAAAGAAGAATTTCCTAGGCTCCGAAGAATTATTGGTGTGAGCTCGAGGGCGGGTGGTGTGGTTTGAATCGGGATCATTCTGTGCGGACCTTCTGGATGGTGGGCGTTCGTTCAACGACGTTTCGCTGGAATTTAAGCTCGTTCCCTTGTAGGGCGCGTTTGGCGGCATATGGCGCATGGGGCTGGTGGGGGACTCGATGCTGGACTCGTCTGGCGATGGGTGGTTCTCGTCCCTCCTCTTCTTTCCTGGTAAGCGCAAGTTGGAGAGGAAGCTTTTATGCTCCCTGGCACTCCTTTCAGGATCCTGGCTGTAATGACGACCTGTGGCATCGACAGGGCGGGTGCCTTCGATGCCGTTGCGCCTCCCGTCTAGTTTCCCCGAAGGTGGACCTGATCCTGAATTTGAACCATACGCGGCAAGGGTCGAAACAGTTGACTCGGAAGAGTTGGCTCTGTCATGGCCGCCGTAATATCTACTTTTCAGCGCTGCCTGATTCACGGCGAGATTTGCGGTTCCTAGACCTGGACTGTGCTGAGGGCTTGCGGACCTTGGGCCGAAATCACCGGATGTGTTCGGGCTGTGTCTTTTAGATGACGTGCCATCTCCCAACTGTCTCAAAATCTTCTCCGTGTACACACTGCGGTTCGTCGTTTCTGACACGTGATCGGGCTGACTCAGTGACGGGACCGTGAAATTGCGCTGGGCCGAGAAGCGTCTCGGATTGCTTGTCGCAGGAGAATGAAACCCACCTGCTTGCCCGTGCTTTCCGGGACTCTCCACGTCGACGCCGGCCGTCGAGGGGTTTGAACGGTCGAATTCAGCCTGGTTAAGGTTGGGGGAGTTCTCCATGGTGCCTTCTGTTCCAGCGGACGCGGTGGTCTGGCCGAACGTCCTTGAGGTACGCCTGTGTGGGAGTCTTGCGCTCGTCGGGTGGCCTCCATTGTCCACAATGCTCCTAACAAGGCGACGTAACCGCTTGCCTTCGTCACGGTCCCGAGACAACTCCCAGTTGGTCCCACTCGCCTTGCTAATTTCAGCCAGCTTCGGAAAGATTGTTTGATGCATCATAGCCACGTTGCCTTTGTTTCCGTGCCCTCTGCCCAAATCCAGAAATGCAGACCCATGCAGATCCAGCTGCTTGAATGTCTCCTGCCAGTCGTTGGAGAAACCATTTGTGGCAAGCCAGATGAGCACGCGATCCAAAGGCCATTGCCAAGCAGGGTCGGACGGAGAAAGAGGTACTTCGGCCGCATTCCCTTCGCCGTGCAGCGACTGACGGCTAACAGGTGGCTGGTGGTATTGCCCATTTTGGTAGTTTGCACTGCTGAGCTCCTCGGGCGGCGTGTGGAGGGCGGTGCTCGAAGTGCCTCTCGAGCTATTGTCCGTCGACTGGGCCAGATCCTGTTGATATGGATAGTAGTAGTTGTTGGAGTAGTCGGACTGCGTGTGGAGCGGCGGGATGCCAACGCCTGGGCCAAAAGATTCACCGAAGGGGATGTATGTCGCCGATGTCAATGGCTGTCCCTCTGGGGGAAGCTGATTGCTCAGATAATTTGCTTGTTGCTGTTGCTGATGGTACGTATTGTAGACATTTGGGTTATATGTAGGGTGTGGTGCCGAGCTGTTCGGTGGTGGGAGGTAATTCGACCTGTTCCAATATGTGGCTGGCGGGCCTCCCGGCGGCGGACCTGGCAGAGAGTAGCCCCCATGAGCACCGCTCGTCGCGGGACGCGGCGGCGGCGGTGGTAATGTCATGCCATGGGAGGTGGATGGCTGGCCAGGCGGTGGGGGAGGCGGTATGTATTGCTGCCGTGAGCTGTGCATGGCTGGAGAAGTGTCGTGTCGAGGAGGACGGTTGGGCGCCGGAGCGCTTGCGGCGAGGCTCAGAGAACAAGCAGCTGTGCGCGCTGCAAGCAATGGGCCCTGCCAACGTCTTCCAAGTGCTCTTTGTGCGCGCGGGACTTCGGAGAGCGCGCAAACTCAGCGGCGCGGTCGCGCTTGCAATTGAATCGTCTTATTATGTATCTGGTGCGTCTAGCTCATGAACCGGTCATGAGAAAAGTCGTCGCTCGTAAAGGCTCCTATAGGGGGAAGGAGCACCTTTTCCGGACGAAGGCCGCAGCATCGAGGTGCGTCGATCCAAGCGCCGTATTTCCGAGTCGCGGGCGACAGGGCAGGCACTTTGGGCTGGGGGTTGGGAGGCGCAGGTGTTGACCTGGCGGGCGACAGCTCAGCCGGCGCGCATGTGACGTCGAACTCGAGCGGCGCAATTCGGTCGAGAGAGGGGCGGGGGCGGTCGCCTTGCGGGTTGGGGGCTTCGCGGTCGCAGTCGCGGGCTGGCGGGCTTGGTGTCTGGGAGCCGTGGGCGCGGTCGGGGGTTTCGCTGTTGTGCGGCGCCTGATACGAGGCCTCAGGCTTGGGCGGGCTTGAGGGGCGGAGATGAGGGTCGCTTTAGCACAGGCAGCCGGCGAACGAGGGCGTGGGGCGGTCGCCAGCGAGAGGCGCGAGGGAGAGCCTGGAGCTCGACGAAGACGGCTTGCGCGAATAATTGTCGGGCTCGGGGTGGTCAGACGTGCCAGCGAGTGTACATCGATCGCTGCCCCCCAGCTGAAGCAGAGACGCGCGCTGCGGAAGGCCGTCTTGGCACTAACGGGATGCCGACGCCTTACTCGCGCCCCAGCGTCACTCACTGCCAACCCCCAGACCTCTCCCTCCCGCGACGCGCGACGACCCCACGAATGCCCGACTGACTGCCCGCCTGCAGTCCGACGTCGCCCGCGCCCGTCCATGGCTGAGCCGCCGCCGCCTGCAGCGCCCGCCGAGCCGCAGCCCGCGCCTGCAGAGCCCGACAGCGACTGCGCGCGCCCAAGCTCGAGCCACGGCGAGCCCGAGGCCACCACCGCTGTGAAAGACTTTGACCCCGCCGCTCCCGACGACCCTGTTCCCCAGGAAGACGCGTCGCAGGGTCCGTCGCGCGAGGGCACGCCGCCGCCGCTGCCGCCGCGCCCGCGCAATCTCACGGCGAAGGCGTCGACCGACTCGTTCCGCTTCAGCGCCAGCGCCAACGGCTCGCCCCGGCCCACGCTGCAGTCCAAGGCCACCACCGCCCTGTCCATCCATGATGTGCAGTCATACAGCGAAACGCTGCGTGATGTCATAGCCTCGCCTGCCTCGCGCCACTTCAGCTTCTCCAGCGGCGCACGCCCTGGGCCCAGCACCAGCGGCAGCGAGACGGGCGATGCCACGAGCGTGAAGAGCTATGTCCCGACCCTCGAGGCCGGCGCGGATGTAGAGAGCATACTCGGAGAGGTCATGTCCGAGCAGGAAAGTTCGGTGTGGAGGTCGCTGGGCGGTGACTTTCCCAATGTAGACAATGAGGCGGCGCTGTTTCCGGAGAACCCTTCATTCAGGCGGGCCTTCGAGCGCGAGTTTGATGAGCTGGAGGAATTCAAGGCAGACGGTTCCAACGAAGGTCAGGCGGTCCTCCCGCTCCAGAAGATGCTCGCTGATGGTCGTGCTGCGTGTAGAAACTTTAACGTATCAATGGAGATCCAAATTGAAGCACTTCCTGATTCTGTCCTCGGCCGGAAAGCCCATATACAGCCGCCACGGTGACGACCAGCTCATTGCAAACACAATCGGCGTCGTGCAGACCATCATCTCCTTCTACCAAGATGCCGATAACGTGCTCAAGGGATTCACTGCTGGCGATGCGCGTTTCGTCGTCCTGTCCAAGGGCCCACTGAATCTGGTTGCCATCAGCAAGCTTGGTGAAAGTGAAGGACAGCTGCGCACGCAGCTGGAGTCGTTGTATATGCAGATCCTCTCAACGCTCACCCTGCCAAGTATGGAACGCATGTTTCGTGCCAGGGCATCCACCGACCTGCGCAGGCCGTTGCAAGGCACGGAAACGCTCCTGTCGGCCCTCGCCGACGGCTTCACACGAGGCTCGCCGTCAACCCTCCTGTCTGCACTTGAATGCTTGCGTCTGAGAAAATCACACCGCAAAGTAATTGACAACACGCTGCTGCAAACGCGCGCCCCCAACCTTCTGTACGGACTGCTCGTCGCAGCCGGGCGCCTCGTCAGTGTGGTGCGACCGAAAAAGCACTCTCTTCATCCCGGTGATCTCCAGCTCATCTTCAATATGCTTTTCGAGGCAGGTAGCGTGAAGGCTGCGGGTGGAGAGAACTGGATCCCCCTGTGTCTTCCGGGGTTTAACAACACCGGATACCTCTACATGTATGTCAGCTTTATAAACGTCAACGAAAGCAACCTGGACCGCACTGCCGAGCGACCCTTGTCTTCGTCTGGACAGGAAGATGAGGTTGCAATACTTCTCATTAGCGCAAACAAAGAGAGCTTCTTCGAGTTGAGGGAGATGCGGGACCAACTAGTCAGCGTACGTTAATGCGCACCAACGTAAGCATGAAATCTAGCTAACACTCCGCGCAGCAACTCGAGAAGAATGGCGGCCTCCAGTCCATCCGGACAGCCGTCAATCGCGGCCGATTCTCGTGTACAGATATCGTACCGGGCACAGTACTCCGGCATTTCATCTACAAGTCCCGTGGCAACGTACAGTTCACTATGCCATCGTATGAACCTTACTTTACCACAGCCCTGGACCGCCGCCTGTAAGTCGTTGCGTTGCTCTTGGACGGCATAGCCTAACACAGGTCATCTAGTCTCATTAGCCTCTATGCACAACTTCACTCACATCTGCACACTCGGCCCACCCACCTCAAGATTCACCATGGTACAAGCACACATCACATCAGCCTCGCGTGGACGACGCCACTCTTCGAACTGTACGCCATTGCGCCTGGAACAACATCTCGCGCAGCATTAGCACAGGCCGCCAATAAGGTCATACAGTGGGTAAAGCGAGAAGAAGAACGCGTCTTCATCATTGGTGGCGCGGTATTTTGAGAAGATATAATATACTAAGCAACAATGAATGATTTCATCCAAGCCTCCGTGGGTTGATGCAGGTAACGAACAGAATTTCTATCTCTTTGGTTTTTGAACACAATTCACAACTTTTCCATTCACCCGGCCCTATAGCAATCTTACCTCGTTCAATGGTCCGTAATCCACCCATCGGTCGTCGACAATCTCGGTCTCGATATCCTTGGCGTAGTCGTTATCCTGGGGAATCGGCGTGCCGGAAGATGTTGGCGGCGTCAATGGCGAGGTGTCTTGGGTCGAGTAGACCGACGAGCCCTGTGACGGAATGATCCTGTCGTGTCTCTTTCCCGGCTCTACTAGCATGGCCCGGCCTCTGGCCGTGATCTCGTGCGCAGCAGCAAGCTGCGCGGGAGTAGGCTTCGGAGTAAGGCTCCTCGGTGAAGGGGAGCGGATGACCGGCACTCCGTCTCCTGCACTACCACTCGGCCCACCATCCACTTCCCTCACAGATGCACCCGACTCCACGTCTTTGGCCACTGCCTCGCTTGCCACCTCCTTACTCAACTCCGCTCCCGCCTTTGCTTCTGCCGGGTCCGCCGCCTGCTCCCTCTTGACCTCCTCGACCCAAATCTCCGTTCTCTTCGCCTGCTCCCCATCCGCCGCAGCGGACCGCGAAGACCGCCCCTCCTCCTCCTCCGCGCGGTCGCTAGCCACCACGATCTTCCTCCGGTTCTCCACGACCCTCCTTATAGCGTCCGCATCCTGCCTCCTCGTCCCGGTCTGCTTCCCAATCGTCTGCACCACCCTCCCCGTCCCCTTCTCCACCCACTCGATCTCTCCGTCCGCCCCCTCAACGTGCTCGAACTCCGGGATCGAAAATTCGCCGAGCAGGTAGTTCTCGCTCGGCGGCAGCTCGGGCAGCGTCGGCGCCCTGCTGCCCGCCGCCGAGTCGGCCGCGCCGCTCGCATTGCTCCTCGTCCGCTTGATCCGCAGCGACAGCCGGCTCCAGCTGCTGCGCGAGCGGCTGCTCTCGGCGCTGGACGAAGCGGCGGCGGCCGGCGCCGTCTCGGCCTGGGGGTGATGCTCGTCGCTGTCGGTGTCGGGCAGCAGCAGCGTCGGGCCCGACAGGCCGGGGCTCGTCGCGCCGGCGGAGGTGGAAGTGGAAGGCTCGATGCCAATGCCGATGCCGCCGCCGCCGCTGGGGCTGCTGCTCAGCAAGCCGTGCGTCTCGATGCCGGAGACGGACAGGTCGAAGCCGGACTCGGAGGACGGCGTGCGCGAGGGGCGGCGGAGGGCTGTTGTGGAGGCGTTCGGGTGGGCGTTGTTGGCGATGCTGGTGCTGTGGTTGTTGCTGCCGCCGCCTTTGCTGCCGCCGCTGGCTATGGACAGGAACGGCCTGTACTTGATGAGCTTCGCCGGCGTGGCGAGCAGGGCGCTGGCGCTTTCGGACTTGCTGCGGGGGCGGCCGCTGGTGGTGCTGCTGCTGTTGTTGTTGGCGTTGCTGCTGCTTCCGTTGTTGTTGCTGCTCTCCCCGTTGCTGCTGCCACCAAGGAACAGCTTGGCGTCTAGCGAGGAGCTGCGCTTGAGGCGGTGGATTTTGATGCGGCGGGCCAGCGAGTCGGCGGCGTTGGAGACGCTGCTGCTCTTCTTGCGCGCGGGAGTTCCGTCGTTCAGCGCGACTGCTGTTGTGCCGCCGGCGTCGGCGGCGATGCTGTTCGTGAAGACGCCGTCAAGCGTATTGGGCCGCTGCTGCCTGTCTTCGCCGCCATCCTCCGCACTTCCCGTAGGCGTCATGGCGAGCGCCGAACTGCCCAACCCTAGGCCCCGCCCCTTCCCGCCCATGAGCCCGTGAAGCGTCGTCGACGTCTTGCGCCGACGGAACCCCTTGTGCGGCCCGCACGCGTCGGGATTCGCAACGGCTCCGTCCGTGACATCCGTGTTTGAGAACGAGATGTGGCTGTTGTTGTTGTTATTCTTGTCCGTGGAAGCCGAAGCAGCGCTGCTCCCCCAGCTGCCCCTCCAGCTGCTCTTCCTCCCGCCGCCGTGTCCGCGGCCGTGCATGGCGTTGCTCCTGCTCAAGCGGCCGCTCGCCGAGCTGGCCGGCCTGCTGTTGCCGCGGCTGGCGTCTTCGTCCTGGCGAGTATCATCCGCACTGCCCGCGCTGAACCTCTTCCTCGCCTTCTGCCACGTCGACTGCCCGCTCCCCTTGCTCGCCCCGAAGCGGTCGCTGAAGATCTTCCCCAGACTCCCGGCCGACGCTGTCCGCTTGACCGTCCGGGCAAACCCACCAACCTCGGCCCCGGCCGTCGCAGAGTTGGAAATGTCTTCAGTCATCAGCGGCAAGTTCGTCGTTGAGGCGTTGTTCGAAGAATGCGAAGCAGAGGTGGCGGGAGGAGTAATAGGATTAACAGGAACGCTGTCCTTTCTCCACGGCAACCTGCTCCCATTGCCGCTCTTGTTGCCGCCATTGGTGCTGCTCATCTTGAACGTCGGGCTGTCAGGGCTCGTGACACCGGGCAGCGCGGTGCTGCTCTTGCGGCGAGAGTTCCCATCTGTGGTTGCCGTTTCCGAAGAAGCGAATGGGTTGGTGAGGCGGAAGCGGGAGAAGAGGTGGTTCGATGATGACGGAGATGATGCAGAGCCAGGGGATTTGGTCGTGGGGCTGATTGGTGAATCTGCCATTTTTGTTTCTTTTTTTTTCCTCTTCACAATTCTGCAGAAGAAGGTCGTATAGGGTGCCAATTGATAAGGCAGAGGGTTGGTCGGTGCGACGTGCAGTAAGTATGCGATGGTATCCTTGCTCTTGCTTTACTCTTCCCCGATGTCCGAGCGGAGAATGCTTCGATCTCCCTACCGAAGCTACAAGCTGCAGCCTTGTCGATCCTGTCAGAAGAGGAGCAAAATCCAAATCCTGATACGTAGAAAGCTAGAGTCTGACAGTGTGGCGTCCGTCCACCCAGAAGGATGGCGTCGGGGTCGGTTAAAAGGCGAATGCACACTCTCTTTCAGGCGTCTTCCTGTCAGGCCGGGCGGGGTACCGATGATTATACGCGTCTGCAGGCCCTGGGGATTTTACCAAATGCAGTGCAATCCAATAGCACCTGGTCGTCTTTGCTGTCTGTACTCCGCTACTCCGCCACGCCAACTCCACTCGTATTGCGCGTAGCACCTCGGACCCCTGTCACGTCCTCCCTCACGTCAGATCGTCAGACTTGCGAACGAGGAACACCGCATCATCAAGCATCGTCATCGCCACGAAAAAAAGAAGAAAAACGTACTCACCTCTCAGCCCCGGCAATCCCACAATTCCCCTTCGATCCCGAAACCTCCTGTCTCTCTTCCACACCACTCGTTTGAATGGTCGCCCCGAATCTTTCTGCACCACGATAACCCCTCACGCAGCCAACCACGTGGTTTTCCCCAACGCCTGCACAGTTCCCCTTTCGCCCTTCTTACTAACAAGCCTCCTCCTCTTCAACCGAACAACCCTGCCGCCACACGTCGTTCTCTCCAGCAAACCCAACACTCCAGCGCACACACCACCTCCACGGCGACGAGGACGTGCGTCGACACCACACCAGAGCTGGTGGCGGTAGCCGTCGTCGTCGTGGTCGTGCTCTGTTCGCCGAAAGCGAGGACCGGGAACCAACGCGCTACGAAGATCCCGATGGCGACCAGTCGGCACAAAAGGGATTGTTCGGCCTCGATGATGTGGTGGTGATCGTCGTTATCGTTGTCGTCCATGCAACTATCCGAATCCAACGATGAATGACAAAATGAAAAAAAGAAAGGAAAGGAAATGAAAACGAAATCCTTGCCTCCCCCCTTCTTACTCTCTTTAGGAAGAAGAAAGATAAGGGAAACAATTTATTTTTTTCTTGGTGAAGTAAAAAATTAAATATCGGAAAGGCGTCTTGAGACAAAAGGCCGGATCCGTTCTCTATTTTCTTTTTTTGAATTTTTCTTTTTTTTGCTTATGCTTTAGGTTTTACCTTCTGCGATCCGGTGTGTCAGGCGCCGTCACCACGTGGAGTGAGACAGTGCGGAGAATCGAAAAAGCTTCCTTGCAGGCCAGTCCATTGAACTGCTTGCTGCTTGTAAAAAAGGATACGAAATCCAATTCACCCAAAGAAACGAAGTGAAAGGAAATAGACAAGCTTCGGCATAGAATCATACAATTGCCGTAAGAGGGAAGATGTGGAGCCTTTAAGAACGAATCACAGCCATCACATGTCCGAGAAAATCCAAAGGCAACACCCTACACCAAAAGAAGTCTTATCTCTACACGTTTTCAGCTCTCCACCCTGCCTAATTCGAAGCGCTACGAATTTTTTATTAATGCAGACTGTTGGGGAAAAGTAAGGTCAATGCTGACGCTCCCATCACCATGCGTCATGCTGTCGCACGGAACCCATCGCCGAAAACGGCTAAGACCTTAAAGGGACAGGGAAAGAAGTGAAACGGACGCGTTTCCGCAGAGAACCTCAAGGAACCCAGTCAGTGGAACGCAGGAAAGGAGTGCGGCCGAGGCTGCACCACTTCGATGCGGCGTCATGAATCCCTATCATAACCCGCTCATAGTAAAATATAAACAATTTTTTTTTACTAATCTGCCGTCATGCTAATCTGCACACCTATAAGGCCTGCCATCTCAAACATACCAAACGTCAAAAGCTACGGGGGGCTTGCCCCTGATTGTCCCGCACACTAGTCCTCCCGTCATCCTTCCCGCGCTCGCAACCAGACATTTCTGCTGCATTCCCCGCGCACGCACAAAAAAGAAAATAACAGCCCCATGCAAAGTCTAGAACATGCCCCACATACCAGACACACCCCCGACTTCCGTCGAATACCCGTCCGGCGCACACTAAACTGAGAAAGGAGGACATGGTCGAGTAGAAGTATAATTAGCACAACCAGCGTGACCCATAAAGCCATGGCAGAGCCGGAAGTGGCAAGTCCCAACTCAAAACGTCTGGAATCAAGGGGCTGCCGTCGATGGCTTCCGGAAGAAGCCGTTCCTACCATGTGAAAATCCCCTCAGCTCTTCCGGAAATGCTCGATTAGGTGGTACTGGATAGCGAAATGGACGACTTCAGAAAACGGATGTAGCCAGCAACATGCGCAATTGTGCAACGTCGCAACAGGAGGGAAGAGTCGTTGAGGGAGCTCGTTCAACAAGTTGACCGGACTTGGCAGGGACGTCGTTCAACGGGAGCTCCATCGTCAAGTCTAGGAAACCGGCGTGGTCATATTGACGTCCGAATCCTGCAGCCATGCTCGGGCTTCCTGTCTCTCAATCTTCTTCTTTGCTCCGATGCTCTTGAAGAACTCTCCGCTGCGGAACCACATGCTTTTGATCCTGTCGAAGAAGCGTTTGGTACGGAATTCAGACTTGGGCATGCCGGTCGCACCATCGTATGTCTGGACACTTCCCCCTGCACCAACCCGAGAGTCCGTCGTGTTACCTGTGGAACTTTCACCCTCGGATGAGGCGCCTGCAGCGCGCTCAGCCGTGCGAGACTCCACGGCCGAATGTGCGCGAGACAGAGTCGCTGGAGGTCCAATCTTCGACCTCAGCTGAGTGAGACGCTTGCGGAAGGTGCCTCCACGCCGGGTTTGCGAGCTATCGTCCGAGAAGAAGCTCCGAACATCGTCAAGGTTGAACCGCGACGGCGGTGTGAGCCCACTCGTAGGATAGCGGTCTCCAGGGTCATGGGCAAATTCGTCCAGAGAGACGCTTGTGCGAATGGTTCCATCGAGTCCCATAGTGAGTCCGAGTTTCCGCGTGACGGAGCCCATGACGCTCGCACAGGGACGGTGACTGCCTTTGCGGCTGTGCTTGAAAGTGTCATGAGTCTCAGTGCTCTCCGGGGTGATGTTCTGCCTTTCCCCAGAACCCTTTCTACCTTGGCCGTCTGTAGCCGTCGAGTACTCAGAAGAAGCTGGAGAGTGCACCCTCAATTTCGAAGGGCGAGATGCAGTTGAGCGGGCCCGTACGTGAGCCTTCACTGGAAATGTAATATCGATCCCCGTGGTGCTCTCGTTCCAAGGGAACTTCATGCTTATGTCCCATGGCTTTGCTTCTTCAGGCGCTGCCGGAGGACTCTGCACATCAGAAGTAGCGCTAGTCGTTGACTTTTGACGAATATGAGCGGGTACCGGGGCCTCAAGCTCCGCCAAGGAAGGCTGGCTGATCTTGAGATCATCCGCTGTTGAGACAGAATCTTTCCTTTCCCTTGCGCTTTTGAACGATTTGTTGCTGCTGTCGCTATCCTTGACCTCCTCCACCCGTGGTCCCGGGATGTTCTTGTCATTTTGATTGCCCTTGGTTCTTTGCGTGAGTTCTTCATAGACGTCATCATCGACAAGCACCAACGTTGTCCTGCCGGGCATCGCTCTCAAACGGCAACATGATCTCATGTTGTTCAAAAGGCCGGGTCGGTCTCCCAAGTGGCGGATTTCATCGACGTCCGACTTGAGTTCCGGATCTTCGATGATTTTCTCGATATCTTGGCCGTCCTGTATCGCTTCGTTCACTGCTTCAGAGCTGCTATATCTCCTGAGGGATGGAAGTAGTTCGGAGAGGCGCTGGGTCAAGCCAGCTACCGACGGAATCTGCAGCTTTTCCACCTCGGTGACGAATTCTTCAGGTGAGTAAGGTCTAGTCTTGGACACAGTGGATGGCTTCGAGGTTATTGACATTGCGTCCGACCGGGCCGGCTCAACGATGATAGGTGGATTGACCTCGGGCTTGCCGTCTTCCACTTCATCCTTTACTTCAACGGGCTCCTGATCCACGGTTTCCGGGGTCTTTGGGCGAAAGTCAGGACGGTGGCCAGTCTCATCCAGACTGGCAAAGAAACTCCGGTACTTCTCCCTGATGGGCCCAAGAGACACTTCCGTGTCAAGAAAATCAGGCTTGATTTCGACAGGAGCTCCATCCAAAGATAGCGTAGACCGATCGCCAAACGCATCATGCAGCTTTTCGACCAAGTCCATCTGGCTGAAATGCATAGAAGGGATCAAACGGGTATCCGCAAGCGTCCCACGCTTTGGCGACTTGAAGACAGAAGTATTCGATGCTCTCACAGATGACGCTCGAGCTACGAAGAACGAGTCAAGGGAAGTGCCTTGCGCAGAAGCAACGGAACCTCGAGCCACGGGAATCTTGAAGCTCGCCGATGTCCTTCTATCAAGATCTGATGAGCTCGTGTCTTCGTCAACAACACGCGAGAGAGGGAATTTGAAGTTAGTGGAGATCCTGTTCGAGGATACTCGTGTAGAGGGCCGTTTGCTAAGGTCCGAGCAACTTTCTTCGCAGGATTCTTCCTTCACATCGGACAACTGGCTCGGGTACCTCGGAGGATTGGATAGTCTCAGGTCCTGTGCAATGGTATTGCTGGCTAAAGAACTTGAATTGCGTGGAGGATGCTCCTCGTTCGGCTCGAACGACTGCATGGACGTCTTCCTCACGGGCCAGACCAAGTGCGTAGTTGTGTTGGCGCTCTCGCGTGAGCTGTAGGATCGGGCTGGAACGGAGTGTGTGCTTGTTGACTGGACAGTTGCGCTTCCCGGGGTAGACTCGTCTGTCGTAAAGGTGATAGGTGTAGCTAACGGCGTCTCAAACACCGGAGCCAGCTCTTCCTGCTGAGGCTTGAGCTGAATAGGCGTCGTCACTTCGAGAGGGTCCTTCTGAACGCAGAGGTGCGAGTTGTTTGCCGACGGAAGAAGAGACAGGTCAGTAGCTTCTTCAGGAAGCCCGAGAGGACTTGGCCCAGGTGAATGGGTACCAAGGTTTGGAGCGGAGATCCTCGCCTTGACGTCCACGGCTGATTGCTTCGGTGTCAAAAACATGGACTTGGCCCTTGCTGACACAGCTGCAGGACTAAGGCTTTTCAACAGCGAACTGGGTGCTACAGGGGACTTCTCTGTTGATTTTGGCGTCTCCTGTGAAGACTCGCTTGGGATCTCCAATTTCACCTGTGGTTCCGTATCTACCGCATCTTCGATCGAGAGAGTGTCCGTGGATTCGACAGAGTCTTGTGCCACCGAAATCGAAAATCGAGCTGCTAAGCTGACCTTTGACTCCCGTACTGATTCTTCGACGCCCGTCTTCAAGTCACTCATTGGGAACGCGTCTTCTTGCTCATCATTCGCCAATTCAATGTCTTCTTGCTCCTCTTGAGCAGTAGACATTGAATCTGCAGATGTAGACGATTTGCTCCGCGCTGGACTTGGTGGAGGACTTGGAGAATGATTCGTCCTCGTTTCAACCTTGGAATCCATTTCCATGGGAATTTTGACATCCAAAGTCAGAGTTGTAGTGGTCTCATTAGCCGTAGATGAGGGTTCAATGACTGAAAGGATCATCTCTCGGGTGATCCTCCTGGGAATCGGAGAAGGCACCGGCAGCTCCACAGGTTCTGGCTTGGGAGGCTCAACAGGCGAGCCTTCTAGTTCGGCGACATCCGGAAGAAGATCAGGGCTAGGGGTATGTGGACTGTAAATCATTTGTGGGGGCTGGCCAGCGTCCTCGTCTTCTCCAAGAATAGACTTCATGTGGTTCACAAAACCACCTGGAGCAACCATGGCGGTCTCAGCGACCGGTGGCTCTTTCTGAATGCTCTCAAAATGCTCACTGTAGTCGTAGTACTCTAGGGCTTGATCAGTCTCGTCATCACCGGTACCGCTGAGAGTATCTGCCCCAGCAAGAGGTGAAGCAGCCTGTTGGATCATGACCTCAGCAGAGTGACTGACTCTGGGGGTCTGAGGTCCCAAGGAAGGTGGTCCAGACGAAAGAGCATCAGAGTCAGTACCGTTTGTCAGCGAAGTGATGGACCTTCTTGCGGTGGGTCTTAGCATCGGGGTGGACCCATTCGGACCCATCGGACGACGCAATGCCACTTCAGACGCCGTGTAAGGGCCGTGCGAGAAAGCCGGCGTCGATCTATTGAGCTGGCTGTAATAGAGAATCTGCTCCATCTCATGGGGAGGCAAAGGCGAGACCGGCGATGTTGAGCTCTGAGCAGACTTGTGGAAAGCCGGCGGAAAAGGTGCAGAAGTCATCTCGTACGGCAGCAACGGCGAGACAGGCGATGTTCTGATTCTCGTCAAAGATGACTGGCCCTGGTACCGCCTCGGCGGACCGCTGGTGACATCGCTCATCGCGGGAGAAGGAGAACGATAGCCCGGACGCTTGAGGCGAGTGGGGTACCGATAGGGGGAGCGTGGCCTCTGGACAGGCTCGGGGTGCCTGAGGCTGGCAAACGATCGCGGCGCGGACAACTTCTGCGGGGGGACATAGTGGTTTGTCAAGGAGTACGACCGCCCTTCTTTGGAGAGGCGCGCCGGAGGAACCAGAGGGGATGTGCCTGGCAGGTTCATCATGGTGGGCGATACCGTATCTGGCAGGAACTGAGGAACATTAAGGCTGTTTGTAATGGACTTGTGAGGGACGGAAGAAGTCGAAGGGCGAGATCGATGCTTGCTGGAAATGCCGTTCGTAGTTTGCGTCTGGTTGGAGCCGAGAGAAACACGTGAGGTGTGGTTGTTGTTGCTGCGGCGGCGATGGGCTGGTCGAGACACCTGTGACGCCCTTGCAGGCTTCCCAAAGGACGAGCCGCTCGGAATTCCGCTAGACACGCCGCCAATGTCTCCGAGCTCGGTCGAGGTTCGAAGCATGTTCATGACACCGGTCGAGAGCAAGTCGGACTGTGGCTGAGTCGATCTCCGCGTACCTCTCGAGCCTGACGACATGTTAGAGGCACGGCTCAGCCGGCCGCTGATGTTAGGGTCCAGCTCCGTGAGTGGCATTGTGGCCAACTGATCGGAGGTATCCAAACCGAGGCCAAAGCCGCCCCGACAAAATACGTGATGGAAGTGAGCGAAAGAAGAGGGGTGAGGTGAAAGGAAGACGGCGGAAATCAAGCAAGACGCAAGAGCTCTACCACGGTTTGCAGAGCGTGGAAAGAGCAAGCGCGATGCGTGGCATTTGTCACGTTGCCTGTCGGCAGCGACGAGCGCAAGGCAATCGCATAAAGGTAAACTATGAAAGCAAGAAGGACGGCGGTGGTGCAAAGATCGACAGAATAATTCTGCCGCGATCCCGAACAAGGAAGGCTCAGCATGTAGCGAACAAGGTAGGAAGGGACGGCAACGACCCCTCCGCTGCGCAGATAGCACCATCACTTTCTGGACGGCCAAAGTGCTTGAAACTACAAAACCCATTTTTTGATGCATTCGGACCTACAATGTGTCCCAGCCCATTGCGGACCTATGCTGATACAATGCTCTTTCGAACTGCGTGCTCTTCCGATGCTATGCATGTTTCTGAACAAAGACCCGAAAAGGAGGCAACCAGAAGCACTCAGACACCCTTTCTAGGAAACTTACTATGCAAGCCAAAGAATTAAAAGATTCCAAAGATGATCGTCTGCGAAAATATGTTCATAGACATTCGTTACCGGTACGGTTTCGAAACGCTGACAATGAGAACAATGGGCACCAGTGTGGAAGCCCAGTATGAGAAGGGGTATCGAAATAAAAACAATGAAGAAAAAATAAATGAACGCCTCCATGGTGTGTGAATGCTGTGCACGCATTATTCTGCTTCGGACTCCAACGTCGGCCCGAGTTTGTTTGCCGAGTGTTTTCGGCGGAAAATGTTACGAAGACCCGCCAGACTCGACCTTCGCTTAATGCCAGAGCCAGTGCTGTAATTAGAGGCAGAAGTGCTGGGGCGTGTGACAGCCGTACTCGGCCGTGAGTCATTCGTGTTGAGGGTATTTGTTTTAGAGAGTGTGCTTCCGGTAATGCCAGATCTAATGGACAGTGCAGGCGTAGTCGGTGAAGAGGGTGGGAAGAGCCCGAACTTGTGTCCGGAAGGATTGCGCTGACCAGTTCCCGGCCTAGACGATGCGTCTTTTCCAGGAGTGGGGGAAATGGTCGCCTTCCTCTCGTTATCAGAGGATCTTGAGGATGGCGTGCCAGAAGAGTATGCTGAATCTACCATAGGTGAACTTGGCTTCTCTCGGCTACCGCGGATCGACAGTCGCTTACGAAGATTGCTGGGAGTCTTCACAGACGACGTGTTGTGAGGCCGGGCAGGAACAGATGCGGGTGCAGGAGCTGGGCGGTGGGATTCGGACTGTGCAGGTGTACGCGCAGGTGAGCGAGCAGGTGAACGGGCGGGTGATCGGGCAGGCGAGCGAGCAGGCGATCTGGAGTTGGGCGTGGTCGCCCTGGAACCGTCCGGCGTGGTTCCTCTACTTGCCCATTCAGGCGGAATCGGCGTCTCCAGCCGCGGCTCCGGGGTCCTAGGCTGTCTCCTCCTCTCCTTCTGCTGGACGGTGGGGCTCAGCATGGAATTACTCGATTCCGCTGGGCTCCGCGGTGGCGGCCTGGGATGCTCAAATCTCTGCTCTAAAGGAACAGTGTGATGCTTCTGCGGAGGCCGGGACTGTGACCTGTGGAGAGCCCCGGCGACCGCAGGACTCAGTGAGTCTGGGGCGCGAGGCAGAGGCTTGTCGCCTGGCAAGGGCGTGCCTCGAGGCGACGCCCAAGCAGAATCCGGCGGACTGGCCAGCCGCGGTCTCGAGCTCTGTCTTGAGACAGACCGCGGCGTCGACCTCGAGGTTGATCGCGAGCCAGGCCGTGAATCAGCATCTGGTGTCCGATGTGCAATCTGAAGATCCCAATTAGTCAACAGGTGCATAACCGTCTCTGGCTCACCGCGACTTACGATACTTCTCCTACTTGCAACGCCCGCCCTCTTCGTCATCTCATTAAGAATGCTGCCCAGCTGCACCAGAGCGACCCCGAGTTCGCTTCCTTTCGTCTGCAGGATCCTCAAACATTCGAGCCAACCTTCCGAGTTTCCACACATGGCCATGTATATGTCCATCAGTTCTTCATCACCTTCCGTCCAGTGGGCGCCAATGCGAACCAAGTAGCGCGAAAGCTCTTCCGTCGCCTCCATACCCTTCTCCACGTCGACCAGAGAATCGTTCATGGCGCGAGCGGTGCGCTCGACGATTTTCTCGATTTTCTCGTTGCCCTCGATGATCGAGGTGCGAAACTGCCTGTCGTCCAGCATCATGTCGAAGATGTTGACGTGCTCCAGCGGCAGCTTGAGATGATTGATGCGCTCCTGAATGTCGGCCAGAGCGAGGTCGAAGTCCTCGGTCGTCTTCTCCAGGAACTGGTCGACCTCCTGCACGTGCGTCTTGAGGATGCGCGACACCTCCTCGTCGCTCTTGGCCAGCTGCTGGTTGAGCAGGTGCACGCCGAACGAGATCTGGGCGACCAGCTTCCATAGCGGGTGGTACTTGGCGCTGGGCTTCTTCCTCCACTGGGCGTTGTACGACTCGTTGTAGTCGTCCTCCTCCAGCATGCGCTGGCGGCGGGCTTTCGCGCCGCCGGCCCGTTTGGGCTTGACCTTCTCCTGCTCAGCCTCCTCGGCCTCTATGATCGACTCTTCGAAGGCGCCCTGCATGCAGGCAATGGGGTGGACCGGGGCGCGGTCGAGGGCGTGCGCGTCGTCGGACTCGTCGTCGCCTTCATGGCCCAGAGTCGAGGCGTCTTCGTCTTCCCACGGCCGGCGCGGCGCTTGGGCTGGGGAGGGAGCCATGGCGAAACAGGCCTCGGTTCAGGAATGCTCGGGGTGTGGGAGATGGGGTCTTGGGGAGAGCGGGACTCAATGCTGCGGGCGCGCGAGGCGCATTCGAAGCACGGCTTATGTCACGGTGGAGCTGCAGGCGTGCGGATTGGTGAAACAGCGTAGCGTAATGGGCCAGCGATCCAGGGTGTGCTACCACGCGGTTGCAACCTCGCCGACTCGGAGACGAGCAGCGCGGATCAGGCACAAAAGGGGAGCGCGCGCTGGATGGGCATGCTGGCGGTCGCGGGACGGAGGGGCAGGCGGAGGCGAAGCTGGGATGTTGGATGCGCGCGGGAAGACGACGGCATGCGCGCGCTGACTGCAGCTCGCGCTCTCGTGAGTCGTCTTAGAGGGCGGTGGATGGGTCGTGCTTCCTACGGGCGGCGGCAGCGCGGTGGCCTGCCTGCCGTCGGAAGCGGGCGACGGTACGCAGTGACCAGGGGCTTCTATCTTGGGCCGCGCCCACCGCCAGCAGAAGCTCTCGCAGCCGTTTCAGACTCGGCCCCCGCCGTCACGCTGATCGACAGGCGACCAACAGCTTATGGACATCCCGCCTGCGCCCCTGCGGTCAACGGACCTCCGCAAGTCCGTTGCGTTGTGCGGCTCTCATGATAGGTGTTGCTCAATGGCCATCCGCTGGCCAGCCCGCAGACACGTAGCGAGCGAGCGCAAGCCCGCGCCGTGTGAAACACGAAACAAATATATCTGCATCCACCCCGTGCAAATAGAGTTAAGAGCTGCCCCGCGTTGCATGGAAAACCCTTTTGCTTCATTTCTGCCGAGTCTCAGAGTCGTGCAAAGCATGTCGCAGAAAAACCCCACCATCGCCGTCAGAGCCTGTCCGCCAGCCGCCCGCCCCAAACCGTGTGTACGTTTCAAATGACCTTTTGCCCCCCTTCGCCCCGCTGAAGATAAATCGTTTCCTTTTCCCACCCCAACAAACAAACGTCCTTTCCGCTGCAAGCAACGCCTCGCCAACCAAAATCAAGTCGCCCGCTCTGCCCGCAAAAACTATGTATAGCGAAGTATGATTCAGCGTCGTTGCATGTCCCTTCTAAAACATGGGTATCGAGGAGACCGCGCAAAGGCCTCATTAGACACAAGATCGTAAACAAGACAAGACCGAAAGGAGAGACGGTGGTGCAATTATGTCGCAGAAGGGCACATCGAGTCCTGCGCGATGGTCGTAAATCATAGGAAACAAAGGAAAAGTGAGCCCTGGTGGCGAGAATCGACGACGGTGCTCAGTCGGGCTCATCGGCAGCCTCGTCGATTTTCGGGGGTATGCTAGCTCCCGCAGCCGCAGGACCGAGGCCTTGCGAAGCCGCGGAATCCGTTTTGGGTACTTTGGAGGGGTTGGCGTCGGGCGTGCTTGAATGCTGGTCGATCGTACTCGTGCCACCTTCGTTGTTGTTGACCGTCTGCGAGTGGGCAAGCGGTGACGCGCTGGTCTTGCTAGCCTTGTCACTGCCCGCTGAGTGCACCGAATGCTGGGACGTTGTTCGCGGCGAGACGCGGCCGTTCTGTCTACGTCAGTGGGCATGCGGCAGAGGATGAACGTGTTGACTCACCTGCTTGGCCCATCGAAGGCCGCAGCTGTTACAAAGATCCCTGTTGCCGCTAGGCCCTCTCCGCCATTCCGGCGTCACTCTCGTGTGGCAATTGGCACAATCCTTCTGCATCTGACCCGCTCCCTTTCTCCTCTTTCTCTTCTTCTTGGCAGCTAGGAGGCTTTGAACCTCTTCTGCCAACAGCCGGTTCCGCTTTTCCATTTGCCGTAACTCATATTGCCAGCTCGTACTTCTCGTCGTCTTCAGTTCTTCGAAAACGTTGTCTTCAGACGCCAAGCTTGCATCTTGATGACCAAGCTTCAGACCGTGCTGGCCGGCCATAGTGAGAGCAGAGCCGTCCGTGCTGATAAACTGGCTGGGCGGCAGACCGTGGGCCAAGCTGCCGGGCGTCTGCACAGATCCGGTACCCTGTGTGTTGTGCGTGGGAGTTGACCCAGTTGTGGTCGCTATCGAGCTTCCAGAATCGTGTTTGGGATAGATGTTTGGTCGGTTGTTTGCATTGGCTGAGCCGCGAGAGAACTTCAGTAATCTGGTCTGAGCTATTACGAATGTTGGTTTTTGGCCTTCGACAGCATCTCCAGGATAGATGGTGGTGAACGCCTGGAGGACTTGTCCTCGTTTGTTCATCATCTCATGCTTAACTGAAGCCTTCTTGCCGGTGCGGGCTATCTCCAAAATCCGGTAGAACTCTTGCCTGGACTCCTGCCTCATGAGTGCCTGAATGCTTGTACCGACTAGATCATCGGGTTGACGATCCAGAAGCGACCTAACGTGGGATGACACGAACAAGAACATTCCCGACGTGGACATCTTGGTCCAAAGTTCATTGTCTCCGATACCACCATTTGATTCGATGTCATGCTTGCTCAGCGCATATACCGGTCTCTCCCGACCTACGAGTATGATGCATTTACGTCCCTTGCCCTGTTCTGTGTGGAGGGAGCCGTGGCCTTCGAACCACATATAACCGCTATGCTTGCGTCTGATGCGGAAGACCACATTGACCGAAGATCCAGATGACGTATCCTTCAGTTCTCTTGTAACCGGTACGATATCGGACGGATGGCACACAGAAGACAATGCCGTGCCGACAAGCTCGGAAGCCTCGTATTCCAGGACTCGTGCAGCAGATGGGGAGAGATAAAGGAAAAGTCCCTTGAGCGAAAGGACATGAATGACGTCGTCGGTGTTTTCCAGTAGAGCCTTGTCCCACAGACGCTTTGAGGCCTCGTTTTCTCCGTTGACGAGGGTGTCAAGGAGAGCGGAAACGTCATCGCGCGGAATCGTCTGACCCATCTCCATTGAGGAACCCGTTTCGGGCGTGTTGAAGACATACCTCGGCATACCAACCGAACGCTGGTAGTTGATGCTGTATGTGCCATCTAAAATATGTTAGCAGGGCGTTTCTAGGAGTTTCGCTCATTAGTCAAGGAAGCTTACCAGGGTTCTTGTTCGTCACTGAATTAGGCTGCTCCACCAAGTCGACCTGGAACCCAACAAAAAACTTGATGATCTCGCTGTCGTCCCACGTAATTGGAATCATGGTCAGCAGATTCATGAAAGGCTGGCCTCCGCGTCGATAGTTGATCAAGCTGATTTGAGCCTCCCTGCGGGTGTTGATCATGTTCTTAAGGTAGAGCACAGAATCGTCATCGACATATTTTCTTTTGCATCCAGCCTCGACCTGTCCGTCCGGGGACTGCAGGAACCGACAATTTCTCCCAAGGATCATGTGCCGCGTATATCCAGTCAATCGTTCGAAATTCTCGGAGCAGTAGACAATGGGGTTGTCGTCTTTTTCTGCGTCGCAAACGACGAAAGCGCAAGACAGGTCGACTGATCCGATGTTGATCTCTGGTTTCGGTCTGGTCGCGACTCGCATGAGAACGCCAAGCATATCGAATCCACTTGAGGAATAGGCGTTTTTGAATTGGGTGTCAATGTGGGGCCTATTTGCCATGGTAGAGGGAAATCCTCCTGCTGGAGCGGTTAGTGGCTTGCAATATTTTGGAGAATTAACGTTGTGTTACCTGGCGGAGTGGTCCACGGCAGTGGTCGTCCCATGGTCCCTCCAGAATGGGCCAAAGGCTGCGATCGCTCGGGTCCACCATAGGGGGTGGAGACGTTAGTGCCCGAGCTTTGGCCTCCAACGGATTGGGTCTGTGGCATGTTGCCATTCGGAGGCCGACTTGAGTTGGCGCTTGGAGTCGTGCTTTGATCCTGGCTATTACGGCGGCGAATGTCCGGCGTCATCCCCGGGGTTTCCGAACCAACATTGATTTCCATACTACCCGGCGGTGCACTCCCCCCAGGGTCCGGCATAGACTGCATGGAATCTGTGAAATCTTGACCGATGGGGGAACCCATCATTGGCGATGCGAACTGCGCCTGGGAGAACATGTTCAGCGGCGTGGTATCTCCTGGGTTCATCATGCCAAGCGACGGGTCTGTCATGTCCATGCTCATAGGCAGTCCAGAGGAGACATACGGGCTATTCATGCCCATGTCCAGACCAGAGGTGGCGGCAAGAGGTGATGCGTAGGAGCCAGGCGGAACCATGTTACCGTAGGATTGGGAATTATGCAGTCGCGTATCTATGCCGATGTCGCCTGAGGAGGGTCGCCGGCGCTGGTAGGGGTGGTTGCGACGTGCAAAGGCGTCCCCGACCATGCTGTCCATATTCGGTGCGGCTGTGGCGGGATCAAATTGGAATTGGTCCAACTGACCCGGGGTAGCGCCACTGAACTCCATCATGGACACGCGCCGCATGTCGCCTTCCAGATCTGCGGGCCGGCCGGAGCTGTAGTGCATGGGGACGCTTTGACGCCGCATGGCCTTGGAGTTCTGGTTGACTATGTCGTCCAGTGACTGGCCACCGACCATATTGGGGTTCATGTCGTCCTGGTTCATCACGCCCATCATGTTGTCCCCGGAGCCGGACTGATCGAGCGGGTAGTACCCGTTCATCGTGACGGAGGAGATTCGAGTCGAAGAGCTGGGATGCGAATGACCGAGGATCGATGGAGATCACCCGCTACTCGTGTGGTTGGCGCGGGCTGCCTGGCGGCATGAATGGTCGGGGAGGCCCAAGAGGGCTCTGAGGGGATCAGTCGTGACGGGCAGGCGATTGCCGGGGCGCATGCGTCGCTGCGAAGGATATTTTGCGTGTCGGCGGGGTGGAGGGTTGCAGAGTTATCTCATCAGCGTGCAGCGCGGAGGTCGGGCGCAGCACGGAGACAGGATCGGTTGGGTGTGGCACGTGCGCGCCGCATCACGTGGAGGGTTGCGGCTTGAACTACCTACTTTCGTCCCATCATCCGAGATGCATACGACTCGAAATCCGCCTTTACAGAATCGCATGTCGATGATCGGGAAATTTCAGGCTCGAGCCCGACGCAGTGCACACCGACATGCCACTGCCGACACCCGACAACCACTCTTTCGGTGTGAAGTTTTCTGGCACGGACTATGACGACATCGCCCGGCGTCTGCGGTCGTACTCGTCACTTCGTGATCGTCATGACCAACCAAGGAACGTGATCAACACCAGTCCGCCAGAACTCGAGGATGCTGTGAGGAGTTGGACCGAGAACAGTACACGTATCCACCACGTGCACAATGTGTCGTGTAAAACTGGATTTACGCCAATTTGTCGAACGTCTATTCGCCGCCAGACCTACATAACCGGGTGGCGCGCTTAGACATCACGAATCGCATGGCTCTAATACTCTGAGCATGAAGCATGTGAAGGTCTAATCGCTGAAATTTACAGCTCGAACACCCGTCATATATGTCTCGAATATCAAATGCCGCAGGGCACTGCTCGAATTTTGCCTAGTAAAATCCTCTGAGGATGGCTCTAGTGCAGAACTTTGTTCCGCCACCCCCTAAATGATTCGAAGACTAGTTTGTTTACTAAAAAGAATTTTCTTCTTACACAGAGCACTGTTAGCCTGCCTAAAATCCGATACAATCAGGCTCTGAGGAGCAAAAGAATTAGAGACCGCTGAAGCTCTAATAATGTAAGATGGTGGTCTTTCAGACGGGCCATATTAGCAGTTCTCAACTAATGTTAACTACGAGTTCGCTGCTACGTACTACTAAGAGTACTAATATTATTTACCGCAGTCTGATACTTTAGAAAATAGATAAATAGCTGCCGGCAATAATGTCGTCAATAGTAAAGTCAAGCGCAGAACTTCTATACCTATTCATGCTAAAAAAAAAATTTTTCAAGTGTGAAGTATCAATTTAGACTCTTCTTCGGTTTGGAGAATTCCCGTCCTAGTCTTTCTGCCGGAGCTGGTGTAGCGCCACCAAAATTGTGCGTTAAAGAGAATTGTAATTAGTGACGAAGGACGGCTTAAGATGGGGCATTATATCATAAGGAAAAGCGCTTGAATAAGATATTCGATCAAGACAGCTGGATAATTATGGAAAGCGACGGCCTTTATAGTTTGTCATACTCCCTTTCAATGGAACAGGTGAAGTGGATCATAGAGCAAGTTTAGCCGCTTGATCCGGCGCGGGTGTTACTCTGAGAATCTATTCCTCTAGGTGCTAAAAATCCCACGGCATAACTATTGAGGAATATAAATCTGTCCATGGGCAGCTTAAATCGTGACGGCCATTCTGAGTAAAGCGTGCACGGGCCATTTCCGTTGCGAAGAGCATTGAACCCGCCTGTGCGAAACACCGCAGAACCCATCACCACCGCAATGATTGTCCGGCGGCTAGCTGCGCGCACAGGTAAGTCGCCCTCTACGGTCCTGTTCAATTGTCGCATATGCACCGCTCACACCACCTCCAGGCCGCAGTGTTTTTGCTCACGCCAACGTAGCAGCGACGCCTGCACGGCAATGGCGTCGCACGTTCGCGTCTGATGTTGACCTCCTCGAGCCCACCGCCGAAAACTCGCTGAAGGAGACGAGCTCCATTGAGATCGCACTCGAAAACTCCACGCCGCAACCCGTGCCCGTCTACAACCCCAATGCCGCACGCGAGGCCGCCCTCACGGATCCCACCGTAGCCGAGAATTGGTATGCCAGGAAGCACCTGGGTACGTTGGACTTTCGTCCCCCTCCCCGCAAAGGCTTAATTGACAATGGATCTATGCAGAACGCGTCATCAAGACCGTTGGCAGTACGCCTGAACCGCACTACCAGCCGCACACGCTACTCACGAACCCGCCCCGGCCGGCGGACGTCACGCTCGAGCTGCTTCTCGCCTCGCAGGCACATCTCGGTCACTCCACGTCTGTCTGGAACCCCGCAAATGCGCGCTACATCTTTGGCGTCAGAGAAGGCATCCACATCATCTCGCTGGATCAGACGGCAGCTCACCTGAGACGAGCTGCCAAGGTGGTGACGGAGGTCTGCAGAAGAGGCGGTATCGTCCTGTTTGTGGGAACAAGAAATGAGCAGGACAGGAGCGTTGTCAAGGCGGCTCAGCTAGCCAAGGGCTGCCATCTCTTCGACCGGTGGGTTCCAGGGAGTATCACAAACGGTCAGCAGATTCTGGGCAGGTGCAAGTTGAAGGTGGTGGATGAGCTCGACCGGGAGCTGCCGGAGTTTGAGAGCCAGCTGGCCGAGCGGCCGGTTCTGAAGCCCGATCTCGTCGTCTGCTTGAACCCGCTCGAGAACTACGTGCTCCTGCAGGAGTGCGGTCAAAACCACATCCCCACGATTGGCATCATCGACACGGACGCAGACCCCACATGGGTCACCTATCCGATCCCCGCGAACGATGACAGGTAAGCTTTCCTGGCTATGGTACAGTCCATGTTCCGAGGCTGACATGCACTTTTCTAGTCTGCGGTGCACCAACGTTATTGCAGGAGTGCTGGGAAGAGCAGGCGAGGAGGGTCAGAGACTCCGGTTAGAAGCGGCCCGCCAAGGCATTGTTACGTACAAGAGCCGGGAGAAGTTCGAGTCACCTGAGGACATTGCACGCGGTGAGGAGAAGAATGGAGGCCTGCTTGAGAAGCCCGTAGTACGCCCGGGAGATCTCTCTTCTCCGGCGGGCCTGAGCGGGCGTGAGGCCATCTAAAATAAAGTCCCTGTATAAAATTGTATTGATAATGAGCTTGGCACATTTGGGCAAGAGCGGGGGCCGGAAAAGACAGGGCGGCAGCTAGAAATCAATGCGGCCCTAGGGTTGACGTGCATGTGAGGGTAACGGCAGATGTGGTGGAGAATTAGGTCCGGCAGCATCAGTCATCGCCGAAGCGCTACAGGGCGGCGGTATTGGCGGGCACCAGCTAGTGCGGGCCAAGCGAGTCAAGCACGCCATCCCAAAACATCAAAACGCCGATCGCGGAAGCTGCACACCGTGCCCCAGGAACCCACTCAAACCTTGATCCTACCACCTCCCGCATAAATCAGCAGCCCTCCACTGGACCACCGAGTGCGGACCCTGAACGCCGCCTTTTTTCCCTCGTGTCCAGCGTTCCGGGACTGCTGTTACTGCGCCGTTTCTGACTCATTCGTACACAATGGGTGTCGAGGCAGAGCTTGAGGAGACTGGCGGTCTCGCCAGGACCGTGAAGGACCTGTTCGCTGGTGCCGCTGGTGGTGTTGCTCAGGTGCTACTTGGTAAGTATATAGTATTGCGCTTCTGGCTTGTCAATCTCTCTGTTTCTCTTCAAGTGTGCCATGCCTTCGGTGCATTTCTTACCTCCGGCGCATTCCTTTTAATATTGTACTCGCGCAATTATCTCGCGCTCTACGAGCCCATTTCCTTCAACTGTTCAAGTTTCTCAGGACTGCTTTGCTTCCATCCTGGCTATGAATTGATGCTAACACATTCGTTTACAGGTCAGCCATTCGGTATGTGGGCCGGCAGAATTTTCTCTGTGCCAGGATGAAAGCTGACATTGTGCACAAGATATTGTCAAGGTTCGTCTGCAGACGACCACGCAATATTCTGGTGCTCTCGACTGCGGTGCCAAGATCTGGAAGAATGAGGGGCCTCTTGCCTTCTACAAGGGTACCCTAACGCCTCTCATTGGTATCGGTGCATGTGTAAGTGAATGTCTCTTTTTCCTTCGTAGTAGCCCAATTACATGAGCTCTCTACGGTCAGCCTGTGGGGGTGATGGGTGGGTTGTTCGGACGGCTTTGTTGGCATTTCTACCATACATTTGACTCCTGATACACGCTTCAACTTCCCTTGCGGTTTTTGCTCTTCTCCATTATTCCCATAAATTCTTTGAAGCTTGCTACGCCAACATCGCTCACGTTTACCCCAAGGTCTCCGTCCAATTCGGCGCCTTCCACTACGCGCGCCGCGCCTTCGAGGCACGGAACGTCGCCAAGGGCGGTCCCCCCGGCTCGCACGACCTGTCCTACGGCCAGTACTACGCAGCCGGCGCCTTCGCCGGTATCGCCAACTCGGTCATCTCGGGTCCGATCGAGCACGTGCGTATCCGGTTGCAGACGCAGCCGCACGGCGCGGCGCGGCTGTACTCGGGTCCGGTCGACTGCGTGCGCAAGCTGGCAGCGCACGAGGGCGTGCTGCGCGGCCTGTACCGCGGCGAGGCCGTCACCATCCTGCGTGAGGCCCAGGCGTACGGCGTGTGGTTCCTGACGTTCGAGTACCTGATGAACCTCGACGCCAAGCGCAACAACATCGAGCGCAAGGACATCTCGACCCCCAAGGTTGCGCTTTACGGCGGTCTGGCTGGCGAGGCGCTGTGGCTCGGCAGCTACCCGTTCGACGTCGTCAAGAGCAAGATGCAGAGCGATGGATTCGGCAAGGAGCAACGCTTCAAGAGCATGACGGATTGCTTCAAGAAGACTTGGGCTCAGGAGGGCATGGGCGGCTTCTGGAAGGGTATCGGCCCCACGCTGTTCAGGGCGATGCCTGTTAGTGCGGGTACTTTTGCTGTGTAAGTCTTCCCCTCCTCGTCGACTTTTATTCTCGCGTCGGGATGAGGAACTCTTTCCCCTTGCTTTTTTTCTGGCTAACGAGCATATGTAGGGTCGAGTTGACGATGCGCCTGCTCAACAACTAGGTGGTATGAACTGTAGTTCGCTCATCTTTTTTTGGTCACATCTGCCGTGATAGAGTAATACCCAAGTTCTTTGCACTGGTTCCAGCTGGACTTTTTTTCTTTCTCTTTTTTCCCATTGTGATGGATTAACCCGTGACCGTTCACTGTTTCACCTTGGCAGCAGACCTCAAAAGTGGTACAAAAACTTTTGCACGGAATGACATTGTGCATTGCGTAATGTAGCCAAAGACAACCATCGACGACCCATGACCATGAAAAGTAGAAACGCCTTGAGCAGGAAGATAGCGAGAATTCCCTATAGCCGCAACACACCATCAACCAACTCCAACCTCGAACCAAGGTTTGCCCAACGCACTCCCACGGATGACCATACACCAATATCTTTTCTGGATGCTGATGGTGTTGTTTTCGTGTCGGATTCTCGTAACGTGTGTGAGGAAGGCATGTCGAGCAGTGGAGGAACTGTTGAGCGGATGAAGCAGGCATCTCTGCGCGTCTGAGGACTCGGTGCTGATGATGGAGTGGAGTGGTTTCTCTCGGTAGCGAATGCAGTGTTCAAGTGATGGACGTGATCTTGATTGTTGTAAATGAGCTGCGAGAACCATGGTTGCGTCAGTTCAGGTACGTCGGAAGGATGGTTCAGGGAAAAAAAATTCGAACTTACCGTAGGCCAATTTAGTCAAAGAATGAGGTAATGTCGCCAGCTGGTGTTCTTGATAGAGTAGAAATGAGAGTATTTAAAGGGTCAGCCATACGGCTGAGTGAGCGGAGGCCATTCGGTTGATAAGAATATCATCAATGGGTTCTTTCCCTCAGAAATCCTTCGATTACAACCACATATGGTCCTCCACTCACCTGTCTTGTCTTCGCACACCACAGTATTGGGCAGAGTGGAGGATGTTCTCGCTGGCTTGACCGATGATGAGTAAAGACACCCTAAGCAAAGGCTCGCAGCTTCGTCACAAAGCTTCCTTCTGGAAGCACATTTGTCGACAGAAGTGCTTGCAGGTGCGTGCTGAGGTCAAATCGAAAGCCAAAGAGACGAGTATGGAGGCCAAGTGAAAGTTGGGAGGTGAGACTTGTGGATGGCGTAGATAGTGCGGACGGAGATGATGGAGGAGATGGAGGAGATGGCTGAGGAAATCGGACTTAAGTAGGCAAGCAATGCAACTTCCTCACAACTTTTGTCTGTCGAAGTGAGACGCTGGGCTGTGCAGCACTCGTGTTGTGGAAGGTGCATTGCCCTCAAAAGCGAAGGTGCTGCGACAGCGCTGAGCCGGCGGCTGCTACATACAGAAGTGGATGGGTTGCAGGAGTAGGTATGGATCTTTCAGAAGGAAGACCTCCGGCGCTTGAGAAGGTGCAGCGCGGCAGGAGGGCATGGCTGAGATGTTGCCGCTCCATGCGAGGAGGAATGCTCGCGACCGTGAGCAAACCTCTCCCGTTACTTCCCAGATGTCGTACGATATTCAAGTTCCTTGACCTAATAGCTGTGGCACTTGAATATTGCCTTGCCTAGAGGCGACTAGATAGCCAGGGTCTACGGTTCTGTCGATGAGACGGCTGTCTGCGCAGCGCCAAGGTGCCTCCTTCCCTACCTGACTTTCGACAGTTCCGAAGCGCGGTTGCAAAAATTCGCTCAAGTGTTCAAATCGATGGAATGATCAAGCTCAGTCCTGTGGTCGCTTCTGGAATTTTCGTGTCTCTGGATGAGGGAAGTATTTGCAAGTGTATTGCAACGAAGGGGAAAGTATCAACATCGCGAGATCAAGCGCAACAAAAGAGCGCAGTGAGTGACAAAATGTCGCAGATAGTGAGGCTATTTGAGCATGTGAAATATCACCTGTCCTCCGATGATATTTACGATACGCTTAGTGCTAAAAGATACGGTTCCTATAACTCTCAGGACCGTTCCTACTAGCGAGCCGTTGTGATCAAATTACATAGTAGAAAACCACCACTGTAATCATGAAGTTCCCATAATCATTCTATCCCAGTGTCCGGGGTATATTATATGTTAGGAGAGGTACAAGTCTTTAGATGAAAGGAACCTCTTGGGTTGAGCAAGCGCAGGCGGTGGATGAGTGACACGCGGAAATCGACGGAAGCACCAAAGGAGGCGGATATGTAGATATAGAGCTATCTTAAGCTGAATAAGCGAGATGAACACGTGAGTGATGGACTGCGAGGCTATTGTGCGCTTGTGTCTTAAGATACGGTGGTAATATCAGTACGATGATGGCGTGCGATGTACAACCACTACCATTAAATGACCGAGAGTGACAAATCATCTGGCCTGTCAGCTTGGCTGAGGGATTTTAGTTTAGTTGATTGAAAGTGGGCAGGCAAGGAATCACATCCCTTAGCACTGCAACAAGGAAGCTGGACTGTCGATCTGGCGGCGGTTGTTTGGCTCTGAACAGCACTATTATCTGCGCGAACATGCTGTAGCTGCTTCAGCTGTCCCGCTTCAACTCCGGCTAAGGCGGTCTTGAGAGCATACTGGACTGCAAAGTCTAATCTTTGCAACGCATATACCGCGGAGAAATAAACAAGAAAGTAGAATATGACGTCAAGCATAGCCGATAGTGTGCTCCTGAGAGGGAGAGAGATAGAAAGAAATTACAGTGTCACGACATCTTGGAACCGGAAAGTGTGATAATTTCTGTGTCCCAGATCCGGGAGATCTCTGTGACACGTTCCGCAGAGGGATCTTATTCTTGCACAACCCCAGGTTGAATCGGAAAATCTACTAGACTATCGGAAAGGGCTCCGCACGTGAATCATCTCGTGCAGCTCAGACACCAACCCCCGAAAAAAAAAGTTGCTCTGCTTAAGCTTTTCCCTGGAAAAGAAAGGCGGGGTCAGCCAAGCCAACGGATTTCCTGCAAGTGCGCATCACACTCACTCGCATAATGCAAGGAAAAACAGAGGTGGAATGACGGTATAACTCAAAGAAAAATAAAGAGATAAAAGATAGCGGGGAATGAAGCGGGAAAGCGGGTTTCCCACCACCGCTTCGCGGAGTGACTCCCGACCAATGACTAATACCAGGTCCAGCCCACTGGTCACAGCATGGTCAGTCGACAGCTTGATGGCCACCAATCCCTGGAATCGGGATTTAATAATTATCCTTTGGACACGGCAGATCTTTTCGGAGACGTTGGGAGGTGGTGGTGGCGAGTGGACTACTTTTGGTGCCCCTCGGAGTCGCGTGGCGAATATATTCTTGGCTTCTCGCTGCTTAAACGAATATGCATCTCTCTCATTCGCTTGTCTTGATTAGCAGAACGGTGGCTATCTCCGCAGCACGCGGGAAGTGAGCGGGATCTCGGTAGCAGCGGCGGTCCCAAGGTCCAAAATGTGGTGTCGCAGCAGCTTACCTGCAGCAGCGCGCGACCCTGCCTGCCAAGTCCGCGACCAGTGGCATGCACTATACGGGCGGGAGCACATGGGGAAGGGAAACGGACGGGAAGAGATAAGGAGAACAGCGGGTCGTCGAACAGATGTCCGAGAAAGCGGCTCGCTTTCGTTGCCGCACCTACCATCACCCAAACTTGGGTTCTGAAAAGGGCCGGAAAGGGTGCTCGTCGATGCGGCATGTATTTAAAGCTAGCTGCCGTGATTTTCGAGGGTAGAAGTGGTAATAGGTGCTGCACGTTGCAGCGTTCTCGCGGCGTGGGTCTAGCCTAGGGTGGTGGTAGTAGACTTGGCACCAACGCCTTTTGCCACCTCCACCCACCCATGCTTGGCTCTGTTGCAGCGAGTAAAGGTTTGGTTATCTTGAAAGGTTAGACCGACTCGGAGTAGAAGATGGGGAAGCGAAGGCATTTTGGAATTCGGCTCGTCAACGCAGCCACAAAGTCAAATCTTGGGGCAGGAGAGGGTCATCCCGCATTTCCCGTTTCACGCTGGTAGACGTCTAGGTGAAAGCATGGGAAGTACGGGAATATTGTCCTGGAATTAGGCCGAGACAAAAGAAAAGGCAATAGGCGTTACGGTTGCGCTTATACACCTATTGGCTCGGGGGAGGTGAAGTTTCGTAATAAGAATTCGCATCGGCCACCCACGGTGTCGGGCGCGCTGTAGAATGTTCGAGATGTATTGGAAGAAGGGCATGACGGGAGCACGAGGCTCGCGTATCTCGAGATTATGCAGCTGCAGGGTCTCGCGTGATGTTGCTGGTTCTCCTTGTGCCGGTTGCCACAGTGCGACATCGACGATTGCTCCGTTCAGCCGCCGTCCGTGAGTCTTCGTAAAGGGCTAGCTTTCAATTCATCGAATTTTCAACAAGCGCATGGGGGTGCGATGGAAAAGGAGGTGGAACTGGTGGGCCCGGGGGAATGGTTGCAAAAGCAAATCCCCCGCAGGTTCACGCATGCACGATGCGCGGCAGTTGACTGACAGCAGCGGGCCGTTCGTATTTCGATGAGACATGATGAAAGGTGCAACATGTGGCGACACAGGCTCATGTCTGGCTCATGGTGAAGGCGTCGGACAATTTCGAGCAGGTGTTCTCGCAGTGCTTGCTTCTTCCGGGAAAAGAAAGGTGCAGGCAAAAGGAGCAGCTTTTTCCAGGGATCCAAAAAGCGCAGGCAAGGAGATACGACTAGGAGCGAGCAATCCCTGGGTGCCGCGTGTGCGGGCCCCCTTGCTGTGGAGCCCAGAGTTGATGACCAAAGGCTGGGACTGGAGGATCAGCGCCAGCCCGCTGGTTGTCACGTCGGATCACGGCGGATTGGGTAATAGGCGCGGTATTTGAAGACAGAAGCAGGTCGTTTCACCAGCTTCGCGAGGGAGTTAGCACCGGAGCACCGGGACATGGTTTCAGCCGTTGAAAGAGTCGAAAGGGTGACTGAAGTGGACCCAGGGCGCAACCGAGATAGCGTGTGAAGGCGGATGAGCGGGCAGCAAGCGCGGGCCTCGCGCTAGGGCTGATTTACTAGCAACGGCGCTGGCCGCGGTGGTGGTTAACAGGGTGGTAGAGTGACGGAAGAGGTTGTGACGGCAAGGCGAAGATGCTGTCGTTGCAGGGCAATCTAAAGGCTGACCCGACAGACAGGTCCGGCATGGGCGGGCGCATCGGCATGGCGCGCACGGGTACCTTCGGTGTTTTTGGGGATGCGAATTGTGGTGTTTCGACGATCGGGGAGAGGGCGGAGATCGAGTTCGAGGCGATGGCTGTGCTCGACGGCGCGCTCTTAGCGGCCGCGGATGGCCTCAGCACCACATTAGTGAGCGACGGCGGCTGGCCGGGGCTCAGCAGCAGGCGGAGGTACGTCACAGCGACGCACCAGCCACGTGAGAATGAGCTGCAGGGCATTATTCAAATACCTGACGCGCCACGGGATCGCGCGTTGGCAGGAGGCGGCAGCAGCGCAGGGGACTGGTCAGGACGAGTGACGTTCGCCTGGATTCACATGCGCGCGCGAGCTTATTCGAGCCTGTTGTCGTTCGCTGCCCCGCCCTCGGCGGTCCAGGCCCGGGAGGCTGGTTGCAGAGCCTCAGCAACAAGGTCCTAGCAGAAAGGGGCCCAGAAATGACAGAATAGGCGCGTACCACGACCCATGTGGCCGAGCCGGCGATGCGCAGGGCAAATCGGAGGGTGGATGTGCTTGCGGATGGTGGCCCAGATCGCGATCGCAGGGCAGATAGAGTTCTCGCGTATCTCGTGCCTCGCTGATCGACAATTTACGCCCTCCAAGCCAATGGCCGCGCTTCCTACGCTATTACCGTGTCGCCTGTGCCTGGCGCCGACGCCCGCGCTGCTGGGACGCGAGGGCGTTGCGAGGGCAGCTCGCCGCGCCGCACCTGGCTCCGGCCGCACACCCTTGGAGGGCCCTCGCCGCAGGGCCTGTCTCGTCGCCCTCCACCGTGGCAGTTGGGGACCCGCAGCATGCAGGCTGCTGCGAATGGCGGGCTGCCACTACCGCTGCTTGGCTCGCCGCATGACGCAGCGGGAGGTGGTGAATCGAGAACCCATGGCCGCACGGGCACAGATCTTAGCGCGGGAGGGCGGCCTCGATCGCGCGGCTGGCGCAAGGGCAGCCGAGGGAGTTTGGCCCGTCGCAGCACCCTCCACGCGCGCTTCCCGTCCGACGTTGGTGGCTAGCGCTGCCACAGCCTGCCAATCCCCTCGACCTGCTCTGCCGACTCTCAGCTCCCGCCTAGCCGGCCGCCCCGCGTTGCCACGCCCAGCGCTCGTTGCCCAGCGCAGCGCAGCGCAGCAGCTCCGCACGCACCCACTGCGCCCAAGCTCCTCCCGCCGGACAGCGCCACTCACTTAACTCCGCCCGTCCCGATTGCGAGCGTCTCCGCGCCCATCGTACAAGAGAGTGTGCAGCGCTCGATCGCTGCCCCCCAGGCCTGAACTATTGCCTGCTCCCATCGAATTTCCAGAATCGCACTGGCTCAGTCCTCATCCAATTATTAAGAGGCCTGCCCCGACCACCCCCCGATACGTACCTCAGACCACTATTTGCTTTTTGTCGCCTTTGATTCCGCCCGGCCCAGCTCCCACACCTTAACTGGGCTGTCGCCCCCGCTCCCCTACTAATTCCACACGACCTTTCCTCCGCGTGGGAGCACCTGGGTTCGATACTAGTCGTTCCTTGACGCTCAATATCATCTCGACTGCTTCACCTCCCGCCCACTTTTGGCACCATCACTACACGCACCATGCCGCCCGTCCGTACCATGTCCACGGCGAAGCCCGTGAAGACGGAGCGCACGCACGAGGAAAACCAAGAGAGGTCAGTTGCCACAGTCTGCGCCTCTGCTTTCCCGACTGCTGACGCCGAGCAGAGCATACATTGCTGCTTCGAGGCGAAGCGACCGCAGTCTGGAGGCTCGTATCGAGTCTGCCCGGAGGGCCTCAGAGATCCACAAGAAGCGCACCGGCCGCGCACTACGTGTCACCGAGCAAGATGTTGTCAACGAGGAGATGTATGAGGAGGAGGACGACGACCTGCCGGCACAGTACCGCAGGCTCACTGCCCACCTGCAGACCAATTCGGCCGACTTCAACCGTAAGCTGCATGCATATCTTGCAACCCACCAAGCAGGCCGCCAGGCCTTGTTCGACCAAACTTTCATGGGTGGGTTTGGTCACACGTACCCGAATGCGCCCCATTTTGCACCGCAGATGATGATGCACCAACCACCCTACCAGCAGCAGATGCTGCCTCCGCAGATGATCCACCGGTCACCCCAGTCATTCCGTCAGGCCCCGTACCCATCTCCCCAGCAGCAGCAGAAGTCTCTTCCGCACCAAAGGTCGCAGTCGTTCGCCGCACCACAAGACTTTCACTACCCGCAGTCTGCCGGCCCTGCCGCTTCGAGTCGAGCTGATTCGCTCAAGCCCGAGGACCAGCAGCAGCGACGCATGTCCATGCCAGCACAGCCTGTCCGCGATCTCTCTCTATCACCGACGGCGACCAGGCCACCGAACCCCCATGTGACGGACGGATCGAGAGACTCATCTGCGTCGTCTCCAACGGGTTATGACAGCGTCCAGTCGCCATACACAACGGCAACAACAACGCCGCAGTCGGCGCACACGCCCTTCACTTTCAACCCGAACTTTACCTTCAACCACTTCGATTCTAGCGCCGCCAACATGAACTACAGCCCTTTTTCCATGGCCCTGCCAACAGAGACGCAGCAGATGCTCGGTCCTTCGTTGGACCCGAACGATCCCCAGACTGCTATGTTTATGGCCAACAGCGAGATGGTTCCGCAGCCCTTCTATAGCTACAATCCTAACTTGTCTACGAAGTCTCGGATCCAGCAAACGAGTCAGGGCATGAATCAGACACTTGCTCCCTCGAGCGCACCATTACTAGACATCAATCCTCAAAACTTGAGCTACAGCAACACTGCAATTTCCTATCCGACAGCCTCCGAGGGGGCGTTTAACCCATCTTTTGGATTCGACGCAAGTTTCCAGGACCCGATTAAGCCAGCCAGCATGTCTCGGCAGGGCAGCCAGCAGGGCAGCTCTGGGCTCATCACGCCTGGTAACGAATGGTCCAAGTTCATCGACGGTACCCTTTTTGAAGAGATGCCAGCATCTCAATAATGTTGCTCTCCGTATAATACTCTTTTTTTTTGCGATTTTTTGAGAAGGTTTTATTGGATTTGGCATTTACCCCCGTCGCAATGTCGACCCAGGAGTTCTGGCGAAAGGACCAACTTTGTCATTGACCAACGAGAGACGGTTTACGGACGACGCGCTTCTGTTCATTGAGTATGATTTCGCCTCAGGCTCCGGGGTTTGGGATAACAATCGAGACGTCACCGGTGCTTGGAGTCTTATCATTCACGCGACCTGATTCTACGACTGTCGCTGGTGCGGAAGTTTGTTCGCAGTTTTTTTTCCAGCCGATCTCACCTCCTCTTGATACACCTTGTTCTTGTTACTCTTTGATTCTGCATCAGAGGATATCGGTATTCTTGTAAAGGGAAAAGCTGGGCTCGCAATGTATGTACTTGTACATCAAGGGTGGATAAGATACCCGGACTTTTCCTAGGTAGTGAATAAAAAAACACAGTAAAGTTGTTGTCAACCCTCGCTTCCAACGAACGATTCGCATGTGACGGCAGAAAGAAGTATCCCATGACAAACTTCGTTGCACATGAATGCAACGGCGTAGAAAGAGAAGACGCCGTGTTCAGGGTCGGGCAGCTTTGCAAGACGGGAGCTCGAGCAGAATGTCTTTTCGCAGCCGGACGATTCCGGAATCCCTGCTGCTGCAGCCTGCAGGAGCAGACGGTCGTGGAAATCCGCAGGGCGAATGGGATGTTGGTCGGATCTCGGGGAAAGCTTCCGACGCGGAAGGGGCAGCTGCTACTGCGGCATCTGACAATCATCACCCGCTCCCGCGACACCGCTTAGCACACACTAACAAATACCATTTCCACCCGCCTTCCCCTGAAATCCCCATCCACCTACCAACCGCCAAAGCCGGGGAAAGAAGGGCACCTACCGGGTCGTGCGCCTTTTCCAGAGGAATGGCCAAGGTATGGAGCCGTCTCGCGCCACAGCCTCGTTCGCCCGCTCTTTTTTTCTTTGCTCTGGGCCACGCCGCCTGCATGCTGCGGACGGGCGCGTGCGCGTTTCAAATTTTGTTTTTCGGCCGGCTCTGTCTTCGTCCCGCTTTCTTTTTCCTGCTGCTCCTTTGTGATGGGGTAGCACGGCCGTGAGCGTGAGACGGGCCGCACTGGTGTCACCTACTCCTTTGGCCTTTGCCCAACACTTCCCACCACGGCTTGGCTCGTCCTACCATCTGGTGTCACCGCTCTCTGTGTTGCCGCTCGCAGTCAGCTGCTGTTGCCCCCCGACTCATCGTCGTCTCCGCCAAGAGCACCGCCGTTGGCGGTCGAGAGAATGCACTCTGCCCCATCGCTGAACTGAACCCCGCTCAACCTTGAGGACTTCACGCGTCACGCCCAGGTGGAGATGGCGATCGTCACGCCAGATCCATGTTGTGCTCGTCCGCCAGTGTGGGGAGCATTGCAACGTCTTCCCACGTTACAGCCGCGGTCCTTCAACGTCCTGCATGTCTTAGCGAATTGGTGTGAGACTCTGCTCACCACTAACGTCCGCTTGCTGTCAGCCACAGTGGTATCTTCATCACAATCTTCACGACAACTGCACTCTTGAGCGCCGCTACACCTTGAGCTTCGATCACAAAATATTCACCAGCCTCGAGTCCTTGTATCCCCGCGCCGATGAGCTTTCAGTCCGACAAGCGTGTCATGGTGTTTTGCGCTTGACACCTCCAAACGCGTGGCCTCCACTCTCTGTCATTTCACGGCCGCTGCTTGACCTACCACTGCTACTGAACAGCTTCTTTTCCCCCACGACGTAGGCACAGGGTCACAAGTTCAAGAGACAAATATGACGCAACGTCACTGAAGTCATTGTCTCTTGATTTTTTTCTGCACTAATCGTACGAGCAATAACCAATAGCGCGGGCTAGTCCGGGCCGAAAACTGGGTCGTCCTGCGGGGAAATCGGAAATCTGCATACCGGGAACATGCGTATGCATTTCATATACGTGAGGCGGGGACCTCACCTTCCTCCCGTCTACAGCCGGCAAACTTCCGATGCGCCTCGTCACTCCGCCTCGTCCTCACGAGAGACATGGCGCACTGCACCGCTTCTGCCCGTGGCTGTCTCTGGAACGGCGAGGCCGCTGTCAACCTGTCAGGCGTTGGCCGTAATGGCTGTTCCTGCATGGCATTCCGGATTCATGGTTCCACCACAGGCGGGTACCTGGAGCCGTGTCCTCCAGCTTTCAACCAATTTCTTCGCATCCGTTACAGCCTGTCCGCCTCCAAAAATATCTTTCCACAACCGGGAGATGGCAAATTGCAAAGCCCAGCCGTTAATTAGCAGCACCTATTACCTCTATGATGAAAATCCCGCCTCGGTGTCGGCTTTCACCTCCCTTCCGTAGCGGAACGGACCCTTTCGGTGCAACCGTAGAACGACCGAGTGCCACCGCTAACGACCCCACTTTCCATCTGTTACCTCGTTGCTGATCTGTTTTATGCCCTCGAGATATACTGAAGCGTCGTTAAGCAACTTCAGAACCTGACTTCTCAAGTGTCAGCCTCGTACCGGCCATTTGAACAATGGAACATTCTGAAGCAAAACATACACCTTATACGTTACCCTCATAACATTGTATGCTGAGATCGGCCAAGCACCCATCGAAATGGGTTGGTACCATACCATTTTCCCCAGCACTGGGGATTCACAGAGCAGACGGGAGCCAGCAGGCCGTGAGCGAGTGAGCGAGAAAGCAAGCAACGGCTTCTGGGTACGTGGCGAACTGTATTACCCGTCCGATGCCACAACAGCTCCGGGAAAGCTGCATCACATAGCTCCTATCAGAAATGGAATTCCCTTTCCCTCCGTGAACCAGACCTGTCCGTAAAGGAGAATAAAAGGGCATTAGCCCGCCAAACCTCCATCGTCTTTTTGTGCTCGTTTCCCTTCCGGATCCACGCCTCGTGTTGTTTTATCTCGCTTTGAGGTTGCCGATTCCTCCTCGTACAAAGGACAGACTGATCGATCCGGTTGCGGCAACATGTGGCTTCTTGGGGTTATGGCTTTGGTGGCGGGGTTTGGACTTGGGGCCGCGGAGCCTGCTCCCTTGAACCGTGAGTTGATGCTGCTGCGCCCTTGACTTCTGTGTTCCTTTTCAGTGTTATATGCTTTTCATTTAGAGTTTCAGGTTCAACACCTACCTTTAGCTCTCAACTTTCATATATACCGGGTCTCTTGGAAAGATTCTTGTGGAAAAGGCACTAATCGGCTCTGCTTAGACAACATCCCTAGATTTCCCGGGGCCGCAGAAACTACATCCCCGGGTTTCTACCCTCCATTCGACCCATCTACCTGTTTGGCGACAGCGACCACGACCTCCACATCGATCTACATCTCTACGGTCGTGATCACACAAACTGTAACCCCTATTCCTGAAACCGAAACATCGTCGTTCGTGACTCCTCCGACGATCTACACGACATCGCCGACAGACTGGTCGGTCATTCCCGTCAGCACAGGCACACGGTGTTTCTCTCTGTTCAATGGAGAATCGTCCTGCTTCACATGGACAGATGAATCCACGATCTACACTGGAACTCCTTCTGTCATTGTCAGTCTACCTACGCCGTCCGAAAGCACGCCTGTCATTGTCAGCACGACAAGTTACTACACCATTCCGGAGTACTCGTCTTCTGTTCCGGCATATCCATCTTACCCAACGCCGCCATCCTATTCCCCACCACCTCCATATACCCCAACGTATGCGACCTACACAACAACCTACTACCCATCGCTGTCTACTGCCTCTACGTCGCCTGAATACACACCATTGCCTTCGTCAACGACTTACTCGTACACCTTCTTACCGCCTTCGCCAACATCTCCGTATACGATCTTGACATCACTGACTCCCTCTACACCGGAGTTTTCCTCTGTTTTCCCGACCACAACGGAGCTCCCGTCTACTCCAATCGAGCGAACGACAACCTACAGCGAATCTACTTCGGTGTATACGGTCTCGTATACTTACTACCCCTCCGAGAGCACTACGCCGTACTCCACCCCGACTGAGTCTTGGCTCCCCTTAACTGAAACTTCCCTCTGGTCTTATCTCTCTTATACCCCAAGCTACACCTACAGCCCGACCTACACTTACACGCCAACTTACACCCCTACCTACACCTACACCGAGTCAACCTACACTCCAGCTACCTACATCACATTCACATACTCTCCTTCTACCTACATCGCAACAACGACGTACACTCCCATCTACACGGAGACCGAGATTTCTGGCACATCAACTTACGAGACGACGTATCCCGGTACCCCTACTATCTCGATATACACTTCAATCATCTCCGTTGCATCGTTGGCGCCTACCACATCCTCCACCTTGGTCCCGCTCACTCCCAGCACTGTTACAGTATCCTGGTCGGACACAACTTTCGCCACCATCATTTCAGTGCCGGCCACGGACACGGGCTTGCTACCGACATATACGACGTCCCCCACGTTGACAGCGTACACCCTATCGACCGTGTACTATCCATCGACCTACACCACTGGCTACCCCATCACGACATATTACACGACCTACACGCTGTACCCCACTCTCTCTACTCGTACCTATCCCGGCCTCACCAGCATCACTGTCTACCAGTCAGACACGACATACACGACGGTCTATCCCGCCACTAAAACAACCACCTACACCGTGTCCGCTCAGACAACACCCTACACCCCGTCATATAGCAGCGGTCTAACAACCTTCTACACGATACAAACCCCATACTCCTACCAGACTTCAGCGGCCAGCATACCGTCCGGTTACACCTGGAGCTACTCTACTATCACTAACACCATCTCGTCATCCATCTCCCGCACCTACACAGAGTCATTCCTCGTCCCTGCTGTTGTCACGACAACCGTGTATTATACGTTCACCCCGTCCTACACTTACACAGAAACGTCATTCAATCCGTCATCCACTCCATCCTACACTCCAACTTCATACTTCTCTCCAATTTACCCATCCTCCTCGCCGTATTACAGCTACAGCTACAGCTACTCGCCATATTCCTACTCCTACACGCCATCATACTCCTATTCCTACTCTCCATCATCTTCCTACTCCTACTCCCCGTCGTACACGCCAACCTACACGCCAACTTACACGTCTTACATCCCAACCTACACTTACACTTCGTCATACACGCCGGTATACCCATCCTACTCGCCATCCTACAGCTACACCCCCTCTTACCCAACCTACCCCTACCCCTCCTACACAACCTACACCTACTCCTACACCCCCTACTACCCCAGCAGCAGCAACACCGCCATCGCCTACACCACAACCGTCTATGGCGCCACGGCCACGGCCTCGACCTTCGTCACCCTCGTCACCACGCTGCTGACGACGACGACCGAGGAGTGTGCGACGACGACGGACAGCAATGGCGTCGTTGTTGTGTCTGGGACGCCTGTGTATACGATTGCGACGGATGCGGCTGGCGCTGTTGCAAGTGGTGGCGCCGGTGGTGTGGATGGAGGGAAGGGGACGATGAGGAGGAGAGGACGGAGGATGGTGAGTGGGGAGGGGGAGGGGATGGAGAAAGAAGAGAAGGAGAAGGAGAAGAGGGATGGGGAGGGCGTTGGGTGCGGTGTTGGGAATGGGGTGTGAGTGAGTGATGGTGATAGTGGGGTGGTGGTTGTTGGGTCGGGGTCAGTGCGGGTACGTATCTGCTGTGCGTTTTCCCTTTTGACAATTTTTCTTTTCCCCGGTGTGAGAGAGTTTCGAGGACGAAGAACGCTCTGGGCTTTACGGAAGGGTGGGATGTCGTGCAGGTGACCTTTCGGGTGTCAGAGCTTTATCGTTCCCCCAAAAGCGCGTCCTGTCTCGCTAACGTTGTCCTGTTGCGATTAGCTCCTCGCTCGGCCTCGTGGGGATGTGAGGCGATGTCACGGAAAAGCGAAGTGACAAGTGAGTGTGGCCGGTCGGCGAGTTACGATGGTGTGTGTGGGCCGGTCTTCGGTGGGGTGCTACGGAAAGCACCGGTGGGGAGACGTGGGTGCGTGTGGAGACCCGTCGCTGAGATCTACCCACACGTTCCTGGATCGGAGCGAGGGAGTTTGGGAGATGGTGGGGAGAGGTGTGTGTGTTGCTTCTATCAGGTTCTTGCACTTTGTCTTATTTCGATGTGATGTTGAACGTTTTCCATTCTTCAACCCCCCTGTTAGGCTCGGCTATCTGGAGAGCTGAGTGGAGAGGGGGGGAAGTGCCGACGGCACTTTTTACTATTCCTTTTGTGTGGGTTGCTCTTTTTTTTTCCCTGAGGATTTCTGTGGAAAGGAGACCATATTCCAAATTTCTTGACGTTCTTTATGGTGCGCGGAATTGCTCCGCCCGCCTGCTCCGTTTCTAGTCCTTTTCGAGATTTGTCGTCTCATATGTGTTTTCTTAGTTACCATGCTAATGGATGCTGCCTGCCACCTGACACGTCTCGAATGGATCCGTGAATGCGGTCGTTCCCGCACAGCGGTTTTTGCCGGTGATGAAGAAAGTGCCCATGCTTAGCTGTGCCACGAGCTATTTCTCCGTTGATTTTGAGCTCAATGCTGATCCAAAGTCGAATCGGTTGGACACGGAGGGAGCGGATAGGGTGCAGGATATGCGTCATATCCTGCTCTTTGCACCACGCGGGAGCGCTGCGGCTCTTCTCGTCGGCGGAACATCAATACTGTGGCTACAAGACTTCCTGAGTAGCTTAAGCGTAAGTGAGGGCGTGTGTGCATGCCAAGCACCTCGATGTCTGTTACCGCCAAGCCTTTTGCCTAATAGCCGGAGGAAAAATCGAGTAGCTAGACCACGTCAGTGGGGATTATTGCTGGATGCTATCACAGCACTAAGCTTTGTTAGCTCTTCTCCACGGCCGCCAGGCGGAAGTCTCCGCATCTTCGGGCGTACTGAGAGAAGTAGTCTTGTCCAGACCTGCATGCCAGCCATCATGGTACATCCACAACCTCTACCACAGCCGATACAAGCAGCCCGCACGGGGTCCATTCGGTCTGTCTGATTGACGGAGAAAGAGAAGATAGGTCCTTTTTGGTCCTCGCAGCCCCACAGCTGCTGGCGCCAAAAGGTTCGGCCCGTTCGGCACCACCTCAACGGGTATGGAGCATACCGCTTCCAACTGCTCCTTCTGTCAAACTGCAGTGGTGAGATAACCAGCTCTTAGTTTCTCCTTCAGGCTGACATTCTCCGCGGTTACCGCCTTTTCGCCGGCGCAGTCGATATCGTCCTTCTTTCGGCACTGGGAACGTCCCGAGGATGGGTTGTGTGTGACCTGCCAACTTCGGATGACCCTTTTTTTCTGGGTCTGGCGCTCACATACGCGTCTCTAATAATCCGCAGTACGCGAGTGGCGGCGCTGGCAGGGAGAGGGCTCCTTTGATCGGATGACGTAGCGTGGTGCTCCTCCATCGGTTTCAATTTACATTGCGTGGGAGGCTGATAGATTTCCCGCCTTCTCCACTGCGGAGCTGCAGCAGGTGCCTGTTCATCAGCCACATCGGCAGCTCCGATTGTCATTCCCTCCCCCTCGACTGCGGCTGTTCGGTCTTGGGAGCGGACAGAGGAAGTGGAGAAGGGGGAAGGAAGGAACTCACCGCGTCGCTGCTCAGTTCTACATCACCAACACAGTATTGCAGCTGGTAAAAGATTTGACAAGCAAGTGTAAGTGAGTGTGATGAACAGCTTGGAAACAAAACAAAAAAAGAGCAGTCTCGAACCCGGAAATCTCTCCGTCCGGCAGCGCAACCGGCCGGGTCACTCGCATTACCCACGCCCCGCGTCTTGAAACGGGCTATACCCTTTTCTGTCACATAAACGGATGGGCAGGGTTAAAGGGCGTGCGCAGGAACCAGCGCAGCACGGACCATGTAAGGCGTGGAGGGGGACGCTTTGACGACCACGAAGCCATACCTACACTGGGTTGTGGCTTTCCGATGTGGTGTTGCGAAAGCCGGGGCACAGGGCTGAAGGGCTGAAGGAGCCCGTCGGCGGCGGAGTATTGCTCGTAAAGGCCTTCATTCCCGGCCCGGAATCCCGGTCTCCTGTGTCACTGTGCAAAAGGAGTCTCGTTAAAGACGACCATCCCATCCAGTACCCGACGACGGAACGGGCATTGTTCGGCGATACATGAGTCGTGGAGGAGTGACGACGGTCAGCAGGCGAGGCATCCTCCTTGTTTCTTTGCTCCCTGATGAGAAGATCCCCGCGTGTAACCTCGTGTTTCCTTTGGGACCAAAGGGCGGTGCGCCTGAGAATAGGGTTTTTGGTTGCGCACCACGCGGTGATGTTCGGATCCCTGGTTCATCTCCCGCAGAAAAGGCGCCCAGCCCAATGATTCGCTTCCGTGGTCCATGGCCGAATCTGTCATTCGGCACGCCGTCGTGAGTCGTAGAATGACTTCTCATTCACTTAGTTGGGTGTATCCATTTGGGAATGTCGATGGTGTTGACCTTTTTGCTAAGCCCGATGGACCTCCGACGTTCTGCGTCCACATAGGCAGAGAAATTAGAGCGCGCCTGCAGGAACCGACGACCTGTTTCAGATCCACCTTGGGGATTCTCCATTGAGATGTGAGTTTTTCCGAAAGGCCGCTCTCGAAATAGCCGTCGTCGTTCCACCCACGCCCCAGCCCGATCCTCCTATAGCGCGCGTCTGAGGTAATAGTCCCGCCGGGCCGGGAGGTTCTGGAATAGCGACGGCTGGGCAGGGGGAGAGGTGGAGCTGGGCTACGCATGCAACAGGGTTCGGCAGCATGCAAAGCATACCGGACGAGATTGAATGTTTATGCGGCTCACGCCTGTCTTACTGTGTAACCACGCCTTTATTTTTTTTTCCTTTTTCGTATAACTCAAAAACTTCCGTTTTCCCTGAATGTCGGCGAGCGCAGAGTCAATTGACCGAAGCGGATGCTGCGGATACTGTACGTCTGCCAGCTCGGTTACTCTGCTGGACGAGTTGAAACAGAGGCGAGATGGTCGAGAGACCCACCGCAACGTCTCACGCTGCCGTCCCTCTGTATTTCGTAACTCCGAGGCCGAGAGCGGTAACGCCTGGCGAGTTAAGACTGCTGATCGGGTGGTGCGTGCCTGCGCATGGCAGAAGGGTGGAGCATCGGGAGCTGGTGTCATGCCGCAGCGCGACTCGTGCCCCTGCCTACCCTTGCGGCTGCTCCCTCACATCGTGCATCCTGCATCCATCATCACAGCCACAAGGCATATTGCATGCTGTAGGGCTGCAAGCGCGGCGCAGCAATCATCCCTGTCAGTTCCCGGCAACGGCACCTTCCAGCCGCCTCAGAACTGCCCTACCGGTCAAATATTGTACCTGTCTTGACTCGCTTTCCTCTCCTAGTAATGGCGGGTAGAGAGCCAAGACGGCGGAAACAAGCGACCCTCACGAGCACCAACTCACGAGTCGTTCGTTAAACATCCAAAACCTCCCTCATATAAAGCTGGGCCGCCGGACACCAAGACTTCCCTTCTCTTCTCCAAGCAGCAGGACTCTTCTCTTCAGACCACAACAACAACACATTCTCTTCTCCACCCACCCCCACCCAACCTTTCCAAACACCAACCAGCAAAAATGGCCTCTGCTATCGCCGTCACCATCCTTACCGGAGCCGCCTCGGCCGTCATCTCCGCCGCCATCAACCAGGTGGCCCCCACCATCGCCAACCTTGGCAAGTGGGACGAGGCCCGCGAGGCCTTCACCCAGCAGACCGTCAAGGCCATGTGGGACGCCAAGACCGAGGACTACGGCGCCGCCGTCTGCTACAACATGGGCTACGAGGTCTCCAACACCAACCAGATGTACGAGAAGACCTCGGTCATGCTCGAGCAGGAGCTGCTCCACACCGACTACGACTGCTTCTTCATGAGCGGTCCTGGTAAGTCTTCTCTTCCAACCCCCCCCCCTCTTTCTTCATGCCTTTTTGTTTTTCTGACGAATTTCCTGCAGACAACCACTTCTGGACCTACGGCGATGGTGGCTACATCAACCTTGCCATCTACCACGACAGCAGCAAGTGCTGGTTCGACAGCAACACCTCCGACCTGTACTGCCCTTAAATGTGAGACGCATGTCCATGAGCCTCGGATCCACTGGATGATCGTTTTTGTCGGCTTCGGAATACAGACGCGAGCATTGGGGCGGGTTCCTTCTTCTTGGTTGTAAATATTGCAGCATTTGTTTCTTCTTCAGTTCTGTTGTGCGCTATTTTAGCAAAGTCAAAGTCAAAAAGGAGAGAATATATCCGGAAGCATGTACAGCTCCGCTTCAGATCACGGACGATTCAATGGTACTTCATGTCTTGTGTGTTGTTGTGAGATATGGTGAGATGCCTCAAATATACTAGAAAGTGAAGCTGTAGTTGAGACCCGGATCAAGACTGCGCGTAGTTCAATGGTCAATCAATGGCTCCGCTCGAGTGATTGGTCGAAATGCCACATACCTAACGAACGATCGTAAGATTTATGGCGTTGCTATTTCAGGCTCTTCCGTGACGATTCACTGACCTGTGTTGTATGTACGGTGCATAAAGTGCGATGTTTGCGAGTCAGCATGCTTTGAGGGTTGAAAGCTTGATACAAAGAAGCGCGTTGATCTTCCGGGGGCAGCATTGGCTTCATGCAGGTGTATCATAGCTTCCGATGATCTTATAATGCGATTCGCGAAGGCGTTCATCAGTGGCCTCGATCTTGTCGGATGTTGTGCCTCAGGCAATCACCTATTAGGTGGTGTCATGAGTTATGGGGTGCCTGATCCGGACGCCCCATCCTGGACAAGACAAGCCAACCACGCGCGATTCAGGATACCTGGAGATGGTAATAGTTTGGCTCATTGTGCCTTGCGTGGTTTTCGACCACAGCGGGTGCCGAAGGATCTCAGCCACCGGAGCTGACTTCCACATGCATCCAAGCTCGTTACGTTGGGAGGAGAAGCTAATGTCCAGACGTAGATGTGGAATTATTAAATATACATCTACATCCAGACGGTAGCTTCAACTCACTATGTAATTCGAGTACCGTTGCTCGCGGGAGTGGTTGCACGTGGGCGATCATTCCTTTTTGCACCTCCATATTCATCGTTCCGTCATTGATGCATGATCCGCGTGCCTCTGTGATCAAAAATCATTGCACTCTGTCGACACAATGACGGCATGTACAAGTGTAGGTGGGTGGCCTTACTACCGGACCGATGGGATATAGGAAGATGGTTCCATGACGTTTTTTCCCGACGACTATCATTCAAACCTTTTAGTTCCCGCACCAATGCCCTTGCGGGAGATAAGCTTTCAGACTAGCTGAGAGCCACGGTCTAGCGAGACAACCTGAAAGCACCCATCTGGCCGGACAAATGTAGATGCTGTTGGACAAAGTCGTACCTTCTATAAGCGGTGAGGTTGCCACAGCCTGGTGATGGGTAAAAATGTTGAGCTAGGTGGTTAAATGGCCAATAAGGCGATCGCTTGCGCATGACGTTATCTGGGTGTACCGATGTTGGGGCGATGGATTCAGAATGCGGTAGAAGAAGGAGCTGCATGAGCCGCTGTCCTTGAAGCTTGTGTCGATTAAAGCCAGTCCAAAGGTATTCCGTTATTCGCGGATGCCAGGTTGTTCAATCGGAGGCATTTCCGGCCACGGTCGAATCACACCCCTTTGGCAAGAACATTGCCGGGCATCGGCATGATTATGAGTAATCGTGTACGGTTCCGTAGCCGCCATGGCGCACTTTTGGGTGGGACGGGTCACGACCGGATATGTCGGATTTGCAGGGCTATGCGAAAACCACGCCATTGCATCCAGCCGTACCGACGAAGATTTGGGACGGTGCTGATAGGAAGGAAGGATGATGGATTCCTGTGGATGAGCGGATGTGAATCGGCATGTGCAAGTTTTTAGGCATGTGTTGAGCTGCTGCTGTGTAACGGAAAGCTGGAATCATCGTCGGGACTGCGGCAGTGACGGAGTCGCTTCCACCACCACGATGGCAGAACAATTACTGGCGGTCAAGCAGCCAGAGTGAATTTACAATCGGAATCGACTCCGATCATATGTTCCGTCCAATCACGGCTGCACGCGTCGCATAGCCAGGTACGTAACCTAGCCATTACTGACACGAGCGCGGGCCGACTTGAGCACCTCTGTTCGGAGCCTTCTCCTTACTACGTTCGAAGTTGCAAGTCCACAGGCTGCACCAAGTCAGCTGGTGGCAGCGAAGGAGGTGGACCCAACGTCCCTGCCGTTGTGCGAGATGGGCTGAACCATGATGACAGGCGGAGCATTGGCCGGCGCCGCCGTTGGTTACAGTGGTAACTCATTCCAACTCCCCGACGTGGCTAGCACATGCCTTTCTAGTGCGATCCTAAGTCGCGAGCTCCTCCACGGCACTTGAACCTCGCGTTCAGTTGTTTGTCAGGGATGGTGGCCGACAGTGGGATACGATGGCCGATCGTTGCTCTCTGTGCGAAGTCAGCACTCGCAACTTCGGAAGCACAGCCCGCTGTATTACGTGAGTTACTCGCGGCTAAAGGCCGAAAGGTCGGCATGTCGATTGCCCACCTCAACCGCACGAGAGGCAGTGAAGTTGAATGGCGTGCGTTCAAAGCAGAAGTAACTGCTGTAAAGGAGCTGTTTGATGACCGGGAACTTCTGCACACGAGACAAATGAACCATTGCTGTTTGTGTAGGTGTGATACGGCGGATTTCGCGGTCGCACGGCCATGGGCTGCTTGCGAGGCAGTCGCGCCTACCCGTTCCTTCCCTACAAGGCGCGGCCTTGACAACCTCTAATTGCTGTTCTACCTAATGCCCACCTACTACTGTTCCGCCGATCGCCGCGTTGGGATCCCTCTAGGCCTCACATCAGAACCTCCAGCTCGTACGCCTTCACTACAACTCTTCCCGTGGGGGCGCCTCCATCCACCACTATGGCGCAAGACCCAGGCGAGTTAGCCTTTGCAAGCCCTGCACGCAACCCGGAAGAGCGCAAAGCAGCCACGACGAGTTCAGAAGGGGACCAATCCATCACTCGCTCGGCCTCACTTTAGACAACATGGCCTACAACTTTGCAACGCTTGACGGCGGATGAAATCGCCAATTATCAGGACGTGGAGCCCGCCATTTTCAGTGCACTGTCGCAGATCGCAGGACTACGACATGCGCGTATCCAACGTTTGTGGGAAGAGTTTACCAAGGTGATGGACTTGGAGTAAGTTTTTATCACAGTAACATGTCAGATTTACCCACAATAACCCACCTACGCTTGACTATTTTGTCGGTTTCTCAGACGTTCTAATTACAAGCTGCAAAGGCCGTACTCAAGATGCTATTCCCTGTCTCTCTACAATCCGCGCAACTTTGAGAAGCCTCCACAAACTTTTGACATGGGATTTTGCCAAGGACTGAGGTGCCCACGACAACGCCAGAGTTGAAGCGTATCTGGACGAGGCATGTCTCAATGGTCGTCTCCTCCGCGGCGTACAGTCTGAGCAACAGTGGGTCGGGGTTCGGCTTGTGAAGGAAATGGCAACGGCGTGGATTGAGCGACGCATGTCTAGCCCAACACCATCCTGGGATATTGTTGTCCTTGATTTGCTTGCCGTCGCCCTCATTGCAGGGACTGGTGCGAGTCCTGGTGACATCTGTCCAGATCAACATCACTGGCCCGGGCGAGCTCTACGGTATCGCGATATTGCTCCCTCTCTGGATTCAAGCGGACAACAACTTTCATTGGAGTCTCTGAGAATGATCGTTCATCTGCGTCACACCAAAGGCAACAAGTTCCTACAAAGACCTCTCTTCTCTATCTGCATCCGAATTTGTCTTCTGGTTTGCTTGTATTCACTAAGACCAGCTCACCAGATCTACCGTTCCCGAGGCTCCCAAGCCTACCGTTCCCAAGGCTCCGAAAGACGTAGGTTTCCTCTCGGCCTCACGCCATCAAAACGCCATCCCTCAAGCATCAGACTCTCTAGCCCTGGCGATACGACATCGCGTCAATTACTACACTCTACCCAACAATCCCGAGGCTTTTCCCAATCTCGCCTCACTCCAGCGTGCAGATAACGAAATGTATCCTTGTCCCTTCGACTCCTGCTCAAGACAATACGCCGATATTGGTTGGCTTAGATCGTACATCAAGGTCAATCATGTCCAGACCGAAGTGTTCGAGTGCATCTACTGTCAACACTGCTTTTACGGGAAAAAGGCCGTCGAGAACCATATTACACGGCACACTACACTTCACCCCGGCTTCCCACAGCTGTGTCCCGAAGGCTGCACGGGATGTTTCCTCTACCCGGCCGATCTTGCGGACCACTACCGCCAAATCCACATGAAGCGGCACTCACAGAACAACAACTCCCGATGGGCGCCAACTGCGTGTCCGCATAAGCACTGTGCACAATCTCAGGGCTTTCTATTCGGAGACCGCTACTCCCTGCTACAGCATCTCCTCTCTGACGATCTGATGGTGGCTCGAAGGGGAGAGTGGCCCTCGTCACAAAGGCCTTTCAGTGGATGTTCAGACTGGGCTTTTGATGCTGTCGCCCCAGACCAGGAAGAGAATGATGCTGCGATTGACCCCTCCGTTGCACGCACCGCTCTTCGTCTCCACTTCATTACAACACATTGTCTGAGCCCGTCGGTATCTACCACCATCGCAGGACCATTTCTTCCGGGAGAGTGTGCTTTTGAACTATGTCGTTTCTGTTCGCCATCGGAACTCTTTGTTTCTGCGAATCAGTTGCGAGAGCATTATCGCAAACATCATCTAGAAGTGTCTGTTGCGACAGCGGATCCAGCGCCCATCACCGGTGTCATTCTATCCTCTGAAGTACCGAGTCCGCCGTTGCTGAGGCTCGCAAAACTGCTAGAAATACGGGGTTTCCTTGCCCCAGCACCATCAGAATGCAACTCTTCAGGCCAAACAATCTAACAGATCTAGTTAGCTTAATCAGAGTGAAAGCGTTAGCCCATAGATCTTAGATGAGCTTGTTAGATATGGTCCCCTCTTGTAACCGATAGCTAGCGTATATTTGTTTTTTTTTTTGCTCATGTCATGCGCAGTTGAAGCTATCGTCCGGACGAGAATGTCGAGTTAAAAATTCTACATACACGTCCGGACGATAGCTTCAACTACCCACATGTGTTGGTTTTTTTTTTTAAAAAAAAAAACAAGGCTTGAGGCATAGTTACTTACGCCCGAGGCCTTACGATTCTTCACGCTAGCTTTTGGCTGCGATAACCCTCTGTAGGTGCTGATGCGGCACGGGCCGAGGAGGCTGGGATCGTGCGAAAGACTGAAGAACACCACGTGAACACGTAACGTGGGAGGCTGTCTCGTGGTGTTGACTTCGCCGATCTTCAACGGGGCGGCTGCGGCTCCGAGAGAGTGTGGGGCGGCAGCGGACTTCGGCGCGCTGAAAAGATGCAGGCTGTGCAGAGCGGAGTCACGTGAAAAAGACAACTATGGGTGAGGGCCTGGGGCGCTAGGCAAAGATGCGTCGTTTCGCACGCGTCGGGCAAGGCGGGTGGCGGAGGAGGGTTTTTCGGCTGGGGCTGGCCCAGGGCTGACAGCTTGGGTCTACCTACCGCGGTTTGCGGCTGGAAATCTTGGCGCGGCTTCACATTTCTGTCCGCCCGTGCAAGCTGCAACATCCGCCCCCAGACATCACCCTCCGTGTCCGCCGTCAGCCCGACGACTCGCCCTCAAGCCTACCGAGCAGTGCCCGCGCGGATTTGACTATCTCGCGCTCCTCTCAGCGACCGTCTGCGCGCCACAAGCACCCAGTGCCGGCCCTTCTCCGAAGCCCTGCCCAGCGCGCCTCCCGTCGATTCCTGGACAAAGGAATCACCACTACGCTCGCCGCCTCCAAATCGCACTGCTCCGACAACTTGCACCCGCTTGCTCCTGCTTCGCGACCTGTGGCTTTCGCTAGTCATGGCTGAACCGACGCAGCTGGCTTGTGAGCTCGCCCTCCCCTGCCACCACTGCGACCAAGACGCTGACGCAACCCCAGACCGCACTTTGAAGGGCATTGGTGTCCTGAACGCCGCCCCGACCTACGACGACCTCCCGGGCTTCCAGAAGTGAGCCCTGTTCACCACCCAAATAATCCAATTGCTCGCGCTGACCCTTGTCGATAGGCCCGAGGGCAACCTTCGCTGCTGCTGCTATTCTCCTGACGGCAAGTACTTTGCCTGGGCGTCACCGGAACAGTAAGTCTCGTGCTCCACAGAGCCATCAGCGCCGTGCTAATGGTGATCCAGGGTCTCCGTCATCGACGCCGCGACCGGACATGTCGCTACCACGCTGCCCGCAGAGAACGTCTTCGAGCTCGGCTTTTCGCCCTTGGGCACTTACATCATCACCTGGCAGCGTCCTTCGAAGGACGAGAATGGAGATGCTGTCAAGAACTTGAAGGTCTGGAGGACTATCGACGACGGCGCCGGAGCTGAGGGACAGAGGAGTGTTGTCGGCCAGTTTGTGCAGAAGAACCAGACTGGCTGGAATCTGCAATACACGAGCGACGAGCGCTTCTGTGCCCGCTGCGTCACGAACGAGGTTCAGTTCTATCAGAGCGGCGACCTGAGCACTGTCTGGAACAAGCTTAGGGTTGAGGGCGTCACCGACTTCGCTGTCTCGCCGGGCAAGAACCATTCGGTTGCTGTTTTTACCCCCGAGCGCAAGGTATGTCTACTTGCTACGCCGCTTCTCATTTCTGTCTAACCTTACTTTAGGGTCAACCCGCCAGCGTCAAGGTTTTCCTTGTGCCGCAGTTCCAGTCGCCCGTTTCGCAAAAGACTTTCTTCAAGGGCGACAAGGTGCAGATGAAGTGGAACAACCTTGGCACCAGTGTCATTGTGCTTGCTCAGACCGACGTTGATAAGACCAACAAGAGCTACTATGGAGAGACGAACATGTACATTCTCAGCGCTAACGGTGGATTTGATGCGCGCATCACGCTTGGTAAGTCAGCCACGATAGACTGCGTTTTGAAGATGCTAACTTCAATAAAGACAAGGAGGGTCCTATCCATGACGTAACCTGGTCGCCCAACTCGAAGGAGTTCGGCGTCGTCTACGGATACATGCCGGCCAAGACCACCATCTTCAACCAGCGTGCAGTTGCCACGCACAACTTCCCTCTTGGTCCGCGTAACACCATCCTCTTCTCGCCTCATGGCCGCTTCGTTCTTGTCGCCGGCTTTGGAAACTTGGCTGGTCAGATGGACATCTATGATCTGGAGAAGGATTACGCCAAGGTCTGCACCATTGAAGCATCCAACTCTTCGATTTGCGAGTGGAGCCCGGATGGAAAGCACATCTTGACGGCTACCACCAGCCCGCGCCTTCGCGTGGACAACGGCATCAAGATCTACCACGTTACCGGTGGCCTCCAGTACTTCACCGAGTTCAGCGAGCTGTACCACGTTACCTGGCGTCCTCAGTCAATTGCTCAGCACCCGTTGGATAACCCGCTTGGTTCGATTCCGACCCCTCACGAATCTGCTGCCAAGTTCCTGGCTACTGTGAAGGCTCCTACCAAGCCTGCCGGTGCGTACAGGCCCCCAGGTGCTCGTGGCACCAGCACGCCTCTTCATTTCAAGCGCGAGGATGAAGGTGGTGCTGCGTACATCAACACAGGTATCTCTTCTACCAGTGGCAACATGAACGGACCCGGTTTTGGCCGTAACCGCCGTGTTGTTCCTGGTGCAGAGGAGCATGTCCCGGCAGGCGCCGCTCCTGGTGGAGGTGTCAGCCTCATGGGTACTGGCGAAGGTGCCGACGAGGGACTGTCCAAGGCTGCTTTGAAGAACAAGAAGAAGCGTGAGGCCAAGAAGGCGAAGGAGGCTGCTGAGAAGGCAGCTGGTCTCAATGCTGGACAGCAGCAAGCCAACGGAACCGGCCCTGACCGCAAGGCCCGCAGCCACTCGCGCAACCGCTCTCGCAACTCGCAAGATGGCCGCGCTCCTTCCCAGAACCGTCGCGGCAACAACCAGCAGAACCGCAATGGCCAGGGCCCCGGCCAGAATGGTCAGCGCAACGCCGCTCCGATCCAGACTCAGCAGCCCGCGCAGCAAGCTGCTGCCGCCGCTCCGGAGGTCACGGTCACTTCGCCCGTCGGTACCTCGCCTCAGGACAAGAAGATCCGGTCGCTGATGAAGAAGCTCCGCGCCATCGACGACCTGAAGATGCGCCAGGCGAACGGCGAGAAGCTCGAGGATACGCAGGTTAAGAAGATCAACACCGAAGACTCGATCAAGAAGGAGCTGGATGGGCTCGGTTTCCACGGTTGAGATAGCACCGTTGTTCGAAACAACTTCAGCAGCCTTTTCAGCCATTTTCTCTTGTCTTTTGTCTTTTAGCTTGCTTGCTTTCAACATGGGTTGATGCTTGGGGGGTTCGGTGTGGAGTTTCTTCCGGACACATTCTGCAAGCAGCGGTCATTAAGCCTTCTTTTCTCTTTTCTAGCGTTGTCAGGCGCCTTTTTCTTTTTCTTCTCTTTTCCCCTTTCACGGACCCCTTTCTACTCTGATTCTGCTTCTGGATTCGGAGGGCTCCATTGTTCACTTCATTGTGAATGGGCTTGATTGGGGTGAGTAAGGTACGCTATCATCTCCCGACAATGCTGCATAGGAGTGCAGATTGCACTAAGTGGATACGGGAAGTAGAAAGAAGGGAGATGATAAAGACTGTATGGGTGCAAATGGGAATAATCTCTCATCTCTCATGGGGGAATGGATAAGAGATCGGGTTTGGATTGGCTTGAGCGCTGTGGATGATTGATACGGGACAATGAAGGGTTATCAAAGATCAATCAGACAGAAAAGGTAGAAAACGGAAAACGGAAAACGGGAAAAAAAGAATTCAAACCGAGTCTTCACAGATGTTATAACCATGGTTCCCTGAGCAAACAAGTTTCATCTATTTCGTGCTTCATATTTCACATGCGTCACCACCATCACATCACTAGTTGAACAACTAACAAGTATAGAAGAAAAAATGTAGCAGCGCCACCCAAACCAGCGCACCGAATCCACTGAGTTCGATATCCGAAGAGACCGAGGATTCCATGCGCCCGGCGCCCAATGTACACTACAACTGCCGTCTTCCAGCGAACCGTCCTCACGCGCTTGCGCACGCTCGAGTAGCTTTCGGGAGCAGAGTAGGAGGTACATGTGGGAAAAAACGCCGTTCCGTTTGGATCTTTACCTCCGCGACATCTTTTTGTGACAAAAAGTCAAGATGGGCGGGGTTGATCCGTGGGCTGTATGCTGCGCCGTGTTTGATATATCGCGAAGAATACTGAGCAATCGAGGGCGTGACTAGGCCTAGCGCTCCACCTGACATCGCGAAAATGGAGGGAAGGGAAAAGAAAGAACACAAGGAAATGGAAAGGGCTGAAAGGGGAAGAAGACAGGGAGAAGAGGACGAGCGAGTTCTTCGTATTGTGGGCGGGAAGGCTTCGAGTGCATGTGCAGGGGGACGACGACGCGATGGCAAGACTTGACAGGAAGACTAAACGGCAGAGAGGAAAGGGACAACGGGCATGTAGTCAGGGGTATATTAGTCTCTTTTCAATGAATCTCCCTCTTAACGGGATTCGTAAGGTAAACTTTGGCACCCGTAATGGGTGATACGCATCTCCCATGCTCCGTACGCCACAGCTAAATGATCAGATACGCTCTGCACTTACCATGCCCGCAGTCAGCACCTTAGGGAAGCGCTTCACCTCGACGAGCCAAGGCTGCTCAGGCCTGCGAAGCCAACTCTCCTCACATTCTGCGCAGCAGGGCCATTGCCGAGACGCAACGGGCCTTGAGGACCACCAGCGGCGCCAGGGCCAGAGGCCATGCTGTCGAGCAGGCGGTCCATGCCGCCGATGTCGAGCTCGCCGCGCTTGAGCAGGTCCTGGTCGATGCGGTCGGGGCGATCCGTGGCGTCGAGGTCCTTGGCGAACAGGTTGCCGCCCGTCTTGGCCTCGGGGCTGATGGTGGCGAGGACGACGATGCGGCGCTCGCCGACGACGAGCAGGTCGCGCGGCACGCCCATGCGGGCGGCGGCGCCCTTGGGCTTGCCGAACTGCTCGACGTCCGTCACAGGCTCGCCGTAGAGCGAAGCGCCCTCAACGCGGGTGAGGCCGGGCCCGTAGAGGGAGCCGCTTCCGGTGCTGTGCGTGCTGCGGCCCCAGAATTGCTGCAGGTTGGGGATGCGGTACATGTCGTCGCCGTAGAAGAGGACGATCGAGTCCTCGGCCTGGCCGTTCGAAGGGGAAAATGAGCTGGAAATGGAAATGCCACCGTGGGACGAGTCGGTCGTGTTGGGAGTGATGGGGCCGTGGAAAAGCGTGTCTTCGCGTGTCCGGCGGGTATTGGGAGTCATCGGCGCGAGAGTCAGAGACTTGTTGCTGGGCTTGGCCTGAGCAAGATTTGTAGCTGCAGAAGCCTTAGGTTCAGAGCTGCTCACGTAGCCGCGGAGTGCAAATGTCGACACAGGCTTTGTGGAGGCGTTACGAGCCGTGCTGGCACCATCCAAAGCCCAGACGCCCCATTCTCCGTCAGACAGCAGTGCAACGATACTCTTGCCGTCAGACGCCCACTTGGCGTCGAGGATGGCTTTCCTCCGGGCCAGGTAAGGATTCGAGACTTTAATGTGTTTTGGAACTTCGAAGCTTGTCGAGAATGACGCGATCCACGCCCCAGGCTTGGGCTCAATGACGACATCTCTACCAGCAGATCGTGGTCGTGCTCGCGGTGGTGCCAGTGGATCATATATCTTAACAGAACCCTTGGAGTCGGCAACAAGTAGTTGAAGATGGCGAGGACTGGGAAATTGAGAAGAACTGAAGTGAACGCGGGTGGCAGGAGCGGAAAGGTATTGTGTCTGCCACGGGAAAATTGGGTCGGTGGTGAAAGAGAATTGGCTGTCTTTCAGAACGAGGGGGATGCGGAAGATGTGGAGCAGTCCAGTAACTTCAACGGAGTGAGAAGCCACAATCAGATCCCATTCCAGCGGCTCATCGCTTTGAATCAATCTCCGTGAGCGCAAGCTCTCCGTGTCGTCATCGTCATCGGAGGCATCCGCATCCATATTGATGTCCTCGGGGAAGGTGTCGGAGGTGCGTGAGCTCCATGTCATGGTAATGCCACGGGGTATTGACTGATGGCCATGCTGACCCTCAATACGGAGCACTTGTTCGCCGTAGGGCGCCTTGCTCTTGCTGCGTTCTACCGCCTTGCGAGCCTGAGACGGAGGCGTGAGTGGGAGCGTAACAACGCGTACGCTAGAGTCTGCACAGGCGACAGAAAGCACTATCCTCTCATTGAATATGGGCGGAATGAGGTTGGCCGGCCGATAGGGGGATATGGACGGAACCTGGGGAAATGACATGTAAAGAACCTCGGTACCCAGCGGGAGGTCAAGGTGCTGGACTACGGGCGGGTATGGCTCTGCCTCATCTTCCTCCTCCTCTTCCGACTCAAATTCGACGTCATCGTCGATAATTGTGGGTGGCGCTTGCGAGGGCTCGTCGTCGGTGAGGTCGACCATGACGGCGTCATTTGAGGTGCCATTGACCTTGGGCTGGCTGTCGCCGGTGGAGGCAGACTTGCGCTTCAGCGAGCGGCCGCCCCTCCATATCACGCGCAGCCCATTGCTGTGGCCATAGATGACGACGGTGGAGCCGTTCGGGGCGGTCTTGGGGTAGATTTTTGCGACATTGACGCGCTGCGGAAGGTCGTAGCTGCGGTGCGCATTAGCGGTAGGTCAGAAGCGCTGCGGAAAGATGCAGAAGTACCATAGCTGCAGTTGCTTGCCCTTGCGCAACACGCGCGGCTTCATGTCGGTAGCCATGGCGGAGAGGTAAGGATGGTGTGGGCGGCGGTGGTTGTGTGGAGACGGCAGCTTCGTCGCTGAAGCTTTGAACTTTCCCGCGTCGCGTCTCCCCGCCGCGCGCTGCTCTGCCCAAGTCCAACAACAAAACAAACCCGTCGCACCGGACCATGCCCCGCCACCCACGAAGACCTCCATGAGCCCGACAGCCCCTCCATGGCCTCCATTCGCTCTCTGGGTGTCCGCACCCCCGCCGCCCTACCATACCTAATTCAAGAGGGAATCCTGCCCGAAGACGCCCCATCCGACGCCTACACCTGGTCCACATACAGCGATGACGATGGAGAAGAGGAGGTTACTGCAACGGAATACTTTGTGGTCTGGTCGCGAGGAGGCATTATTCGCAAGGCTTACAATTTTGAGGTCGAGGGAGAGAAGGTGCTACAGGCCGTCCTCACCTGGTTTCCTTCCGGCGAGGCCAACGCCCTGCGCAACACCACTCAAGATTTGAGGCAAGATCATGGTCCGGGGACATTGTTCGCCAAAGATAGGGTTCGCGAACCCGGTTATCCTGCGCATGAGGAACCAGGGCCTAGCAAGCGTTCTCAAACAAGTGCACCGCCGGAGAAGCTTTCCCGCGCTCTGGTCGTCTTCCTTAAGACGCAGGCCCATATCTTCTTTCTTGCAGGATCCAGCCATGTAGTCAATCTGCCGTTCGAGGTGGAACGTGTCTTCCCCGCGCCTCGAGGCCTGCTCATCCAAAGAAAGCTTTCAATGCCGGATTTCATCCCAGTCAGCCCAGCAGTACCAAGGGTTCCGCCTAATTCCTTTTTCTCTCAGCTCCCAACCCAGTCCTTTTCTCAAAATTCGAATTTGTTCACGCCAATGATCAACACCTCTTTCACTACTCCCCGACGTGCTAAGTCGGGACAAGGCACTGCCTACCCTGCATCTCTTGCCGACCTCCTCAAAGTTGGGACAAGTCCGGCTGCAGATGGTTTGCCTCGCCTTTTCTCTTTTACCGACCCATTCTCCGAAATGGGGTTGGTGGTTGCCGCTCAGTCACAGGCCACTAAGAGCTCATGGTCTGTAAAGCAATCCGGGTCCAAGCCTCTTGACCCTGTAGACAGAGCTGAAGAGGTGCTTTATGTCACCAAACAGAATGAAATGTCGGATTCCGCCAACCCTGCAGACAAGCCATTGATTTTGGTTGTAACTGTCAATTATGAGAAGCGGTTCTACTCTGTCTGGTACGCATCTTACATCGAGCCCAAGCCAGCGTCAGCAAAGAAAAGTCGTCGCAGCTCCACGACCCTGTCTGTTGGTCGTTCTCGTCGGCGAAGTTCTCTCCACCCAGGAACTGGGGCTACAACGCCCGCCCTTAGGACCAGGGAAGGGACAAGAGACAGCTTCGGTGGCCCCGGCCGAGGCTACGGAACCAATTCATTCACTGCGAGCCAGACACGTGAGCCCAGCAGCGAACATCAGACTGCAGAAGAAGCATTCGCATCTCAGCTTGATCCAGAGACCGACCTCGCTAGGCAGCCTACCAGAGAATCCAGGCGCGTCAGCTCCCTACTCTCTCGAGCCGATCTTTCGAGAAGTTTCGACAAATCGGCCTTTGAGCAGGCTACGCATCGCAGCAGCATAGGAAGCAGCTTTAGTCACAGTCGAAGAGGGACATCCATTGGTGGTCATGGATTGCGTACAAGCCTTGGCCCCAGTTCTCGGCCAGCATCCCGAAAAATGAGGGCATCTACTCCGGGTGATGTTTCACAGATCAGTCTGAGCGCTGTTTCTCTGGAGGATACCTTGGACGATGATTTAGATCTTGACAATACCATCGATGATTCAGAAATCCCTGACGAGCTCCTCGGCGGTGACGGAGAAGATGCGTCTGGTCTGCAAGAGCCGATTGAGGGGCTGCGCCGGGAGCTATTGCTGGTCAAATTCTCCGAATTTCCCTTTGGTACATCCGAAAGCATCTTCCATTCTTCTGTGCATGGAAACCCAATGGTACGTTGCATCAGATCTGCCATAAGTGCATCTACTGACGCCTTTCTAGGAACCACCTAAGATTTTTACTTTAAAAGCTCCCAGGTCATTCACCGATTCCTCTCTCAATGATGGACACTTCTTTCTCTATATGATGCAAAAATCGAAAGGCGAACTTGTCGAACATGAATTCACTGTTCAACGAAGGCGGCTTACGCCAACCCCTGCATCCAATATTGGTGGCTCAAAATCAAAAGAGCCGCATAACGTCCTGATCCCGACTGCGGTCAACACTCGGCGCCAACGAGATTTCATTGATGCAATAAAAATTTGCGACAACGACATTCAACGAGTACTGTGTCTAGCCCGAGATGACTCGGGAGATTCGCTGTCCGCGGGATGGTGCCCACAGGCGCGGTACACTCTCGTTCTTCCCAGGAGATTCAGGCTGTTCAATCCTTACTCGATCGGGTTCAGCCTGCCCATGCAGGAAGCTATGGAGGACCCGAACCAGTCGATTGGAACCCCTGAAGATCTGACCGCCTTGGCGCATGCTACAAGGAACGGTAGTGTTGACATAAAGGAAGGTAACGGGCGATATCACCGCTTGCAGGTCAAACTCTGGCCACAGAATGCCATGGTATCCCGAGTCCTTTCAGCCTGCCGCTTGATCCTACCTCCACCTCAGGGCGACCATTTGCTGGCGATTTGGTGGAACATTTCCCGCAATCTGCGCAACGAAATGCGTTTTGATGTAGAATGGGCGGCTTTAGTCGCAGCCATTTTTGCCTTTGGCGTTGGCGGAATAGACCCGAAGTCAGTTCGACTCACTGACATCACGCGCTCCGTGGAGGGCACCCCGAGTAGGCGGTCACTCAGACGGCCGGCTGCTGATGACCCCTTCGAGCTGCTGTGGCGCTACCAGAGCCAGGATCCTGCCGCTAAGAGCTGGGATGGAGCCGCATGGTCTTGGGTGGAACAGACTCTGGCAGAAAAGGCTAAGCCTCGCACATCGACCAGACACTCTCTACTTTCTCCCTCGACCAACTACGGCATCAAGAGGAAAAGCGATTTCATTCCGTTCTGTGCTAAGGCTGCTCGCGATTTCCTTCAGGAGCCTTTGGCGAAGAAGATTCTTCCGGAGACAGCTGGAAGGTCGACTCGTGCTAAGCATCAGGACTCTCACGCCAACTACCTTCCATCCATCCTCGTTGCCCTGCATCTGCTGCGTGAGGAGGAAAAGTTGAATATTCTCACAAAAGACACTCGATCATCCGAGACTGGTAACCTTGCCCCTGTCCTGGCACAGCTTGGGCGCTGGCTTGATTGGGAGTTCTGGGATTGGAAGATCACCAGCCCATATGGCCTGGATGGTGCAAGTTTAGATCAGTGGGTGTTTGAAGATGGTAAGTTCCAATCTATTTTTCATGCGGCTCAACTATGGATTCGGGCAGATATCAACAACATGAGCTGACTGCTTCCAGCTTCAATTACTACCGTCACACTTCCCCACCCTCCTTGGGAGAAGCCGCCTTCGATATTCGACTGGTTGGAGAGGATGCTTGATCCGCGCAGATACCAGGGTTTCCCGACTCTTGACATGCTGGTTGGACAGCCAGAGAAACCTCAAACCTCGCACGATTCTCAGGCCCTTGCTGAAGCAGTCACTGCTTTGACTCCGCGTACAGTGGCATTGTGCAAATACCTCGCAAAGATACGACGGGGGGAACAAACACCAAGTTTGCAGGTTGAGACTATGGTGGCCAGCGGAATTGACACTCGCATGTTGGAAACATTCCCTTCGGCTGTTGTTGCTGGAATCCGTGAAGCAATTGTCGAATGCCAATCAAATCCGCCAACCACGTGGAACGAAAGGCTTCTTGAGATTGTCGGCAGAGAGGATCTCACCACGCTGCTCAGGCCAGATACTGAGTGGTCTCCAAGCTCAACTTCTTTAGTTGTGAGTATTCCCTTCCATTCGGTAGCTACATTCCTAACGGACAAAGTCTGCCCCTGGCATTGCAAGTCGCGATGTGCATACTATTTGCCAGTCCGCAGAGGCCAACGACTCCTCTCAAAGCTCTTCCGAAGCCGACAGACACATGATCACGCGGCTCATTTTCAGCGAAGACCGGCGCTACATTGAGGCCTTACGTCTTCTCGAACCACTTCGCCCTGCTGTTGCCGAGTGTATTCCGGATCCTTCCTGGACAGAAGCTGAACATCTTGATGCGCAGAAGAGCGTTATGCAATGGGTCATGCTAAGAACCTTTGCATTGCCATCAGGGCACTCGATGCTTCAATTTGATAGCAAGAGGCCTCTTGTCACGGAAAAGTACCCGCTGCATGGCTTCACAACGCTGTGCACAATGAAGCCTCTAAACAATACGGTTAGTGCCGATCGAAGCACATACACTGAGGAGAAGTTTGCATGGGCCTTCTTCCATGCGGGCGTCTCAGCCGGTCTTAGCATCTCGCGCCGCGCCAAAGGAATCGACACTTCGTGGATTGCGTACAACAAGCCTCCAGAACTGAGCAACAAACACGCAGGGTTATTGTTCGGACTCGGCTTGAACGGCCACCTCAAAAATATTGCCAAATGGCTGTCTTTCAAGTACCTTACACCCAAACATAGCATGACATCGATTGGCCTTCTCCTTGGCCTTTCTGTCTCATACATGGGCACCATGGATACTCTGGTCACCCGTTTACTCTCAGTGCACGTCACGCGTATGCTGCCACCTGGTGCGGCTGATCTCAACTTGCCTCCTCTGGCGCAGACAACTGGACTAATGGGCATCGGATTACTCTACCTGAACAGCCAGCACCGAAGAATGAGCGAGATCATGCTCTCGGAAATTGAGCATGTCGAGCTCGAGGATCCTTCGGCGCCATCAGACAACATACGAGACGAAGGATACAGACTTGCAGCTGGCTTCGCTCTTGGGTTGATCAACCTCGGCAATGGAAATGACCTCCGCGGTCTTCATGATATGCGTTTGGTTGAGCGGCTTCTTGCAGTCGCTGTCGGACCCAAGCCAGTCGATATTGTTCACGTTCTGGATCAAGCAACTGCCGGTGCTGTCATCGCCATAGCTTTGGTGTTCATGAAAACTCAGAACGCGTCGGTGGCTCGCAAGATTGACGTCCCAGATACCCTTCCTCAGTTCGATTATGTCCGTCCGGACATCTTCCTGCTCCGAACGCTTGCCAAGCATCTGATCATGTGGGACGATATTCAGGCAGACTACAAATGGATTGTTGCGAATCTTCCACCGGAGTATGGAGTCAACCACAAACTCACGGAGATCAAGGCTCTTCGAAGTGAGCATATGCCTTTTTACAACATCATGGCCGGCCTGCTTTGGAGCATCGGACTCAAGCATGCGGGTACCGGAAACACCAAAGCTCGAGACTTCCTAGTCACCTACCTCGATCAATTCATCAGACTGTGCCATCTACCCGCCATTCGATACGATGCCCGCCTCACCCGCAATACCGTGCGCAACTGCCAGGACTTGGTCGCCCTCTCAGCCGCAACCGTCATGGCCGGCACCGGCGACATCGTGGTCTTCCGCCGCCTGCGCTTGCTCCACGGCCGCGTCAGCCCAGACGTCCCGTACGGCTCGCACTTCGCCGCGCACATGGCCCTCGGCGCACTCTTCGTGGCCGGCGGCAGTTACACCTTCAGCACGTCCAACCTCGCCATCGCCGCGCTCGTCTGCGCCTTCTACCCGCTCTTCCCGACGGACGTGCTGGACAACAAAGCGCACCTGCAGGCGTTCCGGCACTTCTGGGTGCTGGCGGCGGAGCCGCGCTGCGCCGTCATCCGCGACGTCGAGACGCAGCGCGCCATCGCCATGCCGCTGGTCGTGACATTCCGCGACGGTTCGACGCGGAATGACTACACGGCGCCGTGCCTGCTGCCCGAGCTCGACTCCATCGCCACCATCCAGACCAACTCGCCCGAGCACTGGCCCGTCACGCTCGACTTCGTCGCTAACCCGGCACACCTGGCTGCGTTCAAGCGCACGCAGACCATCCACGCGCGCCGCCGGCCTGCGCACTTGTCGGCGGCGCTGGTCGCGAACGGTCAGCGCTACCAGGACCGCACCTTCAACGCTACCCTCACCGCCCTCAACGACGCGCATCTCGCTAACGCGGCTGTCGCGGCCTCCCGCGCTGGTATCCTGTGGGACTGGATCTTCTCCCTGCCTGCCCTGCGCGGCGGCGAACATCACCCTCACCCGGCGCCTGCTTCTTCTTCTTCTTCCACTTCCCCTTCGACTTTCCCCCTCCCCATCGTCAGCAAAGCGGACGTCTCCGCCCTCATCATCCCGACTGACGCCCTGCCGTCGTTTCCTGGTGCCGGCGCTGGCGCGTCTGCTGCGCTCGCGACGTCGTCGTCGACGAATTCTGGAGGTTCTGCTGCCGTTGGTGGTGGTGCGGGTGGAAGTGGAGGTGGCATCGAGTTGCTGACGGATGGCAAGACGAGTCCGGTGGACGAGCGGCTGGTGCTACGGACGGCGGCGCTGAGGGGGTGGGATGCGGATGGGTTGAGGAATTTGAGATTGCTGTTCAGGTGGGTGGAGAGGGCGGAAGAGGAGGCGGAGGAGGGTGGGGCGGCGAGTTGTCGGTGGTTGGGTAGGGAGGTGGTGGAGGGGTTGAGGGCCGTGGTTGGAGAGAGGGGGAGGGCGGTTGGTGGGGGTGTTGTGTGATTGAAGGTGGTTGAGGGAGGTGGTGAGAAGGGAGGAAGGGGGGAAAGCGGTCGAGCTGCTGATGGATGGTGAGTGGGAAGACTGGAAATCCGGTCCTTGTTTAGTTTGCGCATAGCGTGATCATCATCACGTTTCTAGGTTGAGCAGTAACAGGAAAAGTATGCTATTGTTATACCCTCCGGGGATGGTAGTACGTAACAGGACGGTGATAGATACTGAAGCGCGCTGAACGTTGCGGGGTGAACCAAGACCAAATGCTGCTGGAATGTCGTGTTAAACGGCCGTGGTAAGAAGCTGTAATGTTCGTCATGGTACTGAAGATGATGAAGTTTTCACAGTGCGAAACGATCCGGTGTAGACGCGGTATTCGGCTACTTGGAAGACATGTTCTGAGCTCGACTTTGTCCTACAATGAAGACAACCGAAGCAGTGATGTCCGTAGGAGCAGGTGAAGCGAGTGTATTGTTCGTTTAGGTGATGCACTTCGGGCCGATACTGAGCGACAGTAGCCATGTTTGTTTCCGTGTCCTGTTCTTCGGGCCGTTAGCTCCCTTGCTGCAAGGCTGACAAATGGAATATTTACCTCGAGCCCGTGTGCGAAAAGACATGCAGAGGCTGCGGAATCTTCGACGGAATATATAACCGATACAAGGAAAGACGACGGTGATGAGAAGGGTGACCAAAGCGAGTAGAGCTTCTTTCGACCATCCGGAAGATTGGGCATTGGAATCGTGGCGGTGAGGCTGAGTCGTGTTGCTGACTAAGACGCTACCCATCGCGATGTGGCTGTGCAAGATGATGGTAGACAAAAAAAGACGATTTGAGTTGACGAGGCTGTGGATTTATTATGGCGACGTTGGATGGAGATATTCCTCCCACACTCTAAATTCTGTACCGCCGCGCGGGCGAATGAAATGGCGCGCTTGGCTTGCAGGCGGTGGTGCGTTCGAACGTGGGCAATCCCTACCGACGCGAGCAAGGATCCGGGGGCCTCAGATTCGCTGTCAATCCGCACTGGCCAGTTCGCACCGCACCGCACCACCCGAATCGCACAAGGCATACACAGTACATACCCACAATGGCACCTGCTTGGTCTCAGGCAGCGGAGCAACACCGGCAGTGAGCCAGCGACCGATACATATGTAGCGGTCCCTAGCGGCTATTCCTTCGCCGACGTCAAGGACGCACGAGGTGGGCCTCTGCTATCATCGTTTCAGTGCGTTGCTGGTATTTGTACATCCAAGCGGCGGTTCGAGCCGGTTTCAGTATTCCCGCCCACACCTCGTTTCCAGTCACGTGAAACAGTGGGCCTCCGGGGAAAGAGGCTGGGCGGGGGAGCTTTTGCACCGCCGAAGTCCCACAATCCTGGAGCCTGGATCCTTTGATTCTGGACTTATGTAGTAACCGCGGGCAAGATCAGCCCTCAGACTTCCGTATGTGTAAAGAGGCAGCAGGCACCGTCCGTCAGTAAAGTGCGTGCACCCAGCCCACGCAGATGCTGGCCGCGGCGCATAGTCTGGCGGGCTCGCCCCGTCTCACCACGCATCTCGACATCGTGGGCGTAGCGAGAATCTAGCAGGCTGAGGGACGGTCGCAGCAGCAACCAACGGCCCGTAAGCGATTGGCTATTTATGCCTAGGGCCGAGATGAAACAAGCCTCCCGTTGAGCACAGGCTTCATACGAACTACACCTGCTAACCCGTGCGGATGCTGCCTAACTGCCCCAGATGATTCTCATAAGGGTAAAGAGAGAGAGCGCGCACACACATACCTCGTCTCAGAGAAGGGTTGTGTGAGGATTTGCGTGAAGGCAATTACAGGCTTACAGCGTCTATGCGATGCGGCACAAGGCTGAAAGGTGAGATTGTGGCTGAGCCTCCTGTTCTCCGATCCCGCGAAATTCTGTCACCCACCGAGACGTATTTCATGTTTCCTGCCGCTTCGAACATGTGTAGTGGTTCTCACAGCTGATCAATTCAGAGGTACCAATGGGGTAAGATAAAACAAGGAACTATCCATGAGGAGGTCAAGGTAGGAACGGTGTAATGAGGGAGGAGGCGGTGGGATCAGTGTTGTGGCCAAAACCTTAGGCTCAGCAGAAAAAAGAAAAGAACTCTATTCATATAACCTCAGGCTAATATAATACAAAAAGAAGCGATTAGCAACCTAGAAAGGCCGTGTGGGGCACGGCATGCGAGGTGTTTTTGGAGGCCCTGGAATCAAGCGGGCAGGTTACCCGACGATGGTGCTGCCTCTCATTCCCCAAACCGTCGGCAATTGCCGGTCGTGGTTGAGAATGGTGATGTTCGTTGTACTGTTGAAGATGATGAGATTCTCAAGATGTGGTGCGATTCAGTATGCACTTCAGTCACTTCCAGGAGGTGACCCGACGGATGGCCAACAGGGTAATGCTCGTGGTAATTACCACCTCCAGCGAAGGAAGGGGGCTGGCCGCTGGTGTGATGTGTTTTGACAGGCCCAGAGATGTTCGCTTCGGAGTCTTGTTCTTCATGCCATTAGTCTTTCTCCCGCAAGGCTAAGGTTTGATTCTAACCTTGACTTTGTGGTAGAATCCAGGCGCGGAGGTATCGAAATCGTTTGCGAATAATGTAACCGGCACATGGAAGAATTATTGAGACAAAGAGAGCGACCAACGCAAGAAGGGCTTCTTTAGACCAGCCGGACGACTGGACATCAGGATCATGGAGGGAAGGCTGGGACGCATTGCTTAATGAGACGTTGCCCATAGTAGTGCAGTTGCTCATGCTCGAGAGCGGCCGTGGCAAGAACGTTTAGTCGAGGGGAAATTGAAAAACAAAGGCCTCAAGAAGATATTTGTAGCAATAACGAGGGGTGGGCAGCAGGCATATATATCTAGTAGTAAACGAATTAAGGACGCGAGCATGGCGGGCGTGCCTCTTTCGCCCCCCGCAGGTGTACACAACCATTCGACGCTGCGCAGAGAGCTGGGCGCATTAGGCTTACAGGGATAGTGGTTATGTCAGAAGGGGGTTTGAGACAGCTGCTCTGGGATTCGTGGAGGTTCCTCGATAGTCAGCAAAAGGTATCTCAAGCGACTCTCTCACTGGCGAATCTCATAATACATACCGTCAGTCTCATAACTCGTCAAGGTTATATGGGCGGGCACAGCCGCAGGCCTGATCCTTGTCTCCAGAACGGCGTGCGGCCACGCTACGGTTGCAACCCATGCGACACAGCTTTCCCTGCCCGGCCGCTGCCGATCGAGGCCACGCTACGGTTGCAACCCATGCGACATAGTATTCCCTGCCCCCTACGCCCCGCGACTAGATCGAGCGCGCGCACGGAGAAAAGTGGCAGATCCCAGTCATGGCTTCGAGAAGCGTCGGCTGTGCATAACTCGGACGGCGGCAAGCACGAGCGTGGCAGATCGTCGCCAAACACGCTTCCCTGGCTGACGCGGCGGGCAGCGCGCGTTGCAGATGATAGGATGGTCGCCGCCCCAAGCCATTTTTCCTGTCCGCTTGCTTGTGCGCGATCCCTACGCCGTCGTCTGCCGCTGCCTGCCGCTGCATGTCATCGGCGAACAGCCGCCTTGTGTCACCAGCGAACAGCCTGATCCTAGCTGCTATCCTCAGATCCCGAGACGCGAGATTCCATGACGCAGGCCTAAATTCAGTCACCAGGAAACAGCGCCACGCCCATCTCACGACTGACGCGTCCCAGCCCCCGGGCACGACTACAGCGCCTTGCAAGATCGGTTTATACCCGTAAACATCATACATCTCTACTAAGCCTCCATTACTTTCTACATGAATTTTAAAAAACATCTGGTTAGAAGATAGCTCTTATTAAGCTCTATCTTTCCATATAAATTTTATTAGAATTTATAGTCTCTACGTGGTGTAAAAATGCGTTTTGTTAAAAAACAACTTCGACTCGTGTAGTGTTCCCCCTTCTACTACCCGGCGATTCCTCGGTGCGCGCCGCGAATGGCGTTATTCCGGACGGCCGTTCATAAAACCGATCTTGCAATGCCGTCCGGCGGCCGAAAGCCAAGTCGCCCGGGATGCTGCCCCAAAACGCCCGTGTCGGATCACGGTCGCTTAGAAATACCGTTTCTCTCGGCTGAGTGATAAACCGGGTCATACACACGCGGTGGCTTCGAGACAGTAACTCGGATGTAAGGGTCTGCCTACTCGGGTCACATCCAGCCGAGTTGTCTTCTGTTCTTTACTGCCATGATGGGAACCCTTTTCGCATGTCTCGCCATCACCTATCCCTTCCGGTGCCTAATCAGCGTATGCACTTCCCTCCGACCACACAGCCTTCCCTGCCTTATCGTGGAATTTTCCTCTCCGCAGCTTCTGCCTTCGCCATTTGGAACATCTAACGATATCTTCAAAGCCGCACAGTCTCCGGCGAAACATGCAATATCTCTTAGCGTAAGGCGCGAAACGGTCTAATGGCTTTCAAAGCTGATATTACCTAAACTGTTCAAATTCTTTGGAATATCTTAACTTAAGTTAGGACGTATACCACTATGGGGCTCAACTCCGGCCGTGCGTCGCGCAGCCCGCCGTCTGAGTTTGGAGTAGTCATTGCTGCTCATTTCGTCTGAATGTATTGGAGCAAGGCTGGCTTTCACTTCAAAAAATTCAAAGCCACCAAGTTGTTTATAATCTCTTGATTTGTTCATCTATCAGCTATCGCCTCGGAAGTCCTTGCTAAACCAGTTTTACTTGTAGTCGTCAAAGCAACGCTGCGCAGGCGTTCCCTGTACCTGTCCGTCGGCCATGAGAACCGATACACAACACTTTTCATGCGGAGCCTCAACACCCAACTTCACCGTTCTGCAATCCCCAGAGTTCCTCCCAGTCTGAGTTTTGGGCGCGTGATGTATCGAAGGGGCAATCATAGGAGGACAGCTCGACAAGATCGGTGTCTTGCGCGCGTCGTGGGCCTGCCGCCTCTAAATCTGGCTCTGCTTTGCGTTAATTGCTTTCCGTTGGCCGAGAACGAGGGGCTACCGGCTCACCAGGCTGACGTTTTGTGCGACAGCGCCACAAATTTCCAACCTTGTGGCGCAGGAAATAGGCAGCCACTGGTAGAATTGCCGAGGTCATCAGTCCTGTCAAAGCGATGAGGGCTTCTTTCGACCAGCCATTCGAAGTATCGCTTGTCAAGGCAGACCTTGTCAAGATAAGCACCGGAAAAAATGTGGTCTCTGCTTAGACGTGAGTACTGAACTTATGGGGTTGTCATGTTGCTCACTGAAGGTTACTTGCCATTCATGCGATCCATGTCCTCATTCACCAGGACTTCAGTCATTGTCTTTTTTCTCACAAGAGTCAGACAGAAATAATACTGCTTGTTCATATGTGAGTGTGAATATTCTATTCACAATAGTTGAAGGTTGCTGTGGTGGAACGAAGGTTGTGGTGGGCGAGTATGGTATTAAAGCATATAACAGAGTGCGAGTCTTGTTGGCGCGGAAAAAGAAGTTGTAATGTCTGATACAGAGCCGCAGAATGCTACTGTTTGAATTGGTCTATAGCTGTCACTGTGAAACAAAAAGCATCAATTGATGTACCACGCGTCTTGGGTGCGGTGATGCGGGAAATATATATCTTTATGAGGAGCTTGGGTCTGGACGGCGTTAGCGAAGCTCTTTCCGCTGCCACCACTCCTTAGTTTGCCGCGGCCAGCGCAAGCCGGCAACCCTGCGCCCGCGCATGACCAACCGCGCGCCGCTGTCAGCAGGTTGCGCACGCTCACCGTCGAGCGCACCCGAGCAGCTGCATTAGTGAGCTCGACGATCGCAGTCCTCACGTACCTCGCTAATCACGCTACGCAGTCAGCCCCAGCCCAAGGCCTCTGCCAGAACAGCTTACATACCACTGGCTCCGGCCGAGCTGTCTCGGTCCAGAGTTCGGGATTCGTCTTGAAAGCAACACGCGCGCGGTCGAGCGGCCGCACCGCCATCAAATGAAGCCTTGTCACTGGGAAGTTTCACTTCAAGTTTGATTGTCTATAATTCAATGTAGAAAAACGGAACCTACTCGGAACACATAATGCATACCCCTCACGCGCTGTGAATATATTCGTGGGTTCCCAAGATGGATGCTCATGAATTGGTATCCCTTCCAGCGGAAACAAAAGTATCTTCATGAATAAAGAAGGCACCAGTCTGCAATTTCAATCTTATCAAAATCTGCCTTGCAGATACATCTGAGCTAGCAGCCTGATGTTGGAAGCCGCTGACAACCGGACAAGGTGGGGATTTTCTTAGTCGGGGGCTCTCACGTCAGCCAATTCCGCTTTGAACATTCCGCATATCACCGGCTGCAGGGGTCTTCTCAATCTTTAGTTCTGATACAGGAGGGCATTACAGCCTAATTCCAGCGCGAGCTATAGCAAGACCTCCAGACAGGGGATAACTATACCCATACGGGCGATTTCATAGGTCGAACTCATGGGCATCTGCTGTTTCTGGAGTTTCTCATACACAGAAACAAGATTACGCTAGCTTTCAGCTGCATATCCTCCTGTATACTGAGGCGCCCTAAACTCACCGGCCCGCAGAAATTAATATTGTTGCATTCAAGAGTAGCTGGATTCTTTAATTGGCTCACAAGTGCTTTCAATCATTCTTATTGATCCGGAACTCGGCTCCCCCTTTGTAATCTGTCTAAATGTATACATCGAATTACCTCTCCGACCAGAGAGGACAGCCTCAAACCTTACCGCAGTTGAGGCTCGCAGCATCATGCATCATCAACCTTTCTCGCCGCACCAATATTCTCTTGATTATCTCATTGACCTCAATTTTCAATCGCAGTCGTATCAACTCCAATGGTGATGTAGCCAACCATGCCATTTTCGACATTCTCGCCATCCAAAGGAACAACGCTGATGACGGGGTTGTACCCGCCCACCGTATCCTGATCGAAGACCGAATCAGCGGCGTTGGTGGTACGGTTAATCTCCGTGTGGAAAGAATACGGCTCCAGGGCCATGATCTGCTGCTCAAGAGCCTCTTCAAAGTACAGCTGTCCCGTGGAGACAATGTTCCCCGAGGTAACGGTGCCATTAGCATGAAGAGTCCAGTCGGTGTAAACTATTCAGAGCCCCATGTTAGTGACTGGCCCTTCAAACGGCAACAAGAATCCTAACCTTGAGCGTGAATGTGGATGGCGCGCTCGACGTAGAAGCCGGGGAAGATGGTCCTCATCTCCATCATGCCGTTCTCGTTGGTCGGCCACATGCCGCGCAGCCAGGTAGTGTCATCGGTGTGCAAGTCGGTCACGCCGATCTCGAAATCGGTGATGTTCAGCTCCTGCAGGAGGAAGGGGAAGCCGGTGTTGGGAGACAGTCCGGTAAAGCTGGAATAGCTGCCCGTGGCGTTGCAGTGCCAGAACGAGATGAGAGCGTTCGGAAGCGGCTCGCAGGTCGCCATATCGATGAGCCCGACGTCGAGCCACAGCGGCACGCCGGGCTGATCCTCGGCCATGTCCTGGCGGAGCGTTTGGGATCTGGAAGGTTGAGTGAGCGTTCGGAAATGCCAAATAGCTATGAGGATTTACCTCGGCCACACATAAGGACCCTCGGTCACCTCTGGGCTCAGCACGCAAGTATCGTTCTGGATGACATCGTAGTACGGAGCCTCGGTGGTGATCTGGTAAGTGGTGTTGCCAGAGCGTGCGGCGAGATCACGCTTTGCTTTTGCGCGAGTGTTGTAACGCTTTTCGTTCAGACTTCCCACGGCGCTTGCACAACGTTTGGAAAGGTGCGAGCGGCGCGCCAGCTCAGATTGAGGGACGTGGTGGCCTCCGGGGTGGGCTGAAGCTTGAGCAGCGACCAATGCGACTGCAGTAACAAACGAAGAAAGCTTCATGATGAATGAAATGGAAGGATGAGGCCGGGCAGAATTTGGGATTCAATGACCCATTCGTTCTTTCCGGAACTTTTAAAGACCATCTTCCATTATGTGGGTCATTATTGCGACCTGCTCCCTATTGTCCTTGGCAGCGTCGTCATTGATATGTACAAGGGATTCTCGAATGAAACGAATGCTTACCCTGTCGTTTCCGGTGCTTAGCTGGGATTCCCGTGCTGGAGAACCAATCAAAGCCCCGCAAACTAACAAGGTGGGCAGCCGGGCCGTTCATAGGGGCCTTGGATCTCCACGTTTCGGGGCTCGGGGTTACTTGGGTCATAGCCGTATCAGTGCGTAATAGTTAGTGTTCGTCGATGATTGGTCATTGCCATATACCACAGACCCAAACATCGTTTACTCGACGTAAAACAGAAGTTCTGATTGGCCCGGCATTTGATCTGCCGACGACGCGTATAGGGCTTACGCACTCCTCCATCACAACCATCTAGAACAACACGCGTCCACTGTTAGAGCCGGCAGTACAAGCCGGACTGGCAGTCTTGGTGAGCTTAACTCCACCTCAGTGGCCCATACACTCCTCCAACATTTATAGGTAGTTAAAGCCATCATCCGGATGTAAATAATTATGAATTCACGTCGGGATGATAGCTTCAACTACCCATGGTATGAGCGAAAAATAAATTCACGCTAGCCGTCGACTGCAATACCCCAATATTTATTACCATCCTACTATATAACTGCCCGCACTATTACTACCTACGATGATGAGAATTACTTCAAATACAACTCAGCTAATCGTAGCGCGAAAATACATTAAGCGGACTAGACATAAGTAGTATTGCCATGGGGAAGTCAAAATCTGCATTTGGGGGAGTCAAATCTCGAGATGGGGGAGTCAATTTTCTACATCTACTGAAGTCTATGGAAAGTCCGTTCTACTTTTTTCTGTCCTGTCCATAACCTTCCAGCATCCCTTCAGTACGAGTTCAACACCTCAGGTCCTGGCACAATCTCCTTCACCGTCTTGCCGAATGCCTCGGCGGCATACTCCAGAACCTTTTGAGACAGCGGGCCATCCACATCCTGGTTGCCATAGTAGACCGCCTCGCGCCTGCTCTCCGTCACGGCGTGCTGCAGCCCCTCTCGGACGGACTGCGCCCTCTCCCTCGTATCCTCATCGTCCATGGTCATCGCATCGTAGCGGAAATGAGTCTCCCACTTGCCGCACCAGTAGACGCCGTTCGACCGACCCCCTCGACCGACAGTGTAGATGCGACGGCCCAAGAAGTCGTTGTACGCACCCACATACCTGCAAGGGATGAAGAAGAAGAGCTTGTCCGCGAACTCCGGGTGCAGCTCCCAGAGCTGCTCCAGGTACGCGCGCTGGAGGTGAGGGAGAAACGTCTGCATCATCCGGAAGACGGTCGTCCAGCTCTCGTTGACGAGGTAGAGCTTGGTGAGGCTGAGCTCGGTCAGTTGGTGCCTGTGCTTGTTGAGGAAATGAGCGAGGATGGACACGCTCATGATCATGTTGCCGAGGTGGAGCTCCTCCAAGGTCGTGGGTAGACCGCGCAGGAGCTTGCGTACGAAGCCGAGGGTGAATTCGTCTCCAGGCGCGGCGAAGAGGTGCAGGGAGGAAAGCTTCGGCATGGCGGAGATGAAGTCGAGTATCATCCTTGGGCCCTGGTCTTTGGTGAATCCTTCTGGAGCGAGGTTGCGCTTGAAGATCACCTTGTTCTTGTAACCGAGTTGGGCGAATTCGCCGGTGGTCAGCGACAAGTGGAGATGCTTGATCGTCGACAGTGAGCCTGCCAACTTGGTGAACAAAGGTTCCGGGAGGTTGAGCGACCAAATGCCGACTTCGTCGTATGGTGCGCAGTAATGACTCGTTCTGCTAACTCCGAATGCTTCCAGAGGAACGGGTCGGGAAGCAAGAGCGTCGAAGACGGTCCTGAGAGCAGCTGAGCGCATCTCGCACTCCTCTCCTGGCTTGAACCTGCCTAGACGGCTTGAAGAGATTTGCGGAGGAAATCCGAAGTTTCCGACGTAGATCTTGCGAAGATTGGGAAGTCGGCCAAGGATCTTCTCCAAAAGCCTAACATTCTCTCCGGTCGCTCTTGCCCGTTCTTGTTCCATGTACCTCTTGTAGACGTACATGTACTTCCTCTCGTCGCTGCTCAGGCGAGTTTTGACCTGACCCCAGTTCACTGGGTCCTCCAAGGCTTTGGGGTTGGAACCATAACCCTTGCATTTGCGAAGACGCTCTCTCACATAGATTGCGCTGATATGCCCGACTTTGACGTATAGCGAAGAGATGGTGTCAGTGATGAGTCCACTGGCGGTAGATGCGCACAAGGACTGCAGGCCGGGGTAGGACAACCAAACTTTGGCGATGCCGGTCCTTCCGAGATAGCTGGTCTTGAGGAGGCGGAGGTACGCGTTGGTGAGCTTTGCGTGGAGCTTCTTGCTGGTGCGGCGCAGACTCATGATATCCGTGACGGTGAGGCTTCGCAAGAAGGCAATATTGCCGCGGCAGCGCCACACTCTCAGGCACTTGTGATCTGTCTCACGCACGCTTTCGACTCTCAGGCAGTCGTTAATGTCTTTGCCGCACACGTAGCAAATGCCGGTGTCGATGGTGGAACCGGCTTGGTGCTCCACATTGCCTTGCGAAAACTCCAAACCACTCGCCTGCTCTTGCTCAACGTTACTCTCGGGAGCGTCGTTGTTGCTGCTGAGGGATGGGGATGACGGGTGCTTCAGCCGGTTGATGCGTTCCTCCTCAGAATATAGTTGCTTCTCGTCGGGGTCGGATTGTACTCTGATGACGATCTCGAGGACATCCTCACAGAGGTCCTCCAAGGTTGTCGGCATCGTGTATGCTGACGGGAGGGAATGCGCTGGTGCTTTTGGAAAGTCAGTGGAGTGCGACAGGTGCTTGGTAGTAGCAAGTACCTACAGTGCAGAAGAAGCGTCGGGGTGGACGGAGTCAATCTTGGGGCCGGCTTGTCCAAGGGTGGTTACCCTGTCAGAGGAGGATGTCGGGGGAAGGGAGGAGGGTGGAAGAAAGAGGTTCTTATATAGCCGTGGGGAAGGGACGCCGCCTGGTGACAGCCCATTAACACTGAAGGTCAATGCTGTGAACACCCTGGCCCAGCAACGAGCGATAACACCTGTTCCTCAACAAGTCCCATGTTCGCCCAATTGCCTGGTCGGATTCAAGAAATATTGAACTTGCGGCTGCTTCATCGCCTCCGCTTTATATTAAAGAAATGCGGCTGCATGACAACCGGGCGCCACGGCCACTTGAATATATAACAGGTCATTCCCAGCAGCACACCCGGCGAATGGAGAGGATGCTCGTGTGTTTTGTTCATTCTCCGGGGATCATGCATTCGTACTGTTATGCCAATATATATATGTGACTTAAGTTTGTCTCTTGACGTTTTCGGGCAAATGCACAATCAAAATGGCACTCTTGCGTGCCCAAGGAACAACTAGCAACATTTGAAGCCAGACGGCCAATTGCTTGCTAGATAATAGATGGCTTCTACAAGTTTGACTCTCCCCCAAGCAATAACACTTCTACCTAGTGAATGGAATGTATTTTCACGCTGCTATCAACTTACTTACACTCACGCTACTACGAAAAAGTCACATGTATACGAGCATTACCATCGTGAAGTGGATTCTCCATTGTGTAGCAGAACTATGGAAATGTCAAGCCAGCTGCTGTTCCTTCAGACGCTGCATAGTTCCGACACAACTCTCACAAAGGCGGCGCCAGCGGGACCAACCGCCTTTGTCCCTCATCCACATCCCTGCTCAGCTGCTCCCCCAGCCAGATGGGCTGCGCCTCATGCGTCTTGTCCTCAACCTCGACTATCTGGTTCCCAGCAACGTAAAACGACTTCCCATTGACGTCCGGCCGAACGACAGGCAGCAGCAAAGCGCGAGCGGGGCCCTCAGGCTTATTCCGCGGCAGCTCTCCCCAGACATCGTAAAACTCACGGAGGAGCATGGGCGTTTCTGTAGGAGAAATCAGCTTGACATCTGCATGCGAGAGCAAGGCCGGCAAACGGATGCCGCTTTGCCCTCATGGAGAGGATGCGCAAAAAAAAAAAAAAAAAAAAAAAAACTCACCAGTCATCCACGGCGCAACCATATTCACCGTCACGCCCCTCGCCTTGACCTGCGTCCGCAACCCCCGCAGCAAGCCCAGCACACCCATCTTGCTCGCGCAGTAGAGATGCAGCGGCGGGCAGTCTATGAAGCTAGCAGCCGAGCCGGTCATGACGAGCTGCCTCCTAGTGAGGCTGCTGCCATCATCATTACCGCCGGCGCACTTCTTAAAATAGTGCAGGGCGGCCTTGGCCATGTAGATCTGGCCGGTCAGGTTGACGTCGACGGTCTTCAGGTCGGGGGCAAGGAGCTTGCCGGTGGCCGGGTCGACGGCGTCGATGGTGGCGGCGAAGTCTTCGGTGTTGATGCCGGCGTTGGAGAGGACGGCGTGGAGGGTGGAGAAGGTGTTGATGGTGGCGTCGAAGAGGGAGAGGACCGAGTCCCAGTTGGAGACGTCGGTTTTGTGGAAGAGGACGTGGGCCGGGCTTCGCGGTCAGTGTGTGTGTGCGGGATGGGATGGTTTGGTTGGGAGGATGCGCACTCGTCGAGCTCTGATTTCAAGGCTTCTCCGTCCTTTTCGTTCCAGTCTGCGATGGCGACATTGGCGCCGTATTCTGCAGTGATGGTCTTCATTCAGTATGATTCTTCTCCGGGAGGGAGGAATTGGGACTCACTATGCGCTATTTGAGCAGCAGCGCGGCCGATTCCAGATGCTGCACCAGTGATAATAATGGTCTTTCCCTTCAGGGCTTTGAATTCAGAATCATCGAGGTCGTAAGTCGTCATCTCTGTACCGGAAATTATGAGTATCGTGTTGCTGCAGTTGGTTTGCAACCTCGACAAAGAAAATCAAGGAGAGGCACACCAAGGGCCTCTCACAATCCAGCGACTCCATGATACCCCTCCTCAGAGTAAGGATGGAGGTTAGCTGTTCCGGCTAGAAAGCCTGCATCCCATCCGCTGGAGAATACCCCATTGCTCGGGTGAGAACTAGACGTAAATCCGACGCGGGCACTAGCAAGCTAGAAATCCGAGGCACATGTCGAAGACGGAAAGGCTCCCGCTCACGATCCCCAATGGTGCCCCGCGCAGTGTTGATGCAGGGTGGGGCTCGTCTCGAAATGAGGGGGAAGGAGTTGCCCCGCACTGCCGCCCGCCCTGAGCTACCCCTCATGGCCCAAGCTCCAACACCTGCATCCCGGCATCCCGTCAAACACGTGAATTCTCGCTTCCAAAAGCTCGTTTTGGACAGCTTGAGGGAAGCCGGGATGTTTGGTGTGAGAATGTAGAAATGCCATTGAAGCATTGGCATTTCCGAATGCAGTAATATTACTCCCTCAAGCTCCATCCATCCCTCTCCTGTGATAATCCAGCCATCCTTTCACCCATTGACCTCGGCTTTCTACAGAGCCCAGGGCAGCGACATCGGCGCTTTCTTTCCTCCATCAACACCGTCCATCCATCTCCCCCATCACCACCGCCCTCCCACATCCAGAACCACCCCCAACCACCCCCAACCACTACCACAATGTCGACCCCCACCCCAGATGAAATCGCCGCCGCCCACGCCACCCTCCGCGCCGCCGGCACCGCCATGCGCCGGCAAGTCGCCGGTCCCGCACACGTCGACCGCACCCTCGCATCCACGACGTCGTTCGGGCAGCCGATGCAGGAGCTAGCAACAGAAGCAGCGTGGGGGTCGGTGTGGACGCGGCCGGGACTCTCGTTAAAACAGCGCAGCCTGCTGAACGTGGCCATGCTGTGCGCGCTCAACCGCGCGCCCGAGCTGGCCGTGCACGTGCGCGGCGCGTTTCGCAACGGGTGTACGGAGGTCGAGGTGCGCGAGACGGTGTTGCAGGCGAGTGTGTACGCTGGGATGCCGGCGGGGATGGAGGTGAGTTTTTTTTTTTCTCTTTGGGTTGCTTTTGTTGGTGGGGTGCGGGCTGATTTGGAACAGGGCTTTAGGGTTGCGGAGAGGGTGTTGAATGAGGTGCGGGCGGAGGGCATTGTGGTTGAGAAGGGGGAGTGATGGGGGGGTTGGGAATAGGTGTCAGTCGTCCGGGATGGGCAGATGCGGAAGAGCTGTCAAATTTGTATTTGTATGTCTGCATTGGATAATGTATGGAGAAGAAACTAAGGATATCCTACTTAGGAATTCAATTGCCTGCTCGGTACGCAACACTGATTTTCGCTCAACCATCACAGTCCAACTTCCCCTTGCGGTAGCTTTCAGTCATTTTCAGTCAGGCCATGTTATCCTGCCTCCTTATGAACTCAACTGCCAATCTTCAACCCCTTCGCTGCCTTCGCCAGAATGTCGTCAACCTCGGCCTTGTGGCTCGAAAAGTTGTCAACCAGATTGTCCCACATCTTAGGCTCGTGCTCGTGCTTCTTGTCGCTGTTCCAGGCGTAGTCAGTGATGGTAAAGGGGCGGCTGCTCTCGAACATGAACGCGATGCTAGCCAGCGAGATCTGCACCTGGGGCTGCTCGTTCTCAGACGCAGCCTTGAACTGCTCGTACGCCACACCATGCGGCACCATTCCGCACTCAAACGAGATGCTCCCCGGGCGGAACTCGTCGGAGCGGCCGCCGTAGTCGCCGTAGATGAGGCCCATCAGCTCCGACGCGACGTTGCGGTGGTAGTACGGAGGCCGGTACGTGTGGCTGGCGACGTCCCAGCGGGGCGAGAAGATGAGGAAGTCGGCGAGGGGCGCGTGCGGGTCGCGCGAGGGCGCCGTCAGCACGCAGAAGATCGAAGGGTCGATGTGGTCGACCGAGATGCTGCCCACGTTGACGAACTTGGTCAGGTCGTACTTGTACGGCACGTAGTTGCCGTGCCACGCCACCACGTCGAACGGGCTGTGGTTCTGCGTGCTGCGGAAGTACTTGCCGCCCAGCTTGTACACCACCTCCCACGGGTCGTTCTGCGTCACCTCGTACGCCGCCACCGGGTGCAGGAAGTCCCGCGGGTTGGCCAGCCCGTTGGCGCCTAGCGGTCCCAGCCCCGGAAGCTCCCAGTTCGAGCCCCAGACTTCGAGGATGTAGCCGCGTGTGGGGCCTTCGACTTTGACCTTGAAGCGTTGGCCGCGCTGGATCACGCAGATCTCGCCGGGCTGGACGTACAGGTGTCCGAATTCGGTTTGGATGTCCAGGGCGCCCTGCTGCGGCACGATGAGCATTTCGCCATCGCTGTTGACGAAGGCCTTCTTCTCCATGCTCTTGTTGGCAAGGTACACATGAGTGGCTAAGCCTTCGCGTAGGGTGGGATCGCCACTGCCCGCAACCGTCTTGAGGCCCGTCGTGAAATCCGTGGGCTCTCCCTCAGGAATATCAAACGGCAGCCACGCCAGCTGAGTGGGCGAGATATGCACTCGCGGGTTGATTGTCAGGAAATTCGTTTCTGTATCTTTGAGGTCTGGCAAATCCGTCTGACAACCATCAGTCCCTCCGTTCTTAACAACAATGCAACACGCTACTTACGAAACCCTGGTGTGCGACAGCCGGACGCGCACGATAGAGCCAGGAGCGCTTGTTCGTATGTCTGGGGGCGACGAATGCCGTGCCTGTCATCTGCTCTGCGTAGAGCCCAAAACGCACATGGCGAGGACTATTTTGACCCTGGGGAATGGTGCCAGGGACTGCCTCGGATTCGAAATGATTGTTGAACCCCGGCTGATACTTGTAGGGATCATTCTTTCTGGTGCCAAAAGACGGTATTTCCCCATTCTTCTGGGTCTCGGCCCAGTGGAAGATCTTCTGGTACTCTTTCGGGTCGCTGAGTTGCGTCGGCATGGTGTCTGGGTTGAATTGGACCAAACTTTAGGCGTGGGGAGAGAGGATTGCAATTTGCACGGGTCTAGACGGCATGTGCAGGCCTCTGCATTTTATTTTCCAGCATCTAAGCTTGTTGTTGTTAGTCGGCAGTTGCGCGTCGGAAGTTGACGTCGTACGCGTTACAGCTGACGGGGACCCGCAGCGGGGAAGAGGAGGATGTGGGGTATGGGGGGAGCTTGAGCTAAACCATCAGCAACCCGTGTTATCCGTATCGTTCGCCGCCGTAAATTCTGGTACGTCTCTCAGAGTCGCTGCTGAATAGACGCATCCTCTAAATTTTGTTCTGAAACGCCTCGTCTTCTGTCTGAGAGCATCCCCCACCAGAAGCATCACCTACCCGATCCGGCTGGACTTATACCGAAACTCTATATCCGACAAGTGGAGAAATATTGCATTACTCAGACCATGGCGTTACTCCCGAACCAGCCTGGCCAGACCTTTGTCACCGTGTCTCCTATTGCCGCAGGATTTATTACTCTCCCTGACAAATACTTTGTTCATCCAGCTGATGCCGACGCCAAGCGGACAGTCCCCTCTTTGGCGTTCCTCATCACCCATCCCGGTTCCGACGTCTTTGACAACAACAACAAAAATCCTCTCAGGTTGATGTTCGACCTCGGACTGCGCTCGAAAGAGGGGCGATACATGCATGTTCAGCAAAAGCATCTCAGCGGACGACAACCATACCGATTACATGGCGCGGCGGAACAGCTGAAAGCTGGCGGGATTGCACCGGAGGACATTGATGTGGTCCTATTGAGCCATGTACACTATGACCATCATGGCGACCCGGAAGATTTTCCGAATGCGCTCTTCCTGGTGGGCCACGGAGCATTGGATGTCCTCAAGCACGGTTTGTCGAGCAAAGGTTCTCACCAGCATTTCGACCCGAATCTATTGCCAGAAGGGAGAGCGGAGGAACTGCCTGCGATGGGCAAAAAAGGTCGTAAGAGTTGGCAGTGGGCAGAGTTGGGACCATTTCCAGCGGCGCTGGATTTGCTTGGCGACGGAAGCATCTATGCGATCGATACGCCGGGCCATTTGCCGGGACACGTGAACCTGCTGTGCCGCACCGGCCCGCAGTCCTGGGTATACTTGGCGGGCGACGCGTACCATGACAGCCGGCTGCTTACCGGGGAGAAGGAGATTGGTTGCTGGACTGATGACTCTGGCGAGACGTTATGCATCCATCTAGACAAGTCTGCGGCGAGCGAGTCGATTCAGCGGCTGAGAAAGCTGGCTGAGAACAGAGACGTGGAGCTGGTCGCAGCACATGATGATGGCTGGTATGAACGGAACAAAGCTAGGATGTTTCCTGCGAACTTGTAGATTCTGCGAATAGATGAGGCTCTAATCGTAAAGGAATGGCCGAAAAAAGAGTGTGACGAGGTAGGTAAGGGCGCCGCCAGGCAAAGCATAAACGCCTGTCTGACGTCAGAGGCAAGACTCAATGCATATCCTTGGTGTCCCTGATGAACTCTGGCGTTTTTCAGACGATGCAGAGGTAGTACTCCGCAACGGAAAAGAGTTGGTTGCAGGACGCAAAGAGGGAAGGCACGTGCGTTGGACAAGTTTCCCCGCAAGTCAAGGAAATCGTGGCCGGTTTGTTCCCCAACTTGTCTCCCACGCATCAACCCCTCACGCTACGCCATCATCCGCGGGGACAAAATGACGGCACACTGGCGCTTTTTGCGCTACTTGTCAGCCTCATCTCATCCGAGTTGATTCCCGTACTCTCCTTGTCGCTCAGCATGGCACCCTCTTTCGACTCCATTGGCTTCATCGGCTTGGGCATCATGGGGTTTCCCATGCTCGAAAACCTCATCCAAAAATTACCAAATGACATGCGGTATTATGTATACGATGTATCGACGCCTGCTATGGACGCCTTTTGCGCGCAACATCCAACAAAAGTCCATGCATGTGCCAATGCCCGAGAAGTCGCGGACAAGTCGGTAGTTTCCCTCGTTATCGGACAACATGCTGTTGCTATCAGCTAACTAAAACAGAGCGTAATCCTATCAATGGTACCAGAAGGCTCGCACGTTCGCGCCGTGTACCTGACTCCCGATACCGGCGTCCTCGCAGCAAACGTCGACGGCAAGCTCCTCATCGACTGCTCCACCATCGACACAGCCACTTCCGTCGAAGTCCGTGACAAAGCAAAGTCACTCTATCCCTCCGCATCTTTCTACGATGCCCCCGTCTCCGGCGGCCAGCTCGGCGCGCAGAAAGCCACGCTGACCTTCATGCTCGGTTGTGCGCGCCGAGACCCCAACTTCCCGCGTATACACGAATTGCTTAGCAAGATGGGCGCCTCCGTGTTTCCCTGCGGCGGACCTTCTCTCGGTCTGACGGCCAAGCTCTGCAACAACTACTGCAGTGGATTGATAGCCATTGCGACCTCGGAAGCGATGAATATCGGCATCGCTTCTGGCATGGATCCTCGCGTGTTGAAGGACATCTTTCATACCAGCACTGCCCAGAGCGCCATCTTGGATAAATGGTGCCCGGTACCAGGAATCGTGCCTGATGTTCCTTCGAGCAATGGGTATAAAGGAGGATTCAAGGTTCAGCTCATGCGTAAGGATTTCGGCCTTGCTGTTGATACTGCGAAGAGGTTAGGCGTTAAGCTGGCTTTGGGTGATGCGGGCTTGGAAACCTACACAGCAACCATGAATGACCCACGCTTTAGAGACCTGGACTCCCGAGTGGTGTACCGTTACCTAGGTGGCCGCGACGACTGGAAGAAGGACTTTGACGATGTTGACTGAGGTACGCCATGGTATCCGGTCCAAGAGAGAAATGATTAGAGTTACGTTTAAAGTCCTCGCTCTTGGAAGTAAGACAATCCATCTATACAACTCAGCGCCATGTATTTTTTGTTCCCCATTACATTGTCGGCATCGTGACTCCAATCGGGCCTATCAACTGACTCGAAGAAGTAAAGCAGCCCACAGAAATCATCCCAGAAGAGCAACAACGTGGCTCATCAAACAACATTCTCCGCATGCCCCACAGATAAAGAGCCGCAAACCCACCTGCCAAAACCAAGAATAAACAACCCGATCTCGGAAGTGTTTCGAAAGCATGAGGGATCCCCGTTCCACCTTCCTTTGTGATATATCCGAGCCCCGCACCACCTACCCCGCCCGCTTCGACCTGTTTACCTAAAACGTCATCACTACAGGCCTGCTGTCAAGCATACCCGAGGGTCCAATAGCCGATTCGTCGTCGGGTTCTAAATCAACTGCCGGATGGCGTTCGTAGAGCCAAATCTGCAACCATAAGCTTTCTGTATATCCGATCCGACGGTGGTTGGACACGAGTTGTGCTAGTGAAGAAGCTTATTTCCCCAGATTCTCTCCGAGTTTGTTTTAGAGGCTGCATCCAATTGTTTTTACTGCCAAGAGGCGTTGAAACGTTTTATCATCGTCTTCGGATTTGTGTCTCCACACCGCAGCTCCTGGCGATTGAAATTTCCATCTTCTCGCCATCACAACTTCTTGCCCATCCCCACGAACACGCAGAGATTTTTTTTTTCGTGCTCTACACCAACAGCACTGGGTCAATTCCGAAAAGGGTAACAGCCCCACTCAAAGGAAACAACAGAAGAGAAATAGAGGGTAAGATATAGCGAAAAAGAACTTACCACAACCTGCTGCCACAACTAACCCGAGGAACAGAAAAGAAAAAGAAAGAAAAAGAGTCAGCAATGCCAATCAACCACGTCATCATCTCCGGCGCCGGCCCCTCGGGCCTCCTCCTCGCCCTCCTCCTCGCCCGCCACCCCTCCCCGCAACCCATCAACATCACCCTCTTCGACGCCGGCAACGGCTTCGACCCGCGTCCGTAGGTCCCTCTTTCTCCCCCCTCCCCCTCCTCCCTTTCCCCCCTCCCCCTCCTCCCTTTCCCCCAACCCCCAACCCCTCCCCTACTAACCCTCCCCCCCAGCCGCGCAGCCTACTACGGCCCCGCCTCCGTCCCCGTCCTCGCGCGCGCCGGCGTGCTGCCCGACATCCGCACCCGCGGCTTCTCGCCCAAGTGGATGACGTGGAAGAAGCTGTGGGACGCGCAGCGGCACGCGGCCCGGCCCGGCGACGGTGCGGAGCTGCTCGGCCGTATCGATCTGGACAGCGGCGAGGGGGATCGGACGGCTTGTTTGGCGTTGGATGAGCTGGGGGCGGTGTTGTTGGAGCATCTTGAGGGGGTGGCGAGCACCAGGGAGGGGATCAGGGTGGTTTGGGGGGCGAGGGTGTGTGGGGTTGGGGAGGAGGAGGGGGAGAAGGGGGGTAAGGGGAGGGCGTGGGTGGATGTTGAGGTTGGGGAGGGGGAGAAGGGGAAGAGGACGGAGAGGCATTATGCGGATTATGTGGTTGGGTGTGATGGGGCGGGTAGTGCGGTGAGGAGGCTGTTGTTTGGGGAGAAGACGTTCCCGGGAAGGACGTGGGATGAGCAGATTGTTGCTGCGAATGTGAGTCGCGCTTCCGAGATTATTTCCATGGAGGGCAGGCAGGTCGTGGGCTGAGGAACAGGAGGCATAAGGGAGTCCAGCTACGCCAAAATGCTGACTTTACACAGGTCTACTACGACTTCACGCGCTGGGGCTACACAGACATCCAGTTCTTCATCCACCCGGAGCACTGGCACATGGTCGCCCGCCTGGCCGGGCCGCCCAAGGAATACTGGCGCGTGTCGTACGGCGAGCGGTCCGGGCTAAGCCACGAGGAACTGCGCGAGCGAGTGCCGGCCAAGTTCGCCGCCATGCTGCCGGGTAACCCGCAGCCCGGCGACTACGAGATCGCCGGCTTCAGCCCTTACCGCGTGCACCAGCGACTGGCGCCCAGCATGCGCGTCGGCAGGATCATGCTGGCCGCCGACGCGGCGCACCTGTGCAACCCTTTGTACGTAGTAGTGACCCTCTCTCTCTACTATCATCACCACCAAGTCCCACAACCCCCTTTTCAATCATCATTCCCTACCTATTTGCTTAGAGAGTTGCGTTGCGCGGAGAAAGAGACCCGAGCTAACGACAGCTCCCAATCACGACAGCGGCGGCCTCGGACTGACGGGCGGCATCGTCGACGTGGGCGGGCTGTACGACTGCCTGGCCGGCATCCACGACGGGCAGGCGGACGAGTCGATCCTCGACGTCTACAGCGACGTGCGGCGGCGCATGTGGACCGACGTCATCGACGGCGTGTCGAGCGACAACATCCGCCGCCTGTTCGGCCAAGACCCGGACCGCGCGGCCGAGACGGACGACTTCATCAAGCTGATCAACGTCGCTGAGAAGGACGACAAAGTGAGGGATGAGCTGAGGGCGGTGAGTTTTGATCCCATATTTCTTTTACGTCTTTTCTCGTTGTGTTTCTGCGTTCCGGTCATGCCTTGCGCGGCGGCGGGCGATGACGCATCGGTGAGCAGAAAGAGGGAGAGAGAAAGGGAGGACGAAGGACGATGGAAAGAGGGAGAGACGGGTGCGGCTCTGCTCAACTGCCGCTACACGGTACCCACCTGATCTGCGCTCTCGGCCCTTCCGTCCTTGGACCATGATGATATCCTTTCATGACTCCTCCCCATAATACCGCACACCTTCCCACTCTTTTTTAACTTCTTCACGGGAGAAACCGGAAGGCAGAGGGGAATATGAGATAGCTAACGGAAGAGCGGGTCCGTCGCCTTCCTGCGACCCGCGACACCAGGGCCTCCATGCGATCCAGTACGATTTCAAGCAGCATTACCGCAACGCGCAAGCTCCTTCTTCCTCTTCACTTCCCGCAGAGAAGGATGCGACGGAGATGAGGAACGGTAGCCACGCCAATGGTTCCGCCGTCGGCATCGCTGTGACAACGAACTGATGCACTTTGGCGCGAATTGATTGGACGGGAGAGCAAGCGTGTGAGAGGATGGAAGGAGAATGGGACCAGCCCAGGAATATTTTTCGCAGATCAAATCAAGTTTCAGACAGCCATATGGGTCCCGGAGAGCGGTGGCGTTTTGCGGGCCTGCCAATTTTTTTTTTCGCTCCCTCTATTGTTGCCATTGTGCGTGTTTCGGAGCCGTGGAGTCCTGGTGGTCTGAGTCTCGTTCGAGGCGTGACGGGTCCTTTTACTGCGTGGCCGTTTGGGCTCTCATGGTGTGTGTGGGTTGCTGCTGGCTCCAGCGGCTGGCTATCAGGCGTCTACAGCGCTTCTGTCCGCCGCCCAGCCTTACGTGCGGAGAGAGGGAAGGGGGGGTGCGAACGAGGTAAGCAGATCGAACGTTGCGCGGGGGAGGCGGAGCGAATCGAAAAAGCTTGTGCAGCTGCACGATGCAGTGCGACAGCCAGTAAGCGTCGCGAAGCGTGACTCGCGGAGCATATGATCAGAGGTGGTAGCGAAAGGTGGTGGTTGTTGTTGACCGGTTGTGGTGAAGAACTTGATTTTTCGGGGGCGTCGTCGTCTCGCGAAGCCCATCCAACGCCAACGCTCATACAGTACGCCTAGGCGGGGCGTGACCACAGGCGGTCTGTCTCTCAGCCCTGCCCTACGTAGGCTTGCATTGCTTGGCGCCGACCGCCTGTTGACTAAATGTATTCCCTTTTAACTTGGTTTCTTTTTTGCCTCTGGGTTGCGAGCATACCACGCCTTCTGAACACGCCACTGTCACGGACAGCGTGCAGGGTAGACGTAGGGCTTCGCTGTCAGAACCACTTCTGATGCGGGTGATTGAACAATGCTAGGTAAAGGGGGTAGGCTTGATGGGAGAGAATATCTGGCGTCTCTGACGGTCTGTCTGCTCACCACTGCCTCTCCGGGAGCACCCGACGGCCCGCTAGAGGGAGAAATGGAAATAACTGGGGACATTCTCTGACTCGCTAAAGGGAGCAAAATCAAGGAGCGGGATCTGGAAGCTATGGCGAGCCGGCGGTACGAGCTGCTGATGCGTCCACGTCTTGTCTCAGTGATACAGTTGATGCTTGCCATTATTGCATCAATGTCAGGGCGCCGAGATGAATTGGCCGGGGTACGCTGCTTGCCTCATCGTGCTAGAGACCTGATTCCCCCCATCTTTGAGCTCATCCAGCGTCTAATCATGGAATCAAAGAGTGCCACGCTTGGCTTCAAAGCGGCCGCGGCCGATGGCGAAAAAAGGACATCCCTGCATCGAGGGCGCATTTACGGTGCGGCTCGGCAGCCGGTCTCCCCTGCGCAAGCCGCGTGGGTTGGGTGGGGTGGGGACGCGCCCGGCCTCGCCGCTTCGCGGGAGCTGTCGATTTTCGCTCAGATACGCGCGCTGCGACCGGGAATAGAAACATTCCAGACAACAACACGCATGATGGAGCCGACATCCCCCCGAGCGCTGCGTCGATAGCAGTGACTTTTCTGCTGGGCTGCGACCGGTCGAGGCGACCGGTCTGCATGGCGGGGACTCGGGTGTGCGCCACGCTGCAGATGGAATCATGGGGGTGTGCAGATAGGCTGCACGACGATAAGGAAAGTTTGCCTTTGAGGCTGCGCTGGCGAAGGAAGGGGGCGCGGGTGAAGGGGACGAGATTGCAGGGGAGCAGGCAGGGTCGGCGGGCTGGGCTGCTGATAGCGAGTGGGCTTGCATGCTATGCAGCAGTGCCCTGATGCTTACGAGCGGCCGCCGGTGAGGCGCGATGCTGGAGAAAAATTGCAAGCGGGGTCAAAGGCGGGCGTTTTGCGCTGCAACTGCTTGGAGCGCATAGCGGGCGACGGCGCGCGTGTCGTCGTAGCAAAATCGAGGAATTTGGATGGTTGGGTGTCGCAGGGCGTGGTGTTGAGAATTGTCTGCTCGTGTCGCTCGCCTCTGTCACGACGATCGTGAGCTCCCGGGCGCCGGGATGGTGGCGCAGGCCAAGCGTTGCGGCAGGGGGCGGCCGCGCATTCGAGAACGGGTTGGGTGATCCTCAGACAACCCATGATGCTCAGCTCACTGCCTGCGGGTGTACTCGGGCGCCACACCAAACCGCTCAACCACGCGCAGATGATCGCACACGTTTTTTGCTGCGAACGAAGCTGAGGCCATCAAGAATTTGTACTCCGTATATAAGCTCGCGGCCATCGGGCACAGCCAGCTCCCTTCCTCTCCATCACCATCAAGCACAATTCAAGAACTCGTTCAGAGTACCACACCAACCAACCAACAATCAACAATCATCACAGCCATCGAGCTGCCGACCACCACCAACCAAACCTCAAAAACCACCACCGCAACAATGACCACACCACACTGCTGCACTGCCGAAGGCCACTGCCGCGCCCAGCGCTTCGAAATGGACGCTCTCAACGCCCGCGCTGCCTGGGAAGCCGAGAAGGCCGCCATTGTCTCCTACGAGGACGGATGGGTAAGTCGACACCACAACGAATCAAAACTTCCAAGCAGTTACTAACTGGTAGTGGGCATAGGACCGCTGGGACGGCCCCATCTGGCCCTGGCGGGAAACCAACAAGCCCATGTCACAACAGAAGAAGGAGAACAACAATTCAAACTTGGCTGCTCCCCAGAGACCGGAACTGAGTCGCAGCTCGAGCACGAACTCGATCACGAGTTCCACGAGCACTGCCAGCCTCTGGACGAACTCGGCCGCACACACGTGCTCCAGGTGCGGGCACGGTGGCGCTACCAGCCATCTTTGAATGGTTGTTGAGTATGAGAAAGAGATTGAGGTGGAGCTTTATTCCCCTTCGGAGTCTGTATTTCGGATCATGACTTTCGGTTTGGAGTTCAGAGGCGTTTGGGAGAATCCCTTGGTCTTAAGGATCGAGCTGGACATGCTTGGGCTTCTAATGACTGTCATTGGCGGATCGCGATGGTAGAAGAACTCAGGGAAAGATCGACCTTGGGAATGGTAGATTCAAGATCTCAACTTTCGGATTAGGCGCAAGACGGAAAAGGAAATCAATTTCAAAGTTCAATCCAATCAGAGCATTGTGCGACGTGAAACAAAGGATCAATTGGATCTCAAGCGACTCGTGAAAATAGATCCTGGGGTATGGAGATGACAAGGATAGCCGGTTAGAGTTCAAACCTGGGGTCAGCCCGCAAATGGCCATCTGCACGAGATGTCGGATATTCCGAGGTCACACTATCGACTCTGACAGGGTCTGTCAGATGTGGCAAACGGGAGATCTGAACCACAGATGACATTCGGACCGTTGCGAACCACGGCTCAATCCAATCACACCCCATGACAGGATGAGAGCTGAAGCTCTTCGCTAAGACAAATCTTTCCGTTCCGAGTCTCGAGACTACGCGAGGGCATGCAGTTGCATAGACGATGGGAGTTCAATCAGCAGAGGTGACACTAATTCCAAGTCGCTTGGTGTTGCAGCTTTCAAGATGATGCACAATGTTCACAGATGCAGTTGGAAGCAATGATGAAGTGGTAGACTTGGTCGAACGAGCGACCGATAATAATAAATTGATGTTTTCCAGAGTGATTCGCTTGATAATGTCCCAAAAACAAACTCCAAAACCGCAAGGCCGTGGCCGAGTATGATCCAAAACTTGAAAAATCATAGTCTAGGATGCATGAACTGTACAGGATGTGCTTGTATCCGATCCGAAGATTAGGTCCCTGTCCGGGTTTATTTCAACTCCAGACACCTGATCCATTCCATTTTCCAGAACCGGGAGTCGTGTGATTCCCGAGTTTCCAAGGGTATCGTAGTAGAGATTCGTAGCCACACGTGTTGATTTAGATGTGGACGGTGGCGTTGCCGTGGCCGCACTTGGTGCAGGCAGGAGTGGCAGAAGCGTGCCACTCGGAGGTCTCGGACGAGATGGTCCTGATGGAGGAGCAGGAGGTGGTGTTGCGGACGAGGGTGGGGCGCTTCAAGGTCTCAACGGCCTTGTTGGCGACCTCGGGCTTGTTGGTGGAGCGCCAGTCCCAGATGGGGCCGTCCCAGGAGTCCCAGTTCTCCTCGTAGGAGGTGATGGCGGCCTTCTCGGCCTCGAAGGCAGCGTTGTCGTAGCTCTTGGCAGACATTGTGATTGTGTGGAGAAGATTGTTTGTGGGGAGGTAGAGAATTGTCTTTGGTGGAGAGTGGATGTCTGAGATGAGGATGAGATGGGAGGGAGGAGGGCTCTTGGGGCCCCAAATATATACGGAGCTCGCGGCGATAAGAGCGGCCAAAGCTCGCAAGCTAATTAGGAATCCGCCGGAGAAAACAGGTGGCTAGGAGAGCGATGGAGGGTGTGGCAGCGCTCGGCAGGGCCAGAATTCGCCGGACAGAGATTTTCTGTGGAGAGCATGGACACAATGGAGCTGGCAGAGCCCCTGTCGAGGGTCCAAGCTCCTGGTCATCAGCGGCTGCGCCGTCGGTGGAAATTTGGCGTGTGGCGTGCGATCAGCCGCAGGGACCTTCGCTCCTGCCTGCGACTCCCGGTCGCCTCGCCCACGCCGCGCGGGACACCAGCCCGAGTCGCGACATGATCCGCCGAGCCATCCCACGCCCGCGTCGCTGCTATCACCGCCGCCGTCTGCATCGTGGCGGGTCCGACGCACCTGAAGCACGCCCCATCCCAGCCCGCGAGAAAAAAGCTTCCAAGGCAGAGATGCGCCGCGGTGGAGTCGAGCTCCACTCTCTCCGCTTTTGGCCCGCCGGAGATCCATCGCCGCGCACATCCCGAGCAAAGCGCCTCCAACGCTCTGCTGCACGTAGCTCACCACCTGCGCTCTCCAGCACCTGCCGCCCGCTCCCGCATCTCGCCACTCCTGGTCACCCACGCGCCGCCGCGGAGCCGCTTGACCTCGTGGCCTCGTGCGCCGCACCGACCCAACCGGAAGCCCGGAGATATTACGAATCTGCAGCGCGACCGGCGCCATTCGTCAGCAGCGGCCAGGCAGCGACCGAAACCGGCACATCGCAATAGCGCTGCCGTGCAGAGGAAGCAGGGCATGGATCTCGCGCGCAGGAGTGATCTGCAGGCCAAGATTCCAGAAGGAATTCCTTCCGCCTGGGCGGGGCCCAGAAATAAAACTGGCCGGCCGAGGATCGGTGCCGAATCAGCGCCCTCCAGCGCTGCAGCGCGTGGCGTCCGGCTATGCACCGCCTGCCTCCGTTCTGACCGCCGTTGTCGCTCCACTTGCAGCTGCTGCTCATCACGGACCCTGATCGTAGCCGCATCCAGGCACTGTTGACGTGATCGACATGTCGCCTCGAGCACGCCGTCGGCGATGACTTGTTGCACACTGACAACTGCCGTTTCGGCTGCGATAGACGGCAGGTTTTCACCGCACCTTTTCCGCGAGGCAGGCGAAGCGAAAGTCCGACAGGTTGCCTTGTCGGCGCGACCTGCCGTTGACAGCTGGTGCTCGTGCGATACGACATCTTGCCACCTCCCCGACTTCCCCCAGCTTACGAGCTCCGCGTTTGCTCCGCCTCGCTTCCCCGTCTGCCTCGTCAGCGCTGTCATCTGACCCCTGGCAACGTGTTCATCACCCGACGATGACCAGAGAATTGTGTCGTGGTTCGAAAATTCCAGAGAGTTGGGCCTGGACATAGCTCCCATAGGGCGCTGCTGGTCACAGCTTTCGGGAGCTTGCATGTCCCGCGGGGCGCCGTCATCTCCACATAATTTGGTTCACCCCGGAGTCGGCTATCGTGAGCTTCCCATTTGGGATGGCCCGGCGGGCTAGAACGCGTCGCAGGAGATCATAGCTCCACCGGGAAGCCTTGCCGCCCGCCGGCTAATCTGCCCCAGATTTCGAAGCTTCCATGCGGAAATCGCCTCGCCGAAGCTCAAATTCTCACCACCAGCGTCTTCTTGCGCAGAATCTGCCCCAGAGAAACGCCCAAGGCCAGGTGAACACTCGAAAACACCATTTTCCGCACCTTTCCAGCCCGCTTGTTGCGTGCAATTTGCTCGCTTTTGCGCCCGACGCTTCGTTGGGCCCTGTTCCACTCATTTCCGCACCTTTCTCCGCCGGCCCCGTTGCTCGCTATGCCGCTGCCAATGGTCGTCAGTGCCAGCAAGGTCCAGACCGGGCCGTTAGCCCGCAATCATGCTTCTGCCTCAAAACCGTCTTATCGAATCCACGACGTGATAACCTCTGACGCGTCGTCATGCAGACCCAGTCTGTTGGGTCAACCGTCGACTCAACACCATACCGCTGCCACAATGCGCAACGGCATTCTGAATGCTTCTATTGCTTATGATTGATGTAGCAAGCGCGCATGCGCCAGAATCTTCCAAAGACACATTCGAAGCCCGGAACTCGCCTTAGCCTGCCAACGACTGCGACCAACGATCCCAGGTCTCCGGAAAGCCTTGCTTCGATTTCCATGACACACCGCCGGCGTGTAAGCTTATTTTCTTTTTCATCTTTTCGCTTTCGTTCTGTTGGACTGTCGACTGGAATCCTCCCGACGAGAGGCTACTGGACCACGTATGGCAAGATCCGCCGGACCCAAAGCCGAAGGGGAAACCTTGGTCACACGATCAACAGAAAAACCCCAGCAGAGCAATGGACCGACCCAGCAATGCGGCGACACCCACTGCGATGCCCCATAGGCATCGTCCAGACCACAGCCATGGCATCCACACGTGGTTTCTATTTCCGTGTAATTCGATGGTTCCTTATTCCCTTTGCGTCGACTCCACACAGCTACCTGTCGTTTTCGCTTCCTGCCAACGCTCTGTAAACCGTGCTTTGCCAAGATAGGCTACCACGTACACAGCCGTTTTTTACTCCTCTTGGGAACGCCGATCCAAAGCATGAATGCGCCTCCGATCATCCCTCCCAACAATTTCCGAACGAAAAACGAAGCCTTGATCACAAGACCTGCGCTTGAGCCAGCAAGCATAGTTTCCCGGTTGCGAGTGGGCGAAGGGGATGGAAGGGGTTTGTCAGTTCGCATCGCGAGCACAGGCATCCGCTTCATCTCGGCTATTGGCGTTGGGCCGACTTGTTGGCCGGGCTGAAGCTGCGGCACGCATAGGCCATGGCATGTGAATAATGAAGGTAAGGGGAAAGCCGTCTCCCCGCGGCTTTCGTCGGCCGAAGGAGTTGCGGAGGTAGGTGGGCGAGTGAGGAGAAAACTTGGAGAGCAGCGCGATGGTCTGGAGACAGTGGGGTTGCGGCGCATGGGGTAGGCAGAGAGACTGTCCGTGCCGCCGCGCTTGACGAAGGCGCTCACGGTCAGTCGACATGTCGTCAGATTTTCTCGGGAAGTATTCGGCCGCAAGCGTCGATGGGGGTGACGTTGACATTTGCACTAACAGCACTGCAACAAATCGAGATAGTAGAAGCCCTCATCCGGATGCTTTGTTGCCAAATGTGTCATGCGATCGTGTCCTAATGGAAGCTTCAATTACTCATCTTCAGCGTTGCAATACTAAGCGGACCGACCGAGCTCGACTTCAGCAACGAAATACCTGATACAAACGAAGCATGCCGACTGATCTCTTCAACCACGCAGTGATGCGCTCAGTATGGTATCGGCCCTACCATATCCTATCATCCCCACCTCAGCAAGGAAAAATAGATAAAAATCACGAGTTCCCCAATCTATTTCACACCTGGCGCCGCGCAGGCGGGAGTCTCATCCGGCCGGTGCCCAACCTCCAGGCCCACACTCCCACGAACAGCAAGACATCGAAGAAGCTGAACACTAGCGATCCACCGAAGACAACAGAATGATAGGTCCAGGCGTCGTCAGGCGTGATGCCCGCCTTGCTGACTGCGATGGCCCATGGCAGTACCCACAGAATGTTCGAGGCCAGTGACTGATAGAGGTACCACAGCGGCCGCGTCGCGAGCAGTATAGCAGCGAGTTGTGTGCTAAGAGCATAGAAGATGTAGGTCCAATCAATTGTCTGTGACGAGCCGAGACGAGGTTTAGATGTAAGCTTATTGGCTCGGGTCAATTAGTCGGTAGGCAAGGGATAGTCACTTACTCTCCACATCTTCTCCGTGATGCGGGATACCGCGTCCGTACCGGACAGATAGCGCGCGAAGCTGCGGGCGCCCCAGCGGGCGAGGAAGATGCACAGCGGTACTTCGAAGAGCAGCGCTAGCAGACAAGACAACAGTGCTGGACGTACCATTCCTAAAAGAGTATTTTCTATCAGCATCGTCGGACAAGTAAAAGAAAAGCATAGAAAGAATCCCCTCAAAGAAACATATCGAAAGATGTATTGAGGGGCTGGCTTCCACTCACGGCGCAAATCCTGCCTCGAGGCCTTGGGCTTCCGCGTTTGCACCGTTCCTCCTCCTACTCCCCTCCTCTCCACCTCCGCCCTCCACGATCCCCAAGCATGCCCCACAAACGCAAGCGTCGTCGCCTCGAGCGCTTGCACGGGCACCATGACCAGCCCCCAACGGATCGTGTTGAAGACGCCCCAGGCGGTCGCGTAGTCGGTGCCCATGGCCACGATGCCGGACACCAGCCACAGGTAGAGCGCGTTACGCAGCGCCGACTCGACGAAAGTCAGCGAGCCCGCCGGCAACAGCAGCTTCAACGCTGCAAACGAGAAATAGGACGGCCGTCCAGTGCCGTTGCCATAATCACCATCGCCGCCGCCGCCTTCTCTCCCCCTCTCCCCCCGCCAACTCCTCAGCGCACTCCAGACGAAATACGCCAACCCCGCTGCCGCAGCAACCAGGTCGCACGCCAGCCGCACGGCCGCCTGCGTATTGACGCTCGGCCGATGCTTGCCGACGTGGAAGCGCGACACGAGCAGCAGGTCGAGCGCGATATTGACGGCGAACTTGACACTGCTAACCAGCAGCGGCACGTCGGGCCGGTCCAGCGCGCGCGTGCTCGTCGCCACCGCCGTCTCCACCGCCGCCGCCAGCGCCGCGAACGCGCTGAGCCGCACGTACGTGACACTTGCGGCGCGCGTCGCGCGCGGCACGAATGCGGCGGTGAAGGCGGGCGCGGCGGCGAGGATGGCGAGCGAGAGGATGAGGCCGAGGAGGGATTGCACGGCGATGAGCGTGAAGGAGAGGGTTAGCCGTGTGGAGGGGCGCAGGGCCCCGCTGCGGTTGCCGATGATGAGCCAGGAGGCGCGGGGGAGGCCTTCGTTGAGGACTTCGGCGATGGTCGTGATGTAGGTGTAGGTGTCGGTCGTGGCGACGAGGGAGGTGTCGAGGGAGGCGATCCAGAGCTTGGAGAGGGTGGCGTAGAGGGCTGGGAGGATGAAGGCGGTGAGGTTGAAGAGGAGGGCGCCGGGGTAGCTGGGTGGTTTTGGTAAGTAGGTGGGTTTTTGGTGGAGGTGTTATGGGGGAGGACGTGTCTTCGTTCTGGGTTTCACTGACTTTTCACGACTCCAGGTCTTCTTGGTTGTTGGTCTTGGAGAATGCGGGTGGTGTTCGGGGGTTGGAGATGCATCGTTCTGCGTTCGCTCGCCTCCGCTGCCTCCTCCTCCTCCTACCTGGATGATGACACTGTTTTTCGGGGAGACCATGGCTCACGCAGATTGACGCTTGCTTTGAGCAACTGATTAAAGCCCTGTCAAGTGGTTTTGCCGCACATGTTGAAGTCTGTGCGGATAGGACAGAGCTTTGGCTGACATGCAGCAGACGAGCGGGGTTGCCGAGCTCATGGGCGCGTCGAGCCATGGCGAGCTCAAATGATTGGACAGTCACCACGCTTGCCGATATTCTTATCCTTGATTGTCACAACGCAAAAATCCCCTGTATCTTTGCGTGCGGTGCACATGCAGAGAGGTATTGCAGCTGAAGCATAGCGCAAAGAAGAGCAGGATCCTCAAATTCAGGGTAACTATGCCTCTTTTTTGTCAAAAAATATATATATATATATATGCGTAGTTGAAGCTATCGTCCGGACGAGAATGTCGAATTAAAAATTCTACATACACGTCCGGACGATAGCTTCAACTACCCATGGCATGAACGAAAAAACAAAATGACAGTAGCCTTCGAATACAAGGCACCTCTGCTTGATGTTATTATTCCCCCGGTTTTCCCTGAAAAATTCGTACACTCTTGTTCACCTATTAGCCGCATCCCCCCTCAGTACTGGATGAGCTGCTCTCCGGTAGAGCTTTGCTCGCGTCGCCTCTGGTCTTCCTCGACACGTTGCGTCTTGCTTTCCTCTAGTAGGGTTTGTACGACTTGGAGAGTTGCTGTCTGATGTTTGGCCTCCTCTTCGCGAATGTCGTTGCTGCGCTTCAGTTCGTTCGTCGACCAAGTCCTTCAGCGTGTTGTGAACTTCGCCGTTCGTCAGAGCGTTTTGGATTGTTTGGAGTGCGGAGAGAATGTCTTCTCGTTTCTTCGCAGCCGCTTGGGAGTCGTCGTATAGCCATCCTATCGGCCGGCTGATCATTCGGCAGAAGTTCTCAATTGTTACGAAGATTTGTCGATCGGCAGGGTATTTCCGCTTCATTTGCAGGTAGGTCGTCCACATGTCGTTCTCCCGATTGCTGTGAGGCTTGCAGAATGGCCATATGAGGTTGAACGCGGTCATCAGCAATCCCGCGATGGCGATTGCCCATCCAACTTTGTCGGTCAATTCGATTTCCATGATTGCATGTGTCTGTGTGGGTTGTAGGGTGTGTCTCTTCGCTCTGCGTGGATGTGTCGTGTGCTGGGAAGAGTGAGTTATTGGTGGTCCGCTGCTGACCAAGGGTATCCACAACGACCATCTTCATGAGGAAGCCACAATCCGGGTCCACGTAGTCGGATTTTGGAGCGGTAGCTACACTGCAGCTTGGTCGCTGGGGCAGCTGGATTGATCAGGCAAGTCCAACCATGCGGAGGACCACCTCAGCCCCCCTCGCGAAGTCACTCCCTCATTCAGTTCAATTGCCATTGCTGTGGTAATGTAGAGTTGATTGCTTTGTGGTGTGCGTATGGTCGTGGCGTGTCGTGAGGAGCTTCTCCGCGATGCGGGAGACTGCGTCTGTACAGGACAGATATCGGGCGAAGCTGCCAGAATCTCGACGGTCAAGTAAGAAGAAAAGTGGGGCTATTGCTGAAGGATCATCTAAATATCATTTACATAGTGATCCGCCGCTTGATCGGCAACCACATCATGTAATACCATAGTAATCCACCGCCTTAACGGCAACCACATGTAATATAACGCACGCCGCCAGAGCGGCTCCAATCTTGTGACATCAGCGATCTGTGAGCCCTCGATTTGCAGCAGCCAATCAGGACTTTGTGGACCATTGGAAAGGTCTACCCTATGAGCAACAAATAGGAATACTCCGTGCGAGCTCATGTGATGTATGGGAAACGACTCATCCCTATACATCAGGGCGAGTTGGTCCTCGAAGAATCCGCAAGTTCTACATCGTATACTTAGTGAGCCAAATCCGATTCCTTCGATAAACTCTGAGTTAGACACATTTGCTAATAATTCTGGGCTGCTGGTGTACAAATGCGGACAGATACGTCGATCAAGTTTCTTTAGACGAGCTCGAAATTCTTCCAAATTTATGACTTGGTCTTTGTCAACATCGAATAGCAGCTGATGAGAGGTATATGCGAAGGTTTTAGTGCACCAGGGATGCTTGATTGTAGGATATCCATCCCATACGTCGAGCTTGTGAGTAGGATGCCGACAGATTATGTAGTCGCTTGACGGGTTCGTGATAAACGTGGCCAGCTCTTTGTAAGAGCAACTTTTATGCTCGCATAGTCGGTACGATCCTCGCTGGCCTCGGCACATTCTTGTCTCTGGTGATGCGCGCAATTGATCCTCCGAGAATGCCAAGTAGGAATGCGCCCTCATGCAGCCGGAGCATGCTTTGTAAGCCTTGTCCAACTTCTTGATACGTTCGCGTTCGCAGAGAGCCATGAAGTAGTCTCGATCGAGCAGATCTCGAAATCCGGCTCTCGCTTCAAGACCAATGAGTGCTGAATTTTCCGGGGTGTGTAGGGCGAGGATTTCCTGGAATTTTGCAGCGGAGGCTTGAAACGAGAGTAAAGCGGTGCCATGTTGAAGTTGCTCGGCAATGAGCAGGATCAGCTCAGAAGGAAGCTTGTACAAGTGGCTCCGAGCTTGATTGTGTAGTGTCGCACCTGCTGACCGACCGCGGGCGGTAGCACGATCCCGTCGCTCGATAGTAGGGAAGCGGGCCAGAAATTCCGACCACGACATGACACCGGGCATTGTGAAATCGAAATAACCTCTTGAGTGGAACGGAAATAAAGAGAGATTCACTGATAGCGAGGGGCCTGAGAAGTATTTATGGGGATCCGCGGATCTTCAAGTCTGGTTGCAACTACTACGGCACAGGGTCCGTTAGTTCCATGGGAAGTCTGAAGAAACGGTGGGTCTTGTTCCCCAACGCTAACAAAACCCACAAATTACTACTCTCTTCGATAGCATGGCCGCGCTGGATGAACACCTCGGCGTTAACGTGTTAAAAGAAGGCTATTCAGAGACAGCAGCAGATACTGCCGTTTCCGTCAAAGCCGGCGCTAATCGATATAGGAAGTAGGCGATTAGCGATGTTGTGTAACAAGCAATGTGGTGTCTTCCGGCGAGACGGAGGTGGGTCCAATGGTGGTGGCGGAGCTAGCAATAGGCGGCAATCGGACGCCATGGGTGGTGTTTAACAGCTAGCAAAAATGCTGGCTAGGAAACCTCGGGGTCTCCTGCGATGACATCAGTCCCTCAAAGTGAGCTTTAATAAGAATAGTTGTACAATTTTCAGATTCAACTAGTGAGCAGGCCCGTCCTACGCCTGACCAATTCCATAACCAAAGTCTTGCATTATCATCACCGGCCCGTACGTCTAGTCAGATCCTGCCTCTGACTGGAAAGAAACTGTGGAAGGAAAATCTTCACCACCAGTCAACTACCCCACCATTGCCGATACTACCATCGCTCTCATGACTCCCTGGCTATCCTGGTCGTAGATCTGGCCCTTCGATACCTAGGGCGCATCGGTGGTCGAAAGCGTCTTTGACTTCTTGGCCGGGGGCCTCGAAGCGCTCTTCGAAGCCGCCTTGGGCACCAGGACCGGCACCTCCTCGATATCCGGGTGCGGGATGTCGTAGCTCAGTCGCAGCCACTGGCCAAAGACGACCTCGTCGGCCTTGGTGACGGTGTCGACGGTGTTGTCGTGCGCCGTCATCTCACCCAAAGTAACATTGCGGACACGGACCCGGTAGTTGAGTGTGAGGTCCGCCGTAATCTGAAAGACATTGAACAAGAAGTTCTTCCATGCTTTTAGGATGGCCCTGTCGGCCTCCGTGCTTCCGGTCGGGGGGTCGATGATCGCCGCGAAGTCCACGATAGAAGAGACTGGCTGCCACATCTCCGTGCATAGCCGAGCTGGTGGCCCATCCAACCAGCACTCGCGCCAGAAAGCAGCGCGGTCATCGTCGCTCATCTCAAGGAGGTTCTGACCATCCGACTTGGCCTTGAGATACTTCTTTTCGACAAAGGGAAGGAGCCAGGAGGTGAGTATGCGCCACTGCCACCGGTACTGGTGGTTCTTCTCCAGCATCTTCTTCAGACGCGCCTCCCAGCTCCGCGCTTGTTGGTTCTTGAACAAAACGTGGAGGTCAAAGTCTGTAAGCTGCTGGCGGGTGAAGTATATCAGCTTCTCGACGACGGCGGTGCTTGGGTCCCGATCGCTTTCTAAGATAGCAAGTAAATGTCAGCTATGTGTACGCTTTATCAACAAGGCGCGCACTTACCCGCGGCACTCATCTCATCGCCATCGTTGAACCCGTCTAGCAAGCCGGCCTCGCCAGCGAAGGACGCACGGGCTTGGGCAATGACATCGCCGGGCTCCTCATCCATGGGCTCTGCGGACCTCTTCGCCGTACGACTCCTTGGGGTAAGCTGGATGTTGCTGCCAGCTGGCAGTTCTGCGTTGTTAGGGAAGCTACCCGAGGGTGGCGTGGTTGACATGATGTACGTCTGTGGTTGTTGACGTCGAAGTGCAGATCTGCGGTGGTGGTGGGGCTGATGTAGAAGAAGAGTCCTCTGGATGAAGAGTCTTAGCATGTGATATAGGGCGTCACGAGGACTGGTGTTAGGAAGTAAGTCCTGAGGCTGAGTTTGGAAGGCATGGTGTACCTATTCCTATTGTCTATCCTTTGTCACCTGGCCCATCAAAACCTTCCTCGTCCAAAACTGTCAGCGCACCATTGATGTCACTTGGTTTTTCGTCAATCAATTCTGCTGACCTTTCTGCTACCCGGCTCCTCAGTGTAAGCTCAGTATCACTCTCGCTTGCTACTTGCACCCCGTTGGATCTGCTCTGGGGGTGGCGTGTTTGGCATGATAAAAGGCATGGGTAGCTGAAGCTATCGTCCGGACGTGTATGTAGAATTTTCAATTCGACATTCTCATCCGGACGATAGCTTCGGCTACCCATGGCATGAGCAAAAAAAATAAATCCAAGCTATGTAACAAGCAACGTGGTGTTTAACAGCTCGCGAAAATACTGGCCAGGGAAACCGCGGCTGCCGATGACGTCATGCAACCAGAACACAGCACTTCACTTCAAAAGCTCCGTAGGTAGACTTCCAGCCAGCAATCTACAACAGCATTCCTGCGGCAAGCGGTCTATGCCCTTCAATGTCGCCTTGCCTCCTAATATTGCGGCCCACTGCTGCGCCGTTACTACAGGTAGAACCACACTGGCTCTAAACGTCCTGGAACTCGCGTCTCACAAGATCAGACTTTTTCATGCTTGAGACAGGTAGAATTCCAACTGATTAATACAGATAGGCTTGCAAACCAAAACCAAACACAAACGAACCAATATCCTGAAAGCCGCCGCCAACGTCAACGCCAATGAACAAACGAACCAGTATCCTGAAAGCCGCCGCCCACGCCAGTGCCAATGAGGAAAATGAATTCGGTGTGGCCATGTATGGTACAGCGGTTATTCGTGTTGCGGATTTGTCGACACGGCAATTGCCTCAATGGCGTCTTGGAATCTTTCCTGCAGGTTTTGGCCTTGTTGGAGCAAGGCCTCGGCGTCGGTGCGCTGCTGTCTGTCCCGGGTCCACTCTTCCTTCGCTTGCTCTAAGAGAGCCCGGACGCCTTGGATTATCTCGAGCACCGCTGCGTTCTGCTCTGTTTCCCTTTTGAAGATCTCGTTTGTTTTGGGAGAGAAACTGGACACGAACTGCCGGTATGTTATCCTCCCTCACCTCACACAGGAAAAGCTGAGCTGAAAAGAATTTCAGTTGTACTGCAGAACAAGGTCTTTGGCTTACCGGCCAACGACACGCCAGTGAGCGAATGGAAATGGTGGCCTTCATTTGTTCTTAGAACAATCCGACAGCATGACTCCGAGGTTTACCTCAAGAACCTCATCACAGCATACCACAAGCTTTCCATCCGCCCGCATAACAACGAGACTGAGCAAGCTCGTGCCACGAGGCTTGAAAAAGCCAATCAGGTCAACCGGAAGTTCAAAGATGCGAAGCTTTCGTTCGTCACCGCTCTGAACAAGCCGGTAGAGGTGCTGAGGGAGACGTGAGGCGGTGCCTCAAAGTACAAGAAAAGTCGCACCGGCCGCGTGTACCAGGCATACAAGCGCGATGTCGAGAAGAGGACCGAGTTCGTGAACAGCATTGACAGGAAGCCAGAGCCACGAAACACCGTTGTCCCATCAGCCGCGAGACAAGTAAGGCCTCCGGAGCCTTACTACTGGGAAATGTCCACAGAGGGTAGGCAAGATTTCTGGAGATCAAAATTCACCCTACATACCGCAGCAAGTTTCTACTGGACGCTTCACCCCACAGTGGCCATTGAGGCCAACCTCATGGACCCCAACATGGGCGGTAAGTTTAACATTTCTTTGATATTTGATCAATACTAATTTTCTCCTAGCATTCATGCAGCAGACATTTGTGATGTTCACAAACGACACTTGGGATCTCTACATCGCACCTCGTCTCGCTCAAGCTACAATATTGAGAGAAAACTAGACTCGTGTATCTTTCACCGGCGAGTCCGCAGACGACCAGGCGATTTTGAAGTCGTGGAAGAACTTTCCGTTAAACATCTTCCAGCTCATGGCTGACCTGACTTTGAATTATCGGGTCCGTGGTCTTTCACCAATATGAAGGCGTACGACGAGACCATCGACACCGTTACCAAAGCCGATGATTGCGTGTTTGGTCAATGGCTCAGACTGAGCGATGACATCCCCCACCAGACCATCGAGCAGATACCAGTTTTGGCGCCCAAGGTGGCTTCCAAGAAGTCCTCGAGACCCCCAGCAAAGAAGAAGAAGCAGATGCTTGACATCAGTGATGCGCCTTAGGCATAAAAAGGCCATAGTGGGGGTAGTGAACTGGTGGCGGGGATTTTCCTTCTCGGCTTTTTTCTTGCTTTTCTTTTCCTTTTTGGCGGGTTAGCACGAAAAATAGCAGGTCTCTAGAATATGAAATGAATATACCCTAGCTCTGTCTTAGAACAATTAATATATGTGGGTACTTGAAGCTATCGTCCGGACGAGAATGTCGAATTAAAAATTCTACATACACGCCCGGACGATAGCTTCACCTCCCCATGATATGTTCTTTTTCATCCCACCTACCCATGACATGAGCAAAAAACAGATCCACGCTAGCCATCGGCTGCGAGAGGGGACTGTAAGCTCAAAGAAAGTTGCAGGATAAAAATTCGTAACGTTTATCGGTGCGACAAAAGCTTGCAGCACAGGCGTTGACTCAGCTTTCGAAAGTGGTTAGCGCGATGTGGCTGAGGCATTCCCAAGGCAACAGCCACTCCAGCCCCTCCCCAAGCTGACGAGCCTCAAAAGGGAGCCCATTTCCACGTTCGGAGTCTTTCTTGACTCAAATCGTTGTCCCTATTTATTGATCGCATTTCCGAGCGAGAGGCAAATGCGTAGATTTGCTCAGCCGTTCTCCAACAACATTCACTCGCTCACACGCATCTCTTTTGGAACTCAGCCACAACCCCAAAAGGCATATTCACTATTTTCCTCAAGACACCACACCATCAGAATGGCACCAATCCAACCAGACGATATCCTACGCAGCCTGCAGACAGGAAATCAGAATCAGGATGCCACTCAAAACTTAGACCCTAAGCCGGCAACACTCAAACTCCCACCACGGCCACCCTCATCCGGCGAACTTCCCGCACCGCTCGACTTCCTCACGCCATCCAAATTCCAGGGCGAATTCCCAGTCGACAGCAACCGCATTGCCCTCTTCCCGGCCGCGCAGATCGAGCAAGACGCCCTGTCCACGCGGGTGGTCCTCCACCCGCGCATGCCGCAGCTGCTCGACGCCTTCCTGCAGCACAAGCGGGCCTGGGGCTCAACGCACGAGCAGCAGCTCTACCGCGGCATGACCTGGCCGCAGCTGGCGACGCGGCTGATCGAGAAGCGGCCGCTGTGCTTCCTCGGCCACGGCGACACGACGCGGCTGCGCGACAACCGCTGGATTGGCCCCGCATACGCCGAGTGGGACCGCGTCGGCACGCGCGAGCAGCACCGCAACCGCTTCCTGACGCTGGACGAGTACCTGTCGTACGACGAGATCATGCTGGGCAGCCTGCTCGCCGTGTCGGGCCCGACGCACTTCATCAACAGCGGCGGTCGCTACAACTGCGCCGTGCCTGCCGCTGACAGCAACTCGTTCCAGCGCCGCGGCGTCATGGTCGGCCTTGTCGGCCCCCGCTTCGAGCGCGATGGCCAGCACGACTCTGCCATCATCTGTAAACCGCGTCCGTCGTCGCGCCAGGTTAAGGGAGCGACGATGGACGCCGACGTCCGCCGCTTGATCCAGCAGTGGCTGCTGCCGGACATCGACATCGACGACCGCGAGAACGAAGAGGTCCGGTTCACCTTGCGCGGCGACTTTGATGTAGTCATGTACAAGGCCCGCCTACGCGTCTCGTTCGACCTGCTGCTGCTCGAGGCCGCGGCCCGCGCGAAGGCGGCGGGCGGCAAGAGCGCCGTCGTGCACGTCGTCGGCCTCGGGCTCGGCGTGTGGCGCCGGTACCGCGTGCAGAATCAGCTCTTCGTCCAGGCTTTTGCGGAGAGCTTGAGGGCGCTGGACCTGCAGAATATCAGCAAAGTGGAGCTCGGCTGGATCGAGGATGTGCCCGAGGAGACGAAGGTGGAGGTCGTGGCGGCGGGCGAGGCGAAGGGGGTTGAGGTCGTCTTCACCCAGGCGGATCCGTGCAGGAAGTTGGACGACGATGACGGGAAGCTGCTCGTCGTGTCTTGGGCGTGGGACGGGAATTCGTATGTTGGAAATGAGTATTGGAATGGTTCGTTGGCGGCGAGTGGCGATCCGGCGGCCGCCTGCTTTTCGACCATCGCCGAGCTGATGAATCCGGATATCAATCCGTTTGCGCATCGGGTCATGGTCGTGGGCGCCGGGAACGAGGAAGAGAGCCTTCCGTGGGGAGAACTTGGCCAAAGATGAGAGTGGAGGCGCACAGGAAGAGACGGAAGAGGCGGGAGGCTGCAGGAGTAGCTACGGGAGGATGCGCAATAGTGTTGAGGTAATTTTACAGGTCTCAGCTTTCAAAGCAGCGAGAAAATGTTGAATAGAAGTTTCATACTGCGGACTGCAATTCTTTGACCTTATTTGTCACCAAGTTAAACATTTTGTCGGCGTTGGGGAAAATATTGTTTTTGACAGACGGGGCATTACGTCAAGATGCGCCATTGTTCAGACATCTTATAAATTTCAAACACACTGTGGCCACGTTGCTTGTTGCATAACATTGCTGATCGTCTCCTTCTTGTATCCATTGGAGTTGGTTTCGGCGGAATCGGCCGTGTCTGTCTCTTCCGTTTGTTGTTTGCTACTCCGTTTGCTGTTTGTTACACCGCTTTATCGCCAGTGGTTTGCCACCTAACAACATATATCTTTCATGCTACCTAGCGATACTCTCTGAATCATCCTACGCAGCTACCTCGCCTCCCCTCATCTTCCGCTCTTCTCCTCTCCCTCTCTATATATATATCATCTTACAATCAATATCCTTCGCGATATTTCTCGTTACCAATCAGCCTCCACTTTTGCCAGAATAGCGCAACGTGGGGCGCAGGTACTCGGAGTCGGCTCCAAAAGTTCCATTATCATGGGATAATGATGACCTTCTGGATAATGAAGAAGATGGACTTGGGGGCACTGATGGCGAGCGTCGCGACGACGTAAAAGAGGCCGAAGATGCTCGAGACGTACAATGATCAAGAGGAGGTCTACCACGACCTTGGCGACGCTGTCGTTCGAGAGTCTGGAAACCAATATAAATGAAAGTGAGGGTCTCGCGGACGGCGGTAAGTATCTTCAATACGGATAATTAGGAGCTGCTCACTAACGAAGTCATAGGTGTTGTTTAGATTATTCAATACCTTGCTGAAGCAGCCGGAGTAGTCGAAGCGGAGGACTTTGACGATGGATGGCATGGCCATCCGTGCGGCTGCATCAAAGTAGCGGAGTTGCGGGACCAACTCCACCAAGAGGATGTCGAAGTCTGTCTACACTGCATATGCTACATGCCGAACCCTTTGAACGCTTCAAGCTTTTCAAACGAGCCTGGAGTTCTCTTCGTCATGCTGGTAGCGATGGCGATCAGAGGCTTTACCTGCGGCCAAAACATTATCGGTAAGAAGTTTGCACCCGGAATTTGGCTCAGTTGACTGATGGCTAGGTCAGGGCGCGCAAGACACGCCGCTCGACTGTTCGATACTTGGGGATTCCGATTCGGAGGTCGGGTCCACAGACCTGGTATGGGGCTACTTATCGGGGTTTGAACGGGGAAAATGATCATTGGCTGGCCACTGTTGTCGACAAATTCCCCCCACCTTCCCCAGTCGAAGCATTCCAGACACCACGGGAGAACAGCGCCTGGGATAGTCTTCTTCAGATAGTCGTACTTGATGGAGCCTTTGACGGTGGCTTCGGCGTAGGGTGACAGCCTGACTTTATATACTATGTGTGAATAGCGCATCGATTACGCTTTGAAACATTTCTTCGTCTACTCTCTATCTGCCCACAGAAAATGCACATGGTGAGTGCAGTGAAGCACAGCATTTCATTTCTGATTACGTGTGCGGTGAGTACTTAAGGGACCATAACTAGCGGCAGCCGGAACCATTCTTTCTACAACACACTCAACATCCTCAAAATCCAGTCCTCAACCAGCTTCAGAACAGCAACACCTTACATTTTCATCCAGAAGAAACTACACTAGCGATGAGTTCAATATGCGAGGACTTGGACTTGGACGATGAGCGTGTTGAGCTACTTGACAGGTTCATCGAGTTGTTGCCCCCACCAGATTACAGCTTGATCCACCGAGACAAATTCAACTTGCGCGCTACTTCCAAGGGCCTTGACAAGTCCTTGATGCGCTGGTTCATGAAAATATTCCAGAGAGGCCACGCGAAAAAGGCCGACCTTGTCGAGCTCTTCATGACCGCCCAGGATATCCGGGCCCTCCACGACGTCAGTAACAGTGGGACAATCGACGAGGCAATCAAATCCCTGCACATCAACGTCGGCCACTTCGCAAAGGAACCAAGGCGGCCTCTCATCTTGCATTCGCCTCTGCAGACCGAGATTGACGCGTACGAGGTCCTCCTCCTGGCGGGCGATGGCGTTAAGCTCCTGAGTCAAGCTTTCTCCAGCCTACAAAATCTCGAAGAAGTCTACATCGGCAAAGGGAGGATGCCTCTTCACAAGCATCAAACGGACCACTGTGCGTGGCGCGAGACGACCGAGCCACGCTTGAACATCCAAAAACGGCCAGGCTCCGGTTACATACTGAGGACGGAAGTAGTCAAAAGCGTGCTCGAAGCTCTGGCTCTTAGCAGCCAGCGCATCAAAAAGTTGGTCATCCAGAGCGGCTCATCTATGTCTCACCGTGACGAGGCTGGGCTTTGGAGCTTCGATCTTCCCGAGCCGATCTTCGCAAAGTTGGCAACCAGCTTCCAGAACCTCACGAGGTTGCACTTGACAATGTCGTTTGCAAAGGACAAGATCATCCATTCTCGCTTTAGGGCGGCTGACTCGACTGAAGATGAGCGTCTCCAGTGGCTGGTTCGGTTCCTCCAGGCTGCGTCTTCTCTCGAGTCATTCCACCTTGCTGCGTCTCGAGAAAACTTCTTTTCGTCGGACGTTATCAAAGCCGTGCGCCATGCCTTACCCGACTCCCTAAAGGAATTCCACCTCTACAACTCCATGCTCACCGCCAAGGTTCTTCACCAAGTTCTGGCTCTCCATCATCGCAACGTTACCGAGCTTGGTCTATACTGCTGCATCCTTGTCGACGAAAGCTGGGAACCATTCTTCCGCACGCTGGACATGTACAAGCCACGCTTGAAGCACGCCTACCTCGAGGAGCTCTGGGAGTTACGTCCCGACCTGGACGACAAGGTGATCCGCGGGCCACTGCCCCGCGGCGTGAAAAGGTTCTCAGGTCGGCGCATCTCCCACTTCAAGAGGAAGGTCTGCGCAGTCAGCGCCTGCTTTGACCGCCAGCGGAGGCGTGACTTCCGCGATGATGCCATGGTCGTGCAAGATGGTTATGGTCACGTTTCAGGCCTAGACCTCATGGCCCACACTGCGGCACTTTACCCTTCGTCGATTACGAGGAAATTGGGGACATGGATGTAACGGCGCTGGTGGCCCGCGGCCCGTAATGGCTCTGGATCATGTCTGCAAGATTGGTAAGAGGATGGACGACTTCCAGAAGAACACGAAGGTCCGGCCGAGGAGTAGGCGTCGCACTCACTCTTGGCTGGCTTGAGACCGTTCTTTACGGCAGTACTGACTTGGATCACCCACTCCCTCAGAAGGTTTTGAAGCATGTGGATGGGCTTGTGGCGCAGTGGTGGAGCTCGAGAGGGCGCCAAAGGAAAATGCTAGTTACTGGTAGATCTGAGAATTTGTTTTGATCTGAAATACCGCAATTGACGGTTCGTTTGTGGGTTGTTTGTCTTTGATTCTTCTTTTGTGATACAAGGCTCAAATAAAAATACACTAATGTACGTGAAAAGTATAAGCTATGCAATTTACTGTCTCATTGGGAAAATCGTGATCGATAAGGAAGAATGTCATTTGTTAACTGTTTTATGTCAGATGCCGATACTTAATCAATGCGAAAGGATGTAGATTAGTGAATACGGTGAGTAGTGGTGATATGCCCCTGCGAAACAAGATAAGCTAAACCTAAACTGGAAAGAGCAATGCCATGGTAGTAACAAAGGCGTGAACCAGGAACAAAGAACAAGCAATCGGCAAACCGTTGGCTTTATAGCAAAGCATTCCCGGCGGACTACTTGTCGGTACTCTTTAGCCGCACTCAAACTCGAGTCTCGAGTGACTACACTACAATATATCTACCGAGCAAAGGGCATTGCAATACCATACAAACCACCTCTAGGGTTTCGAAGCACTAACAGGGTCCAGTTGATCGTCAGTGTTACCCTACACTATATGCCCAAGCTAGTTATCTCCATGGCATCAGAACAATGTTGCATGTTGGTGAGAAGCGTGACTGCAATCACCAATTCACAAGCACTTCCCAAAACGGCTAGCTCCAACACGGCTGCCTTGAACTTCCACCTCCGGATGCCGAGTACTTATTGCCGTAGAATTTCGCGGGACACCCTTCCACTCTATTCTTTACCACTCTTCTTCGTTCCGAGGAACGCAGATCCTCTTCGCACTTGATATTGGCCACAGACAATCGGACGCCCATCAGAACTTCGAGAAGCCGCACCGGTAGGAATTCCTAACAGCACATCTGCTTCTCGGTATGCTGACGCGACGTGACTGTAGAACCGGCTCTTGCGTCTTGCGCAAGCGCGCGCTTCCACCATGAACAACCCGCTCACCACCCGCGCTTCCGACCACCGACCTACCGGGCTTGATACACTGAATGATGATGTCGTCCTCACTATAGCCCGCATGGCCTCTTCGTTTCGCGACGTCCTAAGCCTTCGCCTCACCTGCAAAGCGCTGTCCAACAACCTCATCGAATGGTTTCGGGCTGAACTGCCGATGTTTCATAATCGCCGCCCTGATAGGCTCATATTGTACCTGTCTTCACCAAGCGATGTCGAGAAATTCAGCGGCTTAACTCAGAGCGAGCTTATCGCTCACCAGATCACTCATCTCCGAATCAACGTCACCGAATTCAACTCAAAAGTCCTTCACGAGATCGAATACGACCTTAAGATCCATAAACGCTACGGAAAGTTGTTCCTTGAGGATATAGGAAGCAATCCATCCGAGGATTGGGATCTTAGCGACCCCCGTCCATTCCGCGCGAATTGGCGCGAAGCCATCTACCACAAGTATCAACAGGCTTACATCGAACAGGAGTGGATGAAGGCAAGCAGCAAGTACAAGAAGCATTTTCCTGAAGGATTCAGAAAGCTCCCTAATCTCAAGAAAATTGTCATTGGGGACTGGGCTGTTGATAAGAAACATGACACAAATGACTATTCCATTGTGAGAGGACAGTATACGTCACCACACGACACAACTTTTGGCTGTAAGGCAAGAACAGCTGCCCTTTCAACCCTGTTGGCGAACCTTGCCTTAAACCCCCAGGACCTAGAAACGCTCATTATCCAGCGGAAAGGCCCGGATTCTTGGCGCTTTAACAACGAAGAAGCTGGAACCTGGGCTTTCGATATTCCAGCCTCAGTTTTCAGTGCCTTAACTACTTCTATGGGCCATCTGAAGAAGCTACACTTGACTCTCAGTGACGGCACATTCACCCAAGAAGATGGTCGTCGTAGCTACAGCGTGGCGCCGGATGGAACCACAACGGAATCTGGACTACGAGCACTGACACGCTTTGTCTCGATGTCGCCGGTCCTCGAGAGCTTCAGTCTTGCCGCAGCTATAGATACTCTCTTCCCAGCAACCTTTATCCGGGGCATCCTACGAATACTACCTCCGACACTGTGCAGAATCCACCTGTTCAACATCATCACCTCGGTCACGGATTTGAACAAGTTCTTCTGGGAGCGCCGTGCAATGCTGCGGTGCGTCGGCCTCACCCGAGTCTACTTGGTGGGCGAGAACTGGACGCCCGTCTTCAAGCTCATGAAAGACCACCTTCCATCACTTGAGATTCTTCACTTGGAGCAGCTATGGGAGCTGTTTGCTGAGTTCTCTGTGTGGCTTTACTTCCCGCGTGTCCATGGCTTCGGACGCAGGTACGATGGTCGGTTCGTAGATGGCCGGTGGTACCCTGAACAGGGCTACGATTCTCTGGATTGCAGGAAGCCCGGTGTCGATGAGGTTGATGATTTCCAGCCATTCACGCCGTACAGCATTCAGAAAGGCTTGGCGAGGGCGATTTGGAAGGTGTGGAGGGATAACAGGTGGACCACGGGCGAGCTGGCTGAGTATGGCATGCTACCGAAGCGGGTCGTCGACCACATCCGCGAGACATTTGGAGAGATACTGGAGCCAGGATTTGACGACACAGATTTCTCCGAGTTGTTTGTGGAATGGTGAGTATGTGGTCAACTCCATGATTTATGGGGTAGAATGGCTATGACCCCATGGATCGACACTGTTACACAAACTCTATGTTTTTGAGAAGTTGCGTGTACTACTAGCAGCTTTATGATATGCCTCTTTCTTCTATTTGTCGAGAAGTAAGTGTCGCTTCTTGCAGAGGTTGTGATCAGTTTTTCTTAATGCAAACCCCTGCTAACTTCTGAATCTAATGGCAACTATATTGTCGATCGGTGACACAAAGTTCCTCTGTAGTAGGACCCTGTCGTGCTAGCTAGTGCTGATTCATTCGGCCCTGCCAACTGGTCTCCCCTCGTTTAGTTAATCTCTTTCCAATTTAAGCATGAGCTAGCCTATATAGACATGCAGCAGTGTTTCTCGTGCATATACGAGATTCTTTACGACGGCTAGCATAACTCAGCGGACTCATTGATATACCTATGTAGCGAGGGTACAGCGACGATGGTATTCTTGATGACGTCATCCGCGGGCAATCCTTGGCTTGCCACTGGCCAGCCCTTTTCGCTAGCTGTTGGCCGCGTGAACCCTCAAACACCACCCATGGCCTCCGATCGCCGTCTATTGCCCGCGCAACCACCACCATTGGACCCCCGCGCGGATCCATCACGAGAACCGCCCCCTCCTCGCAGGAATCTGCCCCAACGGAACGCGCGCCGCTCGCTGATATTGGCCGCCTGTGCCGCTTGTCGGAAGCGCAAACAAAGAGTACGCCGGCTGTGTCACTATGCGAATCTTCTAATGGTTTGCTACACAGTGCGATGGCACTCGTCCGACGTGCAGCGTCTGCAAGGCCACCGGCAAAGAATGCGTCTACGACACGCAGCAGGGCGAGACCAGAACCGCCGCCCTGAAAAACCGCAATGCCGCTCTTGAGCGCGATCTCAACTCGGCCATGCAGGCCCTCCGCATGCTCCAGGCCGGCTCCGATAGCGACGCCGCACATCTCCTCCAACGTCTGCGTTTTGCTGTTGATCTGCCTGCTTTTCTGTCCGACTTGCAACCCTCCCAGCCTTCAACCCCATCACGCCCCCAGCAAAACTACGCCTGGATTGATGTCCCTGCCGTGCTGCGCTACATCCGCGATCATCTCGCTGATATCCAGCATGCATTCTCCATCTATACACAGCGCACTACCATGCTGTTCCACATTTACACCGATGTCGAAGTCTTCCAGATCCTGGCTCTCGTTAACCAACCCTCCCTCCTCGACGTTCCCAGCCCCGTTCTTTGCGAGATGTGCAGCATCGTCGCCATTGCCTCGCATTTTGACCGCAAACGCATCCCGCCCGATGTCAGCGACCTTATGTACAGCGTTGCGAAGCACTTCCTTGACGACCTGGTTTTGCAAAATCCTCTCAGGGCAATCAAAGTTTGCGCCCTCTTGGTGCTGTGTAACATAGTCGTCAAAGCCACCGTAGCTCTAACCTATATCGGTACCACTCTTCCAGTGAGCTTTCACTCAAATACCAGCTGACTTCAGCATAGATATGGGGCTTGGAATAGCTCGCAACCTGGGCTTGTATGGCCAGCAACGCCCTCCCACCATCGACCAAGATAGCTGGGATGATGCAAAGAAAGTTTGGCGTTCTTTGGTCCTTTGCAAAGGCTGGCTGCAGGCCACTCTTGGTTATCTCCCCGACGATGTTACTACCGTGGACCCCGTCCTGTATATCGGAACATCCGACGCTCAGGACACCACCGAATTCTTCCGCACAGAGTTCACCAAGATTTCGATACTAAAGGCAAAAATTCTTGCCACTGCAGAACAACCTTATTTACATCGCAAAACCATCGATCGCCTAAGGGCAGACCTCCAATCCTGGTACCGTACTCTTCCGCCCGAATGGAATCTGTCACAAAACCTTACCAATATCAACGACCCGTACCTACGCATGACTACCTCTTTCCTGCATCTCCTCCATCTTGGGGCTATCATGCTTTTACACCGACGCGTCATATCCTGCTACCTCGAATTGCGCAAGGAGGATCCACATCGTGCTTTGGAAATGATCGGAGAAGCAACCGAAGCTGTGAATGAAGGAATCACTGCTGCAAGGCTTTCCGCTCGGCTTCTGGCTCTAATCATGGAGGAGGGAGGTGTCACCCGGCATTGCTGGCTTTGCATTTTCCAGTCGTACATGGCTTGCTGCACCCTGCTGTACACCAGCTTCCACAAGCGCCTACACGAAGTCCCGACGCAAGAACCGGACGATGACTTTGAACTCTCCGGGAAAGCCTTAGCCACTTTGAGCTTCTGTGCCAAACTCGATCCGGGCGCTGGAAATCTCATGAAGACACTGCTACCTTACTCGTCGATGCTTGACGGTACGAAGCAGCTTGAGATTAAGATTTCAGAGGATGTGGCAGTAGACAACTCTGCTGTCCTTCAGCCCATGCCACCCGCTCCAATGTCAGCCGAATATCTTTTTCCGCCCGAAGGCACGAGCAAACAGCACCAAGCATGCAATGAGCTTTTCGAAACACTCAGTAGGCCCTTTGGCACTTTTTCACTGGTTCTCGACGAGGAGAAGCAACCACCGCTGCTTCGCCAGACCATGACCAACGTCGACGAGCTCGGTCTCGGGATCCACTTGGACTGGACCGGGGCGAACCGGGCCTCTTTTGACAGCGGACGAGCGGGGGGTCGGTTCGCCGAGGGGGTTCAAGGACAGCCCTTTGGCTGGACCAGGTCGCGGAGTAGCACCGAACATTTGAAAGAAGCGGAGACGCTGGAAATTAGCTGAGGATCCGGTCGTTGAAGATGTGAATACCCTGTTGGCCATCGTATATTTTTCATCGTTTCTGTGCTGGACTTCCCTTGCGGGTATCGCAGCCAAATTGATGGTCCTGAGCATTGAGTTTGGGTCTCCATCGCGTTAGTTTTTAATATCTTTTAATCAACTGATACTGGCCTTTGTACTCTGGCAAAGCATAGTTCTCTTCTCAACATCGGAAAAGACCGTAACGTCTGGTTGACATTTCTTTCCCGCAGATCTCCAATTTGACTTCGGGCCCCCGCAAACTAAAACACCATTTCCAACACCCTCTCGCCCATCCACATCGAACCTTGCACCCACCAACCTATGTCTCACTCCACCCCACTCACACCCCGCGCCTAAACCCGTCCCAAGCCCCCACCACCACATCGATCCCAACGCCCTCCTCCCGCAGCACCCGCGCCAACCGATCCGTCCGCACCTCCTCCTCCCGCGTAACAGCATCCACCCCTCCCTCGCCAAACACGCCGACCTGCGCGCCGCCATCCCACCCAGGCCCCTCGCCCGCCACGAACCGCAGCACGCGCTCCGCCCACTGCCTCGCCGCCTCTTTATAGCCCTCTCCCGGCAGCGCCTCCTCGAAGTTCAAGAACACTAGCGCCACGTCCATAATGTGCGACGCCTCGCCGTGCCACGGGCCGGGCCAGGGATTGGGGAAGGCGAGGCGGTAAAGCCACGCCTTCCCTTCTTCTCCTCCTCCCGTCGCCACCTCCTCCGCTGCAGGCCACTTCTCCACATACGCCCGCGCCCCCGCGCGAAACAGCAAATCCGACGCCAGCGCCACGATCGCGCGCAGCGCCTTCTTCGCATCACTCCCGGCCTGGATGCCATACGCCGCGAACAGCTTCTCCGCCACCGCTTCGTCACCACCTTGCTGGACAAGCCCGCGCCGAAACGACCCCATAAACGCCTCGGCCAGCCCCTCGTCCTCGCGCTGCAGCGTCGGGATCATGGCCGTCAGGATCGACGCGTCGGCCGGCGCGTAGCCGGCGAGGATCTGCTTGCACCACGGCCTCGTCTTCTGCCCACCGGTTGCTTCCGGGCCGAGCGACGCGGCTAGATCCGCGTGCGTGGGCCGGTGGCGGACGCTGTCGTCGTCGCCGTCGTGGACGAAGATGAGCGGCAGGCCTGGTGGTGCTTTGGCGAGGAGGTCGGGGATGGGGAGGGCGGCGAGGGCGGCGGGGCGGGTGGAGGGCGGGTGGTTGGAGAGACCGAAGGCCGCGGTGAGGGCGGCGTAGGTGTTTTCGGCGACGGCGGGCGGGAGCGGGTTCATGAGGAGGGGGGTGCCGGACATGGTGATGAGGCGGGTGAAGAGAGGCGTGGGGGATTGGAGGTGGAGGAGGCAGGATGCTTTACTGAATGTTAGTTATGGTGGGATTTGAGGGCTGGGATTGGCTGTGTTTCATTGGACATGAAAGGGGGGAATGTTGTGCTAGTTGGAGGAGAGATGAGGGAAGAAGGCTTTACCTCCACCTGCGCTTTCGCCCATGGCGGTCACGTTGGCTGGATCGCCGCCGAAGCCGGCGATGTTTTCTTGCACCCATCGGAAGGCCGTGGCTTGGTCGCGTAGACCGTTGTTCGATTTGTAGCCGGCCTGTTGCATCTCCTTGGAAGTCAGGAAGCCAGGGATCCCGAGTCGATATCTGTATTCCCGTGTTAGTCTTAACTTCCCCTTACTAAGCGCCTGCGAAACATGTTTTAATGCAGACCATTCGCATTTTCAATCTTGATCTCGGAGGAATGGGTTTGGGATACCCAAAGATTGAGGGCATTGGAAGAGCAATACTCACCCGACATTCACGCCAATAAACGGCACGCCCCTCTCCACTCCCAGCTTCACCAGCCTCTTGAAATCGTACTGCGGCCACCAGTTCGCACCGATGAATAAGCCGCCGCCGTGGACGAAGACCAACACTGGAAACCCTGCCTCGCTGGGCTTCGGCGTCCCGGCCGGTGGGACGGTGATGTTCAGGTTCAAACCATCCACATCAGAGGTCGGCGGTGGAGCGTCTGGCTTAGGAAGTGTTTGCTGTATGAAGCCGAACTCCATGTCGATTGCATTGGGAAGACAAACAACGTGTGGGCTGTTTTGGGTTGTGAAGAGAGCATTAAGTCAGCTTGGCTGCCGTTATTTCTATACAGAGCATTGCATTGAGATCCGCAAGGGAAGAGTGACAATCTCCCATATAGAAACTTTCTGAAACAGGAAATGGAAGGAGATACCAAAGTTACTCGTAACTTAAATCAAAAGAAAATCAAGGACTCACCCAAACTCTCCAGCCTCCACCGTAGCCTTTGGATCGCCCTTCAGCAGCTCCGGCGGCGCGAAGCGATCTTTCAACGACGCGTACTTGATACCCAGGAACTGCGCGACGCCGCTACCGTCATCGGCAGCCTTGCCTCGAACAGTTCCCAACTTAGGATGTTTGATCGTCGCTGCAGCTGCGGACGCCATGGTTTCCGAAAATGCGATTCACTTCGGATGTGGTGTGATGAATGGTATATCAACTCAGAATGAGAAGGTGTAGAAGGAGAAGCGCATTGGCCAGCCAAACGGATGATGTTGGCGGACGGGAAGTAGTGGAGAGCACCAGGACAATATGGTATCTTTGAAACGGGAGTGCGGACATCCCGCCCATTTTTATACTCAGCGTTGATATGCCCCGCCCCACGTCGTGGATCCCGTCGGGATCCGCTGCAATGGTTACTCCGCGACTAGGGCGTGGTGGGGAAATAGAGCCGTTCATTTTACAAGGGGAAGAAGATAGAATTGTGACTGGCCAGGGTCTCCAAACGTCAGCAATGGGGGATTAATGTTTGTGGGGTCGAGTTTTGGTTCCATGGTGGGGCACAAAAAGCGTAACACGCCAAACACTTCCCCCGCTCGCGGGGTTTGTTGACGTTTGATGACGATTAACCGTAAACAGGAACCTCCCCGCATAAAAGGTGGGACGTGCTCTTACTGCTGTGCTTGCTTTTTGCATCTGTTTAATCTTTATTTCGACGAACATGATCCCGATGAAGCGAAGAATGTCTCAGCCGCAAAGACGACGGATAGTTACACGCAGCACGGTAACGAACTTAAGAATCGAAGTACTCTTTCAGAATCTAATAAGCAGATCAATTGGTGTTCACATGAAGAACTAAACAAAGAAAGTAGTGGAGATCTGACCGCTCACGTCTAGAGATAGACCTATCTATCATGAGTGTATAAACTACACGAAACCAATACCAACCCCAGGCGCCCAAGTCTTTCATATTTCTTTTTCCTTCGGCCACGCCTCTTAGACCCACCTAACAATATCTATCAAACAGTCTCGGGTCATCACCACCGGCTCCAGGCATCTCCACGGTTCACCCAAGGCCTCTCACGCATAACTCTGCAACGCATAAATCAACCTGCACACCCTCTCCTCAGCATTCAACAGCCTCCTTAAAATCCTTCTCATACGCATCCGCCAACTTCATCAGCACCGATCCCATCCTCGGAGTAACTGCAAAACCCTCATCAGTAAAAGGAACCCACATGAAAAAGAAAGGGCGCAACTCACCACCCCAAACCCACGTATCCGACAAAAACGCCGCGCAAGCCCTCGCCACCGCAGCAGCCAGACTGGCCCCCTCAGCCGCAGCATCAAAGTCGACCTCCAACTCGCCCAAGCAAGCCTCGACATCCTTCAAGATCGTCCTCTCTTCCTCTTCCAGCCCTGCACTCGCCCGTTCCCGCTGCTGCGCCGCGTGCACCCACTTGGACAGGAACAGGCTGGCGTCCCACCACGCGACGGCGTGCTCGACGCTCCAGCCGAACGCGGCCGTCTTGCGCACGAGCAGCGGCGAGCCGACCTTGGCCGGCAGCATGAAGCCCTCGCACGCCTGGCGCGCGCCCTTGGTTGCGAAACCGTTGCTGCGGTCGTCGTCCATCGGTGCGCGCAGGTACGCGTCGACGGCGGCCGAGACGACGCGGTCGCTGTCCGAGGCGAGGGCGAAGCGGTTGAAGGCGGGCGCGGCGGCGCCGACGCCGAAGAGGCGGGTGCTGGCGATGCGCAGGAGGGCGTTGGTGTTGGAGACGAGCGAGCTGGTGGTTTGCGAGTCGTCGGACGGCGGCGACGCGTGGTGCGGGTGCCGGTAGTCCTCGCTGCAGCCGTTGCCGCTGCCGCCGCGGCCGTGGTTGAGGGCGTGCTGGCATTTTTCGATCGAGGATGCCGCGTCCAAGAGGAGGGCGGACTTGTTGTTGTTGCCAGGACACTGGGAGATCTGTGAGAGGTGCCAGACGTGGATGTTTGCGGCGTGCGCGATGACTAGGCCTGCGAAACCCCATGCCATCTGGTTGTCCTCTGGCGTATCCTCCGATTGATCTTGGGAAAGCGTGTCCAGCATTGCTTCCTTGACAGTCTGTCGAGATCCCTCATGTGCTTTGCTCTTTGCTTCCGTCCACTGCGCCGCTGTTTTTGCGTCCCAAAGACCATCCTTCGCCGGAAGTTCCACCTGCAAGTCTTCGCCAACCGAAAACCAGGGGCTTGTGCCATAAGCGACTGAAATGAGATTGCTCAGGATGAGGATACCGCAGAGGACTCTCTTGCCAGATTCCTCACTAATCCAGTCTTCCCACGTGGAGTTCCCTCTGCTAAACTCGGCCGCAGAGCATGTCCGCCGGATGCGGTATTCCGAAACGAAGAAGCCACTCCTTTCTATGCTAGAGAGGACGAGAGCTGTCCGTCCGCTGAAGACCGAATACATGGCAAGGAGCAAGCTTCCTTGGACCGCCCACAATGGCCCCGGTGATGAAGAGTTAACTTTGCGGCTTGCGGATATAGCAGAGTGCAACAACGGGCTTGCAAGCTCATACAGTACGGCGGCGCGTCGTCTGTCCAGGCGATACAAAGCCCCGATGCAGCAGATTGCCAAAATCAGCGGGCTGGGTGTTGACTCCAAATTCATTGAATGAAAGTGGACGACGGGAAAATGACGGTGGAAGCAGTTGATGTATCCCTCGATGAACTTCTGCAACTCTTTAGCGTTCGGAAGTTTGCTGTCATCCCAATCCTCTTTTCTCGTCCGGGCCTGAAGGTCCGCGCGGATGCTACAGTAAATTTCGGGTCCCACTGCCAGCTTCGCTTGGTCAGAGTTGCTCTCTTTGGATTCCTCGGGAAACGATTTCCTGCTCAAGACGCTGGAGTTCATGGACGGACCTTTGAAGGAAAAACTCGAGTCGAACAAAGATGCACTCTGCTGATCCTGGCCACCTGTCAGAAACGGATCAATGGGAATCGAGAATTCCAGGCTCTCCGGGGTGATCAAAGAATCCATGTGGTTCTGTGCCATGTTAGAAGGCGGCTCCGGAGGTGACCAGAAATCCCGAAAAATGTCAATCGATGACGAATCCAGATCATGGTGCCAGTCATGCTGCGAAGCTCGATGAGTATCAATGGAGTGGCTCCCGCGGGTTGTCAATCTCCGGCGCTTGGTTGGCGGGCTCATGGTTTCTTGTGCGGCATCCATCGAGTCGTTCCTGGATTCAATGCTTGGCACGGCAGCCTTGGAACCTCGGCTATGTCTTGGACTCATCAAATCGAGGTCCAGAGACTGTTGCGGCCCGCAAAGCTGCGGATCGATTGGCATGAAAGGAGCTTGCATTGGTACTTCCTGGAAAGCGACAATTGGCTCGCCCCATGGCTGCAGGCTACCTGGTGCCTGCTCGGGACAGCTTTGAGGGCTCGGGTAGAGAGCCTCCACCGCGCTGCCAAAGGCGAATGATGGCGACATGACGTCCGTGGGAACGAGGATCTGGGAACTCCGACGGTCATCCGTAACTGCTAATTGGTGCGGAGAAAGTTCTGCTGAGGTGGCCATGGGCGCGAAATTCTCTGCTAGAGCGACATGGGGCGGGGCCTCAATCTCAGGCTCGAAAGACTGCCTGAGGTCGGGCTGGGAGGATGCATTGCTTGGAATTGACACATTGATGGTCTCTGTCGATTCTGAAGACCTTCGAGAATCAGGAGAGTCCGGGACGGCGGTAGCAATGGACTGCCTCCTCTTTTCGGAATGCAGCGTCTTCTCGTGGCGGGTGACCAGGTCTTTGCGGGCGTACTTTTTGTGGCAGTACTGACAGGCAAAGGGCCGCTCACGGGTGTGGATCCGCTCATGGCGCGAGCAGTGCTCGCTCCTTTTGAAGACCCTGGCGCAGGTGGTACATTTGTAGACTCTCCGCTGCTTGCCGGACATGATTGGTTGTGCTGTGCTCCCAACAGGTGATTGCTGTATAGAGACAGCACAATGGGACCTGCATTGGCGTGTGTCAGCACGATTGATGGGCTGCTCTTCTGTTTGAGTTGATGACAATGGAAAGACAGGCGCTTGACGGGTAGTCGACGGCGGTGCCGCGCGGTCGTTCGGACCGGGCCTTATCAACTCCGGCTACGCTGCCCATGCATAAGGGAAGGCCGAGGGCCCATACCGTGTCTCAGAGAGCGCTAGGGATAGATCGTATTCGGGCCAGAGGGCGTGGCGGCCTAGAAATGGTCGGTTGCGGACGCGGTGAGGTTGAAGAAGAGAGTGCGGGACGCGCAGGGCAAGGCTACGACATGGTGCTGCTAGCCCGTCGCTGCGCCATTAGTCCCAACCGGCGGCAAGCCAGCTGCCAAGTTGGATGCGCGGGACCCCGGAAGCATCGCAAAAAGGCGGGGAAAGCTTCAGGCTTCTCCGCGAAAGAGAACGGGGATCGGCCGCGCACTGATGAGGCGGCACGCATGCAGCGCCCTCTGCAGGGCCCGCCGCCGTCCAAGCTCGGCAGTGGAGCTGCGCGGAATTGCCGTGTTTGCGCACTTGCTGGGCACATGACTGCCTCAGTGATGAAATGCTGCCGCCCTCACTGGCCGCGCCGCCCGTAGCCGATGACTCGCGCCGGCGCCCAGCCTCTTTAGCCGCGAGCTGCTCAGCCGCTCGGCATCAGGGCGCACTCGAACTCCATCATCGGAGAAATAAAATTGGGGCAGTTGCCGTATCCGCGGGGAGCCACTGTGTGCAGGTCATGAATTCAATTGTCTACCTCGTGGCCATGCTCATTATATCGTTACACGGACAACCCGACGAGTGCTCGTCTGCATCCTCTGCTGATTGTCTAGCTTTCATAACCAAACTTTTCCCGGCGGGTTCTGAGCCTTTACGGCTTCGGCACCCTCAGCGTCTTGCTGACCATAAGACATCCGTGCAGCAGGAACATGCCGATAACGGGATGGAACTCGAAGGGGGTGCCAGTCAGCGCCGTGCCGAGCGGCACATCGTCCAGAACCCAGCCGTTGTACACCCAGTATGCCATGATGCTGTCAAGACCGAGCGATGTGGGGATAGGCGTGCCTTCAAAGTACTTTGCCTTGCCAGTCGCGTCCTTGGGCACGAGCTGCGTCGTAACATTGAACCGCGCGAGACGAGTGAGACCGCAAAGGACGTAGAAAGTCAGGAGCACGTGGTCCACGGGCGTGCGAAGGCCAATAGCCATGGCGCAGCAGGCGGGCGCAACGCCGAACGAGATCTGAACTCGGCATCAGCAACAGCTGGGAGCAGCGGGTCTTTCACACGTACCAGGTCCGCCAGGGAGTCAAGCTCCTGACCCATCATCGACGCCTTCTTCCTCCACCTAGCAACCTTGCCATCCATGAAGTCGAAGAACAGGCCGAACGGCATGAAGGCCAGAGCAGCCCACAGATTGCTGAAATCGTTCGGCTCACCGAGGCAGTAACGCATCGAGGAGAAGACGGACATGACACCGCAAAATCCTGCCACAACTCGTCAGCACAAGTGAGCATACCGCGTGTGGCTCTGGGCTTACCGTTGAGCTCCGTAATCACATCCGCAAGGTGCATGGCCCTGCGCTGGTTAGCTCATGACCGCCTCGGCCATTGCGCAGCGGAGACGTACTTGATCAGCGAGAAATGGCCAGCATCGGCCGAGAGCAGCCTCTTCTGCTTTTCCAAGCCTGCAACACCGTGAGCGCCTGTCTCGTAGAGGGCGCGACGTGTGGAAACGCACCTGGGTTCTCAGCAGCCGACGGGGAGCTGCCGTCCTTGTCGGCGCTGTTTCCGGTACCGCTCCTTCGCGACATGATGGCGCCTAGTGATGCGGAAAAAGAGATGAGAGGTTGGGGGGAGAGTCTGAGCAGTCGGAGCTCGTGGCGGGAGGGCGAGTTAGGAGGGTGAAGGTGGTGGATGCGAGAGGCTGTGCAGCGACACTTTGTTTTCCAGGCAGGATCTCGGGCCTGAAAGCGGCGGGCCAGACCGAACGTCATCGCGTGTCGCTCCTCCGCCCAACGCTAAACAGCATAACGTGGATCAGCTTCCGAAACAAGTCACACACATGTTTCTTGGTCACGCAGGGCTGAAATCATGCACTCTCAGATGAACTTTTGCATTGTTGCTAGAGCTTCTCGCTCCATTAGACCCAAAACCCCTCAGACCGTCTAGTCTGGAAAATTCGTACAGAGAAAAGAGCCACTCCCAATCCGCGAACGCCGTCCCATGAGCCGTAAAGCACAAGCAAAGGCCGTCATCGACTAGTAGCCACCACGGCCCCTGCCCCTGCCGCCTCCTCTAGGAGCGCCGCGGCCACCACCGAAACCTCCACTGCTGAAGCCGCCCCTCGAGCCTCCGCGGCCTCCGAAGCTGGGTCCGCCGCGGCCGCGCGGTGCACCGCCACGACCACCACGGCCGCCAAAGCTGCCAAAGCCACCACGGCCACCGCGAGGTGCACCGCCACGACCGCCACCACCAGCGCGCTTGGGCTTGGGCATTCCTAAAAAAACGATTAGATTTTTTTTCTTCACAGTGGGGACTCTAAATTCTTACCCGGCGGGGGCTTGGGCTTGGGAAGGAACCTGAGCAAAGATCCGTTAGCAATCATCGATCCAGTCCAACTTCTTTAGGGCTGTTCCCACCTCTCCAGAGGCAGCAGCTTGTCGCCGCCAATGTAGAACTTGTCACCCTGCTTGAAGGAGGTGGCCTGGATGCCCTCCTGGGGCTTGATGGTGAAGTAGACCTGGTTCAGAGGACCAAGGATCTCATCGACCTTGCCGATCGGGCTCTGCGACCCTGTTAATTTTTCCGTCTGCCATGTACTATCTCGCGTGCTTGCTTGCCTTGTTCTCGAGGTAGATGGGAGCGTTGAAGTAGGGAATCTTGGTGTTGATCGATTCGCACACGATCTCGCCCTCGCAAGCGTGCATGAAGGTACCCATCTCTGCTCGTCGTCAGCGTGCGTTCGGCCATTGAGCCGCAGTCGACTCACCGAAGACCTGATCAGGCGGGCCCATCGGCTGGGAGAAGCCACCACGAGCTGCAACACCCAAAGTTAGCACCGCTGCGACTTTTTCCCCGGAGCGCTGGCCCACGCACCTCCACCACGGCCGCCGCGAAACCCGCCGCCGCCGCGGGCACCAAAACTTCCACCGCCGCGGCCACCGCGTGCGCCTCCTCGGAATGACATTTTGTGCAGCTGGTAGTGATCGGAAACGGGAGTGGGTTGTCGCAAGTGAGGGAGCTCCAGCGCGGGCGCGGTGGTTCGCGTCCACGGAATTTTTGCAGGCGGCGGCGGCCGGGGGATCTTCGGCTCGGCCCTCTAAGTCACGCTAGTGACTCAAGTGGACAAGTTCGACTTTTATTTGACAGACGTGGATTCTGCCCCTCCCCCAATTGAACGCAAACCCACCGGAAACTCCACCATGGACGCTGTCAAGGACGCCGTAGAGGGCGTTAAGAACCTGGCTGTCGGCGAGAAGCAGCAGCCCAAGAAAGAGAAGCAACCGAAGAAGGATAAGAAGAAGGGCGGTGAAGATGCCGACGGCCGCCCGCTGGAACTCGCTCCCCCACCTGAGTATCTGGACCACAGGATTAAGATCTTCGAGGAACTGAAGGCCAAGTATGATGCTGATATCGCCGCCAAGCCCCGTGAGCCCATCAACATCACCCTTACCGACGGCAAGGTCATTGTTGGCGAGTCCTGGGTCACCTCCCCCGCCGAAATTGCACGTGGCATCAGCAAGTCGTTGTTTGAGCGCACTGTGATTTCCCGCGTCGACGGCGAGCTCTGGGATCTCGAGCGTCCGCTGGAGAAGAGCTGCACCCTCGAGCTCCTTGACTTCGAGCACCCCGAGGGCAAGAAGGTCTTCTGGCACTCCAGTGCCCACATTCTCGGAGAGGCCGCCGAGAGGAGATTTGGTTGCGACCTGTGCATTGGCCCGCCCGTCGAGGATGGTTTCTACTACGAGATGGCCCTTCCTGGTGGTGACGTTGTCCAGCAGACTGACTACAAGCCCCTCGAGAAGATTGCCGACAAGGCCATCAAGGAAAAGCAGAAGTTCGAGCGTCTTACCCTTACCAAGGAGGAGTTGCTTGAGATGTTCAAGACCAACAAGTACAAGCAGCACATCATTAAGGATAAGATTCCCGATGGCACCAGCACCACCGTCTATCGCTGCGGTCCTCTCATCGATCTCTGCCGTGGCCCTCACGTCCCCCACACTGGCAGGGTTAAGTTCTTCAAGATCATGAAGGTATGACATGTCGCGGCTAACATGAAGAAAAATATACTGAAGATATATGCCAGAACTCCGCCTCCTACTTCCTCGGAGATGCCAAGAACGACTCTCTTCAGCGTATCTACGGTGTCTCCTTCCCGGAGAAGAAGATGATGGAGGAGCACCTGAAGTACCTTGAGGAGGCCGCTAAGCGTGACCACCGCAAGATTGGCAAGGAGCAGGAGCTTTTCTTCTTCCACGAGTGGTCTCCGGGCTCTGCCTTCTTCCTGCCCCACGGCATGATCATCTACAACACCCTGCAGTCCTTCCTCCGTGAAGAGTACTGGAAGCGTGGCTACCAGGAGGTCCAGTCTCCGAACATGTACAATGCCGAGCTTTGGAAGCGCTCCGGCCACTGGCAGCACTACAAGGACGACATGTTCACCTTCGAGGTCGAGAAGGACCCGTGGGCGCTGAAGCCCATGAACTGCCCTGGCCACTGTTTGCTCTTCGGTCACAGGGAGCGCAGCTACAGGGAACTGCCCATGAGGATTGCCGATTTCGGTGTGCTGCACCGTAATGAGGCTTCCGGTGCGCTTACTGGCCTGACCCGTGTGCGCCGTTTCCAGCAGGATGATACCCACATTTTCTGTACCGAGGACCAGATTGAGCAGGAAATCACTGGTCTCTTTGACTTCCTTCAGACCGTTTACGGCAAGTTCGGTTTCACTTTTAAGATGAAGCTTTCCACCCGTCCCGAGGGTCACCTTGGTGAAACTGAGACCTGGGACATTGCCGAGGCCAAGCTGACGGCTGCTTTGGATAAGTTCACTGCGCAAGGTGGCGAGAAATGGGAGCTTAACCCCGGTGATGGTGCTTTCTACGGCCCCAAGATTGATATCACCATCTCGGATGCGCTCAAGCGTGATTTCCAGTGCGCTACCATCCAGCTTGATTTCCAGCTTCCCCAGCAGTTCAACCTGGAGTACATGAGTGCCGAGAAGGTCGAGAAGCCTAAGGACGCCCCTAAGGCCGAGGCCCCCAAGACCGAGGCTCCCAAGGCTGAAGCCCCCAAGGAGGGCGAGCAGAAGAAGGATGTCATGGAGGCCGCAAGGAAGCCGGTTACCCCCGGCTGTGCTCGCCCTGTCATGATTCACCGTGCCATCTACGGCAGTTTCGAGCGTTTCATCGCCATCCTTACTGAGCACTTTGCCGGCAAGTGGCCTTTCTGGCTCAGCCCTCGCCAGATCCTGATCGTCCCGGTCATGCCTGCTGTCAACGACTACGTGCATGAGCTGCAGAACATTTTCCGTGCCAAGGGCATGCACGTTGACGTCGATGTTAGCGGCAACACGATGCAGAAGAAGATTCGCACTGGTCAGCTGCAGCAGTACAACTTCATTTTCGTTGTCGGTGCCGAAGAGAAGGAGCAGCGCAAGGTCAACATCCGTAACCGTGATGACCAGGCCACGCAGCACAGAGGAGAGCTCGTCGACCTGGACGTTGCTATTGAGAAGCTGGTGGCCCTCAAGGAGAGCAGGGCTATCGTCACCGCCCTCTAGATGTTGTGGGTCTAAAATCATGTTTTGGAGAAGGAAGGTGGAGTTACGCGTTCCTTAGATAACGAAAAGATGGTAGCACAGAGAAATGTCAATTGCATGATGTAAATGATTTTACGGAGCGAATTCATCTTGACTTACGTGCTCCAACGAAAGATGTCTAATAAGGATGCTGTTCGTGATTCCATGTTATTGAGCTACCATCCCTGTGTTGATTACAGAATTGACAAATCAGGAGGAAACTATGGCAATTCGCCACTCTTCTTGTTTCCTGTTTATTTACTGTTTAATGACCTGGCAACATATATAACCCACGCTGCTACCCGACAGGTCTCCCGCAAATCGTCTCGCGCACATTCAACAAAAGCTCATGACCCGCAGTTGCCAAGTTCATTAAACGAAATGAGCCGTGAGGTCTAAAACGTGACCGATTTTCTGCCTGAACAGGGGGGGAATTCGGCCACGACTTTACCAAGGCGCATTGAACCCTAACCCTGGCTACCTAGGCAGTCGCAGCCCGGCCTTTCGCGTGTCCGCTTTCCGTCATCCCAGCACGCGTTCTACTCACCTCCATCCCGCCAACAACGCTCGCCACAACACTCTTTCCGCCCGCGCAATATCCGAGTGATTACCCGGCTTTTTCGCACATCCTGTCCTTCAACGCGTTCCTCATTTCAGATCGCGCGAGTCGCTAAGCGCCACACTTGACAAGCCTAGAAGTTCGACTTCATCTGCGGGCACCCATCTTGGCGCCTACGCAACATGCGCCTTCCCGTGTAGCCCCTCGAATGGTTCGCTTCTCGCCATAACTACTTCGGGCCCTTTGCTTCGAGTCTGCGGTCTTCTAGTATCTCAGAATCCGCCTGAGTTCTGTTCGTCGTCGTCAAGCGGAGGGTTTCCAAGGCAGCGGCCCCACTTCCGTTACCGTCATGGATATCCTCGTACGCGGGATTCCGGTTCAGACTACCGAGTCTGCATTGCGCGACTTTTTTAAGCCCGTGCTAGAGGAGTTCGCCATCATCGTCTTCAATTGCAAAAAGACCAAGAACAAACCAATCGCCATCATCACCATCGCCGATTCTGCAAAGGCGGAGCTTTTCTTGAAAAAGTACAGCCAGGTTCAGTCGCAGTCGCTCGTTGACTTTGAACCTTTACTGTTCATCAACAAGCCTCTTAAATGCAGCGCCGGCGCATACAAGCCAGATGAGATCATTCTCAAGGCGTTGCGCTATGAAGAGGAGGAACTACTGCGCAAAGCTAATCGCAAAGCCAGGAAGCTCGCGAACCCCGACAATCCACCCGACCAGCCTCTAATCGTACTAAAGCGGCCAAGGTTGCAAAGAGCTTTTGACTTCTCAAGCCTCTGGTGCGGTGTCTGGGACTACAATGGATCGCAGGCAGCATTTGCCCCTCATTTCCAAGACACGAGGCGGGGAACCATCATGTTTGGTAAACGAACTCTGGCTATGGTTTTGCGGGCAGATGGCTGGGTTCCCTCAACCTGTCGAATCGACATCCCGTACTGGAGTGTCGATACCGTCGTCACATGCTCACAGCTCAACAAAGTGACCTTCACCTTGAAGTTCGCACCGCGCGTGTATCAGCTTCAAGACGGTCTAGAGGGCTTGATGAGCGGTCTGGGCATCAGCGCTCCGAACAGCCGTCGGAATCAGAGGTTTGATCGAACTCGAGTTTCGGCCATCGATGAGTCGCACGAGTTGGTCATAGGTAGCTGCTTTGTCTACCAGATCACGCTTTCAAATCCCACCGATGTGTCAAAGCTCGACTATCTTCTTCGTAAAAGCCCGGGAATGCCTCCGGCACTCAGCCTCCCGACATCCTACACACAGGCCCACGTTACGTTCAAGCAGGACTTCGAACGTCTCAAGGATCTCATCTACGCTGAAGGCCAATTCGGTAATTTGAAATATTCTGTCAAGTTCCAGGTTGAACGGCTGGCAAGGAATGCGTATCTGCCTCCTGCAAAGGTAGTCTCTCTACTTCCGACCATCAAGCGTCTTTCAGGCCAGTATGGACACATACGAACCGCTACGGCCATTCGCATTCTCTCGCGGCAAATCCAGTACCCTGGACCTCATCTGGATCCGGAGAACTTTGACGTCAACTTCTTGGCTAGAGCATTGGCCAAGAATGCGAAGGACTTCAAGATTGAAGGGTCTATCTACGATGTAAAAACGCGGCATAATCACATTGCGCTAATTCATCGAGTTATCATAACGCCTGCTGGAACATACTTGGAAGGACCCGAACCCGAAGTAAGCAACCGCGTCCTTCGCAAGTACCCGGAACACACAGATAACTTCATACGAGTACAATTCGTGGATGAAGACGGTGACGCAATCCGTTATGAGCCGAAAACTAGTCTTTCTGAAATTTTCCACAACCGTTTCAAGTCGGTTCTTGACAGCGACATTAACATCGGAGGACACAGCTTCACTTTCCTGGGCTTCTCACACTCCTCTCTGCGTTCCCAAACCTGTTGGTTCATGTCACCTTTTGTGCAAAAGGTCAGTCTCACTGCCGCTCAGGAAGTCATCAAGGGCCTAGGAGATTTCTCAAAAATCAGATCTCCGGCAAAATGCGCAGCTCGTATTGGCCAAGCATTTTCAGATACGTCCGGCACGGTCACAGTCAATGAAAAGATTATCAAGATGGACCCAGATGTGTACAACGACAAGGGCTACATATTCAGTGATGGAGTTGGCAGAATTTCCTACAGGCTGCTAAAGAGAGTGTGGAAGGAATACCAGCAGGCCCGAGGGCAGAGACCAACTTGTCTTCAAATTCGTTTCGGAGGCGCGAAAGGCGTTGTTTCACTGGACGACAGGCTGCCGGGCGAGCTATTGGTCCTCCGACCATCCATGGTCAAGTTTCATGGAGCCGGCACATGGAATATCGAGATCTGCGGCGCAAACTTCAGGCCACTGCCGATGTATTTGAATCGTCAGTTCATCAAGATTCTCGAGGACCTCGGTGTGCCAGATCAAGTATTCCTGGATCTTCAAAGCAACATGGTCGAACAGCTGCGCAGAATCACGAAATCGCCAGTGAATGCTGCTTCTTTTCTGGAGCATGTCCGAGTTGGTCAAGGCACAAAGATGCCGTATCTGGTCAGGATGCTCGACGATCTGGGGCTGTCTTTCAATGAGGACGATTTCTTATCCCATGTTGTCGAGATCGCTGCGCTGTCACAGCTACGTGACATCAAACACCGCGCTCGAATCCTCGTCGACAGAGGCGTGACACTGTATGGGATCATGGATGAAACCGGTTACTTGGGCGAAGACGAGATTTACTGCGTAATTGAACGAATGGGAGATAACGGCAGACCTAAGCGCACTGTCATTTGCGGAGGAGAAGTCATTGTCACGCGCTCTCCAGCCATGCATCCCGGAGACGTACAGAAGGCCCTGGCAGTTGATGTACCTGCGGACTCGCCTCTCCAAGCACTTTCAAATGTTGTCGTCTTCAGTTCTCGGGGACAACGAGATCTCCCGTCCCAACTCAGCGGCGGCGATCTTGATGGCGACCTCTACAACATCATCTTCGACAAGCGTTTGATGCCTAGAATTACGTACATGCCAGCAGATTACAAGAAGATCCCGCCTCTCGACATCGGCAGACCTGTCACCAGGCAGGATATCACGGACTTTTTCGTCAAGTTCATGGAAACGGATCAGCTTGGACGTATTTCCAATATTCACATGCAGTTGGCTGATCGGAGGCCAAATGGCACTCGAGATCCAGACTGCCTCAAGTTGGCGGAGATGGCTTCGACCGCGGTGGACTTTTCCAAAACGGGCATTCCAGTAAGCGCACCACAGAGTTAACTTTGCAACATAATGACTGACACATCCTGCAGGTCGATATGTCTCAATGTCCCCGCAACGACATGATTCGCCCTGACTTTATGGCCAGTGGACCGCGTGTTATCGTTGAGAAGAGAGGTGCTGTTTTCCAAGATGATGACGATGATGATCTTCTGGATGAAGATGACGCAGTTGGTGCGCTTGATCCAGATTTCAAAACGTTCCGTTACTACGAAAGCGAGCGTATACTCGGTCAGTTGTACCGCGCTATCGACGAGAAGAAAATCTTCCAGGAGATGCAAAGGCATGCTCTGGGGACGAAGAGTCACTTGGGCGGACTGAATCTCATGGATCAAGTTTGGGCATACGTACAGCGGGAAACAGCGCTCATCCAGTGGGAGGGCTACAAGCCGCTGGCCAGAAACATCAGAGAGACGTAAGTCCTGTATTTAATTTCCAGGTCCAAGGCACCCCGGGCTGACAGATTGGCACCAGTTACGAGTCTAATCTCTTGGACATCATGTCCGACTACTCCACGCACCCGCAGTACCCGCTCTCGGAGCTCGAAGTCTTTGGTGGCAATATCATCGGCAAAAGCACCGGCGCCCAGAATCGGCGCACGAAAGAGCGCACCATGGAGATGAACGAACGTTTCGAGCGTGACGTCACATTCACCGTCGAACGCATCACTCAAGGTGATGATGGAGATCGCGACGAAGCGCTGGCTCGGTCCATCGCTTGTCTGGCCGTCGGCATAACGGAACCGCGCAAGGTCAGCAAGAGGATTGGGGAGCTGCGGAGCTGGAAGTATGTTGCGGCGGCGGTATGCTTGAGGGAGATCGAGCTGTTCAAGATTCGCTTCGATCCGTTGAATAGGATTTGAGGAGGTGGAAGTAGTAGATGGTGAAATGGGATAACTGATTGATGAGAAAATAGGCCTTCGATCTTTGCTATATCGCGGACCTCGGATTAAAGTCGATATTGAGGAGCTTGTCGAGTTCTTCGTCCTTTTCATGGCTTTGCGTGGATTGAACAAATTTGCTTCATGGTTCTAAATCTTTCAGCAAGCAGGTTAGGCGCTTCGGTCACTGTGTTCTTCAGCGTCTTGCATATATATCTTGCATACTTTCTTGCTCTTTTCCGGTTTCAGATCCATATCTTTCGCATTCATGTATTTCGCTCGATCGCTCTCTTTTTCTGGTCTTGTAGATAGTTCTGCAAAACCTAATTGCGACCAACCCCTTCTATACTGATTCAATAACGTAATCTTGCAACTGCATCAACGCATGATGTGCCCCAATCGTCGTCTCCTTCTCTCTCAGCACCACCACCGTTTCCGTCTCCCACACCGTTCCCTTGACGAGCTCTTCCAGCTTCGTCGGCCCTAGCAGCTCCACAAGATCGTACACCGGTAGCTCCTTCTCCACCATCACCTCGCCGTCTTTTCCCTCTTGCCTCCCTACGCACCTCACACTCGGATAGTCCAGCGGCGGGTAGAGTATGCTCGGCTGGAGCCTCGGCCCGCCAGCGTCCAAGATGCCGTGCGTGCGCGGCAGCACCTCCTCCTTCAGCGTCCGCCGCGTCGTCTCCCGGATCTTGACCAGCTGGTCGACCAGCCCGTCGCCGGCCTCCAGGCACTCGCGCACCCGCCGCTCCACCTCCCGCGTCACCTCGCTCGTCACGCGCCGCAGGAACAGCACCGCGCCCGCGTCCGGGATCCGCGCGAGGCAGTCCGCGAAGGACGACGGCGCAGGCTGTCGTGGTGAAGCGCTGGGGTCGCCTGGGGAGGAGGTGTCGGACATGCGCGCGAAGAGGCCGCCGCCGCGAGGCTTGCTGAAGCCGTATTCCAGCCGCCGGGCGACGAGGTCGCGCAGCAGGCGCAGCACCATCTCGTCCATGTCTTCACGCCAGACCAGCTTCTGGTGCGGCTTGTTCTGCGGCGGCGGGACGTCGTCGCCGTCGCCGTCCTGGCGGCCGAGCAGCTTCATCCGCGCCCGCGTGTTGACGGCTTGCTCCCACATGGTCCCCTTGTTGGCTGTGCGGATGTTGCGGAGGTGTGTCTGCCGGAGGGCGACGTAGGAGGACGGCGAGGTGCGGACGCTCCTGTGTGGCTTGTTCTGTTGTTGTTGTTGTGCATCTTGCGGTTCGGCGCTGTTGGATTTGGATTTCTTTTTGGGTGGGCGTTTTGCGGCGTCGGCGAGTTCGAGAGGGAGCATCCAGGGTGCGGATGTGGTGGGGTGAGGTTTTGGGTGTAGGGAGAGGTAGAAGAACGAGGGGAGGACGGTCGAGGTGCGGTCGGCGCGGATGGACGTGGAGAGGGCGTGAGCTGTGTGGAGCCGGGAAGGCTGAGGTTAGCTTTATTTTGATTTGATTCAAAGGAGAGGGGCTCGTATAGGTGCTTACCGGCTGGGTTGGCGTAGAGCTTGCGCTGGAAGGGTGTCAGGTCTTCACGGCGCGGTTCTGGCATCTTGGGCTCTGTCCAGCGCTCCCGCGCGGCGAGGGATATAGGGTCCATTATGGGTGGGAGAGGCAAGTCGCGCTTGCCGCTCGGGTGCTTTCGGTAGGTTGCATGGCCATTGTTGGTATATTTGTCGCGCTCGTTGCTGGGGTCATTGTGTGGAGAGTCCTGCGGTGCTGACGCGGATGTGTTGTCGGAGGCCTTCGTAGATGCAGCGCGCCTCAATGGACGCATAGATGGCCTTCTCAGGACATGGTGCTGAAGTTTGGTTGCTTGGAAGCGCCGCGGAATTGGTTGCGCTTGCATAGGTTGGAGGGTTGCGGAAATCTCTGGGAGGTGTTGTGAGGTCGTGCGGCGACGCCCGCTTGCATCATCGCCGCCATCACAGTTGATTGCAAAAAGAATTTAGCCTTCCCATCTGGCTCGCCTGAGAACTTAATACTATTCATAAAGTTTAAGTTTACGTCCGATTGTCATTATGCGATTGAAATGTACATTTACAGCTAGATATTAACTGTAATTGCTCAACGAGTGTGGAATCTTTCGCGGCATAGAGAGGGATTAAATGTTTTACAGCTCACATTTCCATAACGCTACCTCAGGTATGAAAGAGCACTGAACTTTCAAACATTCAAAAGCATCTCACAATCCATCCCGAGGTAACCGTCGCATAATTTCTAGACCTAGTACAGGCTGCCTCCATGCCCGAGCCATCCACTCAACTCAAGCCAACTTGTCCCGCAGCTTGCGTGCCGCCGGCTTAGTCCTCCTTCTTCTCTTCATTGTCCCGCTTATCCAGAATCTTGTCAATCAGCCCCAATTCCTTCGCTTCCTCCGCCGACATGAAGTAGTCTCGCTCCATAAGCTTCTCGATCTGCTCCAGCGTATGCGACTTTGTCAAGTGATTCTGGTAGATCTTGTTGAGCTGTGTCCGTATCCGCAGGATCTCTTTGGCGTGTATCGCGATGTCCGAGGCTTGTCCAAAGTAGCCGCCACTGGGCTGGTGGATCATGATCGAGCTGTGGGGTAGACAGAAGCGGTGGCCCGGAGCTCCGCCGCAGAGAAGCAGTGAACCCATACTTGCTGCCTGGCCGACGCAGATGGTGGTGACGGGAGATCGGATGTAGGTCATCGTATCGTAGATAGCCAACCCTACTTGTCATAAGTATTCTCCTGCTTTATAGCATGGTCGCTGCCAAAACCATTCCATACCTGCTGTGACAGAGCCACCGGGCGAATTGATGTAGAGGTTGATGGGCTTCTCGGGGTTATCGGCCTCAAGGAAGAGGAGCTGCGCGACGATTGATGCAGATGCTATCTCGTTCACTTCGCCATTGAGGCAGACGATGCGCTCCTATTGTGGCAATCAGCATTAAGCTCTTACGATCGATGCAGGGACCATGCAGGGACCTAGAACTTACCTTAAGAAGACGGGAGAAAATGTCGTCTTCCAAACATCAGTCCAAGCTCTTTCCCGCCTCATGAATTTCTTGACTCACAGGTGTGCCATCCGCCGCCCTACTCAGTCAGCTTCCATCCACATACTCTGAAGCCGAACACATACGACCGTCTCCGTCACGAAGGGTGTCGGCGTCCATCCTCGAGGTGAACCTGACTGCACATCACGCGGCAGCCCTGAGAAAGCGCGCAGGCCAATTCGGGTCGATTGTTGAAGTGCCGGCGACCGTAGCGCCCGGGGGAGTAATAACGACATTGTTGGACGAGCGGAGGTGAGTGATGACGAGGCCGGAGGAGCTCTAAGCTAGAAGGCGTGGGGTGGAGCCGACGCGAGTTCTTGGCGCAGATCACGGCGTCGCGTCACCCACTGCCGACGCGTCTTCCTCTCCACAACTGCATCCGCTTCCGTTTACAGGACGACTGCTCCACGCCTCTGCGGCCAACATGGCGCCTCTACCCGAAAAGCGCCACAGAGCGCCGACTGACCTTGAGAGTGACGACTACGACTCGAGTGATGCAGGTCCCAGAAATCGCCGCGACTCTGTAAGTTGGCATTGAGCCTGACGCGATCTCGCACTTTGCAATGGCCTAATAGTCTCGCAGAGAAAGCGACAGCGATTGTCAGGCATATCTGACGATGCCGACCTCGCGTTTTCAGATATTCAGCAGCATGATGTGGATACGCTGCTCGATGGCAACGGCGATACTTCCTTCCTTGACGAATCAATGATCGATGGAGAAACGGGTGAATTCGACGTCGAGGATCTTCTCGGTAACGAAGCAGCCCGTCTTTCTGGACTGAAACGCATTATCGAAAAGCGGTTCAAGCGTAGGACGGATAATATGCCCGCGGAGAATGCGATCATTGAGCAGGTCACATGTATCAACTTCATGTGCCACTCAAACCTCACTGTCCCTCTCGGTCCCCTGATCAACTTCATCATCGGCCACAATGGAAGCGGCAAGAGTGCAGTCATGACTGCCCTGACCCTCTGTCTTGGTGGTAAGGCCACATCGACGAACCGTGGCCAAAGTCTCAAAAGCTTCATCAAGGAAGGAGAAGAGAAGGGCCTACTAGCTGTAAAGATCAAGAACCATGGCTCATCTGCCTTCAAGCCCGAGTTGTACGGTGAATCCATCATCGTCGAGCGCCATTTCAACAAGAATGGTGGGAGCAGTTACCAGATCAAGAACGTCAATAAGAAGGTTGTTTCTACCAAGAAATCCGACCTCGAGGATATCATCGATGCATTTCAGCTGCAAATGGACAATCCCATGAATGTGCTTTCGCAGGACATGGCCCGTCAGTTTCTAAACAACTCAACACCTCTTGATAAGTACAAGTTTTTCATCGAAGGTACCCAGATCGCTTCCTTGGACCGAGACTACCGCATTCTGGAAGAATACCTGAATGAGATTGAAGCAAAACACGCGATCAAGCAGCAGGATGTAGAAGTCCTCAAAAGGAGAGAGCAAGAAGCGAAAGAGAGGATGCGTGCGGCCGGCAAACAAAATCAGATGCGCGCGAAAGCGGCACTCTTGCAACGACAGTACGCTTGGAAACAAGTTGAAGACGAAGAGGAGAAGGTGGAAGGGGCAGATGGACACATCGCTGATGCTCAAGCGGAAATCGATCAGAAAACCGAGCAGGTTGAGCAAGCGTCGAACAAATTCGACCAAGCCGAACGAGATCTCGAAGAAGCTCAACGAAAAGTGCAGGAGTACGACGAAGAGAAAATACCGATTCAAGAAAGGCTTGAAGAAGCGAAGACGGTGTTCAGCAAAGGGAAGGACGATCTGCAGGAGGTTCTCGCACAACAGCGACAAATCAAATCCCTGATTCAGGGCAACAAAGCGATCATTACGAAGATTGAAAATGACATTCAAGAAGAACGGCAACGCCAAGAAGATGCAAACGGCGGAGAGCATGGTCGAAGACGCCAGGAAATCGATGAAGCCAAAGCCGTGTCCCAAGAGAAAGCGGCAGCAGCTGAAGAACTACGGAGAGCGATTCCAGACATGGACCGTGCCCGATCGGCAGCGCAGGATCGTCTGAACGAATACAAGGACACAATCCAGCAGAAGCGGAACGACGTTCAACAACAAGAGCAACATATCAACCAGATCAGAAGGAACCAGGGAAGTTGGATGGCGGGATTTGACAACAACCTTCCAGCTCTTCTACGTGCTATAGACAACGAGAGCAGATTTCGCAACAAGCCCGTTGGCCCTATGGGCCGTCACATACGTCTTCTGAAGCCGGAATGGTCCAACATCTTGGAGAAGACTGCTGGAGTGCAACTCAATGCCTTTGTTGTTACTAGCAAGCATGACGAAGGTATTCTGCGGGAGCTCATGAACCGAGTCAACTAGTGAGTCGATCCTTCAACTTGTCAGTATGGGTTCTAATAGATGCAGTCCTCGCGAATCCGGCAATGTCACGCCAATCCTCATTGGTGATCCTAGACCACTCGATACTTCACGAAATGAACCTGAGCCTCATCTACTGACATGGATGCGAGCTTTGAAGTTCGACAATGAACTTGTTCGCAACCAACTGATCATCAATAACATGATCGAACAGACTGTCCTCATTGAAGATTTCGATGAGGCGTACAGTTTCGCTCTGGGCTCTGGAGGAAACCAACCACGTCCCAAGAATGTCAAGCAGGTTTTCACCATCTCTAAAAACAAGCGGAACGGTGTTAGGTTTGGCTGGGCTTCTTCAGGCGCTGGCATCCAGTCCCCTATCCAGCCCTTGAAGAACAAATTACCACGAATGCAGACGGAAATTGAATCTCGCCTTAAGTAAGTATTTCACAACCCAAAGTATAGACTTCTCTGACAGCAGCAGTGTGGCTACCGAGGAGCTTCGTCGCTACAAGCTTGACTGCCAGCAGGCTGAGAATGAATGGCGTGAGCGAGAAACAGCTTTGACCCGTGCAAACCAAGCCCTCACGAGACATAACCGAGACTTCAAGGAAGCAAGAATTGCAGCACAGAGAGCGGAGGAGGAATGGGAGCGAATGCACGATGCTCTTGAGCAGGAAACCCCACAAGCCGGTAGACTTGAAGAACTTGAGCGTCAGCTGGAGGAAGCCAAGGCTACCAAGGAAACAAATATGGAAATGGCCCGGGACGCTGCCTCCGCTCGTGAGAGGATCGATGCGGCACAGCGTGAGAGGAGAGATCAGCAATCTGAAATCGAGCGGGAGCTTTCCGAGGTCAACGCAAAATTCAGCAAAGCTCAGATTCGGGTCAACAGGATCCAAACGAATCGAGATAACGCCCTGCACGAGAAGAACGAGGCGTGCGAGTCTCTGGAGGTTGCTCGTGAGCAGATGAATTCTTACCAACGGCAGCGCGAGGCATTGTTACAAGACATTGCTGCCATGGCAGTGGAGGCTGAGAAAGTTGGCGAAAGGCCGCACATTCCGCCGGGAGAAACCGTTGATAGCCTGGGAAGGAAATACGAAAGGCTACAGAACGAGATCCAAACCCAGAACCAGAGGTAAGTCCCGTAAATCCATCCTTTAGGAAATTACTAAAGTATGATAGACTCGGGGGGTCAGAAGAAGAACTGAGAGAGAAATACTTTGAAGCTGTTGCGGCACACAAGATCGCCAAGAAAGATGTACATGACATGGAAGGCGCGCAACGGGTAAGTTTCCCTGTGTTAAAAGCGCCGATATTAAACACTAACCATGAGTTGTAGGTCTTGAAGAGCACTCTGGCGAATCGCAAGGCTCGACTGGTCATCTTCAAACGAACGATAGCCGACCGCTCGAGAATCACCTTCACATATCTCCTTGCCGCTCGAAAGTTCCGAGGCGATCTGCGGATCGATCATAAAGCCAAGGAGCTCGACCTCGCTGTCGAACCTGACATTACAAAGGTTGGCGCTGAGGGACGCCAGACGAGGACGCTGTCCGGTGGAGAAAAATCATTCTCCACCGTGTGCCTTCTTTTGTCACTCTGGGATGCAATGGGAGCGCCTACACGTTGCTTGGACGAGTTCGACGTGTTCATGGACAGCGTCAACCGCGAGATCTCCATGAAGATGATCATAGATGCTTGCCGCAGTTCTGCCATGCGCCAGTTCATATTCATCACTCCGCAGGCAATGGGCAACGTGTCGCTAGGCCCGGACGTCAAGATCATCAAGATGAGCGACCCAGAACGTCACCAAACAACATTACAGTTCTGAAAAGGTAAAAGAAATCTCTGACTATATGGGAAAGGATTCAATTGGGAGGCGTTCACGGACAATGATACCTAGCTAGCGTGGAGGTTCAAGGCGTCCATGGGGCGGCTGCGTTTGACTATTTTGGGCCAAAGCAAGGGTGAAGCTCTGCAAAGGATGATTCGTGCTGAAGCTATGGATGGGAGCAACGGTTAGCGTGCATGATTTTCAAGCAAGCAATACCCAGTGAAAGATGAGTTACCTGCATGTTGTGTGCAGCTCCATTACCGTGACAAACATTGATGCGTGCAGCCGGAGACTAATCAAATGCATCTGAAAGAACGGGAGCGATTGCGAGGCTGTTCCGCCATAATACGAGCCGGGCTATGTTTTTGTTTGTACTATCGCACGTTTACGTCGCTATCAACGACGTCAACCTGTCCTTCTGTCAGATTTGCTTCTGACAGCACCATTCGCCAACTGCAGCTGCAAAGCGGCGATTATGCTTATTTGACAAGCACCCAGGGCCAACAAATCTGGCGTCGCAAGCAGGCGCGACGTGAGAGGGTGGTAAGGCTAGCTGCGGCTGGGGGTCTGAACTTAGTGCGTGCGCGGCCCCAGCCAACCGCGTTTGCAGCCTAACTCCGCATCCCCAGCGACGACGCTCCAGCCTCACACAGCACACAGACCCTCCCACGCCCGCTCACTGTCCTCACCGCGCAACGGACGCCGTGCGACGTGATCGCGCGCCCCCAACCCGGCTCCTGCGCTCTCATCCCACGCACATGCGCCACGCCCATGCGTGAGCCCTCCTCGCCCGCCGAGCACACGCCTACGCGGAGCCCCGACGCTTGAAACGAAGCCCGCCATGGACTCCTCGTCCCCGCCCAGTCCAACCATGTCTGAGGGTACCCTCACGCCCATCACCCAGGACGACTCTGTCGCGAGCCGGCCCGCGCTCTCGTCTGCGAAACTCTCTGCCTCCGCGCTCGATCACGCATCCGCGCCTGGCGGTCAAGCAAGCGCCGAGCCCATGGCTGCCGACGCGCAACGTCCGAAGGAAGCCCTCACCAAGCTTCTGAACGGCAAGGAAAAGGAATGGACCGCCATCGCCGAGAAGAAAGGCCCCATCCAGCTGCTAGACCTGCCCGTTGACATCCTCAAGGCTATCATCGACCATGTGAGAGTGCATCCCTGTGTCGCTGCCATGATGAGCGCTGCTAACCGGCCATAGCTCCCGCACACCAACGACCTGACCTCGCTCGCACTGTGCCATTCAGCCTTGCACGCAATCACCATACCCCACATCTACGCGCGCTTTGACATCGTATGGCCTGACAACACTGTCAACGCCGAGCAGCGCTCCGGCGTCGATGCTCTGACGTATGGCCTCGCAACTCTGGTCATGGGCAACGAGCTCTTCGGCGAATCTCCAGCCCAGCTCAAGTACGCCGAAGAACGCAGGGCCGAACGGTTGCGCCTCTCCCCGAAAAGAAGTCAACCCGACGAGCCTTTCCCAATTCCTCGCCGCCGACATGGAAACCACTTCGCGGAATACACAAAGAAGTTCTCACTCGGAAACGGACCGCCAGAATGGGTTCAAGAGTATCTTATCACGAAAGAGAGCGGCAAGATGCTCGGAACCCTTGTTGCAACCGCAGTCGCACGCATGCGCAATCTCGAGACCTTTGTCTGGGACATGCCTACCGGTGTGCTGAGAGATGTTTGGCTCGCCTTATCGTCCTTAGCTACCCGCGACGATGGACACGACTGTAGGCTAGAACGCTTGTGGATCCGATGGCATGACAACTCCGCCGCCGACCTTTCCGCGCCCATTGTGCCTCCTCCAATGCCTGTTGGTCACATCCCGCCTCCGCCTCCGCACGCCCATCACGTCAGCGGAGTGGCAGCAGCTCCGGCGCCTATGGTGGTACCAGTCATGCAATCTTCCGCAGGAATGTCGGCCATTGACCGGGTTGAGCATCCAACGTTCTCCGTCATTCCAGCGCTGAAGAGCCTCAGCGTTCTTGATATCGATGAGCTCCCTTACCTCGACGAAATGGCCATCTTGATTGGAAGGTCACAAAAGAAGCTGAGAGAGCTGCGGGTTGGGATCGCGAAGCATGCGCATGATCAAGAAAGAGATTGGGTGACGGCTTGGGAAGGCGACGGCGTTCAGCAGGTGGATCACAGCACGCTTTGGACTGCAGCAAGTAAGATTGGCGACAAGAGGCTTGGGGGCGTTCTTGGAATCCTCGTGGGACGGGTGTACAACATGCGACGAAATTCCGCACACGCAGAACAAGCCGAAGCAAGCAGCAGTGCAGACAACGCTCTTGCAAGCGGTGCGCTGCCCGCAAAGAGTGAGATCAACTTGGCAGAACAAGCCGCAGCGTCAGAACGCGAGCAAGACCTCAGCCCTGTCAGTGAAGATGGGCCACCCAGCGTTTTCGGAACCCCGCCTGCGACTTCACCGATATCAAATACCAATCAAACATCACCTACTCATACGAATAGTGCTTCATCGGCCTCGAGCGAACCTCGGAGACCTCTCAGGAGTCGGCCTAATGCTGACCTTGAACGCCAAGAACGAAAGAAGAATGCGGGTCCTTTGCTCAATACCAAGCTTCAGCTTGAGACTCTTGAGCTAGAGCGTGTACCCCTCTCCGTTTCAGTGCTTCTGCAAGCATTTGATTGGCCCCGACTTACGACATTGACTCTCCTCAACTGCAACCACCACGAACAACTCTGGAAGGCATTACGCCGGCAATTCACACCTCGTAGTCCGCCTCCAGCTTACAATTCCGGATCTCCCTCCAAGAACCATGCGAACCACAGCCGCTTGGAGTATCATTTGAACTTGAAAAAGATCCACACAAACACTGTCTCCCCGTCTCTCATCGCTTTCCTCAAGGAAACCCTGGCACCGAACAGCCTCGAAGTCCTTTTCCTGCAGGAAGATCGTACCTTTCATTCCACCGTACCCATTGATTCCATCTTCCGTGGTCCCCTCAAGCGGCATCGCGCAAGCCTTAAGAAACTCATGATCGACAGCAGCGAAAAGGGCTCTCTAGATCATGTGCCTGGCAACACGAGATGGAAGCGTTGGATGTTAAATCGTGAGATTATCACTTTCATGACTAGTGGTCGCATGCCCAATCTCCGTGAACTTGCGTTCACAATCGACTACCATGACTGGGTAAGTTTCGTGAGATCCAAGGTATTTTGCCTGATAGCTTACTGCGCGACAGCACTACTTTCTCCAACGCCTGCCCAACATCCCGACTGTACGCTCGCTGTACATTCCTCACATTGCAGAGCATGCACATGGCAATAATATAGACCCTCGCGAACTGGCGCTGCAAATCGTCGATATCATCACCTTGCGGCCAGAGATCGAAATTTGCTACATGGGTATCGCGAACAAGTGCTTTGAAGTACTTGAGAACAAGGTCTCACACGGTCACATGGGTGGATCTCATCCTTACGATCCGACGGCATCCAACCCCTCTGCAGCAGCAACAATTCCTGGCGTCGTAGATCCTATGGGATTCACGGACGACGAAGAGGAAGATGAAGAAGATGACGTCCATGATGACGATGATCCAGGTGCTGTTGCAGACGAAGACAGTGAGGAGGAGGACGAAGATGAGGATGATGATGATTTTGATGACGATGACGACGATGACTCGTTCATACACAGCGAAGATGGCGCTGGAGGTCCTCGCCTGAGACTCCGGGAGATCTTGTTCTACGATGACAAGGTGGCGATTTTCAAGGCTAGGCATGGAAAACTTTGACCCACAAATACCCCCTGTCTTCATCTCTTGCAGCAGCAGCTTACATACCATCAGTCAGTTTCTTGAGGCTCCTTTTTGATCGGCTGCTTATTTTTTCTTTCTTCTGCATTTGGGCTTCAATCGGTTCGCAAAAAGACGAGGAAACGGAATGGTTATATACTCTGGTACGCGTGGATTTGAATGCTTCTTCGCCTGTTTGTCCATATTCCCACTTTCGGTTCTGGGAACAAACGCTCCTAGCCATGGAGATGGACTACTGCTACTAATTTCTCTTCTAACCGCTCTGATCACACTGGGATCATTCTCCCAGCTTTTATCACTTTGCGAGATACGTTGCAGATGAGCTATCAGCTGCTTTTGACCAAATGGAAAGGGCAAGGGTTCGCACAGACTCTTGATCACTACTCTAGTTTGATCGCTTTCTTATTCTTCTCCTCCTTTTTGGTCTTTTATCCTTTTCAGAGGCGTCAGATAAGGTGTTCGACAGGACAAATCAACGAACGAGTGCATTTGGGTTACGAGATAAACGGAACGAATGGCAATTGAGTACATTAACTAGGCATGGGACGTGAAGAATGGTTGCACTCGTTAGCAATAGCGAATAATTATACGTTTTGTAGTTTGGTTGGGGATTACGTGCAGCTTGATGGGGATTCTATATGGTGAAGGCACACGGGTGAAAGTCATTCACTGGTTGAATCGTGACAGGTAGGTAACGAATCATCATTGTGCACGTATGGCGCATGTATGTAGAGCTAAATATTGAACAAATCCAGTTCAGCATGGACTCGGAGTTGAATCACTCGTGTCTGTATTGATATCTGTCTAATCTATCATAAAGGAAAAACGTGCATTCATGTGGTCGTGACTAATGACATTTCTCCCAATCCCTTCATAAACATACCAGAAGTGGAAGACCTAGAAAAGACGAAGCGGAGGACGGGAAGAACCTCGACCGAACCATAGAGCGCCGAAAACTTGCAGCAATCGTCCGCGGGTATTGTGAATATGTTCTCGGACCAATCTTTACGCAAGATGAAAAGATGTATCCGCTAGGACACCATTAGTCGGACTTGCGGGAAAGTTCTCGATGTCTGGGCCTCGATGAAATAATTTGTCGAAGAGAGACGTCGGCTTGTCTCTTGAAAGAGAAGGTAACGTCCGTGGGCAGCTCAAGTCTTGCTCGTTTCCTTCCCCCATACTCAATAAAGCCGATAACCAATTGTGTGCAACATCGGCTCAGCCAGATAACATGCGAACCAAAACCCGGCAGGACCAGTCTTTCATAGGTCTCCGACATCGCGGGAATGGCGACGCCTAAGCGACACTTCCCCGCATGTCGCCTCTGATTCCTTCTTTCACTCGTTTAGATGTCATCGATATCGGCCTCCTTCAAGTTGGCACCTTCGTCGTCGCTACTGCGATCCTCGTCGAACTCGAAGCCGATGCCGCCCTCGTCACCCTCGCCGCCGTAGGTGTCGGTCTCGTTAATCTTGGCCGTCTCGGGCAGCTCGCCGTAGGCCTTGAGCGAGCGGGCCTCGTCGGCGTTGTACTTGAGGATGACATCGCCCTTCTCGTCCTGGTAGTCGCGCAGCGACAGCAGGATGATGTCGCCCTGGTTGATCCACACCTTCTTGCGCATCTTGCCGCGGATGTGCGCCAGCCGCTTCTCGCCGTCGAAGCATTGCGCCTCCAGGCGACCGTTGCCGAGCATCTTGATGACTTGCGCGTATTCTGTGGGAGCATGGGTTAGTGACTTGTTGCGCGCTTTTTTTTTTTTTTTTGGTGGGTGGTTTCGGGCGTGAGTGAATGGTCGGGCATGACGCCGCGGGTGGCGACTATCAAGACATACCTTGACCCTCTTCCTTGAAGATCAATTCGCGCTTGAGGTTGTCGTTCTCGTTCTTTCCCCTTCTGCGGTTCTTACCGCCCTTTCCCTTGTTCTTAGGCATGGCTACGTATGCGGCGCTGCTTTGAGCCAACAAGTGTGTGGTGGAGAGTGAGTGCACAAGGTTCTTGCGCAGTGGGGCTAAAAGCGGCGGCGCAAGGTCGGGGCGGGGGAGGAGTCGGAGCGCGACGACCTGGGTAGCGAACGACGTAGGTGTGGAGGGAAAGCGAGAGCGGTGTGGGCTGGCTCGATATATAGCCGCTGGCTAGGCTGGCTTTGCAGACAAAAGTCATCATGACTGGACAAAAGCCCTGGTCTAGTTTGTGGCGCGATAATCGCCGGGTGGCGGGGCAGTTTTTTGTCGGGTTGTGCAAGAGGGCGGCGGACGCCCCGTGACAGCGCGTGGTTGGCCAAAACGTCCGCTCGCCGATCCGACGCGAGGCCAGAGCTCCTCCGGCAACAACAATTATACCATAATTTGTATACAAACAACGGCGAAGCTCTCCACACGCGAAAGCGCCTCCATGCGACCAGCGCCACCGCATTCGCCATGGCTGCCGCCCTGCAGAACCAGCGCAACCTGATCTTCGCCTCCGTCTTCCCTTTCGCCGCCCAGTCCCACGGCTCCTACCATTCCTCCTCCGCGCATCCAACTCCGCTCTCCGCCGCCGTCACCTCGCACGACAACACCTTTTCCACGCCGAGCCACCATCATCACCACCCTACACGCGGCCACCACACCCATCACCACCATGACCGCGGCACCTCCCACAACAACCCCAAGCTCGTCCAGCGGAACGTCGCCTGGAATACAGCAACCCGCTTCCTGAAGCTGCCCGAATGGCACCCACCCACCGGCACCGGCACCGGCAACGCCAGCAGCACCGGCGGCCCCCGCCCGCGCAAGCACCACCGGCTCAACGCCGATGTCGAAGAAGCTTTGCGCTACCTCCTCATCGGCGACGGCCGGCCGGACAGCGAGTACGACGTCAGCCCCAGCAGCGGCGGGCTCTTCCCAGACCTGCTGGAGTGGTACACGAACGAGGCGCGCGAGCACTTCGTCGGCTGCGTACGGCCCGCCGTGCTGGCGGCGTGGCAGCTGCCCGTCGCGACGGCCGCCGCCTGGGACGTGCTGGACGCCACGGTCGCGACGCTGCGCGCGGCCCAGGCCTTTTACTTCGCGCACCTGGACGAGTGCATGCTGCCCGTCGTGCGCGAGGCGGCGGGCGACGTCGGCGCGGAGAAGGTTGCCAGGAAGTTTAGGAGGGATTTGCATGCCATCGTTATGCACGCGCTGCCGCAGCAGCGGTTCGCGAAGACGCTGGCATGGGTGCTGTTTGATGCGGGCTGCAGGCTGTTTGGGCTGGAAAAGGAAGATCAGTGGTACAGGGGTGGAGAGGAGATCGAGGAGGGCCAGATCGTCAGGGAGCGGGTTGCTGGGTTGTTGAGGGAGTTGAGGGATGTGGGGTTAGGCGGTGATCAGGCGCAGAGGGCGGCTGCGCAGGCGATGGATAGCTTGATGGATGCTTTCATCGGGAGTCATCATATGAAGGTGGACTGGTACGGGAGGAAACCTATGACCCGGGTCCTGCGGGAGTGGATCAAGGACGGGTACAGTCCTTTTATCAGGGAGATCTTGTCATGCTTGACGGGTGATGAAGAGATGTTCGAGGCTAATGAAGTTCAACAATGGACAAATATGGCAATTGGGAGATTAGGAAGAGCAAGAGTGGAGAACCTCTTCGACTACATTGTCAATTGGGATCGGTCACTGGGCGCCATTCTGGACTTGAAGGTAAATCTACGCCCGTTGCGACCGTTTCGGTTCGTATCCAGCTGACAGGCGCAGGAATACATTACATCTCCAGCAGCAAGAAATCACCTCACAAACAGCTTCTTACAGCAGGTCGTCCGCCGACTTTTGCATGCCGGAGCTACAACAACACACATTCTTGACACTTACATTTACGTCATCCGTGCCTTTATCGAGCTGGATCCGAAAGGCATCTTACTCGAGAAGGTGGCCAGGCCTATCCGTCGTTACTTGAGGGACCGCGAGGATACGGCTCGCATCATCGTTTCCAGTTTATTGGCAGACGTGGAAGACGAATCTGGCGCTCGCATCGACCTGAGTCCGGACATCAGTGCCGAGATTGCGGAAGAAATGCTTAACCCCGTCGCTTCAAATGTTCAAGATGAAGACCAAGAGCTGAACTGGGCAGACATGAATTGGATGCCGGATCCGGTTGATGCCTCACCAGAGTACAAGAAAGCAAAGTCCGAAAATGTCCTCGCATACCTGCTGAGCTTGTATGATCGAGAGGATTTTATTAATGAGCTGAAGAACATCCTTGGAGAGCATCTCCTTAAAAACGAGGACTCGGACTTTGAGAAGGAGGTAAGTGACTTCAACCTTGTCATATGATGCATCTGCTGACTTGTCTTCTAGATCCGTCTTCTGGAGCTCTTCAAGCTGCGTCTTGGCGACAGCAATCTCCAAGCCTGCGAAGTCATGCTTAAGGACGTGCTGGAGTCCAAACGTATGAACAAGCAAATCCACCAAAGTCTAGAAAAGCACTCAAATGTGTACCACAATATCCCCATCGAACTCAACTCCCAGATCCTCTCCTCTTTCTTCTGGCCCTCGTTACGCGAGGACGAATTCCGTCTCCCCGAACCAATCCAACAGCTCATGAAAGAATACGACGCTGGCTTCGAAGGCATCAAAGACATGCGCAAACTTCACTGGCTCCCCGCTCTCGGCCGCGTCACCGTCGCCCTCGATTTCGACGACCGGTCACTCGAGCTCGAAGTCCTCCCCTGGCAAGCCGCAGTCATCTACGCTTTCCAGGACGACGACGACAACAACAACCCCGACGACGAAGACGATGACCTACCATTGACCGAGGAAGAAGAGCGCGAGCGCCAGCGCCGCGCGCGCCTCCGCGCCGTCGGCGCCTCGGACGTCGCGCCCACGCCCGAGAAGCCCAAGAAGAAGAAGCCGCCCGTCACCAAGACGGTCGAGCAGCTGGAGACGGCGCTCGAGATGGACGAGGCGCTGCTGCGCTCGGCGCTGACGTTCTGGGTCGGCCACCGCGTCCTCATCGAGCAGGCGTCCGGCGACGCCTTCGCCGTCATCGACTCGCTGGCCGAGCTCGACGCAGACAAAGAGGCCGCCATGGCCGCCGAGGAGGCGCGCGAGCGCGCGGAAGAAGAGGCGGCTGGTGCGGCGGTCAAGAGTGCGGACGATGTGCTCGTCGAGAATATGCAGATGTACAGGCAGTTCGTCATCGGTATGCTGACGGCGAACGGGCGTATGGGCGCGGATAGGGTGTGCGGTATGCTGAAGGTGGCGCTGATGGGGGGCTTTCCGTTTGGGGTTGAGGAGGTGGGTGTGCTGCTGGGGCGGATGGTGGAGGAGGGCGTGTTGGTGCAGGCGGGCGATGGGTTTGCGGTCAAGAAGTAGTATGCTCACTCTTGGAGTTGGGGCGGGATCGTTATGGTAGACATTGCTGGGCGTTTTAGGCATGGGAACTGGGCAAACGAACAATTAATTGGACCATTGTCCCAGCCCAGTCCAGCCGGTTGTCTTGATTGGGCCAGCCCAAGATCATCGACCAGGATGCTGCTCCCCGCCTAAGCCATAAATTCGGGGTTGACCAATCATCTAATCCTGCGGCTTGGAATCGACGGGACACCGCCAGGTGGTGGGGGCTCCACTTGTACTGGGAAAATTGTCCCATCACTTGTTCGTTTTCCCAGTTCCCATGCTTTACAACGCCGCACTGCAGTTACCTCCCACATTTTCCGTCATATTAATCTGGCCCCCTCCACAACAAGAAAATTCTTGAACTTTGCTCAATACATATAACCAAAAGTTTATTTTATATGCACTATGCCGGGAACCGGTTTGTAGTTTATCCTGAGTCTTATCAACGCGGTTTATTGACTCTTACTTGTAGGGACAGCCTCATCCACACCCTCGCCATCGGCACCACCGGTAGTCCAAAAAGTCTCTAGTGGATGGTCCAAGGAGGCATTGCTAGCCCTTTTGGCACTCTTGGCTATGATTTTACTACCAATAATTACATATATCGTTCGACAAAACTGGTCTCTGGTGAAGGAATTCTATCGCACGAAATTCGAACGGGGAGCACACAATGGTGAGTTACTATGGAGTCAACGTGAACTTTTAGGGCTAACGTATGGTATTCAGCCGATGGTGCCCGTGACCTGGAAGAAGTGGTTCTCGTACCATTGATTTTCGAACGTGGTGCGGAAGATCATCTTGATGCGGTCGCAACAAATAATTGATGTCAATAAAATCTAAGGGAACCTATTCACTCCTACTCGATCATTATGAAGCTTGATTGGTTCACGACTTTACGTCATGTTGACTTGGGATTGGATTGGATGTGAATTTTGGGGAGTCGGAGACTTTTCATAACTCCTACGTTAGCATTTATTATAGCAACAATCTTAACTTTCGGCGTAATGTAGATTGCTTAAACACGCTTTTAGATGGTGTGTCTGTATAGTGATATGTTTATTTATGTCCAAAACAAATTTCTGCTAGAAAAAAACATTTCAGAGTTGGGTGACTCTTCCAGCCAGCTATGGACCATCTTGACGGATAGCGGTCCAATGAAGTACATCTATTTAAGTATATAAACCATATTCAACGAGCACAACGCCTCAATCCCACAGAATGAAATATGCTACCTCCGACACTACAGCGATACCCTTGTTACCTTTTAGGATGCCACCGCTCAATAGAGCATAACATCCCACAAGTCACATTTGCACCGATGACTAGGATCAGATGAAAGATACTCCAACCGCCCCCACCTGTTGACAATCCTCTCCGACAACGACTCAGACGCCGGCTGCCACCGCTGGTCCTTCGTGCGCAACTCAGCAACCAAAACGATGCCCCTACCGTCCTCAGTCTCGACGAGCTGCAGCCCTCGCGCCGTGAGGCTGAAGTCGCCCCTCCCATCCGCATGCGGCATCGACAACCAACCGAAAAGGCCGTCGTCGTTGTCGAGCAGCTCGTCCAAGTTGATGCGCGCCTCCTGCCAGCAGCCCACCACCTCGCCCGCATCCAAGCTCTGTGCGCATTCGACGCTGAAGTAGACGTCGCCCTTGCCGCCGCTTTCGCTTTCGCGTTCTCCTCCTTCTATCGTCAGGAGCCGCGGGCGCCGCATGGGCAGGAAGCCCCCGAGAGCGCGCTGGTGACGACACGCTACAATGTCGTTTGGGGCGAGGAAATGATGCGAAGGATGTGACCTGATTGGCTCGGCGCTGGGCAGCACGAGGCGGCCCGGCATCGTCATCGCTGCTGTTGTTGTTATTGTTGACGTTGACGATGATGTTGGGCCGGGCGGAGGTGGTAGGCTGGCGACGTCGTAGCAGCCCTCGGCGCCGCGCAGATGCGTGCGCTTGGCGAGCCAGCCCGCCGCCGTCTCCTGGTGCCAGAAGGCGACGGCGCGACGGGCGAGGGCGAGCAGGATCTCCGGCTCCAGCTCCTCCGCCGCCGAGTCGTCGGCGAGCAGCCCGTGGCCGGCGCCGGTGAGCAGGGCCATGTCGATGGCTAGGCGGCGCAGGGGGGAGGAGGGGAGGGTGTTGTCGTAGACGAGGGAGAGGGTGGAGTTGGTGGGGAGCTGGGTGAGGGTGCATGGCGTTTGGAAGGCGTGGGGTTTGGTGGTGAGGTCGATTAGGGAGTGGGTTGTGGCGTTTTGCAGCGATGGCATTTGCAGTTTGTCGCCGAGGATCCAGAGGCTGAAGAGGGTGTCGACCGTGTGGGAGAGGTTGGTGGCCTGGTCTTCTTGCTCCGTCGTCTCGTGGTCATCGTCTTCCTTGAGGCAAGAGTCAAGATTGCCAGTGCGAAGCCAAGCTGCGAGGTGTTGGAAAAGTGATGGATCATCGTCATGCAGCGGCACTCTCTTAGTCTTGGACTCGATAAAGTGGCCGCTCATGGCACCTCTGAAGAAGCCGCTGTGCTTAACGAGCAGAGCCTCGTCGATGTTGAATTCGAAAGGAGGGGATCCGACCTCCACAACAACGGAGCATCTGGGAATAGGCCATTCAGCATGTGATATTCGAATGCAATTGCAGACACGTGTATTCCCACCTCGACTCTGAATTGTCCATTTTCGGGCGGTGATGTCACGGAGGCTTGGATAAGGCTGATGTTTGTTGCTACTACCACAGCTTGTCGACGTTCGTTGAGTCAGAGAACCGCGCAAGACGTTCAGGGCGTGTTTAATCAATAGAGTAAATCTTATGTGAAGAGATGATGGGGTGAGATGCAAAGAGGGGACAACCGGTTGTTTTAGGCAACAAGCCGCACGGACTGAACCCGTGCGACGATGCGTGACGTGGAAAAAAATTTACGCATGATTGGTCGGAATATTCAACTCGAACGCGGTCATTATTTAGTTTCCATCTGCCAGAAATAGGTTTGATGTTGTTGGTAAAATTATGGTCTAGCTGATTATGGGCAAGTCGGATCGGAAGTCGCAACGCAAGTGGCTGGTCGTTTGGTACTGCCCCCAATCCGGAACGTTAGCCTCCTTCCTGTCAAGAGCATTGGAACAGATTGTTTGGCACACTAAGACTTTAAAACCAGAATATAAAGGTCAGCCACTGGTAAGGTCTCGCTAAGTAGTGGACACATCTGTTGACGGTTGCACCAGCACGATGGGAATAAGGAGTAGTCCGTCCTCCTCACTGCCTTCAGGCACGGTCCCTGATATCCATTAGGCAATGTTTATATACGCAGGATAAATTGGAACTGCACTTACGTCCCAAGGATTGCGCCCAATTCTCCTTCAATCTGCGAACATATCGGCGTATGGAATAGTGAGCACATGGCAGGAATACCATGATAAATACCGCCACCAATGCCAGAAGCGCCTCTTTGGACCATCCTGGAGGATGAGGAGAAGAAGAGCTGTGCTCTGAGTCAATCAAGGTACCTGTTGATGAGCCATCAGGTCAAATCAAGGATCTTCCAGCGCAGAGGTGTGTACCATTATTAGTGGGTGACATTGGAGGTGATCAGTGATGGATATGCAGAAATACAGAACCTTGTTTATGCCCAAGTGTATTGTAGCAGGTCACGCGTAATGAAGTTTTGAAACCTGAGCAGAAACGGCCAACTAACGAGATCGTGATGACAACGAAAGCAGCGCAGATAGCGCGCTTTATGTCGAGGCCGATCAGCGAATGCTGACATCAATACTGACAGTAAAAAGGCTCAAGAGCTGCCGGGCACAATATCTGACGCGCCTGCAGCACATAAGGCTGAGCAAGTATGCAGGATATAACTCTGGATGCCGGAGCTGCACAGCTCAGCTTGACTGAGATTGTAATTGTGCTGCTCCTCATTCCAACTTCTGATTGGATCAAATACGAGCAGAAACGTGGTGGGAGGGAGAGGCTGAGCTGACGAACTGGATACGTAACTCAAGGCCCGCCAAAACTTTCTACCCGGCCTATCAGCTTTTCGAATGAACCTAGACGGCTGCAGTACGGATTTGAGACTTCCGAAACATAGCAACGCCTCCTCGTTACATCTGATCTGCCGCAGTTCCTGCTGCACGATGATGAATGGTCGATGTCACCCATCACCGCCCAGCTCGAGCACTAGCCAATCGCTATCTAACCAAGATTCCGAGAGTCGAATCGGAATATTTACTCTCCTGGTACCCTGCACTGCCCGCGAGGTGCACTACCAACAATCCCTGTCCAACCCAATATTTGCTGCAAACACACGCTGACCGCCGCATGGCCACTCGCCCCGAATTTGAAACAGCCCCCAGTACCCATCATCATCGCCCTCGTAATTCTCCGGGGCAACAGGTACGCCTTTTCCCATTCTCTGATTACATCGAATGTAACGCTGCAAGCCACACTCCCGGTGTACGCAAATTGATCAGCGGGGGGCGGCTCTCCAAAACCTGCGAATGCATTATCTTCCGTCTCACCTCATGGCTGCATGGGAACCATGTGTGGTGAGTCTGGAAAATACACCCCTGACAGCCCAAAAAAACGTAGTGCCGGGTGCACTATTGTTCACTTGTCCACGCAAATATCAAAAGCCTCAAGTAAAAAGGAAATTTTAGAATGCATTCCTCTTCTCCTCTCGTTTCATTTCAGTGTGTTAACATGAGAATACTGTCTCCCCGCAGCTTGGTATGCTCTTTTTGAAGAACAATCAGTGTAATTTCAAGCTTTTCTCCAGCGCTAGCTTCTTTTTGGGCCTTTCCCGGCTTTCCATGACGGCCAATTGAACATCCAACGTGACAGCTCGGATCAGCTCTAATTCTATCTTTTGTGTTCTTTACAGATGATCCCTATCATGAAAACGTCGGTTTTAACGTCCCCGCAATTCGTTGCTGTATCCTCAACGGCAGTAGCACCTCATACACATGCTTTAGCCACTCGGCCAACACTGGCCTTGTAACAGCCGGATCCACGATCTCCTCGATTCCAAACGCGTTCGCAGTCCGAACCGGGTTCATCAAACGCTTGTACTCTTGTTCCAGCTCTTTATATCTCTCTTTCATCTTGTCTTTCCCTTCTTTCCTCCCAATCTCCTTCAACTCATGAGAATGACAGGCTTCGATGCCGCCATCAAGAGGGAGACTGCCCCATTCACCACTGGGCCATGCTACGCGCATGTGCGGGTCGCGAGAGTCAACCATGATACCGCCGGCTACGCCATAGACGCGGCGTACGATGACGGAGAAGATGGGGATGGACGTGCTGTAGTAGGTCGTCGCCAAGGTGATGCCGTGACGCATCGTTGCGGTGCGTTCCGCGACGGTGCCCACGGCATAGCCCGGGATATCGACGAACTGTACGACAGGAATATTGAAGACGTCGCAGAACTTGAGGTGCCTGGTGATCTTCTGAGACCCAAGAGCATCTAGAGCACCGGCATTGACTGCGTACGTCTTGTCAGCTGCATGTCCGACTGTCTTCACGTTGGCTTCAACAAACCTTCACAATTCAGAGACAGGATACCGACAGGCCGTCCACCTATACGCGCGAGCCCGACAATTGCGGTGGTTCCCCACAACGCCCCTATTTCAAACCAAGTACCTCTGTCAACCACGGTGGTGATGATTTTCCTCGGGTTGTACATCCGTTCTCTTTTCCGTGGAATCATACTACGCAGCTCCGGCGACGTCCGATCGCTCGGATCGTCATTTGCAAGCAACGGCGGCACTTGAGTCCCAGAGTCCGGCAGGAAGCTCAGCACCGTCCTCAACTGCTCGAAGCATTCCGCCTCATTCGCAGCCAAGTTGTCAATCGTGCCATTGGTACAATGCACCGCCGGCCCGCCCAAGTCTCTGAAACTCAGCCCCTCCTCAAACGTCGCGCCTGATTCACAATATCAGCCAAACTGAATCCCCTCCAACTCCTACCACCCCCCTTATCCCCCTCATACACACACCCCCAAACGAGCAAGGAAAAAACAAAAACAAAAGACTTACCAGCAACAACCTTCGGCCCAGCATTAAACAACGCCCCCACATCCCCCGCCATGACGCTAAAATGGCACGCCGTCACCCTCGCCGCGCCCAGCCCGATCGCGGGCCCCAGCACGGCGCCGACGTTGGGGATTCCTTCGTTCAGCTGCGCCACGACCTCGCGCCACCCCATCATCGGCGGCACGTACGACCAGCCTTCGGTGCGGATCGACGACACCGACCCCCCGCCGCTCGACCCGTCCACCAGCTTGACCACCGGCATGCGGAGAGATAATGCGAGCTTCTCGCCGTACACGCTCTTCGCGGCTTGCGCGCCGTCGGCGTGGCCGGCGCGGAGGGTGAAGTCGTCGGCGGTGAGGAGGATGCGCCGGCGGGTGGTGGTGGTGGTGCTGGGGCTGAGGAGGGTGCCGATGCCGAAGACGTTGTTGGAGGGGGTGAAGGCGGTGGGGGTTTCGTGGAGGGGGTTGGAGACGGGGTCTGGTTGGTGCCAGGTCACGTCGCCGCTCGCGCTGCCGATTTCGTGGAAAGGCGAGGAGGGGTCGAGCAGCTGGGCGATGCGCTCGCGCACCCAGAGCTTGCCGGCGGCTTTTTGGCGCGAGTAGCCGCGGTGCGAAGGGTCGGGCGTGCGGGCGATGGTGTGGAGCGTGTTGAGCTGGCTGAGGATGTCGGAGTAGTCTGCCGGGAGGGAGGTGGTGGTGGGATCGCGCTGGCGGCGGCTGCGGCGTTTCTTGTCGTTTGGGGCATTTGGGGTGGTGGATGGAGAGATGTGATTGGAGACTTGGGCGAGGCGCGAAGCCGCTGCGCTCTTTTGGCTATTGTTGTCGTTGTTGTCGGCCATTGTGGCTGTGTAGAAAGCCAATTGATGGCATGAACGTGCCTGGTGAGGACTACGGGATTTATGGATTACATGAAAGATGTTAGTCGAAGAGATGTTGGCTGAAGTGGTGTTGGAGGAGCTTGGACGCGGTGGAGCTCCATTTGCCTCGGTCCCTGAGCTACCCCACGTTGATGTCTGCCGATCCTCGGTGGAGCTTCCTCGGTCTGGCCACGACCATTTCAAGACGTCGATTGCTTCAGATCAACGTGAGAAATACAACTCCGCGTAGTTCTGGCTTAGGTTATTGCTGCAACGCAACATCCAGGAATTACCCAAAATGGCTAGACCACCTCCCCGTCCTATCAAGCGGCTCCTTGTCTGCAATCGGTGCGCACTGCCCCAACTCGATGTACCCTGTCAAATTGCTCACCTTCACTCTTCTACAGCGGCGAGATCGCAACCCGCATCATCACCGCCGCGAGGGAGCTCTCCATTCCCACATACGCCGTCTACACCAGCAATGACGCTTCTCACGTGCGCCACGCCACGCGGGCAATTGAACTGCCCAGCACCTCCTCTTACATGGACATTCCGTACCTGATCACCCTCATCAAACAACACGACATCGATGCCGTCCATCCGGGCTACGGCTTCCTCTCCGAATCTGCCGAATTTGCACGACGGGCGTGGGAAGAGGCGGGTGCGGCAGTCGTGGGGCCAGGATGGGGCATCCTCGAGCAGACTGGGGACAAGTTGAGGGCGAGGAAGCTGGCTGAGGAATGTGCGTGATACTATTTCTTTTACCAGATCATTCTTTATTCTTTTCTTTTTCTTTTGCTATCTTTCTTTTCTGGTATCCTTCTCAACCGTCTCTCAGCTCCATCATCTTTCACTACCCCAAACCTTCCACCGTTCTCTCGTTTCTAAAACTCCACACTTCTCCCCACAACTAGAACCTAGCACAACCATTCCCAAACCCCAACTAACAAAGGCCGCCGCCGCCCCCACACAGGCTCCATCCCCGTCACGCCCGCCCTTTCCCACCCCACCTCCTCCATCCCCACCCTCCGCGCCTTCGCCACGTCGACCGGCTACCCGATCATGATCAAAGCCGTCGACGGCGGCGGCGGGCGCGGCATCCGGCTGGTGCGGAGCGAAGCCGAGTTAGACGCGCAGGCGGCGCGGGCGATCGAGGAGTCGCCGTCGCGGCAGGTCTACGCCGAGAAGGCCATGGTGGACGGCTTCAGGCACGTCGAGGTGCAGATAGTCGGGGATGGTGAGGGGGGAGTGCGGCACCTGTGGGAGAGGGAGTGCAGCGTGCAGCGGCGGTGGCAGAAGGTCGTCGAGGAGGCGCCGAGCACGATTGCGGATAGGGAGGTGGTGGGGAGGGTGATTGCGGCGGCGGTGGGGATGGCTGAGAGGGTGAGTTTTTTTTTCTTTTGTTTCTCGAGTGGGATGCGCGTTTTTTTCTTCGCGTTTGGATCTTGCAAGCATTGCTAACCCAGCCGGCCACCAGCTCTCCTACTTCTCCCTCGGCACCTTCGAATTCCTCCTCCACCCGCACACGCACGCCTTCTACTTCCTCGAAATCAACCCGCGCCTCCAAGTCGAGCACACCGTCACCGAATCCATCCTGCCGGGACTCGACCTCGTGCAAACCCAGCTCCTCCTCCAGCAAGGCCTCGCTTGCCCCCTCTCCACCTGCCCCGGCATCCCTCCAACCGCAGCTCCACCCCCCCTCCTCCACTCCATCCAACTCCGCCTCACAGCCGAAAACCCCTCCCGCTCCTTCGCCCTCAGCACCGGCACAATCACCTCCCTCCACCTCCCCGAAGGCGGCCCAGGCATCCGCGTCGACACCCACCGTCCTTCCGCTGTCGGCACCGCTTTCGACAGCCTGCTCGCCAAGATCGTCGTCACGGCGGGGTCACGCGCGGCATGCATACGCAAGGCTGCGCGCGCGCTGGCTGACGTCGAGGTTAAAGGTGTAGCGACGAATCTAGGCTTGCTGCGGGCGGTGGTGGCGAGCGACGAGTTTGCGCGGGGGGAGTGCGATACGCGGTGGTTGGAGGGGGAGGGGAGGGTAGAGGGGTTGGTGGGGGCGGGAGGGCGGATTGCGGAGGGAATTGAGATGGAGAGGAAGGGGGAGGGGAGTGGGTTTGCGGTGTGGGAGGAGGCGGCAGGTGGTGGTGGTGGTGGTGGTGGTGGGGGGAAGGCGGCGGCCGGGTTGGGCGGTGGTGGGAGCGGTTCGACCGTGTTGTTTAGGAAGGGCGACGCGTGGAATGTCACGCTTGAGCCGCGATCGGATGAGACAGGGAAGGGGAAGAAGCCGTCGTCTTCTTCTTCTGCTGCTGCGCCTACGCATCATCTCGAGCTCACGCGCGTCCTGCGGAACGATTTTCCGTCGTCATTGTCCGCGGAGGTCGTTTTCTCGAGCAATGCCACGGCTGCCGGGCCCAACGCTTCGCAGTCATCGTCATCTACGCCGTACGTCATGCATCTCGCGGCAACGACGACGTCATCAAACGCGGCGTTGTCGCAGCATAGGCGTGGTAGGCCGGATGATCCATCGCATGTTTGCATTCCGTTTGCCGGAAAGGTTGTGGAGGTGCTGGTCGATGAGGGGGATATTGTGAAGGAAGGAGATGTGATTTGCGTGGTGCAGCAGATGAAAATGGAGCTGGAGGTGAGGAGCGCGAGGGCGGGGAGGGTGACGTGGGTTTTCGAGGGGGAAGAAGGAGACGAAATCTCAGAAGGGACTCTGGCTTGCGTCCTGGAATTGGAGGGCAAAGAGAAGGCGCGGTTGTAACGACGAGGTGTTGTCGAGGAACAAAAGACCCCTGTAGACACCTACTTTGCGGGCATGAAAGGTCCAAGCCAAGAGTTTGAACAATTCTTTGAGATATCTGAATAGAGCTCCGAACTTACCTTGAGGATATCCAACTTACCGTGTGGTTGAGTTAGAGCTATAAGCTCTGAAACAACTGAGATCCTGGATCCATGGCTCACAGTCCTTGAAGCTGTAGACTTTTTTTCTCTCCCATACATACTACAGCCTCGAAAGCTTGCCGTGAAGGGTCTTCCTGGATGACGTCTCCGACCCGCTAGCAGCAAGGAGTAAACCAGATCTCCCCTTAACGAAGTCCGCCGTGGGACCGTCGAAAATCTAGTGGTATGGCTTGTGGTAGCGTTCCGCAAATCCAAATTTAGCTTCAGCCCACCCACGGGTCGACCGCACAGCCACAAGCAACGCTTGCGCTCGCCACATGCAGTAGTACGAAACACACGAAAAGCGCCCGGTCGCACGGAGGATACGGAACCGTCGTCACTAGTCTCCGTACTTAGTAACAAAGGGCGAGAGCCTAGGTACGCGCGGAAGGAAGAAAAAAAAAAGCAAAAAGAAAGGGTTTGTCGGAAGGGAAACCTTGCTCCCCCATGGGAAAGCAAAAACGTCACTCCACGGTGCTGTGATGTGCACAGTGCTAGCGCAGCGAATCTGGCCACATGTGGAAACACTGTCAGCCTATTCGATAAGCTGCAACGAGATGAAAGGCTGGCGAGACGCTGGTCATGTCTTAGACGCAGTCGGCCGGTCTCGTGGACCATGTCGATCTTATCGGGCGCGACGGCGGACGTGTTTCGGCTTCCCCAGCCCTCACAGGGGTTGGAGGCTCTCTGGTGGCCTGTTGCCCAGTTCTGCATGCACGTGTGACAGAGCCGCAGCGCACGTCAACATTTAATCGGAAATCGGATTTGTTAATTGTGAGCTGTGTGGTAATTGAGCGCCCACGTCACAGCACGTGGATTTAATTGGTCCGTCCCAGGGCAGCGGGAACGAGTGGCGTCTGAGGCGGGCTCCGTTGCCCAGGACAGGAGAGGGCGGGATGCACCTTGGCGTCTTCCATCGGGGGGTGGCGAGAAACCTAACCGCGGCGGCGGGACGTGGGATAGCTCTCCCGGGAGGAAAATCAGGGACAGGGGTGATGCGAGATGAGATGGCCAAGTGTCGCGAGATGGGGAAGGTCTGGCCACAGCGACTACGCGGGATGGCGGGATTGCGGGATGGGCATGGGTCGTGCTGTGATGGTGATGGGCAAGCCGGGGACCTGGCTGCTGGGGCGATTGTCAGATGCGCTCGTAAAGACAATCCCTTCTCATCAGCGCAGCTGAGTCGGCCGTGACCTTGTGACCAGCAGACGCGTGTGTGCGTTCCTCGTGTAGATTGTAGAGAATCGTCCTGTGGCGCGTGCGGGGCTTGGGACAGCGGGCGGAAAAGGAGACGCAGCGGGCTGGAGCAGTCGCTGTTAGTCAACACCAGCCAGCACAGCGACCGCGCTGAACCAAGGGCGCATGGCGATGTCCGCCACCCGCGTCGCTTGAAGTCCCGCGCGCACCACGACGAGGAAGGAAACCCGGAGCGCGGGAGCCTGCATCCCACCCCGTGTTCTGCGTCCCCCACACGGCCGGCTTCCGCGCATTTATTGTCAATAAATATAGTTCTGAAGCGCGCCCGGGGCGGAGGCCGAGACCGGGGAAGGCGGATGTCGACAGGGGCCACCGCCTAGCAGAGCCTCCCGCTACTCGTCTCTCAACACCAACCCCTTTCCGCCCAGCCACATGATCACATGCCTGCGGCAATTGCGTATCAGCAGTTTCGTGTCCAATCTCGATCCCGCTGCTCGCGGAAGGATGCTCGTCGTGTCTAGCTGCAGCTGAAGCGACCGGTTTCCTACTGCATTAGGGACAGGAGCTGCTCTGCCTCTGGCGCTGCTGGACTTCGCCGATGTGGTGGCGGCGTCTAGCGGCGGCTGGAGATTTGGCTCCCAGATTCACAGCGCAAGGGACTCTCCGGCGGACAGCTGGCACGGATTTGGCATGAATGGCGTTGTCCGACGAGTCTCGTGTCAAGGCCATAATTTCTCGCCGTGCGCCCACGTGCCAGACATCGACCTGGTTCTTGGGAGCACAGATGGCGATATCGGGGTGGGTGAGGCAGCAACCCGCCGAGCTCGCGTCTTGGGCGGCTGCAGTTGTGAAATTTGGCGTCCCAAAGGGGGGCCCACTGCATGAGCAGTCGAGAAAAATTTCACGGCAGACGTGGAGAAGTGGCTGCGGCGGCTTCCCGGGCGCCTGAGTAGCTAGTGGCCGCCTATGCCGCTGGCAGATGGATTATTATGGAGCGGCAAGCAGGGAAATTTTTGGGAGCTGTCAGAGCTCCGGTCGAAGGTTGGAAGAAGCGTGGGTGCTATGATCGGCGCGTAGGGGCTGACGCTCGCTTGCTGTCGCTGGTGCAGCCCACTTTGCTTATCTGTGCGCACCACGACGCCACCGTCAGGGAGCCAACGGCCGCGCGCGCTCGGCAAGCTTCCCACGCGGCGTGGCTGGCCGGTCTGCGTCGCGGCGCGCTGACCGGGCGAAGGATGCACCTGGGCCCTGTGGGGACTGGCCAGTCTGCCGACCGACATTCTGCACCTCGCAGGTCGGCTGTTTAAGATGTGCAGCGGATATGCAAGCCGGTGCGCCGCGCTCTGATAACGCATCACAGGAGTCGGTGAGCTGCCACGGGGATAAGGGAGCCATGCTGCCAGGTCCCGCTCCGCCGTCAGCCGCTGTGTGCCGTAGGGCGGCCGTGGACCTGTTCGGTGGGACCGTGGGGGAGATGACGCTAGAAAGATGGGTGCTCGCAGTTCGCTCGCATCCGCCGGCGACCGAGGGGCGACAAGAGCGGGAGCCGCGTGCGACATCCGCCGTCAGCTCGTACTGGGGCCGGGCGGCCTAGCGTGCGCGGGAGAAGATTCTGAAGCTTCCATGTGGTAGCGCGCCTCGCCGCTCGCACTTGGCCACGGCGGATCTCCCTTAGCACCGCTCCAATCTGGTATTCGCCGGCCCTTCTTTGCACGGATCGCCCTACCCTGCAGGAGCACGGACGCCGCAAAAGTAGAAACAGTGGAGCCGAAGGGAGCTTGGGCGGATGGTGTGCGAAGCCGCCAGCCGCGACAATGACAGCAGCGCCTCTGAATAATCAAGCTTCAAGCTGCAAATAAAAGGCCCTCCTCGCCGTCCGCTGCTCAACCGTCACCGTACTTCCTCCATCAGCTTCCGTCCTTTGCGTGCCGTCCTTCGTTACTTTCTGTGCGGTCGCATAACACTCAAAGGTACACCTCGCTCCTGCCGATACCCCTAAGGCCATTCACCGTTCGAGCCTCCCTCTGCACCTGCGCCATAACACTCTTGGCAACAATCAGCTCACCTGGGACCCTTCTTAAACAGCTCCGCTTCCTCTCCACCCTCGACTCTACAACAACCTCCGACCAATTCTCTCTACGACCACCTCATCCACATCTATTCATACCCACCTTCATAATGCTCTCCCGTCAGATCCTCAACGCCTCGCGCGTCGCTTCCAAGCGCGTCATTGCTCCTGCCACCCAGAGCAGCGTGCGCACCTTCAAGACTGTCCAGTCCCAGCAGAATGCTGAGGAGATCAAGGCTGGCAAGGTTCTTACCGTCACCTACAAGGATGGTGTGAGGCAAGAAGTTGAGATTCCTGTCGAGCAGAACTCTGGTCCCGTCGCTCCCCCCGGCGCCGACGACAAGAAGGCTGCGATCCCGCTCGACAAGAGCATCCTCGGCCAGCTGAACCCCACCATGTCCAAGTTCACTCTTCCCGGCAAGGTCGCCGTCGTCACTGGGTAAGTCGCCATTCAATGCGGACCGTCCGACAACATGCTAACGTTTTTCCAGTGGTGGTCGTGGTCTTGGTTTCAACATGGCCCAGGCCCTCGCTGAGGTCGGCGTCCGTGGCATTGCCATCATGGATGTCCAGCAGAAGGTCGGCGAGGAGGCCGCCCGCGAGCTCTCCGAGCAGACCGGTGTCGACGTCCGCTTCTACCAGGTCGATGTCCGTGATGGCAGCGCCATCAACCAGGCTGTCGGCGACATTGTCGACCACTACGGCCAGATCGATATCCTCCTCAACTCTGCCGGTATCGCCGACTCCAACATCAAGGCCGAGACCTACGACACCGAGATGTTCCGCCGTCTGATCGACATCAACCTGACTGGTGCCTTCCTCGTCGCCCAGTCCGTTGGCAAGCAGATGATCGCCTCCAAGAACGGCGGCAGCATCATCCTCGTCGCTTCCATGTCCGGCTCCATCGTCAACTACCCCCAGGAGCAGTCCTGCTACAACGCCTCCAAGGCCGGTGTCATCCAGCTCACCAAGTCGCTCGCCACCGAGTGGGCCCGCCACGGCATCCGCGTCAACTCCATCTCCCCTGGCTACATGGACACTGCTCTCAACCGTGTCCCCGCCCTCGATGCCCAGAAGAAGATCTGGATCGAGAACACTCCCCAGAAGCGCCTCGGTGCCGTCGATGACCTCAACAACCTAGCCGTCTACCTCGCCTCGCCCGCCTCTGCTTTCATGACTGGCTCCAACTGCATCATCGACGGTGGTTACACCCTCTGGTAAGCGATATTGAGGCTGTTCTGTGCGCATAACATCCCCTCTATTATTGCTTGATACCCCGTTGTGTTGGTTCTGTCGATAAGGAGCATTTGTGCGGTAGATTTCTTTTGCTACTGAATGTCTTGGGAGCTGTTTTGATACGTGTTCTTCCCGGGTTTCCCCCTGGCAATTTGGGGCTTTCGAGGTGCATGGTATAGACGAGACATTTGATTTCCATGGTGGGGGAAGCTCTTGTGGGGTATTCACAAGCGTTGGCGTTATTTATTTTCTCTTTACGGTACAGAAGACTTGGAAACGGAAATCCATACTCGGTCGATTCGGTTTAGACTTGGGATTAGAAGTCTGGTTTTGCTCTGTCAAGAAGGGTGACAGGCGTCTTTCTGCACTGCTTGGGCCGTTGAGAGCCCACCCTAATCAGCGTTGAGGGGAAGTGAATCAAAAGTTCTTTCGGAATCTTCTTCATACCCATCGTGATCTTCCCTAAAACGTGACTCATGGCGTTAATCTCACCAACACATGTGAGCTATTGAAGCTATCGTCTGGACGTAAATGTATAATTGTTAACTCGACATTTGCGTCCGGACGATAGCTTATCGTGGCGTCTGCTTGAAGTGTGTTGAAAAACTATCGTGGGGTCTTGAAGTGGTGACAGATGAGTGATTTATGATTCAGTTGTGTTCAGACTATCCCCTTGTGGCTCAATTTTTGCCGTACCGTTTAGTACGAGCACGTCAGTTCCGGGATCTTGCGTGATGAAGCTCGTGCCAGCAACTGGCAAGATTGTATGTCGTCTATATAGCTCGATCCTACGATGTAACAGTCGAGACTGACGCGCCATTGGCTGAATCGTCGCAGGTAACCTCCGAAAAGCCCCGGTGACGAAAAATGAGGCGTGCAGATGATCGTCCGGGTCGTCCGTAACGTTATCGCGGGAGGGTATCTCGGAGGTGTGGGTCCAACAGTGACTGGGCTGGCCCTTCCACGAGGCAACCTTGTCCGCCCCGTTCACCGTGGCGCTGCGGGATGAACCTTGGTCCCCACTTCACGATCTTGCCCTGTGCGTCTTGTCTGCTTGGTTCCCTTTCCGTTCCCGCTTCCGCTTTGCCGCCCGCGTAGCGGGTGCCTGAGCTTTTCCTCGTCCGTCCGCCCCCCTCTGCCCAGCACTGGCCAGGCGTTCTCGCCACCCCCCAGTTGCGTTTTCTTTCTCTGCTCCATTTTCCCTTGGCGAGGAAACCACGTGCCCTCCGCCGTTGCCGCTGCCAACCCCTACTGTCAGTTTCCGCTGCCCGCCTCCGCCGCCACTGCAACAATCTCTTCCGCCCCTCAACACATCCCGCCCTTACAGGCCTTTTCCAGCCGGAAAAGTCCGTCCGCTCCCCCTTCGCCACTTACAACTTACTCTCCCTACCACCGCCCCGCCCCTCCCCCGCTTCCGCCATCCTCTTCCTCGCCCTCTCCTCCGCCAGCCGCGCAAACCTGATATTCCTCTCGCGATACACGCGATCCCACAGCGCCGCGACCTCGGGCCCGACGGAGCCCTGTTTCGCATTCGGCTGCGGAGGGTCGCGGTACAGCACGTCTCGCACGACCGCCTCGACGACCTTGCCGTTCTGCGGCCGCATGGCGGCCAACACACCACTCAACCCCTCATCACCGGCACCAGCACCAGCACCAGCACTCAACCCCAACAGCTCGTCGAACGCCCGCATCATCGTCGCCATCGGCGTCTTGCCCGACTCCGGATACGCCTCCATCAGGCCCGGTGGCGCCAGGTTGCTCGGCACCATGTCCGGGCAGATGGCGTTGATGGCGAAGCCGCGCTCGGCCGCGCCGGGGGCCAGCGCGCGGACCAAGCCCACCAGCGCGTGCTTGGTCGCTGTGTACTGCGGCACGGCGGGCAGCGGGTAGAGGCCGGCGGCGGAGGAAGTGACGATGATGGTGGGGGTGGGTCGAGGGTGGTTGTTGGTGCTGGGGAGAGGGATGGAGGCGTAGTGGGCGAAGAGCTTGATGCCGCCGTAGACGCCGAGGAGGTTGACGGCGAAGGTGGTGGTGTCGGGCTCGGTGGGGGGAGGGGAGGAGGCCGTGATGGAGGAGGGGAGAGCGGGGAAGATGGTGTCGCGGTCGTCGATGCCGGCGTTTAGCGCGGCGAAGTCGAGGCGCTGCCGCCAGGCGTGGGCACGGGCGAAGGCTGCGGATTGGCTCAGCCACGAAGAGACGTCGGTGCGGATGAAGAGGTGCCGGTCTGCCGGCAGCGAGGCGCTGGCGGGCGGCGGGTTGAGGTCCAGCAGCACGACGTCCCAGGACTTGGAGAGCAGGTGCTGCGTCAGGCCGAGGCCGATCCCGGAAGAGGCACCGGTGATGATGGCAACGGGGTTGCTCATGGTGGTTGGTTGTTTGAAAAGACGAGTGACGTGAAAGAAAATGTGGAGAAGTGCGTGAAAGTGACTGGATGTGGATGAAAGTTGGCGATTGACGATATTACGATGTTACTAGAAGCAAAGGTAGGCGAGCTTGGGATCCGCACTGTACACACTTGTCAACGAGCACGCGATAAAAGAAGCGAAATCAATTCTGCAAGCGGCGAGCGGAGGTCTTATAGAGCAGGTGAGAGGAGGTTGAACCAGGACAGGGGACCCAGCTGCCGGCAGCTGTCCCGCGAGTTCCCCGCACAGAGTGGTGGGGCAAGCAGCCTCATACGGCACGAGTCGTGGGTGCGAGATGCTGGTCGTGCTACAACGAGCATGTGGAGACGCGAATCGATGCCTGAGGCCAACGCAGGTCGTGTTGATGTGATGAGGTCAAGTCAATTGTGATGACGGCTCGGGTGCTGCGCCTCAGGCCCTCGTCGGCTAGCGAGGTCAGAGTCGCGTCCTGGCGCCACCTACGCAAGCCCGACGGCGGATAAAGTTGCATGTCTGGTTCGCGCGCGCCGCAGTGGCTGCTCGACGCGTCGTTTGCAAAAAGTCGCAGCGCGTTTTCCGACAGCGCGCGCAGGCAGCTGGGCTGGCGGGCTGTTGGCGATGGGGTCGCTGGCGCGGCGCCATGGCTCTATCGGCAGCCCAAGCCGCTCCGCGCGCAGCCGGGATCGCGGCTTTTTGGCGCTGCTGATGACTGCTGCGCCTGGCACGGCGTGCGCGCTCTCCCAGCTGCCCAGCCGCACATCTCCACTACTCCTCCACTACTCGACAACTCCTCTTCCTCTCCCTCAGTGATACCCGCAGTCGCCCTGCACCTCCGCCACCATGCCTCTCGGAATCCACAACCCTCTGCCCTCGTCCGTCGGCAGTCAGTACCCCTCCCTCGGCCCCGGCTGCCTGGCGATCAATGACGTTGCTGACTGAAATGCGCGACCACAACAGGTGAAATCAAGAAGACGGGCAAAATCCTCGCGTCCTTTGTCGACCCCCGACAAGCCTTTGGCCCCGACAAGGTCATTCCACCGCAAATTCTCGCCAATGCTAAAGTATGTCGCCGCCCATCGTGCGCTCGTGTTTCGCTCCACTTCCGATAATCCCGCCGACGTAACAACATAATGAGCTGACATGGACTTTGCCTGCAGGGTCTCGCTATCTTGACCGTCTTCAAGGCCGGCTTCCTGGGTTCGGGTCGTTTTGGCTCTGGTATCGTCGTCGCTCGCCTCCCGGACGGCGGCTGGTCGGCACCCTCAGCTATCGGCACCGTTGGAGGCGGTTTTGGTGGCCAGATTGGTTTCGAGCTCACCGACTTCGTCTTTATTCTCAACGATGCCGCTGCCGTCAAGACGTTTGCGCAGGCTGGTTCGCTGACGTTGGGCGGCAACGTCTCGATCGCCGCTGGTCCGGTGGGTCGCAACGCCGAGGCGGCCGGCGCGGCCAGCTTGAAGAGCATCGCCGGCGTGTTTGCCTACTCTAAGACCAAGGGTCTCTTCGCTGGTGTCAGTTTGGAAGGCAGCGTTCTCATCGAGCGTCGCGACGCCAACGAGAAGCTGTACGGCAGGCGCATCCCCGCACGAATGCTGCTCGAGGGCCAGGTGCCTGTCCCGCCTGCCGCCGACCCGCTGATGCGCGTCTTGAACTCTCGCGTTTTCGCCGGTGCTGCTGGTAGCGCTAGTGCCAGCGACGCCATGTACAACGACATGCCCGTCTACGATGATTCGCATGAGGATGTTGTTTGGCAGGGTCGCCGTGGTTCTGCCATGGGCGAGGGTGTTCGCAGCAACCGCACCGGTTCCGTGGCTGGCGGATTCGATCGTCCCTCCCGCTCCAGCACCTGGGCCGATGACATCTACGACAGGACGCCCGCTCAGGGCAACAGCAACGGCCTCAATCGCTCTGTTTCCACTCGCGCCAATCCTGTCGAGACGTTTGACAACATTGAGAGACGCTCGCGCGGTTTCAGTGGCGATTACTCGTACAGCGACAAGCCGAAGCCTTCGAGGCCAACCGCGCCGAAGCCGCAGTTTGGTGCTGCCAAGCGGGCGTCGCTTGCTCCCAACCAGGCCATCGCCAAGTTCACATTCGAGGCTGACCAGCCGGGCGATCTGGGCTTCAAGAAGGGCGAAGTCATTACCATCCTGAAGAGGACGGATAATGAAACGGATTGGTGGACCGGCAAGATCGGTAGCAGGGAAGGCATCTTCCCCAGGTGAGTGTTTTGATTTGATTTTGAAAGAATGTCCGTGTCTAACATTTCTGAAGCAACTACGTTGAAATGGTCTAAACGTTTCGCTTTCCCGATCCGCACCTGGATTCTGACGCAACCCCTGCGCCAAATCAGCTCATCGCCGAACCCTAGCCAGCTTTCGATATCTGGCGTCTTGGGTTCTACGGCTCTCCATCTTACGACTCCCTTAGCCTTGCCTCACTCTTGCGCCATAAAACTGGTCTGCCCCCTCCTCAAGATTGGTGTCCTTTGCAAGTATACCACTTTCGCGAGATTACCCCGTTATTTTGCAAGATGGTTTCTACTTCTTCCAACCCTCTTTCACCCGGCATAGCATGGCGTTCAAACGGTCGGCGCAGTAACGAAGTGGGTTGATTGTCCTCTGATTCCCTTCACTTCGGTAGTATCTTGATATTTCGATCTCTCTATCTCCCTCCGGCAGAGAAAACATTTACTTTTGACATAATTACGGGCCATCTATCGTTATCTGTGTGACTTTGTGTTTTCTGGGGCTGAACATTAACCGCAGCAAAAATTCTCATCGGATCACATGGCTCCACCGAAGGAAGTCCGAAATTCCGTAGTGGACTGGACTGTACACGCGTTCACCCGGGCGGCGAAAGAGCAGTTTTCGTACGCCTTTCGCAGCCTGATACTTGATTCAGCTCCTACACGGTCATGTGCGCACACAACGGCCTTGCTGCTGTTGTACAACATTACCACGATATCAGCTACACCCGTTTCGAGTAATCCGTTTGCTAACGAGTTCTCGACGATTGGCTTATCAATTCTGAGCATGTCTTGCTAACTTGAGACGTGTATGCAGGATCAGCGACGGCTGAGCCTTGTTCACGACAACTCTTTATCGGGAATCCAGGACCCTTTCTCCGAACACCGCAAAGCTCAGCCCCGTTCACCCTTTTCCGTGCGTTTAGTATGCACCCACCTGGAACGGGTTGCACAACATCAGTCTTCAGCTCTCACTTGGTCCTGCTCGGCTGTCGACTTGCTTTTGACGATTGCATTGGTCTCAACATTGTCTTGCTCGCAGCTCCATCAGCTCTAAGACACCTCAGGAGGCAAAAGAGAGAAGACCCAGGCCAAAGAGAAGCGTCAACCCGGAATCGAACTGGTGCCATCGGGATGGATGCTGAGCATACTTATCACTCCACAGGCTTCTTGCTCTCCTGCTCTCAAAGCAGCTTCCAAAAATGATTCTTTATAATTCATCAAAACGCCCTTTCCTCCATCAAAGCAAGCGTCAATAGCTCAGCGGTAGAGCGTAGGATTGCAGTTAACTCAGCATCCATCCCGAGGTCCCCAGTTCGATCCTGGGTTGGCGCTTCTCTTTTGCTCAGGCGTTCTCTTTTGCCTCCTGGATAGTCTTCCTTTTGGGAGGGTGGTCCCAAGGATCAGTTTTGAGTCATTGGAATAGCCGCAAGCGAGAGGATGATTGGACCGAACAAGCAGTCCATCAGCGTGGTCTTGGCCCCCGCATTGGCGTTTCTATAATTGGGTTACGGTTGTTCAGCCTCGTGTTGTGTTTTTTTTGTTGATGCGTTGTCAAAAGGGGTTGCTGCAATTTTTCGGGGTTGGCGGGGCGGGGCTCGTGGCGGCGGGGTGGCCTCGGCGGACTCGGCGGGCGGGCTTGACTGACAACTCAATCAAGCTTTCGGGCCGAGGGGCGGGACTCCGTGTGATCGAATGGATGGTAGGCAACCGTCGAAGATTTGGGGTCGGAGTTGTCGTACATACGGGTTTTATCCCGCGGTGAAGATTATGTAGAGGTCGACTTCGGAAATAGAGTGGTAAATGGTTTTCTTTGAACGGGAATGCGGATGCTAACTGACTGGTGAGGGCCCGAATACAGACTCGCGGCGGATTCCGTAAGATTTTGTATCCTTGGTAGGCAATTGACGCAAATATCCGGGTATAAATGTAAGTATTCAATTCTACTACAGATGTATCCAGATATAGGATTCAATTACCTATGAAAGGTGGGGCTTAAGGTCTGATGTTTTGCGAGCCGCCACAGAATCAGCTCCAACGATCGATCGGATTTTTACTTGGCGGCATTTACCTGCTAAAACGGCTGCAGCTTTAAAGTTTAATGACTTTAGTCGTTAATCTTTGCAGAAAACCGTTGCCACTAGCATGGGAGAGTTATGGCTTTTAATGATAAGAATGATGCCTTTTAGCAACTTGTTATCAGCAACAAGCACTTGAAGCATTTCCTCTCCGGCATATTCCAGACTGATCCGCATACCCGGACAAGCTCGGAGCGTGCTTTGCTGCGGGATTCCACGTTTTGGTAAGCCGACCTCCCTTTGTTGTATGCTGTCCTCTCCTTGCTTCGTATTCCAGACCTGCTCAACACTTCCTGGCAAAACAACAACCTTCTTGGCGCCACATGCCCTGTGTGACTCTGTCATACTTATGTTTCAAGCTTGTGACATCATTCTTGGATGAACCGTCTCAGAGATCCATCCAACGGCTTTGTTACGCTACGACTGCTCTCACTCTACACATCAATAGTCCTTTGACTTTTAGATCTGGAACAAACTGCCATTGGAGTATCGTTTCGTTGCGCAACTATCTGTGGTCTGGTCCATTGCGCCTCCAGGATGGTAGTGAGCAAGTCGTGCAGTGTATCAAGGGATGGATCAACACCACATCTCAAATTCTTGGAGGGACAAGAGCGTGGCTATGATTGGGAATCAGGAATCCCCTTCATATTACACAATCCACAGTATCTCGCGGAACACTACCAGCCCTACTGATGGAATGGGAAGATTGCAACGCCCCTTCGCAAGCTTAAACCAGCCGGTCCTGGGGCACGCCCTCAATCTCGTATACACCATGATCATCCCAAAGACCTCGAAGCTCAATTAATACGTACGACCTACAGCTCGAGATCCGAGGACATCATGAATGATGTATCGCCGACCAGAGACAGTTCGACCTACAGCGTCCACATAGGGGCGTGGACGAATTGGTCCCACGGACCAATCCTTGGAGCGACGCTGACGCTAGATCGTCAGAGCGGAGGTCTTCTCATCGCGGCCTTGGCCTTGTTCATCGTCTGGGTCGGGACCAGCTTTTGGAGAATATGCTGCTTCACCTTCCACCAGGTCTACTCGAGCGATACCGCCAAGGATGGCCTTTACCATCAGCGACAGGCAATTCTTCGCAATTCAGGGAGCGCCTGTCGTGGACTCACCAACCTACTCCAGGCGGGATGGGCATGGCGTCGGAACCCCAAACTGTCCGTCCGCCACACGTTGCCTATGATCATCTGCGCTGCGCTTTGCGCATGTGCTTTCGTCTTTGCCAGCATTTTCTCCTCGATGATAGCGACTTCGTTTGGGGATGAAGTGCTGATCTCGAGCCCGGATTGTGGGTACACAAATGCCCAGTTGGATAACCCGAACACGTTGGCCTCGCAAACATTCGAGCCGTACTTGCGACAGAATGCGCTCTCATACGCCCAATATGCGCAGCAGTGTTACAACACGAATGCCTCTACAGTGGTCGACTGCTCGCAATTTGTCAGGAAAAATTTGCTCGGCACGTCTAAAACGGATGCAACCTGCGCGTTTGGCGGTCAGATTTGCCAAGATGACTCGTCGAATCTGGACCTTGATACCGGCCTTCTTGATAGCAACGAGGATTTTGGACTTAATGCGCCGCCTGAGGAGACATTCCAATATCGCCGAAGAATTCAATGCGCACCTCTGAAGACGGAAGGATACCAGAAACAAGTCAGAATGCTGAGTAACAGAAAATACATGAGGTACTACTATGGCAAGAGGACGTCAGGACCTGCTCGGGACGACAACTACACTTACGAGTACTATAATGATGCTCTGAAGGTTCTGCTCGAGACAAACATGACAAGTGATCATCCGGACTATAGTCTGAGGTAAGTAATTTATCTACAACTAATAGTCATCTGTTCGACGCTGACTGACTCCATCTCCAGCGGCTTCTACTCCTTCTCAGTCAACAGCTCCATTTCCACATCGGCATCCAACTTCGAGCCCATCCCCCCTCTCAACATCCCCAACGCCGACGTCTCCCTCTTCTTCCTGTCGGGCAACCAAGTCATCTACACGGCGCCCACGAACGACAGCTGGTACCGCGGCAACCGGCTGGTGTCGGAAGCAGCGGCCATCCTGCCGCCCAACCCGGGCGTGCAGGGCCCGTACTTCTCGAGCGAAGCGGCGTCGCCCCTCGCCTGCGCGGTGCAGGAGCAGTACTGCAGCGCCAGCCTCCCCAGTACCGCCGACCAGCGCTGCTCGCCCCTCGCGTCGTCGGCCGACGCGCTCGCCAACATCACGGCCATGCTGCAGGATGATGAGGTGGCGCTGCAGCGGTTCAAGTGGCTGGCGGCGGCCACGACGGGCCGCGCGCTCGACCTGCCGACGGCCGTGGGGAGGCTGGGCGTGCAGCTGCTGACGGCGCGGGATCGCCTGCAGGGGGGTGTGCAGGGCGGGTTGCTGCCGGACGATCAGTGGCAGAAGGACGTGATGCACTGGCACGCGACGACGATGGCGCAGCTGCAGGGCCTGTTCGTCGAGACGGCGACGGGCCCGCCGGGGGACGGCGTCCTCTTGCCGTGGCTGGTAAGGCCGTCTAGTCCGGTGGAGCGGGCGATGTGCCAGAATCAGGTGCGTTTTTGTTTTTCTCTCTCCCAACCTCTTTTCTAAACCCGATCCCCTCCCTCCCCTATACACCTCCATTCTCATGCCGAACCCACCCACCCACTAACCGCCTCGCACAGAAAATCCTCAGCCCAGCCCACACCTCCTTCGCCCTCTTCCCCCTCATCCTCATCCTCGCCCTGGGCGCCCTCATCATCCTGACGTCCTGGATCCTGCCACCGCTCCTCATCTTCATCGCCCGCCGCCGCCTGCTGAGCACCACCTACCACCCCCACCACCGTCCCTCCACCTCCTCCTCTTCCTCTTCTTCTAACTCATCCTCCTCCTCTTCCCCCGAATCCCCACCCCCAACCGACACCACCATCACCCCCATCACCACCACCACCGTCATCGCCGCCACCGCCCCTCCCGCACCCTTCTTCGTCGACCCCACCACCTACGCCCGCTACGAATGGCTCGCCACATCCACCCCGCAACTCGTCCGCCTCGCCCACGAGGGCGTGCACGGCGTCGGCGTGCCGTGGACGCGGGCTGGGCGGAGTGTGCCTGTCACGGTGCGCAAGGCGACGCCCGTCCCGACGCCGGCGCCGACTGTGCCTACGACGCCTACGATTGCGAGTGCTGCTGCTGCTGCTGCTGCTGCTGCTGCTGCTGCTAACAGCGGTGGTGGTGCCGGTGTAAGTGGTGGTATGAGTGGTGGTGAAAAGGCGGCGGCGACGGCGGGGGCGGCTGCTGCTACGTCTACGTCTAGCACTAGTGGTGGCCTCGCCGTCTTCGACCTCTCTGACCCTAAGCATCCGCGCCTCGCGCCGCCGCCGCCGCCGAGGCCGAAGGTGAAGGCTAAGCCGAAGGAGAAGGTGAAGGTGAAGCCGCTGCCGAAGAAGCCGCCGATGCTGGAGGTGCCGTTGGCATCGGGGGCGGTTGGTGGTGGAGGTGGTCTGGGTGGAGCGGCAGCGGGAGCGGAGGGCGCGGCAGGAAGCAGCGGCGGCGCAGGTGCTAGCGCCGGCGACGTAGAGATGCGGATACGCCCGCTCTCGTCATCTCAGCAGCCGAAGTTGCTACCACAAATCCGGCTGCGCGAAGTCAGCGGCTCCGAGTCGTCGGAGAACACGGCCGTCGGGGAGGGCGATGCGCTTGGTCCTGGTCTCGGCCTCGGCGTCAACCTTGGGAGTAGCAGCAGCGGTGCGGATGTTGGTGGTGGTGGTGGTGGTGGCGGGGATATTGTCGTTGCCGCTAGTAGTAGCAGTACCACTGCTGCTGCCGCCGCTGCTGCCGCCGCTCTTGCCGCTGCTGTCGCTGGTACTAGTACTATTGGTGGTCAGGACAGGGAAAAAAGGGAGAAAGAGAGGCAGGAGAGGGCAGAGGAGCGGCGGAGGGAACGCGAGAGGGAGGACGAGCTGCTGCGCGAGCCGCTGTTGCCGGATTACGAGAATTGGCCGCTGCCGCCGAGCGGGTCGCTGACGCCGACGCTGCCCGGCGGGGGCGGCGAGGGGGAAGGGGGGAGAAAGGAGGGGGGTAGTGCGGTTGAAGGTTCAGCGGCGGCGGGGGCGGGGGCGTCGGTGCCGCGGTCGGGTAGCAGCGATGCTTTGCAGGTGAAGAAGAAGCGGTTAAGTCCGGCTTTTTTGTAGGTTTGTGAGTGGTTCGATTCGATTCGGTTATAGCTGGTTGTTGTTCTTTTCTTCTCTTCTTCCTTCTTTTTCGGATGTATAGATATGATGGTGTGATAGATAGGTGTTGTTGTTCTTGTACTTTTCAGTGTTTTATTGCATAGCTAATTCATGACGCTTCTACTTCTATCACGAGAATGTAGGACGTGAATATGTTTCAACTGCGAGATCAATACCTGGCTCATGGTTAAAGGGCAGCGCAATTGATTGGCATGGTATCGTATCTCCATGACTTGTCTGCGTCGGAATTTCTTGAAGTGATTGGCGGGATGCTGATGACCCGGTTGAAGATCTCTGTGGAGCTGAGCTTAGGGCCAAGGGGAAAGCACAAGGTTCGAAACTCTATTTGCGGCCGATCATAACTGCTGCTGCAATAATAAGCGCGCGGGGCAACGCCATCAGCATCAACACTAAAGACTTGACGTCAACCCAAGCACTTTTGCCAAGCCGCAGCAGGCAAGCCTCAATTGAAGATCCAGAACCTCAAGCCGCACAACAAGCCACAAAGACAAAAAATCTGCACAAGCCCAAACCCTGATCAGCCTTATTTCTCCACATAAATAGGCTGATTGACGTGTGCGGGGTCGATATACCCCATGCCTAGCCGCACATTACTGACGCCTGAATTACCTCTTCGGGTAATCGTTAGCGCCGACCGCTCAGCGTCCGAATCAAGAAATGCGGGTCGACGGTTGAGGTGTACAAACAGGCCGAGTTTTTGCTAAGGCTGTTTCGCGACCACGGCTGAGGGATTCCTCTCTTTGGGTCGGCAGTTTATTTCCGGTAATGCCCGGCGCGCCCCGGCTGTGGCTTGATGGGTAACGCGTGGTTTTTCCCTGACTCGCGGCCCGCACGTTTTTGGTGCTGATTTTTTGTGTCGGGTGGGAGATCCCATGGGGTCCGTTTTTCGTTTTTTCTCTAGTACCATGCGTGCCGAGATTGTTTTTCGCTTGTGAATGAAACTTTCACCCGCGTTGTGGGCGTTTCAGGCAGGTCCGTGACAGGAAGGCCATGATGGTCAGCTGAGAAAAAAACACCCCAGTAACGCTCCTCAACTTTTTAGCTGCAGAAGGTCGGTTTCATAACGACGCAGTGGAAAATGCCTCAAACCCCCCTGTCTGGTCAGTCTTTCCTGCAGAACTTGGCAAAACAACTTTGTGATACAGATCTTTTGGAAGAACGGGCGCCATTTCTAATTATTGAGATCTGACGTGACCTTCTAAAAAATTTCAAGCTTGAAAACAAATCTTTTACCTTCGTAGAAGGTGGCAGCTACTGTACGGCGCTACCGGGAATAATTCAGAAAGAAAAAAGATCCACTACTTCCCCATACCCTTTGCTCATAAAAGCAATATGATAATCCTATTATAACTTATATCCCATACACTCCACTCAAGCCCTGCTCGAATCATCACAACGCATCTACCAATTTACTGAGGCTCCGCCTTAGCGCTGACATCCTCAAGCACCGCAACATTGTCCTTCTCGGCGCCCATGTGGCCGCTGAGGGCGGCGGTGTCGGCGGCGAGGCGCATGCTTTCGGGCAGGTGCATGATGACCTTGTCGCCGGTGAAGAGGCGGTCGATCTCCTCGAGCGAGAGATTCTTGGTCTCCGGGTAGAAGAAGTAGATGATGGGCACGAAGAAGGCGTTGAAGACGGCGAAGTAGATGTACGTGCGCCAGCCGATGCTGTTGATCGAGACGGGCACGATTTCAACGACGAGGAAGGTAAAGATCCACTGCATAAGACGTCATAATTAGCAAAAGTGGGGTTGAGAGATGGTGATGATCATGATCCGAACGTACGTTGGAGGCAGTGGCCAGAGATGCCGCCTTGGTGCGGATGGCGAGAGGCGCGTATTCGGCGGGAAGCAGCCAGGGGATGGCGAGCAGGCCGATGGCGAAGAAGAAGTTGAACATGAACAGCATGATGGCGGCGACGATACCGGCGGGCTTGCTGCCATCGGACACGGTGCCGGCGAGGATGGCCATGCAGCAGGATTGGCCGATGACAGCGAAGAGCATAAGCTTACGGCGGCCGAGGCGGTCGAGAACCCAGACGACGGGGATGGTGGAGAGGCTATTGGTCGTCGTGTCAGTGATCTGCTGCATGTGGCAGGATTCGAAAGATGTTTGCGGTCCTCGAACTCGAGACTGCAAGGGTCAAAACTCACAAGTAAGCAATTCCGTTAGCACCGGCGACCAGCAGAGCAGTGTTGTGCGACATTCCAATACTCGTCTCGAAAATGACGGCGGCGTAGTACGTGATCAAGTTAATGCCACTGAGCTGCTGCATGAACTGGCCACCAATACCAAGGAGCGTCCTGTAGCGGAAACGTTGAGGACCATCCTTGAGGAGCGCGGTGAAAGTAGTACCACCGGCGATTTCCTTCTCTTCGTATAGGGTGTGGCGAATGATAGCGATCTCGTTGTTGACGGCTTCTGAATCCTTGGCGATCTCCTTGGCGTTGGGCTGGAGGCGCCAAAGCACGTTACGGGCCTCATCATCGCGGTCATGGTTGAGTAGCCAACGGGGAGATTCCGGGAGGAAGACGATGCTACCAAGGGTGACGAGAGCGAAGGCAATCTGGAAGGCGATGGGGAAGCTGAGTGCTATCAGTATTGAGTGACATCAGGGGTAAGGGGTAGGTTGGGTAATACCGGAACTGAGACTCGTTATCGACGAAGCTGAATGCATAATCGACCCAGTAGGCTAGGGCGACGCCGAAGATGTTCAGGATGAATTCAATAGCGAGACCCTTGCCACGGTCGTGGGCTTGCATGAGCTCAGCGTGCCAGACAGCTTTATCATCCGTTAGTGATAAATATTGGGAGGCTGACGCAGGAGCCCTTACGGATAGTTGAAGTGTTCAGTCCATTTCCAAGACCGGCAACGATACGGCCGACGATGAGTTGAGCAATGCTGTACGAGGCACACTGGATGGTGGCTCCGATGGTGAGGACAATGCAGCCAAGCATGATACACTTGCGACGTCCCAGACGCTCGCCAAAGATGAAGGTGAAGATTGCTCCAAAGAAACAGCCGATTTCCTGCCGATCACATTAGATTGGTCAAAGATGTAGTATCAGGGGTTGACCAACGTAGATGGCGACGACGGTGCCCTGAAGCGACGAGCTGCCGCCATTTTGGGTATCGATTGAGGGGAAGACCTGCGTAAACGCGGTGCCTGTCAACAGGCCGGACATGACACCCTGGTCATAACTGCATCGCCATCATTAGTATGCCAGTTATTCGGTGAAATAGGGGGTAGATGGAAGAGATGGTGTACGATGCGGGTCACTGTATCTGCTCGAGTCGGCATCTACGCCCATTTTTGCGTTCCCCTGGATCTTTGGATGCGAAACGACGCGTGCGACGTTGTGAAGGAGATAGACTTACCCAAAAAGGAGGAAACCAGCGCCAGAGCAGAGGGTGATGGCCCAATCAAGGGCTTTTCCTGTCAACACCATGGCGAATGTGGTCCGAAGGATCGCTCAAGTCAGACAGCTGTCACAGACAGGACGAATGCTGAAAGAAAAGGCAAGCGAAAAAGGAGCAGAGGAAATGCGGGGCCCCAGAATGTATGGTGTTGGCTGGGCATAGAGTTTATATATGCAGCATCAATAGGTGCAGAGGCCTAGCCTGATTCATTTGCAGATTGGCCCGCGAGAAAACTCCATGCGGGCGCTTAGATGACCCCAGGCAGCGGCCGAGCAAGGCTAAGCCGGTTTGCGCCACTGCACTTGTTGTGACGCTGCCGATGGCACCCTTGCCTGATACCCGGCTCCACGATGACCGAATTGTGGAGGGACCTGCGGCGGATTGGTCGCGAGCCGAGGCGGGCGCCGTACGCAAGCCTTGCATCCGTGGTGCCTTCGTTGGGCCGGTTTTGCTGCTGCCCTGCGGCGCGGCTCGACCCTTACGTCCGTTCGCCGCGTCTTCAAGCATGGCAAATTGCGTTGTCCAGGGCCGCGGGACCGCTCTCTATTGACTTCTGGCACCTGTCAAAGCGGCGACATGAGCTGAGCATGACGCGGACACTGCTACTACAGGAATTTTGTCTTTGTTGGATGCGCCATCTCTGGCGGGCCTTGACTGATGAGTCGGGCCGGGGTGGTGAAGTTTGTCCGCATCAGGAGATCTATCCGGGGAAAGCAGCGGCCGCTGTGGAGTCGGGGCGGAGGGATCCCCAGCTTCAGCAGCCTCTGTGGCCGAACCCCGGGCTTGGCGTACGTCGTATTCCGACACGCGACGCAGCGGTGGATTGGCCCCGCTGGGGCGCGCCGAGCTTTCCCACATAGGTTGCGGCAAGTAAGAGCGCCGTGAGGCTAGCGTGTGCTGGCGGTTGGATCTGCCGACCCCATAATGCGTCCGAATGCGGTATCCGGGAGCGCTACCATTCTCAGCCCTCTCGGAATTCTCCTCAAGGCGCAACCATAGCGTTGATAGTCGCTGGAGATGGACTGCGATACCGGCTGTCCGTTCAAAAGAGACCTTGTATTACAAAATTCAGGTCCAAGGGTAATCCGGGGGCGCTGCTGTGGGAGGACGGGACCCCAGAGGATGCGACGGCATGGTCAGCGGCAGAAGCATGCGCTTTCCTCTCTGGGAAACTGCCCCTCAATTCTCGAGCCAAAAGTACTTTGACCCTTCCCCACGCCCTGAAGCGGTAATGTAGGACGCTGCTCGAGGTCCAGAGCTTTTAAGAGAACCGCCCGCCTTCACGAGGAGCCTTTGCTCAGTCTTGCGTTCCCTCCGCCATTGAATCACTCCTCTACCTGCCTCCACGCCTCCCCGACCGAACCGCCTCCCATCACACTCTATTTCTTGACCATGGCGCCCGCGATCGTGTCCGACACTGCCCTTCCGGCCGTGGTTCCCGAGTCGAGCATGACGCCTGCGGCTCAAGCACCAGTCAACAAGCTTTTCGGTCTGCATGGAAGGACCGTCGTAGTGACGGGAGGAGCGCGTGGTCTCGGTATCACGCTTGCCACTGCCGTGCTTGAGGCTGGTGGCGACGTCATTTGCCTTGACATTCTTCCCGAGCCTAGCGCCGATGAATGGGCGAACATCACCAAGATCACCAAGCTCTCGTCCACCCCCCAGCACGCAAGCTACAAGAAGTGCGACATCACAAACGAGGCGGAAGTCGAGGCCGTCATCCAGGCGGCCGCGGAGGAGGCCACTGCCAGAGGGAACCCGATCAAGGGCTTGATCTCGTGTGCCGGTATCCAGCAGATGAAGGACGCTATCGACTACCCGGTCGACGGCTACAGGCGCATGATGGAAGTCAACGTCGTTGGCAACTTCACTACGGCCAAGCATGTGGCGAGGGTGCTGAGGGACGGCGGAAAGGGCGGCAGCATCGTCTTCATCGCGTCCATGTCCGGACAGATCATGAACAGGGTAAGTGGGACAGCGCTTGCGTCTTCCCTATTCGAACGCCGCCACGCGGATCCTGAGACTTGCCGACAAGAGACTAACGTAGCGCAGGGACTGCACTGCTCGGCATACAACTCGTCTAAGGCGGCCGTCCACCAGATGACCCGGTCGCTGGCCGTGGAATGGGGCACGTACGGAATCCGCGTCAACTCGCTATCGCCCGGCTACATCCGCACGGCAATGACCGACGCTCTGCTGGCCGAGAAGCCCGAGGTGGAGGAGACCTGGATGAGGGGAGCGGCGCTGGGCCGCCTGGGCGCACCCGAGGACTTCAAGGCGGGGGCCATCTTCCTGCTGGCTGATGGCAGTGCATGGCAGACGGGCTCGGACCTGCGCATCGATGGCGGTCACTGCGCCTCCGCATGAGCGCACGTCCGCAGGGGAGCGGTGAAATCTTTGGCGATAACTGCGAATGGTAGATTGGCATTTCTGGACGGCGTCAGGCAAACAGTCATCGGGAGGCGCGTTAGAGTTAGCATATGTCCTAGTAGACCAAAAAAAAAAATGGTTAGACTTCTCTGCTGCACGCGGGAATAAGAGGCTGGCAACGGTGGTGAAATTGGGCTGAGTCAGGCGCAGGTTAAGGCGGCTCGCGCGAGAGCCGCATAAGCGCAAGAGCGCGTGCGTGGATGTTGTCGCGGTCGGCTAATTATTGGCCCAAGAGAAACGATGAGATCGGCGGCGTGTCTGGAGGCGTGATGAGCTGCGGGCCAGACGTTGGGGTGTTCCGGAGATCGCACTTCCCCGAGCCTGTGGGGAGGCTACTAGCCCTAAACCCCACGGCTTTTGCAGCCACCACCCAAGCACCTGTCTGCTGCATCTCAATGGAGGCCCCCGCACCTGCAAGTCGCACAAGCTGCTTCAGCATCTGCTGGTCATGTCGCCGCCAGCCACCCAGGACCAACTGACGCCCTCGTCCGCCCGCGCGACCAACCCTGCCGACCAACACCCGCCTGCGCCTGCCCGCGACTCGGTCCAACCTCCGCCCGACACCTCTCTCAAGAGGAAGCGCGGTCGCCACGGCTGCTTGAATTGCCGCCGCAAGCGCAAGAAATGCACGTCAACTCCCAAGCTTTCAATCCTTGCTCATTGGGAGCTAACTTCTGTCCTTGCGCATAGGTGACGAGGTCCATCCAACCTGCACAAAATGTCAGAAACACGGCGAGACTTGCGAGTGGGATACCGGCGTCATCTTCCGCCACAATGGCCTCTCCAGCGAGCACCCCTCCATGCGCGAGATCGGCCGCCATAGCCAGCAGCGCCATACCGACTTCACTGTAGGCCTCGAAGCTCGGCTCTGACTGAAGAAGCCGTCGCACTCACGCCCCACAGATTATCGACGTTACTTCCTCCGTCATGCGTTCATGCCGGGAGGATGATGCTTCGGCCGACGATTTTCAGGATACCCCATCTATAACACCGCTGGGAAGCGAGCCGCGTGAGACTTGGCCCTGGCGGCCCAATGAAGACCCCGCTGCCGTCCAGTCGACCAGAGCTTTTTCCACAGCCTCATCCGAACAAGCCAGGTCCCTAAGCGACGCCCAGTCTCCTCTTCAACATCACAATATTCCAGTCTCCACTCCAAAATTCCAGGCCCCTGCCGTACCGAATGGCTCCGACTCACAAAATCGTATACCGTCGTACAGCTCCCGTGGAGCCACCGAGAACACTCAGGTAGAGGCCAGCGAGCGCGGCCGTCAGCCCCACACGAGTGGAAATGGGGTTATGGGAAAGGGTCAGCAGCGCACAGACGGGGTTTTGACTCCTCACCCTCACTTGAACCGGACCAGCTCATCCTCGACCTTCTCGACCGTTCGCTCTAGGCTACCGACGCCCACCTCCGCGCCACCTGGAAGTACCCATCGGTACAGCCTTGACCACGAAGCGCCAGCTTTGACGCTTTCTGCCGGAGAGTTGGCCGCCCTGGACTTCTTGACATCCCAACCTACCCAACATGCTCCGCACGAGCTAGGAATGGCAGACCACGAGGGGCCTTGGATATCTCAAGATATGAATGCAGAGATATCCTCTGCTTTTTCAAATGATCCTGTCTTGGCTGACTCGCCATCTTATGGCCTCTACTATCCAAGTCATGCCTACAAGGACCTACAGCAGAATCTGCACAGTCATATCATTGAGACTGCTCGTAACAGCGGGCTCACTAGGCATGGGACTCCAGAATTTGGTATGGGCGGATCTCACGATGGCATTTCAGGTCATGACCCGGACACTGTTGACCGTGCCACAGCAAGGCTCGAGTCAATGACCCACCCCCAACCCACGAAGACTTTGAAGGAACAGCGGGAAATCGAACTTTGGCAGAATTACTTCAATGAGGTTGCTCCCTGGCTTGACAAGTTTGACAACCAGCGCCATTTCCAATTCTCTATCCCTGTCATGGCAAAGACCTGCCCTCACCTGCGATATTCAGCCTTGGCCCTCTCCGCTCGACAACAGGAAAGAAAGGATCCGTCTCGACCATACACGGAGAGTCTTGGGCTTTATCAAGAGGCGATCCAGAACCTGGTTCCAGAGCTTGAGACCATGAGCACTGAAGTAATTGCATCAAGCGTCTTACTGTGTGTTCTGGAAATGATCATTGTATCACCAAAGGACTGGGGTCGGCATCTCGATGGTTGTGCCATTCTTCTCCAGGCTGCTAACATTACGGGTGTCTCTGGTGGTGTAAATCAAGCACTCTTCTGGTGTTTCGCGCGCATGGACGTCTGGGGTGGCTATCTCTCCGATAGCTGCACCAAAGTTCCGCTGGATCGTTGGCTCTCCTCGCACGTCCCCATGTCAACCGCCGTAAACCTTTTCAAGAACGAGTGCAAAGGCTTCGACGCGTACGCCAACTACGCCGTCTTCCTGTCGGCCTCGGTCGTCAACGTCATCAACGGCCGCGGCGACACCGTCTCCAACCCGGAAGCCCGCGTCGAGTACGTCGCGCGCTGGAAGGCGCTGTGGGACCTCGTCGAGGACTGGTACAACTCGAGGCCCATCGAGATGCAGCCCTTGCTCTCGTACCCGGCCTCTTTCGACGACTACGACTTCCCCTTCCCCAAGATCCTGTACGGCAACCCGCCCGCGACCAACGGGAACCAGCTGTACCATTTCTGCGCCATCCGCCTGCTGCAGGAGAAGCCGAAGGAGGTGCGGCTCAGCAAGAAGAGCGCTAAGAGTCTGATCTGGCACGCCCGCCAGATCTGCGGCATCGCTGCGAGCAATAGCCATCATGGTGCCTGGATTAATGGTTTGCAGCCGCTGTGGGTGGCCGGGAAGTTGATGAGCCATCCTAGCGAGCATAGGGCGATTTTGAATGTTTTGGCGAGGATTGAGAATGAGAGCGGGTGGGCGACTAAGTGGCGGGCGGATGAGTTGAAGGAGTATTGGGGTGCGGATGCGTGATTGGTGTCGGACCTGTTTGCTGAGTTAATTGCGGTGTTAAGTATCGGTTAGTGGATCTGATGAGGTGTCTTTGGGGGGGTTGTACAGGTGAAAAAAGTGGATTACGTTTGATTACTGGCTCGTATATATTGAAGTGGTACTGGGGACATTGGCGCTGAAAAATGCATTGCAACTTTTGGACAGGAGCTCCAAATATTCTGATTACAGAGGGACATTGCAGCCGACGGCTAGCGTGAATTTATTTTTCGCTCATGTCATGGGTAGTTGAAGCTATCGTCCGGATGTAAGTGTAGAATTAATAATTATACATTCACGTCCGGACGATAGCTTCAACTACCCATATATGTTCCTTTTCGTTGAAAGAAATATAACGCAGGCATACTTAATGCTATTCTTCACGCTAGCCATCGACTGGAGTACCGCTCTGTAACCGTTCACGCAAGTTTTATGCTGCAATAGTCCTATGTATGCCATGTCAAGAATCGTTATTGACCCTGTGTTGCTCTCCCATATATCACTTTTTGCCGCGCTTCTTTTCCACCTTCGCCTCTGTCTCGTGTTCTTCATCGCTGTCTTCAACTCTCTTCTTTGATTCCTTCTTCTTGGTCTTTATCTTCTCCGACTTGGCAGCAACATCTTCACCTTTCTTTACCGAGAGACCCTTTTTGCCTTTTGCCTTCTTGCTCACAATCTCTTCCGCAACTTCGTCGCTGTCATCGCTCTCTTGTTGTTCAGACACAGCATCGCTATCACTCTGACTGCCGTCATCTTTAGAACTCTCATCCTCCTCATCCTCTTCCTCTGAGCTGTCAGAGGTAATGGTGCTGTCCGAATCGGGCTCCACCTTCACCTTCTTCTTCTCAACCCTACCTTTCGGCTTCGCAGCCGCAGACTTGGCTTTACTGGACTCTGCGTACTGTTCCTTCGCCTTGAAGTCATCGCTCCGCGTTTTGTTGGCGCGCGCCTGCGAGGACTGCGTTGCTTTTTGTGTGGCCAGGAGGTATTCGTCGAAAGAGTCGGATGTTTGCTGGACAATTTTGAACTGGTCGACGGTGAGCTTAGTCACTTTCTTGCCTTTCTTTTTCTGGTGGTGGATGTCCCCTTTGCCTTGTGCGCGGTACTCGGCGAGCGCAATGGCGGTTTGGAAGGCGTTGCGGATTTGTCTGCGGGCGGTCAATTTTGGTAAGACATTTCGTCAATGATTTCAAGCTTGCGAACTGGGTGAAGAATGACGTTAGGTGAAGCTACTGACCTTCCGTTCCAATTGTTCATGTTATTCGCCTTCATCTTCTTGAATTGCTCCTTGGCAAACTTCAGAACCTGCTTCTTGTCGACCTCTAGCACTTGACCGCGCTCTTTGAAGCGCCGCTTGGCCGTATCAAGATGCATCCTCCAGATAGTCAGCGTCGCGTTCTTGTCGAGCGCTGGGTAGAAGAGGCTGAGGTGAATGCGGCTGCGAAACGCTTGGTCGATGATGCCGACCCGGTTGGTTGTCAAGAAAAGGATCCCGGAGTAGTATTCGAGCACCCGTAGGAAGACAGAGACGACCGCGTTGCGCCGTAGATCTTCCCGGTTACGCTCTTGCAGGAATACACTATACCGGCGTTTTAGTATGATATTTCAAAGAGGGAGGGGGGGAGGTCTGAAGAAAGGGAGGACACACTCGGCCTCGTCAAGAAGTAGCACGCAGCCCCACTTGTGCGCTAGCTGGAACGTTTTCTCGAGATTCTCTTCCACTGTATCGGCAGTCTCGCCGATGTCGCCACATGTTATCGGATACAGCGGGCGCGACGTGTAGTCCGCAATGCACTCCGCGGTCGAAGTCTTCCCGACGCCGGGTTCTCCATGTAAGAGGATTATCACTCCTTTCCCTGCAAAGGTGGTCAGTGAATGGCCATTCAAACTTGGGGGATACCGTAGCGACCTTTGCCTTTGACAAGGTCCATCGAGACCTCTACGTGCCCATTTTCTTTGTCTCTGCCTGGTCCACGGTTGTGGTTTTCCACGAGTGCTTTGATAGCGTCAGCATGCCCATCTTGCCTGTCCGCAACAATATTGGGTTAGCAAATATCTTAAGTTGTTGCTCAGCACTATAGAAAATGATCTTACAAAACGAGGTCATCGAATGAGTTCTTGTCCTCAATATTGTTGATCAGGTCGATGCTGAACTTGGCTGTTGGCAGCATTAGCAATTTTCATTTCTCGTTTCTTCAAATTAAAATGGAATTTACCCCATTTGCGAGACCGAAGAATGAAGCCGTACAGGTAGTAAGGCAATAGAATCTTGTCTTCAATCGGAGGAGCTTCCAGATCCTCAGGCGACTCCAGGGCATCTTTCCGCTGCGAGAACCATTGGTTGGCGTCCGCGTGATCCTGAATTAGATCAAGATGCACCGTGTCACCGAAAATGAGTGGATCTGTACACATTTCGCGTGTGTCGTAAGCTGTATGCAAAGAATTGTACTCCGGTAGCTTCCACTTTGGTCTCTCGAGGATTGCGGATCGCTGGTCGACGATTATACGGGAGTCAATCTAAATTTATTTGAATAAGCCCATGGAATACCGTCTATCATGTGAAGAGTCTTATTGACGAAGGACAAACAAACCTCTTCTGCGTTGGTGCAATTACTCTCAAGAGTCAGACCGGTGTAGTGACGATGGACGACTTCTTTTTTGGAGAGTCTTAAGAACTTGTCTCCCCTCTCAAGAAGTTGCTGTCTTATCCTACCGCTCTTATCGTGGAATGATAACGGGTATACTGGGAGAGAAGTGATGTCTCTAAAACCAGCGTAGGGTTTGATGTGGATGGTTTTCACCACCGGCCTGAACCCCTCCCCGTCGAATCCCCAGAAATAGCATTCAACACGAAATGAGCCTTTCGTGATCGAATTTAGCGCTTTTTCCCTATTGGGTATCAGAGGGATGGAGTTCGGAAGTTCCGTTGACTCCACGGTGCTGACCATGTCCCGGCCTCCTGTGAAGCGGAGAACCCGGGAGACTTGTAGGTGTCCCCCCTGCTGGACCACTTCTTGTCCGTGGTAGAAAAGATACCACAAGTAGTCGAATGGAATCTGAGTGATGGTCTCGGCCTTGATGGAGTGGTAAAGATTGAGTATCGGTTTGAGCGAAACGTCGAAGAAATGCACCAGGAGTCGCAAGTGCTCATATTTGAACTGCAAAGCTTCAAAGTCCCGTCCTTCTTGCTCTGGGTTCAGTCGGTGTTCAGGGACAGTGGAAGTAACAGGGCTAATTGGACGGGAATCTCTGCTTTTCGGCACCTCATTTTTCTCTTCCTCATCTTCACTAAAGCCTATAGCTTTCTGCAGATTCTCAAGTATTTGGCGTTGAGACTCAATTTCTGCTTCGGTGTCTTTGAACATTGCTCTGATCTCCTTTTCGTATCTGACAAACAGTTTGAACGGAGAAAGAAAAATGATGCTGTCATTGAACAGGGATATCTCTTTGCCGATTTCCTTCAAGGATCTCAAGAGATATTTTGATGCGATTCGAACTTTGTATGGTAGTAGGCTCGCTCCCTCAAAGGTTGCTACTGGTCCAGATTCATCCGCACATGCGCCTTTTTCGCCATCCACATCCGAGCGGCTGTCTGGATGGCTTGCCAGGAATGAACAGATCCCGTTGGTGTCAGCGATCAGATTGACCTCGAGAGTAAACTTGGGTTGTATGCCTGGTCCATAGTAGGCCCTGTTGAACCACCTGTAGTCGCCATACTCGATGATCGAGTACAATGGAGGCGGTGGCGGCGGGCCTGGATATGGGTAAGACTGTCTCGGAGTTTTTCGCAAATGTTCGATTTCGTACTCTAGAATCCCGATACGGTCGCTAAGATTCTTGAGCAGAGTACCATGATCGTCAATATGTTGTGAGATGGCGTTTTGAACGTAGCGCACCGGGCGCTTGGCTTTTGCTTTTCTCAGCCTTCTATCCACTTCGTGTGGAGGAAGCGGTAGAGGAGCCGGGCGGAAGAGGGAAGTAAACCCGTCATAGTTATTCTTTATGCGGGGCTCAGACTCGGAACCGGAGGAGTCAGTTTCTGCATCAGAGCTGGAAGATGTCGCGGAAGCTGCTGATAACTTGTCGGATTCATTGTCGGGACTCTCTGGGGGCTCTCTGGCATTGTTTGGCTCTCTGGGTGGGGAAATGAGGCCTGGATCTGCAATCGTGTTCCCGCTTGATGTTTCTTCGCCAGTCTCAGGCACTGCATTGGAAGACATGTTGATCTGGCCTTTCCGATATTCAAAGTTGCGGGTATGTGGGGCTGAGATTGGCTTACCGCGACTTAAAGGAAGACTGGCTATTTAATATTTATCATCGGGGCATCATAAGGCACCACTTTGATTATGCCTGAACGTTGCATCCGGATCAATCTCACATCCTCATCTAGAAGAGTAAAAATCGCTCAGCGCTTACACTGCATGCATCGGTCATTGGTCTACATCTGGAATCATGTAACGAGGTGGTGCTGCAAGCCCCGCAGCAGCGACAAGGCTGAAGCACGACAATGCAGCCTCAGAGGTGGATGATCCAATGCTTTCGAACCGCCCCCACCCCACAATAGCGCCTTCGCGTGTTCACAGGAAATTAGATTGGTCAACTATGTCACTGCCCGACGCAGAAGATGTGTGGCATAGAAAAGAAAAAAAAATTCCAAGTGAAGTGAGTGGATGGAGCCGTTGCGCTTCCCGACCGCCAAAGGCTACTGATGATCCTCTTTTCAGCCTGCCATCACTGCAGCCAGGCAACAACAGGCCCCCATTTTTTCTCCAGCGGGCGCTTCCCTCGTTTTCCCAGCTCAAATAGTGAACCCCCACATTCGAGACCGGCCACACGCGATCGTCAGTTATCCAACATCATAACTCCCTACCCCAACGGTAAAGATGGAGGACACTCCGCAGGACATGCGAAACAGAGACCAAGCCGTGTCCTTCATCGAGAATAGAACCGTACTGGGCGACATGATCCAGCACGACTCTGGCCAGCAACTGTGGGTGAAAATCGGAGATGATGGACCAAAAGAGAGAAAGTATGCACTCTCGACTCGCTCCTGTCTGTGAGTCCCAAATTTTGATACGAACAGGAAGCAAATCTGGGCAGAGGCAACGGCCGAGATGGAAGCCCTGGCGGAAGCCATCGAGAAATATCAAGTCAAAGTGCTGAAAAGCCCGAACAAGAGCGACGTCCGTATGACGGATTGGTCGGCTATGATGCGCCAAGTGCAAGCCGCTGCGATACTCTACGAAAAGGAACCAATGACAAGCGGCGTCAAAGGCAAGATCAAGAAGGCCTTACACAGAATCAGAGACGCCGGTCCCAAGATGGGGCACTGGTGCAGTCTGCTTCCGACTGGAGACTACGGTGGCACGATTGCTGGAGTATTTTCGATATTAGCAACGGTATGCTTTTGAGGAACCCCATAGATTCGGAGTTATACTAATAAGTGTTGTTCAGGCGGCTAGCAAGTCAAGTGAAGTGCGAGAATGCATCTTCGAGGCCATGCAGGATGTCCCGGAGTACGTTCGGCAAACAGGAGCCTACCTTAAAATCTATGAGATCAACAAATCAGACCAATTGGAAATAAAGTCTGCTGAGCTTTGCAGATCAATTCTGGTTTTATTCCGTCAGATCATGGTATACTTCAATCAAGGTTCAGCACGTGAGTCGAAACACACCTATATCCGATCGTGAGACTAACTACGATAGGGAGGGCATTCCAGTCCATTGCACAGGGTGACTCGTACGAGGACAAGCTACAAAAGAGCAAGCGGGATGTAGAACGTCTGGCTGAAAATATCCAAAAGGAAGCCCAGCTTCTTGAGCATGAGCGAATCAACGAAGTACTGGGAAAAACAAGGGAACTTGTCTCGAGAGCAAAGGCCGGAGAAGAAGATACCGTGGCCCTAAAGCAGATGTTCAGTGAAGGAATCATGAAACTGAATGACATGGGAAAGGGGTTTCAGGCACTTTTGGAGAGCAGCTCGCTCTTCAATCCACGACTTGGACAAGGTGCGTACCTCTGGAATCGCTTCTCAGATGTCGTCTTGACTAATTCTTAAAAGCACGGGTGCAGGAAATCGAGAGTGGAGCAGCCAGCTTTCACACACTCGAGGGTTCCTACGCTTCAAAGAAGCAGCCAACCCAGGCCGGTATGAGTCGTAAGGAAGTACTAAAAATTCTCGATTTTGATCGAGGGACAATTAAAGACGACCTGGAGAGCTGTCAAGAACTCCAGTCCACCCTTGATCTTCGAGCTCAAGACGAGGCCTCATGGGTCATACAATCCGACGAGCTTCGACTATGGCTGACTCTACCAGAATCGCGAGATCTATTGATCAACGGCCACCGCTCCGATGCATTAGAGCAACTTTCTCCCCTGTCCCTGATTTGCGCCGAGCTCGTCTCGCTCTTCGGAATCGCCAAAGATGCCATCGTTGCCAGCTATTTCTGCGGCCTCCATTCCGACTACGACCAAGATGAGAAAGCCAGCTTCCCAGAGATATTAGCAAGTTTGATCGGGCAGATCGTCCACCAGTCAAAACGCAAGAAGTTTGACCTCGACTATTCCTGCGTGGAGATGAACCGCAAAAAGCTCGATCAGCTAGACTTCCGAGCTTTGAGCAACGTCTTTGGAACGATTGTGCGGCAGCTGCCGAAGGACAAAATATTCTACTGCGTCATCGACGGAATCTCGCTCTACGAAGCTATGGACGGTTCAGGTGACTCCAGCGATACGATTTACTTCCTGAGGAAATTATACAAGCTCCTAAAGCCAGCTGTCGAGAGGAATTCCGCCACCATGAAGCTACTGCTGACATGTCCTGGAGAGAGCATGAACATCGGAGACCCTCAGTTTGGCTTCTCTATCCAGGCTGAGGATATACTGGATGTTGATTGCGTTGACGGAGACAGGCAGGGCGTTCTGGAAATGGAAGAGCTCAGAAGAAGCGTTCGTTCCGTTTGAGGGTCCCTTTGCCCCAGTGCTGGCGCTCTGGATAACCACGAAAGTATCTTTTCCCGTCATAGAATTCTTGTCCAAACAACGGAACATTCAGAGGTTCACCCCAGAGACTGAGAGGGAGAGGTAGATAATCCATCTGCTTGGAAAGCTTGGAAGTCGTGCGTGCGCCATTAGCGTTCCAATAACTATGTATCTACGCTCAATATCGATTAGTGAAGATTTTACGCGTTGTAAAATTGGATCTCTAGTAACTGTAGCGTGACTCAAAGCTCTGCATTGTTAGAAGTGTGGTTGAGTGCTCTCGGCTTTCGCTTGAGCCCCCACGCTGCAAGGCCAGCGCACACGGCTGGAGTGAGATGTGACATTAACTGGCCCAGACGACGCTGACTGCGAGCTAACCCCACTCTTTAATGCCTTTGGCGATCTTCGGTGAGACTTATCTGTCTGTCTGTGTGATCAGTCGTAGATGTGCAATGTTTCCTGGCCGCAGCTGACCGCATAGAATAGCTTGGCCTTCCGTCGTGTGTACGCGCGGGCTTGCAGCGCTGCGTTCATGAGCTGAGGCAGTAGGATGAGAGTGACTTGCGCGATTTGTAGTTGTTATCAATGAGCAACAATGGTTCTATTTGTTTAGCTTACCTAAAAAATGAAAGCCATCAGCTTTGGCTAGAAGCCGTGGTGAGCATACCCGAAAGACAATTGACTGGACTACGGGTCATGGAGACTTAATTGAAGGTTAACAAGTTGAAATTCTGAATTTTAAGTAGCGCGTTCTCAAAAATGCCGTAGTATCTACTGTACTGTAGATCTATGCAAGGTGCCGCTGAAATAGCCACCCCCCTCCCGCCTCCCACCCATTCGATCCCACAGCCCCAAGCAAAACGCTCCAACCCCACCTCACTCCCTTAGACCTTCTGCTCACTCATCCACTTCTCCGCCTCCCCCTTCCACTCCTCCCTCCACCTCGTCAGCGGCGGCCTACCATTCACCACATCCCCCACACTCCACAGCATCCTCTTCTTATCCGTCTCCTCACTAACATCGTTATCCGGACAAATAATATAAAACTTATTCTCCCCCATCTTCTCGTACATGTAGTCGGCGACCTGGTCCGACGACCACGCGCCGGCGGGCTTCTCCTTGGCGCTGCCGGGCCCGCCGCCGCTGAGGCCGGTGAAGGTCCAACCGGGAACGAGCAGGTGGACGGATGTGGAGGGCGCCTCGGTGCGCAGGTCGTAGGCGAGGTGCTCGGCGAGCGACTTGACGGCGGCCTTTGATGCGTTGTACGCGGCGTTGCCCGGCGGGTTGGTGATGCCCTGCTTGCTGCCGGTGATGACGATGGCGGAGGGCTTGTTGGTGGCGGCGGCGGCCGAGCGGAAGGCGGGGACGAAGGCGTTGAGGCCGTTGATGACGCCGAAGAGGTTGGTTGCGAGGGTCTGCGGGGGTGGTGTTAGCCTAGCAATGTTTTTTCTTTTCTCCTTTCAGAAGGAGATGATGAGGTGTGGTTGTTAGGGCGCAACACACCTTCTCGAAGTACTCTGCATCGCCCCAAGTCCCCTTCATCCCCACGCCAGCGTTCAACATCAAGAAATCCACATTCCCGCCGAACTTCTCGAGCACGCTGCTCTTTAGCTTGGCCCACGCCTCCGGCTTCGAGACGTCCGTCTGGTACGTGTCGACCTTGCCGCGTCCCAGGATCTCTTCCGCCTTTGCGAGCGTGTCGGTGTTCCAGTCGGCGATGGCGACGCGCATGCTGTGCTTGAGGCAGAGCTGGGCAACGGCGAGGCCAATCCCGCTCGCACCGCCGGTGATGAGGGCCGTGTTGTTGGCTGCGAAGACGGAGGTGGGTGACATTTTGCTGTTGCTGCTTTTCTGTTCAGTGCTTGATTGCTGAGGAGGAATTGATGGCGTGCTCGGTATTTAAGACACAATCCGCCAAGCAGGAAAATAAATAAAGGCGGAGGTGGTGGTTTCAGGAAGCTGTGAAGGAGGGGTAGCTTCGCCGGAGATTGAACGGAGTTAGGACAGTAAAGCCGTATGATGTCAGGTATGCGGGGCACAAGTAGAATGCTACGTTGAATAAAAAACAGTTTGTTCCCAAATCTGGTAACTGATTCAGTCATGCTTGTAGACGGCTATCTCACTTCCGAGTTCCGATTTAAGCGCTAATGCAAACGTGGTGCGTCTGCTGCTTAATTCGACATGCAGCACCGTGCTTGAGACGACCTTCACGTAAAAGCAATAGATTGTTTGACACATGACAACGCATCTAATCGCCGTGGGCAATGTCAGAAATGAGATATCTCATTTTAGCTGAATTTGCTTAACCTCCACACTCTCTTGCTCCGTAAGCTCTCCGTCCATAATTCCATGGACATATGCCTCGCCAACGACGACCCAACGCCCAGCTTCTGATTGTCGTAGGACGAACGGAACGTGTGCGCCTAAGGGGATCCACAAGCAATCTCCTTCGGCAACCTCTTCGGGCCCAATGCCAACAAAGCCCGTCGACGTTCTGAACGGCTTTCTCTTGTTGAGCTTATACTGCGCGATTCCGGCGTACCTGATAGCCTCGCGACTTCTCGCTCCCCTAAGCAAATCCATATACCCCGTCTTCAGATCCTCCTGCGCGCGTATCGTCTCATAATTATGCACGAACGCCCGATCCGCGATCGGTGTCCTCCACAGCGCCTCGACAACTTTCTCCGGAGTGTCATAAACCTCAGTGGGACCGGGCAAGACGACCGACAGCGCCTCCAACCAGGAAGCGAGGGAGTGAAAGTCCTCTCCGTCCCTGTAGCTGACTTCTCCGACCGAGAACTTGTCGCCAACGCGCTCGACAGCATCGACACGGATGGCCCACAGCTTCAGCCCGCCCTGCGCGTTGAATGACGAGTCCTCAACGCTCTGTCGCAGGCCCCCTGACGCCTTGTACGCGCGGCCGGCGCCGCCCCCTCGCACGTTGAGATGCGAGTAGACGGTCAGAGGCTTGGGCAGGTGCGGCGACGCCCAGTCGGGGACCCAGGAAGGAGCATTCCCGTCTTCCGTAGCCTCATCGCTCTGCGATGTCGAAGCGGTGATGTTGCAGTGTGACAGCGCCTCAAGGCCATAGTGTTTGAGGCATGCCTTGGCCAGATGCATGCGCACGTCTCGCCATGATTTGTCGTAATCGGCGCGCACCTTCAATTCGTAGGCATCGTTAGCTAGCCCGAGTAGGGCGAAGCAGTAGTCGCGAGGGTCCGAGGCCAGCAGACGGGTGCCATCCGCATTCCCGCCAAGGAAATAAAGGAATTGGCGGAGGGGAGTATCGGTGCCGGCGAGCACCCAACTGAAGGCGGCACACGCGACATTCTGGAGCTTCGCGTCGAGGAAAGCCGCAGTGACCATGTACTCAGAGGGGGTGGACGGTCTCCGCGGCGTGACAACGACGGCATTGAGGTAGTCGCGCAGGCCGCACAGCATCCAGAAGGCCGTGTAGAAGCGGCGCCAGTCAATGCGGGCGTCGCCGCACAGAAGCGTCGCGTCTTTGGCCAACGCGACCTCCTGTAGCACCCACACACGCCGGAACCAGTCCCGGGCGAAAAGTGCCGACACGGCATCCAAAGCGCGGCAGCCGTCGGCACGCAGCAGTGCCAGTACCTCATCCAAAGCGGCTTGGATGCGGTGCGCCGACGTCTCGGGCCGCGGCGTCTCCTGGAACTGGAACAACGGCCATGAGCGCACCCAGTGCTTGGTGCGCGACGTATGCGCGATCGAGTAGACGGTTTCGAGCGTGGCTATGGCAGCGTCGCTGTCGGGCGTGCTGGGCCCCAGCCAGACAACGACGCGCGCCGCGTTCCGGTAGATCTGGTCCATCTGGCATACCTGATGCGTTCGCTCCGTAGTGTCACACTGATTGATGCAGATCGAGTCGACCCATAGCCAGGTAGGGCTCTGGCGGCGCTGTCGCAGCTCCTCGGCCAGTTGCCGCAGCGCCGCTTCCAGGTTGACCGTGACGTGGAAGGCTTTGCCATCGATCAGGATGGGCCGCGTGGTGCTTGGGTCGCCCCAGACGTACGACAGGGCGCAGTAGTCCAGCTCATCTTCGAGGCTGGCGGTCCGCAGCGTGCAGCTGATGATGGGAAGGTAGCCGGCTCCATCGGTCGACTTGGGCACCGGTTGCAGCTTGATTAGGCGGATCTCGTTGTGCCGCGGGTTCAGGGACGAGTATCGGAAGCCATCTTCTGCAGTCATCGCTCTTCTGGGGCGGCGTGGGCGATTTTAGGCTCACAGCGGAGAGCGCGGAGGGAGAGACAGGTGTTCTAACTGGCGGTGGAGTCGGGCCATGGCTCTCTCGTAAATCGGTGTGCTGCGGAGCTAGCACAGGCTGTCGGCACGCCGTGAACTGACCTTCGAAGCTGATGTAACTATATTCGTGCAATTCGTCGTGACGAGCAATTGAGCGAGCCCGGAGCAGGCAGACAGTCCGCAAGACGCGTTGTCGTCGTCCAGTCGCGTGTTCCGTGTTCCTGGCCCGTGCCGCATGCCGTTGCCGTTGCCGCCAAAAAACCACGCCAACGCCAAGCGGGCCGACCGAGCAAACAAGGGCGGGGTCGTTGAACTGACGACGGCAGGCCCAAGCTCCCTCGCAGCTTGCTTTCTCGGAAACCCGAACGCGGCCGACGATCCGAGGGTACGTAGTTTGAGGTTTGCTGACACACGACATCACCCGGTTCGCCGCCAGCACGCGAGCTTGCCCTGCTCCGCTCCACCTTCCCATCCCGCCATCCTCTCCCCAAACACCACTTCTCTTCCGTCCAATTCCTCCCGCCCTCAATCCTTCGAGCCTGTGGCCATCAATTGCCCCTCGTTGGAAGCTCAATTGACCGAAAAGAAACCAGCAACACGCCACCAACCACCACCAATGCCGTTCCTCAAATCGCTCTTCACGACGACCGCCGCAGGCGCCGCGGCCGTCGCGGGCGGCTGGAAGCTGTACACGCGCGACACGCACTTCGTGCCCTTCTCGCCGACGTCGCCGGCGTGGGCGTCGTGGGCGCCGCTGCTGAAGCAGCGCAACCCGGGCGACCACCCGCCCGTGTGCGTCGACCACGCCGTGCGCCGCGTGCCGCTGAGCGAGCTCAAGACGGACGACCTCGAGGCCCTCACGCGCGGCTTCTGCGCCGGCGTCTGGTCGGGGCTCGGCTTCGCCTACCAGCGCCGCTTCCTCGAGAAGAAGTACCGCGCCCTCGAGGGTCGCGATGACCACCTCTGGGACAGGCACGAGCTGGCCCGCAGCGACTACAAGGTCGGCACCAAGATTGCGGATCATTTCGAGGTGGTGGAACGCGCGCCGGGGAAGGTGAGGATATTGAACCCCTCCAGTCTTTCTTTACTCTCTTTCTTGTGGCTATAAAACCCATGGTCAAGGCTAACCGGAGGATGCTCCGTTTGTAGGTGGCTGTCCGTTGTGGTGACTCCCCGCTGAACGCCGGACCCAGGCCGTCGGACGGCATCTTCTCGATGGAGGTGAACAAGGACGACAAGTTTGCGACGTTCCACATGAAGAGCTTCTTCTTCAACTCCACACCCGACGGCAAAATTAAGTCGTCTTTGCCTTGGTGGTTCGAATTCCTGCACCGCGAGTACGCAAAGCTCTGGATGGAGACGAGCGTGAGGAAGCTGTTGAAGTAAAGTCTGGATGGAAAACCTGCCCCAAGAGGGGTCTGTATTTTGTGTGGTCCAAGTGTAAAAAAGCAGTTGGGCTTGAAGGGCGTCGGGACAACGATCCTGTCTTCGTAAGATATCCAGCATTGAGGATCGTTTTTTGCTTGCTCTGTTCGAATGGGAAATGTGCTTCCACTTCAAATGGTTACTCTACGGCATCCGAAGAGCTGCACTTGTCCGAGGTTGGTTAGCTGTGCTAAAACAGCGGGTATCATCACTATGGACAGTTGAGGAGTTGACAGGGAAGTAAAAGCATCGTTGGTTCGCGCGCAAAAGCATCAGATAAGAGCTCCCTTTTCTCTCAATACTTGACTATACAACGGGAGGTCGGTTCCGTATATACTAACCATTACATCGTAAATTTCGTCCGTGGAACATCTACAGAGAATCTTCCGTGTAGCAAAACCCTTGGTTTCGTCAGAAACGAGAAGTTCCATCGCTTGCCTCAGATCAAGGCACTTCCAATTCCCTCCTCTATCCGCATCATGTACCTTCACTCGACAAGATCATCTACAGACATCTCGGCGCCCCGTCTCACTTGTTCGTGACGCCATACCCACCGAAAGCCTCCATTCCCAAACCAAACTCGGCAAGCATGTCATCCCACAGGTCCCAATCCATCGGACTCGCGTCTAGTCCATTCGGCATCCATCCATCCGGCGTCCCCTGGCTCTGCGCTCCTGCAGCGCCATTCTGCGCCTCTGACGCGCGCTCGCCTGCCGCTGCCTTCTTGTCTCCCGACGATTGCTGTTGTTGCTGCTGCTGATGCGCATGCGGCAGCGACCCCGGCGGCGAGCACGAGCGCAACTCGCGCGCCTTGGACACGAGCACCTCGAGCGCCCTGAGGTCCTGCAGCTCGGGCGGCGGCCTATTCTGGCGCACGGCATCGGCGACGTAGGCATCCCAGGCCTTGGAGGCGAGGCTGGCGACGGCGAGGTGCAGGGGGTTGCGGTGGATGTCAAGGATATCCGGATGGTTCTCGAGCACCTTGTTGACGTGGAACCAGCCCTTCTCCACGTCCGGGTCCACCGGCGACGTGCGCACGCGCAGCTCCGACACTAGGTAGATGAAGCCTTCCCACTGGAAGAAGGCGTCCATGTGCCACATGAAGCGCTGCAGACTGGGGTCGCCGTGCACGAGGTTATCTAGCTCAACGATCTTGAGCGTCGTGCGGAAGAGGAAGTCTTTCTCCGACTTGGGCAGGCTCATGCCTTTATCTGAGTAGCGACGTGGGTGGTGTGCGATCAAGCGCATCACGCAGAGGGCGCAGCGCGCGACGATGGCCGAGAGGTAGTGCAGCGGTACTGAGGGGTCGCAGTGCCTAAGGAAATTTTCGTCCAGGAATTGCTCGAGCTCGTCAAGCTTCTTGTCTTTCTCCGCCAGTGCGACTTGATAGCTGGTAATGCTTGACGAGTCCTCGGGGTAAGTCCTGATGTCGAAGTATTGACCAGCGCTGGCCTTTTTCATGAACCTTCCGAAGTTGTAGCGCATGTTGCAAAAAAACATCTCGGTCGGACCATTATGCTCGACAGGAAGCTGTTTCATATCTGGGTCTAGATCGCTGTCGTTGCAATTCAGTGGAAGCTCGACATCCCAAATCTTGGACGTCAGAGAAGTGGTACCGCCTGCAAGCTCTGCAGTGCGCATATCGAGGGGCATGAGTTGCCACCAAACCCGACGGCGGATCTCGATGTCGAAGAGCGGAAGGCCCATCTTGCTTCCGTCCTGATGGAGTCCGATCCTTTGGCCCATGCGAACAGCCACCGCCGACAGGGACCAAAGCGTTTGGATGTCGTAGTAGGGGCGCATAGCTAGCTGCAATGAAAGTCAGTACCAATACCACCACTCTTCCCGGACCTAGCCGATTGGCTTCCATATGGAGTGCAAGGCCACAGGTAGTTACTTACCAGATACAGAATATAAGCCTGCAAGACAATGAGCTGCGATGACCGCAGGAACTCGGCACGGTGCAAGGCCAACTTTGTGCCGTGGTGGAACTTGGCGAGCAACTCGTTCTTACTTTCACCAAAAGTCGACTGGCACTCCTCCGGGCTCAATGAAACGATGGCGAAGGTATAAATTGCAAACATCAGAGCTTCAGTCCCTGGATCAATGGCATCCAAGTTGGTTGCTGCCTTGAGTATTTGACGCTGAACGGTAGGCGCATGCAGAAGTTTCACCAGCGGATTGACATTGTCGAGAAAAGCCTGCCACAGAAGAAAAATATGCGGCGGTTGGGGATGAAGGTTGCGCATGCTTCCAGAAGGATTCCGCACGAGTCCAAGCAAGAGCTCACTGGCGACGAGCGAGGGAGCTTCGGCGGGTAAATTTGCGGTCTGGTTGCCAGAGGGAGCATGAAGGCGCAACATGTCCCCTGGTCTCTGGAATTCGTCGGATATACCCTTCCAGAGACTGTTCTCTAGATACCTGGAACTGCCTTTCTCAAAAATGAGGCGGCCGTTTTCCTCGGGAGCGGGAGGGGCAGCAGGCGCGGTCCGGGCCGGAAGGGCCTCATGGGATGAGGTGGAGGGAGTATTGTGCAATGAGGACGGGCGAGTGGCGTTTAGAGGAGTGAAGGCCGAGGCCGGCGGCGGCAGCACGGCAGACGCGGACCTCTCGGCAGACGCAGCTTCGGGCCTTGCATCAACTCGCGCGCCGAAGCTGTTGAGAATGGATTCATAGCGGTCCAGCTTCGCGTGAAGGTCCTCATCACTGAGTTTTCTCTTCCGGCGCGGGGCAGGGTCGCGAAACTCGCAGTGAGCGCGGTAGCGCTTGCACGAGGAGCAAGGCTCTAGGCGGTCGCACTTAACCTTGCGGCGCTGGCAGCTGATACATGCATTAGGTTTAAGGGGCTGGCCAGAGTCGGAAGAGCCGGGTGTAGGAACCTGGGGCTCTGCGGGCCTCACGGGCGCGGGCGACTGGTCTAGCGGTGCTGGAGGTGTAGGCTGCAACGGAGCCTTCGGAGCGGCGCCGCTGTCGGCAGACAGCCTCGGGGACACGGGCGTGGTTGCTGCTGGATCCATGATAAGCCAAATGGCTGGAAACGGAGACTGAGACGGAGACGGAGGTCACAGGCGGGCTCGCGGGCCAATCTGTGCAGGAGGAGGAGGAGTAGAGCGGACGAGTGGTAGTCTTGAGGCTGTGGTGGGCCCGAAGCCCCGTCGGGGGCCCCGCCCGTTCCTGCCCGCTGCGGCTTCGGCGAGTCGGCGAGACATTGCCCGAGGTTTTCGGGTCCCCTCAGCCGCCCATTCTTATTTCACGCGGAACCGCTAGCCCGCCTCCCTGCGAAGGAGCCAAGCTCGCACCGTCCACCGCTAGAAAATGCTTAACAAGCGGCCCGCGCGTCACGCCTCTAAATTACCTGTGACAGCCATGGCGCTGCTGCACGCAGCCGCGGAGGTCTCGAAGTCATTGGATCGGGTTCAGCTAGACGCGCACCCCCGTCAGCGACGCCAAGGCAGCAACAAATGAAGAAACATGCCTTACCTACTCTTTCCTCTGACGTCGCCAGTGCTATTAAGCTCGACCTCCGCCCTTACTTGGCCACTGCTTTGTGTTACTCAACCACCTCCCTCCTCAAACAAAGACACCTCAGCACATCATGAGCGAGAAAGCCTCAGACACCTCAACTCACCCCTCTCAAACAGCTGGCGAGATGGAGCAGCAGCGCCAGCAGGAGAAGTCTGATGTCCAGCAAGCCTCCAAGGATGTTGAAGGCCAAAAAGAACCTGATGTCGTGTTCCCACCTGCCGCCGTTGTCGTTCCCATCCTCATCACCATATACATGGGTCTATTCCTCGTCGCTCTGGTAAGTCAGGTTCATCCCTTGGTACACTAATGCTTTCTTGACGACATTTGCTGACCGATTCGCGCCAACAGGACAGGACAATTCTAGCAACCGCAATTCCCATCATCACCGATGAATTCCATTCACTGGGAGATGTCGGCTGGTACGGTTCCGCTTACATGCTTACTGGCTGCACGACCCAGCTGATAGTGGGACGCATCTATACCTTCTACAACCAGAAGGCTGTTTACTTGACCTCGCTTTTCCTCTTCGAGGCCGGATCGGCCATCTGTGGTGCAGCTCCCAGCTCCACCGTCTTCATCGTCGGACGGGCTATCGCCGGTCTTGGTTCGGGAGGCGTGTTTACTGGTGGTGTTCTCTTGACCATACCCCTCGTTCCGCTCCAGAAACGTCCTATGATCCAAGGTCTCGGCGGAGCTCTTTTCGGAATCGCCAGTGTCGTCGGACCGCTTCTCGGAGGAGCATTCACAGACCACGTGACGTGGCGATGGTGTTTCTACATCAACCTTCCCGTTGGCGCGGTCGTGGCCGTCGTCGTCTTCTTCGTCATCAAGCAAAGCGATCCGCCAACGAACGCCACCATGAGCGGCAAGGACAAGCTCATGCAACTCGACCCGCTAGGCCAATTCTTCTTCGTGCCGGGTATGGTCTGCCTGCTCCTCGCGCTGCAATGGGGTGGCTCCACCTACAACTGGGCAAACGCACGCATCATTGTCCTCCTCATCCTCGCAATTCTCCTGCTCGCCGCTTTCGTCGTCGTGCAGGCCATCAACCGCAACAACACAGCCACCGTTGCGCCACGCATCATCAAGCAACGCACCGTCGCAGGCGCCACCTGGTTCATGTTCTGCAATGCGGCGGCCATGATGGGTTTCGTCTACTACCTGCCGATCTGGTTCCAAGCCATCAAGGGCGTCGACGCCATGTCCTCCGGCCTGATGCTGCTCCCGCTGATCCTCTCGCTCGTCGTGGCCAGCATCATCACGGGCATCCTGGTCTCGCGCATCGGCTACTACACGCCCTTCCTGATCGCGTGCTCGGTCGTGTCGGCCGTCGGCGCGGGCATGCTGACGACCTTCGAGACCGACTCGGGCCGTGGCGAGTGGATCGGCTACCAGGTGCTGTTCGGCTTCGGGCTGGGGCTGGGCATGCAGCAGGCCAACATCGCCATCCAGTGCGTGCTGCCGCGCGCCGACGTGCCCGTCGGCGTCACCGTCCTGTTCTTCGCCCAGCAGCTCGGCGGCGCCGTCTTCGTCTCCGTCTGCCAGAACGTCTTCACCAACGAGCTCGTCAACGGCGTCCGCAAGCTGGCCTCCAACGTCAGCCCGATGCAGATCGTCGGCACCGGCGCTACCGACTTGCGCAATGTGCTGAGTGAGGATGCGTTGGGGTCCGTCTTGGCGGCTTACAACGGTGCTCTCATGAAGGCCTTCACCGTGGCCTTGGCGATGACGTGTTTTAGCATATTTGGGTCAAGCTTACTCGAATGGAAGAGCGTGAAGAAGGTGAAGGATGAGGAGGCATCGGCGATGAAGGAGAAGCAGCAGAAACAGAAGGGAGTGGAGAAGGATGAGGAGAAGACCGTGGACTCGGAAGCACGGACGAGAGATGACCGCGAAGACCCTGATGTTGAGAAGAGGCAGTCATAAGTTTAATAGGCCTTTAGGCTGGATGTCAAAGCGGTTTCAGGCTTTGGTAATGGTGTGGTACTCCTCTCTTTTTTCATTGTCTAGCGTTAATACCCAGTATCTCAACTCATGAAGAAAAAGTCACTCAAAAAGCACAAATTAGATGAAGATGCTTGAGCTATGTGCTTTGTCGGGCTACCATGACAATAGCCAATATAAGGTAGAGGCTCAGAACTACCTAATAAATGATGAAAGTGTCCCCAATATACGCTCAGCACCATGTAGCCCCAACAATGAAATCAGATGGAGCTGTACAGTCTTGCCCACAGCTCACGTTTTCAAGCGGCCGAGACACGAAAAGAAGACGTTGCGGTGACCACAGTAGTCTACCATAATAGCACCGTTCACTCATCTCCGTCCTCGTTAAGACCATCGGGGCCATGACAGCCATCGGGGCCATCATCGTGGATACCGCCATCATCGTGGGTACCGCCATCATCGTGGGTACCACCATTATCATGGGTACCGCCATCGTTGTCAAAGGTACCACCACCATTGTTGAGGGTACCACCATCGTCGAGGATGCCGCCATCGCCGACGGTATGACCATCCTCAAGGTCGTCCCACAGGTCCCACGGGTTCTCGATGGCCATCTCGTTCTCCTCATCCTCGGTGTTCCAGAGATCGGCGTATGAGATAGAATCGTAGCTGTTTTTGTCAGCGAATAGTCGTGGGAGCAAGGGAAACGAATAGATACATACTGTTTGCCATTGAAAGCCTTCGCCCGGAAGTCAATCTTCTTCAACAAGCGAACCTGGTCCGCATCGCCCGGCGTGATGAGTCCACCTTGCTTAGCGAGCTTACGGATGCGCTTCCGGCCGTATGTATTGCACTTTTGCTGGTCTGGAGAAGGTTGATCAGTATCCGGACATATAAGGATGTGGCAGATGAGAGAAACTTACAAGTGCGGAGCGCTGCATCGAACTCTCCAGAAACAGTGGACTGATCGTAGGCCTCGATCACAAGGCCCTCATACCAACTGGTGCCGAACAGCTCAATGGTCCGGGCAGCGAAATCCACATCGAACCGCCACCCTGTCACAACGAGGTTGCCCTTGAAGGCTATCTTGACGAGCATCTCACAGAACTCCTTGAGTCTATCCAGACCGGAATGCCTGAGGCCCCTGTAGTGCACATTGTACACTATGTTGTGCAAGTACGAGTGAGTGAACACATGTCCCAGCTTGGTAGTCTGTTTCCAGGTGACCTGAAGACCGTCCGAGCGACGCGTCTTGCAGCTGCAGAAGAGGAGGCCAACAAACTTCCACAAGCGGCCCAAAAACTCGTTCCTGACACGATGCGAAATTGAGAGGAGACAGCAGCGATGAAAGCGTTCCAGCAAGCGGACTCTCCACTTCCTCCGAATCTGAGACTTGTAGTTGCGGCAGATGTTGGCCATGGCGCCGGGGCCGAGCGGTGGGTACTGACTGTTGTGAAGTGTACAAGAAAGGTCCATTTCTTTTGACGGGAGCATGCCTTCGATGACAAAGTCGTAGATGCGGTTCCTCAACTCACCCGGCAAGCTCTTGAACGTCTTCACGAATGCCTCCGGGTCCGCGATAGTACTGGGAAAGCGCACAGTCATTGTCTTTGCCTCGGTCACTTCAGCCAATAGCTGTTCGTTGGCGGACGGCTCCTCTTGATCGGTGTCGGGTTCAGCATTCGGCTTGACTCTCTTCGAATCATGCAGAACACTGTCACTGCTCGAAGTGCGATGGTGTTTTGGTGTCGGTGACATGGTCGCGGCGAGTCCGCTCTGAGGGTGCGCCGCAGAGTTTGGCTGGTCAAGCGAGGAGCCAGGAGCGGGTGAGGACGGCGAGCCCATGGTGACAGCCATGTCGGTGGGTTCGGAGTAGAGTGGCTCGACGAAGAGGAAGAGTGAAGGCATGTCGACTTAAATATAGGAAGTAGGAAGGCACCGCAAGCTGTTCGGCAGAAATACGGCACGTGCCCTTAGGCCTAGGCCAAAACTGGCCTTCACTCACTTCTTGGTTGTGGTGAAAGGTGGCTGTAGGCTGAGTGTCCGTGCGCCGTGCTCTCTTAACACAAAGGTATCAGCTCAGATCCCGCAAGTCCACCAAAACATACTCTTTCATTGCAAAACGACACTGATGGACTCCAGCTCCAGACGGCGGAGGGAAGCACGGAATCCCTTGGGCAAATCCTCACCGTTACCATTCATCCCCTCGTCGGCTTCTGCCGTTGTTAGGCAGGTTATCCGCGGTCAATCTCCAGCCAGGCATGATGATATGTCTCGCGGTGCGTCGACCGACACGCGAATCTTGGAACTCAAACAGAAGCGACGCCATGTCCCATAGCCGCCCATGGTTGTCTCCTTCTCCATCGAATTCTAACTCCTCAGACGACGGGACTCTCGTAGAAAGTAACATATTGACGCTGTACAATGCAACTGGCACCGGAAAGTCTTAAATCATGCGGACGGAGACTTAATTAAATATAAAGAGAAGTTTTCTATATATTATCTAACTAAAAATATAGTACTCGTTGCGAAACGGCGACTCTTAAGAATAGCTTTACTACAAATACTATCGTATACTATCGAGCTATACTATCTACTATATAAAGACGTATAGCTAGTATTTAGTAAACAGCTTATCTAGCTTATTTTACTACTAGACTAATAGCTTATCTATCTACTCGGTTTCTCTAGAGCTACTACTATAATTACTATGAATTTATATATATTATTAAATAGTACGGTTGCGGTTAGACACGCTATATAACTATATAGTAAAATATTATCTAGAGATAAAAAAAAAGAAAGAAATATTATGAAGAATTTTAATAAGAAATACTAGATTTTATTATAGTAAACTATAATCTAAAAGATTCTACTAGAAAGACGTAGAGAGAGTCTAAAAAAAAGAGAAAGGGGAGGAGAGAAGAAGAAGAGGAGGGTAGGGGAATAAAAGAAATAATCCGAGTGTTGTATCCAGGCTTTGCCTGGCTCGGGCCCCAGAATTTCTGGGGTCGCTACACAGTTCACAAGCAGCCCTGTTTCGGATACCCAGTTGAGCCAAGGGGACAGAGCAGCGGCAGCCGGTGAGCGGCAGCCGCTGTTACCAACAATGACAGGAACGCCGGACATCCTACTTAAATCCTTCTCCAGTGTATGCCACTGAAGAGTCCCACCGGTGAACTTTCCCAGCAGGAATGCTCCGGCCCAGCCGCACACGAGGTTCGAACAGGGTCGGTCTACACTCCCCAAAGTGTCCCTTGCCGTACCGTTACCGATACGACACGAGCGCGCTTTGTTGCCAGCACGGCAGTCATTAAGTTGAGGGAGCCCCCGCTGGGTCCTTTTTTATACGTTTGCCGATGCATCCTCATGGTCACCTTAGAAATGCTACCACCATGAATTGCCTTCACCGCAGCGATATAACCACCTGAGAGTCATCACTCGCGCGTAGTAGTCACTCTGACTGGACAGACACTCATTATTAAGTTGGAAGTGTTCACCCGCCCGACCAATCCACATCAGGCGCACACCTCTCATAAGATTTCTCCACCTCGCCGCGTACATATTCTATTTTTGCACGGAAGTGAGGAGGATGGGCGAGGTGAGATGCGGTGATGTTGCGGCGTGGATGGACTTTCCGAAAAGGGCAAGAAATAGTATTTAGCTCGACCGGAGTGTCGGGAAGCGGTCTCGCGCGCAAACATCGGAGAGAGCGGGAGAAGTACGGAAGCCCCACCTGCTTACCTGACGCTCAGATGGCTCACAACACGTTGCACAACCGTCAGCTCTCGGGTTCAGTACCATGGGAATCCCTATGAGGGCGCCGGGCGTGCATGCAGCAATCCCTACGCCGTGACGTCACCCGGCGCCTCTGAAACTCACTACCTTCCCGACGTGATTGCCTCCGCAACGGAAGCCGCAAAACAAACACTGCCAGCTGTCGGATGCTCCCTAAACAACTGCACTGACTGCCTTCCTTTCGCCGCTGACCCACACTCTCCTTTTTCCTCCTTTCCACTGCGCCGACCTTCTCGCATCCAACCTCTCGTTCAACCACACCTCACCACCACCACCATGGCCACCATGCAAGCACCCTCGCATCCCATGTACGACGTCATCTTCGATGTGCGCACCAAGATCGACCGCGTCAGAGCTCTCGAAGCCGACAAACAGCGCACTTCCGCCTCCTACGATGCCGCGCAGCAGAACCTCAAAGACGTCAAGAGCCGCGGCGACACTCCGACCGACGATGACATTGAGCGCGTGCACAAAGCCATGATGGAGCGCGTGAGTTACCCTTCTTCTGTTACGCTTGCGACTCAGCCCCTCATTTTGACTTCGCGCCATGTCGCTAACACATCCCTTCGAACAGACACAAACCCGGCTCGAGATCATGTCCATCATGCAAGAGATTGGCAACGAGTCCGACACCATCTTCCAGCTGCGCGACGACTACGAGAGGTACTGCAATTCTGTGCAGAAGTCGATGAAGCCAGGACAAAAGCCGCCGCCCCTGGCTTCGCAGGTTCTGAAGGAGATTGCCGATGTCATGAGCCTGCTGAAGACCGATGAATGAGCGGCATTCTTTCGGCGCCTGCACGCAGTCGAGTCTGAAGGTCATTTGCTCTACTGGCGAAACGGTATATTTCTGGGTTGGTAAGGCGTTCGGGGCATATTCTTGCTTAGGGTCCACGGGATTTGGCTCAAATCCTCCCTCTTGGTGGGCATACCTACAAGCAGACTACTTATGGCGCACAGGAGGGAAAATGGGATTTTGCACAAGGCTCGTTGTGACTGATACATAATATAGCTTCGGCCTCTGTCTTATTGAGCGCTTCAGTCTGGAGAATTCGAAGTGTGAATTGCTGCAAAAAGAGACGAACGATTCCAACAGCTGCTACCTCTGTCGTTATAATAAGCGAAGGTCTTATGTCAAGGTCTTGTGACTAGAGTCCGAGGGTTCCCAAGGGACCAAGACCTCGCTCAAGGCCACAAGAGCATTTTTTTCCGGGCTTAGCGTACCACGACATCTTGACTTCAACGAGCCACAAATACGTGTTACTCAACAATGACAGCATGAGTCCTCCGACCATTGTGCTTCGTTGCTGTATCGAACTTCCACCAGTTCGAGGGTAACCAAAGCCAACTGCCATAACCGCGAGGAAACCTGCATCGGCCGCTATATACATCCAGAGCACCACAGTCCTCTGCCATGAGACTCCGCAACTTGATTGGCAACCTCATTAAGAAAGACCGTTCGCCACCCCTCATTTCACTCCTCTTCTCGTCCTTCATCCAGTCTACTCCTCTAACTCGCGTACAGACATCAGACCCGCATCTACAGAACCAACCGGTTCCCCACCCAGATCGAGCACCTCCGCCCAATACCGCCCCAGCACCTCTGCCCAAAGCCGACCCAACAGCGTTGCCCAAGTCCGACCCAGCACCCCCATCAGCAACGCCCCGACCCGACAGAGCAAAGAAAGCATCACCACCACCACCGGCGCCAATGATCCCTACACCGCAACCCCTGCCATCTCCGCAACAACAACCACCACTGACACCATCAACACCGCACCCGAAACCCCCTTCCTCCGCACCCCATCGCCACCCCTCGTCCAACCCCCCGTAACCACTACCAACCCGATAAAGCGCATGCTGAGCATCAAAACCGGGACCCGCCCAACAGCAGCAGCAGCAGCAATGGCACGCCCACCGCCGCCGGGACCGTCCAAGACGACCGAGCGCCTCGAGAAGCAGCGCAAGACCTTCGAGCACGCCCATGCGCTGCTGGTCGGCCAGCGCGAGCGCCTGGAGCAGCTGGAGCGCACGCGCATGGACGCCGATGTCGCGCGGCTGGTCATGCGCAAGCACATGGTGCAGCAGCCGCATCCGGAGCCGTCGGGGGAGATGAGGGCGATGTATTGGGCGGCTGTGCGCGAGAATGTGAGTTTTTTTTTTCTTTTTCCGTTTCTGTTTTGGTTTGGTCTGGGGGTTTGCTGCGGCCGGAATGGCGCATGGGTGCGCTGTGGTTGTTCTTTGCTTTCAGCTACGTGGTTTGGAAGAGGATAAAGAGGGTTTCGGCTAGATGACTCTGACATTTGCTACAGAGAGCCACGTACATCGAAGCCGTCAACCGTGAGAACGAACTGGAAGTGTCGCTGCCGCTGTGCATCTCGCAGATCCGCTCGCAGCTGCGCACGCCTGCGGGCGCGACGCGCGAGGAGGCGGAATCAAGACGCGTGCGCTTGCTCGAGCTGCTGGAGGAGTTTGTGACGGAGGTAGATGCGATAAGAAAGGAGGGCGGTAGGCTTGATCCGGATGAGGTGCATTGCGGAGAGCGGTATAGGCAGCTGGAAATGGTAATTGAGGGGGTTAGGAGAACTTATTTCATGGAGTAAACTTCCAAGAGATGGAGAATCTGGCTTGGTATTCTGAGTTGACTTTTTGACGCTGGTTTAATATAGGTAAACAAAGGTGCACGTGTTCGTAGGGCGTGTTTAAGGAACAGTACTAATTAGGTCCAGATATCAATATTCCACACATACTTAATTGACCTTGAACCTGTCTTCCGTTGTGAAGTACTCAAATTTCCTTTCTCGCAAGTGCACTGACTCAGCTCCCTCTAGAATCACGCACTCCTTCTATTTTGGGATAGTACGCTGCGCCGCATCTTGGCTGCTGCCTGTGCACCGCCATTTTAAAGCCCAACCGCACGTCCGTTACGCCGAATCACCTCCACAACCGCTGAGCATGTCATTTTTCCAGAAATTGCCCGAAGAACTTCGCATCGGAGTGTTCGAACTCTGTGAACAAGATGACTTGGTCAGACTATGCCTAACTGCCCGCCACGTGCGTGCAGCTTGCGTAATACCGTCCATCTCTCGAGTCTTCGCATTCAAAATTACTTACAACACTGAAGATAGAGTATCTCTACTCCAGTATTGACTTATACTCGCCTGGATATGACGTGGACCAAACCGGGTACCGATACCACGAATTGATGCCTGCAGACCTGGCAAAAGAATCGAATACTTTGACCTATCTCAGGCAGCTATCTCTCATCAGAAGTCTACGACAAAACCCGCAGCGCAGTGTGCATGTAAAGAAACTGCGATGGACAACGATTAGAACCTCAGATGAGGTTCGTGAAAAGGAGCTGGATCTGGCAACCCAACGACTGGCGAACAATGAAATTACTCTGGAAGAGCACAAATCGATCAAACATGAGCTCCAATTCTTCGAATGCAACAGTATTTCAAAAACCGCTTGTTCCCCCCCTATGTATAACCCCGCTAACTGCAAACCAGGTACCCTTTGGAGAACCTTTTCCCTCTTCACCAAGGTCCGGTGCGTCGAACTGTTCTTCTCCAGGCAAGTCAGGCCCCGCCTCTTGAGGCAAGCAAAGCGCTGAAAGACCAAGAAACATCTTGTTCCGAGAAGCCAATGCCCCACCCCCTCACATCTTCCCTCTCGCGAGTTCGATTCTGCTATCCGGAATCACCTCCCGCTGCGTGGTAAACTCGATCCTGGACACTGGCAACCCCCACCTCCTTGAACACCTGAACCTCTCCAACCTCCAAGAATTCGCCGAACTCGACGACATCCCCCAGGACATCCCCCGCTCCGCGAAGGCCCGCATGCTCGCGTCCCAGCACCACCCCGACCTGCAAAACGCGCCCATCGCCGGGCCCATGCGCACCCACCTCACGCCCTTCATCGGCCGCTGGACGCACCTCCGCACCCTCCAAATCACCACCGCCAGCCAAAGCTCCGACATCGACCACAGCCGCTCCTACTATAGGATGCACACCGACCGTCACTGGCCGTCCGCCGCCGCCGCCACCGAAGACGCCCGCTACGCCGAGATGGCAGATCTGCTCCGCTCCGTCGCTGGAACGCTGCGCTGCTTCCGCTTCGAGCAGGGGCCGACAAACGACCTCGCTGCCGACGGCTGGGCCATCGCGCCCTCGCGGCCCTTCATGGGGTCTAGGTCGTCGCGCATTCCGCCGAGCGCGCGGCCGCCGCCGCCACGGGTGCGGCCGATGGATGCGCGGTTCGTGGAGTACCTGGTGCCGGCGATAGTGGAGAGTGAGTGGGGGAGGCTGGAGAGGATGGAGTTGTTGGGGGTCGCGGCGAGATCGAGGTATGATGATGATAGGTGGGTGTTTCCCTATGAGGATTATGAGCATAGGCCGGGGATTGTGAATACGCCGCTTGATGAGGGGACGCAGGAGGCGCTGCGTAAGGCTGTGGGTGAGAAGGCGGTGCTGGTGCTGCGGGAGAGTGCAGAGGGGTACTTTTGGATTCCGGAGTACGGCAAGTATGGGCACGGGATTCCGAAGGTGGCGGAGGGGGATGAGGAGGGGGATGATGAGTAAACTGGGGGTTGTTGGATGGTGCACTTGCGGATCTCTTGGATGAGAAGAATGATTTCTGTGGTGCGATCTGATTCATTCGATAATCTGTGGAGAGTCCTATGTGAATATACTGTGTGTTCAAATACTCCTCTAGATGTGGCAAGCGATAGATGTTACGAAGCTACTAACTGTTTATCTGCTCTCTTACACTGAGAACAACAGAGATCCGTGATTGCTAGTTGCACTTAGCCCTTTCTCTCCGTATCCTTCGGTTGCAGATGACGCGTCCCATCTATCAATGCCTGCGCAAACACTGCCCTCGTGGCCGCTTTTTCGACCGTCAGCAGGGATTGGATGGTGCAGCCCCGGGGCGACGAGATGCTCTCCCGCACGACAGCAGGATGCATTCCAAGATCCAGCATGGCACCCAACCCGTTAACCCCCTGGACAGCAATCTCCATAGCATCTGCTCTTCGAAGACCCTCAGCAACAGATCCGTCCAACAAGCCCTCGAGAGGAATTGACAAAGCCGCCAGGCACGCCGTCATCAACATGGACCCGGCGTTGACCAGCCCTTCTGCAAGCCACTTGACGCTGCCGACCTGCCCGAATATCCATTCTGTGAGTTCGGCTTCCCGTTGCGGTATGGAAGCCGACTCCGGTAGTTCCAGAATCGTCATGGATTGCCGGCATCGTGCGGCAATGTTGGGTACGGCTTTGGTGGCAATCGGTCCTCCTGCGCTTGTTTCAGGCTCCTCGTCGGCGGATAAGCAGAGTCTCTGGATCTCAGTAGAACTAAGACCCGCCAGCATGCTGATTACCAGCTTGCCTTTTAGTGCTCTCTGGACTTCCGGAACCCCGAGTACGTCTCGCGCCATGTATGGCTTGAAGCCCAGCACTACCACGTCTGCTTCTCGTATGGCCTCCACGATTTGAGAATGCAAAACGCGTACACGAGATGCATGTCTGTCGTTGTATTTTTGCTGGAGTTTTTGGGCTGAGCGTGCGCTCTGTGTGTATGCGATGAACTTGGATATCCTCGGTTTCGGTTGTGAGGCGGGTGCGTCTGGAACATCGTCTGGGAAAATCGATTCAAGTAAACCATCCAAAACGGCGCCTCCCATGTTTCCTTGGAAAAATCAGTCTGTTTGCATACATTGGATAGTTAAAATGTCCAGATGTGTGACTCACCACAGCCGATGAATGCTGCTGTCAGATCCAATTCACCCATCTTGTTTGGTTGACTCGACGAAAACGAGTATCAAGTAAGATATTTGTGGTGGCCTCGAGTTGAAGAAGTAGATAGATAATGGAATTCTCTCAAGTGTATCTGCCTATGCCATGGATATTTAAATTCTGCTATTCGGCGTGGACTTCCCGTTCCGATGTTCCCGAGCTCGGTTCTACTTTCCGGAGGGCATGGGCACCCGGACAGCGGATACATACTGAGTCATTCGCAGTCAGTGATAACGCTACCATACAAAAGAGTAACATGGAATGGACTGGCATACCGGAATCACCTGGACCTTATCCAGGTCCCAAACGCCGTGGGCAGCGTAAACGTCGCTCTTGATAATTTCCCAGACCTCATCGGCGCTCTCTGCTGCGTAGATGATCATGCTGCCTGTTTGTCGAGCAGGCTTACCCTCCACTGGATGCTGTTCATACGTTCCGCCTGAGAATTTGGTCAGAACCAGCAGATGAAGCCCGCAGTGCATCAACCGCGCCATCATGATTGAACAGCTTACCTCCTACCACAAGAGTACCGGATGCTATCTGAGGTGTGATTTGCTCATAGTGTAGCCTTTAAGAAAGCCAGAATTAAGTTTGCATGCGTAAAGCAGAAATACAGAAAGGGCAACTACAGCACTTACGGCCCAGCTATCTTGCGTTGCTCCGACACGTTCGGCTTGTCTGGCAACAGGCAGAGGAACTCTTTCTTTGGCATCTTCGCAGTGGAAAAGGTCCGCACATGGCCAAGAGGAGGGGTTCGAGCTGAAAGATATAAGTGATGAGGGTTAAGGCATGTGCGCAGGATGTTAGATTTGAGCATCATGGTGAGGGGTACGTGTCGTGTGTGTCGTGTGAAGGAACGTTTATTGTTCGGTCTATATGTAGAGGGTGCAAATTCAACCGTAGGCGCTGTCCAGTTGTATTTCCTAGCCCCATCGACGGTGCTGGGAGATGTTCCCCCGCATCGGAAGTAGATTCCGAGGTGGTATGAAAGAAGTCGGACCGGAATACCGGTGTCCGCAAATGTGTTTATACGACCTAAGTTATTCCCGGTCTTCGTTATTATTTGGAGCCTTCTTGGCACATGGAAATGGTAATGCACATGCTTAGGACAAAAGGGCTTTGGTACCTTGTAGATTCCAATTCTTACGGCACATTTTCCACACATATCTACCAACCCATAACCTGTGGCACAAAATTGCTGTCCACTTCGAGTTGCGCTGCCAGATCCAACATCTCAGTCGGCGATATCCCAATCATTCCATTTTCCAGAAACGTATCCCATCCAGAATCGACGGCATGCGCAGGGGACATTTCAGTCTGATGTTCTTGGTGTTGTGGTTCAGTGTGGGCGCTCGCAGACGGCGTCGGCGCCTCGTTACCAACAGGGCTCAGGGCCACGAGAGCGTCCTCCAATTGGCCGAGCTCCCACTTCCGCAAAGGCGCCGCTACGCTGCCCTTTGAGATCATCTTGTCTATGACATACTGAACATCTTCAGGCCATTTCTCATCCGTGAGCAGCGCAGGGTTAATGGTGCGGATTAGATAAAGAATGAAGGCGGAGGATGACGCATCTTCCAGTTGAAAGGGAAGGAAAGCTTCTGCAATAATAGTCAGCGGGATTGATATTTTACCGTACTTTACCGTACTTGTGTAACTAACCCAAAAGATCTTCATCAGCCATTATGCGAAGAGTGCGTAGTATTTTCAGTGCTGAGTCTACACACGACTGCAGAAGAGATACGACAGGCGCAGATAGCGAACTCGGTCGGCGCCTAAAGGTTTCTGCTTGTTTGATGTGTATGTGCAGGGCACACATTACCAAAGGGCGTGTGGTCAAAACGACGCACTGTAGTCGTTAGAAAGTAAAAAAAAAGCCTGAGCTGGTTGTTTCATACATGGTGGTAAGACAATATCAGACGCAGAGCCATCCTGGACGCTTTGCTGATTGATCCCTGGAAATGAGTACTGAGAAGGTCATTTATGTCCTTAGACAGTTGGGCAAGCTCCCTTAGAACTTCTTGTGTATTTGGTACAAGAGACCCGTTGAATTGCTTTCCAACTCCGTAGATACCTGTCAAATGTGTCGTCAGTCAAAGAGCATGGAGTTGTCATACGGTCCACATACCGGTCAAAATACGGGCCATGAAGCGCGAGAGTCGGACATGTAAGGTCATGTTCAATGCATCAAGAGATTCATCCATCTCTGAAGGAAGCTTTGTGGTGATGTCGGCGTCGCCGATGGAGCAAGGGGTACCTATGAGAGGCCCAAACTCGCGGTCCAGTCTATAGACGACCCAGAAGACAATGTTGCACCGACGAGAGTGTTCAATGCCTACCACCTCTTCCGGCATGTGGCGATGCCATCCTTCGACTATGCAAATACGCAATGCGTGTCCAATCTAATGCAAAATGTTGTGTTAGTAGCAGGCTTGAAGGCGGTATTGGATGACCTACATGATAGCAAGCGCCAACCCTCATGTCAAGGGACTGAAGATAGACTGCGCCTAGGGCTAACGCTTGAACTGCCTGTATGGGATCAGGTGCTAGTCCTGCAAGATCTGGCATCAAGGCCATGGCTCTGGCAGCATACTGGTAGCCCGATGGCCCCCCGCGAGACCTTTCGTTGGCAAGAGAAGCTTTCCCGAAGGCTATAATCAGGAGAAATTGAGCATACCAATGTCTCGATGACTTAGCCTTTGCTAAGGGGTCATCATAGAATTCGTGGATACTTTGAATGAACTCTGCTTCGTCAATTATGTATAAAATTGAACCCAGATAGAATTTGGCAGCGCTGAACATGAACAGGGCATAGTCCATGGGTGGCACATTGGATACATCTGGGATTTCATCATGGCCCAGGGGCGTCCAGCGTAAGCGGAAACTCTCGCCATCAAAGTGGCCGGGGTCTGGGTGAAAAATGGATTCGGGTAATCGCCATCCAAGCAGGGACAAGACGCGTCTGCAGAACGACCATGAGGAACAAGGCCCCATGTACCCTTTGGAGGCGAGGGTTAGTAAAAAGTCAAGGTAACACTGTCAGAAGCATTTACTTACAAAACCTCCCGCCTCTCTCAGCGAAGGTATAGTCGTTATCGGCTAAGGGATTCTGCCGGAAATTTGTGCCGAAATCGCTCTCGTGTCCCTCCGTTACGGAGAATTGGGATAGAAGGTGTCGAGTTGTGGGGAAATGGGTAGGTAGGTCTAGATCAGCGTTGTACAAATCAGCACGTGCCTAGAAACAATGATCATATGAAGCCTCACCCGCTTCTGTGTCTTCCTCCGAGACAGCACATCGCGTCGGATTACCGGATTGTGCTGACAGCAAGCTGTTTGATGCAACCTGACTAGCCTCTGGTGCAGGGTTTTGACAGAATATTTCTGAGCTCGTACTCGGGACCGGGGACAGAATTTGGTTGTTCCGGCTTTCCAGCTCCCGAAGGTAACTGCGTAGTATAGCTCTTTAGCTTTCCGGGCTCCATCTCGATACCGTTCCGAATTACTTGGCTAATTACCTCTCCGAAACGGATACGCGCTTGACTTCGGCCGCATAGTGGCACCGCTCATTCTTCCGAGCACATCTGGAACACGGTTGCGAACCGGAACACTTCACCTTCATCACCCGACATCTGTCGCAGCTTTGTGGTGTCAGCAGATGAGGTTATTAAAGTAGGTATGACCTCCCATACGCTTTTGAAATCTTCTTTCTCACCCTGCCTTGATGCGCCGAAGTGGGCATAGTGATCAATGCTTCCGCAGTTGAACTGACGGCTACGAAGAATGCCAAAGGGTCGGGGCAGCGTTCCGACTTTAAGTTCGACTATCATGTCAAGTCCAATCACGAATGGCCAATAGTAGCAGGATAGTGCTGTCGTATCAAGATGTACTAGGGCGTAGTTCTCCACAGGTCTTATCTATTACCCCGCATTTTTGATGCAGCAGACCTCAGTTCGGCGATACCTATATTCCTCATTGCTTGACTTTCCCACCTTGCGGTACAATCACGAGTCTGCGGACCAAAGAAATAGACCGATGCATCCGAGCATTGTCGGGAAAATGAAGGTAAGAAATGTGACTTAGATGAGGTGGTCGATTTCTGTGTGGAAGTTTATCAGCAGGTAGGTGGTAAAGTGGACTAAGCGAGCGTCGGACCAGCGCTCCGATGTCGCCATTCCGCGAGGAGTCGATGTAGAAAACATTGACAGAGATCCATCCGAGTATAGACTCAGACAGTTCAAGTGAAAGCCGATAAAGAGTTGTCCGGAGATCACTCACACGTCACTTTAGTATATCGTTGCGGCTCCATGTCCGATAGTGGCCCGCGTCCACGATGCCGCAATGGACGGGATCGCGTTCCGGGCTTGCGGCATTGCATCCCGCACACGCTTCTTACCCGGCTATCGTCGGCGAATGATTCCAACAACATTGTGTGAATATTAATCAACAAGGCCAGAGCAAGATATGCTCTGACAAAGTCCCACGGACGCTATTCACTGATCAATTCTCGTCATGGCAGCACGCGGGATCTTTTCCCGCCTTCAATATACTCGAAGGTGAGTGTGAATGTAGCCTTAAAAGAATTTCCTTCTGAGTAAACAACCAGATGTCTCTCGCATTTCCAACTACACAGAGGAATTTCATCTTCAGTCAAAATGGATTCTGCCACAGCAGAAGCAACCAAAACCGCACAAGCCCAATACAAAATCGTCGACAAAGTCCACAACTTCGAAAAAGTCCTCGCCCACCGCCCCGACTTCGACCACTCCAACGCCCCCATCGAAGTAACCAAGAACCCTGATCCGGACTGGCACTACGGTAAAGGCGTCGCCGGCCACGACCCACACGTTAAACACATCGAAGTCGACCCGTACGCCCCCGACCGGCCCACGGTCAACAACTACCGCCTCCTCATCTCGGGCATCGCGCCGCGTCCCATCGGCTTCATCAGCACCGTATCCGGCGACAGCAGCGTGACTAAAAACCTATCGCCATTCAGCTACTTCCAGGTCATCGACCACGACCCACCCATGTTCATCGTCGGCTTCTCCGCGCGGCCCGGCTGCGAGAAAGACACGTACCGCAACCTCAAAGAGACGGGCGAGTGCGTCATCAACGCCGTGTCGGAGAACATGGTCGAGGCCGTCAACGCGACCGCCATCGACGCGCCGTACGGCGTGTCCGAGTGGGATATTTCCGGGTTGCACGAGGCGCCGGCGTCGACGGTGCGGCCGGCGCGGGTGCGGGAGTCGGTGTTTAGCGTCGAGGGCAAGGTGGTTGATGTTAAGGAGTTTCGGGATCATCAGCGGGAGGGCATGAGTGTGGCGGGGATGGTGTTGATTAAGGCGACGCGGTTCTGGGTGCGCGAGGATGCGGCGGATAAGGATGTGAGCCATATTGATATCAATAAGTTGAGGCCGCTTGGGCAGCTGGGTGGCATGGCGTATGGGCGGATTACGTCGACTTTTGAGCTGCCGAGGAAGCATTGGGGGGATGAGTGTTCGAAGAGTGAGTTTCTTTCTGCTTTGGATAAGGCGAGGGAGGATATGTAGATATATACTGTAGACAAATACCTCCACTTCTACCAATCAAGAAAATCAGTTTCAAATATAGCGGTCATTAAGCTCACATAACCACTGCGTTCGTGGTGTGGTAAGCTCTGCCTTTAATACCAGCGCCGCGAAGAAAGCTTGATTGGAAGCCCAGTCTTTTCATATCGAATGGTCATGTAGACGAATGGTTTAAGAATTCTGAGCATTGAAGTACGAACGCACAACCCAGAAGAGCCAGAAGAGCTTGAAAGAGAGTCATTCACCGCAACTACTTTCTGCGGCTGTCTATTCCTTCCTTCCTACTCCCCATATCCTTCGCCAGAGCTCTTCCCTCAGCGCAGCTACCATATGCTTTGTCCTCTCCACCGCTCCTCGATTCTCGATGGCTCGACGATGTAGAAAGCCCATGCATTCCCCAACTGACCCCCAAGTCAGACATTTGAACGCCTTCGGTGCTCTCGCTTTCTCCGCGGAAGCATCTGCCAAACATCTCTCATAATTGGAGATCAACTCGCACCCCAGCTCATCCGCCATCCCGACAATTTGACCACACTCCATCGACGTTGTTGGCAATCCCGCAATGAGGCGGGCGCGATGCATAGCACATGCCTTGGACACGCTCGCAGCATTGTGAGTAGCCAAGAATAGGGCTGAGCTGGGGAAACTCAGACCCCGTGCCTGAGCCTCAGGGGGGAGTTTCTGGCTGATGAGTTTCTCCGCAATAGCATCGTAGGACCGATCCGTGTCCTCCTTGGTGTCGTGAATCAAGGAGCGGACTTCGTGCTCGATGTAAGCTCCGCGCACGAGCTTGATACCCAGAGTCCATTCCTCCGCGGCTGCCAAGGAGATGTGGCGGTCGACGTTGGCGTTGGAGCCCTTCAGATAGCCCTGAATAGTGTTGTAGACCAGCGCTTGTCCGTTTTTATTCCAGCGTCGCATGAGCTCGATGACCCACTCGTCGATGCCGCGCTGGAGGACTTGTTGCTCCCCGTCGACCCACACCCGAGAGCCTTGTTTGCGCGCTTCTTCACAGATCTGGGTGAGCGCGTGGTCTACCGCATCTGGCATTGGTTTTTGAGAGCGCAGTGCATCTACTGCCATTGGTCCCGCGCCGGTGAGTCTAAAAGCGTGGAATTGGTCAGAAAAAGGGACATGGGAAGTTGGTGGAGTATGAGTGGGGAACTCACTTCAAAGCAAGAAAATCTCCTGGACCGACCATGCGCAGTGTCTCCATGGAACTGTGCTTCCATCTTTCGACCAATTCATGGTATTGTGAATTTTGTACTGGCCCCGCTCCAGCCGTCAGAGTCCGCTGAGACTCGTCAAGAACGATCTCCTTGGCGTGGGTGAGGATGACGCCCTGGTATCCTATGCTCTTGAGAGTCGCCACCGACTTTCGAACCTCTCTAGGATTGGTACCAGAGCAGAATTGGTCGTAAATGGTCCATTTCAGAAGCCGGTTGATAAGGGGGTTCTTATCTGGATTGAGGAACGCAGACTTGGAGCCAGTCATGACACCCAGGAAAGCTATCGAAGGCTTCAGAAGCCATTTTGAAGACATGAGAGATGTGAATGCCAAAGATCGGAGGAGAACTGTTGTTGGCAGCCTTGACATAGCGGTGACCTCCTTGCGTTCATGAGCGTGGTACACGGTTGTTGTTGCCGCACTGCTGACACGCCGCAAGCCATGGGACTTCGTGGATCTGGTGCGGAGGACTGTTGATAATGCCATCTTTCCGGGCTGTTTAAATTGACCGCATAACATGGTTCCAGTGAACTGGAGTTCATATATTCAAGCAAGGCATATGGTACACAAATATATCCGTCAGCAGTAATTGAGAAGAGCGGTCCCATCTTCCTGACTACCGGAAGGGCGTTCCGATAGTGTTTCTTATCTGTTACCATGCTTGGCTGTCCTCTATCAAGATGCCCAACTCAAAAAGCAGGGAATCACGTGCGAGTCCGGAGCGTGAGGGGTACGGGAGGGGGGCTTATCGGACAACGCGAATCTGCGAACTGATACTCGGATGGCAACTACGATAAGCTAGCTATGCTACCCGGAATTGGGAAATGCTATCAGAGATAATGCAAAGGTAGCTTGCCCTCGGTGGGGGACTTCCGGAAAGTCGGACACATCCGCCGGCGCTGCATCAGGACAGTGGGGGTCGGAATTTCGACCCGAAGAATCATGCTCATGTTAAAGATTTAATAGGACTGACTGTAAGCTATTCGGTACATTCTCTAGTTAGAGCAAAAGGGGCGATCAACTCTATTCTATCATGAAATCGTTCTCCTTGCCAAGCCGCGTCAGTGCCACTCGCTCACGGGCCAGGTTTCCCAGCAATGTCACTGCTATTCACCCATTGCGCAGGGCTCTAAGTCTATGGCATCCCCCAAAGTTTGAAAATGAGAAGCTGGTATGTTATGCCACTGCAGCTCGAAATGCCTCAACCTTTTGCTTTTATCTTTTGACCATATTTGCAGCTTGACTACCGGAAAAACTCCCCAGAAAGAGCCGAGCTCACAGCATCCTTGAGGAAGCTGAAAGGGCAGCTGCCAGTGGATGTTCCTATCAAGATAAACGGTGTCAATGTATGGCCCAATCTCCCAATATATCATTTGTAGCTCCATGCTGACTTTGTGGCAAGGTCGAGACACACCAATCCCGCAAGCAGAAAAATCCTTCAAAGCATGACGAGATTGTAGCAAACTACGCTACAGCGACGCCGCAACAGGCCAACGAAGCAGTAGATGCAGCACTGAAAGCCAAGCCAGCCTGGGAAGCCATGCCTTTTGAAGATCGCGCCGCAATCTTTCTCCGCGCGTGCGAGTTGATATCGGGAAAGTATCGCTCAGACATTGTGGCGGCTACGATGCTGGGACAGGGCAAGAACATCTGGCAGGCTGAGATCGACGCCGCCGCCGAAACCGTCGACTTCTTCAAGTACTACATACAAGAGGCCTGGCAGCTCTATTCGCAACAACCCAAAGTCCAATCCGACAGTGACTGGAACAAGCTGGAGTACCGTCCCCTCGAGGGTTTTGTCTATGCCATTGCCCCGTTCAACTTCACGGCCCTCGGTGCTACCCTGATCGGCCCAGCGGCACTGCTCGGAAATGTAGTCATCTGGAAGCCGTCCGACTACGCATTGCATGCAAGTTGGCTTCTCCATCAGATCCTCATCGAAGCCGGCCTGCCGAAGGATGTCATTCAGTTTCTCCCCGGAGACGCGGAGGAGGTAACCAACTCTATTCTCAAGCGGCCCGAATTCGGTGCTCTGAGTTATATCGGATCGACCCAAGTCTTCAAGGGCCTGCAAAAGAAGATCGGCAATGCCATCGGCGATGGAGTCTACAACTCCTACCCCCGCGTGATCGGCGAAACGGGCGGCAAGAACTGGGGAATCGTTCATCCTTCCGCAGACATCCGAAATGCTGCTCTGAACACCATTCGCGCTTCGTTTGAGTACCAGGGGCAGAAGTGCTCAGCAAACTCCAGAGTATACGTCGCCGAGTCCGCCTGGCCTGAGTTCAAGCAAATCCTGCAGGAACAAATCCCGCAGCTAAAGGTCGGCAGTGTCGAGGACTACAGCAATTTCATCACGCCGGTCATCCACGAACAAGCGTTTGACCGGTTGAACAAGGTCATCGAGGATGCGAAGCACGATCCAGAGCTGGAGCTGATTGTCGGTGGCAAGGCATCCAAGGACGAGGGCTACTTTGTGCACCCCACCATCTACCGCACCAGCAATCCCCGGCATGACATCATGTCTCGCGAGCTCTTTGGTCCGATCTTGGCCATCTATGTGTACCCAGACAGCGAGTGGAAGCAGACGTTGGAGACGCTGAACACCACGTCTCGTTATGCTCTCACTGGTAGCATTTTCGCCAAAGATCCGTACGCTTTGCGCGAGGCCATGACCGAACTGAAGCATGCGGCTGGAATGCTGTACCTTAACACCAAGTGCACTGGTTCCGTTGTGGCTCAACAGCCTTTTGGTGGTAGCAGGGACTCCGGTACGAATGACAAGACGGGCACGATGGCTCATCTGCAGCGCTTCACGAGCGTGAGAACCATCAAAGAGGATTTCAAGCCACTAGAAGTAGTGCAGTATCCTTCGAATGAGGTGTGATGATTAATCAATGTTCGCCACGTCGATATATAGAGAATAAGCGTAGCACAAAGTGTTGGTGTTTCTTTGAATGATAAAAGAAAAAAACCCGAACTGACAAGAGGAGTGCTTCATACTTCTTGGTGCGGTCTGGAGTTGTTTCCTCACTATTGTTTTAGTTCCAACGAATACAGATCTTCCGTGTTTACTGGTCTCTGCAACTGGGTGGTTCTTGAGCCCTCAACCATTCGGGATACCGTCCCTGTCTAAGCTAATTGTGGTCTACTCAGCCCCACTGGAACGTCGACAGCGAAGCAGAGATCAAACAATTGCTCCTCCAAGAGGACTTGTTAAGTCGCTTCGGTTTGTTGTGCAATCTAGATAAACTAGGTTGAAGTGAAGACATAGCTAAAGCTTTAGAGACACTGAAGGGGAGGAGGGCCTACATACTAGCACCTGCCCTACAATCGTTACATTCTTTCGTAAAAGGAATATTAGATGCTTAAAACACGTATTCGAAAGTGATACCGGTTTTTTAATGGATCCTCTGCGCCATCACACCCATGGTAGCACCCTGAGCAAAAGAACCGTCATAAAAGGGAGCCATGTGCGCGTCTGATTCTCCCTATACACCAAACTCTAGTAAGCCCGCAATGCCGTTTCTCTGCGGCCCATCCCGCAAACCAGACGAGGACCATGCCGCCACCACACCACAAAAAACCTCTACCACTCCATCCTCCCTACACATAACCTCTACCGCACCTTCCTCCCCACACGAAACCTCCACCACTCCTCCCTGCCAGGTCACCGACAGCACGACAGACGACGCATCCATTTCCGTCCCCTCCCATGACGCCTTGCCCAGCATCCTCCACCGCCTTCCCTTGGATCTACTCTACTACCTGACCACCCATCACCTCTCCGCCGACGCCGCCGACGTCCTCGCCCTCAGCGCCACCAGCCGCGCCTTCCGCACCCCGCTGCTCCTCATCCCCACCACCGGACCGCCGACGGAATCATCCATCCGTGCGTCCCGCAGCTTCCTCAAGCGCCTAAACTACGACCGCTTCACGCGCGCCTGCGCCGCAGAGCGGCTAGAACACCAGCAGCAGCAGCAGGCCAACAACAACAACAACAGCGAGCAGCAGCAGCGCCCCTGCTCCGCATGCGTCGACGCGCACCCGCCGTCCCTCTTCTCCTCCGCACAACTGGCCCGCACGCCCGAGCAGCGGCGCTGCAAAGGCGCCGAGGGCATCTTGCGCATGTGTCGGCACAAGGCCTTCACGTACGACAAGGTGGCGAGGGCGATGGCGGCGGCGGCGTCGAACCGAGAGCTGTCGTCGATGCGGTCGTGGTTCCTGTCGCGGTGGCAGTGCCATCACTGCGAAGTCGAAGCATACATCAACGCAGACGACAGTAGTGGCCACCGCAGGAAGCTGATCTGGCCGCGGGCCGCCGAGCTGGTCATCTACAGCGGCCGCGGGACCGAGAGGCTCTTCGGTCCGCGGGCGCAGCTGAGGGTCGTCGTCGCGGTGGGCGAGGTGCGGCGCGGCGAGAGCCTGACGCTGGAGCGCGTCATGGGCGTGCTGGCGGCAATCGAGGAGGAGGAGGAGTCCGGGGGCGTGTTCGTGTGTAGGCACGTCAAGTTTGGGGACCCGCGCACGTTTCGGACGAGGCCGTGGAACTTGGGCGACCCGGGCATGTCCAGGGATGGGCAGATTCTGATTTCTAGCCACGAGTGTCTCGAGCCCAGCTGCCACATGATGGCTTGCTTGTACTGGAAGAGGTCAAGGCTTTTTGCGGGCGCCGCTCCGGATGAGCCTGTTGTGGAGTTGGAAATAACCCGCCGTTTGGGGTACATGCTGTCGCCCAGCAGTGAGTGGTGGCTGGCTCAGATTGAGGAGGAGGGGTGATGACGGTGTTGTTAACTTTTTGTTGAATAATTCTCTACGCTATTACACCCATGGTAGAACTTTGGACCCTGAACCGGATGGCCTTTATAACGAGCAACGTATCCTTCTTCTTATTCTTCCTCAACAGCGCCCTCTATTAAGCCCGCCATGTCATTTCTGTGCGGCTTGTCTCCCTTCGCACGGCGTCCTTGTAAAAAACGATGCCCAAAACCAGACAAGGGCCATGCCATTTATAGCAAGATAGACGCAGCCTCCTCTCACAACCTCGAGCATAGCATCCTCCACCGCCTCCCCTTAGAACTACTCTACTACATGGCAAAACACCATCTCGGCGACGACACTGTCGATATCCTCTCCCTACGCGCCACCAGCCGCGCTTTCCGCATCCCCTTCATTTCCGTAGAGTCGCAATTCATCGACGATTGGGCAGCATACCGGTTTAGCCTGCGCCTACGCGAGGACCGCTTCACGCGTACCTGCGCCGCAGAGGAGCAGTGGCAGCAACAACGATCGGCATCACGGCTACTACGGTACTTGATCGGCAGCAGCAGCAGCAGCAATAATCAACAGAAGAAAGATAAACGCCCCCAGCAGCGAGCCTGCGCCAGATGCCGCGACACGCATCCGCGCTGGCGCTTCTCCGCCGCACAGCTGGCGCGAGCGCCGACCGAGCGTCGGTGCAAGGTGATCAGAAGCATATGTCCACACTGGATGGTTAGGTACGAGATAAATAAGAGTGGTCGTCGTCGTGTCACGAGACAGGGCGTGCTGGTGCGGTTGTTGATGTGGTCGCAGTGCCCCATGTGCGACTCGCGCGCCGAGCAGCAGGAACTGGAATGGTTGGCTGCGGGCTTCCCGCCCTGGTCATATACTATCTTCTCTGCATCAGCCGGCTCGATCTATCCGCACGTCCATCAGCTACTACCTTGATGCGTTTGGGCGTCTTCCAAATCAATGAATCAGTAATTTTACCTTTCTTAGTCACCCGCGATCTCGCCAATTCGTAAAGCTATAATAATAAAATGCCAGTGGACGTGCCGGTGGATCGAGCCGGCCGAGGAGATGAAGGTTTCGGCGACGTTCAGATTCAGACCTCTGAGAAGGGATAAATATTGTAGATGGGATGGATCGAGCGTAGGGTCGTCTCCGAAAACAGAACTGAAGACGTCGAACGTTTAAAACACCGAGCCAAGGCCAACGAGAGCGAGACAATCCTGACCGAGCGCATGACGAGCTGGCCATTCACACTCTATAGAGGTCTAAAGAACCAAGAGTCTACGGTGAAAGCGTCAGGGGAGCATGATTCGCGCGCTCGTGGCTGGCAGGAGATAGGAACGAAAGTCATGACAATGAAGTATAGCAACAGAACCGGAGAGTTGGAGCTCTTGTCTGGATGGACGCTCCAACTGCCTCTTTGTTGAATACTGATAGAACTGGCTTCGTGAGAAAGGAGAAGAAAAATCCATAAACCCAAACGCCAGCACCAATTGGGAGACTCACCCAATTCCAACATCAGGGCAAACAGGAAGAACCACGAGCTTTCGCTTTTCTTAGACGCCATTTATAGGTGCATGGCAGTCGAAGGCCAGCGCGTATAAGGGCAGGGCCTGGGAGCAATATGGAACTACGGCATCCCATAATAGATGACTTAACCATCTTTCTATGGTAGTGATTGCAAAGTGACAATAAGGTTGCAGGCGATTTGAACTTAAACCGGAAACCATGCAAAACTTGCAGTCCCTGTGCAGCTCGACTCCATGTGAATACTCATTAATATGCTCCTTCGTGCACCCTTAAAATGCTCTCCTGTGGTATGCTCGGTTCTAACGATGCAAGAAACACAAAGCTCAAGCACATTCTCCCCAGCTAACCTTCCGTTCCCCCAAAGACACCGCGGATACCTCTACCCACTCACCAAATCGCCTCCCCATCCCTCCATCATTCTCAAACCCCGCATGCATGACCATCACAAACGCCGCACCGAAAAAAAAAAGCCAGAGTCCAATCCTTTCCTGACTTCACTCCGAGATAAGAATACAAGGTCTGAACCAGAACCAGAACCAAACACCCTTGCTCCCGCCCGCTTCCTCTCCACGTCCCTTCATCACATCACAGACATCCCAATCATTTCCTCGGCAAATCCCTAAACACCCTCTTGAAAATACCCTTACTCTTATACAAGTTCACCAACCGCAGCCTCTCGTTATCCAAATGCGCGCTATCGCTCGCCTGCCCACACGGCAGATGCGCAGCCGGCGCGTCAAACTCCTTCTCCAAGAACCGGATGCTCGGGATACTACCGCCCTCGCGGATGTACAGCGGCTTGAGCGGCTGCTTCCAGACGGTGGGGTCGTCGCTGGTCTTCTCGGCGGGAGGCGTCACACTGCCGTTAGCGAGCGTCGACGACGTCGTCGGGGAGCGAGGGTTATTTCCGGCATCGAAATAACCACCATTGCCCTGACCATTGGACGCAGACGACGCCGTCTGGGGACGGAGGTTCGACGACAGCGTAGCAACGGAGCTGCGGCGGCGCTCCTGGACGGGCTTCCACTCGTCCGTGATGGCGGCCTCGAGCGTCTTGTAGATCTCGTTGCCAAAGTCGCCGAGCCACGGCTCCGCAAGGTGGTCGATGGTGACGGTGAGCTTGTTCTTGCTCTCGATCTGGGCGAACTCGGCGTTCAGGTGGTCCGTGAGGGCCGCCGCGACCTGTGTCGCTTCCTGGTTCGGCACCAGGCGGATGGACAGGGAGGCGCGGGCGAGGCGGGGGATGATGGTCGAGTTTTCGGGGCCCGACGTGTGGAAGCGGTGGATGGTCAGCGAGGGCTCGCGCCAGCGGCGGATGAGCGAGTTGACCAGGTCCTCCGGGTCGCCCAGGTCCGGGTTGCGCGAGATGAGCGAGTGGCCGATTTCGTCGTACAGCTGCTTCTCCTCGGGGCTGAGGGGCGGGATGGGGTCGTAGAAGCCAGGGATCTCAATCCGGCCGTGGGGCCCCGTCAGCTTCGCGAGCAGCATAATCAGGTCTTTCAAGGACTCGTCGAGAAGCGAGCTGCCGTCGACGCCGCTGTGGAGGTCCGGGTGGGGGCTCTCGATTTGGACGGTTGCATGAATCACCCCACGTAAACCGTATGTTAAGCATGGCGCATGGTCGTCGAGCCAATAGCTGTTAGCGAGAAGAATCCAATCGACGTCACCGATGAGCTCTTTGTTGCGCTGTACAGCTTCGGGGAAGCCGCGAGAACCGGACTCTTCCTCGCCCTCAATCAGGAAGATGATGTCAGACTCCAGGGCCTGCTCCTCTAACAACTCAGCTACTGCGAAAATGGCGGCCATGATGGGACCCTTGTTATCCGATGTGCCGCGGCCGTAGAGGTAGCCGTCAATGCCCTCCATGGAAAATGGATCTACAATCCATTTGCTGTCTTCGTTCTCAGCTGCAATCACATCGTAGTGGCCGTAGAATAGAATCTTCTTCCTGTCGCTGGACGTAGCAGGATTGCCCCTGAATTTTGCGAATATCACAGGATTGTAGGGTTCTTCGGTGTTGAGCATCTCGGTAGCAGCTCCGAAATTCTTGAAAACGGACCGGAGGTAGGAGGCGCCTCTTCTGCAGTCCACCTTGTACCGTGGGTTCGAAGAAACGGTGCGGTAAGATACAAACCGCTTGAGAAACTCGAAAAGTTGCTCTACATGAAATCAGATTAGAACATCCAGAAGCGCCGGATTGCTTACCATTGCTAGTTGCTGTAGATTTTGGTGGGATGACCTGGCAATCCCGCACATCCCAGACGGCAATGGTGGCATCGTTGCCGCCAGTAACGTAGACGGGTCTGTTGTTGAAGGTGCCAAATGCTGAGGCAAGAACGAGGCCATCGTGAGCCTCGAATCTGCCAACCGGTTCGTATTGGCGGTTGAATTTCTACGATACGTCAGCGCAACAGCCTCAATCACTGCGGATGGACGTCCACGCACCTGCACAAAACCACGATCTCCCGCACCGAAAAGGAAGCCTCCGCCAATGGTGATGGTCAAGACGTCACCAACGTTTGTCTTGAGGCTGCGCACAAGCTGCTTCGTCTCAAGATCCCACACATTGATCTCGCCATCCGGACGGCCACCATACAAGAAAGTGCCATCCAAGACCATTGATTGGACGGCATTGCCTTCTTCTCTGCCATCATCAAGGGCATGCAGTTCCTGGATAGCGCCTCCGTTGTCCTGGTCCAGCCTCCACAATTTGATAACTCCGTCCCCGCCACCCGAAATCAAGATTTCTTTGTCCGCGTAACCAGCCACCGAGCCACTTGCTAGTAGCGTGCAATATACGTAGCCGTAGTGGGCGAATTGGCGAATGTACTGTTGATCAATTTCCAATTCCTGACCGCCCTTTGCGTCGCGCGGCGCATCCGTGCATTCTGGCCTTGGAGTCCTTATGCCACCTGGGCCGAGCGAATCGAAGAAGCGGTCTTCGCGGAAGGAGGGGTGGGCAGTCGGCTTGGGTGGCGGGCGCCGGTCCTTCTCGTTCAGGTTGTACCATTGGATGCTGGTGTTTTGCGCGCCCAGGTAGACGGTGCGCAGGGCGCACGAGTAGGAAACGCAGAAGACATCGCCAATGTCGTAGGCGGAGTAGATGGAGTACTCGCGGGCGAAGGTGCGGGTGTTCCAGACCTGTGTGGGAGGTGAGTCACTGCTGTGGGAGAGCACACAAGGGCTAGATGGCTGCACGAACGTTCACAATGCGGTCGCCGGCGCTGGAGAACAGCAATTGTTGGTCCTGCGAGAGGCAAAGCCCTAGTACACTGCCGCGGTGGCCCTCGATGATGGCGACGCGGGTGTAGGTCTCGAGGCCGTAGACCAGAATCTCACCGCCCTCGGTGCCGGCGAAGATGTAATCAGCAGAGACTACAAGGGCAAGGATGCTGTTGTCATGTCTCATGCGATGGAAGAGGCCCGGGGCTTGGAACTGCTTCGGAGGAGAAGCCATTTCGATGGTTCCGTCAAGCGCCATTTCGGGCTCATCGTGTGCTGGGCGGGTGGTGTCAGCGGCGCGTTGCGGAAATAGGAGCGGTGTGCTTGAAACGTCCTTCTGCCGCTTCTCTGGAGCTTCGGTGGGCCCAAAAACCCCACAAGGCGCGTCGGGGGATCTGAGGAGGAAAAGACGGTGATGCCAACTCGGGCCGATCCACGCCAGACTTACCCGCTGAGCTGCCTGCCTCCGCCTCCAGCTGCTGCTCTGTCGCCTCATGTCGCCCCAGGCGGCGCGAGCCTACGCCGCACATGGTCCCAGCCTTGGCCTGGAAAGAAAACGCGCTTCGCCCAACCGAGCTGCACCCGGCAAAGTCCACCGATTCGATCAAATCCGGCCTCCACTGTGGCGGGCGGCACCTTGCGAGCGGGACGTTCCCTCGCGCTCGCTCGGGGGAGCTCTGACTGTTTGTATAGTGCGCGCGCTCATGCCTCTGCTCCCTTTTCCCAGCTGTCGCGATCGCTGACGTATCATACGCCATTACCCTAGCGGTCGCGGTTCTGAAGGCTTATTACACGATGACGATATCGCTCCGGGCGATGGCGGCATGGACTCAGTTTTTGGTGGCCTGGGGAGCGGCCTGAGGAACGGCTCCTGGTTGACCCTGAGCCCGCCATGATCTGCGCTATGAGCTGTTATCGCCTGCAGGTACACGCACAGTCCCGCCCTTGCCAGAGAGCGGAGTAACAAGTTGCACAGCGGGCGCGAGCAGGACGCCATCTTCACGCCGGCAGCGTCATAATAGCCCGGTCCAGCTGAGGGCCGCAGTGCCACGACGATGAGCTGGCGAGCTTCCCCTCACGGCTGCGGCTGGCGGAGTGCCTAAACAGGCACAAACACCTATAAGTATGCGGAGATGATGCGCCGTTGGTGAGGGGATTATATGTATGACTTGGCCCGATTGGCCTCGCACGCCCACGATCCCGCAACCCTTGGGGGCTTTTACGGCCCGGCGATGCATGCTTGGGTGCCGATGCAGCAACAGGCTGTTCTAGTCGCGCCGAGAATGTCGTACGTATGCGCAATCTCAGCGCGGGGGAGGCCATTGGCGGTTGGAATGAGAGGGAGGTTTGACGTGCGTAGCCAGAACAGTCTGAGACATGGAGCAGCAAATGGGAAGCAACGAGGCATGCGTCCGGTATCTTGCGGGCTGCAGAGGCAGGATGCGGCTCTCGCAGCCAAACAGCTGACCATGACGCTGAGAGGCAGCGTCATCCTTGCTAATCAAACAAAAAAGTCCGCCTATGGTCTCGCACCGACTGCAGAGGCACCAGCGCTGCGCCGTTGCCAGGCGGCCGTCGCACGCCGAACGTGGCTGTGGCGTGGCTGTTGACGGGAGTCTCAGACCAGCAGCCGCGACCCAGAGGCAGCAGGCGAAAGCGGCGGAAGGCAAGCCGAGCGCGTCGCAAAACACAGCTTACCCGGGCAGGTGGTGAGACTGCGTTGGGTGCCGCTTATCCCGCACCTTGGGCGTTGAGCAGGGCGGCGCTGCAGACTGACATCAAGCACGAGATCGCGGTGCAGCCATCTCATGCAGCTCTGCGAGGCTGGGACACGTCCAATGTCACAGTGCAGACCGCGACTCCGGCGTAGGGGGAAGGGGGCACGGATGCTAGAGGCAGATCTCCCAAGCGCCGGCCGCAGGCGAACCCAGTTGGCCGCTGGCAGCGTGCCACGATTTGTTGGCGACTCACACCGACTGCTCATTCGCACCCTTCTGCCGCCCTTCCCCGGCCCTGGGTGCCTGCACGCCCGCCCTCCGGCGCGCGATAGCCAGGGCCGCATTACGCCCGGCCCACCCTCTTAACCTGACCTTCGGCGCCTGCTCGCTCTTCCCAGCCGCCATGCAAATCCCGTGAAGTACCTGCGATCCTCAAGTATAGCAGGCCTGTGCCTTTATCCTCCCCAAGCCGCTCTTCTTCTCATTCCTACAAGAACGCCGCTGGTCTGCGTTCGCCCTCTGGTCTTGGTTTTCCTGCACCTACGGTGGAGTCCACGCGCACAACCCTGCCACCACGAGCTTCTCGCCGGCATCCTTGTTGACCGGCGGCCACGAGCGGAATCCCCTATACCCAGATTGTTTCACCACCTGTACGCCCAAGTTGCACCTGCAGCTGCCAGCGACGGCCTGCCAAAATGGTCGCTGCTTTGGGTCAGACCATTACCGTCGTCAACAAGTCGGGCAAGGTCGTTAGCACTGTACGGCTCCACCCCCGCCCTGTGGGATCGCTCGCTAATGCACTCCCAGAGCAAGCACCTCGTCAATGTCTTCAAGGAGGCCAAGTCCGCCTATAGCCAGCGCAAGGCCGAGATCCAGGCCGTGCGTGAGCAGGAGCTAGAGCAGCGCCGCGTCCAGCTCGCTCTGGAGAACTACCACATCGATGACGACCGCAAGTCCAGGAGCTCGCGCCGCTCCAAGAAGTCGAGCTCCACCCGCCACAAGTCTCAGCACCCCGGAGACAGACCCCCGCTTGAGCGCGGTTACACAGACAGCTTCTATGCAAACGACCGGGCCGGCAAGCCAGGCTCGTCGCCGCTCAAGAACGAGGTCAGCCCCGAGGAACCGCAGAACCAGCTCGCACGCAGATACACCGACGGCCCCTTGTCCATCTTCAAGTCCAAGAGCAAAAAGGATGACGTCGACATGGACCTCGCCTACGGCGACCTGCCGCCCCCGCTTCCCGACCATCGCAGCGAGAACGAATTGGAGCTGCGGAACCAGATGAACGGCCTGACCCGCATGCTAGACGAGGCGAACTGCCTGCAGTACTCTGTCGTAACCATGATCGACAGCCTGCAGAAGAACCCCGACGCGCTGGCTGCCGTGGCCCTGACGCTTGCGGAGATCAGCAACATTGTTGCTAAACTCGGCCCGGGCGCGCTTACCGCGCTTAAGGGTACTTTCCCGGCTGCCGTTGCCCTGCTCGCTAGCCCGCAGTTTATGATTGCTGCAGGCGTCGGCATCGGCGTTACCATCGTGGCCCTGGGCGGCTACAAGATCATCAAGAAGATCCAGCAAAGCAGCGAGGAGGCAGCTGCGCTTCCGGCCGGCGGCCCGGTGCGGGCCATCGACGGCCCTGAGGAGCCGCTTATGTTGGACGAGCTGCAGCCGCCTGAACTCAGCCGCATCGAGCGGTGGCGCCGCGGAATCGCGGACATCGCCGCCGACAGCATCGGCACGAGCGTTGACGGCGAGTTCGTCACCCCTGGCGCCGCCGACCGCTTCATCAAGGAAGGCGTTCTCAACGAGGACGACCTCAAGTCTCGCAGGTCTGCGAGGAGCAAGGCTGCCAAGTCTACGTACAGCTCCAAGACGCACAAGACAGACAAAACAAGCAAGACAAGCAAGACTACCAAGACTGAGAAGACGACCAAGTCGCACAAGTCGGTGAAGTCTTCGTCGACGATGAGGACAGAGAAGGAGAAGCCCAAGCGCAAGGAGCCCTCGGGCATTCGCATGCTGTTCAGGACAGCAACAGCCTGATACGTTTTATGTTTGGTGATTTATCTGACCGTATTTCAGCGTTCCGCATACTTTGGGTGCTTTAGACATATCTGCATCGGCTGCACCATGGCTTCGCCCATGACATTCTGCACTATTTTCTTTTCAATTCTCCTAAGATACCTCTCAGTCCTTCATTACGACTGCTGATATAACGAACAAATACGTTTGGCGGCAATGATTTGAGTTCCGGCGTTTGGGACCTTGTAGCATCATGGCTGGCTCTTTCGGATGCATTCTGCCTGGAGTAGGAGTACATAGGTCTACCGAATATCATGCGCATGGCAACATGCTAAGAAGTCACTTCCGGATCATTCTCTTCGTACCAGTGGCGACAAAAACTTGGATGTGCAAACTACGAGGAAGATGCGGAGGAACGCGGGATGACCGACGAGAAGTCACGTGTGGGCCGGGACCGGGCAGAGCTCCAACTTTTTCGAGCCGGCGACTGCATCATCACGAAGACTTGCCATCAAATACCCCGACACCGCAACCGTCCACCCACCCAACCGTCCGACGCCCGTTCCCTTCATTTCTTTGCGCGGCCTCTCCATCCGGTCGCTCATCCTGTTTTTGCGTTCTTCGACTGCGCTCAATCGCAGCTCTCGCGGCTCCGCAGCCCAGCCTTAGACCGACACCCGTCCACGGACCTCAACCACAATGGACCACTCCAGAGATCCCTGCCCTTGGGTTGCGCTGTCCGACTTTGGTGGCGCATTCTGTATGGGAGTACGTTGCGCCCGGATCCCCATCTGCTGGCAGACCAGCTCCGTGCGAAAAAATGACATCGATGCTAACAAGATTCTCTCCAACAGGCGATAGGCGGCGCAGGTACGACTCGGACAAATCCCACTTCATCCTCCACTTCCGCTCCACCCAACTCAAACATCCCACCCCGCTTCGACACGTAGCATTGCGACGCATCGTTCCACAATCAGGCCCTCGCTGACATGGACAAACAGTATGGCACGGTGTGAAGGGTTTCCGTAACTCGCCGTACGGCGAGCGCAGAATCGGCGGTACGTAGACCCCAAAGCAGCGCAACAGCGCAACGCACAACACATCGCAGTCAGGGATACTTACATGTCTTCTCCAACAGCCATCACGGCCATCAAGGCGCGCGCGCCAATCCTGGGCGGCAACTTCGGCGTGTGGGGCGGTCTCTTCTCGACGTTCGACTGCGCGGTCAAGGGCATCCGCAAGAAGGAGGACCCGTGGAACGCTATCATTGCCGGTTTCTTCACTGGCGGCTCGCTGGCAGTGCGTGGCGGCGCGAAGGCCGTCCGCAACGGTGCCATCGGCTGCGCCATCCTGCTCGCCGTCATCGAGGGCGTCGGCATCGGCTTCCAGCGCATGATGGCGGAGAACAGCCGTCTCGACGCCCCTCCGCCGCCTCCGCAGGGCCAGGGCCAGCCGCAGCTGGCTTAGGATGCGATACTCCTCCTCGAGATGGGGTTGACGTCGGCGTGACGGGCGGACGGAACGGGTGCGTAAAAGAGAGGAGGAGGTGAATGTTGATGATGACGATGATGATTGCGATTGGGCGGCAGCCGTTTGCAACGGACGGTGAGATTGACGATGAATGCTGGTCGAATTGACTGGCTTTGACATGGGGGAGCACGACTGCATTCATGCTGCTGCATACTGCACACTGCAGTCTGCCTGCTGCATGCATGCAAGATTCAAGATGGCATGAGATGGGCACACCGCGGAAGGACCGGCCTTTGCATGAAGAAAACGTGGACATGGGCAGCCGCTACCCGGGTCTCTGGGATCAACGTTCGGACTCCACATCCCTCCTGTTCCATCCTCCCGGACAGGAAACCTTGTGGAGCGGGATTTCCGGATCCGGATTCCGTCCGGTACACATGATCGTCCATTTTCGTCTTGGCTTTTCTATTTTTCTTCCACGGCGGCTATCTCGAAAACACGGGAAAAACGGTGACTTGTCGACGGCTCGGCGCGGTTCCGGCGGCTGCAACCCAACCCCTCCCTATCCATCCCCCAGAAACACCCCCTTGACGACACCAACCTCTTCCCGGAGTACGATCGCCGTTGACGTGTCAACGACGCTTGTACCATACTTTTCTTTTCCCTTTATACTCTTTCCTTTTTTGGGGGGTCAGCGGCGCCTTGAGAGACATTCTCCACTTCTTCGCTTTCGAAACACACACAAAAAGGCGCATTTTTGAAGAAGCGCCGTCATCGCGCGTTGATTTTAAAAAGCTGGAGCCTTTTGTTGTAGCATCACCATAGAGACGCGTGCACATGGGAAGGTTGCTTTAACAAGGGTACACGAGGGGGCGTTTTGAATTTAACCAGTGGGTTTCTTCCTCCCTTGTATAATACGAACAAATCACCACCGTACGATTTTTCTCCACCGGCAGAAGCACTTGCCTATCTCGTCGAAACATGCTAAAGTGGAGTTGTGGAGTTGCGATGGAAGTAGGTGTACTCATCCGCGACCAATGGTACGTACCTCTCTAACAAGCTAGAAGATGGCGCGTGTGATGTGTTCGTGGGGCTCTCCGATCTTCAGCTTTCGGCAGACAGACTCGCTAAGAATAGCTGGGGGGGCCGGGAAGAGACAGCGAAGCAAAAAAGGCTGTTGTCGTCGGGCTGCCACGCTAGCCGCTAACTTAAAGAGTATAGCAGTGGCTGACCCTCCGTGTGGATGACGCGGATGACCATTTTTGAGTTGCCTCCTCCGCTGACTGACTCACGGACCATGTCCAGCCAATTACAGTGCCGGAAAGCATTACATCGATAACGCGGCGCAAAATGGAGCTTGATTCCTTGCTGCGGGTCATGAGTCGAGGTCCCGCTTACCCGCGGCTGACTAACGGAAGGTTTATCGATCGCGGGTGGACGGGGCAGTTGACGACGACATGCCATCAGCGCTTGCTGCTTACTTTGCCTCTCGAGGGCTGACGGTGGCTTTACGAAAGAGAACAGGCAAGTGGCGGGTGCCTAGACACCCCGTTTACTCGGCAAAGTGATGGTTTAGCGTTGTGTCACCATGGTCGCATCGTTCAAGCGCCTATACATCATCGGCGAATGCTGAGGAAGAAGGGTCACGGGAGCATGGCCTGTATAACGACAAGCAGACACAAGCTCAACGATGGTTCACGGAAATAACAGATAATCAACCCTTATTTCGAGGGGTCTAACGACATGTGTCCCTCTTCCAATTCCAAGATCCCAAGTGTCCAATCACATCACAGATACTTCTTCAGGGAATGTTCCTAACGGTGGTAGGTCAGTTAACCGAAATCCGCAAGCGCATCAGAAGACATACCGGCGAGTGATTCGTCTCATAGTCGATGTGCACGAACGCCCTTTCGATCTGCGGCATCTGCTCCAGCTTCATCTGGAGCTCCTCCGCAACGTCGTGCGCCGCGTCGAGCCGCAAGTGCGAATCCATCACAACGTCGACTTCGGCGATGATCCGCGGTCCAGAGTAATACGCCCTGACCGTGTCGACTTGGAGGATGAGGTCTGAGTGAGTCATTGCTGTGGTCACAACGTTAGTTCATCTCGTCCGTTCTACGGTCAGTTCGTCGAAATACGGGAATTGCGTACCGATATACGTAATCAACTGCTGCATCTTCACATCCGCCGAGACACCAATAAGCAACAAGAACTCCTCGTGGATAGTCCGGCCCCAGAGGAACGCGATCAACGCAGACAAGACGATAGCGCCGGTAGGGTCGATATACCACTTCAGCTTCGCACCGCCCACGGACGTCAGTATGCCAAACCCGTTGATGAGCAGATCATTCCGGTGGTCCCGCCACAAGATGTGCACCTGCGAGTACAGATCCTTCAGCGCCCAGCAGTAGAAGAACAGCGCCAGCTTAGTACAAAACGCCACGGCAACGGCGATGACGGACGGCAGGTAAAAATCCTTCGTCTCGGCCTCGCTGCCCGCGGCCAGGTCGCGCGCCGACATGACGATCAGGATGAGCGAGACGGCGCACATGAGGAACGAGAAGACGATGTTGCCGGCCGTCGATATGCGCGCCTTGCCCGACGGGAACCGCTGCGCGTCGACCTTCTTCACCGTGCGGTGCGTGATCAGCAGCATCAAGCCAGACAAAGGGTCGAAGACGGAATCGGCCATGGTCGTGAAGAGGGATAGCGAGCCGGAGGATACCGCGCCGTAGAGCTGGAGTGCAGAGAGGACGACGTTCGCGGCTAGGCTGCCGTAGACGGCGATCTTGTATTTGAGCTGCGTTGAGGACTGCGCGTCGGCGGCCTCCTGCTGGTGGTTGTCGATGGGCTTGAGGAAGGAGCGGATGTTGGCGTTTTGCTCCTCGTAGAATTTGCGGAGGGCTGAGGCACGTTGGGAACTGTTTTTCCCGATGCTGTAGCGCTTCCGCCGCCGGGACGTGTTGGCTGTGATTTGGTCCATCTCCTGCTCTTCTTTGATTTTAGAGCGGAGGTCGAGCGGGTCGCCGCCCGCGGGTGGGCTGGCTTCTACATCGGGAGTGTGTGTGGATCTGTTTTGCAGATCGAAAGATGATGGCTCTGTCATGGTGTAGATGAAGGACGCTGTTGGCTACGAAACGACCTCAGTCAAGAAAGAACGGAACGTATCCGGTCCAGGTACGGATTGCTATCAGACGGTTTTATCACTTGAGTTGCCTGAATTGCCAAGGTCTGGTCCTGAGTGATGAAGTGCCAAGGGCGGAGGCCAAGCCCGCGTTTGCAGGCGTGAAACCTACAAAGGTAGGCTCGGCATCGATGAGAACACCGTTGAGATAGCCGCACTACGCCAGATATAGTTTTGAATGTAGGGAAACCCTACATAACAGCTATATGGATGGCATTGTTATCGGGTAAATTGTCGATCTATTTCATGCCCGGAGTTTCCGGAACAAGACTTGGCGCCGATATCATCTTGGCTCTTGACGTAATTCACGTGGCTACATCTCACACCTACTTTGTTTGCATTGCTCCTTGGCTGCTTAACGAAAATCTCTAGCCGTTTCGAGTCTTCTTCCCTGGCAGTACAACCGGCAAACACCTCAGCCAATTGCGTGCCGCAATGCAAACACGTGGGAATATGGCTCGTGTAACGCCATTGCTATACAGAGCTGAAATATTCAAAAAGCCCGCAACCTTTATTGCCAAACTTAAAAAAAGTATGAATTACGGGTTACGAGTACGAGAGGTAGATGCGTTATCCCGCAGCTCTAGCTTGACTTAGCCAGCCAACCAACCAACCAGCCAATCATCTATCTCTACAAGGCCTAACGTTTGACCAATCGGGGCACAGAACTACCATATCATTGTTCAAGCCATGTTAACCACTCAAACGTAACATTCCCCCAGAGGCTTTTGTCTTTCTGTGGGTAACGGGACCCATGCGAAAATAGTACAGACTCATCCCGCCCGTTATACAGGGTAACGGCAAGGTAGCTCCGCAGCTACCAGAAATATCAGATAATCACGAACCACTTTCCGGGCAAGGCTGCCGCAGCCTTGATAGCACAGTCCTCGCAGGATTGCTTCCCACGGAGCATTACCTTGCGAATGTAGTTTGTTTTTTGCGCATCACCTGCTGCCAACCATCTGGCTCTCTTGTCGTCTTTAACAAGTACGACAATGACTTTCTCCGAGAATTGAACTCCTTTCCTGCCAATCTCTTGGCTAGACCACGACCATTGGCCAGCAGCTGTGGCAACCCCTAGTCCAAGCTGTGCCTCATCTACCATGTCTCTGATATCTTGGTCCCTTGTGTGTTGACATTGGGGCGCGGTAAACGTGTTCCATAAGGCATTATGAAAGTTCCGGCATGATTGATTGATTTCAAACCAGTACGGTTCCCCTTTTGCATTTAAATGCTCAATGTGTTTCCCTTTGAACTTGATGGCCAAATGAAAGCCGTTTTCACGGGCTCCGTAATATTCGATTCGTTCGTGAACGGGAGAAACGCACCTAAGGCTGTACATTCCCGTGTTGCGGTCGCGTATCCAGTCGACGTTTGGCGGAATATTGCCGAGGATTTCTATAGCGGAGCTGATTGCGTCCCGCACGCGATTCTTTCGCTCCATTGTTTTGGTGTTTGTCGGCACGCCTTCGCGGATGAAGATCCTCTCTGGAACAACAGTGAATGGGTCAATATCACCGTAGGTTGGAAGACTGATTGTCCAGCCAAAGTCGCTGATCATGAAGCTATTTCCATCTCCAGCGCTGTCTTCCGGAGAGTAACGCAACGAGAGCTCCTGACCTACAAGGAGCCTGCAGATTTCACCAAATAAATCGTGGGATTCGAATACAATACCATCGTTCAACTTCCGAATGCGGTGGACAAAGTCACTCTTCGTATCGATGTTGTCTTCGAGCACAAGTTTCATCTCGGCGCAATCATCTATTCCTGCAACGGCGGCAAAACACAGTAGTGAAATGGAGAGATCGAGGAGAGATATCGCAGTAATCGGGTAGCTCCGCTTTTCGTGTTGATACCTCGGTTGCTGGAGCGCTGGTGGGACCTGCATCTCTTGCCATCTTTTCACTGGTGCTAAGCTTTTCGAATATTCTTCAGCGCTTGCTTCATCGTAAAGTGGCCTTTCGGTTCGGTCCAGGGAGAATGGGTGAGCGAAGAATACCCTTGCGGCGTCACAGATGGCCCTCCGGTCGATATTACATTTTGCAAAACGCTTATACCTTTCATCTGTGGTGCGAAAAAGTCTCTGCGAAACCAACTGTGCTAGAGCTATTGTCATCTCGGCTCCGGCAACCAATGCTGAATTTTCTGGGTCTCTGAGAAACAGATCGAGTGACTCCTCAAGTATGCGGCAAAGGCGGATGGTCCCATAGCCACGGAGCTTGAGACGCTCGCGTGTTTCCATTGGTAGTGCGCCGTTTTGCTCAGGCGCTATCCTGATGATTTCATCATCGTTGCGATCCAAGATGCTCACTGACGGCTCCCTTCCCGTAAGACCATTGAATGAGATGATAATGGATGGCTTTGGACAATCATCGCTAGGATATCCAACTTTTTGAGAGGTCCTCCGGTCCAGAATAAGCACGCTGAGACCGAGGAGGTGATGTGCCCACACGATGAGTGTCACCAGGCCCACTCCCCCCTCGCCGACAAGCATGAAGCGTTCCTCTGGTGCTCTCTGAATGATGTAGAGACAATCCATGCAGGCACGGAGGAGACTTGGTGCCAAGCTCATGGCTGATTCGTCAACCCTGTTGCCGATTATGGAAGCAGACACCAGTCGGCTTTTGACCTGATAGAGATAGCGCGACCAGTCAAAATTGGATGTTTGGGAGCTGCATGCTTCAAGAACACCAGAAATCCCTTCATAGCCAGGGCTGGGGTTTGAGCCAGGTATCTGCATCTCAAATCGCTTGTTCAGGCAATCATCGAGCGCAGATGCAAGGGACCGACGGTTGTGGACCCACCCCAGGAACGACAGCTGTATGACTGAAGCCATTAAATGCTCTTTGGAGCGCGGTGTAGCTTCTACGAGGCTGGGGCCAGGTCCGACGCTCAAGGCTAGAACTCCATCGCGTTGGATCGCTCTAAGTTCAGTAGCACGGAGCACATCAGTGCGGAACTGTTGTTCGATATTCTGGGTGATCTTTCCACGTCCAAATACATCCGCTAAATCAACTTCCACCAACAGGTCTGAGCCAGATAGACGGAGGTTTCGCGCTAGTGCAAGGATGCCTTCGTATACATTGTTTGCAGCTGTCTTCGCCGCAGACGTTCCGAACAATTTGGTCAACTCAACACCGATTTGGAGTCCAACAGAAAGGTCCGGCATTCTGATGATGCAGGTGTTTGGGTAGCAAAAATAGAAGTTCGATTGTAGGTAAATTTGAGGATGTTTACAGATAGGATGCAGATATCTTGAAGGAAGATGAGTGCTGATAGGAGGACTCAGAGTTGGAAGTTGAGGTGGGGAATGTCCAGAGTATGTGAGTCTAGCAGCTTTGTCAACTCATGCCGCCGCTTCGTGCGGGGCGTATGAGGCTGTACTGAAAAATTCTCACTCGTGATTGTACTTCCAGCCCCATTATCGAGAGCGCGTCTCGTGGCGCCTGAAGCACTGTCATGCTGACGCTGCCCTTTGTCTTAACAAATCACCAACGGGTTTCAGCATGTGCAAGGCTGAACTTATGACTATACAAGGATTACGCGCATGGGTGAAGCGCGGGGCTCTACAAGCGAAGCATTGGGGCTTCATGTTGTGCTGACGCTCCAGAATGCGACCATATGATAAATCACAAAACAACACCACGAGAGCCTGCTGCATGCATCTGCGTTATCGCTGGTTGAATTGCTTAATAGAGGAGCGTTTCACACAAGTAGCTTTCCAAAGTAAAACCGTGCGGGTAACGACGGACTGGCGACGTTATAGCTTGAAATTCAGCTTCATGTACGAATTTTGGTCACTTGATGGCTAAGTGAAGCCAAGAAGCTTCTTTGCTGCTCATCAAGCATGGCGGTTACAAAAGATGCTTCTCTTTCCGTCCAGGTAGGCCCAAGTGTTACGGCGCAGCCTCACATGGTGAGCAAGTTGGAGTGTCAGCCTCGCCGATCGGTGCACCGACAACTCATATTTGGCTGGCTTATTCGGGCAGCAGGGTCACCAGACTCCCTTAGTAGGCTTACTAATAGTTGATGGCCGACCGAATGCTATAATCCTTAGCTAGTATAGAGGCCAAAGAGGTTATCGATAAGAAAGACCTTTAATATCTAAGACTATCGCGTAGTTCCTTAACGCATAGTCCCTCTCGCAGCCGATGGCTAGCGCGAAGAATAGCAGGGCTTTAGAAAATAGCGTAATTATGCCCCAGCTCTGCCTGGGAAAATAACATATGCGGGTAGCTGAAGCTATCGTCCGGATGTATATGTAGAATTAAAAATTCGACATTCTCGTCCGGACGATGGCTTCAACTACCTATGACATGAGCAAAAAAAAAAAAATCTACGCTAGCCATCGGCTGTGAGAGGGGGCTGTAGAGGTCGAAAGATACAAAATGCTGTAACCGCTAATTCCACCAATCTTAAGAAGGTGCAAGAAGAAGACGCATTATCTCGCAGCTTTAGCTTGATTTAGCCGGCCAACCAACCAACCGACCATTTAACCAATCAGCCATCTGACGTTTGACCAATCGGGGCATGCAACTATCTCGTCATCCTGTCAAGGCCAGTTCAACCACTTAAACGCAACCTTCGCTGAAGAATTTTTCTCTCTCAACAGGCAAGGGGCGCCCTGCAATATCGACGCATGGCCCTCCGCTTCATGATATATGACAAGGTCATTATTGCTACACTTCAGCCAGGGATCGAGTTACCGGCGACAACTACCCTACCAAAGCTTCCCCTCTCCGTTCTTCAGTCATGCCATCTCTTGGGCGAATTCAGGCTGCAACGCAGCAGCAGGGAAATTCAATAGTGCACCCGTCGTGCACCCATCAACCAAGAATGACCCTGCTGCCTACGTGATGAACCCATGCAGGAATGCTGTCGTATACCTCTGAAGAAAATAAGGTGATGATGAGGCTTGCAGTTCAATAATGAGGCTGTATGTAGTAAGCCGCAAGAATGCGGCCCAACCCTACTGCAAGCCATGCATACTTCACACCACGCCACTTTCTGCAAGTCAGCCAGCCACCAAGCTAGTACACTTCATCATCAGAACTCAAACGCGATGTGTCGTCATGTTCATGCTTTCGTGATCCAAGGTGAAAGAGAAAACCAAACAGGCAGAAGGCTGCAGTCGATCGTATACATGATGCAGAGCCGGATATAATGTTTCGTAGCAGGGTAAAGACAAGGAAGCGAGTGACCGACCATACAGTCATGAACAAACCCCCACGCGGCGCTCTCCGAAACGCTAAGTATGTGTCAACGAACTGTCAACAAGCAAACGATGTGCATCGCAGCAAGTCTGTACCAATAGTCCGAGACAAAACGGTAGACCAGGCAGTAAACAAAGAAAGTAGTGAGAAAGGTATCACCCCGTCCGTGACGCAATTTCGAAAACAACGCCAGCCACCCATCCGGCAACCAGTTTTCCCGCCCATGATCTCTTTCCCACCTGTACGCCAATCTATCCCTATCCTTTCCCATCCCGAGCCCAGCTCTCTCTCCATCGACGCCAGAGTGAAGAAAAAACACCTCCCCGAAATCTACAAGTTCCCAATCACAACCATAAACCGCAACAACCCATCCCCCTTCTTACTCCTCCCCCTCTCCTTCCACGCCGCACTACTCGCCCTACTCCCCTCCGCACCCACCTCCCCGGCCAATGCCTGCGTTGCCTGCTCTATGCCATCAATCGCCGTAGCGGTGCCAGCCAGGATATCGCCGGCGTCAGCCCCAGCCCCCGCCGCAGAGCTGCTACCTGCAGCTGCCGGCGCCGCAGCAACGGTATCATCCAGCATCAACGTGCTGCTCTTCCAGCCCCAGCTCTGACTGAAGTTGAAGCGGTCCGGCGCGCTCTCGTACACCGACAGCAGGCGGCCACCCTTAGAGGGCGAGTAGATCTTAAAGTACGTCTTGATCGTCGGCCTACCATCGATGTACGGCGGGATGGTGATGGCGGACTCAGGTTGGCGCCTGTCGTGGCCATGCTTGCTGGAGAAAGACGACGTCGATGCGGTGCGGGAAGGAGGGGCCGGCGGGATGGCGGCGGAGGAGGGGTGGTAGTAGGGATTGCCCGGCAGGCGGTGGCGGACGTATTGCGAGTGCGTAAGGTTCTCGGTGTCTGATTCGTCTTCTTCGTCGTTCTCCGTATCGCCGGCCGTCGTCCAGGGCGTGCGCATCCATTCCGGCAGGCCGGCGGTCGAGCTGAGGTCGGCCTGCGGCGGGACGGTTTGCGAGCGGTGGCGGGACGGCCGCTCGCCGGTGCGGGAGGTGGTGGTGGGTGTTGTGATGATTTCGCCGTCGCCGCCGCTGGACGTGTTGTCGTCTTCTGGAGCGATGCCCATCATGGCCGTGGCGACCTGCTCGGCCTGTCGACTGCGGCGGGAGCTGCGCTCCGTGCCTGTGCCGCCAACGAGGATGCGCCGCTCGAGCTCGCCGATGCGGGCGGAGGCGGATGTCATGATTTCGCCGGTGTTGGCGCCGTCTTCGGCCGAGTACTCCTTTGCGCGGTGCAGGTACACGCCCAGCTGGGGGTTCTTGGATGAGCGGACTTTCTGGATGTAGATGTTCCAAAGCGAGCCAGCGTAGAAGACGGTGCGGGAGTAGACGCGCTTTTTCTCCTTTAGTAGACGCGGATTCGGGAACTCGGCTGCAAAGCGGAAAGGAGGAAAGTGCGTGTAGGAGACACCCTTGGGTCTGGACGTGGGCATGCCACCAGAAGACCCTGGACGGAACGGTGTTGGTATGCGGTTGGCGTCTGGCATGACGGAGAAGTCTGTCGCCCATTGAACATCTTCCGGCTGCAGCGTAGCTGATAAGCGTGAAGCATGGCGAGGAGAGGCGCTTGTTGTGGTGATGACGGGCTCAGCAGCGCCGCCCATGACGATGTTGCAGTCTGCTGAGGGAATCCAGAATTTTCGAGGCTTGCCGTTGGCATCCCAACTACCGGAGTCCATCTCTTCGTGCTCTGAGTCAGGGGTTGTTGGTTCCACGGCGGTTTGCTTGCCTTTTGATGAGGTGCTGCTCCTGGATGACTGCGGGTGTGGCTGCTCTTGCTCAGCCGCCTTACTGAGGCCGAGTTCCATATCCTGTGGATTTGCAGACAGCACTTTCTGCCGAAGCTCCATCTGCATCCACAGAGCATTTGTGATTGCCTTCTCCGAGACAATTGGCAGTCCAAAGGTATCACGTGCTGTCCGGATGAACTGCAGCTGCTCAAATTCCAGATGGATGTAGTGAATTCCTTCCTCGAGCAGAACCAAGAGAGGCTCGATGTCATGATGGGTGTACAGAGACATCCATTTTTGCTGCTCATCCATGGGATTCTCCTGGCGTGACAAGCCAGTCGTGATGGCATTTTGACGATAGACACTGTCGAACCTGACGGCCATGAGGCCGAGCATGTCTGGTGCTTTTGTGCTCCGAGATTTCGCAGACTTGATGAGGCCGAACTCGGCAGCCACCTTCTTGAGTCGGCGGTCCAGCAGGCGTTTTGCCAAGACCCATCTCTCCCATTCCCCGTGGATATAGAAGCCGTCCCCACCGACGATCTCCCGGACGATCTCACCAGGGACCTCATCCCAGTTCTTCAGTTTCATCTCGCAACCGTCCCTGCAGAGCATAGCCTTTGCTGACGCGAGTAGCCTCTCACCAGCTCTTCCATAGTACTGCAGGGTGACCAGCTTGATGAGTGGGCCAAGATTGTCGGGATGCATCCTTCGCAGGATGGCGTCAATGCTCGAGTCGATCAGGTCCTGCATTTCGAGCCAGCATGCAGTCGCGAACAACCCCAAGCACTCGGCGTCTTCCTCCTCGGAGATATCGAAGCCGTACAGGCGTTTCAGAGTCAGCTCAAAGGCCGCCTCTGAGATACAGTGGTCGATTCCCTCTGGATGGAGCGTAACCTCTTCAGCGCGACTCTCTCGCCAGGGGCCGGAGAGCATGGAACTGAAGAAGGGCGCTTGGTCGAGAACCAGCCGGTGAAGGCGATATCTCTTTCCAAAGGCTACGATAATGATGTCTGAGTGACGACCGTCAAGCAGGCCTCTGGTGTAGACGTGATGGGACAAAGAGCCGGGGATCATTCCGGCAGCAGCTGTTTGACGTTAGCGTAAAACTTGGTGATGAATGCGAGGAAAGATGTACAGCTCGATTGCATTCTGCTGTAGGGAGTGGACCTCGTCGAGGAAGGCGAAGTGCCGGCGAACAGGCGACTCAGGGTGGTGAGATTCTGGTGTTCGCTCCGTTCGTTGGATCTCCGAGAGCCGACGGGAGTGGTAGGATCATCCACATCCTTCTCAACCCTGGCTATCGGGGTGCGATTGCGGCCGGGCAGCTCGACGTCAAAGCGAGCGGAGCGTCTTGAAGAAGACGGAGGGGAGGTGATGGGCTGGGGCGGGAGCAGGGGGCGAGAGGAGTTGGATGGCGGCGCAGAAGCGGGAGGGCCAGAGAACAGAGAGTTGCGTGGCGATGAGGTGGTGGTAGTAGGATACAGCTGGGCGGGGATAGCGCTCTGCAAACGCAGGCCATCGGTCACGGACGACACGGTAGATGAGGTCCCATCGGCTTGTGATGACTGCCAGGCGTCCGGGTCGAGGTTCAGATGAGAGACCAAGTGATGGAAGTCGGGAGGCCCGCCACTGTGTCCATCCATGTCACTGAGGGTAGCTACAAAGCCACCGGGCGGTTTCGGAGGCGACTACGAGCAGCTATGGAGCGACGAAGGCGCAGTACGTATCATGCGGGCGGGTCGCAGGCAGGTGTGTTCTGGTACGAGGCGCGAGGTGATTGCGGCAAAGTCATGAACATGTCTGTCGGGTGGAGGCGGCCTTCTTTCTCGCTACGGGCGCTGATCCATCCTGACGGCCAGTGCGACGCTGACGTTGGGGCTCGTGAGCAAACGCCCCGCAGTCTGCGCCCCCAGACCCTGCAGCCGCGTATATTCGTGGCCACCGGCCGGGCCCAGTCGTGGCTGAAAGGATGCCATAGTGCGGCAAAAGGGGCCGCAAGGGCACCACAAAGTGCCATGATTGAAGTGCGATTAAGCTGGATGCGGCGGGGCGTGCTCTCGCTCGCGTGCCGTGTTTGTTAGGCCGCCGGCCGCAAGTGCGCTCCAGCGGCCCCGCTACGCACATCCGCCCGCTGCGAACGCCTTCAGGTCACTCCCAACCATCACAAGGGAGGAATTGCGGCCTTATCGCCCGCAGCGACGGGCCGCCGCATATGCAAAAAAAAGAAAGCACGCACGTCATATGCCGGTAATGGCCCCAGATCCGTGCAACCCGAAATCTGCACGTGGCTGCAATATAGTAGCCTTCGCCCCTCAGCTATATCAGGAACTGCCGCGTCGGTGGGGGCAGTGCACCGAGCCGGTCACCGGGACCTGTCACTGTGCGTACGGCATATTGATGTGCATGTATCTGTCTCTTGCGCTGTCATCAAGCTGCGCTTTTCGGGTGATGTGCGCGCACATGCCGCTGCCGTGGCCATGGCGGCTTCCACTGATCTTCGGCCAATCTAGTCCCGCCGCATGGCTTTGGTACGGGCCTCTCTTTCCATGGTTGCAATTGCGAGCTTGGAAAACAAAGCGAAACATAGTGAAAAATGATTTTCTATAATTACGTTTACTTTAATTTGACTGCAGACCCAGTATGCCGTGGCTGGCCGGGGGGCGCAGAGAAGATGTGGCCGGCAGCTGTCCGGACATCCGAGCAATCCACCCATAAGCTTGGCGGGTGCGTCGTCCATTTGCAATGCCGCGCGCTGATTGGCCGGAGCTGGCCCGCGCCGGAGGTTGCACGGCTTCCGAACTGTCGAACCACCGCAGCTTCAAGTGACTTTTTGCAACACCACCACGGCGCCCGCCCGCCATGGCTTCGATCTTCCAGGCCTTTCCCGCCTTGAGGCGCGCTGCTCCGCGCCTCTCGCGCGACTTCTTCGCCTGCAGCCGAGCTGTCAATCCCGCAAAGTCTGCCGTCCCGCCGCCGCTCCGCTCCCACCTCCGCCAGAGTCCCATCCTCGGCGCCGTACGATGGCAGTCCACCGCGAAGCCTGCCCAGACTCCGCTCGGAGCCTTGAGCAAATCAATTGGCACCAAGCCCGTCCAGAAGGCTGCCACTGAGGTCAAGAAAAGAAGCTTTTTCCCGAAGAGCAATCGAAAGATTGTGGCATACTGGTTACTCGGCAGCGCTGCCAGCGTTTTTGGCATTGTTGTTTTTGGTGGCTTGACTCGTCTCACCGAGTCTGGGTACGCTCTCGTCAACCCTCCATTTTGCCCGCGCTCTACCTAACAACCCCCACAGCCTTAGCATTACTGAATGGCGTCCTGTTACCGGCTCTCTCCCTCCCATGTCCCAGGAAGACTGGGAGTCCGAATTCGCAAAGTACCGTGCCTCTCCCGAGTTCCACCTGCTCAACTCGCGCATGACCCTCGAGGAGTTCAAGAAAATCTACTGGATGGAATGGACACACCGTCTGTGGGGCCGCTTTATTGGCGTGACCTTTCTGCTACCCACCATATACTTCATCGCTCGGCGTCAGGTCACAGCATCCATGGCTTGGAAACTCACCGGCATCTGCGGCATGATCGGCTTCCAGGGTGTGATCGGCTGGTGGATGGTTGCTAGTGGCCTGAAAGATGACCTCTTCGCTCCCGGCAGCCACCCGCGTGTGTCCCAGTATCGCCTGACTGCCCACCTGGGCGCTGCCTTCGTCGTCTACTGCTCCATGCTCGTGACCGGCTTTTCCATCCTGCGCGAGCACCGCTGGATCAAGAACCCCGTCGCCGCCTACGAGGCCATCGCCGCCCTGCAACACCCGCATCTGCGCCCCTTCAAGCGCTACGTCACCGCCCTCACTGCCCTCGTCTTCGTCACCGCCATGTCCGGCGCGCTCGTTGCCGGCCTCGACGCCGGCTTGATCTACAACGAGTTCCCGTGGATGGGCCTGGGCCTGACGCCGCCGAAGAAGGAGCTCTTTGACCCCTTCTACAGCCACACGCCCGACCAGTCGGACCTGTGGTGGCGCAACATGCTCGAGAACCCCTCGCTCGTCCAGCTCGACCACCGCTGCCTCGCCGTTACCACCTTCACCGCCGTCATTGCGCTCGCCGCCTACACCCGCTTCCCCAAGCTCCGCGCCGTCCTTCCCCGTGACGTCAAGAAGGGCATGACCGGCGTCACGCACATGGCCTGGGTCCAGGTCGCCCTCGGCATCAGCACCCTGATCTACATGGTTCCCACGCATCTGGCTGCTACCCACCAGGCCGGCGCTCTGGCGCTGCTGACTACCACTGTGCTGCTATGGAGCAGGCTACGGACGCCTGGCCGCCTTGTACGTCAGGTTCGGTCCAAGGTCAGTAGTAGGATCTCCACCAGGCCGCGTTCGCCTGTCTCTCCTGATCTTCAGAGCAAGCCCATTGGCGGCACTGCTGGCACGGTTGATCAAAAGGCATAGTTTTTGTCTATCGTTTGGAAAAAGGTAACATGATTTGATGATTTCGTAGAACATTCTCATGCAGACTCTGGTAAGATAGGGGCCTGGTTTTTGTATATATATCTCTGCTCTTTTGAGTTGTTGTAACAGTAGCATGTAGTGACCAGAGTGGCATTATCTGCCTTTCAGGGCGTTTTTCTTCCCATCTGAAATGCCTTCCGTCTTGTTCTATTTCACGTTGCGTCGCTCACCCCGTGTGTTGCATGTATCAAAAGCCACTGATCCTATATTGCATAGCGCTATACATACTGATACTGGATCCTCAAAGAGCCGAGCAGCCCGCTTCACACCAGGCCAATCTCATAGCGCACTCCCTAAACCCCCAAGGTTGCCCGAGACGAAGACGACTAGCACAGCAGCGTATGCTGCCGTTGCCGCGAAGATTTCGGCCCGCTTAGCATTCGTAAAAAGACTAAGGCTAAGCGCAAAGAAGATCGTAAAGCAAGCGACCGTTCCGAGCCTGGCACCGGGGCTGGAGATGAAATAGAGGGATGTTATGGCTCCAATGAGCAGGATTGCGGCCACTGCGGAGCTCACGAAAGCGACGACGCGAGCAACAGCTTGTTCCTGGAAATACTCGGCCCCGTCGATTGATGTCCGGTTGTTCTTTCCGAGCCGGCCCCAGTGGTCCTGCAGAAATCTTGAGAATGGGTCTTTATCCGCTGGTGTCCGAAGTGCTGCTAGATCTTGTTCGTTTTCAAACACCGTCTGGGCTTTTCCGAGGATTCTAGTTTGGTACTGCTGTCCGGTCGACCCAACACTAGTACTTGGGAAGCAGAACCATTTGCGTAATGCTGAGAGTGCATTTGCTCGTGGCCTATCGAGTGCGGCTATTTGCGATTGTAGTAATAGTGCTTTATCTACTCATGGTCAGTATTTTCGTTCCATATGGCTTCGGCCAACTGCCTTGTGCAAATAAACCATGAAGACAACGATAGACTTACGGTATTCCTTTAGTTTCTTCTGAACTTCCACCTGAACTTCCACCTGAACTTCCATTACCCTTCTTACTGGGCCATCCTCTTCCTCCGATTTCTCCACAAAAGTCTCCCATCTCACTTGCGACTTTATCAGGTCAGGTTCTCTGCTGCAACGTATCTCGACGTCAAGCTTTTTCAGCTTTTCCTCTAGCTCAATTAATTGACATTGTAGGAAGAGCAGGTTCCGAGCGCTTAGTTGGTCGAATTTGCGGTAAATGAACGTCTCGCTGTCCGGATCCTTGGCCATCCATCGTGCCAGCGCGGGGTAGCCGTACTGTCGTAAACCGAGCTCGATCTCTTCAAGGGCTTCAGACTGCGCCGGTGGAGTGTGCATCATTGTGGCATATTTCTGCAGTCGGGTTGCGACATAGCGAAATCCAAAACGTTCGCAAGGCTCTGAAAATATGGGTGAAGGGCTTTCGTGTCATAGTAGGGGCTGAGCAGGTGGGGGTATTGCTGATTGGCTCGCGGAAAGCCTCGAGGCGCAGGCACCGGTCAGCTACATCCGTCCCCATAGCCTCGCGCACTTTTCTTTCCACTCTTCCCAGTCGCATTTGACCGAGGGCTACCACTTGCGTTGGTCCGATCTTCATCTCATCATCGGGGTCAGTTCATACCCTTCACACCGGATCGTACATATCTCTCAATATCGAAGCGGTTTTGCAGCTGCTATTCCCCAGGACGAAAACGCCTCTGAACAAGCACGCCGCTATACTTTTCAAAAGACCATCGCGCACCTTCCCCCTCATATCAACACTACAATTACAAGGGAAGTCAGCTTGTGCCTAGCTCGCACTGGCATGGAGGAGGCGGACAGCATGGCCGAACACCAACGTAATGAGGGCTCATCCTCGCCGGAACACCGCAAAGAGTTAGCACCAGCTCTTAAAAGAGACGATTATTCGGCCATATCGAGTCCCACTCAGAAGCGGGAGCTGAATCAACAGCCGTATGAAGAATTGGAGGAGATACAAGACGACAAGAAAAGGCACGTTTGCCCTTTCCACTTTACAAAAAGGCCTCCAAAAATTCGTCTTTGTGTATACCCCGGATTTAGAAGCATATCCAGATTCAAGTAAGGCCTTTCCTTCTCTTATATCGCTTAATTTCACAAATAGTCCTCTAATATAATAAGGGAACAACTCTACCGACGCCACATGCAACTTGAAAACCGATGTTCTAGATGCCTGGAGACGTTTAAAACAGAAACGGAATTCCGAAAACATTCACTCTCCCTAGTACTCTGCCCGGCAGAGAAGTTCAGGTCACTCAATCATATCCCGGGTGCACATACCTCACACCCGCCAAAGCATCCAAGCAAGTTCTATGTCCCAGGGTTCTTGGGTGGTCATTACGTCCAAGCCAATGCGGACACTGGCGCTTCTCACGACATGATCTCTGAGAACTATGCCATTGCGAACAATTACCACATCGATCCGTCGGGTGCCGGACCAGCAGATCTTCCAGGAGGCCGAAAAGCGTGGATTCTTGGTACTGTAACACTCTCGTTCAGGTTCAAAAACGACACGAAAGAGTACTCGCGGATATTCCAAGTCATGAGGGGATTGTCGTACAGTTGCATCCTCGGTAACGGCTTCCTGAAATTGACCAAGACGCTTAGTGTTGCAAAAAATCGCCTGGATCGCATTCGGCAAGTGGCCAAGAGAATCACCCCTCGGATTCCTCGATTACATCTAATCGGAGGCACTCATGAACGTCTTCAAGGTACCTTAAATGGACATCAGATGTGTGCACTCCCCGACACAGGTGCAGATGTGAACATTATTCGCAGTGATGTGGGAAGGAGGCTTGGACTCAAGATTTGGAGTGATCGCAGTCACCGAAAGTTTCTCGAGCTAGGAGATGGGTCTTTTGTTCGCACACTGGGCACTGCATACAATGCTCAATGGTCCTTTGGACCGCACGGATCCACTGCGCCACTTTCATGCGAGTTCCAAGTACTGGATGACATTCCATGTGACATCATCCTCTCCAGCGATTTCCTGTTCGATAACAGCGTCTTTGAGCTCTATGAGCACTACCTCTACGACGCTTCCTCGATTGAGCAACTTGAGACATGCGCTCAGCTCAACTGCATCACAGAGGTTCCCCTGCCGGAGTAGGAATTGAACGAGATGATGATGGATGTATACTGCCACGGCAATGAAGAGGATCGCATTGCTGGAATACCCCCCATGGAACTGCCGCGTGTTGAACGTGTTCGGTTCAGGCTTAGCCGACAACGCTTCTCCCGTATCTTTACTGGGAATGCTCTGCCGACCGGGGTGGGCGGGCATACTCCTTCTCCAGGGGGTACAGCGCTTGACTCTGCTCTATCACCCCCTTCAACGCCTCCACAACAGCCAAAGCATCGCTGGATTGTTCGTGTCGTGCGCCTTGTTACCAGGCGCTCTGACCATGAGGCCAGTCTTTCCGCGTCACCTTCATCTGTTCCATAATACGCAATAGCGAAAGCTATGGCAGGACTTGGAGGTTGAAGTGGAGGCCTGGTAAGGCGGACAGACATTCCGTCGTAGTTATTTTCATCTACCCGCATCTGCCGCCTTCTACTAGAGCAGTTCTACACGCGCATCGCTTTTTTTTTTTTTTTGGCGGTTACTAGCCGCATCGGATAGATTAGCCCATTTTTCCTTGTTCAAGTTAAACTTCTGTGAAATTTTGATCAACATCCTGCTGCTTCCATTATCGTGTGCTATTTGCATACTTCACACCGCAGGGTAAAATGGAACCACATGTAGCCTCATCAGTGTTTACGTATTTCAACCCTTCGCTGTTATCCATCTGCTAGTGGTTACTGTACTTTCCTCCATACGAACCCCGTTTCATCGATTACACATATCACAGCGATTGAGTGTTGGAACATGTCAAGTTATTTTGCATTTGTAAAATGATGCCCCGAAACGCCGGCTTAAATGATATTTCCATCTAGACTGCACTATTCAAACTTCAGAAACATTTATTCCGCATTATCTGGTCCAGTGGTGTAGGGCGGTGGTGGCCTCAAGAACTCGTGTCCGTCAGGAATGGCACAGTCGCCTATGCAGTCTACCGCATTCTGATCTGCTCCACTCTGTCGTAACATACTGGTGAGATTGTAGTCCTCCCAATCTACTGTATAAAACAGATTGTCCTGTCGCTCTTCTACATAAGAAAGAGTATCCTGCTCCTGTGCTGCATAATACAGAGGCGTGCGGCCCCACCTGTCTCGTGACTCTGGGTTTGCACCAGCTCCTACAAGCAATTTAACGACTTCAGAAGATCTAGCTTGGTGAAGTGGTGTTTCACCAAGCAGAGATTTCGCGTCGATGTTTGCATCTGCTCTGTTCTTGAGCAGCATTGCCATAACCATATCATCACCTCTGTTTGCTGCAAAATGCAGAGGAGTGCACCCCATACAGTCCCTTGACTCGATATTCAGACCGGCTGCAATGAGTGGTTCGGCGGCTTCAGGAGTTCGAGCCCAATGAAGAGCTGTTGTTCCCCGTGAACATGTCGCATTGACATCTGCCCCTTGCCGGATCATGAGTGAGACGGCAGCTCCGTTAGGGGATGAAGCCGCCAAATGTAGAAGAGGTTTCCCGTCTCTTTCCCCCTCAATGTCACAGCCGGCTGAGATGAAAAGTTTCACGTGTTCCATGGTTCCTTTTTGGAGAGCGATGTCGAACGGGGTCTCCCCATAGTCATTTCTTGCACTGAGCAGCGCTCCCCTCTCGATTAGTAGTGCTACAATGGAGGTATTGCCTAGTTCTGCGGCAAGATGACAAGGTGGGTATCCATTGCAATCTCGGGCATTCGGATCGGCGCCGCTATCAAGCAGTATGTTTGCGATGGCTTCATTGCCAAACCTGATGGCGCGGTGAAGTGGCGTCTCGCCAAGGTCCTCAAGTTCGTCTAGGTTTGTGCGTCTGCCCAGGGGCTTGAAGAATACCTGCCAAGGCCGTTCAACCTTGGGTGGAGACGAACTAGAATCGTTTGGTGCATTAACGTCTACACCCCTATCCAGCAACATCTTTATGGCCACTGAATTACCAGACTCAATGGCCATATAAAAAGCAAATACCCCTTGGGACCTAGTCTTGATTTTGGCTCCCCTGGAAAAGAGCAGTTCAATAAACTCAGGATCTGGGTTTTGGCTGGCGAAAGCCACGGGTGACCATCCTGGGCCGCGGTTAAGGTTTTTGGGATTCAGTTTGGCTCCGGCTTGAATCAGGAACTGCACTGTATTTCTCCGGCTTCCTGCCAAAGCGTACTCCAATGGAGAACCTACAGTGTCCGCAACGTGGAGTTGTCTGCGATGGGAACTACGTGTAGACATGGAGTTGCGGGCCGTAGCTAGATATTCAAGTGGGGATTGTAAACCGAGAAAAGCGAGCAAGTGAACCAGTCTTGCTCCGTGATTAGGCCAAGAGAGCACATCATCATTTTCAGCTGGAAATAACGAAGGAAGGAGATCTTTCAGGTGGCGTAACGGACGTTTAACGCCGTAATGAGAGCAGGGCAACATATCACCAAGAGGATGACACAACTTAACCCAATTCGATAGGAACGCCTCATCATCAGGCCACTCGAAGAAGGCGAGTAGATCGTTATCGGATTCACCAGTGACGGCTTGACCCTGGCTTTTTGCAAAAAAAGTATGGAATGCCCAATGTAACCAGGCATAACCAAAGAAGTGCAGCACGGCTCCCGATGGGGAAATTTTTCTGTTGCGATCGCGAATCCATTCCTGGGCTTCTCTCATCGAGAGATATCTCAGGCAGGATCTTGAGAGTTGGAAGTGAGCAAGCCGCGTGACATCGGCCACACCATCAGTGATCAGGAACCTTAGTCCCCCGTTTACCAAAAAGTCGACGACAGACTGGTGAATCAATACCGCTTGAATTTCTCCGGTGTAGCTTCCAACAAATTGGACAAGCCCACGGGAGAGGTTCCTCACTTTTGTCTTCAGATCAGATAACGGTATGTATGTGTCCTTTGCTTGGTATTCCGAGATTGACTTCTCGGTCATGTCACAGTCGAGAGCCATTGCTTGTTGCAATTCTTCCAAGGCTAACGGGCGCGCTGCGAAGGCGACCCATTGGAACAGCTTGAGCATCTGTTGACGTTGTTTATCGTTGTCGGGTTCATGTTTGATGTCAAGCAAAGATCGGTACAAAAGCTCGAGTGTTGGGGGTGCTCGTTGTATGTTCTTGAGTGCGGTTTTGAATGAGTCGCCTTTCTCTCTTGTTTCAATAATCATGTCTGACACCAAAACGGCCCACTGGAAATTTCCCGCAGCTTTTGATAGGATTTCAGATTTGAGCTGGTCTTTCTCTAAGCCATTGAAGCAGATAGCTGAATCGATGCGTGTTGACACAACCGTGTGGATGTCTTCTTTGTTGGCCTCATCCACGATTAGGGTCTTGCCGCCAGAGAGAGTGATTTGTGGATAATGCCTGCAAGAGAAGCAGATGCGCAATTGAGCATTTTCATGCTCCGCAGCATCCATGAGACTCTTCAGGTCGTTGGCAATCGCTTTTGCTTCACCTTCACCAGCTTCGTCTAGTGCATCCACGAGTAGAATACTCGGACGATGACGGCAGACATCGAGAATTCCCCTCTTGAGAAAATTGTGGAGTTCACCACACATCCAGCGCCAACCTATGGGTCCTTTCTCATGATATTGTTTGGATTGTTTGGTTAATTCTGAGAAGCAGTCCGGATAATGTGGATATAGTTGGTGAAGAAAAGAGAGGTAAAGTCCAAGCGACGATTTTTGTAATTGATTCCCTTGGCCATGAAGAAAGAAGTGAGCAAGCAGCTGCGGTGCATCACTCTGGTCTTGCAGATATTCGAGTATGCGTTTCATCGACATTGATTTGCCACAACCAGGGCTTCCGCGGATCCACAGAAGTCCATTTCGGCTTCTGAGCCAAGTATTGAAGGTCGCATTTCTGAATAACCAGTCGCAGGTCTTGTTCTCCGGTTTGAGCATGTACATGCGGTCGAATTGTTCGGGAAAGCCCAGGGTTTTGAGACAATCTTTGCACTGCAGTCAGCATTTACAGCATGCGCATGGCTTTATAGTTCCATTTGTTCTCACCTTGCTGAGAAGATGTAAGAGATGGTAGCATTGCTAACAAAGTCAACAAGACGCTTGATCTAATGTACAAATTGAGTCTCACATTCGCTTAAGCTGCGCACTTTAATGTTGAACGAGCGCAGATAGCCAAGAACCGTTATATACGCCTCGTCGTATGCATTTGCGAACTTGACCAGATCGCTGTGGGTACGGTCGATGGGAAAAACGCGATGGTGTTCTGAGTCGTGAGGGCGGCCATGTGTTGCCGAATGCGAATCGACCAACACAGCCCGTGGCCCGGTCATAGCCCAACTACCATCATCCTAAAATCAATGTGAACATAGGGCATCACAACAATCTCCAGAGGACTTACCCTTTTTTGTGCGGTCGGTGATTTCTTGGTCTCGTAGAAATTGACGACGTCGCATCTCAGGTTGGCAATAGCGTCCGAATACTGTTGAGCTTGCATACGTAGAATGGGCGAGTTTGACTCCAGTGTATGAAGAAAACCGCGATTTACTTGGTTTTCAACCATCGGAATCAAAGAAGATATGTCCATTCCTTGATTAGGGACTCCAAAGAAAAGGATCCCGTTAATAGCGGAGAAGATTTCCCTGTCTTCCGAAAGCGTGCTTGTGCGCATGAGATGAAGAGCCTGTACCCAACATGTTGGCACTAATGTTTTCCTTGCCTCCTTGTTAACAAGTATCGAAGGTATAGCTCACCTCTTTGATCACGATCCCGCCCAAGCTGTGGCCGAGCAGGACCAAGGGCTTCTCCGAATTGCGTCGGGCTTCTCTTACGGCATGTTGAAACTTCCTTCCAATGTCGTTCACATTTTGGAAAGAGTCGCTGTCTTGAAGCTTGGAGTCATAACCGTAAATGATGATCCTACTCTCCGGCATATCCTGTGCCAGCGTATCTCTCAACCACATGTAAGCGGCCCCTGGTTTCTTGAACGAGCCGAAGGCATGCCCGTTCAAGCCTGAAATGGTGATCAAGCTGTGGATTCTCATTAACTTCCAGAAATAAACATCTGGT